ATAGACACGCGACCCTGCGTCCTATCACCTAGTGCATCTAATCAACCATCAATCATCCTACTCGTCTAATCATCGGTGGCGTAAACAACTTACCGTAATCACCATAATCAACGTGGGTTCGGATTGGACCGGTTCGGGCTAACCGGTTAATGGGTACAACTGGTACACAGTACCCAAGACCAGCAACCCTCAATAGTTGAGGACCTCGTTGCAATGATGCAAGACGTTGCCGCCTTCCGACATCTCCATGCTGAAGAGTTGGCGCTTCAGGTAGATGCGTCCAGCCTTCTGCGAACCACCGTACAGCGTCTTCAGGCGCGTCCACGCAACCCACGCTTCCTCGCAGTCGTCGACCACATGGTGGTAGTCCGCGTCCATGTGGAGCAACATCAGTCCGAACGCGATGTTGCTCGACTTGACGTAGTCGTCCTTGGCCCGCGAGTCCGTGAAGCTCGGCGTCGTCTCGCGGTTCACGACATGCCACGTCGACTTGGTCAGGAACACGCCACGCATGTAGCGGTTCCACGTCGCGTAGTTGTCCCCGTTGAACTTGTCAATGGAGACCTTGGTCGAGGCGTCTTGGGCAGAGGACATGGTGCTTGGGCTCATAACCTGATGGAAGGTATGGATCTTGGACACGAAGCTCGGACGAAGCGGAGGGAGGGACGTCGCAGACGGCGGGACCGGAGCGAAGGCACTTGAGGGGTAGAATGAAGATTCGAAAGTGATTGAATTGTTGGAGCTTACACCCTACTGTTATAGACACGCGACCCTGCGTCCTATCACCTAGTGCATCTAATCAACCATCACTCACCGGTGTTCATCCAATCATCCTACTCGTCTAATCATCGGTGGCGTAAACAACTTACCGTAATCACCATAATCAACGTGGGTTCGGATTGGACCGGTTCGGGCTAACCGGTTAATGGGTACAACTGGTACACAGTACCCAAGACCAGCAACCCTCAATGGTTGAGGACCTCGTTGCAATGATGCAAGACGTTGCCGCCTTCCGACATCTCCATGCTGAAGAGTTGGCGCTTCAGGTAGATGCGTCCAGCCTTCTGCGAACCACCGTACAGCGTCTTCAGGCGCGTCCACGCAACCCACGCTTCCTCGCAGTCGTCGACCACATGGTGGTAGTCCGCGTCCATGTGGAGCAACATCAGTCCGAACGCGATGTTGCTCGACTTGACGTAGTCGTCCTTGGCCCGCGAGTCCGTGAAGCTCGGCGTCGTCTCGCGGTTCACGACATGCCACGTCGACTTGGTCAGGAACACGCCACGCATGTAGCGGTTCCACGTCGCGTAGTTGTCCCCGTTGAACTTGTCAATGGAGACCTTGGTCGAGGCGTCTTGGGCAGAGGACATGGTGCTTGGGCTCATAACCTGATGGAAGGTATGGATCTTGGACACGAAGCTCGGACGAAGCGGAGGGAGGGACGTCGCAGACGGCGGGACCGGAGCGAAGGCACTTGAGGGGTAGAATGAAGATTCGAAAGTGATTGAATTGTTGGAGCTTACACCCTACTGTTATAGACACGCGACCCTGCGTCCTATCACCTAGTGCATCTAATCAACCATCACTCACCGGTGTTCATCCAATCATCCTACTCGTCTAATCATCGGTGGCGTAAACAACTTACCGTAATCACCATAATCAACGTGGGTTCGGATTGGACCGGTTCGGGTTAACCGGTTAATGGGTACAACTGGTACACAGTACCCAAGACCAGCAACCCTCAATAGACGTCGAGGCGGCAATTGAGTGCGTGTTTCCTGGGCTTCCTACACAGCTTTCCTACGTTGGCGAGTTCTGTCTGGCTTCGCTCGTTTACCACGCGCCGTATCTCCAATCCCATTTGAGCCAAGATCACCCGCTGTTTGAGTGTTCACTATTCCAGCACCCGAGCTTAATTTCCGGCCTATTGCCGAAGGTATTTTGCACTGGTAATCGTCTACAAGCTACCGGTGTGTCTTCGCATGTAGCCATTTTGGGCAAGATGAAGGCACTACTTGACGCAAGTCTGCAAACAATTGAACACATTGAAGCCAACGGTGAAGGACATCATGCGCGAGCTGGAGAAGCGCGCTATTGGCGCTGGTACAGTGACATTCGATGGCCTAGACGCCGCGCTCAAACGCTGCCTCGACTCGGCCGGTGTAACCGAGCTCATCAACAAGCTGAACGACAGCTCACCAGCCACGCCCGTGCTGGAGAATGAAGCTGAGCATCCACCGACCCTTTCCTCCTTTTGGGAGGGACGATTCCGCCGGGTTCCGGCCGATTTCAAGCTTCCAGACTGTTCTGTTGCAATGCTGTGGGTCTTGTGGCAGTACGGCAACGCCACCAAGAAGATACCCCCGCTGAGGGTGCTGGATGGACGTGACATGCCGACTCGGAACCTGCAAAAGCGGCTTAGTGATGTACGCTATCTGATGACCATAGTTGAGGACAGAGCAAAGCGTACCGGACTGTGGCGTGCCCATCAGAGCGTTGAGGACGCTGTTAAAACGTTCACTGCGTGCGCTGACAGTATCAACGTGCCGCAACACACGGCGACACTGCGGAGTCGGCGACGAGGACAGCTAAGCTGGACCACTGTGGTGGCGCTAATCCGCAAACAGCGTAAGCAGAGCAGTAACTGATTGGCCAGTTTGTTTTTCCTTTATCGCTCCTATTGGCCAATATCTACTCATTTACCAAGTCCTGCCACTGTCCTGTAAAATCCGTCTAACAATCATTTCGAGTCATTAGCACGGCAACGACCACGCGAAAATCAGAATCGCATTATCGCGTGAAAATGTGAAAATAGCATTACCGCCACAGGTCGGATGGTGAATTTGCCGCGCGATTTTGTCGGTGCCTTCAGCAGGTCACTAAAGTGGAGCTTTGAACCCATATTTGGCCAGTAAAACGAGTTGTTTCCCCTATCATTAGTGACATAGGATCTTTAGTGCTTCTTCGCTTCATTTCCGCATTCCGCGACAAGCAGTGAAGACGACAAGAAGAACGCCTCATACCATGGCCAACGCCGACGCTGTCCGTACTGCTGACGCTACCAATGCCGCCGCTGGCGCTGATGCCGGCAACTCTAGTGACGTTCCAAGTGGTGGAGGAACTGAGAGAGCATCCTGGACCTGCTGGACAAGTACCTGGACGCAAGAAACAAGCGATCACTTGCGACCGACAAAGGCATCAAGGCTAAGGCATGGAACGCCTTGGTGCTAGCTCTCAATGCTAAGCACCAACGAACTCTCGACAGGATAATTATCACCACCGGCCACAAATACATCAAACAATGTCGCCACCGGTCCAACTTAAAGTTCGTAACGAATAAATAAATTTGATTGGTCTGTTATTTGAAGGTAAGACATTATAGAGGTCGAGGACGACCGGTTCGAGGACGGGTTCCTCCATGGTGTGTATTGTTAGCCTCACTTTTCTTCGAGCATGGAAACAGGCAAGGTAAATCTACGCGAGCGGTTTCGAAGAGAGACAATCAAGAAACACGACGTGTTTGCCTCAGCTCCAACCGCTACTGAGTTTCCCCGCGCATACGCCTTCAACGTGAACAAGTCCATCGTCCAGATAGGGCATTCCGGTCACAAGAATACCTGGGGATGCAAGTCGGAGGCGTTCTGTGCTTGGGAGGTTTCTTTAAGTAAGAAGAGGCCGACGAAACGTGCCAGCACGAAGCTCCCATTTTGTCCTGAGGGTGCCTGGTTCGTCAGTTCGGCAGAGCTGGTGCATTCGCCGAGCTGTGACTCTGTTAGTGAGGCGTCCGCTGAGATTCTGGCAACACTACCCAGGTTTAGAAGCGCCATTGTGAAAGGCCTAAGTAGCGCACGTGATCGTGTGGCCTCGGCGTTGAAGGTGGTGGACAACGTGAACGTGGACGACCAACCCGCTTTACTATACAGAGCAATCGCCAAAGCAAAGAACATGATGACAGGAAATGATGGAAGCTACGCAAAACTCCCAGCTTTTCTGCGGTCGTTCGAGCGGCTCAATCCTGGTTCCAGAGTGTGCTGCCAGCTGGATAGTAATGGGCGTTTCTTCAGGTTGTTCTTAAGTTTCGGAGCGCTAGTGGCAGCTCAAGACAACTGGGTACCTGTGCTCGAATGTGACGGTACACACATGAAGAATGAACAGTAAAATGGGGTGTGCTTGTTGGTCATCGGTAAGGATGGTAACTGGGCCAACATTCCTGCTGCGATCGCATTGGTCCACAAAGAGACAGCTGAGAACTTCGAATGGTTCTTTGCTAATTGCATTGCTGCGGGGATCAAGCTACATGACAGAGCAACATTCACGGATAGAGGCAAGCAACGTGACGCTCAAGTACGTTTGGACGCGATTGGCATCCCTCTCAACCTTAAGTTATGCGCTTGGCACATCTACTTCAACGTGTGCAGCCACTTTCGCGCAGTTGAGCCAAACATCGACAACATCAAGGGGCTGATTTTTCGTCTTCAAGCAACGACAACGTTGGACGAATACAATAAAGCCCTGGCGGTGATCGAAAATCAGTTCCCCGGGGTGCGTATCCGGAGCGTCAATGGCCAGAGGCAGACTCAGTCTGCAGCAGAGTACTTGCGCGCACTGCACCCTGGAAGTTGGACGAAGTTCGGCAATTGTGCACTTGACCCCGAAGAAATATTCGCCGTTGAAATCCAATGGAAACAAGCACGTTCGTATGGAGCACCTTGCGCGCTCTTCGCTGGCAGGACGACGAGCGCAGTGGAGGGGCAAAACAATGCACTCCTTTTGGGCGGAGTCCGGGATTGTCAAGTCCTGGAAGCTCTGGTGCTGTTCTGCAATCTGGCTGTGGAAACATTGAACGACATGAAAGAGAAAGCCGAGAAGTGGTTAGCCGCAAAGCACACCGTCACACCCCGTGCAAAAGCTATGTTTGTCAAGCAAGTATGGGGTGCTGCAGCCTTTCAGAGCGCTGTAATCAGTTTTCCATTCCTGCCTGCGCTTCTTCCGGATTGCAACATTCGATCGCCGCCGCGCTACAATCAAGCCGGTGGTTCCTCCGCTCGCACCCCCTGCGACGTAGCAGCACGTGAAAAACGCATCCCGAGTCGTGGTGAACTCAAAGCGTCCGCGTCGTCACGAAAGTCCGCGCAACAACCAAAACGACAGGGTGGCGAGCGAGCTGTAATCGCTGCTGAGATGCTCGAACACTTTGCCAATGAAATCCGCGCGGAAGCGAAAAAGAAGCGGAAGAAAATCACGTGCAGTCGATGTGGCAAAACCGAGGGTCATAATGCTGCAAAATGCCCCAATCAGCCCGAAGAAAATGTTGACAGCGACGCCCGGCCTGGAATTTACGTCGTTGGAAGCTATCCTCTCGAATTACTGCAACAGCGCAACGCATTTGTCAACTCTAGAGTTGAAAACCCGGATATCGTGAGCGAGTACAGCTTCTGATTTCGTCGGGCGAGAATCCATAGACTGTAGAGTTCCCTACAAAAGCGTATGCATACGAAGCTAGATTAGATGAAGCTAATCACTTTCATTAATAAATCCGGTACCTTGCATGCAAAACCGGGTTGTTGGGACTCCTCAATGCTTTCGTGCTTCCTTCTCTCCGGGTTTGGGGGCACTGGGCTTTATTACCACACCGCTCATCCCCCACGTGCGGATCAAGCAAAGGAGCATTCCAACACTGGGTCGTCCCTTGCTCCTGAGTACGCAACAGCAGAGTTTACAAGTTGTCAGTGATCCCATGTCACTTGATAGTAGCAGCAGCAAAGTGCAATTACCTCGCCACCCTTATCATTAAAGAGGAAAACAAAAAAACATGTTTGACTCAACCTCACGGCATAATTATTATACCACAAAATTACCTGGCTCACTTCACTTTAGTAAACCCGCGTACTACTGGTACCAACAGCACTGTCCAGCAGTGTTACCTTGTCATCCTTATCGATAAAGATCAAAATAAGTTAGATTCAACCTCGCTGCATCATCATTACATCATAGAATTACCTGGGTGCCTTCACGTTAGGCGCGACGCTGCTCGTGAAAGCCTACAGCATAAGCCCTCGTAGCGTGCGGGAATCCGTGCTCTCTCATGGCCACAAGTTTGGCCCTCTGCTTCGGCTTCGATTGTAGGAGGCGCTCCCATACATCGTCATCGAACGTCGGCTTGACAGTGTCTGAGCAGATGCTGACGCCAGATAGCCCTGTGAGGTACTTGTACAGATCATAGTCTTGCATGAGTCGCGTGTACTTCGACTTGTACTGCCCTAAAATGATCACCAGATAGAAGGTTAGTTGTCCAAGCAAAAGATGTGCACACTCGTTTCAGTCACCTTTGTCGAGAGGGATATTATCACCACCGGCCACAAATACATCAAACATTATCGCCACCGGCCCAACTCGAAGTTAGTAACGATAGCGTCTGATAGTATCTTATGGGACGGACCAGAGAAGGCGAGCAAAACGTAGTGAGGCCGCGTTCAGTCAAAGGAGTACGGTCAAAGGTGATCAGCCAGAGCTGCTCAAGCTGAAGGAGGCATGTATTTAGTATCACCGACGCTGTCGCTTGGAGCTGGCCGAGGGGTCAGTTGTGCAAAGGGGACACCCGTGCCACAGGTGCGCAGGCGGGCACTATCTCGGCGTTAACAAGTGAACTTTGCCGCTGCGACCTGGTCGACGGCAACGCTAGCGACACCGGCGATGGAGGCAGCGCTGTGTCCGCGTCAGACAAGACCACGACGGCTTCGACAAGCCTCGCGATGGCCTCTGAAGAGCCCGCAAGCGGACGCAAAGTCCCCGACAGCCATCAGCAGCGCGTGGACAAGGTCAAGCGTGTCCGTGGCGGCGCGCTCAAAACCAACCGAGCGTTGAAGAAGAAGAAATCGGACGATAAGGTCTCCAAGGCGTTGATTTCTCTAATGAAGACGACGAAGGCGTACATGAAGATGAAGATGGCTTCCCTCGAGAAGGAGAACGTTTCCACCGCGGGCAGCGACAGCTCCGGGCAGTCTTCGTGGGTGTGACGGCCAATCTTCGCCCTGCCATCACCATTCGGCTCGCAATTTATGTCGACATGCGTCTACCAGCGCTACCAACAACAGAGTAACCAGTAGCAATCGAGGCAAGTGGTAGTGCTCGCGCACCAAACGCTAATTGAATAATATATAATGGATTCATAAAAAAAGCAACCACGCATTATGTGCTACCATCAGAGCATTCATCCGAAGATGACACTTCTGCATCGCTAGTGCTGCCGGATGACATTGATTCGTCGCTGTCCGTCTGCCAACCGTTTTCATCTTCGCTGCTCATTCTCCCGCATACACTCCCGTCGCTCTCGTATCGTCCTCATCCCTAAGTCCTTTATCACTCGACTCATCATCTCTGTTGGCTCGGAGCTCCTGATACTCCTCCCACATTGTTGATGACATCCAATCTCGCCACGCAGCACCACTTTAAAGGTCAAAACTAATGGGGACATCGTCCTCATCGAACGTCTGATGCTGCACACGATCGCGCGACCGGCTTCGTAAGTCTTCGGCCAAATCAGACTCGTCAAAGCCCCTAATAAAATTGTGCACACAGCAGCAGGCGAAGATGACAGCCTTGACGTTCACGAACTCGAAATCCATGCACGACCTTAGCACTTTGAATCGGCGCTTCATAATTCCATTCACCCGTTCCACCGCATTTCTGGCCTTGGCATGACGAAGATTATACAGCTCTTTACCATTCCGCGGTCTGCCCGCTGACTTAGCCCACTCCTTGAGGTGGTAGCGTGCACTCCGATATGGCGTCAGCACCTACTTGCTCAATCCATAGCCTGCCCCCGCTAGAACGTAGTAGTCCTCGGGTACTCGATCCAGAAAGTTACTCCACTGTAGTACCATGGAGTCGTGAGCACTGCCTTCGGCTCCAACGTAGGCAAAGCAGACGTTCAGGTTCTAAATGAGATTATGGAATTCAGATTACAACTAAAAGATCTAACTGACGGCAACCATATTGAACGCGTGCGAACACCGATAAATTACTTGACCGCCAGGGTAGGTTCGGATGGGTCGTCCTTACTTCCGAGTACATTTCGCGAGATTTCGAGTAATGAGTAATGCGCTCGGACTTCAGAGTACATATTCCTCATTTGAACTCATGCACTGCATCAACTTGCAACAACTGACTTCCCTATAAAGACGTTGCTTGTTGGGATGGCATTCACAAAAGTAATTAACGTGCTACAAGCCCTTTAGGGCAATTTTTCTGTCGTTTTCTGCTAGATAACGCTAAAATTCTCTAGTTGCTTGCTCACATCCGCACAAGTGGTTCGATGGGTTATTTCCCCAGATACATCCATATTGTGCCTTCCTTCGGTCTCGTTCAGGGTGGCGACGCCGAACGTAGCGTCTTTCCTAAGTCACATGTAACACTTGTGTGGGATTACTCGGAAGTCAGTGAAGTGTAGTCGCAATTAAGTAGCACTCGGTTCGGATGGGTGTAAAGACCCTCAAGCCGCATCGAATTCATGTGCTTTTAGCAAGCGATTCACGGTCCACGGTAACGCCATCCATGCTCCTATTGCGGAACACCCGATCGTGCTCGCGAGTTCATCGTGCTTGAGTTGCATCTCGGAAAACGAAAAATGCCTCTACGGTAGTCGACTCTCAGAAGTACAGTAAGTTACTTCATACTACCTCCGGTCCGAAAAACAATGGTCCCTTCAACTATGATGTGTACACATAATTTTGTTTTACGTTCCGATTGGACAAAATTATTTTTTTTTAATTTGTTGGCTCTGAGCCATTAATTTTTTGCAGCCCTGGTGGCTCCAAAGCTCCTTGCGCAACTCGCGCCAAAACACAGTCCCACAAACCAATTTTCTGCCAAGGACCCCCAAAGATGCCGCGCACCCCTAACCCCAAAGATCTGTCGCTTGCTACGAAGCTGGAGATCGTGCTGTTCCTCTCGGACATGGCCACCTGTGGAAAGCTTCCACGGGGGGCCATCTCGGAGGCTGCAGCACGATTTGGTTGCCATCACAACACAGTGCACAAGCTGTGGGGTGACCGCGCCACTATTGCCGTGCAACGGCCAAGTAACCGCGGCCGGCCCCGGGCCTACATAGATGGGGCTATCAAGGCCAAGATTGCTTCGGCTCCGGTGGAGAGTCGGACCACGCTGCGTGGTCTCGCCGCTGCCACAGGTATCCCGCGGACCCAGCTCTTCCGACGCTTGCAGGAGCGAAGCGCGGTCAGGCGAGTCACGGTTGTGCCGAAGCCGCTGCTCACGCCGGAGCACATGGCGCAGCGCCGTCAGTTTGCTCGGACTTTTGTGACGAAGATTCCTGGGAAGAGTTTTGACTGTCTAGCTATCTGTTATGAGTAATATGTGTAATGCCTGACGATATGTAATGTAATGTCTGTCATTTAGGTGATCGCGGATACCAATTCGATGGCATGAAGAATGTGGTGCATGTTGACGAAAAGTGGTTCTACGTGCACCGGAACCGCAACACTTATTACCTTACGAGCGACGAGCCTGCGCCGCGCGCCGTCACCAAGAACAAGAACCACCGAACAAAGGTAATGTTTTTGGTGGCGGTCGCGCGGCCGCGGTATGACGAGCACCAGCGCATGACCTTTGACGGAAAGGTGGGACCGTGGACCGTGGTGAAGACCAAGCTGGATGTCCGCAGCAGCAAGAACCGCTCGAAGGGTACTCCGGTCACGACCCCAGTCGAGATGACGAAGGACGTCTACGAGCGCATGCTGACGCAGTACGTAATCCCCGCGATCAAGCGAGTTTGGCCAGGTAATTGTTTTGCAACTTGTTGTATTATGTTTTATGCTGACTATTTTTATTACGACTATTTTTATATAGGTAAGGAAGAGGTGATCGTACAGCAGGACAACGCCCCGCCTCGGAGCAGACTGCAGTGAAAGCAGCGGCTGCAGCGGGCGGCTGTAGCGGGCGGCTGGTCGATTAAGTTCGCCAACCAGCCGCCGCGAAGCCCTGACTTCAACGTGCTCGACTTGAGCTGGTTCTGCTCGCTGCAGTCGCTGCAGTACAGGAAGCAGACGCGGGACGTCGACGGGCTCATCGCGGCCGTGAATGCCGTGTTTGAGGAGATGTCAAGTGCCACCACCAACAAGTGCTTCCTTACGCTGCAAAGCGTACTTGAGGCATCTATGCTTGCTGGTGGTGGCAACAGCTACAACATCCCACATCTGAGAAAAGATGCCCTGACCAGGAACGGTAGCCTGCCTCGCTGTTTGCCGTGTTCGGCTGAGGCGGTTGCGGCTGTCGATGCTTTAGCCTAGAACGTCGGTTTGGTAGCGGTAATATTTAGCCTAAATATTACCTTCATTCTGATTGTTCTGTCACTAATAGTTTAATTTGGTGAATGCATACTTCTCTGGGCCACCTAAGAAACAACAACTCGTTCCCGACGTCGTATCTCAGTCTGTTCTTGCATCTTATACGCAAGCGCGGGGCCTTAAAATAAAGCCGGGTTCACGCTGCACCCCACTGTAGTTTTTAAAGCTCAATAACAAGCGATTTGAGCGAAATAACACTAACTTTGAACACGCTCATACGCAGTGAATAAGGTTTTTTTGCGCATCTTCGTCAATATTTGGCGATAATAGACAAAGCGCATACGTGGTCAAACTACACGACTGGGCGATTGTATTCAACGCTTATCTGAACGCTGGCGAGGTAGGGATAGCATCGTACAGGCTCCTAAAGAAGTGAGGTTTTTTACCGTGATAAGTAGATATGTCGCGAAAAACATTTAACGCGCTCCAATTTCAACCAATCAAGGTGGGCTCCGAATTAAACCAAGAATTAAACAGTTGATGGGGGTGAATTATTTTAGATTTTATTGCAACTGTTTTAATGTTACTTTGCCGGCTTCGTAGACAGTGGAATCACATGCAATTGAGCTTGGTATGATTCCTCTCTTGATGTACAGCTTGCTCACGCGAGGTAGCTGAAAATTGTTGTCACCCGCAGCCTTGATGATACACTCCATCACCTTTTGGAGCGTTACGAAGCTTTTGTCCAGCGTTCGACTCGGCAACTGCCCGAACGCAGCTAGTACTACCCCAATGAGGGCGTCCACCTTGTAGGTAGGCTGTTGATATTGCACCGACTAAATCGCGGAGAAGACTGAGAGGTCTAAAACATTGAGGTCCGGCGACTTGGGCGGCTGATACTCCATGCGGATATCCCATGGACGTTCTTGCCCGGCTAGTTGAACTGCTGCCCTCGAAGCCGCTGCGTGAGGACTCGCATTGTCGTGCTGCACACGAATTGGCCGACTTCTGCCTCCTGCATGAAATAGGATTAATGTACATGTCGGTAGCTTTAACAATAAACACTCAAATACAAAAATAATGACAAACCTGGCCACTTCGCGCGAATTGCTGGAAATAATTTTGTCACAAAAATATTTTCGTACTCATCCGAAGTCATTTAAACATTTTAGTCTCCCAGGTACCAGCTCAACGGTTAACCGAAGTCCGTTTTGCTTGTACACGCTCAACCACAGGCCAAATACCTATTTTTCCATCGAAAAACTTATGGCGGAAAAAATCATAGCGGGGCCTAGCAACTGCCGCCAAGAACATAACTTTACCTATATACCGTTTGTTGACCGATGTGTTGTGGGGTAGATCTTCAGTAGTGGGTTGATCCTTTATACATATTGAACCACTTTTCGTCGATATGTACATCGTACATATCGACGCAAAATTGGCCGTCTAAGACCTGTACAAAATAAAAGAATAATACAGCAACAAGGTTATTAGATATCCAACCGCTTGTACAAAATAAAAAAAATGCTCATACCTGGGGGTTGCCGATCGTGGCGTAGTGCGAATGCCAGACGTCGTTTCTTGTGCTCAGGCGTGAGACGAGGCTTGACAGTTGAAAACCTCCGGTGCAATAACCCCATTTTAAGGTAGCGCCGGAGGGTGGTGCGGGAGACCTTCACGGCGGCAGCAAGGGACCGCCGGTTCTGCCGAAGAGGCTACGGCACTGCTGCCACCTTGGTGGCGATGTCGGGGTGGTGGATGCCGCTTGATCGGCGGCGATTTGGCTGCAGCAGCACGTCTGGCGTGTGGCGCAAGTCCCATATGCGCGCGACCGTGTCCGGTGACACAAAAAGTAACGGCTGGTGGCGGCCTTGGCGCCAAAGGGGAGCCGGCCACCCACGACTAGGTTCGAGAGGTGGAGAAGGATGGCGAGTTTCTTCTGAGAGGACAGGTTGGGCTGCTTGGGGTGACGTCCCATTGTGATGTTGAGTGCTCGGGGCTTGGCGGGAACTTGGTTTGTGTGGTGCCCCCCGGACGTTTTAGCGCGCGCTAAGTAACCTAACCCTAACGTATTTTTGACAAATGAGTGTGAGCCCTGAAAAAACCTCGCTATACTAAAAACCTCAATGTTGTTTCTCAGGTGGCCCAGAGAAGTATTGTTTTTCGGACCGGAGGTAGTACCAATTTCGCAAATTTCAACCAATCAACGCTCGGTAACCTGTCGAGTACGTTAAGATAGCAAAGATTAAAATGGTCCACCTACGACACTTGTGGACGATCTTGTTGAAGTGCACAGCGGGCCATGTCGCTGGCATTCTTGCAGCGAATGATGCGCGCGCACTTGACGCAGAGCGTGACGTTCTGCTGGTGAACCTCGAGAGTGGAGCGGTCCACTCGCACGAGCTGGCGGACCTCGCAGCAATTGGCCTTGGAGCACAGCCACGACGTGCACAGCACGCACCAGTACGTCTGCATCGACGCTCCGTGCGTGAGCGAAGTGGTGACGCTGCTGCCGAGGCTTTTCCTGCGACGATCGGGCAGCGAGACCTTGCAGACGCAGCACCGGAGCGGGTCTGTGAAGCGGCTTTTGGCTTGCAGGTTCGTCAGGTGCAGCGCGCGCTTGTGGTCCACGCAGCAGCAGAGCTTCCTGGTCTCAGCGCAACGCGGAGCCAGCTCCCAGAACCGCTGCACCGCCTTCCAGATCGCGGCGTGCACGACGCTGTCGGGCATGAGGGTCTTGGCGTCGACGATGAGCTTGTAGTAGACGCCGACGGAGCCGTCGGGCAGCTCTCGGAGCACGCGCGCATGGATCAACTGGCCGCGGCACAATGACTCTCTCACTGACCACTGATCTAGCGCTACCGACTGGTTGATCTCATACCCGAGCCGCTCGCCTGACGCCGACGTGACTTCCCCCTGAGCACACGCGAGCACATACTCGCGAGGGCGCCGGAACTTGCTCACGGTGGTCACGTAGCGTGTGACGCCCATGAAGCGGAAGGGTTCGTCTTGGCTGGGCGTTGCGATCGCTGCGAAGTCGACCCTCTCACTGGCGACGTCCGAGTCTACCAGTACTTCACGCAGCTTGAGCTCCGCTGGGCTGGACGCCGTCATCCCGAACAGCAGGTCGTCAAGCGAGCAGCTCATGTGCCCGACCGCCACCACTGCGATCGGGTGTTTCCACTCGTCTCCTCGCATGGCCGACATCCACGCGCGGTCGCTGGCGCTGTGGTCCGCATAGAGAGACACGTCCGCCTGAGACCGGAGCTTCTTCCAGCCGCGCTGGTCCAGACCGTCGTGGTTGTTGTTGGAGCCCAAAGCCCACAACGCAGTTGCTTCGTAGTCGTGCAGCGTTCGATCCAGCACCTGCAGTGTCCGATCCTGGCACACTTCTTGGTCCTGCGTCGACAGCTTCATCACGGGGGCCCTGTCTTGCTGGTTCTCTCTCTCGCGACGACTCGCTTGCTGCTCGAAGCGTAGAATCAGGAATGAGAAGGATAGGGGCTCTACCAAGCGCCTCACGCACAACCAGGCGATGAGGGTAACAGAGAACCATTCCGTTGACTCATTCGTCTGCATTGATGTCGAGCCGAGACCAAACGAGTCAACGGGTATCGTTCTCTCTCGGTCGCACACGATGACGTCCACTGTGGAGTGACTCGACTGATCCACACCGCCAAACCATCGGCCTCGAACGTTGAGTCAAAAACCAAGTCGGAGCTGGCATGAGTCAGAATGACGCAGGACCTTCCCCTTTCAACCTAGGCAGGCCTTCTCGACGATGATGTCGAAATCTGGCGCAGGGTCTGCTGCACCTAAAGCTCAGCTAGACATTACACCGCAGCGACTAACCTTCGTGCGAGCCGCGAGTGCCTTCCGTTCAGTGCAACTTCAATGGTAGATTGCAGCTCAAGTTGTTGCACCTTGGTATGGTTAACAACACATACTTGGTTGTTGCTACGCGAAAGGCAAGGATGGATACCAGATGCTAGCACCGACGAAGCATCGTCCAACACTGCGGAAGCACAGGTGTGCAACGCATGATGCCTGGCGACTCGTTTGACCATCCGTAGAACCGCCAATTTGACTTGCAATCTTCCAGCAATCGTTGAAGAGTGGATAACCAGCCGGTGTTTAGCGGCAACGCATCGGCTTCACAATACTATTGTGACAATAGCCAAGCTGAAGCGATGAAGGGAGGCGCGGATGTCGGACAAACGAAGATGGTCAACAATCCCAGGTCAGGGCGTCCGTGAGGCCACCGCCGGTGATGATTTACTCGAAGAACTTCAATAGCGGTCGGTTGAAGTTTATACAGCAAGACATCGCAAAAGCGTCAGCTAAAAAAAACAAAAAAAATGTTAGCAATGATTTACTTACATATTCATCAAGTTGCACAAGTTTACTTACGGCTTGCCTCGTCAGAATTGTATCAGCGAGCTCTTGCTGGCTGAGGATGGATCTAAGTCGTCGTGCTAGCGCACAATTTCTCCGTCGTCGAGTTCCTTGAGCTCTTCTTCCGTGACTTCCTCGTCGTCTGCTTCTTCGCTTGAAAGGGCCTTCACTAACTCGTCCAGAAAGTCGTGCGGAATGGCCGGATGTACTTCATCGTGCACTGTTGTCTCCGTGTGTGCGAGTGCTGCTGTTTGGGAGTGTTGACGAAGGCCGAGCACAAACGGCACCTGGTAGTGAGACGGCAGAGCCCCGTGGTCAGCGTGTAATGGGCAACCTTACCGTGCCAGACCCAGCGTGCTCACCACCACCGGTCCTGCCTCATAGTGTTCGGTGGCATCGATACACAAGTCGGAGGGTCGGCACTAGCTGATACCGTCACGTTGCCATCCGAAGTCACGATGACCGCGTCCATAAGTGAGCTCACGGCCGGGTTGCTGCGGAGGCGAGTGTTCCACCGCTTGAGCTTCTGGCGCAGCTTCTGGGCGTGGGTCATGGCCTGCCTCGTCGTCTTGGTGCCGATGTACTCGGCGATGGCGGTCCAGGGACCCTGCGGGAACGTGGTGAGCGCGACCCAGAAGAGCTGCTGCTCGTGGGGCGTCCAGCCCTTCTCGGTGCACTGCGACTCCGGCAGGTAGTGCAGCACTTGGTGCACTGCGAGCAGCTCCTGCATGACCACGGGGGAGATCATGGCTAGTCCACGCAGAAGAGGAGGGGGGGGTCTTTGTACCGTCAGGGAGTGAGCGAGTGAGTAAAGTACCGAGTGGCCGGCCGACCGTGGGCGTGGGGCTGCCTGCACTTGAATCCGTGGGTCGGTGGGTCTGCGCGAACGTCGCGGCACACTAGCGGCAGAAAGTATCCATGTCTGACGGCCCCGGAGCGCTCGTTGATCAAGTCGCCGCGTTGCACACGGCTTTCAAGTGAGACGAGAATCCGTTCGGCGGGAGCGCGGGAGGTTTTGCTTCCGCCTCGATCGCAGCTAACGCTCGCAAGCACCGAACGGTGGCCAGCAACCCACTCGCTTGATTGGTTTTAGTCCCTTTGACTACGGAGCTTGGACGGGTATTCGAGCAATTGTCCCCATGCGATGGTCGTTATTGCAGGTTCGACACGAACGTAGACGAGCGACTGTGTCTTGGGATCTGCGAGGTCCAGCGCGGGCGCTGCACCTTGCCTATCATATCGATAGGTATGGTGGCGATACTAGCCCCTGAACGACATTTGTCCATGATCCAGCCTGCTTTCGTAGGCAGAGTTGGGCACTGCACGTGCAGCTATCATAGCTGCAACCAAGAGCTGCCGCGGGAATAAGATGAGGCGTTACGGGTCCTTTCCCCATCAAAACGCACGATTCATGCGATGCCCTTCGCATGGCTCGAAGCACCATCACGGTCGGCAGCAACCAACGAAGCAGCCAGTCCAGTCCCCACGTTTCCGTGGAAAAAGCCCTGGTCATATCTCTCTGCTTGGTGGCGCCATCTTCCAGCGTCTACGTGGCGTGTTGCCAACACACTGCTGGAGCTCGATGGAGGCCAGCCAGCCCCGGCCGGTGCAAGAAGAGCGGCACTTAGCGTGCCCGACCCGATCCAGCGGCTCTTCAACCCACTTCTGGCTCCAAACCTGAGTTGTGGTCAGAAATGGGTTGATGCCCTGTCGAACACCGAAACGGCAACTTGCCAGTCGCTGCCGGACGATCGTCATGGGAGTCGGGAAAGTCTCGCTCGGGCTTTCTCCTGCTTGGCTGCGCTGCGGCTCCGACAGGCGAGATGAAGCGATGTGTCTGTGAGTGTCGAGTGAGTCGCTGTCGTAGTGAAAAACAAGTGCAATTCATGTACTTTATAATACTACAGGTAAGCTTAGCTCCCTCTTGATACCGTAGATGAGTACATGTAGCTGGTGCAACGTGTACGTACTTTGAAGTATTTGAGTAACCATTTTATTTGCAACGCAGCGCGTCGTTAGCTGTACAGACTTAGCTTTGCTATGTATGGGCAGCCCTTCGCTAGCCTTGGGCCCACGAAGCTCGCGTGAAGGCATCGAAGACGTCCTCCTCGACGAGGGAGAGCTGGGCGTCTGGCATGGCGAAATTCAACTCGGCCACGAGCTTTCCGTGGACAGGAAGGTGCGGCCGAGACCCATTCAAGGACGGATAAAGCGGCGGTAGCCCGACAGAAGCCTCCGAGATCTTGAGACGCGCAGCATCAGTCGGCACCATGTACGTTGGCGTCAACCCGCCGCCGCTTGAACCAAAGCCGACACTGACCGCTCTCAGCTCTTCCTGCTTCACGGCCACGTCGTGGAACGACTGGGCCTTCGTTGTCAACGGGCTGCCCACCTCTCGTGTGGGTCGCAGTCTTGCGGACCGCAGGGTGAACGGTAAGTGGCGAGGACCCCAACGAAATGCGCCCGTCGGGGCTCACGGAGATCTCGTCCATGAGCAGACCCACCGCCGGGTTACGGCGCAGCCGCTTGTTCCAGCGCTTGAGTTTCTGCCGCAGCTTCTGGCCGTGGGTCATGGCCTGGCGAGTCGACTTGGTGCCGATGAACTCGGCGATGGACGTCCACGGCCCCTGCGGATACTGGATCAGCGCCATCCAGAAGAGCTGGGACTCCTCCGCCGTCCAGCCCTTGTCCGTCGACGGCGACGCCGGCAGGTAGTGGAGCACCTGGCGCACGGAGAGCAGCTCCTTCATGACCTCGGGGGAGATCATCGCCTGCGCTTCGAGTGTGTGTGGTCTCCAAGGCAAATCGCTGAATGGCTGATGGTATCCTGCGACTCAGATAGTATCCATGCTCATGCTGAGGTGAGGAAGGAGAAGCGTCGCCGGCCGTTAAATCGTCGCTTGCATTTACCGGCCGAAATCGCTCGAAGATATTACTGTCCACGCTATCAACCTACACGGCCCACAACAGGACGGAGCTCATTCCGGCAGGCAGAAGCCGGAGAGTTCGCCTGAGTCGAGTGTGCTGCGGTTGTCCACGTTACAAGCACGGCGCACGAGCCGACTCACCCGAGTGGACGTTGGCTGGCGCTTTGATTTCATCCTGCCGAGTCACACCCCACCTAGGCTCGACCAACCAAAGCAGTCGTGAGTTGCGGTGAGCAGTGAACCCAGAACCGGACCCACGCCCCTCGAACTTGCCACTGGAGCCTGCACCAAGCAGTGCCGGTGCCGATCGATCGCCGGCCGATTTGACCGAACAGCTCTCGCAAACGTTTATCGCTGGTCGACACGGCATTCAGTAGCGCGCTGCTGGGCCTGGATGGGACAGCAGAGGGAAACACACAGCGAAATGAGGACTGAAGGGCCCGCACCACTGGAAGCAACTCTTTGGAGACGTGTTGGTGGCGCTGACCAATGGATTCAAAATTCGGATGACTCACCAGGGCAAGTGGTGGTGCATTAACCGTCGCTATACCTTTCACTTCTTGGCTTGACGACTGCATCGCCCATGACGGACGCCAAAAGATCGCGGCGCTTGTGCGTGGTTTCGTGTGTTTGGGATAGTCGATTTACTATCAGCAAACGCCGGCGTTCTGGACCTCACGCACACTCCATACAACAGTGAATACCTACAATCTGATTAAGTACAAGTAAATATGCGCTGTACAGCTCAACGACAGCTACCCCGCTACTGAAGGACGTGTACTCATTCATAACAACCGAGCATCAACCATTGCCTGTCTATTTAGTCTCGCTCCACAGTACGTCGGCCAATTCGTCCAGGAGGTGCCTCACTGGCATCGCGACCTCGTTGATTGGGTGAGGGACTGCGTCTGCTTCGTGCTTGGTCTCGTCGAACTGGATCGTTGTTGATGCAGAAATTGGCCCTGCCGTTGCATTGGGCTCAAAGAGCATCTGCAACGACGTCGACGACCTGTACGCTGCAGTCGCTGGTGGTGGTGAGCTCAAAACCGCGCCGTCCACTTGCATCGAGGCAGAACAATTAGCAGGTGCATTGGCGTCAAGTCTTGGTTGCTCTGACGCAAAATTGGCAGCAACCTCCGCTTGGCACCCGGTCGGATATAGCGGTGCCAGGCTCTTCACTCGGGTCGACGGAGCTGCGCGATCTGAAGCAGTCGCAGCAGTAGACAGAGGTGTCGACACAGTGACGCTGATCTTTGTCGCCACGGGGCCACTTGCGCTTACACTGGTGCTGATGGCAGTGGAGGCGACAGCACTGCAAACTGCGTCCCCATTCATCAGCATGCGGGCAGTCGGGTTGCGGTGCAGCCTCGTGACCCAGCGCTTGAGCTTCTGCCGCAGCTTCTGTCCGTGCGTCATGGCTTGGCGCGTGGACTTGGTGCCGATGAACTCGGCGATGACCGTCCAGGGGCCTCTCGGGTAGCGGTCGAGTGCCGCCCAAAACACTTGGCGCTCGTGCGGTGTCCACCCATACTCGGTTGAGGGCGACACGGGCAGATAATTCAGCACTCGACGAACAGACATCAGCTCGTCGTGCACCCTCTTGGAGATCATCGCGTGGGGGTTGTGCAGCTCGCGGTAGATTGGCAAGTGCGGCCTTGAGTGTCGACGCCCCCTATCACTTTGACCAGCGACATGGTCGGCCCCAAGTATGAGAATCCACGACAATTTTTGGGGCTTTACGTATAGAACTCGAATTTCCCAGTTCGTGATATATGGAAGTTTGGCCCTCAAAATCCAACATTTGAGTCCGGACAAGGCATTACCAAAGTGAAGCTGCCTGTCAGCCTGTCGGCATTAGGTCCCGATACACGTTTGAAGACCGTTTTAGCGTAACTAGAGTTACTTTAGCACACTCGGGTTTACTCGACAGGCTACGCGCCTGTCATTTTGGAATGCAAATCATCGGGGTCAGATGCTTCAGTTTCGGCGCCGCCCGACACCAGCGGTTTTGCAGCCCAGAAACGGACCGCCGCACCGTCTCACCTGAACAGCGGCACCGCCCCGCACCTTACCTTGGCACCGGCCGACGCTGCTCCAGCGAACCGCGTCCGGTGTCGAAAATGTGCGGCGAGTCAAGCAAAAGCGAAAACTGCTCCTGCGTAGAACGAGCTAAGAGCTGCTACAGCTTTGCTCTGGTTCATTCGGGCGGTCGAGGGCCCACGAGAGCAAATTTTCAAAAGGACCAAGATCAACTTCGTCCCATCGCCGTCAACTCGGCTGAAGTGCTCCCGGAGCCGCCCTCAACTCGGCTGGTCGTCATCTCCGGCCTCTTGACCTTCAGAATGGCTCCGCAAAGATCCGAATACTGCCGACCACCGAAAACATCGGGTGAGTGTTCAACTTGGATACTTTTTGAGCAACCAGTTTATTTAATTGACTGTAGTGGTTGATTAATGAAAATAACGACATGCTACCGTTAAAAGTACGCGAATATAAGACGTTGGCTCGAAGATGCCACATGCAAAACAATACACCGCCATTCACGCAGCTAGGCAAGCAGGCAGCTGCTTGTCAAACGACTGAAATACACCCTCCCACCCTTACGCCATGCTTTAGTGGTGGTGGCTCAGCTCGTTGAGGTCGTCGTCCGACAGGATCTCGAGTAGGTCGTCGAGCAGGTGTTGCGGCAGGATCTCGGGGTCGTCCGAGATGTCCGTCAGTTGCACCTCTTCCGACGATTCCGACAGCATCAGCCCCACGACACGCGCGGTGTCCTCCGATAAAGTTGGGTGCGCTGCTGAGGCGTGTGCGTACTGAGAGGGGGCGCCTACGGTGAACTGCTGCGTGGTGTCGATGCTCGATCCGGCCACGCAGCTTGAGCCCATTATGTTGGCATCAGTCACGTGGAGACCGTTCATTTCCACGATATTGACACCATCTACCGGGAAACCAGACTGGAATCCACTGCAGTCGGTGCTGATCATCGCGGCCTCGGTCGTGGTTGGCATGGCTTCGACTGAAATGCCGGCGGTGACTGCCACGTTCGCGCTCGTTGAGACGTCGACTCCGTCCATGAGCATACTCGCGGTTGGGTTGCTTCGCAGACGCTCGTTCCAGCGCTTGAGCTTTTGGCGCAGTTTCTGGCCGTGGGTCATCGCTTGGCGGGCAGACTTTGTGCCAATGAACTCAGCGATCGTGGTCCAGGGGCCTTGGGGGTGCTGGGCCAGTGCGACCCAGAAGAGGTGCTGCTCGTGCTCGCTCCAGCCCTTTTCCGTTGAGGCCGACTCGGGCAAGTAGTGCAGGACTTGCCGCACTGACAGCAGCTCTTGCATCACCTCGGGGGAGATCATTGATTTTAGCAGTTGTTGAAGTTGCTGGTAAGTTGTTGCTCGTGGCGAATTGCTGAATGACGATGCGGATCGCCAAAGCTGCACGTGGCAACGCCCCATCGCGCCGACACATTGGTGCTGGTTGTCACCAAAAGTATCCAAACTCAAACGGGGGGTGTCTGCAACCTTCATCTGACCCCATCCCAATTATTTTGGTTCCCAAAAACTGTAAAATCCCTTTTCAGTCCAGAAATTGGGGATACTTTCTGTCATGAGCCATTGGACTTGACAGCAAGTCGCCATTGTTGCATTGCGCGTTTTTCGAGGCGACGATCCCGATCATCGAGCCAATAAATACGCATCGTAAACGAGAAGTAATAGTGTAATGGCGGCAGATTGGCCGATAAAAAAATAACAGTGCCCTCTAGGTCTAGTGGCCTTCGTCGATAACAGGGCTTTCTTAGTGTAATCTGCTTCGGTGCTAGCTAGACCAGTAAGCTCTTTTACGAGAAGTTCCAGACACCTAGGTCATTTTCGACGTCGATACATTCACACTGCTTGTTGCTGTCTTCACGAGCATGTTCGAAAATCTTGATCATCCGGGCAGCTTGGCATCGGGTCGGTTGGAGTTCAGATGTGCTACCCGGTGCGATGACACCGGTGTCAGTCACATGGCTGCCCTGGGTAGAGTATAGCGTTTCTCGATAGTCGTGGGGCGACTGGGTGTTTGGGCTTCCGCGTCGTGCGAGGACTTGTCTGACAGGCTGTAACGTTTTGAGTGCGAGTCCAGAAATACCAAACACGAATTTGTGTAGCCACAAGTGGGCTCAGATACCACGCTCTTGTCTTGAGCAACAGCGATAATCCTTACCGGTAGTGTTGATATCGTCACCGCCATCGATCCAAAGGCAACTTCAGAAACGGACTCTTGCGATCCCGCAGCTCCAAAACAGCTAGCGAAAGAAACGCAAACGGCAATATCTCCGCACGACATTCTGATACAACAAGTTAAAGCCCCCCACCCCATGACTACAGCAGTAACTTAGAATTGTGTTAGCTTAGAATTCCTTACAAACCTCCACCAAGGTTGTGACTCAGATTTTCTTACACTTACCAATTATCTGATTCTGAAACTCCACTTCTCCAGCCAATCACGAGCGGTAAAATGAAATGAAGCATCCATCATCCAGCAGATATCCCAGCGAGCTATGGCGGCAACACTTGGACGCGTCTGGGACGCCGCTGTGACTTTATTAGCGGCCCAGAGCCAATTGCAGTCCAACGACAGCAGCGTCCCCACCGTGGAGAGGGCGGTGGAGGTCGGGGGACCGCCCTACGCCAACGTGCGAGGGGCTCCGTGCGTGCAGCCGTTGGTGTCCCATGAGTTCGCCAATTCCTACTACAAGCCAGCCGTCGAGTCGTTCAACGCGCCGCCTTGCGACCTCGACTACTCGGTGGTGTACCTCAAGTGGGCGGCGAGTTGCGACGCCGGGGTGCAGTACGACCGCATTGCGGCTGTGTGGGTGAATGGGGTGGAGCTGCTGCGGACGTCGACTGCAGAGCCGTCGAGGGAGTTCCGGGTGGCGTGGGACGTGACCAAGGACGTCTCGCTCTATGGGGACATCTTCAAGGGCGGTGGGACTGTGGTGGTCGCTCTGGACAATATCGTCAACCCGACGTACACCAGCAGCTTCAAGGTGGACGTGTCGCTCGAGTTCTTCCGTCCTCTCGACTCGAAGTTGGAGACCAAACGACCAGACCAGATCGTGCCCGTGTCGAGTAGCAGCAAGTCGTATGGATGGTTCTCGGAGAAACCATCAGCAGCGCAAGCGGGGCCTCCGCATCGGATGGTGCAGCTGCCAGAGAACACGGAGGAGCTGTATTTCGAGCTCTTCCTGTCGCACCACCAGTGTGACGAGTTCTACTACTCGAATCCGCCGGATAACTTCGCAATGGCGTTTGCTGAGAGTCTGGCGACACACAAAAATATTAGTCGAAAAGATATTGGAGAAGTGATGAATAGTGCGAGCTGTGGAGCTGATGGGGCTTTCCGGGAGGTGCAGGTCTTGGTAGATGATCAAGTGGTGGGCGTGGTCTGGCCGTTTCCGTTGGTGTTCACGGGAGGCCTCAGTCCTTATCTCTGGAAGCCGATCGTGGGCATTGGAGCATTTAATGCACCGACGTACATCCTCAATCTTACGCCTTTCCTCGGCAAGTTTCTGGGTACTGGATCTCGTGCTGTTGCATTCCGAGTAGTTTATGGAGAAGCTTTCTGGCTGGTCGACGGGAACTTGCTGGTCTATCAAGACGCTGGAGCTGTCCGTCCTACCCGGGTAGAAATACTGCAGGAGAGATTAGATCGATATGTCGAACCTGCCATGGTTACATTGCCTGCGATGGTTGGTGCTGGTAATGGAACCATCACCAACTTGAACAGCGCGTTTTGGACGTCTGTCGCGCGCGATCTTTACGTGAAGACCAGTGTCACCACATCGACGGGGAGGAAGGTCTACACGCTGCAGCAGCATTTCGACTTTACGAATACCCAAATGTACTCGTCCGACGGCTTGGATCAGTGGTTCGAAAGCCGCACCCATGTTGAAACCAAGATGACAGTCACTTCACTTTCTGCTGCACACCCTGCAGAGGACCCCAACCGTCCCGATCAACCACCAAGAGTGCAGACTGTATCTGTTTCGCAAATGGAAGACTATCCGCTTGCTGGGAGTGTGAGTTATCGCCTTGGTCGAAATGGATCGTTCGTGCTGGTTACGCAGTTTGCGAACTCCTTCTCACGATCGACGGCTGTGGACGGCTACGGGGCTGGTTTCCGCTTCGACTACACACCGCACGACGTCCATTCGGCTCTGACAGCATCTGCGGTGCTGGACTCGCGACATGGCGGCGGCAACGGTTCAACACGAGCGACTTTTGCATCGGCATCGCCTACTGCGGGCTGCTTTTCTCGCGAAGTTGTAGCGGAGTTCGGACGCTTGGTTGTCGACAACAGTACCGTCGAATGCCACGCGTACGAATGAATTGTCATCTGAGTCACAAATGCTACCGGTACATGGATATCGGATTTTGTCTGCATGTAGCTCCAAGCGTTTGTATGTGTGGTGGTCGCATTGCTATTTACTCGCCCCAACAAGCAGATATTTACCTACCACTTACTCGAGAGAGTGACCCCTCCAGCTAGCTAGCTACCTTCACTTAGTGACTCCTTCATCCTGACGCCTCAACTCTATCGCCTCTCTTCCGGAGCCTACATGATGGAGTAGAAGTATCTTCTTGGGCGCCGAGGATTCGTCGTATGCTGCTGTGGCACTCTCCTCATCATTGAAACCCTGAAATTTCTCATTCGAATCCGTGAACTTCTCGGCCAGGACCCAGATGCGTTCCTCAGGTCTGAAGTATTCCTTCAATCCAGAAATCGTAGCTCCGACGCCTGCGCCAGATCCTACGATAGTCACGACGCTCGTCCCAGCTACCACAGGAGCTGCCGCCGTCGCGAAGGCATAGCCCAGACCAGCCGCCAAAGGAACACCAACGAAAAGCCCTCCCGTAGAGAACGCCAACCCTGCCGCGCCAACGCTCTGCAAAGTCGCCACGAGGCCACCAGCAGCGACGCCGCCTCCGTTTGCCACCGCGGTGGACGACATCATTCCTGCTGCCACCGATCGCCTGCTATCCCGCTCGACGTGAATCCCGCCGCACTGAGGACAGGACCAACAGCGGCCCAAGTACTTGAACCAATGGCAGCACCAACAGCAGCAGGCACAGACGACACCACAGCCCCGGCTTAGCAGCTTTAGCGCTGCGAGTGAGTGGCAAAAAGGAGTAGGAAGACAGGAAGACACTTGTCGGTTGTAGAGTAAAACTCAGAGTGATTCATTCAACACATGCCTGCAATGCATGACTCCTATACGTGCCGTGCACGAGGAGGAAAGCATGAGCCTAAAACCCCCTTTGACCATACAACCCATCAATCGGGCTTGTAGGCCGACTCCTAGCATCCATCTAGGACACGACCAGGATATGAGTGGTAGAGTACGACCGCGTCCGATCTCTAACTCTCATACGGCTTGCGCGGCAGTTGCCGTGTACCCCCACCAATAGGCCACGCCGTAAGCTGCTGTACCGCCCAAGGCGGCGCCTGTGGCTGCAGCTTTCACCACTTTCTTCAGTTTGTCGCTCTTATTTTTGCTCGGATCGCCAGGATTTTGGTTCGACAGCACTCCCCTTCTTCGGCTCGATGCTCTGTGTGGAACACAGCAAATTTGCGAATGAGTCCAAACTCAGGCTTCCCTTGCCGCCTGAGTTTGAGACCAACGCCACTTCTGCTGAGAGACTGCCAGCGTCCCTCTGCGGTGGCCACACATAACGAACCTAAACTGCAGTGTGGTACGCATGAGTCATTGTAGATGCGAGAGAATCGCAGGACTTCAATACTAGTATGTAGCAGGAACTACTTATCTCGCATTAGCACTGCTCTCTTGGCTCGATACTGCTCATTTGCTGCATGCTAGGTCTCCTTAGTAAATGTGGACTTCTACCAAGCCCACCAAATCTACCATCCAAATGCGAGCTGCAGCCTGTTCATTTGGTCAGAGTGTTTTCGTGCAGCTCATGGAATCTTCAAAGTGTCTTCACCTGGGGCTTCCCCGACTCTCGCCGCTCAACGACGATCCAGCAGCTCTTCTCGCTGCTCGAAGTACTTGTGGTATTGGTAGGCTCACCACGGATAGACCACGCGAAAACTGCGAGTCACCAATGTTTCAAAACGCATAAAGACACTTGCCAGCTCCTCAAACGACACGGCTCTCTTGCTCAGGGATCCCGAAAAATAAATACGCCCGGAAATATATTTGTATTTTCGGAATCAATATTTTATTGTAGGTATACCTCCTTGGTTTATCCGGTATTTATTCCAGCTTAGATCAAAACTTCTAGATTTTATTTCTGCGGTTGAATATATCCTTCATGATTGAGAAGTTTTTCCCCTAATTTTCATTGTGTTAACGCCATCAAATTTTCCCTTTATGCTAAAATGATGTTGTTCAGCAACCTTAACACGGATGTGGCGACCGTGGGCAGTGTTTGTAAGAACCCATGAAGGTAACACGATTGCAGCAATTTACTGAATAATTTACTGCGTCAGCACGGGGTCTTCAGATTATTTATTTCTTCTCTCCTTGGTATACAAACAAATACGTATTTCGTTAACTTGAGAAAATAGATATATATCGTATTTTCGGCATGCCTGCTCTTGCTGGACAAGTTAGTTTTCATTAGTTGCGCGAGGAACTACGGGTAGAGTCGCAGCAGGTAACGGGGTCTTTGGCCACTCGTTGGGGGAAATGGGCTTCTTTCCTCGGTCGAGCATTGCCCTGATGACGAACGGCGACGGCGTTGTAGCACTCGATGCTTGAGCAGCAGCTTGTTCTATGGGCTTGGAGAAGTACCATTTGGTGAGGGGAGCAGCAGCACCGACGACTGCCCCGACTGCGGCGATGCCGACGCCTGTTGACGTCGCAATGCCAAGGGCTCCAATACTTTGCAGCACTGCCACTGTGCTTCCACTTGCGATACTCCCGGTATTCGCGACCGCAGCGGTGGACATCATGGATGCGGCGGTGGAGCCGCTGGCGATGCCGCCCGACATGAACCCGAGCATGTGCACAGCCGGACTGACCAGCCCCCAGATCCCTATGCCCGCGGCAGCACCCGTGGCGGCCCCCTTGGCGGCCGTGTCTGGCACCGACCCGACATGAGCGCCCTTCTTCTCTTCCAGCGCCATCCCAATGGACAACTATATAGTTTAGTCCATTCTGTGCGAATCAGAGTGAAATGTGCATGCTCAATAATTGACGATTGGACCAAATTGTATGAAATGGACACCTCTTTTTGGACCGCAATAAACCCACAAGCATGGCGGGCCAGGAGCACGACACGGCCGCCGAGGCAGCCAAGGCAGCGGCCGCAGGAGCTGCGACGGGTATAGGCGTCTACGGGCTCGCATGCTGGGTTATCTGTCAAGTGGCATCGCCAGCGGCTCGACGGCCGCGTCCATGATGTCAGCAGCAGCCGTCGCAAATGGTGGAGGCGTGGCAACAGGAAGTACAGTTGCGGTACTGCAAAATATCGGCGCCGCTGGTGTTGCGGTGCCCATCGGCGCGGGCCTAGTTGCCGTGGGTGCAGCAGTTGGGGCCGCTGTTCCAATCGCTAAAACCTACATGAAGAGGGAGAAGAAGAAAGATGATACCTCTTCCAACGTTCTGGATTCAAGACGAGAGCCATTTGCGACGTCGAAACTATAGCCCACTACTACACGCACTGCTGGCTTCGTGTCAGCAAGTAATAAAAGTACGGGCAGGTTGCTTTGACACGGTAAGGCACGTACGAAAGCACAACGAACTGATTCACATTCCGTTAGTTAGGCCTCTGCTGTACCAGCACTTACGACATCCTTGACCAGTATGATGATCGCGTGATCTCTTTCCGTGGTTCTTGTATCGTAAGTATCTGTCACTACATATACCGACTTTATTTAGTTATAATGGGGGGTGGTACAATTTTGGGTGAGTGCTTCCTGCAGCAGACGACCCAAGTTCAACAACTCAGGCACTCCAGTAAATTACTATCAACTTTTCACTCACCTACATATATTACGAAAAAAATTTCTGCCCACGGATCAAAGTCATTGTCTGGATCGATGATGCCAACTTCCGTATCGAGAAGTCCTACAGCCTGGAGCAATGCAAATACGTCTTCCCCCTCGTCGTCCTCTAGTAGAGAAGGCAGCTCACACTGCTGACCAATCGTGGGCTTGTCAATAATCCCTGCTTTACGGAACCCGTAGACGTTGCCATGTCATTCCACGTCTCGTTCATCCACCGAGCCATCAATACACGATCTGGGGCTCTCATTTTCAACGGCTTCATTTCTTAGCTCATTTACCCATCTAGTACACGCAATAAAAAATAAAAAATAATATTAGCATAAACCAAAGAAATAATGAATGTGATGAAAGCAGCACACTTACTCTACCAGTTCTAACTCCGCTGCTATAGGTAGCGATGTTGCGACGCCAGATGATCGATTATTCTTCTTAACGGCAGTCCTAGCCGTTTTACAGGCTTCTTCGATGATGGCGCGGTTCTGTTTCCACTACTGGTACACCTGGTTCTCCGACGTCTTCTGCTTGGCGACGTGGCTGAAGAAGCGCTGGAGCGTTGACTTGATGCCCTGCGTCTTGTACCATTTGATCACCTCCAGCTTCTTGCTGTTGCTGACGGCGGAGCGGCGGTGCTTAGGCGGTTTTCGCCCAGGGCCTGTGATCCTCGTTCTGCCTTTCGGCATTTTGACTTGTGCGGGAGGTGTGGCCGTAAATTACATGCGGTACTTCAATCACGACATCACGTTGGGGTAATCGCGCTGTACGAATTAAGAGCACTGATTGGCTCCCCATTATAACTAAAACCCCATTATAACTAAATAAGGTAGGTACCGTATTTCGCATGTAGAAAGCTGCACATGATGTTCACAACTGAAAACATACCTTTAAAAAACGATGTGCATCAAAATATGTATTGTAGAAGAAAGCTACACCACAGCTTCGTCAAGAATGACATTGCGGTCGAAGTCTTGAGTTTGGTCGACCGCCTTGGCCACTGGCCCTACTAGCGATAGGTTCTGCAGCTCTGCCACCAGCGACGCGGCGGCGAGGCACTCCTCGTTGAGGTGTAAGTCGCATTTCTTGTATCCATTCGCGATGGTGTCGGAGCTCAGGCTCTCCCAACTAGCGCGAATCCAATGGCACATCCCGGCGCGGCCTGGTGGAGTCAGCTTAAACTTGGCTTCCGCGTCGCGCGGCTGCATCAGTTGCCGCTGGATGTCCTCGAGCCAAAACCTGCGCAGCCAAGTCTTGAACGGATGATTCCATGCTACGTCTGCAGGCTGGCAAACAGACGTAGCATGGGAGGCACCTTCAGCAGTACCACCCTAATAGATGCAGCGTAAGCCAGCGCTTCAGCGGTCCAGTGGCCGCTGAAGTCATTCCAGAGTAGCAGCACGGGCTCTGCATGCGACGTGCGGTGACCAAAGTGAAAATGTAGGAACCTTAGCGAAAGATCACTGTTCCACCAGCCTAAAAAGAAAAACAATAATAATAAAAAGAAAATGAGATAAATCCTTTTGAGCAAGTAAAAAAAAGAAGCGTACCTTTGCCGTTGGCATAAATCTGCAAACCGGTTTCAGCTTTCAGCTTCCTGATCTCTGGCCACGTTCGCGTGCCAAAGCTACATCGTTTTTCGTTGTTCTCCTTGACAATGGCTGGGGTTTTCGATGGCTTCATCTTGAAGACTACGAAGGGGGTATAACGTACCCCGCTTGAATCCCCCAGTAGCATCACGGTCGCACGCTCTTTGAAGAGCCGGCACATCTCACCCACACAGTTTTGGCGCCGCGAGCATGCACTGTTTTCTTGGTAGGCAGATACTCAAAAAATGCAGCTAGAGAACTTAAGTTAAAATATACATTCGCAGTTAGAATAAATAAAAAACAAACCTGTCTGATCTGCATTGTAGATTCGCGTAATACCCAGCTGCCGAGCCATTTTCTCGACTTCTGTTGCAAACTCCGCTTTAACCTTGGCAATATCCTCGGGGCGGATTTGGCTTTGACGAGTTGGAACTCGCATGCTCATGCGATGGCGGCCTCGGAATCCTTGAATCCATTTGTCAGACGATCGGAAGTTCCTGATGCCCGCTTCAGCTGCAACCCGCCGTGCTTGTAGGGCCAGCATGCGCGGAGATACTGGCACACCTTCCTTGCGCAAACTATTCATCCAGAATACCACTTCTAGTTCTACCTCTGGTGGGAGGATCGTCCCAACTCCTAAGCTTCGCACCTTTAAATGTTTACCTTTGCTATTTTTCATAGCAGCCTCAAGCTTTGCCGATTCACGTCGTCAGCGCTGGATCATCGTGCGCTTCGAGTTATAGAACTCGGGGGCCAGATCGTGCCAGAAATGGGCGATTGTATGTTTCATCTTGGGCTTCGGTGCATTTTAAATTATTATTTTGTTATTTTTTTTTAAATATAATCCACTTAATAATAAATCCAAGTCCGAAATTATGTTTTTAATATTTTATTAAAAGAGTATTATTAATCTATTTTTTTATTATCTGGAAATAAAATTAAATTAAATTTCAATTTAATTGGTCTAAAAAGATATACTTTTTTTAAAAAATAAGCCCAGAAGGACAACACCTCGAGTTTCTTTGCGACGCTGACACTCTTCTTGATGTGCTTGGTCTGGTAGCGGCCTTTGCCATTCAGGCGTGGCCTGCCGACTGGCCGTGGCTTGGTGCGCGCCATCAGCAAAAACAAAATGGCGCCAACCCCCGAGAGCGCGGGCTACGAAGTGCAATGAAGTGAGTGGTGAGCATTTGTATCAGTTTTGAAAGGGTTTTAGTACTGCATCTCTCTACATGCGATTTAGTGCCATGGCAAATGCCGCGCACTGATTGGTAGTTATCAAAGTGCATCTCATATGCCGGTCGGTGCAGCTTTCTACATGCGAAATACGGTATGCTTACGGCGTGACCTCAGGCTCACCTACTTCGGTTCCTTGCAGGCCTTCACTAGATTCACCTTCATTGCGTCCTGTATTAGGAAGGGCTCTGGCGAACACGGCGGCGAGACGGTGAGCCCGGCGACAAGAGGCGCTGCCATGACGGACGCCGGTGGGGCGACTCCACTCCAAAGCCCAAAGACGTGGTGACCCCCCCCCCCAATAGTGCCGCACCAGGAACAACGGTGGTTGCACCAGTGCCATCGAGGCTGCAGCCGCCGCGAGACCAAAGGTTTCTTGCGGTGGCCTCCTGTTGTGGTAAAGTATCATACACTTTCTTCATACGCTGAGCTGCCATAAGTCCGTCATTCATTGAGAAATTTCGTCAAAACACGCACCATCAACTGCCTGGTATCGAGATGCCCGTGCATTTCTACCTCCTTCTGCATTCCTCACTTATTGCTCCCACCCCAGCTGCAGCACGATCTTCTGCTCGGGGTCGAACAGCGCCTTGCTGCTGGCCGACGAGTTCAAGTAGGCGTTGCGCGCCTTGTAGTCGTCGTCAAAAGTGCGGACCTTGGGCTTTCCCGATTCGGTCGACATCTCCACGAGCACCCAGAGCCCCTTCTCCTCAGCTTCAGCCTCGGCATTAGCTACCGTATCTGGTTTTGGCTCTTGGCTGGGCGTCGACAGTTTGGAGTTCAGCAGGAAAGCTGCGCTTCCAATTGCAGCTCCGCCAGCGACGAGTCCGAGACCCACGGGCGTCGCTAACCCGACGGCGCCGATGCTCTGCATAACTGCAACCACACTGCCGCTGGCGACGCCGCCCCCGTTGGCCACTGCAGCTGCCGACATCATGGAGGCGGCAGTAGAGCCGCCCGCGATGCCCGACGTCGTGAAGCCAATTAGGTTGGCCACGGGCATCGCCAGCCCCCAGAGACCGATCCCAGCTGCAGCCCCCGTCGCTGCGCCCTTCGCTGCGTTGGCGGCTCCATCTCCTGAGTCCTCGTTAGACGCTGCGGCTGCTGGCGCGCGAGCGTCGGGCGTCGCTGAGCTACACGAGCTGGTCTTCTTCGACATGGTCTGCGGTGGATGTGGCCGTGTGCTTGTCTATATTTTTTATATTTTGAAATTGTAGAAGACCATCATTCTGTTAACTTCAACTTGGACCAAATCCCACATGTATTTGTTATCCTTTAGTTTACAAGAACGTTGTTGTTGTTGAGTGCTTCTCGCTGCTACGTAGCAAGCTCGGGGGTTCCGTCGCCCCCGCACAAAAATGTTTCTTCGCGCTTGAGCCAACGCCGACTGTGGCTAGCGTACTGCTCCTGCTCCGCGCGGGTCTCCAATGACGCTGCTGAGGTCGATGCCCAGCTCGCTAGGTCGGAAGAGATGCGGCAAGGACGGCAGTTTGGGCAGTGAGCGCTCTACTTGGGTCTCGGGTGGTGACATTCTCACCGGACTGCTCATTCGACGAGGGGTGGTCTTCTTGGCTTGAGGATTCGTTGGGGTGGCGCAGACGCCAAGCACACTGAAGGTCCCAGGCGTGCTGCACGAGCTCCAGATGGTCTCGACACTTGCGCTCCGCGAGCGCGCTGTTGGAATCACTTCCTCTTCGTCCCATTCGGCGTCGAAGTAGTCGTGAACCTCCTCTTCTTGGGTGTATGTGAGGATGGACAAGTTCTCGGGGATGTGGTCGCGCTCCGTGAAGATCTCGAGCGCCTGCGTCGTCCTCGGTGCCATGCTTGCTTGCTTGCAAATGTGAAAGTGATCTTCCGCTGACAAGCGCGTGACAGGATAGCCAAGAAAGCCGCGTGTGGATTCAAGACGGCGACTCCACAACTCCGGCCACTCGCAGTTTCTGTCGCCAGAGCATTTGCCTGTCGAGCAACACGGGACACGGTGGATTGTTCTCAGCGTCTTGCACTGCGAGAAGAGCCCGGCGCGTGCTGGCCAAGCGGAAGGGCTCGCACGGCATCGATACTCATGGCGCAGCTTGGCCACAAGCACTCCCCAAGCGCACTAAGAGCGTGTAGCTCAGATATCGCTCGTCGCCGTAGTAAAATGACGGTCTGTCCCCGTTGGCGTAGCTGCAGTAACACGTCGAGCACTTGAGCACGAGAGCAGAGGCTTTTTGCACCGATTTCTGCCGAAGCCTGCGTGGTGCCGGAAGCCTCCGCTTCCGTCCAGAGCCGCATCGAAGTCTCGACAATGAGAGGCACCGAACGTGGCCAGCTCCAGGCTCCGGCGCAGAACGATCCTGATCACCAGACCGCTTCAACCAGATGAGGCAGCTCGCTGTTCGAGTGTTGCCCGAAGGCGCATGAGCATGAGACAGCGCTATAAACGAGCATTTCGGTCCTCTTTTTGAGCTCAAATCATCAAAATCAAGTGAACACGTGAAGCGGAGCGACGGGCAACGTTTTGGGACGAGTTGAGTTACTGAAATTAACTGGTGTAAGGCGCTCTCCGCGCAACGCCGGAGGTTGTGCTTGGTGCCACCAAAAGTTGAGTCGTTCACGACTCAACTTCACTGAAATTCACCCGTATTCGGTTTAGCGCACTGTCGTTGCCGCAGAGTTAGGACCAGCAGAATTATTCGGCCTAGGAGTGCAAATAAACCAAAATGCCTGGGACACCGCTGTGGAGTTCGAACATGCTTCCCTCCATTTTCTAGGAAGGACTACAGAATTCTGCCCGAATAAGGAACGGGTGTATAACTAATAGCCTCACATATTTAATATTATTTTCCAGTCAATGTGGCGATAGGGATGTGCAAGGTACTGCAAGGTACTGAGGTGAAAAATCCAGTGCCAATCATCAGCTCTCCACCCTCGTTTGAAAAATGGCGCGCATTTAGCGATCTTACTAGACTTCAAACTACATGTACCGTAGTGGTAGACTCGCACTTTTTCTTTTGCACCTCGCCCCACAAGCCCACCTCCTCCCCCACTCCACCCATGAAGTCCACACCGTCCAAGCGTCTCCGCCTCACTTGGTCTGAGAAAGTGGGCATCCTCGACAAGGTGAAGGGCTAGATAATCCCTTCGAGGTCGACCAGTTGACAGCGCTGTTGTGGTGCGAGGATGCCTGGTCAAAGGTTAGTGCTTCGACCATACGCCACTGTTGGAATCATTCCGGACTCGTAGGTATGGCTGCTCTTCAGTTCATTTTGAAATAACTAAATCAGTACATTGGAAAAGTATACTCAACTTAACATCAATTTATATATTCTGCGTCTTTATATATATCAGGCGTTCCTTACTCGGGCAGATTACTGTATTGTGTTGTGCATCTTTTTAGGATATTTTCACCAGAAGCATTTTTCTTGCCGCCGTACGGTGTGTGAGGCGTCGATATCCTGAGTTTTGAAGTGCTGCCAGGAAGTGCGCGGGTTAAAATTTGCAGTGGACCAAAGCTCGGCGCTAGTGAGCCAACCGAGAACACATTCATAGCTAACTGAGTCTCAGCTCTTCTCTCTATAGACCCAAAGCGGGGGAAGCTGATGATACAGGTGTGGCTTCGGCGTGAAGCGTATGGTATGCAGGTTTTCCCTGCGGGTGGAGGCGGACCGGCAAGAAGGAGCATGGATCACATCTTAGTTTGCTGCTACGGACGATGACAGCTGACCGTGATTGCTTTTACAGGAGGCTTTCTAACTTACAACGGAAATGACTGAAGTGCACCGTAGAATCACCAGCTTTCCGAGCATGCTTCGTTGTTATTACAGAAGATGTCGTTTAACGCAGCTGGTCAAGCTGTTGGCATGCTTAAATTAACTATCGTCGCGATGAATATCCATATTTCCACTTGAAAGCTTTCTTACCAGTAGGAATGCTACTAGTAGAAGTAATAACCACAACATTTAGTATATAGCGTTTCCAGCGCGAGTCTTCACTACCGGTTGGTGAAGCACAAGGGAAGTTACTTTACCACGCGGGCGAGCTGCCTGCAGAGCGATTGTTGGCGCAGACGTCGGCGCCTCCGTGTGTGCATCCGTGTAACGATCCAGACCTTCGATAATAATTATGAAGTCCACTCACGTGACCCCAAGGCCAGCAGCTCGGAGGCACTAAACGAGAGGCGCTGCGTGAGTCCCGACTCGGGACTCCCGAGTACAAATGAAAGCGAGTGTTGCGGCAAACACCATCACGTTGAAGTTCCTAGAAACGTATCCATTTCTAAACAGAAGCGTTTCTAAACCTTGATTTGAATCATAAATCATTATTTGAAACAAGTCTGATATGGACCAATTCTCGGAGGTATATCGACTCCTACAACTACAACATATACTGAAACCTTGATATTAGAAAAATGAAGAACCACATATAGAACACTTTATCAAAATATATGAAGTTTCCTAGGAATCGATTCAAATCTACTCGGCATTCAGATTTGTGCCGCGATCCAACCTGTCTGATTTCCTTGACTCGGCGCAGCTGAGATCGATCCAAACGGGGTCAATGGTCACCCGCGTGGCTTCGCCGACTGCTCGCTCGCTGTCCTCGCCGTGTGGATAGTACGCTGCCACCCATTCCGGAATCGGCCAAGCTGCGGAAAAGTATCTTCCTCCTGTCCTCCCCCCCCCCCCGCCCTCCACCCTGCAACCATGAAGCTCTCCGTGTTCGTCGTCGCGCTGCTCGGGCTTGCGCTGCCCGCCGCCGAGGCCACGACGCACCTGCGCGTGCACATCCTGACCGAGAAGGCGGGGCTCTACCAGCAGTGCGAGTGGGAGAACAAGGCCGTCAAGTGCGACACGGGCATGTTCTGCCAGATGAAGGAGAAGCACTTCGGCTGGTGCCAGAAGCAGAAGCCCGGACTCAACGACCAGTGCGGCGGCAAGGGCGTGGACGGCCCCTGGGCCGTGCCCTGCAGCGGCGGCACCAACCTCAAGTGCGTGCTCATCTCGGACCAGTACAGCAAGTGCCAGAAGAAGACGGACCGCGAGAAGATCAAGATGCCCACGAGCCACCACAAGGGCGCGGACGGCGAGCAGGAGAAGGTGCCGCTCAACGGCCGCTGCAAGTTCGAGGACGGCCGCAAGAGCTGCGCCTCGGGCCTGCAGTGCATCGAGGACAGCGAGTGGTCGGGCAACTGTATGAAGAAGGAGGCCGGCCTCTACGACCAGTGCGCGGGCCAGGAGCTGCGCGGCCTCTGGAAGGCCTCGTGCCCCAAGGGCGCGCTCTGCCGCGAGTCCGACACCTTCTACAGCCAGTGTCTGCCGGAGGCCGTCTCGCGCGCCATGGACGCCTAGGCAGGCGGTGGCCGGCCGGACCCGTCAAGGCGCAAGGCGCGCCACCGCCCCGCGGGGGATTCGTAGTGTACATCGATCGACGCAAATTTCTTTTTATGAACATGGTATCAAACTGTTGACAACACACGCCCGCATACGCCGCTGAGTATTCCGTTCCCTGCTGTGATATCATGGTAGCAGCAGACTCTCGAACCCATGTCGGGACAGGTACGCACGCACCCATGCTGCCATTTGGATCCGTTGATAGGGGATTAAACATTACTTCTCTGTCCCACCTGAAAATGCAGTAAAATTTTAATCATCGATATCTCGAGAAGTAGTGGTCGGATTAGATAGCTGAAAGCAGCATTGTATAGCTCGCAACGATAGCTTCGTCCTCTATTTTTTTCAGATCGCCAGTACCAATGTTAACGGGGATACAATGAGATCACTGCCGCCCCGTGTCAGCGGTGATCACATTTTCCTCCGTACTTCGTCGAGGATTCATGTTTGTTGTGATGTAAAAGTATGTGCGTATTCGTCGTCATCTTGCGCACTCAAATAAATTGGTACGGTCTCTGTAAGGGCTGTTTTACGCGAGTGACAACGCTGTTTTAATTGGCTTCGATCCAGCGTTCTCGACTATATTTATAACCAATCAGGAATGACTAGCTCCAAAGCCTAAGATTAACAAAATATGTACCCACATTTTGTTAAATGGCTACAGAAGCTTCTAGACGTAATTGGCAGGTGTTGACTAGCGATTCTTCCAAACTGCCCACGCCGCCAGTCAACAGCGGCCGCAACCGCTGCGGAGGCACCTATACCTCGAGCCGCCAGCTCGGCGTGGGAAAGTTCAACGGACACTTTGCTTATATGGTCAGGTCGCTGGTTCCGCATGTACGTATGCTGTGGGTAGTCGAAAGCGCGAAACGATTTAGAAGTCGGTAAGTTTAAAGTTATTTGAGTTTTTTAACCAATCAAAATGCATATGTGGACCACATCAAATAAATCGCGTGGCAACCGCAGGGTTCTACTGCATTTTCAGGTGGGACAGAGAAGTAGTGGTGACGACTTTTTTTCTGTTAGAACGGGGTACAAGTGCAAGGGGGTCAAGTTGAAGCGCGCTGGTCATACGGACGTACCAAGTGGAAGCAAAAAAATCCGCCAAGAGCTCAACGGCCTCTGGACTCTGGAAGCAGCTTACCTACCACGCCGGAATGGGTAACCTGCTTGCTGCGTGCAGGCTTCGTCGCTCGCGGCGCTGCGGGCGTTCGGACTCACTTTCAATTCCACCTCCAAGACAACAAGCTCAACATTTCCACCGTTCGCTATGAAGACCTTCGCGACTTCCGCCGTGATCGTCATGACGCTCGCCGCCTCAAGTGCCTCTCGCGTTCACCTTCGCATGATGACGAGTGACGTCCAGGAGCTCTCTCCGCCGGTCGTGGGCGAGTGGGGGCAGTGCAAGTGGATCGACAAGCAGGAGGAGTGCGCCGACGGCCTCCAGTGCGTCGTGTCCAACGACTGGTACGGCCAGTGCCTCAAGAGCGAGGTCGAGACGTGGGGCCAATGCGGAGGCGACGGCTGGACGCTGCCCTGTAAGGCCGGCAACAAGTGCGAGAAGAAGGACGACTGGTACAGTCAGTGCGTGCCCAGCCCGGACGCGGACACCAAGGTCGGCGAGTGGGGCCAATGCTCCTGGCCGGGCTACACTGCGCAGTGCGAGGACAACCTCAAGTGCGTCACCAGCGACCTCTGGTGGGCCGGCTTCTGTGTCAAGAAGCAGGTGGACTACTTCGGGCAGTGCGGCGGCTACGGATGGTCGACGGACTGCGTGCCTGGCAGCGTGTGCGAGGACCAGGGCGAGGCGTTCTACCAGTGCATCCCCAGCAACGACGGAGGCAGCGTCCAGGAGTGGGGCCAATGCAAGTGGATCGACCAGCAAGTGAACTGCGCCGACGGCCTGCAGTGCGTCGTGTCCAATGACTGGTACGGTCAATGCTTGAAGAAGGTGGCAGATGCGTGGGGCCAATGCGGTGGAGCCAACTGGAGTGGGGCTTGTGCCGACGGAAACACGTGCGTGAAGAGGGACGACACGTACAGCCAGTGTGTGCCGAACTGATCGGACTCGGGCACCACTCGACCATTGCAGTTTATTTTCTCGGTAGCTTCATCACCCCCACTTGTATTTTGTTGCGTGAATCTGACGTAGGTAAGTAGGTTCCTAGGAGTTCAAGGGTAATCATTTGAATCAACTTGAATATGCTTTGCTTTAGTTCAAGAGTGTGCCGGTGGGTATGCGATCGAGCAAGTAGCGTTGAATTTGTTCTTGCCCTGTTCTCCACCAAAAATACTAAAACTCCACGCATCAAGCATCTCCATCGCATGGTGGTGCTGTGCCATTTCCCGTCTTGCGCGGATTGAAAAACTTGGTTTCCCTGTTGCTGACTTTTCTCCTCTTGTCCATCAAATGAGAAGTTTCAGCGTCCTGTTCGGGGCTGTCGGGCTGGGGATGGGAGTCTCAAGTGCGAATCCTGGGCCCTGGGAGCAGTGCCGGTCAGAGAATGGTACGGAAATTGCTTGTGACAAAGGATTGGTCTGCGTCCCCGACGTTGAGTACTACGGACTCTGTTACACGGAAGTCGTCGGCGAGTCCGAGCAGTGCGGTGGCTTGGGTTGGAACGTGAGCTGCGTGAATGGAACAACATGTGAGCGCCAAAATGAAGGCTGGGCCTCCTGTCAATCGACTGCGGATGCTCGAGGCCCTGGTGCGGAATGGCAGCAGTGCGACCCCGAGGACAGTGGCAACTTGTGCGCCGACAGCCTCATTTGCGTCGATGATGACGACTATCATGGAATATGCGTAAGGCAAGTGGCTGAGCTGTGGGGGCAATGCGGTGGATCCGGCTGGACCACGGACTGCGAGGATGGAAGTATTTGTGAGGTCAAGACTGCCACGTACAGTCAGTGTGTTTCGGACGATTCCCAGTCAGGAGGAGGAGATCCATCCGTCGGCGACGCCGAAACGCTAGCAACCATTGCGGCAGGTTTACAAGGAACTCTAGGCATCACCATGTCGTTCAAGTCTATCGACGTGGCTAGTCTTGTAAGACCGCTGGCACAGCTTCAGGAGCTTGCAACGGAACTCAAGAGCTTCCAGTGCTCGGTCCGCACGATCATTTTTCCAGACACCATTTGTGACGGTAGCAGTCAGGCACAGACACGCAACTCGACTTGACACTTCGAAGTATATATTGCACAGCGACGAACATCACCTTCTCGTCCGCTTATTTTATCAAGAGAGTCAACCTATTTTTTTTGCATTCGATTCGTTGTTGTGGATTAAGCACACTGACCATATATGAATACTTGCCAATGGTAAGTTACCATGAAAACACGGTTCATATTCCTGTTCTTCCTTTTAGGCCCCTCTCTCTGAATTCCATTGGCATACTTCTCAACGTCTTACAAACCCTGTGGCGTTCGTCTTGACGGAGATCAACTCTAAACTTACACGCATGTTGACATGCACTTCGTTCGACCTTGCTAGAAGGACACAAAAATATCGCGGGAAGAATGCAAAATCTTGTAAGCCGCTTGCTGTACCATGCAGCCTGCGTGCTGCTGGTAAAGCTTACCGCTTTAGTCATATTTTGTGTTAGCAGGTAGTGTATTGATTTTGATCACTAACTCTTCCAAGATCTAACGCGTCACTTGGTCGGCATGATGTTGGGGGGACGTAAAGATAATTTCCACACAGCACAGCCACGCTACGCTTACAGCAGGCTGCTGGCGACAAGAGCCATGAGGGCCACAGCGGTCGAGGCCATCGTCGCCGACGCAGCGCTGCTGCTACTGTTGCTTCCCTTCTTGCCGCTGCCGCTGCCGTCCGAGAGGGCCTGGGCGCTGTCAGTGGTCGAGCCCGACTTGGTGCTGCTCGAGCTCGAGCTGTCGTCCGACGAGGCCTTGGACGCGTTGGCGGGCAGCTCCAGATCGGGGAACGAGAAGTCCGAGGGGGCGGCCTCGCAGCCGTCGCCCGACGACGAGCAGACAGAGCAGATCTGCGAGTACAGCGTGCGGCTGCAGCCGTTCGCCGAGCTGGCGCACTTGGCGTTGTTCTCGTAGCACTTGGGGTTGGCCGCCGTCAACGTCTCCACAGAGGGCAGAGGCTCCATGTTGGCGCTGGTGCCGTTGCTGGCCAGCTCGTTGTACATCTCGACCATCTTCTTGGCGCGCTCCGAGTTGGCGTCCTCGTCGCCAGGCTTCTCCCAGAAGTCGATGGCCTCGTCCACCTCGAAGCCACTGCCGGTGTTGGTGGCCTTGAACTCCACGCCACCGTCCTCGCAGAACTCCGTGTAGTTGCTGTAGCCCATCTCCGTGATGCCGACCAGGTCGTCGATGTTCAGGTAGCCCAGGATCTTGTAGCCGAACGTGCACGTGACGCCATCAGGCGACGTGCCCATGGGGCACAGACCGCCCGGGTACTCGGCACGGCACTCGTCCGTCTTGTCGGCACGCAGCTTCTGCGCGCACGAGTTGGGGAACGAGAACCAGTAGTTGCCGGGGTACGGCGCGCGCGGGTCCGACGTCTGCAGGTTGCTGCCGACCATGGGGCCGATGTCCGGCTCGCCGTCCAGGCCGTAGTAGACCTTGCAGTCTTCGGAAATGTCGTCGCCCTCGTCCGTGCACTTGGCGCCGTCCATGGCCACGAACTCGCCGTACTCCGGAGGCGTGTGGCTCTCGTAGTACTTGATGCCGTACGTCGGCTGCACGATGGTGATCTCGTAGAACACGACGTACTGCATGTCGTTCTTGCGGTGGCACTTGACCGACTGCTCGTTCACGTTGATGCCCTCGGCCTGCACGTACATGAGCGCGCCCTCCACGGACGCCGTGTTGACCGTGTCCAGGTTGTTCATGTACGCCAGCTCCGTCGTGTCGCCGTACTTGGACAGCCAGAGCTTGGCCTCCTCGTTCCACACGGGGGCGTCGCCCTGCACGCGCGCCTGCACGGACGTGACGGCCTTCATGGTCCAGCCGTTGTTGGCCGCGGCCAGCGACGACGAGCCGCTGGCCTGCGTGGTGGCGGCCGACGACGCCGTCACGGTGCCGGAGGTGGCCGCGGAGCCCGAGCCGGCTGTGGTGGTGGTGGCGGCCGAGGACTTGGTGACGGCCATCTTGAGGTCGGCGGCGGAGCTGAGGGGCATGCCCAGCAGGAAGCACACGAGACCGAAGCGACGCCACATCCTTGCTGTAAGTGGACTGGAAGACTACAGTAGGTAGACCGAGCGATGTCTGCGGGACAAAGCGGAATGGAAAATGAGCTCGCAGACAACGGCGACTTTGTGCCCCAGGATTTGCGGCATTAGAAATTGAGTTCAACATCTGATATTCGTAATTTCAGGGTGCTAAATAAGGGGGACCCGCTTGCTCAATAGGGGTGCTTTACTGGGTGCGAGTGGAAATGTGATGAAAATTTCATCGTTTGGTAGTAGTCAGCAGAGTAGTAGCGATAGTAGAAATACTACTACTACTACTATAGCACTACTATAGCACTGGGGTCTGGGCTTCATAGTAGTGATATAGCTATAGTATCGATAAAAAACGCCACTAGTAGTGATAATATTACTACTACTTTCCCGAACTTCAACCCACGTCAGATCTTTAACTGGACGTCCCTTCAACAATGTACGGGATATCGGGAAAAGAATAAATTCGGTTTTTCCTGGCGAGTCTAAGAATGCTGAAACTTTGCATATCTACTAATATGTCCATCAATGCCAAAGTGGCTTCTCCTTTTCTTGCCCCGTTCGGCAACGAGGACATGGAGCGTAGCCCCTTACTATTTGCCAGTCATCTTATTCGCGATCTTTCATCCCAACCTGAAAGGTCACACAAATACATATATCTTTTTATATGCTGCAGAAATAACGGTAAGAAACATCGCAGAGGCGCCAGGCAACGCCAACTTTGAGTATAAATTGCTCGAGATCTACATACATTTAGCGCTTCATACAGCGGCATTACCCAAGCTAGATGCAGGGCTTTCTATCCATGTCGGTCTCAACGGCGATGTTCCTATCATTGAAGAGTTAAATTCGCCGAAATCACAGGTTTCCGACCTGTCATGTACATTCATGAAGGGACGCCCAGTTAAAAGGCGCGCAAATTTGGTGGTTCTCAGCCCTCCCCTCCCCGCACTTCGCGCCCCCTCGCTCATTTCTGAAAACTCAAGCAGGGAACAAGCCGTTAAAGCGCGGTAGAAGGCCTGTCATTCGATCGTGTATTCACCATTCGAGTAGTCCGTCGACCTCTCAAAACGAAAGGGCTGCCAACACGCATCATCTAGCTTGGCTAATACTTCTACCAGCCGGTTCTGCAGCAGCTCGCGCCTTAGCAAGTTCTTCGAAACGGATAGCAGCGCTGAAGTTCAAGAACCTTGAGATCACCGGAGGAGCAGAGTCAGTAACAGCATCCCCGACGACATCGTCCATGGTGTGGAAGCTCGTCTACTACAAGGACAACGTATGTATGCTTATTTTTTGCTGTATGTGAACCCGGGGACGTGCTCACAATTGTCCTGTCTTCAGGGATCTAAGTGCAATTTCCCGAGAGGTGGCTGGTCCTGGTGCGTGTCTGAGTTACTGTTGTGCTCAAAGCTGCTAAATCTCACTGTACAAATTCAGACTTGCTGATGTCCTCGTCGACGTTGCAGTCAGCTGCTACACATGCTCAGTTTAGCTGGGGCGTGATTGTTCAACAGCGTTCCTAGAGCGTGTGTTCCGGCTGGTTACTTCGTGGCGAGGCCACTACGAACAAGGATTGACAAATATCGAGTACGCAGACCAATTACACTGCGGCACGGGCGTCTTATCTCGCCGATAGTGGGGATAGTAGTACTATAGTAGTGCTATAGTAGTGCTATAGTAGTGATATTAGTAGTGATATCTACTAATGGCGTTCTCCGACTACTAATATTAGTATTAGTGATATCGGCTCTGAGCCGGGTAGTAGTAGTAGTATCACTGCTAGCCGAAATTCTCACTACTACCAAACCCTGGATGAAATGATGGATTTTCCGTTGATACCGTCAGCCGACGCTTTAGCCTCCGCTTTAGGCGCGGAATTAGCGGTAGAGGGCGCGGATCGTTTCGTTGACGTCGTCGCGGGTTTGAGGCGGGACGTCGATCAGTCGCGGCAGCTGGGGGCGGGTGCAATGCCATGTGCGCCCTGTTGTCGTCGGCGCGCTCGAGGAGCCAGCGCTCCATGCCCGGCACGTTCCTCTTCGCCACGCGCGACCGGGCGAGCGGCGGCGGCGGCGGTGGGCAACTCCACCGCCGCAGTAACATACGCCCAACTCTCCTCCTTGAACATGCGCGCGATTTCTCTATGCCGGCCGGAATGGCTACACGTACTCGATGCAGCGAATAACAGGAGCCTCCGCCCGCCGCCATAGTCGCGGCATAAGGCCGCGGATCCCGTCTTATATCGGGCTGGCCTGCACCCGATCTACTCGATTCTCGGCTGCGCGCGTTGAAGTTACGCGCGCATTACAGCTTTGCCACCAACATTACAGCGCCTGAACACGCCAAACGCGACGCGATCACCAAGCTAGTGTCGCCCTCCGCAAGGCCACAAACTCAGTGAAGGCCTGCTTGATGCCCTTCGTGAGCACTGTACCTGTTGTCTCCGCAACGAAGGAGAAGGAATCACCAAAATCTTTTGGTGGAGACGATTTTGCTGTTCGCGGTCTCACCAACATGCGACATCAATTCTCTCAGTGTTCGTCCGGAGGGAGTAGCGATACACATCGAGCTGAGGGATACATGTACTGGACACTGCGAATCACGAGTGTGGCCGAGGCAACAGAGCGAAGGTAATAAGGAAAATATATGATAACGAGCGTCGTTGGCCGTCTCTTTTCGATACCGGAACTTGAGTTTACTTTGAATTCACAGTAGCAAGCCCTACGAATCGCTGCCAACGTGGCTAGGCCCGAGCAGTCCGAGGGTGCTCCGTTCCCCACTCCGAAGCGGCGGCGTTTGCAGTACCATGAACATCAAATGTCATGTACAAATACACACGCTTACAGCAGGCTGCTGGCGACCATGGCCACGAGGGCCACAGCGGCAGACGTCATCGTCGCAGTCATCGGGCTGCCCGAGGAGCCGGTCTTGGTCGAGTCCGACGAGCCGTCCGACGAAGAGTTAGAAGGCAGCGTCAGCTCCGGGAACGAGAAGGACGAGGGAGCGGCCTCGCAACCGTCGGCATCCGACGAGCACACGGCGCAGATCTGCGAGTACAGCGTGCGGTTGCAGCCGTACTGCGAGCTGGCGCAGGCAGCGCTGTTCTCGTAGCACTTGGGGTTGGCCGACGTCAGCGTATCGACCGACGGGAGCGGTTCCATGTTCTCGCTCGTGCCATTCTTGGCCAGCTCGTTGTACATCTCCACCATGATGGTAGTGCGGTTCGAGTTGGCGTCCTCGTCACCCGGGTTCAGCCAGAAGTCAATGGCCTCGTCCACCTCGAAGCCACTGCCGGTGTTGGTGGCCTTGAACTCCACGCCACCGTCCTCGCAGAACTCCGTGTAGTTGCTGTAGCCCATCTCCGTGATGCCGACCAGGTCGTCGATGTTCAGGTAGCCCAGAATCTTGTAGCTGAAAGTGCAGTTATCACCGTCCGGCGTAACACCCATGGCGCACAGACCGCCAGGGTACTCGGCGCGGCACTCGTCCGTCTTGTCGGCGCGAAGCTCCTGCGCGCACGAGTTGGGGTATGAGAACCAGTAGTTGCCGGGGTACGGGGCGCGCGGGTCCGACGTCTGCAGGTTGCTTCCCACGGTAGGGCCAATGTCCATCTGGCCGTCCAGACCGTAGTAGACCTTGCAGTCTTCGGAAATGTCGTCGCCCTCGTCCGTGCACTTGGCGCCGTCCATGGCCACGAACTCGCCGTACTCCGGAGGCGTGTGGCTCTCGTAGTACTTGATGCCGTACGTCGGCTGCACGATGGTGATCTCGTAGAACACGACGTACTGCATGTCGTTCTTGCGGTGGCACTTGACCGACTGCTCGTTCACGTTGATGCCCTCGGCCTGCACGTACATGAGCGCGCCCTCCACGGACGCCGTGTTGACCGTGTCCAGGTTGTTCATGTACGCCAGCTCCGTCGTGTCGCCGTACTTGGACAGCCAGAGCTTGGCCTCCTCGTTCCACACGGGGGCGTCGCCCTGCACGCGCGCCTGCACGGACGTGACGGCCGTCATGTGCCAGCCACTGCTGCTGCCAGAGGCCGACGAGGTCGTGGCGGTGGTGCCCACAGTGCCCGCCGAGGACGACGAGGTGTCGGCGGCCGAGACCGTCCCCACGACGCCCGAAGATCCCGAGCCGGCGGTGGTCGAGGTGGCGGCGGCGTCCGAGGACTTGGTGACCGCCATCTTGAGCACCGCGGCGCTGGAGGCCGAGCTCAGAGGGGCCCCCACGAGGAAGCAGAGCAAACCGAAGCGACGCAACATCTTGGTCTCGGATATCTTGCGCAAATACCGGAATGGTTCATGGCGATCGTCCAGCACTTTTGGGTGGGTGTAAAATACCTGATATTTTTGTGTTTTGACTGCGGTTGAGTATGCGGGATTTGGTGCTTGGGGATCGGTCGGGCACAAAACAGCAGCCCTTTTCCGTTCGGACTGCACATCGCGATCATTTTCCTCTCAGCTCCGTGTCGTGCCCGTGTCGATAGGACAGTTCAGGGCCCTGGTGGCGACTATTGCGCGCGTGTGTGGAGGATAATGCGCGGTTTGCAGCGCTCACCTGCTCGCGTCGGGACGAAGAGTCCAAAGTCTCTTTTGGCGTGAACTCCTAAAACGTAGGTACAGTCGGCGATCTGGGGTGGAACGACGCGGGGAACGGTTGCAACCGGCTTGAGGGGTGCGCTGGAGCTGGCGATGGAGGCAACAAACCCCCACCGAAGCCGAGGCGAGTGATACGGCACAATCCCTTAATCTCTGAGTTGGTGACGAAAGTGTTTGCCAACCTCATGTGTTTGACTACAGCCCCAGCATGGCAATGGAGTATGTACTGCCGCACTCTGGGACACCGACGTCAACTGTGTGGCTGGGCCCACCCGAGCACGCAGATGGCTGCCTTGCGACCACAGCGTCTGCTTCGACTGGAAGCTACTAGAATAGCGCAGACGCATGCGGAGAAGTGCATGTGCGCTTGCATTTTGGTCAAGGTTCGGTAAGGTTTTTCCTTCACAATCTGTACAACTGCTTCCTGCCAGACAACTTCTTGCTGGGGCAGGTGTTCTGATTGACAGCCATTACAGGAAGGCAATCACCGGGGTGAGCTACCCGGGCGCCAACTTCAGCACGCCACCAAAACATCGCACACTACTTAGTACTGCCAGCATGTATTGTGCCTTTCAGAAACTTTGGCCAATCTGACCTCAAAAAGGTGGTCTTAAGAAGGAGAGGGTAGGGTTAAACCTAGGATTTGCTGTTAGCCCTGCATCGGATTACGGAAGTCCTCCGTCTTCATCTAAAGGGTACCTTTTTGGAAATTAGGACCGAATGGCCATGTTAAGCTGGCCATTCGGGCCTTCGTAGGACTAACGAGCCCTTCGTAGGACTAGATCACGTCAGTGTGCCTGACAGCATTTGTGGCAAATGCATAGTTTGGCCACACTCGTACAGGCGGAGACTCTGGCAGCACCGCAGCTAGGTCACCATGCCAGCGTGGAGCTACGTACGGGTACGTGTGCTACAGCCTGTAGCCTACAGGTATAACGGTACTGCACACGCTCATTTGTTGGCCTCCCTTCGCAAGCAATTCGCTCAGATTACATTCAGTTATTGTTTATGCACGGTTTTACTGGCCTTGGTACTAACTTTTATGAGGTCTTACGTAGGAGCAAGACTCCTACGTAGGACCTCAAATCGGACGGCGTTTTGGCAGAAAGGCACAATACTACACCACGGGTAACTAGATACGCTACAATACTGTATTCTGCTACTGGACTGATTCCCGTAGCTAAATTCCGACAGATTTATCAGTTAAAAATGGTCCGTACAAATTGTGTATAAACCGCAGCCCGAAAGCTGTACAGATAGCTAAATCTAGTACAGATCTTAGTGACCTTCACTCACACGTATCAGGTGAAGCTAAGCAGCACGCAATTTGGTGGTCTTGTGATGTGAAAGCACTCCAAGCCACGAAAGCCACCCTGAAGCAAACCAGCGCGCCTGCGTCCAAGAAGACCACCAAACCGAAAGCACGCCGGGGAGCCACTGCAGTGACTGCGAGCGCAAACAAGTCGGCACCGAAGCGAAAGAAGAAGACTGGATCAAGTGGCAGCACTGGACATTCCGAGGCGACAGCGAGGACAGCTCAAGACGAAGATGCAGACTCGGATGAACATGATCATTGTGAAGAACGTGATGCAGAGAGCAAGGACCCGAACGCTCAGGCCAAGGCGAAAGGTGGCCGTCCCACCGGAGCCCAAGGCTTCAATGAGTCTGATACAATGGCGCTGCTCACTCTTATCGACGAAATTCTCTCTCGTGGCGCCAACGAATGGGATCGAGTGCGAGAGCTGTACAACGAGCAGCATGCAGAAGTCGAAGAACGAGCTACGCGCACTACCGACTCGCTCAAAAGTCGATTCCGCCATGTCCTAGCACCAGCCGCACCAAGTGGTAAAACGCGTTGTTCCCCGTTGACATCCAGAAGCGGATCGCGGCCAAAGTACACAACGTGACGGTGGATGATTCGCAAAGTGTAGAGGACACCAGCGATAATGACGACTTTGGCGAGGACAGCGACAACAGTGAGGGCGAGAAGGAAGACCACGAAAGCAATTCAGGAAGCCAGAACACCGTTAATTCTTGCCCGTCGACACAGGAGTCTTGTTCAGCCGTGGCAGCTTTTCATCGTCAGCGCGACGCAAAGAGCAAACCACCACAAACAGTGGCTCCAAGCGGTCTCGTCAAATCCAGCCGAAGGACCTTCAGCGAGGTTCCAAAGCCACCAAGGTTAGCAACAACCGAGTGAGCCGAGGCAGCGGGAAGGCATTGTGGACACGCCACACAGAAGAGCAAGCTTTGTACCGGGGCAACAGGGAGATGCAGCAGTTTTTGTCGGTCCAAAACGCTTCGCTTCAAGACGCAAACACAACGCTAAACACCCGAGTGGCGGTGCTGATTGCGGAAGTCGACAGCAAGCGTGATCGCATATTGGATCTGCGCGAAGAAATTCGTGAACTGAACGATCAAAATCGACGCAACGAAGAAACCAATGCTCGCAATGAAGAGACCATCCGACGCCTTCGGGACGATGTTCACCACCTCGATCAAGAGAACCGCCGGCTGTATGATGATAACTGTCGCCTCTACGAGTCGTCGCGCCAGTGGTAACAGCTACCCAGTTACATCGAGGACGTCAGCCCCCGCCACGTTTTCATATTCGTCTTCCGCAGCTCTCCAATTTTGATAGCAGCGTCTTACGCGTCCAAAGTGTCGGTAAGCGCAGCATAGTAGCGTCTGATGCGGTCGGAAGCTTGGATGTCGCGAAACATCAGCGATTCAAACTCTTCATATAGCGTTCTGCCTCCATCCAGCCATGTCTTCTCGTAGACGGTTTTTATCTGGTTGATTCCGACCTGGCGAGTTCGCACTTGGTGTAGGCGAGCGCAGGTTCGATGACAATGGAGCGGTACTCATCATCATCCGCTGGGAGCGGCATCTTGAGCCTTGCAAACGAGCCTTGTAGAGATCTCATCCCCCATTCCGCTGCTTGCCGGGCAGAAACCAATTCGCTGTTACGCGCCATCAGTGCCTCTAGTTCATCAAACCGGCCTTGCTCACGGAGGATACGCGGCTGGCGTGAGCGCTTCTTCAACGGCGTCTGGATGCGACTTGATATTCCTTGACGCGACCTTGGAAATGCTGAATCCGCTATGGCGAAAAACCCTTCTGGCGTTTTATCTTGGAGCTTGCCGTACAGGTCTTGAGCCACGGCAGCATCGTGCCAACTACCGGGAGCATTCATAAGTGCGCAAATGATAGTTCCGTCCGGTGCAAACACGAAAACGGATGAGCAGTAGTGCGAGCATGTCCACCCATTGTACTGGGAGTTTTGAGTGTCTTCGTCGAGCGATTCAGCGACAGGAATCTTCACACCATCGATGAAGCAAAATGCCCCTGACAGACCCGGATGACGGTCCGCAATGAGGCTGGCGAAGTACTCGAACTGCTGCAACGTTCTGGGCCACGAAATTCTACCGTCGGGGGCCAGCTTAAGTATTTCGAGAAGAATCTTCAATCCGAAATTGATGTAGCGGCTGCGAGCCGGCTCAAGCCAAATCCGTCTAAAATCCGTCTATTTTTAGACATCTGTACCAAATCTGTACGAAATCTGGCTGATAAATCCTACGGGAATCGGTCCACTTTTTCAGTCTAATGCTTTGAGCTCGCACTACCGGAGATCGACGCAATCCGTAGCGCTCATGGGCTCGAATCTCGAAAACTTCAAAAGGATTTTGACTTTGTTACATGTACATGTACTCTCATTGACGATTACAGGATTTATTGTGCGTACTGCTAAAGATTGCAGTCTTGAGGTCGCCGACATATATTAGCTTCAAGCAAAAGATCGGCATCGCTCTATCCATACAGAAGGTGGCTCCTTCGAGGGACGGCATATAACTGATCACCTCTAATAACTACTATCAATTCATAGGGTTGCATACTAATCCTTTATACCCCAACCCCCAATAATAAAATCCCCGTCTATGATGAATATATCAGGTGTCTCTCTAAGGCGCCACCGTGAAAAGTGCGCCAACAAAATCCAGATGGGGCGCCAGCAAAAAGCAAAACAGGGCGCGAGCAAAATACGTAGACGGCGCATCCCCTCTTACAGCAACAGCCTCCCGTAATGCATCTGACACTAACGCCCATGTACATCAGTCATCAGTACCAGTATTAATTATCTACACGCATTCAATGCAGCATAGGTTGTTCTGCAAAGTAAACTTGCATTTAGAACGCATATTAAATCAACTGCTTGATAGTCACTTTCGAGTGCATCCGGGATTCAATTTAGCTCGAGTGGATTCATATTAACTTGACCAGATTCACGCACCAACTCGAGCGCTCGAGTTGAATCCACAGGAAAAGATTCACAATAACTCGAGCACTCGAGTTAATCTGAATCCGCTCGAGCTAACTTGAATCCAGACTCACAATAACTCAAGCGGTCGACTTTTAAGTCGGCCGCTCGAGTTAAAAGTTGAATCCCGGCAAGCTAGACAAACGTCTCGTTGACATCAAGGCATATGACGCTGCTGCAATGAAATAATTAGTATCGAAAAGCGCATATTTAAGTAACTGAGTACGAGCTAGCGTGAATCCGACGGAATTCATATTTAATCGGCGCAAGCTCATGTGAATCTGTGGTCATGACAACATCGCATTAAAATATGAAGTAGGGACGATACATATATACAAACCCTCGCGTGTAAGTGCTGCTCTTGGAAACACGCGATAGCGTCAACGAAAATGCGTGATATCGAGTTTGGTAGCTTGAATCAAGATACACAATTCGATAAGTCTAGGAGTTTCTTTTACGGGGACTTAATGCATTATATTGTCGCCTACGGAGGGGACGAGCTTGTACCTCATAGAAGTAATTACCTGGGCGTCGAAAATTTCCCAATTGTGGCGATGAACTGTCGGATGTATTCGCTTCAAGTTGCCCTAGAAGCAAGCATTGCAGTGTACGAGTACAAAAATAAAGTAGCAATGTCTAGTTGCTAGATTTGTCTTTGAATTGGAGTTTGTTGCGATTTAGTCGGCTATCAACACTCGATACTGCGCACCGCTGCTAGTTGCTAGAGCTACCTGCTATTACCAGAGGTTCCTTGACCCTCGAAATGCTGAACTTATTAAACAAGAACCGAACTAGGCAACTTTAGCACGTTTTACATGCCCACAGTGAGTACTTCACCGCGTCGGGACATACTGCACATACGATTTAATCTAGGCAAACATGGTCACGTGGCTGAACCAGCATGCGATAAGGCATTTGGTACGTAGTGGACTAACTCTTTGATGTGACGCACTAACGAGCTATAATGTACTATATCAAAGTATCAGCTAAAATCTTAGAAATGTGCTTAATCTAGACATTAGTCTTGAAACATTGATAAAATGTATTCGAGACAATGTCGGCTAGTGTAGTAGATCAGGTGAAGCAGCGATGTTGGATGTTAGAAATGGTGATGAATATATGGATGGAACCCATTTCAATTGCCATCGCAACGTCTTATAACGGTTGACGCGTAGCAATGATAACATCTACGCATAGATACATTGGGTAACCCATGGCATCTACAGTCTTGCTCGTCAAAGCGCACGCACCAACGCGTGTTGTTTACTTTTAAGTTACATTTAAAAAAAAACATTATCGTATAGAGCCGAAACGTGAGTAAATACATGATTTAGTCCGTAGACAAAGGATATGCCCTCCAGCTTCATCATAACCAAAGCCAATACGTCCACACTACGAGTAATAATAGCTTTGTGCGGGTGGGTTGAGCGTGCCAGCGGTTTCATCAACTGTAAATCATTCTACAGGTTGACTCAATTGTTAGTGAGTTGTACAGAAATCCTAAGTAATCTTGTAAGCTGTTGTGATTCTACGAGGGACGCGGTGCGTTCGTCGCGATTTTGAACTACGAGGTCACGCTATAGCTACTGTTGCCGGGCGAGCTGTAAGCCAACTCCGCGGCCGTCACGCGGTAGTCTTGAACATACTAATTAAAACACTTTATACGTTGAGTTGTAGTTCTACTTACTTGTGCTTACAGGTACGTTTCTAGTCGCAACCAGAAAATAACGCTGTAAGGACCTTGACGTTGATTGCAGCACGCCTTCCACTCCACGGCTATTTCTGGCAGAAGTCACCTACGGATATTCCAGCCCCAGTACGCCGTGGGTCTCGCACCTTGGTTGCCTAGCTGCTGAGTAGCTAATCCAACTCACAATCACCACAACTTGGCACATGCTGTTGCCAAGATTCACATTATTAATAACTCGCGCCGACATAAAGTGAGTTCACCCAGATTCGTATAAAGTCGGCGCGAGTTAATGTGAAGCCACCCAGATTCACATTTAAGTCGGCGCGAGTTAATGTGAATCTGGGTGGACTCACTTTAAGCCGGCGCGAGTTAATGCGAATCTGGGTGGCTTCACATTAACTCGCGCCGACTTTATACGAATCTGGGTGAACTCACTTTATGTCGGCGCGAGTTATCGTGGTCGTATTGTTATAACAATAATGTTTATAATAGATATAGTTATTTATGCCGACCTGAACTACTAGATTCTGAAGCTGCCATAAGAGCGTGGTGCCAACAGGTGGAGTCTTTTCGTTACTGGAGGCACCGATGTACATGTACACGTAAAACACAGTATGCTTTGATTCATATTAAAACGTGGGTGTTATATGTATTATGGAATCGCCGTAATTCACTGGGGCTCGGAGATAGTTACAGCGTATTATGGACCTGTGAACGGGCCGCCTTTTCTGTATGGTTAAAGTCCAGGGATCGACCCCTGGCTTTGTATCAAAATCAAATCCATTTTGCCGGCGCCCGCAAATCTCTTTGCTGGCGCCCCAAAACCGCGGTTTCTGTTTGCTGGAGCCCGTTTGGTTTTCGGAAAATGTACAGCCCATGTTTTCGGATTGGAGGGGGTGAAATGGTCCGCAAATCTATCGTGATGCAGAGACCAAATCGGCATCAGTGGCGTTTGAGAAGCATGAACAACCCGCAAACGTAGCCTCGAAGCAAGGCTTAGGTCTACAGTTCCCTGCCTAGCGCTGGGCCGGCCTTCTAAAGGTTTTAAGGACAGGTAGAGCCACATTTAGCAGCTCGATTACCCAGTTCCCAGGGATTTGCAATAGATTTGGGTGCCATGACACCCGTCCTGAAAACCGAAACATGGATGTCCATGATTTCAGCATGTTTTACATGTTTGGAGATCTTACTTGGTTTTAGTATGCCTTTATCCCTAACCCTATTCCGAAACATGGGCGGTAGGGCCAGCCTTTGGTTTTGCTGGCGCCCCATCTCGTCTCGTTTTCACCCTAAAAGGTGTTGGAAGTGGATACGCATACAGTCTTGGAAAAAGGTGATGAGAGGGTGATAGGCCGCAGAAAAGCCTACACTCAGGCATACCATCTAGGATTGGACGTGAATAATCCGAACAAAATGACCATCACTCTCTCGGACCAGGGCTGCGAGCTCCCTCACCACTCCTCATTCGCGAACAGGACGAGTAGGGGGGGAGCAGAAGCCGGCGTGCGAGGAAGGGTAAATGCAGCGTGCTCGCGTTCGCGCGTGGCTTGCGGGGATGGCAAAAACGACTAACGTGCGTTTGAGTTGTCGTATATTGTACTGAATGCGTTGGCACACAGGAGCGAGCACCTAGGATCAACGGAGGCGAGCGATTGCGAGGTACGTAGCCGCAGCAAACCCGCGCGGGGCGCCCGCGAAGCAGGGCCGCGCGGTATTTGCGGAGGCGGGCCTAGCGCCGAGCATTCCAGCGAGCCGAGCACCACGCTCGCCAGTACATACTATCTTTTTATCCCGAGCGAAGCTAGGCGCGGGGGCGCCCAGCCAAGCGGAGCGCGGCTGGCAACCTTAAGTAGAACACGTTAATGACAATGAATCTTTAACCGCGTTTAGCACGAGCACTTGGCTGTACTCCTTTGCCTTTCGTTCCAACACTTTCTTACTGAACGCGACCACTGGGTCTGAGGGCCGTGATCGCGATCCCAAAGGGGTAGGTGACACCGCCTGCAATCCGTGGGGTCGCGATCCGGTCGTTCCTAAGGGCTTGGTCGGGGAATGATCGTCTCAGTCTCGCTCGTCTCCGGTAAGCCTACCCCTAAGGTGAACCGAGCCGATGTGGTCGGTTGGCTGGAGACCGTCTTAGTTTTGGTGTATCAAGCTTCTCGACTCAGCACCATCACACTCGAGAACTCGCAGCCATGGAAGGCACCCTTACTGCTCCACCTGTGGGCGGCGCTGAAGCTGAATACGCTGCTGAGAGAAGCGTAAGCGGCACGGACACCAACGGGAGCGGCGTCGAGGGGGCACCCCCGCAGGGTGGAGGCCGTGGTGGTCGCGGGGCAGGTCGCGGTGGTCGTGGAGGACGAGGAGCTTCGACCAGGCCAGCTGCATCATGGAGCGATGATGATGTGAGCGAGTTCTTCCGCCTCCGTTACGCAGAGTTAGCTGACAACTTCAAGAACACGAAGGACACCAAACGCATCAAATATGCGTGGGCCGTCTTAGCATCAACGCTCTCTGTTAACCAGAGCAAAGTGTTCACTGACCAGCAGTGTCAACCTGAGATTCTGTCGAAACCACTCGTCGTAGACCGCGTCGTAAAGCATAGCCTCAAACTCTAGCGGTGTCAGGGTAAGGACGTTCTGCTTCGGGTTCGAAATTGCCCGCACAGCGGTGTGGACCGCCGTCGCGAGAGCCCCCGTGGCCGCAGCAACTGCAGCAACGATGCTTTCGCTCTGCACCATCGAAACGCAGTGAAGACGCTCGCCTCCAAAGTGAGACTGGTGATTTAGTCGTCTCAGATTGGTCAGTCTGGAGACGATGAACCTAGCCGATCGAGCTAATAACTGGCCAATCAAAAATAAGAAAAAATGTCGCCACATCGTCTAAGACGATCGAAAGCCGAGACGAGTGTTCCCCGACCAGGCCCCAACGGGATCGCGACCCAGTCATAGACCGCAACAAAAGCAACATGCTATAAATAAAATGCAGGATTTACTATAAATCTCTTTTGATAGCTTTGGGCACCTGATGAGAAACGTAAAAAACATACCGACAAGAGCTGCACGTAGCACGTGAGCTCTAGTTTACTAGGATACCATCCTTTCACGCAGCAACGAATATTTGGTGCGGTAGCACTGCGCCGAAGCCGCTGCGCGATCCGGCGATCCCGCTCGGCTCGCGATCCGAGACTTGGATTGCAGGGGTTACGCTGGGGGTACACAGTCGGAAATAGGCGGGACTAAACTGACCAATCACAGACCAAGTTTGGGATCGCGATCCCGGTTAGGAACGGCCCTGAGGCTGTTTAACACTCTACGATGGTTTGCCATGACTATCTTTGCTGGGGTGATAGTATCATGGTGCGATATCCATGCTGCTAAGGGTGCTGCAGCAGCATCGAAAAAGACATTGTGAAAATTTTGCGTCGTTGGGCGACAATCACTCTCAATTTGGCCACTCTGTGGTGTTTCTGGGGGTTCAACTTTTTCACCTCATACAGTCTGTATGAATAGTGCACAGTCTCGGCGTTTTTATGCAAGTTGAAGCACTTTCTCTGGCGGAGACTGTATGCGTAACCCCTGCCAAAAGGTGTTTGTTGCCCTCTGTACAACCACGAAGTTGTGAAATGGCCAACGACTTGCATTGATAGTCGCCCCTAGTGGCACCCCGGATTAGGGGGCCGACAGTTCCGGAAAGGAGTAGCCCGCAGGCGCAGCCACGCAGCCATCCGCGGCGGACGAGCACTCGGAGCAGATCTGCGAGTACATCGCGCGGTTGCAGCCAAACTGAGCGCGGGCGCATGAGGCGCTGTTCTGGTAGCACTTGGGGTTGGCGGCCGCTAGCGCTTCAACCGTCGGGAGCGGCTCCATGTTCGCGCTAGTGCCGTTGCCGGCCAACTGGTTGTACGTGGCCACCATTTGAGCAGCACGGTTCGCGTTGGCGTTCTGGTCGCCAGGGTTCTTCCAAAAGTCGATGCACTGCTCCACCTCGAATCCGTGCCCAGTGTTCGTGGCCTTGAACTCCACGCCGCTACTCTCGCAGAACTGCTGGTATGTGCTGAAGCCCATCTTGGTGATGCCCACGAGGTCGTCGATGTTCAGGAAGCCCAGGATCTTGTAGCTGAAGGTGCACTTGTCGCCGTCAGGCTGCGTTCCCATGGGGCAGAGGCCTCCCGGGAACTCCGCACGGCACTGGTCGGTCTTCTCCGCTCGGTACTTTTGCACGCACGAGTTCGGGTACGAGAACCAAAAGTTGCCGGGGTATGGCGCGCGCGGGTCCGATCCCTGCGGGTTGCAGCCCACCACGGGGCCAATGCGCTTCTCGCCGTCCAGACCGTTATACGACTTGCAGCTCTGGGGCAGGTCCTCTCCGGCGTTCGTGCACTTGGCACCGTCCATGGCCACGAAGTCGCCGTACTCTTGAGGCGTGTGGCTCTCGTAGTGCTTAATGCCATACGTCGGCTGCACGATGATCATCTCGTAGAACACGACGTACTGCATGTCGTTCTTGCGGTGGCACTTGACCGACTGCTCGTTCACGTTGATGCCCTCGGCCTGCACGTACATGAGCGCGCCCTCCACGGACGCCATGTTGACCGTGTCCAGGTTGTTCACGTACTGCTGTTCCTTGGTATCGCCGTACTTGGACAGCCAGAGCTTGGCCTCCTCGTTCCAGACGGGGGCGTCGCCCTGCACTCGTGCTTGGATGACCTTGACGGGCGACATGTGCCAGCCATTGTTGCTGTTGTTGTCGGCAGTTGTGAGGACGCACTGAGACGCACCGAGGAAGAAGGCGAGCAGACCAAATCGGCGCCACATTTTTCAGTGTATCTGATGCTAGAGCTGGAGCTGGCAAAAACCGGAATGGGGAGTGCACTCGATGGGCAAGACGAGTAATTGTAGCTTGCAGACTCGTATCGTTGCGCCGTTCGAACGGCATCTGCCGATCCAATAGCCACAATATCGTCCGTATGGGGGGTGCCGTGGGGGGATAGTGCAGGTTTGACAGCATGACCAAGGTATTGAGACACCGAGCTGCTTCAAGCAAATTTCACGATGCTTGGAATTCACTGCTGTATGATGGGAATTAAGGCAAAACTTTTGTCATTTCGTCAGGAACAACCCGAGCTGTGATCGCGCATCGAAACGACAGACTTCCCCTCTCGTGACTGAATATCCACTCGCAGCATTACAAGTAGAATTTGCCGCTGTCGTAATGGAACCTATAGCTTGTGGCTGCCTGTGTATGAGGACAATCCATCGCATTGTTACAACTCGCTTCCAGGGCACAAGATGGCTACACAATGGAATCGCAGTTCCTCCATCCCCCTTGGTCATCATGGTTGGTGGCTTCCAGCAGTCATCACTAGAGCGGTTGGAACCGTTGTCGACTCAGATCTCACGGCAGGATTCACGGGCGCTTCGACGGCAGTAGAGTGGTAGGCTGGCGTTCATTCATAAGCGTCTCCGATCTTCAGATCCATCGTCATCAGCCACTTCGCCTTTTCCGCGGTACCGCTCACGCGCTCACAATGGCGCCCAACCCGATCGCCGACGGCCACGAGCAGCAGGACAAGGACGTGCTGGTGTACGACGCCCCCGGGTTCTTCGCCCCGGACAGCCGAGTGCCGCGCTGGCTGCAAAGTGTCGCGACGGACCTCTTCAGCTTCGTGATCCTGCACTACTTCGTCTGGGGGGTGCCCTTCCTCGTCCTGTTCTACGTCTTCCACAAGGTGGGGGCGGGTTCTACTTGCCAACACTTGTCCCGACCTCGGTGTACTCATCGTTTTCCAATTGTAGATCGGCCTCGACTACGTGTCCATCGCGATGGTAGTGCTCTACCTGCCGTCGTTCTTCAGCGGGGCCCACAAGACGGGCAGGGGCAACGTGTGGGAGGGTCTGCGCACCTCCAGCCTCTGGGGGCTGCTCAACAAGTTCCTCAGGGTGAAGATCATCCGAGAGCAGGAGCTGGACCCCAACAAGCAGTACATCTTCGGGTTCCACCCCCACGGAATCATCGTCCTCTCCCGGATCGCCATTTTTGGCGGCAGCTTCGAGGACATTTTCCCGGGCATCAAGTACAGAAGTAAGCGCGCACAGAATACTTGAGGTAGAGCGGGGATGTTCACTAATTTATGGTCTCGTGTCTTCAGTCCTCGGGGCGTCTCCAATGTTCTACATCCCGCTAGGACGCGAATTGTGTTTGTGGATGGGCGGGGTCGACGCCTCGAGATCAACGGGCGAAAAGGTCCTAGACGAGGGCAACAGCATCGTCGTCTACCCTGGCGGCGTGGCGGGGATCTTCAAAACAAACCCGAACTCGAAGGAGGTGAGTTTCCTTATCTAATCATTCAGTTGGATGTTGGTATGAGTGGCTGCACTATTTCGTTTTACACAGACACAATTAGTGCTGAAGAATCGGCTCGGCTTCGTCAAACTCGCCATGAACCATGGGGCGGATCTCGTGCCGACTTTTGTCTTCGGCGAGAAGTGGCTCTACAAGTAAGTGCCCCGCTCTCTAAATTAGCTACATCTCTATTGTTTGACTGTCGCGTGTGTGCTCGCAGCATGTGGAACCCGCCCACGGGTGTGATCAGCTTCTTCCGCAAGACGCTGGGCATCCCCGTGCTCGTCTTCTGGGGCAAGTTCTGGTGGATGCCCAAAGCTCCCGCCAAGGGCAAACGCTTCGGAGTCGTCTACGGGAAACCCATTTCCACAAAACACAGTGGGAACCCGACGGACGAGGAGGTCCGTGCCATCCACACTCAGTACATTGCCGAGATCGAGCGCATCTTCAAGCAGTACAAGTCGGAGTTCGGCTACGAGGTGGACGAGACGTTGGCCATCATGTAAAAGAAATAGGAGGCGACGCCATGATGTATGCACTTACTGTAAATGAAAAATGGATATACTGTGCATGGTTTCAAAATTCAACAGTGCGTGAACTTACGAAGAAAACTTATGAAGATAAAAGTCTACACAACATCCATGGTAAGGTACAGACAGTATTGCTGCTGATCATACACCGAGTCGTCAGATGTACATAAGCCGTTCGATTTCCTTGGTGCAAACAGCGATTGCGTGGGGCACCACGTCATTGAAAGCGTGTCATGTTCCGTTTGTTGTACGTGTATGCGTTCTGAACCACAAACTCAAGTGGTGCTTGTCAACTAACCCCACGCGATCACTAACTACACTACCTGCTATTGTATACAAATGCGTCTTGGGGTTATGTGGGGTCTGTATTACGTCGCACGCTCTGGAGCTCCACTGTCATGATTGCAACTAGTGGTGGCCCACCGCGCCTTGACCCCTCAAGCTCTACCTGGAGCTCACTCTCGAATTTGCCAGCGACGTCGCAATGGCTCCGGACCCGAAAGCGCAAGAGGAAGAAACTCGCCAAGACCCGACCCCTTCTCCGAAGGGCGTACTGGTCTACGAGGCTCCTCCACTATTTGGTGAGGGCAGCAAGGTGCCTGGATGGGTGCAGAACCTACTCACCGACGTCTTCAGCTTCGTCACGGTGCACTACTTCGTGTGGAGTTGGCCATTCCTCGGTCTCTTCTACTACCTGCATCAGGTGACAGATTATTTCCTTGTGCTGTAGTTTGGTTTCATCCAGAGCGACGTTTTTAATTATTTATTCGTTATGAAATGATGCACAGCGAGGCCTGAACTACGTCTCCATCGCGATGGTGGCGCTGTACCTGCCTTCGTTCTTCAGTGGAGCCCAGAAGACAGGAAAGGGCAACGTCTGGGAATCGCTTCGCACCTCCAGCTTATGGGGGCTGATGAACAAGTTCCTTCGGTACGTTCATTGTTCGCGTTTACAGGTAAGCTTGCGCGTGTGTAGGCCTCACAGATTGCATGCGTTGTTGCTGAGTAGCATAAAGATCATTCGCGAGCAGGAGCTGGACCCAGAGAAGAAGTACATCTTTGGGTTTCACCCACACGGAATCATCGTGCTCTCGCGCGTTGCGATCTTCGGCAGCAACTTCGACGACGTGTTTCCAGGCATCAAGAACCGACGTACGTACCGTAACTCACTCAACCGTTTCTTCTTCAATGTTGGTTAGGATTCTCACCGCACGCAATTGTATCCGAAGTGCTCGGAGCTTCAGCCATGTACTACGTCCCGCTGGGTCGCGAAATGTGTTTGTGGATGGGCGGCGTCGATGCCTCTCGCTCCACAGGCGAGAAGGTTCTGAAGGAGGGCAACAGCATCATCGTCTACCCAGGCGGCGTGCCGGAAATCTTCCGCACAGACCCGGACTCGAAAGAGGTACGGTGCGTGCCTGTACCTCTGCATAATGGCATGACTGACCAACATTTATTCACGTTGCGCTCATTTTCTCTGTAGACGCAACTCGTTCTGACGAAGCGCTTCGGGTTCATCAAGCTTGCAATGCGTCGAGGCGTGGATCTGGTCCCCACATTTGTGTTCGGCGAGAAGTGGCTTTACAAGTGCGTACTCTCACAATTTGTCAATATCAGCTAGTATTTCTCACACAAACAAACTAACCTGTTGATGTTTATCTTTTTCAGCAAATGGAGTCCACCGAAGGGACTGACGGAGTCCTTCCGCAAGGCGTTTGGCATCCCCGTGCTCGTCTTCTGGGGCAAGTTCTGGTGGATGCCCAAGGCTCCGACCAAGGGGAAACGCTACGGACTCGCGTACGGAAAACCCATCCCCATCAAGCACACCCCAAATCCGACGGACGAGGAGGTTCGTGCCATCCACACGCAGTACGTCGCTGAGATCGAGCGCATCTTCCAGCAGTACAAGTCGGAGTTCGGCTACGAGGAGGACGAGACGCTGACCATCATTTAGCTGGTCATAGCCAGATGGACAAGTGCAATGAGAAATTCTCATCGAGAATCTTACAACCTGGATTCGATTACGACACGAGCAGAACTCGTGTCGTTATCTACAAATGTGTTGCTTCACACTCTCCACGGCTGAAAAAGTGTTGAAGGAGGGCAACAGCGTCATCGTCTACCCAGGCGGAGTGCCCGAGATCTTCACGACGGATCCTGCCTCGAAAACGGTTAGTCGTTGTCGCTCACTGCTCGTCTGGAATCGAAGTCCTGGACTAAGCTTTGCCATGGGTTCGTGTGCAGACGGAATTGGTGCTGAACAAGCGACTAGGATTCGTCAAGCTTGCGATGCGGCAGGGCGCAGAGCTGGTACCAACCTTCGCCTTTAACGAAAAGTGGCTGTACAAGTACGTTTCTTGATGGTTGCCTCGCTCTGAATGTGGACTCACCCCGCCTCACCTCATTTCTTGCTCGTCTTCCAGCATGTGGAACCCGCCGACGGCTGTGATCCGTTTCTTCCGCGCGCTGGGCATCCCCATGATCATCTTCTGCGGCAAGTTCTGGTGGATGCCCAAAGCTCCAGCCAAGGGCAAGCGCTTCGGACTCGTGTACGGGAAACCAATCTCCACGAAGCGCAGTGAGAACCCGACGGATGAGGAGGCTCGTGTCATCCACAGTCAGTATGTTGACGAGATCGAGCGCATCTTCCAGCAGTACAAGTCTACGAGGAGGACGAGACGTTGGCCATCATTTAATCAGCTTCTCTAACAAGAAATAGCAGGGAGCCAGATATGACCATGAAGCTATGTGTTGATCGTGATCAAACTGTTGTGTTTTGATTCATTACCGAGGAGACTGTCGTCAACATGCTCAGTTAGACCTTGCTCAAGACGATGGAGACGGGGTAGTGGTCGCTGTTGTAGCCGCTGCAGGACGTCGTGTACAGGTCGTGGTTGAACGAGACGCTGGAGAGCGCGGGGGACAGCGACTTGGACACGAGAATGTGGTCCAGACTGCTCACCTCGCTGTCTTCGTAAACGCAGTCATTGTCCTCGTCCCACCACTCGGTGAAGCGGTCGGCCTGGCTCACTTTGCTGGCCGTCTCGACGAAGTCGCCGTCGCTCACGAGGATGGAGAGCACGGCGCTGATGGGCTTGTTGCTGTTCTTGTCCAGCACGTCCGCGGACCAGTCGTTCAGGTCGCCGGTGATGATGGCGTGGTGGCCCTCATCGACCGCAGCCTTGGCCAGATCCGCGAGGACTGTGGCCTGCGCCTCACGCTCGAAGCAGCGCGGCTTGCTCTCCGGGTTGGCCAGCAGATGGGCCCCGACGAGCGTGATCGGCTTGGAGAAGCCCGTGACGTTGAAGGTCGTGTAGAAGTGCTTGGACACCCCCTTTGAGCTCGAGTAGCCGCTGGAGCTCGGGCACGTCGAGCCGCTGACCGGAATGGAGGCGCGCACCTCCGTGCGCTGCAGGTCGACCACGGGGTCCACGCGCGTGAGCAGCGCCGAGTTCTGGCCCGTGGACGTGTCCGTGCCCCTCACCAGGTACGGCTTGTAGGTCGAGTCGCCGAGCGCTCCGAGCTGGGTGATGACGGACTGGAGCACGGTGCAGTCCTCGACCTCGTTCATCTGGACGATGTCGGCGTTGAGGCTCTTGATGACCGCGGCGATCTGCGTCACGTGGCTGTCGGCAGCGGCCGCCGTCGTCCACGGACAGTCGTCGCCCGGGCACGAAAGCTGGTGCGACTCGGTGCCGAGGAACAGGAACGCGGCGTTGAACGTGGCCACCTTGAGCTGGTTCTTGTTGGAGCGGCGGTCGCCCGGACTGGCGGGGGCCTCGGCGCAAGCAGCAAACGCAGCTTCGGCCGACTGCAGGGACGGCAGGCGCGTGACGACTGCGAGCGCAGCAGCGGAGAGGATCGCGACGAGCGAGACCATGGCGTTGCGGAGGGATCCGGTGGCGTGGGGTGGGCGGGGGCTGGCAAATTGCAGACTGCCGTCCGAGCTGGAGGCGCGCCGAGGACGTCGACGTGCCATGAGCCTTGAGGCCTTATGACACGCCTGTTAGCAGACAGCGGAGACCCTCCTTGTTGTTGCGTGAATGATCCGGGCGGATTAGCTCTAATCAGCCGCGGCATGCCACTTTACCGCGTGTACTGTTTGTTTGCCTTTGAGTCCAGCGTAACACGGTGAAGATTCGATCGCTGATGAAATGCTCAGTCGGCTTCGCCCACGCTGCGTGGGTCACGACGAACAGTGGAAAGAAGGCACTCGAGACGTGAATGCTCGACAGGACCAGATCGATCGTTGTACACTGCAGGAATCGATCGGCGGCATGTCTGTCAAGCGCGTGAATGTGCGCGGGCTCGTGCTATCATTACAGTTGTTGAGTCTACTACACCTCCAGCTGCGTGTTGATCATCACTTCAACGCCAACGTCCCAGTCGCGCAGCCAGCCTTTTAGTACCGTCGGCCATCCCGGCGTGAAGTGTTCTGCAGGATGGCGGTGTTCTGCGAGAAGCTGTGCGAGACCAGCAGCGTCTCCAGCGCCAAGCGGCGACTCGGGTCGAGGTACAGCGTCTTGCCGCGACGCAGGTACGGGTCCTCCTCGCCGTTCTTGTCCACGTAGAGACTGCCCCAGACGCAGCGCCTCTCGTTCCCCAGGAAGAGGATCACGGTGCACGCGCGCAGCAGCAGGAAGGCACCCAGACCGAGGCCGCAGCGCTGGGCGTGCTGCGTGCACTCACCCACGCCGCCGCCTTCTTTCGCCTCACAGCACGCGGAGAAGCAGCACAGCACCTCACCACAGAAAAGACACAGCCCGGGGTGCTGCGGCACCTGCGCGCACTGCTGACAGACACCGGTGGGCTTCTCATTGTAGCGGATGAACAAATCCATGTAGACCCGGGGCAGCTCGATGAGCAGTTGATAGTTCGTGCCCGCAGAAGCGACTGCGGCAGCTCGAGACGAAAGCAACTTCACTTGGCGCTGCAGCGGGAACGCGTCGACCTGCGTGGGAGATCCACTAGCTACGAGAGCTTGGGAGCGAGCTTGTTGGCGAGAAACCGCAGCCTTCGCCTCGAGCTGCGCGCCCCAGAGCTGGCACAGCGTGCGTTGACTTGACGGGAACATCTCCCGGTGGAAGAAGAGCCGCAAAGGGGGCAAGTGAAGTCTCCGCAGACACTTGTCCAGCAACGCAGACGCTGACGGTGTCCCAGTTGACGACGTCGACGTTGATGTCGCGGGGAAGAGGCCATCGCACACTGCGCAGGACTCGGAAACGTGCGATGCCTTGGCATCGCCGTCCCCTTGGCTGCTGTCGCTGTGGTGTTGATGAGACGTGGGCAGCACAGTGTCCATGAGCAGCAGCATCTGCTGAGCGAGCGGCAGACACAACGCGCTGACTTGCTCTTCCATCGCCGCCGCGTTCCACTTCTTAGCTCGACTAACCTCAGGTGTCATAACGGGCTTCCCGTCCATCAAGCGAGATCGCGCCAGCATCAGCGATATCCACACCGATGCGTCGCGAAGCGACTCCACTTCTTCGAAGTCGCGAATCTCCGCCTTGGTCTTGCTAGCTGGGCCTTCTCCCTGTTCGTTCTCGTGCGACGGTAGCTCTTGATCCCCCTGCATCGCGAGATAGGCTAGAGCCTGTAGCACCTGAGCCGTGAACACCACGCGGGCTGAGAAGAAAGCTTCGGTGAGCAGCTGTTCCGCTGCTACGTCGGCGTTTGGGGTGGCGATGCTCTGCCTCCACATGATCCGCATCGCAAAACACGTCAATAGTCGTGGGTGGCACAACATCGGCGTGCCCACTAACGCTGCATCCGTCGTGTCCTCCGAGTCGCCGGTCTGCAGCTGGCCACGAATGCTCCACTTGGGGCTGGACGAGTCTTCGTCTTCTTCAAAGAGAACTTGCTGGCCGAAAATCAGTCCGTTGAGTCTCGTCATAACACTCTCGAACTGCTTGTCCGCCGGTGCCTCCACGACTGTCCACGCCAGCGAGCTCGGGGTCGAGAACGCTACTGCGGCCGCTGTGATATCTGCAAGCTGGCGCATCGACCGGAGCTGTAAGGAATCCACGGCGTCAGTCTGCAGCAGCGTCTTCTCGCGTGCCACCACGCGCAGCTGCACCTCCAGGCAGTGCAGTAGCAACTGCCACGCTGGGGTCTGGGCACCACACTCCGAGCTAAGCTGCTGCATCTCCAAGTCCAAGCTGCCTTCATCCCCAATAGAGCTCGTCAGCAGCGTCGGCAGATACAGCTGCGCGCGCACAGACCGGAGAACAACTTCGTGACAGAAGGCACCAATCTCGCGCTCCACGCTAACATCCTGTTCGGTGATCTCATGCCCACCGGGCGACGACACAGAACCTCCGGAGGATCGTGAGCCAGGAGACAGCGAAGACTTGGACGTTGAGGACAGCAAGCGACGTCTCAAGCGCAAGCTCGATTGCGTCCTGGAGCGCCGCCGCTTAACGACAGGGGAGTCGTCGCGGAAGCTCATCTGCGTGTCAAGCCACTGAAGGAAGGCCAGCGGGTCCTGGCCGTCGTCCTTCTTCTCCTCTTCTTCCTCGTCCGAGCCGAACTCCGCGCTCATGAGCTCGTTGACCGACGCCCGCTCCCGGAGCTCCTCCAGCGAGACGCGCGGGACCAAGCAGTTGGAAAGCCGGCGACAGATAGGACACACGAACTCCATATCACGCTCGCTGAGGAGGCGGTCCTCGCCACTGGTCATCTCCAGAGGGGTGCGACCGTGCTTTTGCTTCCAGAGAGACATCAGGTACGCCTTCAAACATGAGTGGTGGATGGCGTGGCCACAGCTCCAGATCACGCAGTCAGCCAGCTGCATGCGCATTTCATCGGTAGTTCCAGGCTTCAGGACGCGCAGCGACGGTAGTCGCGATGATACCACAGGACGCGCGTCCGGACTTGAAATGCCAGAAGAACCCTTCTCGATCTTCTGCGGCATATTCGTTGGCAGGATCATGCCGACAAAGCCGAACGAAGATTCGCGTGAGCGGGGATCGCACGGCAACCGACAAAGCCCGCAATCTTCAGACTGTTCGTCAATTGAGCCATAGTCGTAGCTTATAGAGGAAGAGCGCCCCCGCTCGTCGTGCTCTGCCGTGATTGATGAACTTCGAGTGCTGCGTCTTCGCCGCCGCCTTCGATCCTGAGATCTTCGTTGCTTCTCTCGCATCTGCGCGATGGCGGATGAAACATGGTCTAGGTACAGACGCACGTCTACTTGGCCCGTAGGGAAGCCCCACTCGTCTTCCTCTTCATGGTCCTCCTCCACATCCTCCTCCGAGTCCATCGCTTCATCATAGCTGTCACTGTCTGTATCCACCTCCACAGTGTGGCTTTCCGTATCGTTGCGATTACCTCCACTCGCCTCGTCCTCCATCGCATCACCGTTAGCAGACAAAAACTGCATCTGCTGAGACCGCATCTTTTCGAGGATTTGTTGCTGCCGCCTCCGCATCATCTCCTTTGCGCTGAGTTTGGGTGGTTCATCGCCCTTACCCTCGCAGCTATCAGCACCAGAGTTGTCGAGCTTCGAACCATCAGCGCTTGGGGGACTAGACTGTGCAGCCTGTTGTTTGCGCTTCATCGCGTCCAAGTATTCCGCGCAAGACGGAGATTTCTCCCGTACAGCTTGAAGAATCAGATTTACCACAGGCTGAGCATCTTCCAGCCCGCTTTTCACCTCAGAGAGGAACAGCAACAGCGACAACAGGCTGGTCGCAGCAGCTTGCTTTTCATCGGACTCGGCGCGGCACTCATCGTCGCGGTTCGCTTGATCTTTCAACGTCACCTCCGTGCAGAGCTTGATGAATAGGCTGCTGTCTTCATCGAAGCACTCAGCAATATCATCCAAGTTTTGTTTGCTCACCAAATCGTCACACGCCCGCGCAGGTTGCTGGCACTGCTCCTGGTGAGCGTTCGGGAGCAGCTTGACTGCTATATACAAGCAGTGTAAGGCCGCAAGCAGAAGATTCTCGTTGGTGACCGAGCTTGCACTGTCCTGGTCTTCTTTCTCTCCTTGATGCGTCTCCTGCGTAATCGCTTTGCGCTTATAGTTTTCAAAAATGACGAGCAGGACGCTGGCCATGTACGAGGAGTTCAACATCGTCTCGACAAGCACTCCGTGCATATCCACTCCGCTGATACCTTCGTGTCGCGCCCGTGGCAACATCGGCAAGATGATCGACGCTGTGGGGCTCCCATCGTCGTCACTTGGCTTGGGAAGGTTCTTGCGAATGTTTTGTTCGCACTGCTGAGCCTCTGATGGTGTAAAACACTCGAACAGGGGCGAGACTTGCGTCCATAGCTCGGGCTTGAGCTTCCATGATCCGCTCATCTTGAGCCCGTAGCCTAGGAAGCTGCCACTTCTAGAAGTCCGCGTGCCGTTGCTGCTGCCGGCAGGATCATCGTACACTCCAACGTTTTCCAGCACGTGAGTCAGGATCTCCTCTTCTTCCAACTCGGCCCACTCGTGAGCTGGCAGCTGCTTAATCTGCTCCACCAACTTCATATCTGTCCGCATAATCACCTCACTCCGCGTGAACGGTCCAAGCGTCAGCCAATGCATGATCTCACGCTCTAGAAGCCACACAGCTGCTGTCGCAGGCGAGCTAGCAGACGCCACCTTGACGGGTGCCAGCACAAGCTGCAGAAAGAGACGCAACGCCTCCTCCACTACGTCCAGCTCTTGACGCAGTTCTCGACTGCGGTCAGCACTAGTAGCGGCATTAATGCTATCGATCTTCGCAGTTGCTGGAGAGCTCAATCCAAGCACGGCCGAGTCACCGATACCAAACGGCAACTGATGGAAGAAGAGCCGCGTGAAGCTGCCGTGCGGGAGGAGGCTAGCTCCCAGCTGGCAGAGGAACAAGTCCGAGTGTAGACCGAAATACCGCCAGTGCTTCGAGTGGTAGTGGATCAACTGCTGCAGCATTACTCCGCCATTCCGCACCCAGAGACCAGCTTTAATCTCCCTCGAGAAGAGAAGCACGCGCAGCGGGTGGTCCAATGTGCTGTACCAGAACGCCAAGTCCTTGCGCTTGTCCGCGTCGGTAGCACCCATTCCCAACAGCTCACGCCAGTCCTCCAATGTTTGAGGACGCACTACACCACACAGAGCATGGACCAGCGCTGCGTACATGTGATGCAGCGGGAAGTGGAAGCTTTTGGCACTGGCGCCTCCCAATGCGACTGTGCCCTGCTCGTAATACTTCATAAGCTGGGCAACTGTGGTTGCCTGCATTTTCGTTGTTGCCTCGCCAGGCCCAGCTATTGCTGCCGACAGCTCGGAAGCCGTGGATCCGAATTCGGGACGCCCATTGCGGTTTTCCCACTGCGCTAAAGCCGCCCGTACAGGTTGCAAAATTGCTCGCGCCAGCGCAAGGGATCGGAATGTGTCAGGTTCTAGCGGGTTGAGCGGCGTACCACCCGTGATCACTCCGGTTGCTCCTTGGTTCCAGCTATTCTCCTCCGTTGTGATGCTCTGCCACACTTCAGTGGAGAAACACGCAGGAATGCCCGTGAGAAAAGCACCGAGCAGCAATTTCAGCTCGTAGTCGGCCACGAACGCGAATGTCCAGTTCTGAGACTCGTATTCGATATGGCGGTGGACATGCCGAGTCTGTAAATCCATTTGCTGAAGCAGCTCAAACGTCTTCATGAGCTGCGCGTACACCGACGCTCCATGCAGAGCGCAATCATCACCACCGATACACCGAAAAGAGCGCAATAACACCTCCGCTGCGATCTGTGGATGCACGAGAAGTGTTCGCAGATCTGAGCACAATCGGGCATAAATCCGCTTCTTGAACACATTTCGCCCACAATCCACCGCTTGAACGGTTCGCAATACAGGAGGAGCCTCTGGCACCGTCCCTATACCCACTGTAGACGTACTAGTTGTGCTCCCACCGCTAGTTCCCGTGTGAGTTCCATCGATGAGCGGCTGTGGCAGGATAGTCATTAACCGAAGAGTGCTTCGGAACAGGTCGTTGAGCTTCTCCAACAGGAACACCATAAGCCACTCGACACAGGACGAAGGCGTCGAGTCTGCAGCCGCTGCAGGCATTCCTAGAGCATGGTGAGGTCTCCTCCTCCTCCGCCGCCGACGCTGTCCAGACGCCTCACTCGAGTTGAAGGTTGGCCGCATCGACGCGAACACCGTCTCGAGCTCCCGCAGCTGCGCGTTGCTGTGGAAAAGCTGGCAGAACAACCGGTCAATAAACCGCGACAGGTTCCGCATCCCGTCCTCGTTGTTCTCGTCGCTGGCGGCCAGGTAGAGCTCGATGAAGTACGGGTACCACTCGACGAAGTGGCACGTGTACTTTTGCTTGAACGACTGGTCGAACAGCAGCTTGAGATACAGGACGCCGAGCACATCGCACGTCTCAACGGGCAGCAACACGCTGGCCTTGAGGAACACATCCAGCATGAGCAACGGCCCGTAGTTGATGCAGCCTTCGTCCGCCGCCTCGTCTTCTTCCGATGCGCCGCTGGTAGGCGCCTCCTCCTCCTCCACTGGCTGCTTCGTCGTCCTCGTACTCGGCACGGCCGGCGCATCCAGCTGAAACTCGGGCGGCAGCTCCTCGAAGAACATGTCGGAGATCAGGCTGCGGTAGTACAGACAACTCATGGAGAGCATCTGCAGCCACGCGAGCGTCTGCTGCAGCCTGTCCACATGCAGCTTGACGATGGAGGGCAGCGCCGAGCGTAGAATGCCCGTCCGGGGCAGCGCTCTCCTCTGATAGAACGGGTCTGCGGGGTCTACTCCGTGCGGCCTCAGACACGCCGCGTGCACCTCTCGCAGCACGTCGACGCAGAACTCCATGGTCCTGCGCACGAGCATCTGCACTGCCGCGTCCTCCTCCGGGTGCATCTTCATCCTGGTCGGCTCGTCCTCCCCGTTCTTGTCGCTATTCCGCTGCTGCTGGCTGTGCTTCTTGCAGAAGCCCTCGGGCTTCCAGGCCAGCGGGTCGCCGCAGTCGCAGCAGCCGCCCGACGAGCAGCGGTACACGCGGAAGTCGTGGCCCTCGTGCTCGTCCGGGTCGAAGCACGCCAGGCACATGCAGCTCGAGTCCGAGAGCCCGCACGTGCGGCAGCGGTAGGCCATGTGGTCTCCGTGCCAGACCTCCTCGCACTTGAGGCGCTTGACGCTGCCGTAGTGCGCGGCCAGGCACGCGTGGAAGGCCTCGGGCAGCTTGAAGCTCGGCGCGCCCTCCTGCTCCTGCTCCCGGGCCGCGGTCTCCTCCGCCGCGTTGCGCGCGTACGAGCAGCGCTGGTCTTCGGCCTCTGCGTCTGTGTGGGACCGCGCGTGCGCCGCCATGAGCACGCGCAGCAGGAACTGCAGCAGCCGCGGGAAGCTCTCGACCGCCGGGTCCGCCAGCAGCTTGCGCGTGAGCGCGCCCTGCGACGCGCGCGAGGCCGAGGCGAAGGCGGCCACGAGCGCCTGCTCCTGCTGCTCTTGGGGCGGCGCGTCCTCGCTGAAGAGCGCCGAGAGCCGCGCCGAGAGCGCCGCGTCCGCCTGCAGCTGCTGCTGCTGCTGGTTCTTGCCGCCGGCCGCGGTTTGCGCTGCGGCCGCCGCCGCGTGCAGCTCCAGGGCGCGCCGCTCGTGCTCCGCGTCTCCGGGCTTGGCCATCGTCTACAGTGCCGGTAGCTCGATGGAGAATCAATCACCCCTATGTCAAGTGGGGAGGATAGAACAGCGGACGCAGATTGACTGGGAGAATGTATGGAAACAGCTGGCAGAGTGGGACGGCTTGAGTCGAGCAACTTAACTGCCACCTACATGTACGGGTGCCCTAATGCTACCTACATAGGTGCTCCCGACTTATTAGAGCTGCATGTCGGCGGGCGACGGCACGGGCACGTGCTGTTTGAGGTGGTGCACGCGGTAGTTGAGCTTGTCCACCTGCTTCTTGAGGGCGTCGCGCTCGCTGCGGGCCTCGTCGCGCTCCTTGCGCAGCTGCTCCAGGGACGACCCCTCCTTCTGCATCGTGTCTGCAACAGCAACAGCAACGGCAATACCCAGCCCCGGTCATCAATAACCCACAGCTCTCTGCCTGCGACGGATACGTATTAGGTTAGGAGCGCACTGCAGTGGACGCACCTCTAATGGCGCGCAGCTTGAGCAGCAGCTGCGTCTGGTACTCCCGCAGGTCGGCGCCGCCCACGGGTCCGTCCACTTGCTTGGCCTCGGCCGCCAGTCGCTTCTCTACGGCGTCCATGCGGCCCAGCACGTTCTGCAGTTGAGGGGTCAAAAAGAAGAGGGAGACACGAAGGTGAGGCGGCGGGATCCTTGGAGAAGGAAGGTAGGGTCGAGTCGCTTCCTTACGTTGAGGTCCGAGTTGACTTGGTCCAGCGCCTGCAGCCGTCGGAGCAAGAGCAAGTCAAAGCATGATCTCCTTAGTGGCGTCGTAAGGCTTGCGCAGGGGCCAGAGGAAGAGCAAGATGCCGCACCTTCGAGTCGGCCATCGTTCTCGTCGTCCACCAGCGAAGCACAAATGATGTGTGGTGTGCACTACATAATTTTGATTGGCATGGCTACAGCGGAAGTGGCGATCTTCGGGCACGGTGCAAGCACAGCGAGCCACCGTGTTACAGCACAGAGGCCGCATTTGAAGCGCGTACGAGTTGCGCATAATGTAGGAGAGGTCTTCGGACGAGCACCATGCTGTGAAGATTGAAACAGCGAGGGCTGAAACGGAGGCTCCGAGAGCCCACATTGAACAGTACATTAGCTAGAGATGAAGAACGGACAAAACAATAGGGGGAGTCGAACCTTAAAAATGGCGACAAAAATATCAATAGAGACGGGGCCGAATCCTAAGAATCAATCAATCAGAAAGACGCGCCGTCCGTCCGTCACAAAATCGTCACGCTTATTCACTAAGTACGATTCCCACTAAGTACGAGTAGCTGCCGAGCGCAGCAAAGGCGGCTCCGTCGCCGAAGGCGACCCCACCATACGATATTGCGGGGCCGCAGGACCCGGCCCGGCCTCTGTAGTACTAATCTAACATTGAGAGTAGTGCAGCGAGCCAACGAGGCGAGCGGAACGGGTCCGCCACTGCCGTAGTGAAGCGTAGGCAGTCTGCTCCAATAGCGCAGCGAGCATTGCGTGCGAAGCGCCAACTAACAAAAAATTCACCGCCGCGTAGCGGCGGCGCTCGGCTAGTAATCAGCAACGCTCTGCCCCAAAAATCAACAATTCAAAGTAGGGTACTCACTCTCAGTTTTCGCATGTAGTTGGTGAAAACAGCGAATTATCACTTCCTTTTTCGCCAGCACGCGCAGGCTCTTGCTTAGTGCATATACATCTTCTTATATTCAGCTTTATACCTAGCAATGGCCGACTCCAACGTAACACTGTCCAGCAGCTCACAATGTCTCCATCATCACGAGTTGACATCTAAAACTTGTTTATAGTGATAGTGAACATGTTTATTTGGAGAGGATTCGTGTGAAAACTCGCCTAAACACATGCACAACAATTTCTAGTTAAGGAGGGACTTCAAAAACAGCTGAAATTGTATCAGAGGTCGAGGAGGGAACAGCAAGCGGTACCACTTGAAGTTCGAAATCATCATGATGATTTTTCAAATCAACCACCTCCGGAGGTGTTGATTTTGAAAATCAACAAGATATAGCCGAAATAACCAACATCAAATCGCCCTAAAAATCAGCATGTTTTTTGCCAGGTTCGACTCCCCCTAATAGAAAAAGAGACTAGGACAGAGGATTCGGTTGGTAAATCAGCAAGCGCTTCCACACTAATCACTCTGCTTCGGCTGACAGGCAGTTATAAGGCACTTGGCCATAGACCTGTACTTTGCATCATTTCCTATTTGTAAGAGCCCATTGGACTCTTACAGGTAAGGATTACCAACTGATGAGTGAGCTGCGGCAACTGCTTCGGGAACGGCATGTACTACAGTTTATACCCCTACGGACAAAATCTAAAACTGACCAATAAAAAATGTAGGACCTGGATCAACTTCAACAACAGTCCCTAGGACTAGGAGAAGTTGTTGTTGTTGTAGTGCACAAGTTATTTTGGGAGGAAGGGGGGGTCTATGATGATGGAGACCAGGGCCTTATTAAGGGCGAGTGTGTCTCACTGAATTCAGACTCTGAAGTGCAGGGTACTTCCAGGTACATGGATCACGTGGTGTTGAGCGAGGGGAGCATAATGGATCGCCTGATGATAGATAAGATCTACCGATTTTGTAGATCCAAACCGGTACTGTTCCGGTATGTAAACCGTTTTAGAACGTTCTAAAATTAAAATTGAATTATCCTGGTAGTGCTTCGGTTACGAAGAACCAGGATTAATTCGATGCACCTGATATGTGGCGCACATGAAGTAAAAGTATACTGAAATCAAGTAAAGTCATTTAATAATCTCAGAAATCGCATGGTTTCTTGAAATTCACGTAAAAGCAGAGACTTTTTCGGTGGAGTGGCAAACTAGTTCAGTAGGATATTCGTTTCCAGAGCTTAGGAATAAACGTTAAGTACGAAGGTGCCAGCTCTGAAATGTTTGAGTGAAGGAGGAGAGGGTATTTGCCGATAGCGGTTTCTAGTTGCTATGCAAGTAGTTTGTGCAGCAATATTTGATCTATCTACAAAAGCGCGGAGGATGTTTTGCGCGCTGCGACCAAGATAGAATAATGCTAAAGTCTAATACACATTCAGCAGTATGCGGCTAAGATAGCATGCGCAAAGGCGAGATGATGATGAAGCGAGGCACGGTAGGTAGCGCGGCGACATATCGGTGGTTGCAGGAGGGGAGGGGGGGGGGTTGTCTGAGTGTCGGTCCGTTCGGTGGTTCTGCGGCGAGGTGAGTCCAGCTAGTTCGGCACCACAGCAGCGGAGTTTTTTACCGTGAGCACAGGGTGGGGGTTGGCTGCTGCAGCGACCGAAAAAGCTGAACTGAGAACTGGGACACCGCTCGTAGGTGGTGGTCGTAGGAGCGCTCTGTAGTCCAGATCACTCATCATTTTCACCACGTTTTCATACAACGTTTCTTAGGTTTACTCGGAGAAATTAATTTTGTGGCTGAATGGTTGTGCTGTTGGTCGATCAATATCTAGTCTGCATCATTCAATGCGGAAATTTACATACAATTTTTCTTAGGATTACTCGGAGAAATTAATTTTGTGGCAACGCTGGCTGAATGGTTGTGCTGATGGTCGATCAATATCTAGTCTACATCATTCAATGCGAAAATATATTGAGAATACGCGAAGAAATACCATGAATCTGTAAACCGTCATGCATTTTTACTATTGATCGTACGTGCGCAGCTCAACGCTCATGGACGCGGCCAACCGCCAGGTGTCGGCTTCCAGTCTCGTGGAGAAGACGGAGGGCCGTATGGCGCACCTGCACGTGGCGCTCGAGTTCGGCGAGGAGATCACGGAGGAGCAGCTCCACGCGCCGTTTGAGAACAACCCACTGCACTACATCGCTCTGCACATCTGCATCACTTCCGGGGCGCGCCGTGAATAGCACTGGCGCCGCAGATGCGTATCAAATGTTGGCAAGTTTCTGTTCATTTAACCGAACAATTTTGGTTTGCTTCGACGAAATTGCATATTCAGGCGCACTACCAGGCCAATCCCCTAGTTTGCATCACATTTAGTTAGTAAATTGTATTGTGCCTTGCATGCTTTCTGTCTAAACAGCGACGTAATTCGTTGTTTTAGCAAATCACGGTGATTAGCCTATCATCGAGTTAGGCGGCTAACTCTTCGAGATAAGATAGAATAGCAGCTAAGACAACGAGTTAACGTTGGGTTATGCCTACTTTCGTTGAATGGCTGGAGTAAATCCGACAATCCTACGGTCCTGACATTCTAACTCTCTCGCTTTGTCTGCAGTCGACCATGACGATATCGATTGACATGCAGTGGCGATCTATCGTGCTAACCTACTTCTACGATATTGATCTGACCGTTGTGGCTTCAGTGATGGGAGTGTCAACGCGGTCCATTTCTCGCTGGGGCTATCGGTTCCGTCGTCGTGGTAACGTCATCACGAACGCTCGAATTGAACGGAAGACGCGCTGGCCTCCGGAGACTATCAAGTTTGTCAAGGGCTTCGTCGAAGAACATCCCTGTTTTTATATCGAGGAGCTGCAAGCAGCGTTGAAGTCAGCGTTTCCTGCGCTACCAAACATATCTACTGCGACAATATGCCGTGCACTGAAATTCGACCTTGGATTAACGCGCAAGGTCCTCACGAAGAGAGCGAGAGAAAGTGTCCCCGACGCTTACTACAAGAAGTTGGCGCTATTCTATCGTGGACCTCATCAGCTGGTTTTTCTTGATGAAACCGCGAAAGATGGTCGAGATGTTCTCCGGCGGTTTGCGTGGTCTGCGCGAAATACACCTGCAATAGTTCGACAACCGTTCGATCGTGGTAAGTAGCTGCACTTGTATTTATCTCATTATGCAAAAAGGATGCCTAATATTTCGACTATGAAGGTGATCGTGTGTCGATTTTAGCTGCCATGGACATTTCAGGCTTCATTGCGTGGGATACAACACCAGGAACATTCGACAGAAACCGATTTCATGAAGCATTTCACAAGCATGTAGCCCCACTTCTTAATCCGTGGCCACTCCCCCGGTATGTAATTGTTTTTTTTTAAGTTGCAAACTTTTTCGGCTGACTTAATATTGTTTAGATCGATTGTTATTCTCGACAATGCAAAAATCCACATGTATAGGGAGCTGGAGGAGCTGGTTCATTCAACGGGAGCACTTTTGATTTTTTTACCGCCTTACTCACCTCAATTGAACCCTATTGAGGTTGGGTTCGGCCAGTTGAAGAGGTGGTTGACACGGCACGCTCCTCTTGCTTTCCGTTTTGATGCAAAGCGGACCTTGCAAGTGGCAATGCGCAAATGTATGGAGCCATCTAGCGAGACAAACGACAACATTTACGGCCATTGCGGGTACGATCAACTGGGACTCAATCGCAACATTTTTTTAGTTGAAAAAATAAATTCAAAAAAGCAAACTGTTAATCTTGTCACTGTTGGATGGGCTCGGTGTGATCTACGTCGCTTGCATTGACGGCTGGTGTCGTATGCTCTAGGTCGGGGCGAAAGGCAGGGAAAAGATCGTAGGACGGTAATCCGACAGCTCTGCGGAGGTCAGCCACGTCTAAGTCTAAATCAATAACCCCTCCATTAAGGCGACACCCAACACGCACGAACTGGCGCTGGTGCGACTCATTCTGATGCTGCTCGGCCATCGCTGCTGACGTACTCATTTCGGATTGTAGGGCGTCGATACGCTGTAGTTGGGCAAACGTAGCGCTGGTTGGAGGCTCAAGAGGGGTTCCTTCGGGCTGCCGTGCATGCGATATCGCCCAGTATCGTTGAGAAGCCGGTCCATATGTCATGTTGTCTCCTTCGCGCTTTAGCAGCTCGCTAATTGCAGCAGCCGAGGCTTCAACACGAGCTTCGGTGGGGCGACGAATCTGACATAGTGTTCTTCCACTGTACATATATAAAAACATCAAGCTGAAAGTCTGCTTGCCTAATAAGAAAACAAAGCTCCGTCAGAAATAAAATTAAAAACATACGACAGGATGATGAAAAACTAATTACCCAGTCTTGCGGCGAGCGGCTTGTTTCCATAATCGATTAATTCTGTCAGCAAATTCATGCTGTGAACTCGCAAATGCAACGAATGCTGCTTGTGACGCATTTGCAAATGGCTTGAACAGAATGGGCGCATCCGACTCCCATGTGATGTCAGTAAACGCAGCAATCTTGCTGTCGATCTGAGCTCGCAGGACACCGTAGCCTTCGCCATGCTGGAACTCGAACACAATCGGTGCTCCATAGGTCGTGCGACTGTTAGAGTACGGCTGACCAACTTTGATGGTCAGGCTGACCTGCAGTTTATCAGGAATTGGCAATGCCATTAGAGTGTCTGTCAATAGAAGACAGTTAGTTTGGTAAGTTGTGCAGTCAAGCCGGTTGAAATATACACGAAGACAACGTCAAGACAGCGAATCTACCTGCGCGATGAAGCGTCTAGTCGGGTGTCGAGTGCGATGCAGTTCTGGTAGTGCGGAGGCTACTGGTACCAGCGGCGCACGATCTATTCTTGCAGCGACAACCTCTCCATTCTTGCAGCGGCTACCGGTCTATTCTTGCTCTGCGCTGTAATTGGGACTGGTGGTTGATTGACTTATTTTTAACTTAGAGTTAGGCTGCGAGATATGATCACCGGGAAGGATTTGCTCGTTGGTTTAGAGCCCTTAATCGCATGTCAAAGTTCGTGCAAAACACAATAATTAAAAACTGCAGCAGCTCACATGTTCACTTCCTGCTAATTGTACGTTCTGTTGACTGTCTTCTATCCGCTTGCTCCGGAAAGATTCCATTAGTATAAGCCTCTCAAGCTCCTCGAACAGAAAGTTGGATACCGGTAGAGGCTCCGGGAAAGAGAATTCCTCTCCAATTGTTTTGCCGCCGGTCTACATGTATTGCAGACCTCTTCGGATGTTGGTACACGTTGGTAAATTGCGATGATGCCAGTAGGTTTAACATCCACACGTAACTTTTGAGGGCGTTAACTGGAGGGCATTTGATGGGATATCGATAATGCCGGATCGTCCACCCCACCGCTTCACTCCAGTTTAGCGTGTAGCTCGCATCCTGTATCGAAGTGCAGCAACTGGTAGGGTATCCTGGTGCAGATCTACACAATTGCACCAGGGCTGGCTTGTACCAATGGCGGATACCAGATCGTCTACTTGCGGAGCATCACGTGTTCGCATCCGAGTGCATGTAGCTACAAAAGCCCAGTACGATGGCCAAGCCACTGAAGCGAGGTAGAGGATAGATCGATCTGGAATCCGATACTACTACTACTACTACTACTACTACTACTACTACTACTACTACTCGAGGCAACACCCACTGTGGCTAATCGGCTACGAAGAGATAGTGTACGACGATACGACTTCAAGCTCGAGGGCATACACAAGCGCAAACGGTCCGACGGCAGCATGCCCCGAGTAACACCGAGCCGATTAATCCCGATTCCGATGCAAGCAGCAAAACACCCGGCTGCAGACGGATTTTGTGCTACAGCTCCAAGCGAAGGTACCGAGATCTTTCGTTGCGCAAGAGACGCAGTCAGAGTCCCTGGAGCATTCGTGGCGGAGGTCTTCTTCCACCTGCTTGAGAGCAGCCTCGGGTTGTCCTGGTGCATGGCGAGATGACGAAGGAGATGACGAGTCATCCACATACGCGGCTGATGCTGGTCGTGCAGGAGAGGGCGTTCGTACCATGCACGTCGTCCCACGCCTGGAAGCAAAATACGGTGAAGACAATGGCCGCAACTTGTGCATGCGGCTTCTCTCGAGAAGGCCGAGGATGTATATTTTAGGGTGTAGCTAGCGCCAGCCTCCCTGCCCCATCCATTACAGGTCGTCAGCCAGCCGTCATCGATTGCAAACCTCTGCACCTAGGTAGCGGGTTAGCCGCGGTGGCATCAGCACGAGGCAGTACTTACAGTGGTCAACCTGACAGCTACTGGCCGCCACCTCGCGACGGATAGAGATGGCGGGGAGGAAGCGTTATCGGCAGGTAGCCCCGCCGGCTGCTCCCCGCAACTAGCCCGGTTACATGCAACGAACGCAGGTGTTCTTCACCCGTAGGTACACGTGGACCCTTTGTCCCTCGGTCGAGGCGCTCCGCCACAACCCCCGTGGTCTCTCTCCACGGTCCCGTCGCTCTATTTGTCAACTGCCCTCGTGTCGTTCTCGTTTCTTCTCCTTCTTACCCGGGCCAGAACGAGCGTTCTTGCCCCAAGCGCCTCTCTTCCGTTGAGCCCACCTCCGCCGTTGCCGACACCAGCAACAGCTGCGCCTTCGACCTTGAACGTCTTACCTGGACGCTTCGAGAGCTGTTCGCTCCCTTCGCGTTTGTTGCGCGCGCCAATCTGTGGCTCAAGAGCGCCACGCGTTTGAAAATTCGAATTCGCCAAACCGGTGGTGTCCAGTGCCAATCGTTATCCCGGCGGTATGGCCTTCCACCACTCATCCGTCCCGATCTTACCGGTACTTACCAATCGTCCTTCGGTATCATACCTGTGACGAAGTCCGCTCAGATTTTGGCGAACCTCGTCGGTCGACTGCCTTTGACATGCTTGGTCTAGGACGCAGTGATTCAGCCTCAACCATGGTACGCCAGGACGACGTCGGTGATGGAAAACCTGGTGGAGCCCTTGGCGTATGGAGCTGGTGCTCAAGTGCAACTTCGAAGTCGAACAAGCGTGCGGGATACGGATATGGCAGAAGCTGGACTGCGGAGGCTGTTGGTCGATGATCGCTAAGCTCAGATGTGAAGTGCAGAAGTTGCCGAAGTTCAGATGAACGGCTGCCGGGGTCGACCGAAGTCCTGGGATGTCGGCGCTATGCTTGCGGAACATTGCCACGCCCAGACCTCGCGCGCTGATCACTGGTGCTAGCAAGGCGTGAGGCCGGCTGCATGCGTACTCGGACTGCGTGAGGCTTCTACTACTTGGATGTGCTTGCTGCATCGCTGAAGTCCAGCCGAAGTGACCCGAGGTCGAGGAGCCCGTGCCGCGTCATTGCCGAACTTTCGAAGGTCTCGGCTAAGCCTCTGACGGCTCAGCGAGGAAGGTTCCCCTGGACTCCGAGGAGGTTCAGCCTGAGCTTGCTGGACTTCGCTGAACATGGCTGGATTTGGCGAACGCTGGTGGACACTTCGAGTTCAAGGTCCAGCGGAGTCTTGGAGGCTCAGAGTGCTGTTGAAGTTGTGCTCGCGTCAGGTCGCTGTGGAGGGTCGCCGTGTCAGGTCACGCCATCCCGTGATTGCAGACAAATCAGCTCTGACATCTCCCGTCGCACCCTGATGACGCACCCCATGTGGCCAATCACAAGCACAGGATCTGGGTTGCTGGCGGTGTTTACGCCCAGAGTCGCTGGATTCTGCTGGACGCATCCGAGTTTCGGCCAATCATCGCTGAGCTCATGTTGAAGCGCCGCACGCGACTGCGCGTTGCTGGCAGCTCGCAAAACAGTCTTCTCACTGTTGTTTTAGTGTTTCCGAAGGGCGTTTTGCGCCCCTCTTGATAGGTTCATGTTTGCATGTGTGAGATTTCAATCAGAGTCGAATGTGCCTCGAACGACGCACGTGTTTGGATTTTGTGTGGTCGCGGGTGTCAAAGAGCGCCTCCAGTGAAATTCAAGGCCCCCTATCGACCGATTCGGTATCCCTGGGTGTGAGGAAGGCTTCGTTTGGCTATTTCATATCGTTACGCGTCGAACCGACGCTTGGGAGTGGCTCTCTGCGTGTATTTCATTTTGACCGGGGAGGAAGAGCCTTCTCGTTGGTTGTAAAGCGATCGTACGACTGGTTGGGATTCGGCTTGACATGTGGCGTGGATTGTTTGGTGTCCGTCTGGCATTTGAAGATCGAGCGTGGCGCGCGGAAGTCCCAGGGCGCAGAGCGTGAACATCAAGACAGGCTCAAGCCGAGCCAACTCACGGGGCTACTCTAGGTCGAGGAGCGAGGGAGACCTGGTTGTGCGGATCTCAGCTGGAGCCGCCGGAGGAAGTGAAGAAGCTGTCAAGACCTGGTCCAAGGTCTGGAAAGAAGAGGACGGAGTGCGTGTGGAGTGTCGTGTCTACATTGAAGAAAACCCGGGGCAGATTGGGCTACGACACGTGCAGACGGGAGCCTGTTAAGTGGGGAGCAAGCACCGTTTGGAGACACTGGGAGACATCTGGACTGCACGTGAAGTTATCGTGGTTGACCTCCGACTGGGCCCAAAGCGTAGCCCTAGGAAGAGCTATTCAAGGGGATCAAATGGGAGGTACACGCACGCCTCATCCGGTTCGAGTCCAAGTTCAAGGAGCGTCAGCAGAGTCTTCATTGCAGCCCTGCCGAGGTCTTTCGGCTGGGACTCTGAGACTCTAGAACTCTGCGAGTTTGGGTCTGGACCTGGTAATTCTACGTTTGGACAAGTCTATTCTACGTCTGGAGGAAAATTGTCCCGCCGCCTCGCCGCGTACCTCGGTGGCTTGGATGCAGTCCCCCACATTGGTCCATACCCCGTCACCACTCCGGCCGAGTTTCTCCCAAGTCCCGACTGCTCTTGGCCCGACGTCGCTCTCGCCAAGGACCCGCGGCCTTTGGACGCCTGGCGCGCATCCCATGCGCTCGCTGCTGCCTCCAGTCCGACACCGTACCCTTCTCCGTAGTCGCCGACGTGTGGGGTCACCAAGTTGACCGCCTCATCCAGCGTCCTGGGGCGGTATCCGCGCACGTGGGTCGCGCCCATCGGGCACCTCATGCCCTTCAGGAACGCACTCACCAGCCAGTCCTCGCTGATGTCACCCTGCTCCGCGATCTCGCGCAGCGATTGCGCGTAATCCAGCAACCTTTCACCCCACATCTGTCGACACGCGTTGTGCAGATCGACGACCTCCGACCCAGGGTCCATCTGTCACCTACATCGCCCACACCTTGGCTGCGTAGCAGAGGTATCACCTCCTTTGCCTTCGATTTCCTCGTGCCACAGTCACGGCACGACCTGACCCAGCGTCTGATGTGAGTCCTCATGTCCGGCCACCAATACTTCGCTGCGATTCTGGCGTACGTCTGCGGCACCCGCAGATGGCACGCAAAGATAGAGTCATGATTCTCTCGCAGTACGTCGGCCCATAGTGCCGCTGGCAACACGACGCGCAGATTGCCGTCGTCCTCGCCAATGTGCACCAACTCGTCGACCACCACGACATCTCGTTCAGCGTAGCGTCCCTCCCGCCTCAGCTTCTTTACCGTCTTATCCTCTGCTTGACGCTCACGGATCAGAGCGTCCGTCACTTGCCCTTCTCCGCCGTGCGCTGCCGCCTCTGCACCTTGCTCTCCTCCAGGTCCTTGACCAGCTGCCGTCACCGTGTGCACCGGCGCGCGTGACAGCGCGTCGGCGACCACGTTACTCGCCCCTGGTCGATACACGACCTCGAAATCGTATTCCTGCAACTGTAACGGCCATCTGTGTAGCCGCCCTGTGAGATCCTTCGAAGTCATGAGGCACTTTAAAGCGGCATGATCCGTTACCAGCTCGAACTTACGCCCATAGAGGTAGGGCCTAAAAACTTCACAGCCCACACCACGGCCGCGCACTCCAAGTCCGTGATGCTGTACTTTGCGGCCGTGGGTGAGTTCACCTTCGAGGCGTACGCCACCGGTTGCTCGCCCTGCCCTTGGTCCTGCGTCAGCGTCGCCCCCATCCAACCTTGGAAGCGTCTGTCACCTGCTTGAAGGGGCGCGTGAAGTCGGGATAGGCCAGCACCGGCCGCTCCGTCAACGCGCACTTCAGCTGCTCGAACGCCTCCTGCTGTGGCTCTGCCCATCGCCACACTGCATCCTTCCGCAGCAGCCGTGTGAGTGGCGCTGCCACGCTCGCAAAACCAGGCACGAACCGCCTGCAGTAGCCCGCCATGAGGACGAACCGCTTCACCTCGTTGGTATCCGTCGGCGCCGGAAACTTGCGCACACAATCAACCAGACTCTCCATCGGGCGCACCTCCGAGGGGTCCAACTCGTGCCCTAAGTACTCTAGCTTCTCCTTCGCAAACGTGCACTTGCTGGCCTTCAGCGATAAACCCGCCTGTGCCAGCCTCTCCATCACCATCGCCAGTTCTACGACGTGTCGCGTCATGTCCCCCTTTGAGAAGACGATGACGTCGTCCAAGTACACCAGACAGCTCTCCCAGGTAAGCCCTCTCAACACTGCGTCCATCATTCTCTGGAAAGTACGAGGTGCATTCGCTAACCCAAACGGCATTCTTACGAATCTGAACAGGCCTTGTCTCGTCACGAAGCCGGTCTTATCGCGATCTGCCGCCGCCACCGGGACTTGCCAATATCCCGCGTGAATGTCCTGGCTCGTGAATCGCCGAGCCCCATGTAGATTGTCAAGGGTGTCGTCTATCCGTGGTAGTGGGTAGACGTCCCGCTTAGGGATGGCATTCAGAAGTCTGTAGTCGATGCAAAACCGCACCGACCCATCTTTCTTCTTTACCAACACTACTGGAATGCCCCAAGCACCACTGCTGGGCTCGATCACTCCGTCCTGCAGCATGTTCGTCACCTCCTTATCAATGACCTCCTGCTCACTGCGCGCATACCTCCTCGGTCGCACCTTGATCGGGGCCTCGTTGCCAGTGTGGATGGCGTGCTCCACTCCTAAAGTCGTCATTAGTGGACAGCCTTTCCTCAGCTCTAGTAGCACAGGGTAGTTCCTAAGAACTTGTAAGAGCAACTCTTTGTCCTCTGCGCCCATGTCCCCGATGTCAAGTTCGTCCTCAATGCATAACGGCTCGGGATTGGCGCCCAGCTCACGCTCTAGCCACTCCTTCACCTTGTCTCTGCTCAAAGCGCCACCCAGCTCCATCACGTCAAGGTCATCGCTGCTCGGTGCCCATGTGCCAAGCACCTCACGCGTTGGTAGCTTCGCCCTTCGTCCTACCAGGTTGAGTATCGGGACTACGAACTTGCCACCTCGGACTGTCGTCAACGTTGGAGCCAACAACAGGTGTAGCGCTTTGCGCGGGGCAGGCATGAAGACGCCCGTAGCGCCCTCCGGCGCTGCCACTGCCAGTTCCACGTTGTGACCGGTCCGAGTGTCGATCTTCGCCCGACGCACCAGTCTCACCCGAATCACCCGCTCGTCCTGTGGCCCTTCACGGGTCCAGGAGAACGGCACGATCTTCTTGATGTCCCCGCTGTACCACTTCATCTCGCAAGCGGTGAAGTTGATCTTCACCCCGTTGCCCAGCATCCAATCTTCTCCTAACAGGAACTCGTCAGCAGCGCCCTCGACCACCAGCGCCTTCGTGGACATTGTCTGCCCGTACTGCGTCTCCATCTTGAACTGCCACACCCCAAGCACCCTGGCCACGGTGCCCGTGAACCCCTCGACGAAGTCCACTGGCGGCAGCTCGTCCTGCTGTACGCCCAAGTGCTTCCACGACTCGCCGGTCACGGTGTATTGCGCACCCGTGTCCAGCTTGATGTCGCACCACTGCTCTCGCATCTTCACTCGTACCGTCGGCAACGTGTCCGTCGCCGGTGCACGGACTGCCCGTAGTCTCCCCACTCGTACTGACCGCGTCCCTTCGTCGATCCAGCCAATGCTCGGCTGCTGGTAGACGCTGCCACTATGGTAGCGGTACTGCTTCATGGGCTTCTTTCCCCTGATCGCTTGCTTCATCGGCTCGGTGGCGCGTGGCAGTGCAAAGACAATCACGTGTGCGCGTTGTGCGTCTCATCATGCACTTCGCCCTCAGCATAGACGCCAAGGTGTCGATGTTCTCGTCGCCCGGCGCGACCGTCTCCATCACCGTCGCGAACCAGCGCTGCGCTTCGCCGTCCAAGTGTGCCGCTACCTCGTGGTAAAGCTGCGCTTCGGTCCACTACATAAATGTTAAGTTGATTAAAGTATACACCTCCCTCATTTAGCAACTTGAAGGCATAAAGCCCGACCTCTCACATATATCGACCTCTGCTCAGTTTATATTTAGAGATGAATTAAGAGAAACATTTTATGTAGCCAAAATACAGCTTAAACCCGCGCAAATACAATCCCCCTTTAAATCCGATAGAAAAGCCGATGTCGGAAGTGAGGGTGCATACAGTATAATATGAACATAGTTTCTGTCTGGAGGTAGACCAAAGGTTCTAGATCTAGCGGCAGAGGCTATTGTGCTTTCACGTGTTTTGGCGGGTGAGCTGTTAATTCAGGTGGAATAAGAGTCATAAAAGGGCGATCAACGCTTATTTAGTGCAAATTCTGCCTAAGATTGTAAGCGCTTCCCCTAACATCCGCGATCAGCATTTGAGAGCCAATCGACGGGGATACGAGCAGAATGGCATGGATTGGCGGGTAGGAAACCGCCAATCGCTCTGCTTCCGCCTAACGCAGGCTGGGTTAGCTTAGTCCGCCTTAACTCGGCCTCACCATCGCCGCTCCTAATTCGGCCACGGTGGGACGGCACGGAATTAACATGGGAATTAGCTAACTCGGGGCATAATTAAGGTCGATAAGGGATTAGAGTTAAGCCAGAATTATCACGGCAGAATAAGTGATTCCTTCGCTTTCGTAAGTAGCATATAGGGGTTCCTGCGAAGTCGTCGGCGTGGACAGCTGACATTTTGCAGGAAATGTTTTTTTCCTCACGGGATTTGACTGGCTTTCATTATGCGACTGTTGTCATCCAGTTCTTCTGAGCAAACGTAAGCGGGAGCCGCCGACGCTTACATCAAGTCCTTCATTGGCTAAAATTTGACAGCAACACACAAAGAACATCGACCCAGCAGCAACATGAGTGATGGAGGCTCGCAACACACTTTTGCTCCAGCGCGGAGTACAAGTCATACTGACGTCGAGGCGATACGCGATGCAAGCGTCACCAAGCAAACAAGACAAAAGTACAAGAGCAGCCTCAACGGGATTAAGAAGTGGATCAGGAGCGAGCTCGCTAAGGAGGATGAGAACATCGCCAGGTTTTTCGACGCTGATGATGACATTAATCTAAGTGAGTTTACACCGAGTGTTTTGAGCGTTTTCTGGTGTTCAAGAGCGCCTCTGTGAAGACGGCTACGCTGAGCGGGTACCGAAGTGCTATCAAGGATCTTTATCGCGTGAAGCGCGTGGCGCTGCCTCCTGAGTACGGCGATGATATGAAGCAACTGTTCTCCGGTATGAAGCGGATGGAGGTTGATCAGGACCAGACTAGCACCCCAAAGACATCAGGAAAGCAGCCACTCACGTACTCCCTTTATAAGGAGTTGTGCAATTCGACTCTCGTGGCGGGTGATGACGGGTATTCGCATCTTTTTTTTTACTTCGCAGTGGAATTTGATGTGTCGCTCAATGTCGGTCCAGACTCTCCAAAGTCAGCATCTCGTGGCGAAAGATGATAGCGCTGGAGTAATATTTGTGAAGACGAAGACTAACCAGGAGGGTTCAGGGCCCCGTGATCCACGCCACCTGTACGCGAACCCGCTGAGCCCATCAACGTGCTGGGTGACTGCCTTGGCAATTTATCTTGCATGCCACCCTCGATTGGAACCGGGGGCACTACTTCCAGGCTCTAACCAGAAGCTACGATTTAGCAAGGTGCTGACTAACCTTTTGAAGCAAGGAGACGCTGGTAAAAGTTACGGTACGCACTCGGTGCGCAAAGGAGTGGCTACATTCGCTTGTGGAGGAAGTACAGGCTGTCCCTCGATCGTGAGTGTGTGTCTTCGCTGCGGATGGAGCCTCGGTGGAGTTCAAGATCGCTATTTCCGTTATGAAGCCGCAGGATATCAATTCCTGGGGCGAGTAGTGGCAGGACTTCCCGTAAATGACTCTAAGTTCGCTACTTTAACGCCCCATTTTCAGGATGGCCCCGATAAATATGTGAAATCGTGCGTGGAGACTATGTTTCCGGTTCTCTCTCGCGAAGCGAATATGGCAGGAATTTTGCGGTTGTGCCTAGCATCACTCGTGCATCACGCGGAATATTTGCAACAGCATTTACCGGCCACCCATGCATTACTTTCGAAACATTTGTTTACAAGCCCCACTGTCCTTAGGACGCTTGAAGGCCAACTAGTAGCTGGAGAGTCTGTCTGGATGCGACCAACGGGGATACCGCCCTATATTGAGCTATACAAGAAGCTTGACCAGCAGCAAAGGTCAATTGATGAGCTGCCTGGAAAACTGGGGCAGAGAATGGAGCATGTACTTGAGAAAAAGGGTGTGGCAGAGGGCCATATTACGAGAGAGTTATTGCGTGATGAAATTCGATCGTTGTTAGACGAAGTTGGGCTCCAACAACGTCTGTCGATCAACGCCGTAGTGCCAGCGCCAGTTCCAGTGCACCAGTATCATGTCTGGGGCGGGAAATTTCATGTGCTACCTAGAGAATTTAGTTTTCCGAGTATCGATCCCCTTGGGGCATGGATGCTATGGTGGTTCGGAAATCCAAAGCTCAACTACCCCCCGTACAAAGGAATATCATCGGACGACCTGGATACACCGCAGAAAAAAGCGACGCTGTCAGAATGGTCAATTATGATGCGGCACATTATGAATGGGATCGAGGCCAAGCTGGACGCACCTATGCCAGAAATCCGTGACAAGAAACACGCTATTGAGCTTTTCAACATTGGATACGGTACACTGATGTTAAAGCCAAGCAAACGTAAGCGAAGAGCTGAACAGCTTAAGCTTACAACTGTTTTGAGACTCATCCGACAAGCCGATCAAGAGCGAAACGAAGAAGACAGTCAGCCGCCCAAGCGTCAGAGACACACAAGCCAATCCGAGTGTCCGAGATTGGCAAGCTAGTAGTAGCTATAATCAAACAGTACACCCATTTACATTCGTGTTAGTACAGTCGAGCTGATCGCAGTAGTGCAACGGAGCGTAAAGCTAGCAAACCTTGCTGGCGTACAGGGTATCCTAAAACCAAAGTTGTTAGCGTAAGGTTTTATAGCCATTTAGCAACAACAAACACAAACCTGGTAGCTCGTGAAGTCGCCGCCTAGAACTCGGCTGTCGACTGTTGCAGTCACCGCTTAGTCTGTACCTATGTATGGCACTTCAATAAACTTTTAGCCAATCAAATTGTGCCTTGATACCGTCGCAGAATCCATCTTACGTTTTCGCAAGTCAATTGAAAGGCACAATACATGTAGCCATATGTACTTGGCATCGCCAGCAGTGAACTGGATTCGGTTGTCGATAGGTATTGTCAAGCTCAAGCAAACGCTTCAAACCAAGGAAAATGTATTTAAGCCCATAGCAATGACAGGGTTCATGCCCCCGATGGGAAAGACGACGCCTCCGCCAAATCCTCCAGATCTCCAAGAATCCGAAGTAGTTCAGGCAGCAAATCAATCTTAGGCTCTAACCGGGCTACGCGGCCATTCTCCTCATCAAAGTAGAAGTCCACAGAAATGCTGCAGTTGAGCGATTGACCCAGGAGACGGCTTCGCACAGACCTCGGAAGAGGGTCGTACTTGCTTTGGGGCTCGACTTCCACTAGATGGGGAAAGAGGTGTCTCATTACGAGCTCCGTGGCGACCACGCTGAGTTTTGCCGAGGCTGTCATAACGCCAGGAGCCACGAATTCCACTCGCTTGAGCTGAAGACGCGCATCCCCGAGGTGCATCGAGTAGTGACGCCATCTCTCCACCAGACCATCAATACCGGTGAGCTCCCCAGCCGCCACGTCCGACGTGAACACATCGTGTAGAAACTTCAGGTTCTTCCGCATGTCGACGTCGTCGAGCATTTCGCTCTTGTCCGCCATGCTCCAGGGCGAGCGGAAGGAGCTTTCAATGATGCGGAAGACCTCGGACACGATCGTCCAAGGGCTCTGGCTGGTCTTCTCCGAGAGCACGATGCTTTGGCGCCTTTGCTTCAAGTTCTCAAGGTCTTGACGCAGTTCACGCACGGCATTCTCCAGCCGTAGCTGATTGTTCCGCTGCTTGTTGCGGTAGCGCGCTTGGTTGGTCCGGCACTGCTCGCGTCGGATCTCGGACTTGGTGAGCTGCCCCTTACGTAGTAGCGTATCGTTCGTTTCCGCCACCCTCATACGCGACGACATCGGCAGCTTCGAGTGACTTGATCTCGGCGATTCCATGCTGCAGCTCGCCATATACGCATCGCGATACTTCTGCATTGTCGCTCCGCGTTGCTGGCTTAGAAGCGCTGATGGCCCCCCTTCACCCCACGCAGCGTCGTCCGATTTGCTGTTTGTACCTCGTGGGAGCACGCGGCTCACGAGGTCGTCGCTGAGCCTGGCCCGGACTTGCTCGAAGCGGTGGAAGCGGTGGCTTGAGGTCTCGAAGTGGCTTGTCATGGCGCTGGTGAGTGAATTGTGAACTGAGTTGCCTCAAAGCGAGTGGCACACCCGGGTTCTCTAACCAAGACGGCGCGTAATCGTGTGGCACTGCAATCATCTCACGTACAGCAGAATCTTGGCATCGCTGCCGCCAGTACGTGTACAGTCGGTAAAAGCACACGAGGGTCAGGGCTAGCAGCGCACCTCTCAATTCAATCCCGCTATTTGTATCGAAGCGGCTCCACCCTATTGCGGGGGATTACACGGTACTTGAGGTGACTCGGGCGGCGCAGCTCACATACAGCTGAGCTCAGGTCGATTCCAATGACGTGTAAACGCTCGCCACCGTAATCCATGACCAAGCCGTACTCTTACAGTAAGCTCACTTACAGCTCAGTGAGCTCAGTTTGCTGTAGGAGTTTGGCTTGTTTGGTTAGTTTGCTGAAGAGTTCGGCTTGTAAGAGGTTGCTGTAAGAGCCGAATCTGCTGTAAGAGTTCGGCTTGGTCAGTGAGATCAGTGAGCTAAGAGCTCGGTTTGGTCATGGATTACGATGGCGAGCGTTTACATGTCAATCACATCGATCTGATTGGCAGTCAGTGCCTGCAAGGGCTTTGCTTGGTGTCGCGTGATACCGAGGTCAGCGTCTCGACTCGAGGACAACTTCCCCTTCCAATTCCGACGAAGGAACAGACAGCGTGGCAATGCATCCACATGTAGCACCTGCTTCTGGAAGACATACTACAGGAACTTTGCGGACACATCAGATCGCCGAGCCAGACACATGTACCATATAGCACCTGAGCGCGAAACGTACCCAGTGGATACTGTATAGCGACATATAGAGACCCGCTCTTCCAGCTCGAGCAACACTTCCCTTGAAGGGTTTGCAAGACCATGCAAATACCGGTACATGTACACTTCGAAGTTACTGTAGCTCGTTGCGTACGCACACCGTACACGTACGTAATACCGTGAACTGCGGCTTGAACCAGGGTACACACTGCATTGAGCAGTCCAATGAACGACAAAAACTCCATCCACGAATCACACAAGCCGCCAGAGCAATGCGACGCCAGCTGCTCCCATCTGCTTTCAAGCGAGTACTTTTGTTGCTCGATCGCTGCTCTCGGACTCTTTGTCAGTACCGCCGTAACTTGCCAAAAGGAGTAGAGCTCATACAGTGGCAGTGCGCAGAGCTCGACGCAGAAATCAATCCGCTCTTGCTTGCTCATTGAGAACAGCACGCCTCAGTTCTAAGTTAGAACTTCTAACAATACCACGAGCCGGTATACCGATGCTGAGTATACAAGGGGCAAGTAATTACGACCCCCCGCAATCGCAATCCCTCCCTGGCGCCTCACGCCATCCACGATTCCAAACTTTTTTGCTCAACGCCACGTGATCCTTCAGAACGAAAACCGCCGGCCCGCCAGCAAGTCACTTCCCGTCTACCCATCGATGAGCCGCTACCCGTTTGCCGCCCCCAAGCCGCTGAGCGACGGCCTCGTGGGCCTCGTGCTGCCGCGCGCGCCTGCAGGTCGGCGCTACAGCGGCGACGCCAGCGCCGCGGCCGCCCCTTTCCAAGCCCCCGTGACCCCGTTCAGCGCCGCCAGGAGGAGCGCGGCGAGCCTCCGTGACGAATTTAGAGCGACCGGTGACGCCACCCACGCGCTACTCACTCTCACTGCCGCAGAGACTACACAACCGTTTCTGCGTGCCGAAGCTGAGAAGGCCCCGATGCTCACGATGACGTCGACCGCGACGTCTTCAAACTCAGTGAAGACCAAGGACATGCACAAGCGCAAGCGCGAGGACGACACCAAGGTCCGTCGTCGCGAGCAGTGTCGAGCCAACCAAGCCCGATACCGAGACAAGCAGCGCAACGCCCAGCTGCAGCTCGAGCAGAATGTGGAGCTACTGCACCAAGAAGTCAGCAACTTGAAGCGAAGGTACCAAGATCTGTCGTCGCGCGAGAGGAGCAGCCAGAGTCCCTGGAGCATCGTGGCGGAGGTCTTCCACCTGCTCGAGAGCAGCTACCGGTCGCCCTGGCGCATGACGAGCACCAAGGAGATGATGAGCCACCCGCAGACGCGACTGACGCTGGCTGTGCTGGAGAGGGCCTTCGCGCACGACGCCGCCATGGGCGAACGACGCGGCGCTGACGCGCTGATGGAGCAACTGCGACTGTACTCGCAGTGCTTCGGCGACCCTCGCCTGCAACTGAAGCGCATTGAGTCCGTGTTTGCTGGTGTGATGGCTGCGCGCGTGAGACTGAGTGTGACGGTGACGGAGTTCACGCTGAAGCACGTCTTCCCGCACCCGGAAGCAAAGGGCGGTGAAGCCAATGGCCAAAGGCTGTACGAGCGTCTTCTCGGCCAGCGTCTCGATCTCGACTGCACGATGAACTTCCTCTTCGACGACTTGAGCTGCCGTGTTGCTCGCTTAGAGACTAAGGTTGATCTGATGACACCGTTGCTCCGGGTGCTCGGCAGTCTGAAGGATGTGGCGAGCGTTCTCGAGAACGCCCGTGTCTCCTCGGAGTGCACCATCGGTAGTCTCACTGATTGAGTTGCCGTAGTACTCTCCCTTTTATTTTAATGATCATCAGTTTCGCGTAACGTTAGGAATATGAAGTTGTGGCCTTTGTCATCGTGCAAATTGATCACAAAACTGACGTCAAGCGCCATTCGAGGAAGGAAACATCGGCCGAGAATCTAGTTTTAGGCCAGCATTAATACCGGCAAACACTCTCCTATCGTCCACAGCTGAACAGCGATGAAGCGCTGAATGTCGATCGCAGCTCGTGGTTTACCCCTCATGAGGGGCAACGAGTTTACTCTCGCTGCGATTATGTCTCGATCACAATTGCCCGGCTCGCCCAACTCCAGACACAATTCAAGTCAACCTCACAAGTCGTAACTAGGGCCTGTTTCGGCAGCGTCTGCTAACCGGACGCTGACCACTCAAATGGAAGCCCCCTGCGCAACTCTTCTCTCCCAACTCGTCATTGATCAAGAGGCATTAGGCGATGGTCTCGTTGGGCGTGTCGTGCCTCGGGGGCTCGGCCACATGTCGACACCGTAGCGGGCAGCAGACTGTTGAACAATTTTATCCTCAAACCAAGCTCGGAGGGCCCACCGACAGACTACGCCCCCTTCGACAAAACAGCTGCCCGGTCGAGCCATCGCAGAATAGCCGGGAGAAAAGAGCCCGGTTCGAGTAAACGCGCTAGTGGGACAAAGAAGACGAAGAAGTTGACGCAAGAAGACCAAAACAACAGACGTCGCAAGCAATGCAAACTGAACCAAGCTCGCTACCGCCAGAGACAGCAACAACGTCAGCTGCAACTGCATCAGAGTGTGCAGCAACTACAAGAGGAAATCGCACGTCTGGAACTGGGGCTCGACAACCTCCAGTTCGGCTGCTGCAGTCCTTGGACTATCATTGCTGAGGCGTCCCGCATACTGAACAAGTGTTTGTCCTGTCCGTGGAGTATGCACAACGAGACCAATCTGGCGAGCTACCGAGCCTTCTACGAGGAATATTTCTTGCCGGATGTGGCTATGGGGGATAGTGTCGGAGTGAACGCGTTGACGGAGCAGACATTGGTTTGGTCGACGGTCTTTGGAGACCCTGAGCTTCAGTTGAAACGAATCGAGTCGACAGCTCCCGGTGTCATGACGGCCACTGCGAAGCTCAGCGTGACTGTGACGAGACTCGCACTGCGCAAGTTCTTGCCGAATCTACTGCGGTATAAAAACCTGCACAACATTCAGGGCGATCTTGCAGAACTAGGTGAGCGGCTAGGCCAGAGGCTGCGTCTCGGTTGCTCCATGGACTTCTTTTTGGACGATGAGACCGGCCGTGTCGCGCGATTGGAATGCAACGTCGACTTCGTGGCTCCTTCGCTTCGGGTACTCGGCAGCCTAAAGGATCTCTCTAGTGCGCTGTACCACGAAAACACTTCGATCGCGATGGACAACCAAGATCAGCGTCATGAAAGAGTACAATTCCGATATATTGAATGCACTGGAGTGTAAGCAAGTACATTTTTAGCCCACCCATAGCAGCACAATGCTGTTGACAACTTGGCTGCAGTGTCCGGAGAGCCCCTATCTTTAGGATAGAAGTCTCGCTTTGCAATCGACCTTGCTAATACTGTGACATGTACAGTGTACAACCACGGTCAACTACGTCGCAGCAACGAGTCAAATTGGCGCTTTAGAGCTCAGATTTTACTCTCCGCGGTGGAAATGCTCTGTCGCATCGAAGATGTTGGAACGGATGACGGGCGGTCGTCCAAGAAGCTGTAGGTACATGTACTGAGGAGAAATGACAGCATGTTTTGGACGTCGAAGGGAAGGGACTGAGTGGCGGTGACCAACACCACACACGTGGTTACGATATATATGTGCAAACATCATCCGGTTTAGTCACGCTCTTAATGCCTGCCCGGTTTAGTCGCGCTCAGAGCTTGTGGGCTTCAGCAACAACGACCCAAGCAGTTATGGAGCCATGACCATCCCCTAACTCCCTACCAAGTGTGGGCGGTGTACAGAATGGCCCTCAGACAGCTAAACCTGTTCTTTGAAGGGAGACAACGCAGCAATTCATGCAGGAAAACAAGCGCGTGTACCCAAGAAAAGGAAACCCAGAGTCCCATTTTCTGGGAATGTCCGTGCGCGGTGGCATGCTGGAAACGGCTAGCTAGACATTGGGGTGGCGCTGACGTGACCGACAGCGGCCTCCTCGGGTACCGAGAGTACTGTGCAGCACGGCAAGCTCCCCCGATCCCGGACTCACTGAAGAGGAGAGTGGCCCTCACGGCGGGGTCTTGCGCGGCCAAGCATGAAGACACATTGAAACGTCTTTGGAGAGTTTTAGCTACCGTTTGCAGCACAACGCAATGGATGGAGCGCAACAGGCTCATCTTTGAAGGAGAACCAACATCGGTAGAGCAAAGTTGCGTCGAGTTCCGGGTGACGGGAGTTCGTCAGTTGAAGGCAATAGCAAGGAGGGACAAGATGAGTCCACAAACGGTTGAACAAGGCAAGTTGATGGAGGACTGTATCGACAGTTTTCTATTAATCCTTGAACAACCAGGACAAGTACGGGTAAGCAGCATGCAGCTACCAAGAGAATCGCCATTAGTGGTGATGATGAAATCTTCTTTAGGATTTTAATGACTATCATAGTAGTCCAAATAAAATCTCTTCTACTACTACTAGTCACGCTCAGAGCCTGTGTAATTCCTGATGTGATCTGTCACGTTTCGCGAAATTGTCCCGTACTGTAGCATCCGGCCGTCTCCTCGGGGCTCACTCACTTCTGAATTCTCCATTGGAGGTCTGCTCGGCAACCCTAGCTTCAGCTTCAGCGACAACGTGCTCCCTCGTCTCCAGCTAGGACAGTGCCACCGCGCCAGCTTTGGCAGCACTTTGACTCTACGAGTGCTCGATACATCGATGACAGACCCCGTCCCCTCTTCCGTCGAGACTACCGACTCGCTGGTGTCGCTTAAAGACCCAGCAGCGGCGCCACTCCCTACGCAGGACTCTGGTTCAGCCCAACTAGCACCAACGTGACAGGGAAGCGGAAGACGCCCAGCTACTACAACACTTCGATCCGGCGACAGCAGTGTCGAGTGAACCAGGCACGCTACCGCAACCGACAACGACAGGCTCAGGTGGAGCTGGAGCAGAACGTTGAGCAGCTCCGCCAAGAAGTCGGCAACTTGAAGCGAAGGTACCAAGATCTGTCGTCGCGCGAGAGGAGCAGCCAGAGTCCCTGGAGCATCGTGGCGGAGGTCTTCCACCTGCTCGAGAGCAGCTACCGGTCGCCCTGGCGCATGACGAGCACCAAGGAGATGATGAGCCACCCGCAGACGCGACTGACGCTGGCTGTGCTGGAGAGGGCCTTCGCGCACGACGCCGCCATGGGCGAACGACGCGGCGCTGACGTGCTGATGGAGCAACTGCGACTGTACTCGCAGTGCTTCGGCGACCCTCGCCTGCAACTGAAGCGCATTGAGTCCGTGTTTGCTGGTGTGATGGCTGCGCGCGTGAGACTGAGTGTGACGGTGACGGAGTTCACGCTGAAGCACGTCTTCCCGCACCCGGAAGCAAAGGGCGGTGAAGCCAATGGCCAAAGGCTGTACGAGCGTCTTCTCGGCCAGCGTCTCGATCTCGACTGCACGATGAACTTCCTCTTCGATGACTTGAGCTGCCGTGTTGCTCGCTTAGAGACCAACATCAACCTGGCGGCGGCTTTTCTTCAAGCCCTTGGCAACGTAGAGGATGTGGCACGTGCACTGGAGCACGCGCGGATCACTTCCGAATCTACCATTGAGGCAGGAATATAGTTCTCAAGATGCAGTATCACCAATGAGGTACTGCTATACATGACAGATATATTCGTCTTATTTTTTTGCTGTTACATTCGAATGCGTGTACTAGAAAGATCTAGTGGCAGTTGGCTGTCCTCGAGGCCGTCGAGCGAATCCAGGTTGCGCGTTTGGTCAGCTTCGCTGCGAGTGACCGACCCGTAGCTCTCATTCTGTTGATCAGAGCTACATTGATCACGCAACGCAGCAACCAAGCGGGTAAAGCTCGCCTTGAAGCTCATTCCGTTCGCCATGAAGTGGAACAGTTCATTGCGCACAAACGAGTAGCGCTTGTCCAGGCCTAGCTCCAGATCATTCAGCACAACGGGGATGATAAACCGACCCTTGTCCTCTGCGAAGGCCAACTGGTCGCGCACCAGCTCGCTGCTCATCGTCTGCCTCGAGATCAGCACCACAAAGCACGAGCAGCGCACAATCGCCTCTTGGGCCACGCGGATGCGAGTGGAAAAGTCCTGTCCGCTGATGCTGTGATCACTATAGCAGGCGACACCTGCGTCTGCTAGTTGAGACACGAGCTGTCCACAAAGGCTGGGTGTTTGTCTCCGTGCGAGAGGAACACAAGTCGTCGCTCTCTTGGACTGGTAGGAGAGCTACTTGTGGTGGGGTCCCATTGAGTTTCCGGGACCTGAGAGAGCCGAGCCATCCCCAACGTTTGGAGCATTGTTCCTCGACTGCTAGATCCAGATCCGCCGGCAGCCTCAGCAGCGTCAACGCCAAGGTTGCGACTACTAGCGACGTTCTTCTGCTTCGAGAAGTATCGACGCTTCTCCACCTCGTCACGGACGCCGTCCAGGAGCAGGTGGAACTGAGACCGATACCTGCTCTCGTCGTACTCGTACTCAATGCGACCTTCATCGCGGCGGAGACCCACGATGGCCGGCTCGAATGGGATAATCTGGCGAGTGTACAGATACACCTGCAGATTCTCGTCCACGATGGTGCCCTCCGTCGACACGGCCAGGATGGGCGTCCCCACCTGCTTGGCCAGCGCCAGCTCCTTCAGACACCAGTCGGACGACGCGTAGTCCTCCGTCAGGATACAGAGCACCACCGACGCGTTCGTGATACCTCGCGCGATCTCCTCTCGCCACACGGCGCCTCCACCGATCCCGCTCGGGTCCATCAGGTCCAGCCACGTCGTCACATTGGCCTCCTTGAGCGTCTGGCGCAGCTTGCGCGCAAACTCGAGGTGCGAGTGCGTGTAGCTGATCATGACGTCCCGCTGACCAGCTGCACGCTTGAGCTCGAAGAGCAACCGGGTGGAGGCCGTGCAGTCCAGCGGACGAAGACCCTCGTGGTTCATGCGCATGAGGTCTCCGCCACTCGCTAGAGCGGCCAGTGCTGACGCCTCGTTCTCTTGTCGGACGGCTAGATGCAGCGCCGTGTCGCCTGTAGTGGGTAGTTGGTATCGGATGTCGCCTCCCGCAGCCGTGAGCTCGCTGAATAACTCGGGAGACGCATCCAATGCCGACGCAGCGCACATGAGCGGCGTCATGAACTCGCCATCCACCAGATTGGGGTCTGCGTTGGCAGCGAGCAGTGCGCGAACCACCTCCAGCTTGTTGAGCTTTGCCGCCCAATGTAGTGGGGAACGACCTCGAACGTCCTGGAAGTTGGGGTCGGCTCCTCCTTTCAGCAACGCGACCACCGCCTCCTTGGACCCGCTGATAGGAGCCCAATGCAGCGGCGTACGTCTATTGAGCCCGATGTAGCCCATTTCACCCAAACAATCCTCGTCCGTCTTGCGCGATAAATACTTGCGTACTGCGAGGACATCGTTGCGAGCTGCTGCCAAATGGAACGGTGTGAGGGCGACGTCACCACTCCACTCTTCGAGCTCTTGAGCCACAGCGTAATTTCCACGAAGATACGCGAGTTGCAGCGGCGTCATGGTGTTCATGAACCCGGGATCGGGGATCACGCGGGTCCGCGCCGTGAACAAGCAGCTCTCGAGCGATTTCAGCGTGTTCGGCTAGGAAAAGCGGAGGCACGCGGTTGGAGCGCAAGGACGAATGAGTAAGCGTTCCAGGCGGAGCTCCGCGCTCAAGCAGCCAACGCACAGTGTCAACTTGTCCTGTAGATACGGCGCAATGCAGCGGAGTGATTAGTGTCGTGTGAAATACAGACACGTCCGCATCTTCGACGCTGTTGCTTGGTCGCTTGACGAGGACCCTAGCGAAGTACCAGAAGAGGCTCCCTGTCGAGAAGTGCACCCTGTTGTACTTGTCCAGCGTCGTCATGTCAAAGCCGTACTCCTCCAGCAGCTCCAGCGCTCGGATATTGCCGTGATAAGCTGCTACGTGCACCGGATTCCTACGCGATTTCGCGAAAAACTTTAGTCGGATCTTTGGAGCCGCGTAGACTTTGCGTGGGAACCCATGCTCGCTCTCCGTTAGCCCCCGGTCCTTGGCGTAGTCGAGGATTTCACGCATTTCTTGCAGATCTCCTCGACGGGTAGCGTAGTATAGGCGCGTCCGAACGACGGCGATCATCTTGTCGGACTTGGCGCTTCGGTTTAAATCGTGTCGATGTTTGCGAACGTCTCCGGTTTGGTCGCTCTCGGTGAAGGCGCCCAGCTGCATTTTGATGTGTTCGCGATACCGAGCAAAGTAGTACAGCACCATGAACAGGCCGATGTAGCACACGGCGCCCCCGAGTGTGAATAAATGCATTTCGTAGTTGTCGCACGCGTAGATCGCGCCGGTAAATAACACGCGGAGGAAGTAAAACACCAAGGCCGCATCGTATACGAGAGCCACCACAGCCACTAGCTCGCAGAACTGGAACACAAGCCGTCGCTTGATCTTGGGCACACTCGCGTGATAGCTGCGTTCTCCTTCCTCGAGGTCTTCTAGCTCCAGTTCATCGCGCTTGAACGGCTCGAACGTCCGCAGTCCGGACCCGGGCAGCAGCAACAGCACGGCGACCGGCAGCATGTGATAGATGAGGCCCGAGAAGACGACCACCATCCCGCAGTGGTCGTACGCGTCGGGTTTCCTCTCCTTGAATTCGACGAGCCACTGTCTGATCTTGATGTTGTACATGGTGACGCCCCACGCGAGCGCAGTAACCCCGAGAGCATCAGGCGTCGAGCGAAGAACGAGTTGTTGAGGAACCGCGGCCAGAGCCAGAAGCGAGGCACGCGCGAGATTTTGCCGCGTAGTCCGCGGATGTTGGCGTAGTGGCGATGCTGAAGTCCCCAGAAAGCCGACTGCGGGGACCTTACCGACGAGTTGATATTGGTCTGGGAGGCTGTTGCACTGGAAGCTGGGGACCTGGCGGTTGCATGGCTGGCGGAGGCCAAGAGCGGACCCCGCAGTGTGTGCTGCGAGTCGAAGTCTTCGCGAGGAGCTCCGTGGCCGATGAGCGGCCGTCGCCTTTGGCTGGCCAACCCGACGATCTCCGAGACGGAGTCTCCGGTCATTTGATCCGTGAGCAGGGACGCCATCGCGATCTATGAGTTTTAGGACGCGAAGGGGTTAGAGCAGGAGGCCTGAGCTCAGGACGACGGGCAGCATGAGGAAACGGTTTGTCCGCGGCAACAATTGAGCAACCGTGATTACTGCGAAATGGAGGCACCGAGGATTATGCATACCATTACTTGGACAGGTGGTGATCGGCTTTTTGTCACAAAGTTTGTGGGGCTCAAAAGCATGTGCAATGCAGGTAGGGTACATGTACATTCCTTACTCACATCAACGAATTGATAGTATCAAATTCAGTACTACAGTAGGATATAGTGTATAGGATAGAGTATGTACAGTGCATGTACTGTACCGCGACTTGATTGATGAAACCATTGTTGCTGTTTCTTTCATATGTTGCTCGAACGGTGTCGTCGATGCCGCGAAGCTAAGCTAGGCTAGGCTATTAGGCTAAAGAGGCTCGGCTGGTCTGTGTATGCCATGTAATGTGGGTGAATTTTTCGTCGTGGGGCTCACATCAGGCTGATGCAGCACCTGCATCCAGCCAGATACAATTACGGGACCCCGTAATCAGCGAGGCGACATATGCACCATAGGTGACGAAGGTACAGCCAACCACACACTCAGCAACCACGCTATCTGCCCGGATGACGCGGATCGCGGGTCACCATCAACATGACCGAGTTGGCAGTGAACGCCGCGTCATACACTCCCCATTGGAGAGAGAACCGCAGCCAACCGCCTCTCATAACAAAACTTTCCAGCCCAATGGCAAGTCAATTCGAGTTCTTCCACAACGCCCCCCTGGACCGCTTTGAGCGCACCCGCGCCAACCTAAGCGACGGTATCATCGGTCACGTGCTCCCGCGCAGACCAGCAGAAAGCCGCTACTTCAGTAGCAACGAGCTGCCGACGAACCCGATCAAGGCGGACGAAGCCCTAGAACTGAGATCTTCGTACGGATCTTCGTACACCGCCGTTCCGCACCATGGACGTTCGAGCTCCTCCCCAGTGTCGGTGGCCACGAACGCCGCGCTGTCGGAACTGAAAGCTGAGTATCGGACCAGCTGTCGAGACCTCAAGCACATCGAGGACACGGCAACGCGCATCGAGATGAAAAAGGCCATCCGACGCGAGCAGTGCCGCACCAACCAGGCTCGCTACCGCAACAGGCAGCGTGTTCGACAAGGCCAGCTCCAGCACAAGGTGCAGCAGCTGCAAGAGGAGCTGCAGGGTCTCCGCCTCAAGCGACAACGGCTGCGTCTGAGTGAGAAGACCAACCGCAGTCCGTGGGCCATTGTGAGCGAAGTCTTCCGGCTGCTGGAGACCAGCTTCCGGTCGCCGTGGCGCATGACGAGCGTCGATGAGATGATGAAGCACGCCGAGACGCAGCAGAGCCTCATTCTGCTGCGGAAGTCCTTCGCACACGACGTGTCCATGGGCAGCGGAAGTGGTGTGGACGCACTGTTGGAGCAGCTCCGCCGCTACGCGCTGTACTTCAGCGACCCGCAGATCCAGCTCAAGCGCGTGGAGTCCGTGGTTCCTGGCGTGTTGATGGCCTCGGCTCGACTGAGTGTGACGGTGTCTGAGTTCACTCTCCGTAGTCTGTTCCCGCATCTCGAGAAGACCAACAGTAGCGACACTTATGTTGCGGTCGACGAGCACCGAGCGTTGCGCGAGAAGCTGCTCGGTCAGCGGCTGAGATGCCGCTGCGAGATGACGTTCCTCTTGGACGAGGAGAGCGGTCGAGTGGTGCGTGTGGAGACGAGCATCAATTTGGTGGAGTCGTTGTTCCAGACACTGGAGAGCGCTGGAGATGTTGCGGATGTGCTGACCCAGGCACTCGTAACCCCGGAGTGTGTGGTAGGCTACTTGATCGAAAGAAAATAGCAAGTTTCGACTAGCGTCTATAATTCTTGGCTGATACATTTTTGAATTGAGAACCTGCTTCTTTACGTGCAATGACATCAACGACTGTAATTTTCGCTGTTCTAGCGGGTGCGTATTTGGCGGGTAAGCCTTACACCTGATGAAGTTGCACAGTTCACGCGGTTGAAAGTTTCGAACTGAAGATCTGGTAAGTGGTACAATTGTCAATACAAATTCTAATAAATGATACTAGTAGTATTTTAAATAGTATTAAATAACTAGCAAATGAAAATACTACTAATTAATAGAACAGTATGAACATTCCAGATACTATACTAATATATTACTATTATTTTAATTCTTGACGGATTCTTCCGGTTAGTGTACCGGTATTATTGCAATAGTATACCCGACAACAGGGTCATATAATCGGAGAGTATATGAAGACATTATACTTGATTTTTGCATGGGGAATGGTATTATACGCGATATTATACCTTGTTCACGAGTACTATTCGGATGGGTATCGTATTAGGAGAGGGTCCTTTAATCGGAAGAACCCGCTACTACAATACCGATTAGAAGTTTCAGACTCGAACGTCATAAACTGCCCTGGGCTAACTCAGCTGGGATCAACTCCAACGAACACCCCGCTTCTGCCTACCAAGTTAGAACAAGTTGCTACATGTACACTCCCAATTGCTCAGCAGCAGCAGCGACCAGCACAGGAGACTCAGCGCTCCTTTGTCATGCGTCACGACACTGTCACTCCTGTAGTCCACATGGGCGAGACCTGCCGTGGTCGATTGGGAGACTTCCAAAAATCGCCTATTCTAATGTACCAAATTGCTCCCATCTGCTGAACCATGTGTGTACTAAACTTGGGCTAACGGATGCCCAGACGCAAAAGGCGTCTGATCGAGTGCCGTCCTTGATACTGACCAAAGCCTCCAATTAGCCTTGACTTCACAGCCTGATCGAAGACGAAGATGCTGCTCTGTACGATAAAGCCGCCCCCACTCCGCAATTTCCTTACCAAGACCGCCGTACGACACCAGCCATGACGAAGGCAGCAAAAACGAAGACAAAGGGCAAGAACTTCACCAAGTCCGAAGTCTCACGTGCGTGTACGCTAGCATTACTGATAGATCTGAGTAGACGACTCACAAATATGACGTGTTGGTCACAGGAATGCTGGATGTTGTGGAAGCTATCCTTCCCTTTGGAGCTGAGCAGTGGCAAAACGCTGCGTCTCAGTCCAATACAACTATTTCAGCAGGGTGGATGGCGACAGCCTCAAACGTAAATTCCAAAAGCTAGTTCGTGTTCCTAAACCGACAGGTACGGCGTATTTGATGTGCTGGCACTTGTGTGGTTTTCAACTGACCTATTTCGATTTATTTGTAAGGGAACGGAACATGTTCCGAGGAGGTGCAGCGCGCCAAGCGTCTACAATATGCCATTGAGGCTTCATTGGCTGTTGTTCAGCTCCACGACAACTTTTCGGACGAAGAGTTCGAGGAGGGAGATCCCGACCACGACACCAACGAGGAAGCTGCAAGCTCCGTGCTTGTGACTGCTAGTTCACCTCTAGCAGCCTCGACGGACTCACAATTAACCGAAACACCCACGGCAACTTCAAGTACACCCGCCGCTCCGTCGACCCCACTACAAGCAACGCCGCGAGCCGGTCTAGAGCCTTCAGAGCTGGCAGAACTTTCTGCTTCGCTTCGAAAGCGTTCAGCAGCTTCGGCCGCCGTGTCACTCAGTCAAACCGCCCGCCGACGCATCAAGCTAGACCGTATCATCGACACGGTGAACAACGACATTCAAGCCAGCCATAATGCCTCGGACCCCTCACAGTCGATGCTGGCCATGATGATGGCGATGGAAGAGCGCCAACAAGCGAGAGATGCGCAGTATCGCCATGAGCGTGAGCTCTACCAGCGACAGAGAGATGAGCGTAAAGCTGCCAACCAGCAAATGATGATGATGCTGCTGTTACGCCTCGTTGAAAGTGGGGGTGGTGCTGCGTCAAGCGGGGAGCAGCATGGAAACGGCACAGACGCTGGCCTAGAGAACAAGCTAGAATAGAGTTCGGTTGGTGAAGCTTGTTAGAAGGACAAGCTGAAGAGGAAGTCTGAATTGCATAAAGTGTCGTTGAATACAAAAAGGAAAACAGATTTTGATGTACGTTTATGTTTGTTCTGTTGCCGAAGTCTATGCAAATACCGTTCGTATTTGGCTAATATCCGTCGTTCTCACACGTAGGTTGTACAAGTGGTAGATATTCCACAACAACCTCGCGCGCTTGTCAGGATCGAACGGAAGTGGTAGCTGCAAGCGGCGAAAATACTTAGGAGCACAGCCCATTCCCCATTCCGCCGCCTGTCTGACTGAAGTGATCGCGACACTCATGGCGAGTAAACCGGCCCTGCATTCGGGGCTAGCTCGCTCCAGATCTCCGTCTTTCAGAGGGGTTACGATCCTTTTCCTGCACGTGTCACTAACAGGAAACGCTGAATCGGATGCACAGCACCCGCCTTCAATTGTTTTGCTGGGATCGGCAAGTCGCCGCTGTAATTGGCGACTCATCTCGCCGTCGTTCCAAGACCCAGGGAAATTATGTTTTCCCCAGATCAAGGTGCCGTCGAAGCCATAGCATAAAACACCAGTTACCTTGACGCTGTGTAGCCAACCTACATCACGATGAAAATCAATTTAGTGTTCGTAGTACATGTATAAGATAGAACGTATCTCACCGTTGTAGTATGCGTTTTGGACGTCACTGTTCGTTGGAGCTTGTACCGCGTAGTTCTTCCCGTCGGTCACGCAGAAGCAGCCCTTCAGCAGTCCTTCTCGCTTCGTCACTTGGCTTGCCCACGTAGCTTGCAATTGGCTAGACGGCCACTGAACGGCAACCAGGGGTATCTCGCGCAGCGAAGCTGCTAGAGCCACCTCCGCTTGGCACAGCGTTCTGCTCATCGTCGACGGAGGTACGCCGAACAACTCACATAGCGTTTTGAGCTCCACAGCAGCAGTGTACATGTGCAGCAAGCATGCTAGTACGTTATTCTTCGACACGAACCGCCGTGGACGGCCCCTTTGTGAAGGCCCGGACTTGACAACGTAGTGCCGTGAGAACACCTCGAGCAACATGTCGTAGGTATGGGGAAGGAGAGAGACGGTATTGATGAACGACTTCTCGCACCGCGACTTGTACATGAACGTCCATGCGCAAACTGCATTAGAGGTTAGAGCAGCAGTCGTTATGTAGTTGCGCTCCCGTATGAGCATGCGCATTCTTATGAAGCACATCAGCTTATTCAGTAGTGCGTGTTGCCTCCTTCTCTGTTGCTGACGTTGGACGGCAAGCGATGCGTTGACGCGAGCAAGGAGGCGACCAGTGTGCATGGTGAGGGACGGACACGATACGGGGACGCGAGAGCCGACGCGAAGGCTGAGACTTCTGAAATGAGCTCGGGTTTTTGGTGGCAGTCGGATGACCAAATGAGAACTATACCGGCGCCAAGTGGTGAACTATATCGCTCTTAATCTGGGTTTGGTACAATATGTAGGCGATTTTGGAAGCCTCCCATTGTTCGTTCCAGGAAGTGCATCGGTCAGTCTGAGTCAAGGGGAAAATGACCAAATTGGTATGAAATCGCATTTTAAATGCCAAATCGGTAGGTGTCGCTTATCGCTACTCCTTCCATGAAAACATGTGCTACTATAAAATTATGCATACCGGTCAAGACATTCACGGCATATCTATTCTCCTACGTGGCAATTCTGCCCGTCGGTTGTGGCCGACTTGGTTGCAGCCTCCGCAGCGATATCTCGACTCGTTAGCACCTTCGCCTTTGCTCCTGATTTTTTTCTTCCGCGCTTCGCTGTTGAGAGCGGCGGTCTCGTCGACCCGTCTGGGTTGATTTCCTGGTCTAGCGGCAGCTGCACGGCTACATCTTTAAACGCCTGTGCATACTTCTTCGCCCTGCACGGCCGTCACGAGGCCGATCTGGTTGCCGAAGAGAAGGTCGCTGGCACCACCTTGTCCGTGATTGGTTTGACGGGGTTGGCGGAGTACGTCGTGGCCGGGGCCATGAGCGCGTGGAAGGCCAGGATGTTGTTGGGCTCGAGCGAACATGCCGATGCTCTGGGTCCTCATACAACTTGGTGTGAGCGTTTTGTGAATCCCTTACACAACAGCAAAACGATAAAAAAAACACTTTGAAGCAAAGCCGTTTTCTCATAAACTCATCGCATACCGGTTTGGACATTATCTTTTTGTAAAACATACGCCTCAAATTTGAAAATTTTCATATGTTTCCAGCATACCGATCCGGTCACCAAACATACCGATTTGGCATTAAAAATTGATTTCATACCGATTTGGTCATTTTCCCCTGAGTCAAGAGCGGCGGCCTCGCTCTCCTCCGTCCGAATTGCTGGCTCCACTGGGCCGTCTCATACAGTACCCGTTCATCATCATTTGGCTGAGGACTGCGGCACAATCCGCACAATCCGTCAAATCGCTGTCGTAATCCCGTCGCCAATCCTCGTTTCAAGGACCTGCCTATGCCTCCATGTGGCCATCCGCAGGTCTCCGCATTGTCCGTGCGCCTCGGTTTAAGAACTCGCAGGCGATTCGAAGCCTGCGTTTCTCCTCTCCAGCCCCAGCGGCTGGGGGTTGACTTGACCCCATTTCACACTTGTCCGCCATTGCGTTTGTTAGTCGAAGCGCTCTCCACCGTCCTCGCCCATGGTCGAAGTAGGCGGAACCGAGTCGGCCACCGGCACCGACAGCGGTCGTCGACTCGTTGTCGGCGGCCACGGAGCCGCGCGCGAGCCCGAGAGCGAGCCGGTCACCACGCGTCGCATTCGGCGGACGCCGCTCGCCATCGACACGAGCGTTGACGACTCGAGCGTTGCGTCCCACTCGTCCTACCAGGTCACGCAGTCGCCTACGGATCGACCGCTATGGCTGGAGATGAAGCGGCGGCACCAGGCCAACGTCGAGGCGCTGCACGGCAAGCTGGCGGAAGTGCCTCGCCACTGGCTCTGGGTCCGCTTCCTCAACAACTCGTTCTTCGCGCGGCGCCTGATCCGCTCTGGGGTGCTGCTCAGCGCCGGTCTGCTGGCGGGGTACCTCTTCTACCATGCCTTCGTTGAGACCTGGTTGAACGACCACAAGGGCATCGACTCGGACGAGTACGAAAACTGCCAGTCGGTCGCGACCTTCTCGTCCTTAATCTACCAGACGCTGCCGGCCGCCATCATTCTGTCGCTGCCAGGCTCCGGGTTGCGAGCCTTTGAGCCTTTCAAGCGCGACGACCCAAGCGTGAGCAAGACGAAAAGCAACAACGGCGACGGAAGCCAAGAAGAAGAAGAGGAGGAGGCTTACACCAGCGTTGCGACCATCCGACGCTGCTTCATTTTCCAGCTCTGCGAGGTGCTGGCTGTGCTCATGCTGATGTTCGACGTTGGGCTGGTGCTGTACTTCCTCTACGTGCTGTTCGCCGGCGCGCTAACCTCTTGCGGGAGCTTCGCCACGCAGATATTCACGATCGTAGCCGCGTTCTGCTACGCTGGACTGTTTAGCGTGCTCTACTACTTTACGCGGTACCGTGAACACATCAAGATGCAGCTCGGCGCCTTCGCAGAGAACGATCAGACCGGAGATTTACGCAAACACGTCGACTTGCGGTCGGTTAAGAGGCTGGACACGACCAAGAAGATGATCAGCGTCATGCGGACACGGCTGTACTACGCAACTCGACGAGGAGATCTGCGCGAAATGCAGGAGATTCTTGAATACGCTAAGGAGAAGGGGCTCATGAGCGATGAGGTCGGATTCCCTGTCAAGTATTACGCGGCTCCGAAGATTAAGTGGAAGTTCTTTGCCAGGTCGACTGAGAACCCGGTGCATGTTGCGGCAGGTATGGGGAATATTCGGGCGCTTGAGCTCCTAGAGGAGTACGGATTCGACCTGACAGCGCTCGACAAAGTGCAGCGAGTGGTGATCTCGACTGGCGGACTGTTTTGGCACTTCATCCAGCTCATCGTCAAGCGCCCCGAAGGCTCCGACGCCGAGACGGCCGATTCCATCTTCCACACGACCCTCTTGACGCCGCTGCACTGCGCGGTGGCGACGGGGCAGTTGATAACTGTTCGCTGGTTACTTGAGCGAGGCGTGCCGCCGGGGACATTGGCACAGGCATCATACAGGTCCAACCGCATCCCGCCTCTTTTCCTTGCCGAACACGCGGAGATTGCACGCGAGCTGCTGCTGCATGGCGCTGACCCGCTCGTGATCCCTGATCCTGGATTCATGAACACCATGACGCCGCTGCAACTCGCGTATGTCAGAGGAAATTTCGCTGTAGCGCAGGAGCTCGAAGACTGGGGGAGTGACGTCGCCCTCACGCCGTTCCATTTGGCAGCAGCTCGCAACAACGTCAAGGCGGTACGCAAGTTCATCGCGCGCAAGACGGACGTGGATTGTTTGGGTGAAATGGGCTACATCGGGCTCAATAGACGTACGCCGCTGCATTGGGCTGCCATCAGTGGGTCCAAGGAGGCGGTGGACGCGTTGCTGAAAGGAAGAGCCGACCCCAACTTCCAGGACGTTCGAGGTCGTTCCCCACTACATTGGGCGGCAAAGCTCAACAAGCTGGAGGTGGTTCGCGCTCTGCTCGCTGCCAACGCAGACCCCAATCTGGTGGATGGCGAGTTCATGACGCCGCTCATGTGCGCTGCGTCGGCATTGGATGCGTCTCCCGAGTTATTCAGCGAGCTCACGGCTGCGGGAGGCGACATCCGATACCAACTACCCACTACAGGCGACACGGCGCTGCATCTAGCCGTCCGACAAGAGAACGAGGCGTCAGCACTGGCCGCTCTAGCGAGTGGCGGAGACCTCATGCGCATGAACCACGAGGGTCTTCGTCCGCTGGACTGCACGGCCTCCACCCGGTTGCTCTTCGAGCTCAAGCGTGCAGCTGGTCAGCGGGACGTCATGATCAGCTACACGCACTCGCACCTCGAGTTTGCGCGCAAGCTGCGCCAGACGCTCGAGGAGGCCAATGTGACGACGTGGCTGGACCTGATGGACCCGAGCGGGATCGGTGGAGGCGCCGTGTGGCGAGAGGAGATCGCGCGAGGTATCACGAACGCGTCGGTGGTGCTCTGTATCCTGACGGAGGACTACGCGTCGTCCGACTGGTGTCTGAAGGAGCTGGCGCTGGCCAAGCAGGTGGGGACGCCCATCCTGGCCGTGTCGACGGAGGGCACCATCGTGGACGAGAATCTGCAGGTGTATCTGTACACTCGCCAGATTATCCCATTCGAGCCGGCCATCGTGGGTCTCCGCCGCGATGAAGGTCGCATTGAGTACGAGTACGACGAGAGCAGGTATCGGTCTCAGTTCCACCTGCTCCTGGACGGCGTCCGTGACGAGGTGGAGAAGCACCGCTATTTCACTCGGCAGAAGAACGTCGCCAGCAGTCTCAAACCCGGCCTAGCTGCTGAAGATGGAGCTGGAGTGCGGAGCAACCGAGGGACAATGATGCAAACATTCAGCGGGACGCAGCTCTCGCAGGCGACGGATTCTAGCTCTTCTCGGCCGGCTGACTGGCAGGAGCGCCGGTTTGTCTTCATCTCACACGGAGACAAGCACGTGGGGTTCGTTCGCCACCTTTCGTCGCAGCTCTCGGAGGCAGGAATCGTGTGCTACAGCGACCAAAACATCAGCGGGCAGGACTTCTACACGCGCATCCAAGTCGCACAAGAAACGATTCTCCGCTGCTCGTGCTTCGTGGTGCTGGTGTCGAGACAGACCATGGGCAATGAGCTGGTGCGGGACCAGCTAGCGTTCGCGGAGGACAAAGGACGCCCTATCTTCCCCGTCGTGCTGAACGACCTGGAGCCTGGGCTGGACAAGCGATACACTTTGGTGCGTAGCGAGTTGTTCCACTTCATGGCGAACGGGATGAGCTTCAAGGCCAGCTGCAACCAGCTAGTTCGAGCTCTCCGGCGACGCTGCAACGCGGATCAGCAAGCTGGATCCACTACAGGCAGTGAGACTGAGGATGTCCGCAACTTGGGCTCCATCGACGGGATCGATGAAGGTCAACTCGATCTTTTAAGCATTAGGATCTAGACTCCTCTACCGATTCAAAACTTATTAACCGATATACAAGTATACAATAGATCTACCTAACCAGGTCACCAACCACACACTCCGGGGTCAAGAGCGCCTGCTTCAGCACGTCCACCACATCGTCTAGTACCTGAACCAACGACTCCACCAAGTTGATGCTCGTCTCCAGACGCACCACTCGACCGCTCTCCTCGTCCAAGAGGAACGTCATCTCGCAGCGGCAGCTCAGCCGCTGACCGAGCAGCTTCTCGCGAAACGCTCGGTGCTCATCGTCGTCACAAGCACCCTGGTTTCTGCTGGCCCCCTGTAAGTGCGGGAATACACAGCTAAGCGTGAACTCGGAGACCGCCACACTCAGTCGAGCCGAGGCCGTCAGCACACCAGGGACCGCGGACTCCACGCGCTTGAGCTGAATCTGCGGATCGCTGAAGTACAGCGCGTAGCGGCAGAGCTCCTCCAGCAGTGCGTCCACGCCGCTTGCGCTGTCCATGGACACGTCGTGGGCGAAGGACTTCCGCAGCTGACTGATACTCTGTTGCGTCTCGGCGTGCTTCATCATCTCATCGACGCTCGTCATGCGCCACGGCGACCGGAAGCTGGTCTCCAGCAGACGGAAGACTTCACTCACACTGTCCCACGGACTGAGGTTTGCCTTCTCGCTGAAGCACAACCGTAATCGTTTGAGCCGGAGAGCCTGCAGTTCCTCTTGCCGCTGCTGCACCCGGTGCTGGAGTCTATCTCCATAAATGCGCTTTTTGTTGCGGTAGCGGGCCTGGTTGGTGCGGCACTGCCTGCGTCGAACGACCTTCTTGAGCTCGAGTTGCTTGGCCTTGTCCGTGATGCGGTTGAGGTCGCGACAACTGGTTAGACATTCGACTGGCAGCCCTGCTATGGCTAAGCTTACGTGTGTGCCCACCGACACCGAACAGGTTGATGAGGTGGGGCAGCGTTGAGCGCAGATCCGTACGAGGATACATGTAGCACTGCTTCAGTGACGAACGTGTTGCTCTGGGGCAGCGCCTTGAGTTCTCTTCCTGGTCCATACGGGAAATCTTCCACTAGCTGCAGTGGGCTCGCTAGCGCGTTGCTACTGAAGCAGCGGCTTCGAGCTGGTCTGCGTGGTAGAACCTGGCCGATTACACGGTCGCTCAGCTTCGCGCGAGCGCGCTCAAAGCGATCGAGCGGCGTGCTGTGGGGGAACTTGAATTGGCTTGCCATTGCATTGGAAAGTTTCGTTGTGAACTCGTCAATGCCAAGGTCTTAAACCTTTTTGACCTTCGATTTACGTCATTACAGACAGATAGTATGCCTGCTGAGTATTTGGTCGTCTATAGCTTGGTCACGATTATCTAGCCTCGGTGATTATGGATCGCCCTGCTGCCAAAGTGTTGATGCAACTCACATCTTCGCGGTGATTTTTTTACCCGCACTGGATGTAATGCATGCACTGCGTTGCACACACATGGTGCATTGAAAAGGTTAATACAGGTACGGATACCAGGCCTGTCGCCGAACTTGACTGTGGTTCGTTGGGACCACTTGTCCCCAACCAATGCCTGAAGCAACAAGCTCATCATTCACCTGAGCTCCGCATCGCCTAACTTGCTGGCAGCGGTGCTCTGTGATCAGCATATAATGAGGCTGGTGCCCAGCACTATTACGATGCGAGTTGTTCGACTCGTAGGGAAACCGTTGCGGTTCAACCGCCCTTACATCGGCTTCTATAATGAGCACAATGTCGTATTCCAATGTGCACCTAGCACCTACTTCTCTGGCCCACATAAGAAACAACACTTCGGTTTTCTGGACATATTTTTTTACAAAAAAATCGTTTGGTGACTCGCAATACCTCAACCGAAAGCTGCGCATTTGCTCCGTTTCACGCTATGATTTAAAAAAATCTAGCAGCAGAAAGAAATGAGAAACAGCCTTTTATCTGAAGTCCGTTTTAGGCAACATTAGGTTTTTTAGCGAGGTGCCGTCAAAATTAGCGATATTAGAAAATAAAATATCACCGTAATCGCGAGTGACTGCTTTACCCTTATGTTCGGTTGTCGATGTTGTAGCGCCTGTTGGAGACGAGTTAGAAGGGCTACAGTTTTGAGGTTTTTCTACGCGATTATCTCGACATGCGCAGACCCATTTATTTTGGCCAATAGTAAGATGAAACAGTTGATTATACCCAATCATATGTGACATGTGGTTCACATCAAATTGAGGTTTAATGCCGAATGTTGTTTCTTAAGTTGGACAGAGAAGTACAACGGCAGCAAGTTCTGACTGGCGTAGCTCATATTCAGCACGTACTACACGTGAGCTATACCATCACTACCGTGAGCAGCAAAGGTGTACCATAGAAATGTTATGTAAGTTGTAAGTGATGTGGTACATTACTTGAATTATTATACTAACGTATTATTATTAATATGTCTTAAGGTGCTCTAAATAGTACTGCTTATCGGTATACCGATACAAACTGGTCAGAATTTAGATGATCTAGATTCAGTTGTCTCTAATAAATAGTAACCGGTCTGTACCATATTGATAAAAAAAATCCTTCTCAGTATTTCTGCAATTTGCCTTCACTTTGAGTTGATGAGTATCCTAGTAGTTCGCCCAAGAATAGCGGGTGTAGTCGACACACTACAAGTAGAACAAGCCTCCACCGTCGACGTAGCTCAATTTAGCATTGGGTATTCCTGGTCTCTTCGTCTTCGTCTTCATCGCTTTCTTGCCTGCACTACATCCTTGTCCTGGGCCAATTCATTCTTGGGCCAGGAGGTGGAAGATGAGCAACCTCGCACCGTCCGTCACGCCAAGGCCGGCGAAGCCCGTCGGTGGAGCGGCGCGTGGTGGTCGGACGTACCTGCTGAATGCTTCCCCCATGAAGTTGGTAGGCGCGGAGGCGAAAGCCCAAGCGATTGTTCGGCCGGCCGAAACCTCGTCACCGATTCCCCCGACAATGCGCAAGAAGCCGCTGATCTTGAGCGGCGACATCCGGAACCTCGGGAGCAACTTCCAGCTTGCCACCGCTCGAGAGGCACTGTCACTCACGCACTTGGGCGACGTGTTCGCGGCCCACGGGATCGTCATCACCCGCGCAGAAGCTCAAGCACTTCGACACGAGTTCGAGGAGAACAACGACCGCGGACTCCGTTACGTCGACTTTGTCGAGGAACTCGCCCGCTCGTTGCGGGGGCCGTCGACGGGCACTCCAGACACGGGCTACCCGAATGAAAGCAACGGCCTGACAGCTACCGCTGCCAGTCGGGCGCTTGTGAAGAAGCCGCGACTCGCCGAACATTTGTCCAGACTGAGTATGCGGCACACGCAACTGGTAGGAGAGATCCGAACGCTCCTTGGGGCGAATCTGCGGGTGTCGTGGACGGCTGTGCGAGACGCGTGCCGAGCCGCGGAGACGGGTGCGGGAGGCACCGGGAAACTACCAAAGGCTACGTTCGCGCGCGTACTCACTGGGCTCCAGATTCCTCCGCTGTCGACAGCAGCTTTGGAGGAGCTCTCCCAAGATGGCACCAACATCGACTACCACGAGTTCCTCGCGCAGTTCGGCAGCAGCTTTCAGCACGGGGACACCAACAACGTTAGCAATTCGCTGGTGTACGATCGTCCAGCTGGGAAACCTATCGCGGAGGTGGCTATTGGCACGGGCGCCAACAACATCACGGCGACGAACAAGACGCTGCAGTCTCCCGGGGTGACGTTCGCCTTGGGAGGGCGCTCAACCACCCGAAAGAGCGGCTCAAACGCTGATAAGCTGTCAGAGACCGGAAAGGACCCCATTCTGCTGGAACAACTTCGCATCGTCGTGGGTGAGAAGCTCAAGGCCCGGGACAGCGCAATCCTCCGCTCGTTTGCAGCTCTCGACCCCGCGGACTCGGGTTCCGTTCCCTCTCCGGTCTTCACGCAGGCGTTGCGAGATCTCCGCTTGGTAGAATCCGAGGAGGAGGTCGCTACAGTGCTTTACGCAGCTTCAGATGGGGGCAGTGGCAGCACCGTCGACTATCGCAAGTTCGTCGCTAGCTTCGGTGAGATGGCGAATCCGCGCGGGGCAGCAGCGATGAAGCGCAGCTTGCAAGAAAACAGCTCGCTCGTCTTCGCCGGGAACAAAGAGGTCAAAGGCGCGTACAAGAATCGCGTGGCCTTGTCTTCCCCGGGGAATGAGCTCAAAGAAGCCTTCTCCCGTCTGCCGGACGCGAGTTGGAGAGCGATCCACGTCGAGCTGGAGCTGAGTGACCCGCGTAAGGGCGGGCTTGTGCCAGCCGCGGAGCTACTGCGTGTACTGAGTAAACACCTTGGCCCGTTGCCATCTCGCCACTTTGGCTCGCTCTTTCGCGCGTGTGGATCTCATACGCACCAGCTCATGGACTACCGATCTCTCGTTAAGAGCTACAGACCGCGCGTAGCAGACACGGAGAGCTTCTTCGCTCCTTCACTACAGGGTGAAGGGGCCAAAGGAGCTATTGCTGTAGGTCGACAGCACAGTCAGCAAGCCACAGCGCCCACCGAGTCGTTAGTGCTAGTGTGGAGCGTACGCGTGGCAAGAGCTCGACTTGGTGCCGTCGAGTGGCGCGCGTTGCAAGATCGGCTCGCTGCGTGTGACCCGCGTCGACAAGGCCGCGTGTCAACTCCAGCCTTCGCTCTCGCAGTGCGTGAGGCGTTGAATCTGACGGAGGCCCAGACCGCGTTCCTCTGCTACTTCTACGAAGACCGCAGCGTCGCCACCGACGCGCCTTTGATCCGGTACGTTTCCTTCTTGAACGACTATGAGGACCCTGGACTGGAAGCGAACGGCCCGACTGACCCAGAGGACGGCAGTGCGCGTATGAACGGTAAATCCGCTGTCGTGATGTCGGGAGGGCCGTCTCTGGGAGACACCGAAGTAGACGTAGCCACTGAGCTGGAGCTTCTCCGTCAATTCTTCCGAGCACATGTCGGTGAATTGGAAGGGATGCTGGTCGCAGAGGATTCGGACCGACGAGGGTTTGTGAGTCTGCCTGTGTTCATGCGGATATGCACCAAGCTGTACGCTGAAACTGGCAACAAGTGGCGAGAGACTCGAGGCACAGCAAAGTTCTTGGCTCGATACACTGCGCGAGGCGGACAGTTCTACTACCGCGGGTTCCTGCTCGACATGGACGGCAAGGCCGGACTTCAAGCTCAAGCCCTGGTGCTTCAAGAAGACGACGAAGAGGACCGAGGCGACGGTGAAGACCGAGACAACTTCAATATGAACTCGATCTCCAGCGGCCAGCCTCTAGATGTGCACCAAGCGCGCGCAGCTATACGTCACCTCATGACGGTCTCACGCTCACAGCAGAGTGCTGTCTACCGACTGCTAGCCAACATGGACCCCAGCGGGTCGGGGCTGCTAACGTACCCGGAACTACGACGCGGGCTCGAGCGGCTGGGGATTAACTTGCGAGACGATGCCACGGCGCACGAGTTGTTGAGTTTCTATGAGGAGGAGGACGCACGAGGGGAGCGAACGACAGGACAAGTCAAGTATCTGCAGCTGCTGCATGCTCTTGGTGGACGGGACCCGGACAAAGTGGGCAAGGATTCCTCCATGAGCGATCTGTCGAGTCACTGCTCCTACTACAGCTCGGTGGGGATCAGTCCTCGTGCTGTGGGTCGCTCTCAGGCGGGACTCGTTGCTGCACGACAACTTACAAGCCGCGCGGGTCATGTTCTGGCAGCTCATGCGGTGAATCATGCCGTTGAAAACCCGCGCGCCGCTCTCAACGCTGGCGTGGGGGCTACAGGCGGCGCTGCTGCAGTGGAGCAGAAACTCCAGAAGGCGCTTCAAGCGCAGGGGAAAACCGCCTGGAAGCAGCTCACGCGGAAGCTCCAGGCTCTTGACACAGAACACCGAGGCAGCGTGACGCCTTCCTCTCTAAGGAAAGTGCTGGGTGAACTGGGCGTTGAGCTTGATCAGGAAGAAATCGTGCGCCTACAGCTCAAGTACGACGCCGAACAGAACGGCCGCGTCAACTATCACGCCATGCTGCGTCAGCTCACGAGTGCACTGAGTGATCTCGGATTCAGTAATGGCAATGGCACTGGGGCTAGCGATCACCTACCAAGTCTCAATCTGACTTCTCCCGTCAAGAACAACAAAGTGAGCGGCAGTGGGGACGTTCCAGAAGATCTGCGCGCTGGTGTCCAGGCCAAGTGGAAGGAAGTGTACGCGTCGTTGAAGACACTCGACAAGGGCAATTCCGGTCGCGTGAGTGCCGCCCACTTCCGCCAGCTACTGGACTGGTACGCACTACCCGTGACAGACTCAAGCTTCCTAGCTGTACTTCGTGCGTTCGACGGAGACGACGGACTCGTAGACTACAACCGCTTCATGCGCGCCTGCTTCCGAGGGTGACTTACTACCGGATAACTTACAACTAACTAACTACCGTAGATTTTCGCTTGATAAATATGTTAGCAAGGGTGTCTGCGCCTGGGGCTTTGTGCTGCTGGCGGCACGATTGCAGTGTTGCTACTGACAGCTCGACGATTACCGGTACACAAGACGCTTCCGTTCATGAAGCGATGTTCCTGCCGCTCCGCACGCCGCTGCTCACGGAAATGGGCCGCTACGATCTCGACGTCGGATTCTTGGTGCACCTTAATCCTCGGCGACTGGGGTTTTCTCTGCTGGTCCTGTTGTTGCTGCTGCTGCAGTTGTAATAGTCTTCTAGCATCTTGCGTCTGGCATAGAATCGTCTCTGCTTGGCGCAGTGTGTCCTTCTCCTGTCGCTTGATAGCCCTGCGCATGATGGTGGCATCTCTCTTTTCCTCGTCGACCTCCTCTTCTGGCCGATCACTGGGGAGCTTTCTGTCTTTCGCTCCACCCAAGTCTTCATATTCTGCATCAAGGTCGAATGGGCCGCGCTGTACCTGGCCTTCGGGGGCGAACTGCTCCAGTCGAGCAACCTGGGGCACGGAGTAGCCAAGTGGAGGCAGCTTGAACCATTCGCGCTGTAACCCGCGACGAGCCACTTCTCGAGCTAGATGCACCAATGTCTGCAATGCAGGAGCTACGATCTTCAGAGCCACTTCGGCTGGCTGGTTGCCGCCCATGACAGTACGCGCGATAGCCAACACCGGAGGGGGAGGAGTCAAAGCCACTGCACTCCGATCTTCCAGACACTGAAGCAGCTCCACGATGTGAAGGACGCCTTGCTGGGCGTACACGAAAGCTTTGAGCTGCGCGTTCACACGTTCTCGGGCTTGGTTCTTCTCAAGTTGTTGGGCGTGGAGAGCACCCTCGAGGCGGTCGCGCAGTCGCTGACGTCGCTCTGCCACGTCGGTGGGGCCTGACACGCGAAGTCGAGCCACCATGGCACTGCGTGCTTGCTGCTCACCGGCCAGGCGAGCTCCTTCGGCGCGCAGCTCGCTCTCAATCTCACGCAGTCGCGCGGTGCTCTCCCGATACGACTGGAACCTCTCGAGCACCATGCTCAGGTCAGCCTCTCCAGTTTCGCGCAGCACGCGAGCGTATTGTCCCTCATAGACAGCGAAAAGCGTCTCGCGTTTGTTCTCATCCGCGTCCGCCACCAAGATGTTGTAGCTGTCTCGCCGCTGCATTCGGCCTGAAGGAGCTCGCTGTCTTGATATTGCCGCCGTGGCACTCGTGAGTGATCGAGTGGAGACTTTCGACGCTGCGGTGGAGCGAGAGCCGATGAATCGAATTAACTCGTCGCGACGGCGGTCTGCATCCTGTCGACGCTGGGTTATCACCAGCCGGGAGGCCAATTCGTCCCGATAAGACTCGAGAACGGGCAGTGCGTTGCGCTTGAAAGCCGCTTGCTTGCCGTGTAGTTCACGAAGCTGCTGCCGGATCTGACGGCTCTTGTCGGCCTCGAGCTTGGCGCGACTTCGACACAATGATCGCTCTCTGTGCGTTGCTCTTCTCCGCTCCGCCAGGAGATCAGCGTTCGCCTCGAGATATCTGACCTGCTGCAGTAGGCGCTCGTGCATGTACTTGAGCCGCTTCTTGTACGCGTCTTGGTGGGCGATCTCCTCTTTCAGACTTGATGCGACTTCACTAGGAGTTGGCTGCACCTTTGGAGTCTTCGCAGCTCTTTCGTCCACTGGTGCTAGTTCAGTTGTCGTCTTCGTCGGCGGTGGTGCTGATTTTGGCACGTCAAAGGCCTGGAGATGTCGCTGTGCTAGCTCCAGTTCCTCTTGTCGTCGTGCGATGGTTGCTTGCAGTTCATGTAATTGGCGCTGAGCATCCAGCGTCACGTGTCGCTGCTCGTCGATCTCCTCCCGTACTACGCGCTGTACGATAGCGTTGTGGCTGGAGGCAATTGGCGTTCCAGGTTGTCTCCAGAGCTGCACGGCTGCTGAACATGGCCTCGGTCTTGGGCTTGTTGACCCAGAAGCTGACGGAGGTCTAGGAAATCGACTTAACTGGGGGCGCCGCTGCTGGATCGAGTGCCGGTGTGAGATGGGCATTCGAAGTCGCGGCGAGTTTTCGGGTGCTGCCGCTGCTGCTAGCATGAGTTTGCGGTTCGCCGACGGGAACGCACCAGCGGACTTCGGCCGCCTGGGCGGAGCGATGATGGCCCCCAATGACGGCATCGGCGGATCATTGCCTTGCCTCGTCATTTAGTGGAGTCCAACAACAAGTCTGCTGTCAATAAAGACGAACAGGAACGTGTGCTGTTGTTGTTGGAGAACGGGGACGAAACCACCTTTCCAATATAGCTCCCTTTTGATGCGGTAGTCGAGGATCCAAGCAACGGTAGGGGATCCAGCCCAAGTCGCCGTGCGTTGAAATCTGTCGGCAATGAGTACACGGCTACTGTGGTGGCCTAGTACAGCCCTGTTCCCAGTTGTCCTGGTGCGTTGAGGCGCGGCTGCGGTGCTGCATGCGCGTCGTCCCAAGGAATATAAGCTTACTGTCGATGTGCACAACGTCACCCAGGTGGGCAACAGCAGCAGCGACTGCGCCCTGGCAGTCCAGCGACAGACAGTACGCGTTTAGGCAAGGGAACGAGGGCACCGAAGAGCGACAGACAAGGCTGTAGCGAGCGTCCTGCAATGCGACCGGCAGTTGAAGCTGGCTGGCTCGTCTCTGGGAACTCAAAAGCTCAGGACCACACCAAATTGAGGTACCGCACACAAAACGTCCCGCCGTGGCGTCCGTCGTGCAGCAGTCTTCAAGATATCGGTTACTGCGCTCCTCCTCACACTCTCGTCACCATGGGCGCAGGCAGCAGCTCCGAGCTGCCCATGAGCCAGATCGACTTCGACTCGTACACGGGCAAGCGCTACACCGTGGAGGTGCCCAACACGCGCGATGCCACGCACGGCCCCGCCTACGAGGTGGCGGACAAGGAGCCGGTCAACGAGGACGAGATGACGCTGTACCACAACTTCCTGCGGGGCTGCAGCATCGAGCATGGCACTAGGCCGCTGTATGGGCGCCGGACGGTGGACGCAGACACGGGCAAGGCCGGCGCGTTCGAGTGGCTCACGTACAACGAGGTGAAGACGCGCGTGGAGCGCGTGGCCAGCGGCTTGAAGGCGGTCGGAGCGCTCGAGCGACAAGACGTGGTCGGCGTCTTCTCCAAGAACCAGCTCGAGTGGTGCCTCGTGGCGCACGCGTGCGACCGCATGAGCTACGTTCTCGTGCCGCTCTACGACACGCTGGGCCCCGACGCGGTGCCCTTCATTGTCAACCACACGGAGCTGCGCGTGCTCTTCTGCGGCAAGAAGCAGTTCGATGTGGTCATGGACTGCGTCAAAGACTGCCCAACGCTCAAGACCATCGTGCAGTTCGAGCCGGTCACGGAGCAGCAGATCCAACAAGCCGCGGCCAAGAACCTGGAGCTGCGCAGTCTCGAGGAGCTCGAGCTGCTCGGCGAAGCGGATCCGAAGCGAGCAGACCCACCAAAGCCGACGGACGTGTCGACGCTGTGCTACACGTCGGGAACGACCGGTGACCCCAAGGGCGTGATTCTGCTGCAGCGGAACTACGCGTATGTCGTGCGGCAGATGTGCAAGCGGATGCAGATTTTCCCCTCGGACGTGCACTGTTCCTACCTGCCGCTGGCTCACGTCTTCGAGCGCTCTGTTCTAGGTGTTCTTCAGGCCCATGGAGCTTCTGCGGGCTTCTACCAGGGCGATCTGCTCACGCTCATGGACGACCTAGTGGAGCTAAAGCCCACGGTCTTCGTGTCCGTGCCTCGACTCTTCAACCGCGTGTACGACAAGATCACGCAGGGTGTGGCTGCTGCTGGTGGACTCAAAAAGATTCTCTTCGATCGAGCGCTCGCCGCTAAGCTTGCGGGTCTGCCTGAAGGACACAAGACGCACGCGTTGTGGGACGCACTAGTGTTCTCCAAGGTCCGTTTGGCGCTTGGCGGTCGTGTGCGTCTCATCTTCTCCGGTTCGGCTCCGCTGAGCGCGGAGGTGAAGGAGTTTATGAAGGTCGTCTTCTGCTGCGATGTGGCGGAGGGCTACGGGCTCAGTGAGACCGCCGCTGCAGTGACGGTGGGCTCGGTCGACATGCCCATGGGGCCTCACGTCGGCTGCCCACTCATCTACGGCCAGGTGCAGCTCGAAGACGTGCCCGAAATGGGCTACACGAGTCGCGACAAGCCTCGGCCTCGAGGAGAAATCCTCGTGAAGGGGCCCATGATATTCTCAGGATACTACAAGGAGCCCGAGAAGACTCGCGAGGCAATTGATGAGCGCGGATGGTTCCACACGGGCGACATCGGCTGCTGGAATGCCGACGGCACGCTCAGCATCATCGACCGCAAGAAGAACATCTTCAAGCTGGCGCAGGGCGAGTACGTGGCTGCCGAGAAGATCGAGAACATCTACGCCAAGAGCAAGTACGTGGCTCAGATCTTCGCCTACGGAGACTCGCTGCAGAGCTGCTTGGTGGGGATTGTGGTGCCAGACCCGGAGACGGCCGAGGCTTGGGCTCAGGAGAAGGGGTTGACTGGCGCCGACGCCTCGGCCGCGAAGGTGGCGACGAACCCCGAGTTCCAGAAGGCCGTGCTGGCGGACATGGCTCGCGTGGCCAAGGAGGCGCAACTGCGCGGCTTCGAGTTCGTCAAGAGCGTCCACTTCCACCCGGAGCCCTTCTCGCTGGAGCAGGGGCTGATCACCCCCACGTTCAAGCTCAAGCGCCCGCAGCTCAAGGCGCACTTCCAGCAGCAAATCAACATGCTCTACGAAGGACTCAAGTAAAAGAGGCGAAGGACAGGTAGCGCCAGGATTTAAGGGCTGACGCTAACGCTAATTTCCCATATCATGCAACAGTAGCTTCCATTCTGCAGCCATGGCGTCAACACTCGCCGAAAGAAGTTGAAGTGGGCAGGTGTCATGTACATGTACCATTTCGACTAACGGGGGCGTAAGCTTTCGCTATGATAGGATCAAGCAGCGCAGACTTGCGCCCTTCATGGCATGACATCATCGGCGAATGATTCCTTCTCGCTGGGAGCTTGGTGGCGTGTGCTTTCAGGTGAAGGTATCTTTTCCCCATATCATGACGGTTCCGACTTCCCTATATTCCGACAAGTAGGAAATTGGTCAAAGCCAGTGCAAAATCGGAAATAGGGGAAAATCGGAAATTAGATATTATGTACGGTAAATTAGGACTAGGGGGCCGTTTGACCGATTCTTGTCAGCTTTCAGGCGGTGCTCACAGCCGCGAGGAAATCGCCTCTAGAAGCCTGTGGGCCGAGAAAAACGGCAATTTGCATCTAGGCTCAAAATCGACTCGGAGCAATGTGCTCTCGAGGTGGCAAGTTCATTAATGAGAGCCAGGATCCTGTGGTGGGTCCACTATTTGGGTTGATTGTCTTTAAACAGTGATATTTACACTTCACAAGAGTGACCGTCTCTTCCAGAGCCACTCTTTTAAAAACCTCAATGAGGTTTTATTTAAGCCAATAGAAAAACGCCACGCAGTCAAGCTCTCGGAGGCAACGCCGACAGAGGCCCCGCGGCTTCAGTCTAGATTTCTTAAGCCGAACCCCCCAGACCGCAAGCCAAGCCGGAGGCTCCACCCTCGACGACGAAGCTCAACGGATGAGCGCAGGGCTTGCCCTGAGGAGCGGGATCGAAGCCCGCTGTCGCCAATCACGATTGATGGGAGCCTTCCAAGGTGTGCAGTGTTTGGGTCCGGGCAAGCGGCGACGAGCGGATGGAGAGCGATGCGCTGAGTGCCCGACGGTCTCTGGGCGATGGTTGGCAGGATGGTCATGGCCTTGATCTGCGCGTTCGTATGCTAACTGTCTTGTATTTGTTCATGAATATATGTATTTGCCCCGAACTTTGTGCCTTACACGTGTCCGACGACTTGTAGTATGTTTTGGGTCGCAGCCGGCGCTGGGTAGACGATCCTTTCCAGGGCGAGGTGGCTTTGATACGCCACGATGCGACTGTCGAGGGCACCAGACCGATGAAGCTTGCGCATCTCGCGCAGCACGCTGCCAGCTCCTTTTGCTCGGGATCCCTGCTCGCTCAAGAACCTAAGGACCGCTGCTTCCGCGCGTTTTCCTACTTCGAAGACAAGATCTTTGAAGTCGACAGCATCCTCGCGCAGCACGCTGCCAGCTCCTTTTGCTCGGGATCCCTGCTCGCTCAAGAACCTAAGGACCGCTGCTTCCGCGCGTTTTCCTACTTCGAAGACAAGATCTTTGAAGTCGACAGCAGCACGAATCCGCCGTCAAGAAAGAGCTTCATGTACGCAACGCCCAGGCGGTAGTCGGACTTCTTCTGGCGGTCGCTCGAGTCCCAGACACGGGGCAGCCTCGTGTACCACTCGAACCACAGCGAGGACAGGTTCGTAGCAGCTTTCTTTCTTCGCTTTGCGGGTGGCGCTTGCTCTGACGAAACTTGCTCTTCTGACGCTTCTTCAATACGCTTCACAGGCGGCGCTTGCTTTAGGATGATCGTCTCCAGTGCGAGGAGGCTCGCAGACATGAGCCGATTGCTCTCGATAAGCTCGCTAATGACAGCCAAATGGTGACACCCAGCATGACAGCAGTTGCTCTTTGCTTCCGACTTTTCGTGTGCTTGTTCAGGACTCGAAGCAGCAGACGTACTGATTGCCATGGACCAAGACAGCATGTCGGCGACCAGGATATCAGCCGCTCCCAAGCATTCCTCGATACGCGCAACGAACAGCGTGTCGGGCGCCAGCGCCTTCACTTGCGGGAAATACTTGATCAGGTACGCCGTCAGCACTCCGATAACCTTGCGCCTTATGTTTAGCTTTGCTTCTGCCACTCCAATGCAGGAACCAAACAGCAGCTCCTCCAAGCGCGCCAGGCGTTCCTGCGTCCCATGGTCCAGCGCTGCAACGTCCGCAATGACCGGGGCTTCGTCGACCCTCCAGCCGCTCAGCACTCGGGCGACTTTTCGGTCTTCGCGGGGGGTGTTGAAGACATAGGCAAAGCCTTTGTTCGTGCGGGTCATATCCCATGACCCGCGGTCAAAGATCCACTGCGCTGCTAGCCGCTCGTCTCCGTTGGCGGGCTGGGCACCTTCTCGGCGAAAGGAGTGCGAGGTCAGGTTGCTGGTGGCACCGGCGGGTTCAGCCACCCGCTTCAAAAAGCGGTTGACATACGCTTGGACTCCGTCCTCACCGCGGCCGAGGCTGCTCCTCGTGGGACTTGAAGCTGTGAGCTGAGCTGGCAGGGAGGCGGTGGTGGCTTGCGATGGGTTGGAGCTGGGCGGACTTGCTGTGGGGAGCAGGGAAGCGGTGCTGGGCGGCGACAGGGACGCTTCCAAGGCCGCCGCGGTGTCGCTGCTATCCGCGACGCTGACCCGCAGCACCTCGAGCAGAGGCGCACCTGCGTCGAGCGAGGTTCCAGCGGTGGTGGCGAGAGCGGGAAGCTGACTCAGCAGCGACACACAGGGCGCCTCCTGCATCACCAGAGCAACGGCCAGCGTGTGCAGGGGGCAGGTGAGGAAGTCGTCGCGGTCAGGTACGAGGGTGAGGCCTTGCTCTTCGGCAGTTTTTACACGAAGCATGCGTACGTAGAAAACGTTGTCCGCTGACACTGTGATGTGCTGCTTGCTGATATAGCCGATATCCGAGGAGCGTCCAAAACAGTGCCACATGAGGCACGCGAGCGCCGCATCTTCGTAGTCGGTGGCGACAGACGCCGTGCTGTAGACATAGCGAATTAGTTACCTTAAATCCGCCTTCGTGCAAGGCGGAGCTTTGTTAGTAAATCCCCCATTGTCCCGTTTCAAGCAATGTTTTTCCAAAGTCTTGCCTTGCTTTAGCAGGTTTAACTCTGTAGGAACCCGAAGATGAGGATGCTCATCAAAAAACCAAAGCTTAACGTTTCTAAAGTATGAAATGGCTGTGTTAGACGCCAACTTACCTTTCTTACCTTCATACGTGGCGAGGTAGTAGCCGAAGCGGTCCATAATGGCAGCAAGGCTCTTGCCAGAACTGTCACCACGCGCACAGGCTTGAATGACATTCATAGACACATTCTCTCAAAAGCACCAATCCCTGTGGTGCGCGCTTTTTGCGTGTTCGCAGGGATGAGTGCAGAGAGACTCATGCTACTCTTTGTCTGGCGCTTCTGCCGTTTCAAAGTGCCTATGTGTGTATGTGCGGAGGACCACCAGTGTCTCCACTGACTAGAGCTCCAGGCCTAAAATAGGTTTCTGCCTAGTTGTTGTAATCATGAGCATATTTGAAAAGTACGTACTTGACTGTATTTCACTATGTGAATATACATATTTGCGTCTCGCTTCCGACAAATATTTGTCAGAAGCTGTCGGAACTAAAAACCTATCCCTGTGTGATTTGATTGGATGAAAATAGTGAATAGCGACTGTGTGATTGGTCAGGCCGTCATATATTTCCTGTTCTGTACAATCCTACTAAGCTATCTGTCGGAAAAACTACTATATTCATCCATACAGTAGCCGATGCCAATATTGCCTAATTTATCACCTTCGAGCACCAACGCCGGTGGTGCCCCGTTCGCAGCACCAACACGGCACGCGTACGGCTGTCAGTGGCTTACGAGCATCCGAAGCCATGGTGGCGCTTGTTTATCCGTTCTCCCACTCGGAGCGGACCTCTCAGAGAGAGGGAGGAGTGCCGACTCGTACACGGGCAAGCGCTACACCGTCGAGGCGCCCAACACCCGCGACGCCACTCATGGGCCCGCGTACACGGTGCCCGAGACGGAGCTGATCGACGCAGACAAGATGACCCTGTACCACAACTTCCTCATCGGATGCGGCTTCGACGACGGCAACCGGCCGTGCTACGGTCGACGCACCATCGACCCGGCAACCGGCAAGGCTGGAGCGTACGAGTGGTTCACGTACAACCAAATCAAGACTCGCATGGACGACCTGGCCAGCGGCATGGTGGCGACCTGTGGCCTCAAGCGCCAGGAGAAGGTCGGCATCTTCTGCAAGAACCGGATCGAGTGGTCTCTCATCGGCCACGCCTGCGACCGCATGAGGTGCCGCTCTACGACACGCTCGGCCCGGATGCGGTGCCCTACGTGATCAACCAGACCGAGCTGAGGGTGCTCTTCTGCGGCAAGAAGCAGTTCGACGTCATCATGGACTGCGCGGCCAAGTGTCCGTCGTTGAAGATCATGGTGCTGCTGGGGCCGCTCTCCGACGAGCAGCAGGCGCGCGCTGCAGTGCACAACATCGAGGTCAAGTATTTCGACGAGGTGGAGGCCAAGGGAAAGGCTGAGCCCTGTCCAGCTGACCCCGCACTCCCCTCGGACGTGTCGACGCTGTGCTATACGTCTGGTGCCGTTGGTGATCCCAAGGGGGTCGTGCTGCTGCACCGTGACTCAGGGCTGCCGAAAATAGCATGGCCATAACAATAATGACCATAAATAAATATGGATAATGTATGTTGGCCATTTTCGCTTGGCCATAACATTATTTATGTCATGATGTCCTAGCAATAATTGTAATTGGGCAAATTATCAGAAATAAATCTTGAAATTTAGAGAGACCAATACAAACGTTAAGTAATACATGATCATGATATTTCAACATTATTTATGAGACACATTTTCTGCATGACATTATTTATGTTCTCTTCTTTCTGGCAGGCCTACCATTATTTATGAGCCAGCTTGGCTTACATAAATAAAAATGCCATAATCGGCGGCCCTGCCGTAACTACGCTGCAGTCGACTCAAGATCTACCCGGAGGACATTCACATTTCGTACCTGCCGCTGGTTCACGTCCTCGAGCGCATCGTGCTCGCACTCATGCACCACAGCGGGGCAGCCGCGGGTTTCTACCAGGGTGACGTTCGCACGCTCATGGACGACATCGCGGTGCTCAAGCCGAGCATCTTCGTGACGGTGCCTCGACTGGTCACGACAAGATCGTGCAAGGTGTCGAGGCGGCCGGTGGCATCAAGAAGAGCATCTTCGAGCACGCTCTGGCGGTCAAACTAGCGGGAGTGGAGGCAGACGAGAGCAAGACGAACGCGCTCTGGGACACAGTCGTCTTCGACAAGCTGCGCCAAGTGCTCGGCGGGAACATCCGCATTATCTTTTCGGGCTCCGCTCCATTGAGTGCCGAGGTCAAGAAGTTCATGAAAGCTGTCTTCTGCTGCGAGATCGTGGAAGGCTATGGCATGAGTGAATCTGCCGCCGCCGTGTGTATTGGAGGCATTGAAATGCCCACTGAGTCCCATGTAGGGCCCCCGGTCCTCTTCACACAGGTCCAGCTGGAAGATGTCCCCGAGATGGGCTACACCAGCCAGGACAAGCCCCGTCTGCGCGGTGAGATCCTCGTTAAGGGCCCCGAGATGTTCACCGAGTACTACAACAATCCGGAGATGACACGTGAGGCTATTGACGAGCGCGGGTGGTTCCACACGGGCGACATCGGCTGCTGGAACGCCGACGGCACGCTCAGCATCATCGACCGCAAGAAGAACATCTTCAAGCTGGCGCAAGGAGAGTACGTGGCCGCCGAGAAGATCGAGAACGCCTACTCCAAGTGCAAGTACGTGGCGCAGCTCTTCGTGTACGGAGACTCGCTGCAGAGCTGCCTGGTGGGCGTGGTGGTGCCCGATGCGGAGGTGATGAAGGTGTGGGCGCGGGAGCGCGGTCTCAGCGGCGACGACGCCACCAAGGCCAAGGTTCTCGCCAGCCCCAAGTACCAGAAGGACGTGCGCGACGACATGGAGCGCGTGGCCAAGGAGGCGCAACTGTGCGGCTTCGAGCGCGTCCGCAACGTGCACTTCCATCCGAAGCCTTTTTCGTCGGACGAGGGCCTGGTGACGCCGACGTTCAAGCTGAAGCGGCCGCAACTGAAGGCGTACTTCCAGCCACAGATCGACGAGCTCTACAGAGAACTGTAGGCAGCCAACGTTACTGAGTGAAGCCCTCTAGTAGTGTCATGCCATGAATCTACTGCACTCATTATTGTTTGGAGCAATTTACATCCACCGAGTGGGGCTTCCAACCTCGACAGATTTAACGAAGTTACCGACATACAGGATGCGTGATCTATCGAAACCTACATGTAGTTTTCGGCATGTAGGAAGCTCAAGAAGATGGCTGATACCATCGAACACCGCTAAAAGCCTGTCCACTGGTCATTTTCACTAAACAGCTGAGCTCACGTGTCAGTGCCCTACAAATTGAAGATGCACCTCCAACACTTCCAACACTTTGTACCGCGGGAAATGGATCGCCGCATTATGTTGCGCATCCCTTGAACTGCATGTCGGGCGCTGATCTCTTGCCTGCCGCCACTCATTCTTCAACTCGCCGCCCCAAGCTCAACCGACCTCGGCCGCGCTCCAATATTCATGGTGTGGAAGTCTATCGTTCTTTCAGTATTCCTCGCGCTCGCATTCCCGACCACCGAGGCTGTGACGTACTCTTCGGGATGCGGCAATGCTGCGAGCATCACCAGCGGCACGTACACCACCACCGTCAACGGAACGGAGCGCGAGTACATTGTGCGCGTGCCGGAGGGCTACAACTCGAGCGAGCCGTACCCGTTCATCATCGCCTACCACTGGTACGGCGGTAGTGCGTACAATGTCACGCAAGACTCGTCCAAGTACGGCAACGGCAGCTACTATGGTCTGTTGAGCTACGCCAACGAGTCCGCCATCTTCGTGGCGCCCGAGGGGCTGGAGGTTGGCTGGTGGAACACAAACGACGATGACATGAAGTTCACCGACGCCATCGTCCAGACCATCGACGACGAGTTGTGTGTGGACCAAGACCAGCGGTTCGTGGTGGGCTTCAGTTTCGGCGGCTCGATGGCGAATGCGATCGCCAAGTCAGGTCGCGGGACGACCTTCAAGGCCGCCGCCGTTTTATCCGGCACGGACTACGTGGCAGCCATCGGCGAACCTGCCCCCATCGGCTTCTTCGTCGGGCACGGCGTGAGTGACCCAGGCAACCTGATCTCCAAGGGTCGATCCATGCGCGACGTGTTCCTCGAGGTCAACGGCTGCACGAACCAGACTGCACCGGAGCCTGCGGTTGGCTCGGGCTCGCACGTCAAGACGTCGTACGCAAACTGCACCAAGCCCGTGACTTTCATCGCTTTCGACGGTGTGCACGAGTACAGCCCTGTCGACAAGGGATCCTCGTCCTCGTGGGTTCCAAGCGAGCTTTGGAGCTTTTTCTTCCCGTCAAAGAGCAGCTAGGCAAGTGGTCGAGTAGATTCTGAGTGACGAACAAAGATTAAAATTCAACTCGAGAGTGAACTGTGGCATGTACCTAGACTTGTGTAGATGCATTTACCTTTACAGTTCTCTGCACTTGTCCCGAGCGTGACGAAGGAGTGAGTGTACATGTTCTCCCCTCGCGCTAGTTTTTCACATTACGTGCCATCCCTGTTGAACAGCTTACAGGCGCAACGAGTACCCGCTCGATGAATGGTAGTAGCCACCGTTGCTCCCCTTCGTTGAGCTGGTCGTGGTTGTAGTAGAGCTGCTCGTGACACTTCCACTGCTGACGGTCTTGACTGTCGTGGTAGTCGTCGTCGTTGTCGCAGTACCCTGGCCGTTGCCCACCAACATGGACAACACATCCGACTTTTCATTTTCGGCGCGCTTGCGCATGCGGCGGCGCTGGTTCTTCGTGAGCTTCACCTCGCCCATGGCCGGCGTGCCACCAACGGGGCCCACGCGCTTAGGCTGCTGTCGCTGTTGCGACTGCGTGTTCGGTTGGGAGTTCTCGTCGCTGACCTCAGCATCGCGCGCACCGTTCGTCTTCTTATCATCGTCTTCCTGCTCCTCCGTTTCTTGCTGGTAGCGGGCGCTACGGCGCTGCTGGAATTCCTCTTCGTTGCGCAGCAACTCCTGGATCTTGTCCTCCATGACTGTGCGCACCTTCTGGACTTCCTCCTTGGGTCCCTTGAGCGTGATCGAGTTGTCGCCACGACGAATGTCAATCATGACGTCGGGGAATTGCTTTTGCAGCGCACGAATGTTGGCGCCACTCTTGCCGATAAGAGAGCCGACCATGGAGCTTGCAAAGGCAGGAGAGACCGTCGTAGGCAGGGAAATCGTCTCAACAACGAAAAGCTCAAGCAGGTGCTCCATCTTCTCTACGAGGCGCTCGCGCTCATCGTGGTCATCGCCATAAACGACAACCTGCAGCTCACCCTTCTCTTTTCCGTCGATAACATGGAACTGAATCCCCTTTGCAGCATCCTTCTTAGCGGAGAGAGCCACATCCAACTTGTCCTTGGTGACATCCACAACCGAAGACAGGTTCTTGTGGTGGGTAAGCACGTCCTGGACCTTTTCCGTAGCGAGCTTAATGGCTGCGTCGTCCCTCGAGCTAATGGTAAGCACACGGTCTTCGTGGCGCGAGCCCGAAGGCGATGGGGCATTCAAATCCAATCGAGCGCTGCTTTCCGTGCTGATCTTCTTGATGGTCTCACCATTGCGGCCAACCAGAATGGGCACAAGCCAGCCCGCAATGGGCAGCTCCACGTGCTGCTTCTTCCACGCCTCAACATCCTTCTTCAACTGCTTTGTAATTTCCTGGGTGTGCTTCTTAGAGTCCGCAAAAACCTTGAGAGTGGTCTTGGTAGGCAGGGAAAACACAACGTTGTACTTGGCGCGGAGGGTAGGCAGAAGCTCGTACATACGGGTCGCAATGGAAGGAGGGAGGTCCTCTAGCGTCTGGAAACAGTCTGTGTAGTAGAACTGCAGCACCTTCTCGACCTCAGCCTTGGCCTCGTACACCTTAGAGGCATTGGTGCCTTCGATGCGAATGATACCCTCCTCGGTTGCACCTGAAGCCGCAGGTGAGCGCTTCACGCGCAGCTCGCATCCAGTTTGCTTGCAAATGCGCAACGCGTTCTCGTTCAGCTTCGCGGCTTCGCCCTTGACCTCCAGAGCACTTGCGAACGTAATCGAGGGAAGCGCAATGGTCTCCACAAAGTGCGAGTCCGGTGAAACCAACATCTCCAAGAACTTTTTGATCTTGCCAATTCCCAACGCGGGGCCGCGAATCTTGGCCACCTTGCCGTCATCCTGGAATGATACTCGCATGCCTTCACCACCTTCGGCCTCGAGCTCCTGCAGACGCATCGCAATTGCTTCATACTTGTCAAGCAGCGTATTGAAGTTTGTCGGCGCTGGTCCAGTGACACCACGCGGCAGTCCATTAGAGGATTGCTGCTCTTGCTGAGGCACACGGACACTTTCGATCACATGAGTTTCCTGCAACGTCTTGAGCACATCGTCAACGCAGGCTTGAAGGGCTTCGGGGGATGCCGCCTTGATGCGAACCTGCCCGCGGTTCGGGAATGCATCCAAGGTGGCCTCGGGGTGCGCAAGACGCATCGCCTTGATGCGTTCGCCCTTCTTACCAATCAAACAGCCCGTTGCGAACGCATCCAATTGCAGGAGCTGGCGGTTCTGAGTCTGCAAGAGCTCATCAACCGCAGCCTGCACGCTTTTCAGTTGCTCCTCCGTGCCGATCATCTCCAGCTCAGAGGGTTGGTCGCCCGTACCTCGCAGCACACGGACCTTGGCCCCACTCTTGGTTTCGAGTTCCGACACGGTCTCGCCCTTCTTGCCGATCACAGTCGGGATCTCATCGTTATCGAGAGGCAAGTATCGGACATGATGAGCTTCATCCAGCTCTTCCAGTTGCTCCTTTGCCTTCTGAATCGCCTCAAGTGTACCCGTAAGGGAGATCTTGATTTGATCCGACTCGCTTTCGCTGCTCCGAGCAGCACCATCGCGCGGAGGGGGAGGCAAGTGCAGCTTGCAGCCACTGCCCGTCTCAATTTCGGACAGCTTTTCGCGCTTGGACGCCATAAGCACAGCGATCAAGTAACGCGACGTGACAAACACTGAGCGCTGATTGGTGTCGACGATCTCAGTGATCTTGGTCTTCGCCTTGTTGATGGCTTCCTCATCGTCGCCAAACACGCACACATAGGAGTCTTGAATATCGATGCGGATGTTGCTTTCCTTGCCTTCGTTCTCGATTTCCTTGATTTTGCTTCCCTTCTTGCCAATAATGAGGCTCAGCAAGTGGTTATCGGCGACTTCAATGACCCAGTGGTGTTGCTCGAATTCTTTCAGACGCTCGCGAATCGCGTCTTCCATGGCATCAATCTGCTTCTTGTTGCCCAGCACATGAATCCGTCGCTCCTTCTTGAACACCTTGATCCGGGCCTCCGAGGCATCCGTTCGCAGAAGACGAAGCTGCTTCGCCTTGTTGGCCATGAGGAATTCCGCAAAGAACTCGAACTTGTACTGCGCGAACTCCGATCCCTTGAACAACTCCCTGTCCGCAGGCGTAAAGTTCTTCTCGCGCTGAGACTGCTCATCGATGAGCTCACGCACGAACTTCTCAGCACTAGCAACGCTGTCCTTCGTGCCGACAAGTCTCACGTTGTTCGTCACCTTGTCAATGTCCACCAGAGCGCCGGTGTCTTCCATCAACTGGTTGATAGTCTCGCCCTTTTTGCCAATCAGCTTGGGTACGATCTCAGACGGCAGCTGGATGTCCACCTTGCCGTCCGTCAGGTCGTTAATTTGCTTCTCCAGCTGCTTCGCCTTGGCTGGCGACGCCATGACAGTCAAGATACCCTCCGCTTTGCTGATGTCGATCTTGAGCTTCAGTGATTTCTCCAACTCGTGCAGGTGCTTGGCCTGCTGGAACATGAGCACCTTCACCGTGTCCGGGTGCAGTCCGATCGAGTGGTTGGTGGCCAGAGTGATGTCCTCGACCGCCTCCTTAGCAGCGCGCACCTGCTCCGGGGCACTAGTGATCTTGACAATGTTCTCCTTGTTGTCCACCTCCAGCATGGCGCAGCACTCCTTCTCAAGCTGATGCACGTGCGCGAACTGCTTGCCAATGACGGAGCCCATCTTGTCCGCGGGCACCGAGACCTCGATCGTGACGAAGTCCGCCACGGGCTTCTTGATGTGCGCGGCCAGCTTGAGCTTGCGGATGCCCTGCTGCAGCTGCTGCAGCGTGGCGTCGAACTCCCTGTGCTTCTCGAAGCGCTCCTGCCGCTCCTTGCGCGTGCTGTCGATCATGGTCTGGAACTCGTCGCACGCCTCCTGCTGCGCCAGCTTGTCCTTGAGAGTCTGCAGCTCGCGCAGCAGCACGCGCTCGTCGCTGGCGGACATGGACGTGGTGTTGCGGTGCCACTCCTTGCGCTCCATCTCCTCCTTGAGGCGCTCCGCCGACATGTTGGGGCGGCGCGGCGGGTTCTTGAAGGCCACGCGCAGCTTCTCGTCCAGCTGCTTGCCGGCCGCCGCGTTGGCCGCCTTGGCGGCGGTCACGCTCTCCAGACGCTGCTGCATCTGCTGCAGCATCTCGGCGTCGCTGGGCGTGGACATGGCGGACGGGAGGAGGGGAGGGGCGGGTGGGAAGGCAGGGTGCGGGCGCGCGGGACCACTTGCGGGCTACGGGATCTTTTGTCGAATGACTTGGATCTGGTGCTGCGCGTCAAGCGGAGCGACCGTTTCGGCGGATCACTTGGGGTTTGTATGGGATGTGGTGGTGTATGGTACACTATCTAGAGTGCACGTGGTGTAGACAAGGAGTGATGATCAGTGGGCAAGTTGAAGTTGCCGTTTTGTTTGCTTCTCTCTTTTCAACGGAAAGGGGTGCGTTTGTCCTGCAGCTTGCGGCTGAGCAGCGTCTTCTTGAGCGCGCTGGAGGCTGTTTCTCGCCGGATCTTGAGCACGGCGCCGATGGTGGCAGGAGACGTCGGCGGCGCGCCTGCCGTTGGGCCAGAGGCTGCTGCTGGGCGAGACATCGACGTGGGTCGAGCTGCGCGAGTCGCATTTGGCATGAGGATTGAAGCGGCCTGCTTCTTAGCGGTGGCTGCCGTTTGTCCTCCGTTGCTTCGTGGGCCTTTGCTGCTTCTCCGATTCGTTTTCGACTTGCGTACGGACGCCACTGGCGCCGGTGGAGGCGACGGCGACGGAGAACTGGTCGAATAGATGACCGGGTGCACGACCGTTGGTGTCGTGGGGTGGTTCTGCTGCTGGTGGTTGTATTGGGTCATCTCGTGTTGATACGGCGAGGGCGGTATCACGTCCAGCGACTCGAGCGCGTCCTTCCCGTACCGCTTTGTCATGACCTCCAGCTCCGCACCCCAAGACGTTGCGGATCCAGCGCAGTGACGAGCATGGTCCTGCATGTCGAGCGAAGAAAAGGGCAGTATGAGGTCGCTGCTGGGCTGAGATTGCTGTAGCGCCAAGCGGTTCATAAAACCCTCGAGCGACCGGTCTCGGTTGCTACTTCGTGGAGCCATCTTCGAGTCATCACCGCCCCCCACGGCAGAACGCATCTGCTGGAGCACACGTACGATGGCGGATGCATTGCAACCCTTGGCTGCATTTCGAGCTGGACAATAAGAAGGGAGTGCAACGAGAGCGAGGAACTTGGTACCAGGCTTTACGGTGTCTTGAAGCAACACGGTGAGCTTGGAGCTGTGATAGCGCACAAACGCAACATCCTTCAGCCGAACCTCAGCTAGTGCCGTCACCAGCGCGGTCGCTCCGTTTTCCACAGCTACCCGCTGCTTAACTTCTTCTCGGTGATCGGACCACGGTAGTGGGGCCTTCACTGGATCGTTTGCGCCATTACCAGATCCCAACGCTAACTCGACAATTTGAAGCTTCGACTTGACCGGGGCTGTGCCAGCGAGCAAGCTCTCGTAGGTTAAGCAAACCGTCACCACCGTGTGCGTCAGGAGCGGGGTCAACAAAGGGACGGAGTCGTTTACGCTGAACGGCTGAGTAGCACTGGCGGTGAGGTGTTCGCGCCCTCCTGCGATTACCATGAGAGCCTCCTCCGCGTTTTGAACCTCGAGCACCACAATTTGTCGCGCCGAGGACGCATTTGCCTCTGTTGGCGGAGCAGTCATCGCTTCAAGACCGAGTAAATCGAACACGGTCTCATCGAAGACGGCCAGAAAGCTGATGGTAAACTTCGCACGGTGAAAACGTGTATCACCATGAGCTCCTACAGCCGCAAACAATTCGCGCAAGAGCAATTCTGGCACGGTTTGTTGTGCGCTGGAGCCTGCAATGCGAAGTGGAGGCGAGCCAACAAACGTTGTGACGCATGCGTTGCATCCGTCAAGCACAGACTGAAGAACCGGTGTCACGGACTCGTGACGGTCCCACTCACGAGCTCGGTCCGAGAAAACAGCGTCGCATTTCACTCCCAGAACCTCATTTCCATCGTCAGCGGTATCATCAGCACCGTTTTCGCGTAGGAATAGTTCGCCGTTGCTGTAATTTGCTCGCAGCAACATTTTCTCGGACTCGTTTTCGTCTCCAACAACAGCGTCTGGCGATGGCTCGACATTTTGCAGCTGGCATATGATCAGCGCATCGCGCCTAGCGCGCCAGAGCTGTTCATGAAGGTGTCGGCGAGCAAGTTCAGCACTGTGCAGTGCAAGACGCAGTGGTGCGTGCTCGACATGGGCTGCTCTTGCATACCGAGACGATCGTTCGACAAGAGTCATCACGGGCGCTCGAAGTCTCTCGAGAAATCGGCGGAAGTCTCCTTGAATGGCCACGAGTGGTGCTCGAGTCTGTGCTAGTGTAGCCCGCATACCACGAAGGGAAGTGATGGCATCTCGTGCAAGACCATTGACCTGTCGACGGTACACGGCATGTCGTTGAATAGCTGCTTGCTGGATTTGCAAGTGCTCGCGAGCACTAGCGCCATAGGTTTGGAAGGCTTTCGACTCGGCAGCTTTGGCGGCGACAGCCCCTTTGAGCTGATTAGCTTGGTGCTGAAGCGCATCTCGCTCGTCCCTCAAGGTTTCCAGCTCGCGCTCTCGAAGCTCGGCACGCTGTCGAGCAGCCTGCAATTGTTCACGAAGTGCGGCGTTCTCACGCTCGCGATGCTCGCTTTGCGCTTGAGCCTCGGTCCACTTCTCCATGATCGCTTTGAAGTGAGTGCCGCGCTTGCCCATTTCAGCAGTCAAGTGCTCAACGTTGTCATGCAGCAATTTCGTCTCCTGCGTAAGCAACTGTCGCTCCTGTCGGAGTTCTTTGGCCGCTGCTTCACTTTGCTCGAGCGCTTCGCGGTCTTCTCTCGCTCGTGTACGCAACGCGGTCAGCTCATCGTGCTGCATCGAGATACAAGCGTTCAGCTCCATCACTTGCATGGCGCGTTGGTGAGCTTCCGCGAGTGCCTTCTCTTTGGCTTTCTTCGCGTCGAGCAGCTCTTTCCAGCAGAATTCACCAGCTTCTGCATCGTCAAGAGCACCAGGAGCAAGCTGGGCCTTCGCAGATACGCCATTGCTTGCCGAGGCAACACCATCACTGGATTTGGCATCGGTTTGCGCAGCTTCGCTTGCTTTCCGCTCGCTATCTGCAGCCGCAGCTCGTAAGGCCAATACCTCCTTCTGCAATTGATCCAGCTCCATAAGCAACGAGTGGTTGCGCTTCTCCACCTCCCCACGCTTGGAGCGCTCTTCCTGAACCTTTTCCGTCATATCCACCAGCAGATATGCCAGAGAATCCTTACCAGCCTCCGATGGCGACGGGCCTTCTGCTCGAGCCTCGCGTCTTTCATCCTCCTCGTCTTCACCTCGCAGCTCATGTTGATCAACTTCCTCCTCTTCTGATGCAACGGGGTCGACTTCATCGTCGTCGTGAGACTCGTTTACTCGGTCCATCTCGACTTCTCGAGCAGATCACCACACACGTGCGAATGTGCCAGCGGAGGGCAAGGAGAGGAAGGTGGTTTCTATAAATGCCGACTTTTTATAGGCGGGCAAGTTGAAGTCGCCCAAGTATAGATGCTTTGCTTGCGCTATCCAGCCTAATTTCTACGTGTGGACTGCAGTACTGGTTTGTGTTGATCGAGTCTTCGAAGATGCAGGAGCCACAGTCAATGGGGCGACAGCTGAAGCTGGGCGTTAAGGGCCGGCTGAGCAACCAGGAGATGGAGCAGCTCCGCAACCAGGTGAGAATTGCGTGATGAAATGGCTGCATTGGATGATTTACAGCTGCTGACGCTCTTGATAGCTCGCTCGAGCTGCAGCATACGCCCATGTTCCAGAACACCAACGTGCTGCTCGAGCTGCTAAGGCCCAATCGGCCTCAAAACCCATGACCAAACTCTACCGTCGCGTTGATCCCCCCCGAGATACAAACAACAACCAAGCGCGACCGATTCGAAAGACGTTGGCGAGCATCCAGTACGAGCAGCAGTTCACAGCAAAGGCGTACGATTCCCTGAAGCCGCGACCAACTCGAGGCATCGACTCTGGAGCGAAAACTGTTCTACAGGACGAGTACGTCACTAAACCTAGAGAGGTGAGTTGCATCCCACGAAATCTCTCAACCATCAAGCCCAATGAAGGAGGACCAGAAACGGACAACCAGATCACAAGCGGTAAGCGCCGCGTGCCTTCCGCCATTCCTCAAGTGTTTATCATGTAGTAGTAACTAGCTACGAGTTCACTCCTCTCTGCTTCTTTCCGTTCAATGACTGGTTAAAGCACACTCTCGATTTGTTTGGGTTGTTGTTACTTTCACGTTAATGGAACTCGAGGGAACACATCCTCGGTACGCCACCAGCGACGATCACTTTACGACGGCACGTAGCGCCAGCGCGCCCGGGCGTCCAAGTCGTCCTTCTGAGCATGTTGGCGCAGCAGCTCCTTCTTCTCGCGCTGTCGCTCCTTCTTGCGGCGGCTCTCGCGCTGACGCTTCGTCAGTCCATCCACCAGCACTTCAGCAGGAGCTGCAGCCTGCGCGCGACGCGCCTGCCGTTTGGCAGCGCTGGAAGTGCCCACCATCTCCCACCCGTCGTCGTCGTCCGACTGGCTCGAGTCCGAGCTTGACAGTTCTTCCTGCACTGCGGCATCTTCCGTCGCCTTAATAGCCTTCATGTCTGCACCATCCTTGTCACTGCCCCCGCCCTCCTCGCTCGTGGTCGGCTTGAGCTTGATGAACTCGGCCGGCACGCGGTACTCCACCTCCCCGTCGTCGTACTTCAAGTGATACTCGTTGCCCTTGCGTTGATCCAGCACCGTGGCCGGGAACCACTCCTCCCCGCCTCCGAACCGGGCCAGGACCTGCTGGTCCACTGCGAACCTGGGGGCGTCAGCAGGCGGCAGCGACGCTTTGATCTTCCGCGCGAGTCGACTGCCGCCAAGGCTCTTGGGCTTGAACTTGCGCGTGGCCAGTACCTGAGCGGCCGAGAGCCCGTCGTCCGAGTCGCTGTCGCTAGCGTCATCTTCGTCCGCATTTGCTGCGGGCTGTACAGGCGCTGCGGAGGCCTGCGACGGAGGCAGAGAAGGCGCCGGCGAGTCGGCGGACGCGGATTTCTTGCCCGACTTCTTCTTGCTGCGCTTTTTGGCGCGCTTGGCGGAGGTCTGGGAGGCAGGTGCCGGTGTCGGTGTCTGCACCTGCTTGTACACGAAGAGCGACACCGCCAAGAGCAGCAGCGTCAGCACCAAGCGAGCCAGGAACGACAGCTCCGCCATCTTCGATTTCTTTCTCCAAATGGGATAGTTTCACGAGTTCCCCTCTCTTCAACTTTCCCCACACTTTCATAGTTTGCGGACCTTAACACGTTTTACTAAGGCTAAGTATCATTCTATAAGTACTACTATACCACATTTTATTATTTTTAGTAATACAATACTGTGTACTATAGTGCTAATCTAGATAGTAAAACAGTAATTATGTTGACGTGTTTTTTTAACAGGCTTTGCATATCGGTATGTCTGTACATGCATGCTTGTCGCTGGGAAGACCACGTTCGAGCAGTTCAAGCAAGGTAGGCCATCGAGATGGTCAAGAAAGATCTCCAATCATTACCGCTCTAGCCCAAGTACACATTACTACTTGCTATGAATACTGCGATACTAGTAACATAGTTGTACTTCACGTTAGTAGTCATTCGTGCAGGTTAATACTGGATTAGCTGCGCGTGACGATCAGCGAGAAAGAACCACGTTGAAGCTGCTTGGATAACCCACCGCTGGAGATGCTCTTAACAGCGCCAAACGTGCGAATCGGATCTCGAGTGTGATCTTTGCAAGTCGCCGAGCATCGTCGACAAGACTGCCGGAGTGCTCGCGGTGGGCAGCGCGTGGAGCAAGCCGCGTGGGTGCGGTCTCCGCACGGATTGAGACAACTTCTTTGGTGTCGCACCCAGCAGGGCTGTGGAAATATAGATTGACGGCTCAGATCTGGAACAATCAATTATTGCAATCTCAACAATCTCACAAACAAAAAGATTGCAATCTAAGTTCTCGCTTGTATTTCCTCTGCTACGTTCATATTTTTACTGGTTTGGCGGCGCTATCGCTTAAGACCTGTGCTTGTGCGATTACATTTGTGTTGAGCTTCAAAAAACCTAGGACAAATGCAATGTTGGGTCTTATATTCATCATGTTGAGCGCGCACCCCATCCAGGCATCCAATGACCCCTCATATCCGCATTTCGAGGCAGCAGAAGACACATACTGGCTTTTTAGGAGCTAGGATCGGTTCCATAGGCTTGACGTTGCATATTTCTCTACCGGATCGCTGGCAAAGGCTCAAAATCAGTATAGGAACAATATGGGAACGGGATTGCCGATTGAGATCACGGAGCAATCAATTATTGTGATTGACAATCTCGGCAATCGCAATCATTTTCTCCACAGCCCTGCACACCCGGGATGCAGGCAAGCAGCACAGCACGGCAACGTGGATATATGCGGCGGCTGTAGGTACCATAGGCCAACGCGGCCGACGCAGCGGACGAATGGCGGCCAGCCACGACTGCGAAGGCTGACTCAAGGATCGCGACGATCTTTCGCTTCAAGGGCGTATCTTTTGCTTGGGGGACGCCCGACCGTTCGTGGCGACACGCCTGTCAACACTGGCCGTCAACGCGGCAGGCACACTTGCCCGCCCGCAGCAAGCAGTAGCGGAGGCGATGCGCTCGTACTGCATTGCATTGCAACGCTGTCATGAGGACAGTCATCACCTACAGGGAGGAGCTGCGACCAGCTCGTTGATTGTGCGAGTCGGGCGTCGCGCGAGTCGGCTTTGGCGGGTGGCAAGCGGCCCACCGAGTTGGATCCACCGGATCCCACGCGGAGTCCTTCGACGCCCTTGGCCTCTGCGTGCGGCGGCCACGGCGAGCTGGCACCAGCAAGGGCCACAAAGATCTCCTCCGCCTTGACCGCCGCACATTTTATCCCTGGCCGAAGTCGCCGCAGCCGTTTCGGCTCCACAAAATGGAACGCCAAGCTCCAGCATGAAGAAGGGCCACCGAGGGGGAGGAGCAGGAACCCAGCCGAGCGAGCGAGAAGAACGCGAGGCCTGCCTGCACCCATGCTCATTCGCGAATTCGACTCGCAGCCTCGACCCCAGCCAGCCAGCGATGCACCCCGGCTTCGACCGCCCCGCCTGGCAGCAGCCCGCCTACCCGGAGCGCGCGTCGCCCCCACCGCCGCCGCCGCAGTCCCAGACGGGCTGGTTCCCTCTGCAGCAGGACGCGCAGCAGCAACCACAACAACCACCACCACCACAACAGTCCCCCGTGGCTCACTCACAGCCTCAAAGCGTCTGGCTGCAGGACGGCGCCGCCAGTGCCTCTAAGTACAGCGCCGCCAGTGCCTCTAAGTACAGCACCGCCTCCAGCCCCACCCAGGACCAGCGCGTCTACGCCTCCTCGCCAATGTTCGCGTCGGTGCCGGCGCCGACGGCGCCCTACGCGTGGACGCAATCGCCACCGACGATGGCTCGGCCCAGCCAGTTCATCCCCAGCCAGACATACCTGAGGCCGCCCGAGCCGGAGCTCTACGACCGAGCCCGCGACTCCCAACTGCAAGACCAGCGCCCCCAGGCGCAGACGGTTCTGCGCCGCAACAAGCAGATCGCCATCGGCCGCTGGAACAGCGAGGAGCACCAGTGGTTCCTCAAGGGGCTCGAGATGTTCCAGGGCCCCGCGTGGGGCGAGATCGCCCGGCTCATCGGCACGCGCACTTCAACGCAAGTGCGCACCCACGCCCAGAAGTTCTTCACCAAGCTGGCCAGGCTCAACCAGACCATGCCCTACTTCGAGGTGCAGATCCAGAAGGAGCGCGCGCGCCTCGTAGCGCAGGGCGCCAGCGTCACGCCCACAGCCCAGAGCGCCCCCAGCAACGCCGCGCTCGCAGCCACGCTGTCGCCTCGCAAGCGGCTGGCATCGGCCAGCAACAGCCCTAGACAGAGCCTCAAGCGGTTCAAGGAGGAGGTGGAGGCGACGACGTCCCCGACCTACGCAGCTGCCGCCCAAGCCAGATATCCTCAAGCAGCCTACGACATGAAGCCGAGGGTGTACACGGGCGCGTACTCGCCTGCGGTGTCCCCCTCGGGAGGACCTGAGGCGGGCAAGGAGTGGCCGCAGCAGTGGACGGCCGAGGACGGCCGCCAGTGGCCAGTGGCGTCGCCCACGTCCACAACAGCCTCGATCCAGTTGACGCAGCTGCAGATGGACGACGGTGGACACCAACCCGCCGCAACGGATGCCGAGTCGCTTCCGTCCATGAACAAGCTGCTGTACCGCAGCGCCGCCTGATGTTGAAGTGAAGATGAATGTCCGTACCGTCGCGTCCGTGAGTGGAGATGTATACTACCTATGACTGCCTATCCTACCCAGTGTTACCTTAGTACTGTAGCTCCGTACAATTCTATAAGTCCACGCCCTCATGGTAAACGAATGAAATGAATGGAAAGAAAGACAACTCGGCTTTCGTCTACAACATGCATGCATGTAGCCATCTTCTATCAATGCCCTTTTTTGATTGGTAGAAAACCCACACCCGTTGCCACGTACACACGTCGCACTTCTCGTATCGATTGACCGACCTCGTACCTGCTGCATCATGGCACCTACGCGGCGCCGACCGTCGGCCAGGAAGCCGCCCGCTGCTCGCCGCGAGGCTGCGCGCCACGCCGTGGTGATGGTGCTGGGCGACGTGGGCCGCAGCCCGCGCATGCAGTACCACGCGCTGTCGCTGGCGCGCATGTCCCCGAGTCTGCGCGTGACGCTGCTGGGCTACGCGGGCGAGACGTGCGTGCCCGACGTGGCGCGCCAGCCCAACCTGGAGCTGCTGACCTTCACGCCGCGCCTGCAGCGTCTCCCGCGCAAGCTCTTCCTGCTGCTGGCGCCCGTGAAGGTGCTCCTGCAGCTGCTGCAGCTGCTCTGGCTGCTGCTCGTGACCGCTGGCAGCGTGGACCTCGTGCTGCTGCAGAACCCGCCGACGTAAGGATGACGTAGGTCACTAACCAGCTGAAGCAACATAGCTGACTGGATCTGTCCACGTGGACGTATTGTGGACGATATGCTTTAGGATCCCGACCTTCGTCGTGGTGTGGCTCTGCTGCCGCCTCAAGGGAGCCAAGTTCGTGATCGACTGGCACAATCTCGGATACAGTTTGCTTGCGCTGTCACTTGGCGGTGGACACCCGCTTGTCAAGGTGAGGCGGTGCGGAGCAGGTGATACTTTATCTGTTTCAAGGGCTGATTTGGTGCTGTTGTTGCTGCTGGTGGACAGATCGCCAAGTGGGTGGAGCGCGTGTTTGGGCGCAAGGCGGATGCCAACTTGTGTGTCACGCACGTGATGCAGGCGTGGCTGAGAGATATGTGGCAGATTGAGGCCACGGTGCTGCACGACAAGCCCCCGCTCTTCTTCAAACCCACGTCGATTGAAACGCAGCACGAACTGTTTACCCGGGTGGGCGGCCAGCTCGAGCACTGCAATGATGTAAGTGTTGCTGCTGCTATTGCTCCGCATCAGTAGCTATGCTTACGGGAAATTGGCTGTGGATTCTGCTTATGTTTTTGTAGTTGGTGGCTTGGGGCGAAAATCCGGCCAACGTGGAGGAAACGCTGCTGACGCGTAAAACGCATGGTCTTAATGGCAAGAAGGGCAAAGCTGCAGTACAACCCCGTGAGAACCGACCTGCGATGATCATTAGCTCCACGAGTTGGACTGCGGACGAGGACTTTGGTATTCTCCTGATGGCACTGGAACTTTTGGACAAACAAACGTCGTCGCTTAGCGTGTCCGAATTCCCGAATCTGCTCGTGGTGGTGACGGGCAAGGGACCGCAGAAGGAAATGTATCTGGAGAAGATCCGGCAGCTTGCCTTCAAGCGCATCCGCATTGCCACGATGTACGCATGCCAGTCGGCATATTTGAATTGGATGGCCAAGGTGACCGACCAACTTCTCACTTTCTTTTGTTTTTGGTTTGTCTAGGTGGTTGGAGGCAAGCGACTACCCGCTCGTTTTGGGCAGCGCTGATCTGGGCGTATGCTTGCACACCTCATCATCCGGCCTGGACTTGCCGATGAAGGTGCTGGACATGTTCGGCTGCGGTCTTCCTGTGTGCGCCATCGGCTTCAAGTGTCTGGACGAGCTCGTGAAGCACGACAAGTACGTTTACGAGCGAACTCGCCCAGCAGGGAAGAGGAGTACTCACCATTTCGTCTGCCGATCTATCTTTACAGGAATGGCCTCGTGTTCGACTCATCGGAGCAGCTCTCGACTCAGCTCTTCTCACTGCTCAAGGGTTATCCGACCGACACGGCGCAGCTCAACCGCCTCCGCGCGTCCTTGAAGAATGTGGAGGTACGCCATTCTTCGTTGTCGCCTCCTTGACCCTAATAATCTGAGTTAACTTACTTCCTTTTCACCACCACAGCACTGGCCGGAGAACTGGAACCGCGTGGCCTCGCCACTCTTTAAGCGTCAACTCCGTCTTCGCTAGTCAACATAAAAAAACGTCCATCTGTAGACGAATCTGTCCACAGGAAGTCGAACAAAAAATCTAGCTCGTCGTCACCCCCATTTAGATTTCCGTCTGGTAGTAGGGAGATAAGTAAGACTACGAGTAGTAGTTGAAAATGCGGCATAATAAGAGCTACAAGATATCATAGCGCCATAACTGTCCCTCATCACGGTAGTACTAATAGTATCAGTACTACCGTATTACAGTATTAGTATTAGTTTAATACTAATACTGTAATCCAGATCTGCCGTAACTTTTCCTTGGTGACACCACCATGACGGTGGCGGATTTGTTGCATTACTTGCAGGGGCTGAAAGCCAACGAAGACACTACTCTACCTGTCGCGAACACGCGTTATTTAAAGGCAGTCGCGCTACGGCGTCCCAGCCGCTCGCGATGCTCGGTCTCCTCATATTGTACCCTTTGCAAAAAGCCATCATATCGTTTCTAGTTGGATGCGCATTTCCCCAGCACCATTTCATAGTCGATGGAGTCATCACCTCTACAGTATCAACATTGAATAACTAACTGACCTCCAAATAACGTGAAGCTTGCAAATTTCCCCGTTTAGTTAAGCGAGACGAAGGCAAGCCGAAATGCGATGCTTGATTTTGGTGCCCAGCTCCCTCCTGCACAAGTGCTGCCTTGACGCAAACGACAACACATCCTTCCTCAATGGTAATCTAACACGCTCTATTTTTTTTGGTGTTATTACGAGCACAACCGATAGCGAGGCCAAAGAAGTGATGTACACTAACCAGCGGTGGTCTTAGTAATACTGGTACTATTTATTGTGCTTTGCATCCAGTCTGCCCTCCTCTTAAGTGCACTAATTATTGTTCGTACTTAGCGGTAAATCATAGTGGAAATGGCACTTTCTAAAAGTGCCAAACGGATGCTTATCCGTACTGGATGCGCTAAATCATGCAGGAGATGGCGTATGCGCACTAGAGTAGTGAAAAATCGTTGCAAAGCACAATAAATCGTACTCTGACTCGAGTACGATTTATTGTGCTTTGCAATGATTTTGGCAATATGAGGCGAGATTTGCTGTATTTATAGCGACCACCTGCTAGATTTACGATAAATCGAGGTGCATAAATGGGTGGAGGCGTAGAAGTACGCTAAAAGCGCCACAATTGCACTTTCAAAAGTGCAATTGTGGCTGTGCAGCTGCAATTCTGTCGGCGTTTATCCACAAGCGCCTAGACACACGACAATTATGCACAAGAGAGTGGATGTGCTGGGGATCATAGATGGTGGTGTACTGGGCCAATGCATGGCTGCTGACAGGCTCTCCCAAGTAGATATATGAGGAGGTGGATTTATGCATAATTTTAGCTAGTCGTGTATCTTTTCTCATACATACTTAAGTATTTAGGAGCAGGCTTTGCCATATTTAGCGTCTAAAATGGTCGGCAAAATCATTGCAAAGCACAATACAGTCCGAAGTGCCAAAAACTCTGTAAAGCACAATATCTACACCTTTTCTCGGTCTACGTGAGCTAATTACCGAATTTGTTTTGTAGAGGGATACACCCACGTATGGGATACAGGATAGTATTAGCGAATCACAATTGTGTCTTCAGATTGACAGGGCTTGACTCGTTGAGGGATACACCAGTTTCAAGCCAGTAATTTTTGCACTCTCGGCCGCTCAGCGCGCGATCATTTCTGCAACGGCGCGGGCGCCACCAAGTCACCCTCGCCTGTCTGGAGGTCAAGGCAGGTGGAAAACGACGCGGGCCCTACCATTTTACACTGCTGCAATGAAGAAGGCTATGGTCGAGCACCTGAGACTACACTGCAATGTTTGTTTCGCTGAAGATACGTTCTTTCCGGGTCTACCTACAGAAAAGTATCAAGGGGAAGAGTGGTGGTGGGGGTGCTTCTGTTGGCGGCAGGAACAAACGCAAAGCTTGCTCTACTGAACTTCGATCTCAAGTTGGGGTGGTGGCGGCGAACAAGCTAATAAGTTGGGCTGTGTCGGCAGCCGCATTGGTGAGATTCGGCTTTGAGAGAGATGAGGTAGAGTGCTCAGTTTAGTAATTTTGATAAATACATCTGGGCGTCTGGTGCCGATTCGTTTTTTGAGCAAAATCGGGCGTCTGGTATTTTAGCACCGGTAGGGTGTATCCCTCTACAAAACAAATTCGGTAGACAAGCAAAGGTGGCATGTTTTAGTTTAGGGTGCACAATAAGCTCAAATCAGGAAACGGAAATCTGAAATTGACAAACAAAGCTGCCTAACCTTCATTCAATGTGAAGTGGGACAATGTACCAACAAGACTACTCGCCGAACAACCATCAATTTCTCGCCTACGGGAGACTTCGCGCGCGCGCCAAACGAGCTGCGCTTCGTGGAGACTGACGCCGCGGGACTGCTTCAGTTTTCATTCTTCGATCTTCCTCCAGCCCCGCAGATGTCCTCGCACGCCTCCCCCAAGCCCAGCCTCAAGCCCCACACGCCTGAAGAGCGTCGCCGCGTCCTCGTCGCGCACAGCTCAGGTGGTGACTGGCGTGCTGTCGGAGCGCCTTGTGAGCACTGGACGCGTCGAAGATCTCCCGCCCAAGGGTGCGCGAGCCACTAAGGTCACGCCCGAGATCAAGGCGGCTTTGGAGCTGTGGCTGAACGAGTGCTGCACATACACGCTCAGCACGCTACGCACCATGGTCATGAGCGAGTTTAATGTGCTTCTCTCTGAGGCCACGATTTCGCGCCACCTCGTGGGCATGTTCTTTACGGTCAAACAGGTAAAATGTGTGAGCTTATGAGTATGTTTTAACGTTACGGTTCTAATCACACATGCAATTTTTATTGTACGACACACTCGTGTCGAGCCCACCACGTGCAATAGTGAGGTGAACAAAGAGAAGAGGAAGGCTTTTGCCGAAGCTCTTGTCCGCCACAACGATGATGGCGACCTCGTGATCTATTTCGACGAAACAAATTTTAATTTGTACACGAAGCGCACGCGCGGGCGTGCTAAGAAGGGACAGCGGGCTGTCGAGAAGCTGCCGCCTTCGAAAGGAGGTAACCTGCAGATCCAGTGTGCAGTGTCCTCTGCGTTCGGCGTGGTTGCGTACCGTACGCACCGTGGCAGCATCAAAATGGACACGGACGCTGCGTTCGTGGAGGCACTGTACACTGAGGTCAAGGAGGCAGACGTCTACAAGAGCGAGTTCGCCGACAAGAAGATCGTTGTCGTCTTCGACAACGCCCCAGCGCATTCCCAGACGGAAGCGCTGGTGCCTGCTCATGACGACCTCGTCCTACTGCGCCTCGGGCCTTACAGCCCGATGTGCAATCCAATTGAAAACTGCTTCAGCGCTCTCAAGGCGCACATCAAGCAGTACCTGGCGCTGATGCGCGACGAGATGAACCGCCCCCGAACGCAGCCTACAAGCTCCGGCCGACGCATCTCAAAGACCGAAGCTCGCATGCAGCTGCTCGAGCGTGCTGTGCATGTAAGCATGCCGCGCATCACGCAGGCGATGGTGCAGAGGATGGAGCTTCACGCAGCGAAGTTTGTCGCCGCAGCGATCCGCATGGAGGACATGATGTACGGCGAGTAGTCTTTTTGGTACACTGTACCACTTCACATTGAATGAAGGTGAGGCAGCTTTGTTTGTCAATTTCAGATTTCCGTTTCCTAATTTAGGCTTATTGTGCACCCCAAACTAAAACATGCCACCTTTGCTTGTCTAATTAGCTCAGGTAGACCGAGAAAAGGTGTAGATGCAGCTACTACTGTATCATTAAATGAAATTAGCTATTCAAAGTGCTATACTAAGAAAAATTATTATCACTATCGTACTACTACTATTTTGCATATTGTAGCACTACTAACCTCTCATTTCTCATTTCTAAATCTTCCAGCAGCTCCTAGCGCAGAAGACATGGCGACACCCGGAGCGTTCTCGCTCGGCATCTCCCCGGAGGAGAAGCTGTCGCTGCCCCTCGGTGCGTCCCCGACCCCCCCCCCTTGCCCAAAATTCCCGCCCTCTAACCTCGCTCCTTGCGCGCAGACACGCTCATCCAGAAGGCCAAGAAGCAGCAGAAGCCCAAGCCCAAGACGGCCAAGCCCAGCGGCGACAAGAAGCCCAAGAAGCAGCAGCAGCAGCAGCAGACCAAGAAGCAACAGGCCAAGAAGTCGCAGAAGAAGGCGCCCACCCACAAGCAGCAGAACGTCAAGAAGACGGTACTCGTGCCCGTCTCCAAGGCCGCCGTACGTTGAGCCAGGCTGCAGCACAGGCATCAGAAGCACCACTAGATGCTGACGCTCCCCCCTCTTCTCCCTCTCTCTGTCTCTCTCGTGTGGACAGCGCGCGAAGGCCAACGCGGCCGTGGCGTCGGCCAAGCGCCAGTCGGTAATCAACAAGCGGCGGCCGGGCCTCGTGCTGCCGGCCAAGAAGGGCAAGAAGCTCGTGCCCACGGTGCAGCTGCGGCCGCACAAGACGTCGGCGGCGCGCAAGCAGCAGCAGCACAAGAAGAACGGCGGCAAGCCCCAGGGCGGACTGGACGTGTCCAACATTATCAACCACTTCCGCACGCACCCCAAGAAGTTCGACGTGCCCAAGGGCAGCAACCTCCGCATCACCATCAAGTACGTAATAAGGCTGTAACTGGGGAGGAAGATGACGGATGCCTAATGCTGTGTTGTCCTTTGTGGTGCTGCAGCCTCAACAACGTCAAGCCCGTGGTTGGAGGACAGAAGTGAGCAGACTTTGGTACCGGCGTCGTGACAAGTGCAGTGCAGCTACATATGACCATTTCCTTTCTTTTTTTCTTAGTCCATGTCACACTTTCGATTGCTCTTGTCTGTTTCTCGAGTGGCTGTTTGCTGCCGTGGCGTTGGTGCTAATGAATCGAGCGTTTGCAAGCTTTGTCCACGTTGTGTGAAGAGTCATCGCGTCGAGTTCGCGAGCAAGATTTACCTCTTGTGTTGGCGACGCTCAGCCTGGATCTGTTTGATTAGTTGCGAAGTCCCCAGGTACAACATGTAGTACTTGACCTGGTGAATTATACTTAGGGTCTTACTAGTAGTATTTCGGAGCCTGCTGCCACTTCGGTGCGACTCAAGTGCTCCATTTACTCGTTGAGGACAGGAGATCCCGAAAATACAATATATACTGATTTTTGCTGTAGTGCTGAAATACGTAATTTTTGAAATGTGTCAACATAAAACATAAATTATTTTATTTGATATTGTTGTATTACATATCTGCATACTTTAAGCAAGTGTTTGGACACCAAGCAAAATAAATATTGGTGTTTCTTTCGGATGTTCGGGAAATAAATTATTGACACTAAAAATATAAATATATTGAATTGCATATTTATTTTTCGGGATCCCTGGTTACAAATCCACCAATACCAGGGATTACATAATCAATCGTCTGTTGAGGCCAAAGTGAGGCGATGAGGTTGGTCTGCGCATTCCTCAATTTGCTCTTCGTCGTTCACGTCCACGTGTGCAGATCGAGCCCCACAACCAGCATGGCCATGGACAAGGTAAACACCATCGTCCACAACGGCGAGAACCCCACCGCGGTGGTGTTTTTCCTGCACGGGTTCGGAGACACGGCGCACGGCTGGGCGAGCACGTTCCGCAGAGTCGCCAAGGACATGCCACACGTCAAGTTTGTGCTCCCCACCGGTAGGTCCCGAGGCCCACCAGGTTTAAGAACGTCTTCATCCATGCTGACTATTGATTCTGCTATGCAGCCGCTCTTCGTCCGGTGACGATCATGAATGGCCGAGAGGTCCCTGCTTGGGTATGAAGGGCTGACTGTACAGTACAATCGACCGGGGCGTATGCTATCTCACATTTTCGTGTGCCTTCAGTTCGATATCGGAGCTGCGAGAGGAAGCGCAGGCCAAGCTGTTGGCCTCGACGAGACCCACGACGCCCTCGAGGCGATGATTGAGCAGGAGGTAAGGAAGTACCATTGCGCACAACTCTTCCGGATACTCCCAGGTTATGGATAACGCGTTGGTTAGGTGGAGGCAGGTGTGCCCCGCTCGCGGATCGTCGTGGGCGGCTTCAGTCAGGGTGGCGCTGTGTCGTACTTCGCAGGCTTCCAAAGCCAGCAGCCGCTGGGAGGCGTTATGATTCTGTCCTCATTCATCCCTCGCGAGAAGGTTTGTGTTCGTGTCTTTAGGGGGTTAAATCGGGGTGTTTGATTGACACCGGTGTTGCTGCTACGTGATGATAACCAGGATTTCCAGGTCACCTCCGAGACGACGAAAGTCCCCGTGCTCATTTGCCACGGCGATGCGGACTCGCGAATTAGTTACGAATCGGCTCTGAAGGCAAAGCAGCGTTTGACTGATGCTGGCGTCAGGGACATCACATTCCACACCTACCCGAACATGGACCACTCGTCGTCCTCCCACGAGATCGAAGACATCCGGGAGTGGCTGACTCGCGTCCTGCCAGCAACGACGCCTAAAGAGGAGCTGTGAGCTGCAGGCCTACAACGTAAATCCAAGGGACTATAGAATTCTGAGCTATAGACTTGCTTGTCTTGAGTGAGTGAAGCGAAGTAAAACAAAAAGTGAGCTTCTAAAACTTTCTCAGTGAACGGAAGCGATCTCCACTTTAAGCTTATGGTGACCTAAGTGAGTGAGTGCCCCGCAATCAATTCGATTGTGCGCCGAGACGCAGCACAATCTGGCCAACCGCATCATCAATCCAAGCAGAAAAGTGTAAAATCATTTGGCGCGTCATCCAACTTGATTGTGGGCCGATTCAAATGACAAGCGGAGCCGAGAATCGTCGATAGCTGTTCACTTTCCAATTTGAGTTGCAGCAAACAAGCCCTCCTCGCCCCCTTCCTCTCCAACTCTCCACCTACCATGGCCAACGCCAAGATGACGTATCGCTTCCTCGGCGACTCGGGCCTCCTCGTTTCCAAGCTCGGACTCGGCTCATGGATGCAGGAGAGCGAGGAGCAGACACCCGAAGCCTGGTACAAAATGATGGAGACGGCGTTCCGGCACGGAGTCAACTTCTTCGACAACGCCGAGATCTACGGCAGCGGCCAGGCGGAGGAGAACATGGGAGCCGCCATCAAGAAGGGCGTCGCTGACGGTGTCTGGAGCCGAGAGGATTTAGTCATCACCACCAAACTCTTCAACGGCCACAAGGGCTTCGGAAACTCTGGTCCGAACGATCAAGGCCTGAGTCGCAAGCACATTGTGGAGGGCATGAAGTCGTCGCTCGCCCGCTTGCAGCTTGACTACGTCGACGTGGTCTTCTGCCACCGCCAGGAGCCATACACGCCTATCGAGGAGACGGTGAGAGCCATGAACTATCTCATCGAACAAGGCTGGGCCTTCTACTGGGGGACCAGCGAATGGCTCGCGTCCGATATCCAGGAGGCCTGTGACATCGCCGACCGCCTCGGATTGATCCGCCCCATTGTCGAGCAACCGCAGTACAACATGTTCGTACGCAACAAGGTGGAGTTCGAGTTCGTGGACCTCTACAAGAAGTACAAACTACTTGGTCTCCGCTGGCTTACGGCACTCTGACTGGCAAGTACAGCAGCGATGTGCCTGCTGGCTCGCGCTTCACGACGCCGATGTTCAAAGAGGGCCCCCTCCTCGAAGGATTCACCGAGCGCGTGGCGATAGCCGACAAACTCAAACCGATCGCCGCGGAACTCGGCTGCACCCTTGCGCAGCTGGCCACCGCTTGGTGCGTTGCCAACGAGAACGTGTCAACTGTGCTGATCGGCGCTAGTCGTCCTGAGCAACTGGAGGAAAACCTCAGGTCGCTGTAATTCGTCCGAAGTCAAGGCGAAGATCGATGCCATCGTCAAATTCGTGCCCAAGGTGCCGACCGTTGACCAGTTCTGCTTCGTGCGCCAGAGGTTTTTGTAGGAAGGCCGTAGATAGCAGCCAGTCGATCGCTAGTTGCAGCGTAAGCTCCAATAATCAAAAGGGACGGCTGCTGTCTTCAATACGCAAAGCTATGTATTATCTGAACTTTGTGAACGATAGCAGTGGGGCTACATCGACGTCTTTACGGCCTTGAATGACACTCGGGAATCGCTCTCGATGCCCTCCCACTTACCTGGAAGGTGCGGTGAAATGGTATCGTTTTGCTTGATTCTAATGCCCACCTTTAAATATCGATCGTCGAGCGAAGAACAGTTATTGCCACCTACTCGCTTGCTTTGAGCATGGCATTACCTTGCAGTCAACGTTTCGATTCGTACGCTAATAGTCATACTGGCAGCGTTGGGTTGCCATTGATCAATGATGCTGTGTACCGTTCCAATGATAAAGAGTAACTTAGTCGAACGGCATGCAGGGAAATATAATAGCAAAATCAACATCGTGAAAAGTAACAGAAAACGAAAAATTCGCAGTTCGAACAACTGTCGTTAGGCGAGTTTGTACGTTCTTGCAACAGTCGCGCGACATTATTAAAGCACTACACCCGCAGTTTCACTCTCCAAAAGCACACTACAGTAAATTAGCGACGAAATCTATTATCCAACGAGCTCATTTCGTATTTCGTATTATGAATCCGTGACAATGATTGTTAGACGGATTTTACAGGACATTGGCAGGACTTGATAATGAGTAGATATTTGCCAATGGGAGCGAAGAAGGAAGAACAAATCGGCCAATCAGTTACTGCTCTGTTTACGCCGTTTGCGATGGCAGCAGCCCACCTTAGCTGTCCTCGTCGCCGACGGTCGGCGGCCGACCCCGCAATGTCGCCGTGTGTTGCGGCACGTTGATCCTGTCAGCGCATGCAATGAACGTTTTAACAGCGTCCTCAACGCTTTGACGGGCACGCCACTGTCCGGTACGCTTTGCTCTGTCCTCAACTATGGTCATCAGATAGCGTACATCATTAATTTTGCAACTGGTAGCGGTGTGGTCATGCCAGACCGTGAGAAATGTGGACGCTGGAGTGATGAACGCGGCGGTGGTTATGGATTCCAAGCGGCAACGACAACTCCAAGTGGCAACGATGCGGACAACCGCACACAAAGGATCTTCGGGCTAGCTCTAGCGGATATTTACCCAGACGAGAGCAAGTGGGGGCGCCAGCAGCCATTGCAGCAGCGCACGACGTGCTGTCCGACGAAGACAAACTGGCGGACGTTGACGCCCTGGTGAACGACGACGAGTTGCTGTTGGTCGATGACGAGTTGTTAGACGAACGAGCTGCCGGGCGGGGACGAGCTGTCGGGCGAGAACGAGTTCACGCATGAGGACGAGATGTCGGACGATGACGATCTGCAGAAGGACGACGACGAGCAGCAGGATGATGAGGTGCTGACAGACGAGGATGAGATGTCGTGCGATAACAAGCAGCTCGGACGAGAACGAGCTGGTGGTCGAGAACAAGCCACAGAACGGCGAGGGCGAGTAGCAGGACGAGAACGAGCTGCTGCTTGTTGTACTGAGGTTAATAATAGGGGCGTAAGTCCCGGGTGCTTTGCGGTGGCCCACAGGTGTTGATACACCAACGCTCCCTAGCCTTGTTGCGAACGCAGGGGCCCCGAGATGGGCCTTGTTGGCGATAACTCAGACAATGAAGCGGCCGTAGGAGTTTTGGTACACTGCTCGCGACCGGTATTGCTCTTGATCTCGCTAACGTTTCTCGCTAGCTGGTCCCAGTCGACGCTTGTCATGTTTTCGATTGAGGGGGGAGTAATATGGATTTTTGAATACCGACGCGGGCAGGAAATATGTCCTGCAAAAGTGGGTAAAAACTGGCACCTTTACTGATTCTATACTAAATCCCTGTTTATGAGTTGATTATTTGTCTTTGCAATTGGAAAATACCGGACACGAAGTCCTGCATTTCTAGGAATACAGAGTGTCATGTCCTACAATTTCTGGAGAATGGGACATATTGTAGGATAAGTAGTGTTTGGCCGGACACCCGACCCCTATGCTAAGCTTGCCACCTCGCTGTAGCCAATCAGTGATTTTTTTCTTATCATGTGAGGCTTAGTGACCTATTTTCATCCAATCGTCGCTCATTAGGGTTAGGTTTATTCCGCCGAAATAATGCTGTAATGTTGTGATACTTACGAGAGTAAAACGGTATGATCGAAATTGCGCCGCGCTAGTACATGTAGGAGATGGCAAGGCGCGATATGACTAGCTTTGATTAAAATTGACTGATTTCGTGATCCCCAGCTTCAAAGTTTGATTTTATTGAAAATTGATGTGGCAGGTGCATTTTTCAAACAGAGCAGTAGCAATGTATCCGGATAATATAGCCTGCCCCGAGGTGATAAACGTTGTTATGCGATCGCCATTGATCAATTATGATCTTCTAAGAAGAAAACTCTATCATTCACACTCTGCTTCACAACCAGTTTAAGCATGCCCTGTTGCTCTTCCATATCATAGCTCCTGCTTGGACGTCGTGGCTGGTAGGACGCGATCCAACCAAGCTTGAATGTCTTTGATTTCCTGCGGAGACGACGTGTGGTCCATGTTCGGGTACGTGTGGAACGTGATGTCCTTGACGCCAGCTTCAGCCAGCCGCTGCTTCGACTTGACGGCCCATTCGTAGCGAGCGCGCGAGTCTGCATCGCCGTGGCAAATGAGCAGAGGCACATGAGCCGTCTCGGGTGCAAATTCGAACTCCTGCATGGGTCAACAACCAAGGACCTGTGCATTAGTAGTTTTCGTCGAAACCCGCGACAAGATGGCTCTATCTGGTACCTTTTCACGCGGAATGAACGACGACAACACCATAATGCCACCAATCGGCTGCTTTGTCTGGAAACCCGTGAAGTACGACACAGCTCCGCCCTGACTAAACCCGCCCACTACGATACGCGAGCGAGGGATTCCCGCATCAACCTGCTCATCCAGCACATCCAATTAATGTCCCCCTATCAAGATAAAACTGGCGTGAGTTTGTTTACCTCCTGGGTGATCATGGACTCAAGCGCGTCGCGGGTCAGCTCGATCCCCGCAGCGTACCCCGCGCCGCCCACGAACGCTTCGATGTCATACTACAAATCCACCAACGCTCTGTCAGTTTAGGGCACTGCGTCTTCATCCATTATACCAGCTTCTAACTTACCCAGGCAAGAATCTCGCGGCCATTCGCAATTGTCACCGGCCGGGGAGCAGCTATGTATATCAATACGCAACAACATCGACACTGTATCAGAAACGACCCATGCCATAATACCGAAGGCACTTTACCCGTGGGGAGCACGAACTTGACGTGAGGCATGGCCTTAGCCACGCTGCGGAAGGACTCGGCCCAGCCGTGTGCCGTGTCACCTAGTCCGTGAAGGAAGAAGACCACTGCAGTGGGGCTCTCGCTGTTGTAGACGACGGTGTTCTGCTTGTCGACGACCATTCTGGCCCTGCAGCTGCTGGACACGAGCGCTAAGAGGAGCAAATTGAGGAATGCGAGAGAGAGGAACCGCATCGCCCGAGTGAACCAACTGCCCGCGGAACTCTCGGAATGGCCGTAGCCCTTCAGGGGCTGATTTCGCGGCGGATGATGCAAACCGCCAATCAAAACGCTCACGTGACGTTAGCACATGCTAGACGTATCGGGATTTGCCTACAGTGAAGTACGTATCGATGGCATGGCACACTTCCAGCAACGTACTTACAGTACAGATATCAACACCTTCTGTATTTGTCCAGCTCTGCACAATGCCGAGGCTACAAGAATCTCGTCGCATTGTTTTAGTTCTGCGTCTCCGGGATCACGCGCTGCAGCCACTTGGTGACGTCGTCCAGCTCCTCCATGCACGCGCCGTGCTCCATGTCCGGGTACGCGTGGAACTCGATGTTCTTGACGCCCGCCGCCTCGAGCTTGTCCTTGGACATCTTGCCGTAGTCGAAGCGCACCACTGGGTCCTGCTCGCCGTGGCACATGAGCAGCGGCACGTCCGCCGTCTCGGGCGCAAACTGGAACGCCTGCCTCCCAAACAAAAACAAAGTCCGTCAATGCCCCCGTACTTACATAAATACCCCCCACCCACAGCCCCCCGACGTACGTTGTTGCGCGGCAGGTATCCCGACATGGCGATGACTCCGCCCAGCACCGTCTTGCTCTGGTAGCCCGAGAAGAGCGACAAGGCCGCGCCCTGGCTGAAGCCGCCCAGCACGATGCGGGACAGCGGGATGCCCCCCGCCACCTCCTTCTCGATGATGCCCATGACGCGGTCGCGCGACGCGTCGATGCCGTCCGCGTTGTCTCCGCTCACGCGCGCCAGCGACTTGATGTCGTACTGTGGAGTCGGAATCCCCCACGAAGGAATACATTAGTTAGGCATTACTAGAGCCGAAGCGACTACTGTTGGAACGCACCCAGGCGGGCATGCGCATGCCCATGTTGAGCGTCACGGGCATGGACGCGGCCGTGGGCAGCACGAACTTGACGTGCGGGAGGCCCTTGGCTAGCATGGCCATGGCGTCGCTCCAGCCGTGGCCCGTGTCCCCCAGTCCGTGCAGGAACACGACGGCGGCCGTGGGCTTCTCGGGCGACAGCACGATGTTGTTGTCCGCGTCCGTCGTCATGCGGCTCGTGCTCAGGCTGCGGCTCATAGTCGGACGGGTGAAGCGGCGGGCGGGCGCGAGGCACCGGGCAAGCATCTACCGGTAGTTATGCGTTTTGGATGGATCGAATGGAGAGTACAGTATTCTATTATAATTTTACAAGTAAAAACTATTGTGCTTTGCTGATTTTTAAAGCAAATCAGGCTGTTAATTCTCTGTTTTACTTGGCACTTAAGTATTAATTACGACTCGCCAGCCCAGCTAAAACTAGGTTATAATTATGGCTACGACCTGGCTACCAGTGAATTACGACCTGGACTCGGGTTTTAGATACGCAGAAGACTCTTTGAAATGCTTTCCTAGAAGAGTATTTCAGACTATCCGACTTGCCATTAGTAAAGCTATCCGCCAAATCCGAGTTTTCTGTCATCTGCGAGAATAACTGACGGCTGATGTAAGCGCAATGTCATAGCAATCGTCGATAGCTTCATGCGCACAACTATTTCATTCTTCTAGAACTATTTCATTCTTCATCCGCACAACGCCAACTGCGCACAACGCAAACTTGTGCAGCTGCAATTCTGTCGGCCTTATCCACAAGCACCTCGACACACGGCAATTATGCATAAGACGATGGGGGTGCTGCGGATCATGATCGGAGGTTTACTGGGCCCATGCATGGCTGTTGACGCAAGTCAATATATATATATATAAATGTGGACGTGGATTTATGCATAGTTTTTGTAGGTCGTGTATCTTTTTCACACATATTTAGGAGCAGGATTTGCCATATTTAGCGTCTAAAATGGTCGGCAGAATTACTGCAAAGCCTCATTCGGTAGTAAAAGGAGTTATAATAATAATAATTATTAAGTTATAAGAAGGCCCAAACGCAACCAAGCATATCGACACAAGCGATGCCATGAGTGCACTGCTGTACCTTCGAGTAGCTTGAATCGAACGTGATTCATTAGCGGTTATTGCATCAAGGCCATGCGTTGTGTGCACCCCCGCTTTTGTCGAATCAAAAATCGATGTGAGAATTCGACGGCTAATGTAAGTGCGATTGTAGGACCCTGGTCGCTGAACCCGGATCACGCTTGGTAGTAGATCGCCACGCCAGCCACGGCCAGATTGAGCAGGTCTGGGGCACTGTACGTCCAGGCGCCGCTTGTAGTAGTAGTGGTTGTAGTCGCGGGTTCCAGGATGTACATACACTCGCAGGTGGTGCCGTTGATGGCGGTCGTCCATGCGAAACCAGAGCTTGTCTGCTCGAGGCAGATCCTGCTGCCGTAAGTTCCCGACGCCGTGGTGCCGCTGACGGTGTTGCAAAATTCGCGAGTCAACGTCGGTTATGACCGTCAATAAGCCGTTGCGCTGCAACTTAGCCCGTGCTTTCCCTCACATGGTCAGTCGTACACCCGTGTCCACATTGCCAGAAACGCGATCAATCTTCTTTCACGAAACTCATTTCAGCAGGACGGAGGAGAGGTGCTGCCCCTCAAACGTTGGCGCAAAGGGACAAACACAACGTTAATTAAGGTGGAGTTTTCTCTTAAGTACAAAAGCCACATCATGAACCTGGCACTCCGGACTGAAGAGTTTCATCACACAGCCCGGAGCCCGACCATGTTCCTTAGCGATCAATCTTTCCTGCGCGATTCTTGCTGCAGCTCCCAGCCACTAAACGAGTAAAGTACAGCCTCACAAGTGGCGCTTGCGAATTTCGCGCAGGCGGTCGGGCACGGGGTGACTCGGCACAAAGTTGACAACTGCGTTGATCTTGGCCTTCACTTCGGGCGTGATCTTGTCTACGACATCCAGCGACGCAAGGTTTTCCACCAGCTGAGACTGGCGACTGGCGCCGACGATCACAGTCGACACGTTTTCATTCGTGACGCACCAGGCGAGAGCCAACTGCGCCAGCGAGCAGCCCAGCTCCTTTGCGATCGGCTTGAGCTCCTCCGCCTTCTTGACTCTCTCCTCGAAATTGGTGCCCCACAGCCCGTTGCGCATCTCTTCCGTGTACATGCGGGAGCCCTGGGGGAGATCCGAGCTGTACTTGCCGGTCAGGGTGCCAAAGGCGAGCGGAGACCACGCCGTGACGCCATACTTGTACTTCTTGAAGAGGTCCACGAGCTCGAACTCGATGCGATTCCGCTCGAAGATGCTGTACTGCGACTGCTCCACGATGGGACGGATCAAGCCCAGGCGATCCGCGACCTCACAGGCTTCCGTGATCTCGCTCGTGGACCAGTTGCTCGTGCCCCAGTAGAACGCCCACCCCTTCTCAATGATGTGGTTCATCGCGCGGACAGTCTCCTCGATGGGGGTGAAGGTGTCGGGGTGGTGGCAGAAGATCACGTCCACGTAGTCAAGACCCATGCGGCCCAGGGACGCTCGGGTGCCCTCGACCAGGTGCTTGCGGTTGAGCCCCTGGCTGTTGGGGGTGCCATTGTTGAAGCCCTTGGTTCCGCTGAAGATCTTGGCCGTAACCACGAGGTCCCCTCGGCTCCAGACGCCGTCGTCGATGCCCTTCTTGATGGCGCCCCCCATCAGCAAGTCGGCCTGGCCCAGCGCGTAGTTCTCGGCTGAGTCGAAGAGGTTCACCCCGCGGGTGAACGCTGTCTTCATCATCTCGTACCAGGCGTCCACCGTGTTCTTCTCGTCCTGGAACATCCACGAGCCGAGCGCGAACTTGGACACGAGCAGGCCCGAGTTGCCGAGGAAGCGGTAGGTCATCTTAGTGGAGGGCGTTGAGGGCGGCATGGCTGCTGGTGGATACGCGGTCAATTCCGAAATGGCATCGGATACCTCCCGGCCCCAGGTTCAACGTTCAACGTACCCTGGTTTGCACGAAAGATCTTGTGGATGATCAGCATAATCATGTGGCAGACATCATCACACAAATGCAGGTAGGTAAGCATGTTTTGGCGTCGATACAGATACATACACTGCTAAAAAGCTCCATGTTACTCATCAGCACGAACTACTAGGACATGTATCTACAGGTGCCTCAAGCGGACGTCCTGGAGGTGGTCCACCCACTGCTGCGAAGGCACATACTCAACAATGGCGTCGATCTCCGCCTTCACCTCCGGTGTGATCTTGTCCACGAACGCGAGAGCCTTCAGGTTTTCTTCCAGCTGCAACGAGCGACTCGCCCCAATGAGCACCGTGGCCACGTGCTCGTTGGTGACGCACCAGGCGATAGACATCTGCGCCAGCGAGCAGCCCAACTTGGCAGCAATCGACTTGAGTTTGTCGGCCTTCGCCACGTTCTTGGTGAAGGTCTCGCCGCCGAACATGCTCTTCTGGATGGCCTCCATGGTGAAGCAAGAGCCCTCGGGGACATTGGCGCTGTACTTGCCTAACAAGGTACCGAACGCCAGCGGAGACCACGCCGTCACACCGAAGCCGTAGCGCTTGAACAGCGGCGTGAGCTCGTACTCGACGCGGTCGCGAGCGAAAATGTTGTACTGAGACTGCTCCACGATGGGGCGGACCAGGCCGAGGCGGTCTGCGATCTCACACGCCTCGAGGACAGAGCTCGCAGACCAGTTGCTGGTGCCCCAGTAGAGCGCCCGCCCCTTCGCAAGGATGAAGTTCATGGCACGCACAGTCTCCTCAATGGGGGTGCACGGCTCCGGGTGGTGGCAGAAGATCACGTCCACGTAGTCAAGACCCATGCGGCCCAAGGACGCCTGGGTGCCCTCGATAAGGTGCTAACGGTTGAGTCCCTGGCTGTTGGGAGTACCGTTGGTGAAGCCCTTGATCCCGCTAAAGATCTTGGCGGTGACCACGAGGTCTTCACGACTCCAGACGCCCTCGTCGATGCCCCTCTTGATGGCGCCTCCCATGAGCTCGTCGGCCTCGCCCAGCGCGTAGTTCTCGGCCGAGTCGAAGAAGTTGACGCCTTGCGCGATGGCAGTCTTCATCATCTCGTACCAGGCTTCGACGGTGTGGGTCGGGTCTTGGTACATCCACGAACCGAGCGCGAGCTTGGACACCAGCAGACCAGAGTCGCCCAGGAAACGGTAGGTCACCTTGGTGGAGGTAGCCGGGGCCATCTTTGAAACAGAGTTCGCGATCTTGGTTGTGTTGCTTCGTGCGCAGCAAATTGAGGAATGATCAAAGGAATAATTTATTTTACGCGACCGTGAAAAAAGTGGAATAACTTACGGCTTGACTTTACAAAGTATTTTTCAGTCGTTAAAATCATTTTTCAAATAAGTACGTTTTTCCTAGGTAATTACTTAAGTACTTTTTTTTGCGTTTCTGGGTCTCCGCTGCATTTCTAGACCCACAAAGCACTACCCTTACCATAGTTAACATGCTAGCATCCCCAAGTTTGTCTCTTTCCTAGTGTCGTCCTCATTTTCGAATCAAGATGGCAACCAACAACCCGTTCAGCACCCGCCAAGTCTGCAGGGAGCCGCTACGGTGTCGAAGGTTGTGAACGCTTAGGTTAGTACAGACAACGACGGATAAATCCGGGCGACACTAAAATCCGGAGGACAAAGTCGTGCAGTGTACAACAGCGTCGTGTCAGCCAATCAGATTTGACCAGTAGACTTGGTCTTTGTAGAGCATATGCTTTCGTGTACTTTATATGAATTGTTGTGTGTTTTATGAACATTGTTGTGTATTTTATGTCGGTCAAAAGTGTTTTTACAGTGGAAACGGACGGGGGTTTCATTGCATTTTACTATGGGCTATGGCATTCAGTGATCCCGGGTTTTTCCGTCGTTGTCTGTAGTGCCTTAACTACGTAATACAGGTTGCCATCTTGTGTTGGAATTGTTGCAATATACTGAATAATTTATTTCTCTGACCTCGGTATGTCCGCGGAATAACTTATTAGTGATGCAGCTTAAAAAGCTACGGCGACTGTATTTTCGGAAGGCCTGCTCGGTCGAGAGGGTGAACTCCTAAACATCAAATGGAGCAAGACGCCGTCTGTAACGGAATTTCACCTGAATTCCGATTGGCTAAAAATGCTGCCGAGCGTAGAATACTAACCTGACATTGAGAGTAGTGCAGCGAGCCGACGAGGCGAGCGGAACGGGTCCACTACTACCGTAGCGAAGCGTAGGCAGCCTGCTCTTATAGCGCAGCGAGCATTGCGAGCGAAGTGCCAACTAACGAAGAAATCACCGCCGCGTAGCGGCGGCGCTCGGCTACAGTACCTACAGTAATTAGTCTGGCCCAGACTAAATCTGAATAGCATATTTTTCATTGCCCACAATTATTAGTCTGGCCCCAACAGTGACAGACTAATTTTGAATTCAGACTAATTATGAATATCTAAAAATATCCGTTTTCAAGTAAGAAAAACATTATTTTTGTGAAATGGTATGTTTATACGTATTTTCAAATATTTTTTATAGTATACCTATATTTATCGTGGCTTTAAGGAGAAATAAAGACTAAATCATCGCAGATGCTGCTTCTCTAACGGTTAGAGAAGGCTATTCAATGGGTTCGATGCTATGTTCACTCAGGTATCTATTATATTTTCCAGATATCAGGTTCTGTGTGTGTGAGATCTGGTAAAATGGCTGCTGTCAAGTGCTTTTTCAAAAATCAGTGCCGTAAAGTAGGTAGAGATTGACTAGAATCGTGGTCACCACGACAGACTGATTATGAACCTTTTTAGCCAGACTAATAATGAAGACGTCAATTTTTGCTTGACACGCCCAGACTAATTTTGAAGCCAGACTAATTTTTTTAATTACTGTAGGCACTGTAGTGAAGTACTTAGGGCTACAAGTACGATATTATGCATTGCGGTGGATTGCATCGACCAGGCCAGGACGGGGGATGTAATCGCTCGCTGTTCATAATCGTCGAGCCAATAGCGGGCTCACGCAGATGTGTATATTACCAGTACTGTACATGTAGATCGCCCTTCAACCACTTACATATAGGTCTATAATACTAGCGGGCAGTTAACCGTCTCAAAATCTAGGATCGCCTTACCGACATGCAACGCACCAGCTTTTGCAAAAAGGTAGGTGCTGACCGTGATGGTGAACACGGTACTGCATAATCACAACCAGCGCGATGCCATCCATGCCGCCAAGCTATCTTCATTTTATATCCATGCCGCCAAGCTATCTTCATTTTATAATTCGCTGCCTACGCGCTTGCACCTCCAACTCCACTGGTTTTGACCATGGCTCCCGCGACTTCCGCCTCCAAGATGACCTACCGTTTCCTGGGTGACTCGGGACTACTCGTCTCCAAGCTAGGGATGGTTTGGATTAGTAGGGCCTCAAAATTCTCAAAACTTTCTGATCATTCTAAATTTATTGAGCATCTCAAAATGGATCAAAATGGATCAAAGCTCGAGCTGGGATTTGGTGTCGCAACCGCAACTTCAATATTCGAATCTGCTGGATTCCGCCAGGGTTCCGCCAGAAGTTCTCTCATTTCGACTCTCCTTCTTCAACGCGCACCCCGTTAAGCGGAGAGGAGGAGGCCGTGATGTCCGACGCTGGGGATGACCACGGCATGAACTACGACTCCCCGGGCCGTCAACTTACGACCCCACGCCAAGTACGCCGATCGCCTCGGCTTGCAGCTCGACGAGCGTCAAATGCGGCCGACGCCACGGAAGACGAGGACATGGCCGACTCCTCCGACGACCGCTCCCCCGACGACCGCCCGACGAATTCACACTCTGTGCGCCGGTCTCCCCGCATCGCTGCTCAACGAGCTGCAAACTCTCCGATCGTTCGCGTGCGAAACCCACGCGTTGGAGCTACTCGCAGACCTGGCCGTCCCACCCACCCGATATGGCGCTACTTCGATAAAGTCACTGACGAGAGCTCGAAGCCGCACGCCAAGTGCAATTTCTGCGCCGCCCTCATCCGTAGCGCTTAGTCTGGGAAGAACATGCAGCGCCATGCCCCAACGCTCCCGCTGCAATCAAGAAGCGCGTTTACGAAATGTTTGCCGCTTCACGGCCAAGCAGCGGTGCCGATGCTACCGGCTGGTCGGTCGTCTTCTGGTGTTGGTGCTGGAAACGTTGATGGTGGAAACACGCCGCAGCCCGCCCCTGTACCGACAGCGCAACAGCAGCAGCAGCAATTTGAAATGGCATTGGCGAGCATGTTTTTCCTATGTGCCCTGCCGTTTGTACTGGTCGAATCCGAAGCCTTTCGAAAACCATTTCAGCTCTTGGCACCAGGAATTCGATTCCCGTCCAGACACCGATTGAGCACCGTGCTGCTACAGCGTGCACGCGATGAAATTCGAGGGCTCTTAGGCTCATTCGGCTGCAGAATGTAGTCTCGATCGTGACGGATTCATGGACTAACGTCAACCACTCAACCATAATAAACTTCATGGTTGTAGCTCCGGGCATGCGGTCGGTCTTCTGGTCCTCGCTGGCAACTGGCACGGCATCGGAGACGGCGGAGTATTTGGCAGGCCATCTCGGCCGGGTCATTGATGAAGTTGAGCGTGAAACCAATGCCACTGTGGCAGGTGTGCTGGCCGACAACGCCAGTAATATGGACGCTGCGTGGAAGCTGCTGGAGCGGTCTCGGCCTATATTCGGAGGTGGCTGTGCTGCTCACATGCTGAATCTATTGATTCAAGACATGTGTAAGCACGATTTCTTCAAGAGCGTTCAGATCAAAGCGCTTGCAATTACGTCCTACGTTCGAGACCATCACGCTTTACTCAGCCAGTTTACGATCATGTTGAGAGAGACAACCAATGACCATCGACGCGTACTGAGTGTACCTGTTGCCACGCGGTGGTACTCTCTTCACGCGTGCTTGGTGCGGGCTTTGGACAACAGGAACGTGCTCAAGAAGTTGTTTACCGAGTCGCAGTTTGCAGAATTGGTTAACAACTCAGCTTCGAGCAAGAAGGCGAAGGGGAAACTCAGCCAAGTCAAGCAATATATTCGTGAAGCATCATTCTGGAGAAAATTGGAGCAAGTTGTGGCATTTCTGGACCCCGTGATTGAAGCGCTCCATGAGCTTGAGTCCGACAATTGTCCGACATCTCGCGTGTACTCTCGATTTCAGTGGCTTCTGAATCACCATGCCTATGGTACTGAAGACGAGCAGTCAGATCTTCAAGCGGCAATCCAGGCACTCATTCAAGATCGATGGGAGCACGTTCATACCGACGCTACTGGCCTGGCATTCCTCTTAGACCCCCACACCGATCCGGACAACTTTGTCGGTACCGACGAAAAGGATACCTATAGACAAGGCTGCGACTTCGCTGAACGGAGCGGCTTGTTGGAGGAGTTGGGCGTCACGAGAGCCGTGTTCAACGGCGCGCTGAACGATTTTGCTACCTTGAAGCGACGGTGGTCCCCTGCTGACAAGAGAGACAACGAAGGAGTAGCGCCTATCACGTGGTGGTGGAACAACAAGAAGGGTCATCCGCTGTTGTGGGAGATTGCCAGACGCGCGTTCGCAATCCCGTCTTCGTCGGCCGCAAGCGAGCGCGCCTGGAGCATCATGGATTTTATACACTTAAAGAAACGCAACAGATTGACGACCGATAAGATCGACATGCTCGCGTTCATCTACGTCAACCACAACGCGGTCTCGAGCGAGCCCACGGACTGGGCAAGGCTGCACTCGTACCCGGAATGCCCCCATGCTCTTGAGCGTGAAAATGCCGGAACCGTGAGGGCGGCCTGAGCTGCATGAGCTGCATGCCAGCACCATGAATGCCGGTGCAATCTATTTTGAGCCAAGTAACGTTAGTTTTGATCTATTTTGAGTTAATGCGCAGTTAATATTGCATTTTCGAATCGTTTTAATTGATTTCGACTTCTTCCAAACCATCGCTACTCCAAGTTCGCGCTCGGTTCGTGGATGTACCAAGACCCGACCCACACCGTCGAAGCCTGGTACGAGATGATGAAGACTGCCATCGCGCAAGGCGTCAACTTCTTCGACAACGCCGAGCTCTACGGCAACGGCCAGGCTGAAGAGAACATGGGCGGCGCCATCAAGAAGGGCATCGCCGATGGCGTTTGGACCCGCGAGGACCTCGTGGTGACCACCAAGCTCTTCGTCGGCTACAAGGGCTTCACGGAGTCCGGGCCGAGCGACCAGGGCTTGAGTCGCAAGCATATCGTCGAAGGGGCCCGCGCGTCGCTGCGCCGCATGCAGCTGGACTACGTGGACGTCATCTTCTGCCACCGCCCGGAGCCGTACACCCCCATCGAGGAGATCGTGCGTGCCATGAACTACGTGATCAACCAAGGGTGGGCCTTCTACTGGGGCACCAGCGAGTGGCTGGCGTCCGACATCCGCGAGGCGTGCGAGATCGCCGACCGTCTGGGCTTGATTCGCCCCATTGTGGAGCAGCCTCAGTACAACGTCTTCACCCGCGACAAGGTGGAGTTCGAGTATGTGGATCTCTACAAGAAGTACAAGCTGGGCCTTACGACGTGGTCGCCTTTGGCCTACGGGACGCTGACGGGCAAGTACAGCAGTGGCAAGCCGGACGGCTCGCGCTTCACGACTCCAGCCTTCGCCAGCCGCGAGCTGGTCCCCACCTACGACGAGCGGTTGAGGTTGCGGACAAGCTTAAGCCGATCGCTAAGGAACTCGGGTGCTCGCTTCCGCAGCTCGCCACGGCCTGGTGTGTGTCCAATGAACACGTGTCAACAGTTCTGGTTGGTGCGAGCCGCCCTGAGCAGCTTGACGAAAACCTGAAAGCGATCGAGGTTGTCGACAAGATCACCCCCGCAGTGAAGGCCAAGATCGACGCGATCTACAGCGCCGCCCCCAGTGTCCCGGAGATGAACCCTCTCGCGTTCCTGCGCAAGCGCCACCTCTAAAGCTTTGCTTTAGTCGCTGCAGAGCGCTCACTCAATCAGAGTAACTGGGTCCCAGGTGATGATATGGAGCCCAATAGTATCGGCGTGAGTCTGTTTTGAAGGGAGGCTTCGATGAATTGCTTTCGGCTAGTGCCTAGCAGCTAAATAAGCTAAGTAAGTGCGCCGGATAAGGTGACTTTCATGATGATAACAATGTTCAGTGCGGCCAACTTCGGGGTGACAACAGCCTTCGTGCGGCCCTAATTTCATTTTGGACGTGAAAACATAAATAAAGAGAATAATCTCCCCAGTGATCTCCAACTATATCATCCTGTGCTTGCCTGCAAGCCACTGCAGCGGATGGTTAAGATCAACCCAACCGCACAAGCGCTAAATGACACGGGGTCAGTATTCACTCGACTATGTCGCCGCGTCACGAGATCCTGGCATCGATGCCAGATCGGCCACCGAAGTCAGTACTTGGTAGAGCGTCTGCTTGCTTTTCGAGATTACTACGAGCGCACGCCCGTCACGCGAGCGGCTGCAGTGTGTGTATTCACGCTGATTCCTGCTCTACTAGTAGCGATCCTGATCGACTCTGTTCCCCTCAAATCTCCCTCGGACGGCTGGCAGGCGAATTCTGCACTGTGGGGGCGGCTGCTGCTAGACGCGTTTGTAGTCTCAATGGGCATCACTGCACAAGTTCGAGAAGTTCTCATGACTGGAACGATATCAAGCGCCGGAGCTGTCGCGATCGCAGTTGGGAACGCTGTCGCTTACGTATCACTAGCGATCGCTCTTGCAGCAACGTGGCACTTTCCGATCCCATTTGGCTACATCCTCCTTGTTGGACCCTTTGTGATACTGTTCTGGGTCTTCGCCATCGCGGTCATTGGGCCCCATCTGATCATTGAGTCGGTGGTAATTCGACAGCAGATCAAGGCGTTGCTGCTCGTTATCACGGCGCAGGGGATAGTGGCGGTGTCCTACCCAGTCTTCACCGCAATTTTCTATCGACTTTCCGAGGTAGAGCAGACTTTTTTCATCATGGTGATGCCCCTCATCAAACTTGTCACGAAACAAATTATAGCCCATGCCACCGAGAGTCTCCATGCATACGTTGGGCCCGTTGTGGTTTTCTCCGTGGACGTTTTCAACGTCTTCTACTTGGCAATTTGCATGCAAATCTCCAAATCGACACTCACAGCCGTCTTGATGGTCGCTTCCGACAGCTTCCACGTCTTCATAGCCCTTCGGTCAATATTTCGACAAGCCGTCGTGAAGGACGGTTCGTCCCACAAGGCTGGAATTCAAAACTACCTAAGAGACTTGCCCGATAAAGTGTGGAACGTGTTCGAAGACCAGCAGCTAGCAAACATTTGCGGCTGTCGAATCCGGGTGATTGCGCCGTTCCCGCTTCCGTTATCGAATGAAAGCATAGCTTTCATGAACCGCATCGCCAGGACTAGGCGAGACACGCACATTTACTCATCGTCTCAACTCAAAACATCCAGACGCTCGACAATTGGATCAACCATTAGCTCGATCACCCAACCTCTAAAACAAACTCAAGGTTCCCCCGCTACCCATACACAAAAGCTCAATTCAGAGTCGCGCAACCTGGAAAAGATTGTTTCTCGCAGAGTTTCGTCGGCAAGAAAGATACTTGCTGTGGTCCGTTTGAGCTCAAGAACGTCGACAGATACTGTCCTACGTACTATTTCGATCCAAAAGGCAGCGGAGAAGGCCGTTTGGGGCGCGCTTCAGGGTCTTTTACATGCGGAATACCTCTTGCTAGCCGAGTACATCGAATGCGCCCTGCCGCTTCTGTACGCGGCATACCTATCAGTTATCTTCCATCTCCCAGTAGCGCCGTGGTACCCGCAGACAGCATTCCTGGATCACGATAATCTGATGGCGACAGTGTCCTATTTGCCATAATCGAGTTTGCAGGCTTTATGGGGCTTCTCCTTCTGCTCAGACGGAAATTCGGGATATCACCGCTGCATCAACTCGCGTTTGTGCTGGAGACCCAAGCGCGCACCCTACAAGGCCATCTATTCGTGTGGACCATTTTTATTCTACATCTACCGTTAGTTCACTACGGTAAGCAATCTCGTGACTTGGTTCTTCTGGGTTATCCTCCATTGACAATGTTTTGTGAATACAGGCGTTGACTTCGACATTCAACTCGGATAAAATCTCAACACAAAAACTTGAGTGCTGTTCCCCTCGCATGGAAAAGGTGACTAATGGTAAGCAGGGGCTCGGCTTCGGAATTGGAGGCAGGGGAAATACTGCACTGGTGCCCTTTTGTCAGATTAAGCATAGAAATTAAAAAAAAACTACCTTTCCAGATTCCACTTCGCAGGGACGTTCATCCAGTTACAGGTGACGGCCACGCAGCAGTGAGAAGTTGTCCATCTTCGACACGGTCGGCACGAACTTGACGACGTCGTCAATCTTGGCCTTCACCTCGGGGGTGATCTTGTCCACGTATGCCAGCGCCTTGAGGTTCTCCTCCAGTTGCGAGGGGCGACTGGCTCCAATCAGCACTGTCGACGCGTGCTCGTTCGCAACGGCCCAGGCGATCGACATCTGCGCCAGCGAAATCCCGAGCTCTTTGGCGATGGGCTTGAGCTTGTCCGCCATCTCCACGCGCTCCGTAAAGCCCGCAGCCAGCGGACTGCCCTCCTTGAACATGGGCCCCGTGTAGCGCGATCCCTCGGGCTTGCCGTCGCTGTACTTGCCCGTCAGCGTGCCGAACGCGAGCGGCGACCACGTCGTCAGGCCCAGCTTGTACTTCTTGTAGAGGTCCACGAACTCGTACTCCACCTTGTTGCGCTCAAAGATGTTGTACTGAGCCTGCTCGACGATGGGGCGGATCATTCCAAGACGGTCGGCGATCTCGCAAGCCTCACGGATGTCGGACGCCAGCCACTCGCTGGTCCCCCAGTAGAAGGCCCACCCCTGGTTGATGACGAAGTTCATGGCTCGGACGGTCTCCTCGATGGGCGTGAAGGGCTCCGGGCGGTGCGAGAAGATGACGTCGACGTACTCGAGGTCGAGGCGCTTGAGCGAGGCCTTGACGCCTTCGATGATGTGCTTGCGGCTGTTGCCCTGGTCGTTCGGCCCGGACTCTGTGAAGCCCTTGTAGCCGTTGAAGACCTTGGTGGAGATGACGAGGTCCTCCCGACCCCAGAGCCCCTCGGCGATGCCCTTCTTGATGGCGCCTCCGAGCAGCTCCTCGGCCTGGCCGTTGCCGTAGATCTCGGCCGTGTCGTAGAAGTTGACGCCGTGCTGGTGCGCGATCTTGACCATCTCGTACCAGCCGTCCACGGTGTACTTGTCGTCGTATGACATCCAGGACCCGAGCGCGAGCTTGGACACGAGCAGCCCCGAGTCGCCCAGGAACCGGTGGGTCATCTTGGTGGGGGAGTCGGTCGTGCTGGGGGCCATTGATGCTTTGGGTGTGGTAGTGGTCTGTTGCTGCTTGGGAGGCTTGTGACGCACGAGGCAAAAGCGAAAGTGAGCTGCTCGGTTGACAAGCATCGGGCATGATGTTTTTTGTATGATGATGACAGAACGAGATGATGCAGCGTGATCATTTTTCTCTTATGTGCATATCTTCAGTTCAAAACAGTATGGAAGCCACTGCACCTAAAATACTCCGGTTCTGTCATTTTGTCTTCGTAATCACTTTCTGAGAATGCTTGTCAGGGAGGCACTTCAACATACTTTGCATGGCTTCGGTAAAGTCATCGCAGCAAAAATGCTGGAGACCAGGCCGCTGCCAATGAAGTGGACTTGGCGAGCTTATCACGCACTTGAGGCTGGAACCTATCATGGATGCACCTGGGGGCGGGTAGTTGAATAGTGTTTTGCTGTTGTTATTTTGGCTAGAACACGGAAATCTCTTTACCATTGCCCTAAGCTTCATGTGGAAGACCAGCCCACTTTGCCTAAACAATTTATATTTTTTTCCGGTTGACCTCTCAATGCAGCTTTCATCAAACAGAATTCCGGGTCCTCCTCTCTTGAGTAAATACGTCATGTCTTCACGATAGCGATCGTTGCTAGCCGTCTCCATCGCCAGCATCACGTCCTCCAGAGAATACTCACCCAATCGTGGCCATTGGCAACTGCTATCTGCAAGGCCTCACTCACATTGAATCGTTCGAGGGGGGGGGTAGTAGTGCAGGAGTTGGGGCTTCTCCATTTCTTCTACGTTGGTGCTTAAAGACGATACTGACGCTACTCGCTACTAGCTCATACCGTGACCAAACTGCATCATCTTACAAGTAACGTTAGAAGCTACAGGTAGCGGCTGCGCGCAAGAGCAAACGGGTCCAGCTCCGGCAGCTTGGGCACAAAATTCACGACGGCGTCGATCTTCTCCTTCACCTCGGGCGTGATCTTGCTCTCAAACTCCACCGCCTTCAGCGTTTCCACCAGTTGCTCCGCGCGGCTCGCTCCCAGCAGAACAGTCGACACGTTCTTGTTGGACACCGCCCAGGCGATGGACATTTGGGCGAGCGAGCACCCCAGCTCTGCTGCGATGGGCTTCAGTTTGTCGGCGATCTCGACATTCTCGGCAAACCCCGCCGCCAGCCACCCTTCCTTGAACATAGGGGACGCGTAGCGCGAGCCTTCGGGCTTGCCAGCGCTGTATTTGCCCGTCAAAATCCCCATCGACAGCGGCGACCACGTGGTGAGACCGAGCTTGTACTTCTGGTACAGATTGGCCAGGTCAAACTCCACCCGCGATCGCTCCAGGATGTTGTACTGCGGCTGCTCGACCACCGGTCGGATGAGTCCGAGGCGGTCGGCGATCTCGCAGGCCTCGATGATGTCGGCCGAGCTCCACTCGCTGGTGCCCCAGTAGAAGGCCCACCCCTGGTCGATCACGTAGTTCATGGCGCGCACAGTCTCCTCGATGGGCGTGTGCGGGTCGGATCGGTGGCAGAAGATGACGTCCACGTAGTCCTGCTCCAGGCGCTTTAGCGACGCCCTAATGCCTTCGAGGACGTGCTTGCGGTTGACCCCCATGGCGTTCGGTCCGGGCTTGGTGCCCCCGAAGATTTTGGTTGAGATCACGAGGTCCTCGCGACTCCAGACTCCTTCGGCGATGCCTCTCTTGATGGCATTCCCCAGCATCACCTCGGCCTTGCCGTGGCCGTAGCCCTCGGCCGAGTCGAAGAAGTTGACGCCGTGCCTGTAGGCCAACGTCATGACCTCGTACCAGAAACCGCCCTCGTACTTGCTTTCGTCGCTCATGAAGGTGCCCAGTCCGAGCTTCGACACGAGCAGACCTGTGTCACCCAGGAAGCGATAGGTCATCTTGGATGAGGCGCTGGCGTCGGAGGGGATGCCCATGGTTGGAAGGGGGTAAGTGGCGGGTTTGAAACAAATTCAACAATGAACCGAGCAGAGGACTCGCTCGTACTTGGGATCACGCAATCTCTGCGCGGTCGGGAGCATAAGCGTTGATAACGTAGATACCGCTATTGCCTAGATGAAAAATCGGTAGCGCGAGGTGGTCAAGTTGAAGTGGAATGGCGTCGATGAAAGGATTCGCGCACATTGCAGCACGTATTTACAGACGACAGACTTGGTCTTGGAGTTCTGGCGTAATCTTGTCGAGTGTTCTCGAGGCTTTCCCCAAGCTGCGACTCACTCCAGCAAAGCCCCCTAGACAATGACCGACTGAGGCAAGGGAGCAGCCCAGCTCCACGGCGCTGGCTCCGGAAGCATCTCATGTCGAGCGAGGATGAGTGCGAGCCTCGCGCTAGAAGTTTCACTATCCGCCGCCTCTCTTGCCTACCAAGTGATAATAAGCGCTATGAGTGCAGACGGCTTCGTGAGCGATGCCATTGTGAGAATCCTGGCGCATTATAGCTCTGCAGACTTGTGACATTCATATTGTAGCTCGTACGAGTCGTACCAGGGCTTAATAGCAACCGATGATACCCATTGATACGATGATGCTACCGTATCATCGTAGTCCTAGGCGTCGCTTACTTCTAAGAATCACTTGTAATCCACCCAATCAAATCAATGGAATTTTTATCATATGGGCATGTTACTTACGCGCTGGACTGTATTTATTTTTAGGCTCACCAACGATAAAAAAATGGCCCGTACCGCCTTTCTTAGAATCGCGCAGAGCAAGCAGAGCCATGGTCCGGCCTCGCGTAAATGGCAATGGCAAGAAGCGAAAGACGTACCAGCGAACCGCAGTGGAATACTCCCACAAGCAGGAAGTTATAAGTTTCACAGAAGCCGGCCACGATCTGGACACGACCATTGCACACTTCTATGGTAAAGTGGAGGGTAGCGAGCTTCGTGCTAGAAAGAAACAGATTAACAAGTGGTTGAAACAGGCTCCAACAATTCGAGCTGCTTGTGAATCGGGTCGCGGCCGTCACCGCAATCTTCGCAACCTTGGCGATGCTACAGTGCTCCCCAAGGAGGTCGAAGAAGATCTTGTGCTTTGGCTCAACACGCTGCGGAAGGACGGAGCTCCCGTTTCGAGGCTCATGCTACAGCTCCAGGCAAAAGAGTTAGCCGCTGAGAATGGGCTGCACGAGAAATTTGCAGCATCCCCTACATGGGTAAAGCTGTTCCTACGGCGCCACAAGCTTTCTCTGCGAGCACGGACCAGGCAGGGCCAAACAACACCTCAGGACGCTCAAGCCGCAGCAGAGGCTTTCCGTGCACTCGTACTGCAGACAATAGTCGAGAAGGAGTGCACGCAGGTGTACAATGCTGATCAAACAGGTACGCCTCTGGCCATTTTGCTTTGAAATATCCTCATTGAGTTTAACATGTACAATTTTTCTTGAAATGTTCCCACTGGCCAAGCAGGTATGATCATGTTCCTTTTATTAAAAAAATGTCACCAAGGCTTGGAACATGTTTATGTTCCCAACTAATTTGCCTTTGTAGCTGTGTTTTTCGAGTACTTGCCAAAGCAGACAATATCAAAACGAGGTGTTAAAACGGTGTGGGTTAAGTGCTCGAATAAAGAGAAGGCACGGGCGACTGCTCCTGGCGGACTGGGAGGGCCGACAACTGGACCCGTTTCTTGTTTTCAAGAATACCCCATCGACTATCAAAAAGAAGCGCGAAGAGAATGAAAAGGAGCGTCACGGATTCAGCCCAACAATGTGGAAGCGTGAAATAAAGCCACGGCAGGAGCGCAACCAGTGTCAAATCTACAGAAACAAATGCGCGTGGTGGAACGCTGAATTGTCAGTGAAGTTCTTGGAATACCACTTTGCTGAGCGCCCCAATCCTGAAGAGAACATTCTATTACTGTGGGATGACTTCAGTGGTCATTGGACCACTGAAGTCAAGGAGTACGCGGCGTCGATAAACGTGGTTCTGCTAAAGGTACCTCCGCGGTACACGTATGTGCGCCAGCCAGCAGACACATCGTGGAATAAGCCACTCAAGGCTGGTCTGCGAGCGCTGTGGATTGAGCGGTTGCGGAGTCAGCTTGTCGAGTACCGCTCTGGGGAAGATCGACGCAAGCAGAAACGCGAGAAACTCCAACTTGAAATTCACCGTGCTCGTAAAGAGCTAGTCCAGGAGGAGGCTGATATCGAGGTCGAACGGCTCCGGGCTGAGTATGCGGAAGACCCTTTCAAACTGAAGCCACCAAGCCGCATTGACATTGCTGAATGGGTTGCTATGTGCTGAATAAAACTTTCGAGAGATACAATTGTGAGCGGGTTCGCCAAGGTCGGCATTCTTAATGACACGCGCGGCATCGAAAGTGCGAGAGACGCCGACACTGAGGACATCGCAAGCGCCATAGTCAAGGAGTTGGAGGACTGCAGCCTAGCCGACAAAGAAGTCAACTCAGACGATGACATCGGAGTAGGCGATGATATTGCCAGCGATAGCGAAAGGGAGTAAGACAGTAAATCGTAGTGCATTTTTCAGTAAAATCATGATTTGCTTGCATATGACGGTGCTGAAGATTTGTACCTCGTGCTATTGAAGTGACCCCTAGGACTACGACGATACGGTATATCTTAAGAATCAATCAGAACGACGCGCTGTCCGTGTGTAGATCGCGTGAATTCCTATTGGCTGAAATTGCTGCCGAGCGCAGCGAAGGCGGCCCCGTCGCCGAATCATACGATATTGCGGGACCGCAGGGCCCGCCCAACCTCTGTAGTAGTAACTAAACATTGAGAGTAGTGCAGCGAGCCGACGAGGCGAGCGGAACGGGTCCGCCACTGCCGTAGCGAAGCGTAGGTAACCTGCTCCAATAGCGGAGCGAGCGAAGCACCAACAAACTAAAAAATCACCGCCGCGTAGCGGCGGCGCTCGGCTAGTGCATGTATCAGTTGTATCAATATCAGGTGATACCACTAACGGATTTTCCCGAATACAAGACCTGTAGGAAATAGAAGTCCGGTCAAGAATTGGTTGGAGTGCCTGAAAATAGAAGTCTTGTATCAAATAAAAGACCGGACATTTATTTTTAAAATGTTCCCCTAAGGTCCTCGGACATTTATTTTTTAAATGTTCACCCAAACCGTTGGCCATCCTCAAGTCTTATCTGCTTTAGAGCTCGACCTCCTTCTAACCAGCCCATTCCTAAATCGCGGTGATGACACCCAAGCGCAACTCGATCAGCAACTGGAAGAAGCAAGAAGTCATCAACTGGATTAATACCGTCGGCGAAGGAGTGCCATCGCGAGCATCGGCGCACTTCCGTTCGTTGGGGTGGGACTTCGACCCGGCCACGGCCCGACGCTGGTGGCGCCAACGGGAGGAGATTTTGACTGCGCCGCCAACGCGGAGCCGTGTCCCTGGTGGAGGTTGTAAGCCAGCACTGGGGCACCTTGAAGATCTTCTACTGGAGGCGATAGTGCTGCGCCGACTCAAGAAGGAGAAGGTGACCCGTGAGTGGATAGCTGCCCAGGCACTTCAGCTCTACAGTGAGGTCTCTGACGGTCAAGTTCGCCTGTTCGAAGCTTCACCACACTGGGTCAGCGGATTCATGAAGCGCAATGACTTGTCGCTGCGTCGCCGTACGAACCTGACGACACTTACTGACGAGCAGCTTGTCAGCCGCGCGGTCTCGTACATAAGATGCCTTCATGATCACAAGGGCGAGTTCAACTTCCGCCACACGGTTCTCATGGACGAGACCGCAGTGTATTTCGAGGATGCGCGAGAGCAAACCGTCGAAGTTCGCGGTGCTCGGCATGTGGTGGTGAAGTCGACAGGCTTCTCGTCGATGCGTGTCACGGCTGTGTTGGCCGTTACGGCAGCAGGTGTCAAGCTTCCTCCGCTTTGATTTGGAAACACAAGAAAGGATCGCGGAGCATTCAAAGGGTCGGAGGTGTGTATGTGACATACCAGCCCAAAGCTTGGGTGGACTCAGAGCTGTTGTGCAATTGGCTCGACACGGGTTTTCACAGGTGCTCCAAGCTGATGGCAAGGCACTCGTGTGGGACCCAATGCGCGCTCATATCTCGCGCGACGTGAAGGCCAAATGCAAGGCGCGTGAAATCGCGATGTGCGTTATCCCAGGCGGGCTGACGGCATACCTTCAGGCAGGAGACATCGGCATTTACAAACAGTTCAAAGACCACTTGTACTCGTACATCGACGAGTGGAAGAACTCTGACAGCGTAGAGTACACTCGTGCCGGGAATCCAAAGCCTCCAAGCACTGAAACAGTGAGTCAGTGGCGCACCCCTCCCCATCAAATGTAGAATGAGACCAGCTCGATGGGAGCGGCGGTGTGTGCTTGGCGAGATCATTGGTAGCGGCGAGCTGCCTCCACGCCTTGGGCTAGTGGCTGTTATAGACGTAGCCATCCGTTCACCATCATTCCTTTCACTTATTTTTTTGTATATGGGATTGGGTGTTCATATATTTGTCGCAATGGCCAAAACGGTCACTTGTATGGTAGCCCCACGTTAAACTTCACTATTGGGGACGTTAAAACAAGTCTCGTCTGTGTTTTAACGACACAAACAACATATCTAAACGCCGTGGCACAACTCGTAAAAATGGCTGAGCTAGAGGGCAAAACGTGGGTGTTCATATTAACTTGGCGCGGAGTGTACGTGTATCAAGATCAGTTGATCCATCCCCACTGCTTTAGACACTTGTATCAGTATCATGCCGATCGTCAAAATAGCCGATGATATGAAGCCCTGCGTACGACTTATCGAATACGGCTTATCAATCATACGCGAGTACGAATTGTTGTACGCTGTTGATGGTCAACCAGCACCAAGTACAATGTTTGATTTGTTTTTGAATTGAGATTCCATTGTTGTCACTTATCTAATACAATGTTTAGAATATCCAGCACGATAAAGCCTGCTAGTAGCAGGCTGCTGCTGCTTCTGGCGAGTATTTTGCACCTGGGCGTGCAAGGGCTAGCGTATATTAGCCGCTGTTGTGCGACAAAAAATTTTAAAACTCGCTCTGACGCGAATGCACTATAGCGTGGATATACAACTTTTCATTGCGTCTTTGTTGCTACTGGGCTTGGAGCAAAGGTAAGCAATTGCATTTTCTACAAGCTGCAAAGCTACGATTGGTTTCATTATTTTCTAGAAACATGCCGGTTCACATCGAGAATCTACACGTTTGAGGCGAATTACGGGGCAGGTGCTGCGGCTGCGAAGTAGGCGCAGGAGATACCGGTGGTTAGTTTAAGAAAAAACTACTACTTATAGATTTAAGGTAACATCCTCCTATCCCATCCACGCGGGCCCTAGTACACAAGTGTTGCGAATGACTGGTAATGTAGTTGTGTCGAAAGAGTTCCGAAATAGTAGGGTTTCTAAAAGAAAAACGGAGGTCTCTAGAACGTTGGCCTTATTGTGTCGTGCTGGTAGAATTATCTTCAATGCATTCTGCTCTCCGAAACGACATAAGTTTCGCACGGTACCTTGAAAGTTTCGTTTATCCGGTTTATATGCCAGGAGCTTTGTAGTATAGAGCAATCTAACTATTTTGATACTACAGTAGCAATATATTACATGAATATTTTTATTAACGTTTCATAAACAGATTACTACATTTAGTGTCATGCAAAATGTTTAATGAGTTGTACGGTTCTAAACTACTGTACCAACTCAAACAACAGCCGCCAGTCGATATATTTCATCAAATCATCTAGACACGGACAAACTCTAAATTAATGTTTTAGGAGCGGACAAACACCCCCAGCGAGCAACCTGAGCCAATCTGTACAACACCATACAAATCAGGGTTTGGTTATTGCCGCGACTATTGGCACAACATTGCCACATTCTAAATCAGGGGTATGTTGTGCCGTTAGCCGCTGAAAAGGATTCTTGTTGAGAACCGAATCACGCGACAGCAATAGCACTCGAAAACCGCCATAGATCTTTGAGAAAATGCAAGAATTGTTTTACATACTGGGCACTTAATACACTCACACCTCTATAAATGACACCCAGCTCGCTCGGTCTAATACGCTATTTCAGTTAAAGAATTGATCAGATAAAGAAATGGCTACACTTCTAATGGCTACATTTTCATATGTTAGGTGCACAGTACAAGGGCTTTCTTTACCTGGTACCCCTCCAGCGTTTTCGTAGTCTTGTTTTGTTTCGTCTTCACACAGACAGAACTTAGCCAATAACGGTAGGCGCGGTATTGTCTGTTCCTACTCCTTCTTCTCATTGGTATTAGCAGAATCGCATCCCCTCAGGTTGTACGTGGGTTTCAATACAGTGAGGTTATGGGAATATTTGTTGTCCCGATATCCTGCCACCATGCCTGCAGTTTTATCTTTTGCTTGGTATCTACTGCATAGCCCCTAGTTGTCTCGACATCATTATATTTTAGTTTTTCGTAAAATATATATGTACGCTGCGCTGATTGTAAAATACTGTGGCTAGCTTATCTATCAGTATTTACAAGCTTGCAGTTACTGCAAACTCTTTGTTCCAACTTAGCATCCCAAATAAAATTTCTCTCTTCGCTCGATTTGTTGTGGCGGGAGTAGTGGTAGCAATGGCATACGTGGGAGGAGGCAGGCAAGTGATTGAGAAAAATATATGAGTTTGGATCTATTACTACGGCGTCCAGTTAGAGGGTTGAGTGGCGACCTTTTAGAGAATAAAGAAGTTTTTGATCAGTTATAGAGCACCTATAGTGAAATCCATATAATCCCGTTTGCAGTCGAGGAATCCTAACCAGATAGGGAACACATAGTCAAGAGGGAGGTGTCACTGTACAAGTTATCGCGTAGTAAAAAAAGTCAGTTTTTCAGTAACTTCACGCCGGTCCCTCAACCTGCAACCTGCGCCACCCCCGATACAAATCCGGGTGGCTCAAGTTGTTTTGCGCCCCCTCAACCAGCAACCTGAACCACTTTGTGAGGTCATAACGGCCAGTCAACGCATGGAGGCCAAGGTGAGCTTCCACGTGCGGCGCTACCTGCGCGAGTGCGAGGAGCGCGGCGCGCGGCCCAGCGAGGCCACGGTGACCGCGCACCTGCGCGACACGTACGCCGAGTACCAGCGCAAGCCGCAGGGCGCGCTGCGCAAGGTGGTGGCCAAGGTGCTGAAGAAGGCGCAGCCGGCGGTGGAGCCCAGCAGCAAGTCGCCGGGCTCGGAGACGCCCAAGCGCTCGCGCTCGGACAGCGACAGCGACGACGAGCAGCAGATCCGCGCGCAGGAGCAGCAGCAGGCGGCCTCGGGCGCGGGCAACTCGCTGAACCGCGCCATCCAGCAGAATTATGCCGGGCAGAGTTCTGCCGCCGCTGAGCGCCCCGTCGTCAAGAAGATCAAGATCATCCGCAAGAAGTCCAGGAGGGACGAGGAGGACAAGGAGAACGACGCAGCCGCTGCGGACGAGAGCAAGGGCTTCGTGGTAGAACGCCCTACCACCAGATACAGCGACGTGGGCGGCATCCAGGCAATTCTGCAGGAGGTGCGCGAGCTCATCGAGTACCCTCTGACCCACCCGGAGGTGTACGCCCACCTGGGCGTAGAGCCCCCACGCGGCGTTCTACTCCACGGCCCCCCGGGAACGGGCAAGTCGATGCTGGCCCACGCCATCGCCGGCGAGTGCGGCGCCACGTTCCTCAAGGTCTCGGCGCCCGAGGTGGTCTCGGGCATGTCCGGCGAGTCGGAGCAGAAGCTGCGCGAACTCTTCGACGAGGCCATCGCGCGCGCGCCCTCTATCATCTTCATCGACGAGATCGACGCCATCACGCCCAAGCGCGAGACGTCCGCGCGCGGCATGGAGAAGCGCATCGTGGCGCAGCTGCTCACGAGCGCCGACTCGCTGAGCTTGGAGAACACGGGCGGCAAGCCCGTCGTGCTGATCGGAGCCACCAACCGGCCGGACGCGCTGGACTCGGCGCTGCGTCGCGCCGGCAGATTCGACCGCGAGATTTGTCTCGGCATCCCGGACGAAGAGGCCAGGGAGAAGATTCTGCGCGTGCTGGCCAGGAAGATGACGCTGGAGGGAGACTTCGACTTCGCAGCGCTCGCGCGTCGCACGCCCGGGTATGTGGGCGCGGATCTGGTCTCGCTCACGAAGGAGGCGGCGGTGGGGGCGGTGAACCGCATTTTCACCAACATCAACGCGGTCAAGACGATCACGGCGGAGGTGGATGCCACCAGCGTCTCAGCCGAGACCGAGACGTCGGACGCGGGTACTAGTGACGACGCGATGGAGGTCGATGCGACTCAGGAGAAGGCGGCGGAGAAGGAGAAAGACGTGGAGGAGAAGAAGGACGCGCCGTCTGCGGCAGACGACTTGCGCGCGCAGGTGGAGCCCTTCACGGAGGAGCAGTTGGCGCCCCTCAGCATCACCATGGCCGACTTTGAAGCTGCGATCCCGAAGGTCCAGCCGAGCTCCAAGCGCGAGGGCTTCGCTACGATCCCAGACGTCACGTGGGACGACATCGGCGCGCTCAACGAAGTGCGCGACGAGCTCTCGCTCGCCGTGCTGCAGCCGATTGCCCACCCGGAACGCTTTGCGGCTCTTGGTTTGTCCATGCCTGCTGGCGTGCTGCTGTACGGACCTCCTGGTTGTGGTAAGACGCTGCTGGCCAAGGCCATCGCCCACGAAAGTGGTGCGAACTTCATCAGTATCAAGGGACCGGAGCTTCTGGACAAGTATGTGGGCGAGTCGGAGCGCTCTGTGCGGCAGGTCTTCCAGCGCGCGCGTGCGTCTTCCCCGTGCGTTGTGTTCTTCGACGAGCTGGACGCGCTCGCGCCTCGACGTTCGAGTGGCTCCGGCGATGGCGGTGGCAACGGCGTCAGCGAGCGCGTGGTGAACCAGCTGCTGACCGAGATGGACGGACTGGACGGCCGTCGCAATGTGTTCGTGATCGCTGCTACCAACCGCCCGGACATCATCGACCCCGCCATGCTGCGTCCTGGCCGTCTCGACAAGCTGCTGTATGTGCCGCTGCCGCAAGCCTCGGAGCGCCACCAGATTCTCAAGACCATTTGTGCCAAGTGCGCTTTGGCCCCGTCAGTGCAGCTGGAGGCGATCGCCGCCGACCCTCGCTGCGAGGGCTTCAGTGGTGCTGACCTCAGCGCGTTGGTTCGCGAAGCCGGTATCACGGCCTTGCGCGAGACCGACTTCTCCAAGCTCGAGGCTGGCGCCACGACTCTAGGAATCGAGCACCACCACTTCATCAGCGCGTTCGACCGCGTCTTCCCGTCGGTATCACGCGCGGACCAGCGTATGTTCGACCGAATGAAGAAGAACCTGCGCAAGTCTCGCTCATCGATGACCAGGAGCAGCAGCAGCACGACGGTGACCGCAGGTGATAACACCACTCAGGGTGAGGGAGATTCCTCCTCGAAGGACAAGACGGACTCGAAGGATGATGTCGACATGACCGAAGGCAAGCAGTAGAGAGAAGAGATTGTATTTTTGAGCTTCTGCCAGGACAGTGCTTCCTGACTGCATAGAATATAGCGCCCGCTAACTTATGCATTTCCACACTACCACAACGCACCAACCAACTCGAGCAGGTAGGACGGTCTCTCTGTCGTTCCGCGCGGCTCAAATGCTGCCGTCCCCTTGACAAAATCCAGAGTTGTTAGACGATCGACGTTGGGAACACCAGCTCGTTCCATTTGTTCGTAAACTCGCAGCAAATAGTCGAAACGATCAGCATCCAGGACAGATTTCTCGACGAACGTGGGGTACGCGCGCACAACAGCGCCACTTTGAGTTGTAATGCCCTTGAACTCGTCTCTTCCGTACAGGGGGCAATTCTCCACAATGGCTGGGAACAGCAACGACAGATTCAACAGCGCGAGTACAGCTTCGAACCGGTGCTCCTTAAGCTCAATGTTGTAGGCTCCGATACGAGTCCTCATCACGACTCCGTTTTCATCCCCAAAGTGCAGCGCGACGAGATCGATGTGGTAACCTGACGCAGCGTATCCAAACACGTACGGCACGTTCCCGTAGGTCCACACGAGTCTCGAACGCTCGGTTCTCTGATGCTCACATGAGGCGCTTCCTCCTCTCCACGGAAGACGCAAACATCCTCCAACAGAAACATAAAGTCAGAAGTTTTGCTGCCTGAGCCACCGTCGATGACGGCACGAGGGAAGATGTAGTCGAGCACGTTGCGGAAAAGCGAATCCCACGCCCAAATGAAGCTATTGGCCGGACCCCGCATCATGTCCCGATGGCGACCGGAATTATTTATTTTTATCGGCGGGGCAGTGATAATATATATAGGTTGTGACAATTTTGTGATAATTTTTCGAGTTTAGCTAGAGCTCATTTCACCTTCAAGCATCTTGCATCCAGTATGAAGTCTAGGCGAACTGGAGGTGCAGAGGTTCCTCGGCGCAAACGTGATATTGAAATCGTCGTGACCGCAAAGCTGCTGCATTCGTTTGTTCTGTTAAGCGTTTTGGTGAAGATACGACCAAGCAGATTCAAGCTGACTGCTAGAAGCTAGCGCCTACCACAGCAGCGGCGTCGAGCACGCAAAGTTGCGAACTCTGCAGCTCTGTGCAACTCGAGCGTCGATACTTCAAGAGATACATAGCATAGATACATACATCTAGCACTTGAATTTACCGAATATACCGGTTGCTTATGACAGCTGGCGGGGCAAGCGGGGACCCCGGGGTCCCGCCAAACGCTTCAAATGAAACTGTTGCCACTGCGTAATAGCGTCAGTTGGCGCTTGCCAAAGATCATACTCTTGAACTCTTTGCACGGAGCCGCTTCATCTACTTCGAACAGCTTCTCTTGCAGCTTGCAGTTGAGTGACCCACTTTCCCTTAGCTCGAGTCTTCACGGGGAGAGGTCATTTGATGTAGTTTCCCAGATCTCCAACCAATGGCATCGATTGAAGCTCAATCCTGTTGGTAAACAACTCCTTCAGCCATCCCTTCGTGCTGTCACGTGGTCCTTGGCTGGCTGTGGGTTTTCTTCGGATCCATTAGGACGTGAACTTAAACAGGAACAAACTGCATGGGCAGGTTCTGGACTGAAGGATGGAGGCTGAAAGTGACAAGCACGGACCGGTTGATAGTTGCCAACCGACCGGAGTTATCCGATTGAACACGCAGTTCAGTATGTATGCTACTATTGCATGACTTTGCTCGTAAGCTCCGATGTCGTGAGATCAGCCAAAAGAGGTAGCAGGCTTTAGCGAGCCGGTCGGGTGAAGAAGAGCGAGCTTCGTAAAGTGACTTAGCAGCAAATTGCGAGCAGAATCGAGACTTCGTCAGGACTCTACCAGATTAAAAGGACATGTTACAGTTGATTCAGTCATGCAGTTTTGCGTACTGTACCCATTAACTTATCCTGCGTTCGCGCTAACAATAAAGCTGGGAACAGAATAGTACGTCGCCGAAGTATTATATGTGAGCCTTCAGCCTTGGACAATTCAGACAAAGGATGCCGAAGTTGCTGTATGGGATTCGCCCCTCCCAGCTAAACCGTAGTGTTTCATTGAATGGTTTAGTGGCTGCAACAAACCCATCAAACTCCGAAGCAGAAATAGCGTTTAGCGTGCACAAGTGCCTATTCTCGGCGGAGCGAGACAGCAAAAACGTTTAGACCTGACGTGGTTTATCCAAAAATTCTGCAGGAATCTCCATCTCTTCAAGTGCGCCAGCCCAGCGAATGGCGAAGTTACCAAAGTCCTCCAAAGTCATGTCGCTTGGCGTCAGGACTGCGCGTGTTGTTCCCAAGAAGCTTCACAATGGTACAAGCAAAAAGATCCTGGGAGTAAATCCTCAGTCCGTCGTTGTGGCCGCAGTAAGGAACCACCAGATAGTCCCTGCTGCGTGTATGGTGCGGGAGGTGGAACAAGCGAGTGAAGACAGACATCATCACCTGAGACTAACGTTTCGAGAAGCGTTCGGCGTCCTTGGACTCCCGATACTGGGGACTCTGGTGGTGTGTATTTTGTGGACGACGTGGCTGCTATTCATCGCGTTGGCGCCTAACCAAGCTGCAAACTGGTTAATGGGCACCGCCTCGTACGACAATGGTCGATTCTGGTTGATAATTGATACAAACCCAGTGATGACCAAGGTTGGAGCAGCAAGTTTAGTGTTTGTTGACGCCTGCAACCTCTATGTTATCGTGAAGATGCTGCGCTGGCGGATGACTGTCGCTAGGTTTCAAGCGGCGAACTCTCGGCCGAGAGATTTACAAGTGAATCCGGTGACAGACTCGTGGATGCGCACTGCTAGCGACCGAGTTAAGACTCATTACCACGACTTAACATCTTTTCGAGGAAGCAAACGGAAGTTCTGGGTACGGCCGGCCACTCGGGTAATTGGTGTGCTACAGATAGGGTACTAACCTTCCTGTGACTCCAGAATGTGTGCTTGAAAGTGTTCAATTTGACTATGCAGATGACGGTGCTTCTGGAGCTGCTTGAAACGGGTAGCCCCGTGACTCTCGTGTACGGGTACACTGGGTTCATCTCTGTCGGTTCCTTGGCTGGAGCAATAAAGATTCTGGTCGGCAGATTCACTGCAATGGGTGAAATCATCGCTGGCTCAATGTAAGCTCTGTTTACCTGGTTTGTAAGAAAAAAAAGAAAAAAACTCAACCATACTAACTTTTATATTTTTTTGCTTCGTAGCTTCGACCTAATAGCAGCGATCGTTTTTCCTGTGTTGGTGCTCGTGTACTGCTACTACAACTTCCAGTTTGATGACGCGGTCTTCGCAACTTACGTGAAGGTGCTTCCTATCGGCAGCTTTGAGCAGTCGGCGAGGATTTTCGCCGATCCGTCCGAAGTCGCGGTTTTCCGGTTGGCGTTTGACTCGCTACGAATTCGATCCAAGCTCGACCTCGTCCTCCGAGTTGGAATTAATCTTTCGTTTTGCTACCGACTCATGCGCATTGGAGACGTGCTCCTGATAGTTCATCTCAAGCGTTTGGTAACAGCAAGGACGCAGAGCACGAGACCCACTAGAGCTCGACAGCGGCCCGTGCCGAAAGTGCTCGCGGTTTTTTTCATCGCGTTCAGTGTCGTCGTATGGATTTTCGCTAACCAAGCTGTGGCCGACTCGTATACCCAGTGTTCTCGATATCCTCAGTGCGTAGTGTACTCGTACCGGTGGAGATTCGTCGGGGAAGAGTGTCCGTGCCGAATTCTGATCGATGTCGATCGTTCCCCAAAGACGTACGATGAATGGATTCACCCAATCGATGCCTACGAAAGTGTGCAAGCACTGGCGAAGGCTGGAGAGCTCAGGTCGCTTCAGATAATTAACCGACAACTATTCACGTTGCCCGATGAACTACTATCTTGCCACTACCTGGCGTCAATGTACGTTTATCTATCGTGGTGTGTGGTCCCACAACAATGTATTGATCATTGCTATCAGTGAGCTATTCTATACGGGCATTCAGTGCATTCCACCATGGGCGAGTGAATTCAAGTACCTCCAAACTCTGTAAGCTACCACCCATCTATCCGCATCGATTGAATTTTATAACGATGTAGCTCTTTAACTGTGTTTTGTAGTCATCTAGAAGGGAAACCAGGCAGTCGGAACCTCGCGATGCTACCCAAAGATCTCTTCAGCGACATGCCTTGGCTATCGACAGTTCACATCGGCCTTCATCCAGACCTCGAGAATATCCCAGCACTCAGTGGTGTGCCCAATCTCCAGAGTTTGACGCTCGCGTGGATGCTCGTGCTGAAGAAGCTGCCGTCTTTTGATCGCGTGCCCTTATTGCAACGTTTGCTGTTGACCTTCTTGCCGCGTCTGGAGAAGATGCCGGACATGGCGCCACTGCGATTCGTCTCGGACTTTTCGCTGACCCGCCCAGTCCAGCTCTGCTGCAACGGCTTCCTCGGAACGTGCAACCTGAACGACGATTACTGCGTGTACAACCCCGAGGCCGGAATCCCAGCAGCATCCTGCCTAGACGAGAAGCCTTTTCTGGACAACGTCGGTACTCGCGAAGTGTTCAAGAAGTTCGAGGCGGCTGTCTGCCCGAGGCTTCCCTCGGACATGTTTCTCGCTAAGAGCTCACCTACGAGGCGAACGATTGAAATGTGCGAGAGCAGACCGTTCGGCCGGTGTGAGCTTCCTGGTGGGCAAGTTGGTATCTGCTACAACACGCGCATGCAGGTGCTTTCGTGTTATGGTGACGACATCTACATTATGCTGCGGAAGTACCAGATACAACTCGGTGTCGGGCAGAAATGTGACCCCGCCATTGAAAAGTGGTTGGGGTGCGAACAATAATTAACCTTGATCACACAATACTAATGAGTCTCGTACTCCGCATAGCAATAAAGGCGATTGAAGGTGGGTCGAGTAAACTATTTCCAGGCAGACTATTTCCAGTGCAACTAGTGGGCCGGAGCAGGACGTGCGTGCACAGTACACTTCGTCTTGGAAGCCTCCACTGTCGCGATAATGACACACTTCGCACCCGTTCTTCAGGAAGGTCACGCGTTCGTTGCCAATTGGGCATGCACCAAAGGTGATTCAAGTGTTGCCTGCTGTCCACCCCTTGGACCGGTTCGCTCAAGAAAATGGGCCAAGTTCAGTGCCGCAAGTCCAAATTGTCTCGTTCTATGATGCATTTGGCGTTCTCGGAGTGCCCATGTTGCTGACTCTGCTCACGTGTCTCGTGTGGACGACGTGGCTCATTGTGGTGGCGCTGAAGCCCAACGAGACTGCCAACTGGCTGATGAGCACGGGGGCGTACGACAACGGGCAGTTTTGGTTGATCAGCGACAAAACCCCACGGATCGTTATGGCTGGTGCAGCTGGACTTGCGGTTGTGGACGCTTGCTACCTGCATGTTCTGGTGAAGATGCTGCGATGGAGAGACCGAGTTGACGAAGTGGCTACGTTTTACCACCTTACCACCCCCGTCGACACAAACAAAGACTCCGTTATAATGTCGATATATCGGCGCTGTCGACACATCTACACTGATCTAACTTCCTTCGCTGGGAGCAAACGCAAAGTTTGGGTAAGTTTTGTCTTCTCGACGCAAACAAAGTTAGAAGCATTTTAACGTATCAGTTTGGTTGGTCCAACAGAATGAATACTCCAAGATGTTCAACCTGACGATGCAGGTGCTGGTTCTTCTTCACTTGCTGGAAAGCGGCACCCCCGAGCCGCTCGTACTGGGCTACGTGTGCCTCGTAGGTACCAACTCGCTTTCGTCTGCACTGAATATTTTCTACGGCAAGTTGTCGGCTGTAGCTGAGGTCCTCACCAGCTCAGTGTACGTGATACAACCAAGTGATATATAACATTCTTCTGTAGCCAGCTCACCTTACGTTTATTCTGGTTATTCTGGTTGTTGCAACAGGTTCGATTGGTTCGTTACTGTCTTGTCTCCGATACTGGTGTTGGTATACTGTTATTCCACCTTCAAGTTCGACCACGCCGTCTTCAGAACGTATCTCGAGAAACTTCCGCCCAGCAGCTTTGAGCACCAAGCGAGGGTCTTCGCTGATCCAGCTCAAGTCGCGCTGTTCCGTCTCACCTTCGACTCGCTTCGAATTCACACTTTGCTGGACCTGAGCTTGCGAGTTGGAATGAACCTGTCGTTCTGTTACCGTTTCAAGCGGATTGGAGATGTTTTCGTCACGTCCCAGTATCGACGACGATGGCTAAGCTCTGCACCGAACATCATCCTTCCGAGAACTCCTGATATCCCGAAACCCGTACCAAAGGCGACTGGAACTCTGTTTATCGTCTTTAGCATAGCAATTTGGGTCCTGATGTTCCAAGCCATAGCCGATTCCCGAGCCAATTGCGCCCCCTATCCAGAGTGCGTTGTGTTCACCTATCGTCGAAGGAACGGGAAGGACGAGTGCCCTTGCCAGATCTTCATTGATGTCGATCGAGCGCCCCAAACGTACGAGGAATGGCTCCATCCTGTGGATCTTTACCGAAATGTTGAAAGCTTGGCGGCTTCGGGGGAGCTGAGGTCGATTCAGGTGGTCAATCGGTAACTACTGCAACTACCAGAACGCTTCGTTTGTGCCGCTATCTAGAACTCATGTAAGTCGCTTAGAGGTTTGTTAAAACAAAGTCATATTAGCTAATTTTTTCCTCTGTCAAAGCGAGCTGGTCTACACAAGCACTGAAAATGTTCCGTTCTGGGTAAAAGAGCTCACAAGCCTCGAGTTCATGTACGTTACGCGGTCTTGGTCACTTGCACGCTTAATTAAAATGATATCTAACGCATTGTTTTGTATAGTCATATTGAAGGGAAATACGGTAGTCAGAACCTGATGACACTTCCCGAGGAGCTGTTCAGCAACATGCCTAGACTGGCGTTGATACAGTTGGGAGTTCATCAAAACCTTGCGGTTCTCCCGCCACTTACTGGGGTCCAAAATCTCCAGAGTGTGACGCTCGCCTGGACCTCAATGCGTGAGCTACCAGCGCTAGATAAAGTTCCTCGACTGAACCACTTGATCATCACCATCATGTCGCTGTTTGAAAGGATGCCCGACATGACGGCTCAGAAGGGTCTCATGGAGTTTGTCATCACACAACTAACTCGCATCTGCTGCAACGGCTTCAGCGGCGCGTGCACTGGAACTGCTCTCAAAACTGCATACCCGGCATCCCAGCAGCGACCTGTCTGCATGAAGAACCATTCCTCGGGAGCTCTGGAACTCGAGACGTGCTACACTGAGAAACGAAAGCTTGGGTAAATAAAGTTTGCACCAATCAATTGTCCACCTTTAGGACCGGATTTTGACCCCCTTGAGTCCATGCCCACCAAGGAGATTTGTGACCACAGGCCGTTCGGGCAGTGCCATTTGCCTGCTGGGGTCGAAGGCATGTGCTATAACCTCAGAATGCAGGCGCTCATGTGCTTACCGGACCCGGTCTACATTGACCTCCGGAGATACCAGATCCAAATGGGTTTTGCATGCAATCCAAGGTTGGCGGAATGGCTCGGTTGCGGCGAAAGTTAATATCGGGTCCCCATAATTGCTTCGAATTGCTATGCAGAAGACAATCATGGACGACAAGCTTTAACATCGGAGATGTCCACAAAGGTTTGGCGGAAATGGAAAATAATTTGCTCGAAGCATGGGTTAAAGGTGCTACTTGAAGTACAAACAAAACCAATTACGTGAAATTTTGTACGTCATTATTTTCAGCTGGGAGGTCGCAGAAACGATAAATCTCAACTCAAGCAAGCTATTCCAGACTCGCAGTTGTCAATCACTGCAAGTGCTTTCGCTCTGAGAGCTCTCATGACAGGCTTTGCTACAGTTTTCCCTGCTGGAGAGCAGGCACCGAACGCCAGACCAAGTGAAGACAACGGTACTCGAGTATTTCCCTTGACGCATCCCTCCGCAAAATTACAAAACGACAGTGAAGGACGCCGCCGCAGCACACGAAACGAAATTGTCTCCTTCAATGAAGCGTTTGGCGCCCTCGGAGTGCCCATGGTCTTAACTTTGCTCACGTGCAGTGCGTGGACTATGTGGCTCATTGTCGTGGCGGTGGCACCGAACCACACTGCGAACTGGTTAATGGGCACGGAAGCCTACGACAACGGTCAATTCTGGCTGATCAACGACAAAACCCCTGAAATCACGTTGGCCGGAGCGGCTGTTGTGGATATTTGCTACCTGTGTGTTGTTGCAAAAATGCTCAAGTGGAAAGAGAGACTGAATGAGGCGACGTCCTTCTACCATCTGAACGCATGGGTGGATGAGGGACATCACTCGGTGGTCTGCACTAGGTTTTCGTGGAAATCCATGATAGCAACATACCGTTGGTGTCGTCACTTCTACGCGGAGCTAACATCATTTGCTGGTACCAAGCGCAAGTTCTGGGTTAGAAACAATGTTTCATAGCAACGAGTTGTCGAGCTCACTAGCAATTAACACACATCTGCCTGTTGTTCTGATAGAATATGGCCTCCAAGGTACTAAATCTAGTGATGCAGGTCCTCCTTCTCCTCGACTTACTTGAAAGTGGCAGTCCCGTTGAACTTGTGCTGGGCTACGCGACGTTAGTAGCAATCAATTCCCTGTCTTGTGCGATCAATATTGTTCATGGCAAGTTCTCAGCGGCAACAGAGGTTCTCGTTAGCTCATTGTGCGTATTGAAGGGGCAGAATGGTTACTGCATTTCTTTCAATTTCTAATTTCTTGCTCGTGTTCCTTACAGCTTCGACTGGTTTGCCACGGTGGTGCATCCGATACTGGTTATGCTGTACTGCTATTTGTCATTCAACTTCGACCACGTAGCCTTCAAAACTTACCTCGTGTGGATCCGAAGCGAGTCGAAGTTCAGGCGAAAAAGCGTGATTTCATCTGGATCCGCAAATATGCGAGCTTGATGCTCGAAGCTGCTGGGTGGGAGTTTATCACTGCTTGACCTCAGCTTACGAATTGGTATGAACGTCTCCTTTTGCTATCAGGTCAAGCGCATCGGAGACGTGCTAGCGACGATGCAGTACCGTTCGCGAGGGGCAAATTGCTCGCCGAATAATGTTTTTTCGAGAACTCGCGGTGCTCAAAAATCGATACCAAAAAGTCTCGCTGCTCCCTTCGTTGCCTTCAGCTTGGCTGTGTGGGTCTTGACTTACTAGGCCATAACAGATTCCCGCGCCAAGTGCTCATCGTATTCTGCGTGCGTTGTGTACTCGTACCGTCGAGGGGATGAAGATGGACTGTGTCCCTGTCAAATCCTTATCGACGTCAATCGCGCACCCCAGAGTTACGATTAATGGGTTCAAGCCATCGATATCTACGACGATGTCGAGGCGCTGGCCGCGTCCGGAGACCTTAAGTCGTTAACCGACAACTGGTTGAACTGCCAACAACGCTTCGTACATGCCAAAATCTTGAGTTGATGGAAGTCATAGCAGCGTACGCTCTCATAACGTGATCTTTTGCTCATTTTTGTTCACACAGAGAGCTCGTCTACACAAGTACACAAAGCCTTCCCGTCTGGATGGAAGAGTTCACGAACCTCGAATTTCTGTATTGGCTCGCTACCATCTATGAATTACACCGAAGTGTTTGTAATAACTCTCACATGTTTGCTTCAGGCATATCGAAGGGAATTTCGGAAGTCGGAAGCTGATGGCACTTCCCGACCGGTTATTCAACAACATGCCCAGGCTAATGACGATACAGCTGGGCGTCCATGAGAAAATCGAAGCACTCCCTCCGCTCACTGGGGTTCCCAAGCTCCAGAGTTTGACTCTCGCCTGGACTTCATTGCGTGAGCTTCCAGCCCTAGATAACGTACCTCGACTCAACCGCTTGATCATGGCAATCCCGCCTCTCTTCGAAAAGATGCCTGACATGACTGCTCAGCAGAATCTCGTCGAGTTTGTGATCACACAACCAAGTCATATTTGTTGCAACGGCTTCAACGGCGCCTGCATGCTAAATGACTCGAACTGCGTGGAAGACTCCATCGTCAGCATCCCAGCAGCAACTTGTCTGAACGAAGAACCGTTCCTCGGAAGCTCTGACACTCGAGATGTGTTCGAAAAGTTCGCACCAACGATTTATACCCCTCTGCCCCCAGGCTTCAAACCAATTTCCACGATGCCAACGAAAGAGACGATTGAACCTTGCGAATACAGGCCGTTTGGGGAGTGTCAATCGTCGAATGGGCACAAAGGTATGTGCCAAAACACCCGAATACAGGTGCTCGCTTGCTTGTCAGAGCCGATTTATATTGTATTCCGAAGATACCAGATCCAAGAGGGCATTGAGTGCAACCCAATCTTTGAGAAATGGCTAGGTTGTAGCGAATAATGAAGCACTTGGCTGGTTCCGTTTGTGAGTGAGCTCCCGATAGCTATCATGCGGCAGGCCAATATACTGAATACGTCGTGAAGTCTTATTTCGGACTCCACATACCGAGTCGAGTATCGAACTGCATCCGGAGGAATTTGTTGTAGCGAACTAGGTGTCGCTTGTCGTGTGTCTTGATTGCTTCGTCAACAGCAATTATTATCAGCGGCCACACGCCCAAAACAATGGCCCAAAAGGTCCAAGGAACTGACTGGCTCACGAAATGCCAAAGCGTGACTCCATCAGCCCCAACAATTCTAGCACGAAGGGCACTGATAGCAAATTGCAAGCACAGCAACACTGACGCCGCTCCTACCCACATTACATTGCGGAACGGAGATAACTTGAACATGCTTTCACACCGATAGAGGTACCCACAAGACGAGGTGACGATACAGAGACCAATCATCAGCAACATGCCAGCCTCAGCACGATCAACTGCAGCCTCAACGGCAGGTGGGCGTGGCCGCATTGCGACGAGTTCGTTATCTAGGACGAAATCCATCCATCCGAACGTCCGGAACTTGTCATCGCCAAATGTGTAAGGATCGGCTATGTTTGCAGCTTGCAGTGAAAAACCGAGCAAACACTCGAACACAACAATGGATGCTAGTACCGATGGCACGTGGCGTCCCACGAAGTAGGCAACAAGCCGCGGTAGATCCTCGTCCATGTCGAACTCCTCGTTTTTGCGAGGTGTCCTCTTCATGATCCCCTTTTCACTCGCTGATGCCAGCATTGACAGACTAAGCGCTGGCACCAACACCCACAGCAGCCAGAAAATGGAAGCGCAGCTCAACTGCGGCACATGCGGAAACGGCACCGCGTACGAGGCCAAGATGAGTGTAGCGATGAATAGCTGAGACACGAATATGAACGTGTTCATCTGGTGAAAATTCGTGAGCATCCGACGACCGAGCCGGATAAGCTCGATCAAATGCGCAACGCTGGCAGTTCCACCCGTGGTAGCATTGTCGCCGCCATCATGAGACTCGGCTTGTTCTTCTTGGTTGCCAGCATCATCACGAACAGTCTTCAGGCGAAAGGCACACGACAATGTGTTGAGAATATGGCTAAACTGGATATCCTCGTCGGAAAACACAGGGAGCTCCTTTCCTTGCGGAATTGGCTTGTCAAAAAATGCGTGGACACCTCCTTGCATTGCGACGGCCAGGTCAGCCTTCGAGAATAATGGCGCGTTGCTTTCCTTCAACGACGACCCCACGCCCATAACCACTTCATGATTCTCCTGAAAGATAGATATCATCTCGCTAATTGTCTCGGGAGTGCTGTCGGTGTATAGTGACACCAACAACGGCACATTATCAACTTCAGCGAGGTGCCTCTTGATCGCTTCGACACCATGCGGTAACCTCGCTTTCACATCCCAGTCCGAGTAATTAGACGTCATTCGATGAGGATCTGGCCCGTCACTATCCAGTGGCCGCAGCGAGATAGCGCAGTTCCAATCTGTCTCGATGCCCATTTTTTCAGCGAGTAGCTTGCTCCGACGCATATTCCGGGGTGAGAAATACACGAACCGAATGCCACAAGCATTCAAGTCCTCGATGAAATCGGGCGTATGTTGTTTTGGTTGGACCCCCGTGGCAACCATTCCCAAGAAGATTTGGTCATCCTGGATGCGCCAGAGCATGGAATCCTTCTCAACAGAACTTGTTTCGGATGGATGAAGGCCCACCGACGACTCGACATCGCTTAGCGTCAAATTGCCACGTCGTTTAGAAGGCGGTGTAATCTGGCCGCTTGCGGGAGCTCCCATTGACTTGGACATACGCGCTCCCGAAATTGAGTCTTGGTCTACCGACATATCATCAAATGAATCCGGAGAGGCCAACGGCGAGACTGGTCCTGCCGAGTGGCTAAATCGTCGTCCGAATCCTCGATCTTCACTCATACTGCTAGAAAAGACCATGCTGTTCCGTCCAGCATTGGATTGCGGGGAATTCAATTCACTGGCTGCGCTGTCGTCAACCAGATACACCGGTGGCAGCGTGCCTCCTAACCTGCCAAGTTGACTTCGGGTTGAACCAGCGTCTGGTGAATCCAGAAAGCTTCCTCCGTTGCTACTGGAGCCAGTGCGCGTGAACAACGAGTTGAGCTTGTGAGGAACAGGAACGTACGAAAATGCGATGCAGTCTAGGTCTTCAACACGCCACTGGTTGTACATGTCGAGAATTGCGCGCTGCTTTTCACTTGTCAACGGGCATATCGATTTTCCGTCCCAGTACTCGCTGCAGTGAGCTAGCACAACCGTCGGGTGGCCACGCGACAGCAGCTGGTGACGATGTGAGCGCTTGTCTAGCACCACCGTAGAATAAAGATGCGACTTCAGATTCCCACGGTAGCGCGTGTCATCCTGTCCTTGATCGTGGTGATCATTTGTGTGTTCATGATGAGCTAGCCTGGGGCAAATGATGTGAATAGATTGCCGCCTCTGGAACATAGTCAAATCATCAGCTACTGAAAACCCCATTTCACGAGAAAGATTGAGCAGGTGCTTTGGGAACGGAAGCATTCGGATATGAGCTGATAGCCGCTGCATGCAACTTCTCAAATACGGATCTCTCGCATCACCGTCGTCAACGCCGCAAAGGCCCTCATTCACTAAATAGCGCATGTTTTCATCATAGTGCCGTGCTGGGTTTTCGTCGTCATTCACCATGACAGCCAATCCAATGGGTTTAAGCGACGGTAAGTGCTGCTTCCATTTTGGGTCCTCAAATTTCAGTCCTGTGTCGCAGTGCCGTTCTGCATGCAGGTCGAGGACTGTGGAATTGTTGTTCTGTTTGTCGTTCAAGAGAAATATCTCCTCCACCGATGGAGTCTGTTCGCATAGAATATCATCGTCGAAGCAGCACAACATCGTGATGTTTCCCAAGCGCTCCAATAGACGAAATGAACGGAATGGCACAGGAAGGTGCCGTCGGTCAGACACGTGCGCTAGGTCACAGTGCATGACCCGAAATCGAAGCACTACCAGGAAGTACTGGAGTGATCGCATAATTGCAGACTGCTTCTGTGCTTTTTCCGAGCGTAACTTTTCACGATCCTCAACGTCGTAGATATCCGGTGGTGCAAGTGCGGTTGCCTTTAGAATCGATGCCATGGCGCTATCAATGCGCGACTTGCTTTCGTCTTGATGCTGCGAGTCTTTCCTCGATGACTTTGGTACGCCTTTGCCTGTTTTGGGGGGACTGTTCTCCGGCAGCACCTCCTCAGCAGATTCGTCTTCATTGGCTTCAGCAGTCTGCTCCTTGTGTGTTTGTTCCTTTGGTGCCAGAATGTCGTCAAATGAGCCTAGAATGGACGCTGTTGCTGCCGCTTCGGCGACGAACAGAACCAACGGCGTATTCAGCGAAGCAAAACACAGCCACACTCCGATTGGTCCGAGCAGAATATGCGTAAGAGTCGTCTCCAGCGACCGATGTTGAACCACCACGCGTAGCCCAATAGCCACAAGTACTAGAATCGAATACAAAGTGCAAATGTAGACCGCCACCAACCGTGCTTGCGCCTGCAGCTTCTGCGTCGGCGTTTGCGGCCGGTTGATGCGAAACAGCGCGTCTTCGATATCCCTCACCACAGGCGTCTCTAGCATCTCGAAGATTCTCATCTCTCCGCACAACTCCAACAACAAGGGCGGATCAAATGTCGCCGTACACCTTGAGGTATCCTTCGCATGCCTCCTCGTCCAGGACGGCAGCTTACACCCTCTCAGATACACCTGCTGGCCCTCGTTCCCACCCGCCTCCACGGGCCTCACTTCCCCGGGCGCAAAATCTCCGCTCATCAAGCCCACTACATCTCCCTCCACCAGCAAGTTCATCGGCAGCCGTTGCCACTGACTGTCTCTGTAACAGGCCACGTAGCTGTTCGACGGCAGTAAGACCGTCGGCTGGAGCCCCGTGCCAAGCCACACGGGCGGGCTCTGGTCCTCCGCGTACCCCTCTGTCTTCTTGCCACTATCCTTCATCATCTGCTGCACTGCCACTCGCACCCTCTCCGCCATCTCGGCATGGTGGCGTTTCTTCTGCGTCCTATTAAGCATCACATTGCCCACCGCAGCGGCCACGAGGAAGAGCCCTTCCCCCACTGCGGCCAAGCCACGGTCTGCCCGGTCGTCTGCAAAGCGTCTGGCGGCGTCCACGAAGCGGAAGGAGGCGCAGAGCGCCAGCAGCAGCGTGAACGGGTCCCGGAACTCGGTCGTGAGGTTGGACGAGTCCTCCTTCTCCTGGATCTTGCGCTCGATGGCCTGCAGCAGTCGCTTGCGCGCCGCCAGCGTGGACAGCCCCAGCGACGGGTACGAGACAGACGAGATGTTGCTGCCGCTGTTGCTGCGGAAGGTGTTGTAGCTGGTGCTGGCGTCCACGGAGCGGCGCAGCGGGTAGTTGGGCGGCCTGGAGTTAGACCTCTGGAGCGTCTCCCGACGTCTCCAGGACGAGGAGGACGGCGCGTGAGACGCCATCAGATAGAGCGATCACAGAGAAATGCGGTGAACCGCGTGGAGGCGCGCGTAAGGACCCAGGAAGACGACGCGACGCAGCGCCAGGAAGCGCAGGCAGCAAGGATCGCGCGCGCGCCGAGTGCGCACTCCGATCTAAAGAAAGAGTGATGATCCCTCGGTTGAGTGGCGCAATGTCAACTTGCAGTCACTAGATCGAGGGAATTATGTAATTAGTTTGGCGGATATTACCGAAATAGACAAGGACGCAGGGCTAGGGGGGTGTCGATGGATGGCCACCACCTCAGTCGGGGATTTCAGAGCCAGGAGGAGAAGATGCCCAAGAACAAAGGAAAGGGAGGCAAGAACCGTCGCCGCGGAAAGGGCGACGGCGAGGAGAACAAGCGCGAGCTCGAGTTCAAGGAGGAGGGCCAGGGTGCGTGGCCCTTGCGTAGTCATTAGAAGAAGAAGAAGAGAGGGAGAGGGAGGACGTTGCGGTGGCGCATGCAGCTAATCTGTATGCGGTGTATACTTGTTCTTGGCTCTGTATACCTACAGAGTATGCGCAGGTCGTGCGCATGCTGGGCAACGGCCGCCTGGAGGCCTACTGCTTCGACGGCGTGACGCGTCTGGGCCACATCCGCGGCAAGATGCGCAAGAAAGTGTGGGTGGGCGCTGGTGACATCATCCTCGTGAGTCTGCGCGAGTACCAGGACGGCAAGGTGGACATTATTCACAAATACAACGCCGACGAGGCCCGCAGCCTCAAGGCCTACGGAGAGCTGCCGGACAACGCGCGCATCAACGAGACGGCCGTGGACATGGCCATGGAGAACGACGGCGAGGACGACATCGGCTTCGACTTTGACGACATTTAAGCAGACTCACAGGCGACACGAAACGCCCGACTGGCCGGGGCGGCAGAGTGCTGCAGGCCAAGAGGACGATATTTGGACAGGGGGGTGGAGGCGCCACGTTGGGCCCTTCCCTCCCTTGTCGGTTGCTGCTGCTTGTATAGCTAGGTGGTCGGAGGGGAGAAAGCGCCCGCTCGGAAGCGCGGATAGAGCGCGAGAAGACCATGGCGAGGCGAGGTCACCGGTAATGCGATGTATTCATTTAGTGGCTTGGATCCGTGTTGTCTCCCCGTCTTGGTGACTGTATATCTATCTGAGATTGGGTGTCTTGAGCCGTGCTACCTGTTGCGCTTTGCCCGATATTTATAGGGGGGCGTGTTGTTTTGGGTCTCGTTGATGAATGACGCGGGATGGGACGCTGCAGGGTTAGTCTTGTCGTCGCCGCTTTGGGAAGAGTTGAGTGATGCCTCCGGAGACGATGAAGGCTGTGCCGATGCCACCGAGTGCGGCTCCTCGAGCTGCCCTGCCTGTCAAGCCCGAGCGCAAGGGGGTGGCGACTGATGACGACCCGCAAATCCGACAGCTGAAGGAGAGTGCTCGGCTGAACGGCGACGATGATGATGAGGCGATGGAGACGACGACCAGCCCGCGTGTGAGGAGACGGCTGTCGAACGCCAAGGAGAGCGCCAGCATTTTCAGCATGGGTGGGTACAGTAGCTCAATGCTGGATGAAGTTTTGGGTGTTGCAGTCTTCTGACAGTTAGGAACAGTGTGCGAGCAGGGCGAAGTGATCCAGTGGATGACTGCTTGCCACCCGGACCTGACCGCGTTTGGCCGCGACTTGGAGCGTCGCGGCTACCGAACGCTCAGCAGCATCGCGTTCCTCACTGAAGAAGACGTTGAGGGCGTGACGGATCTCGAGCTGCGCCAATTACTGCTAACGACGCTGTCGCGCTTGCGGCATGAATTGTTTCGCATGTGATGAGGGCATCAGCACAATTCAACATTATCAATAGAGGCTGTGAGCTGCAGACCACTGTGTGCTCTACCACTGCAAGTGTTTGGTAAATATGTTGAAGGAATGGTGTATTTATTCGATTGTGGCAGGTTCCTGAGCGCTGGGGTCAACACCAACAGGGCCTTCATCTGAAATTGGTGCATCAGCCAGGGATGTGTCAGTCAGTAGAGCAGACCCGTCATCTGCTGGATCGTTGTAGTACACGGAAGTCTCAGTTTTGTCAGCGTAGTTCGTGAGCTCTTCGTGTGAAGGCACATAAGCTTCCTGGTAATAGTAACCAGCGAAATCGCCAGCGTTCTCCACCACTGAAGGCTCCGTTTGCTCATTATAGGTCCAATCTTGCTGTAGCTCTTGCTCACTCGTGTATTGAACCTCATCGCCTTCGTGGTTCTGTAGCTCATCGGTATGGTCAGCTTGCTCGGCCTCATCAACGAAGCCCGAGGTATCGTGGCCCACTTCATCTTGGTGAACGCTTTCGAATCCCTCTTGTTGAGCTTCAGTTCCAGTTATTGTGAGCTCAGCTGAAGCGTAGTTCTCGTCAATATGTTCGTGATCCGGATGGATCTCAGCGACGTACGTTTCGAGGCCAGGAGCGATTTCTTCTGAATCGTTCGCTAAACGAGATTCCTCCGCTTCTTCTTTGCCGACAACTTGTTCGTTGACATCTCCTGCGGGTGTTATTTGTTCGCCTTTCGGTGGATCAAGCTGCTCGTATGATAGTCCTGGCAGTGCTTCTCCAGGGGAATCACGATCAACTTCTTCGTTGTACACAACGCCATCATCAATAGCGCCAGATTCTTCCCCTTCAACAGGAGATAGCTGTAAGTGTTCATCGGTAGGAACGATTGCCTCGTTGGTCTCAAAGATGGTGTCACCCTCAATTGGTGTTTCTGCTCTTGGTTCGGATGGTGCTTCGTTGGTTTCGGCGTTGTCAGAATCTAAAGCATCCTGAGTGAAGTCCACATCGGTCAGAGTGCCGTCGATGGCGCTCTCATAAACAATCGCACCGCTATCCTGAGTTGTATCAGCAGTTTCATGACCATCTTCCGTGCAGTCGTTTTCTGCTGGATAGACTTCTTCAAGATGCAGGGGTTCCTCTGTATGGGCTTCTTCAAATACTTCCTCAGAATGCTCCACGGCGACATGCAGCTCATGACTTGGCAGGCCCACATCTTCAACGTGAGCTACTACTGGATTGTCATAGTTGCCTGGCAATACCTTATCGTCTTGATGCTCCACTTCCGCGTATTCGGAAATCCCGAAGCTATCCGCACTGTTGTCTCCGTTGACAACGTCTAGAGGATTGTGCAGTATCAGAACATCCGCAACCTCCTCCTGTTCCAGTACCACATTCACGACAGTAATCTCTTCTTCGCGGTCGATGTTTGCTGCAACAGAACAGCTAACCTGCTCATGCTCCACAATTTTGTCGATAACCTTTGTCAGCACAATTGAAATCGCCCCCTCAACAGCGCCCACGTCTGAATCCACTACATCTCCTCTCGTTCGCACATCAAGAGCCTGCCGGGGCGTGAAACAGCTCTGTCCGTTGATTGTATCGTCGTTGTCACCTGAAGTTCTGACGGTAGCAAATTGTTCTACCTCGCCAGAGCTTTCATCCAAGGATAGACTTGCTGCCGTCGCTGGTGATACCAACACTTCCCCTTGAGTAATTGTTTTACCGTTTGTCGCCTCACCTAGGGGCTCGACGACTCCCGCACTCGTGCCATCCTCGCTCGCTCGAGGTGTCGGCGCAGTATTCGTCCGCTCAACTGCACCACTTTTTCTGCGTCTTTCAGACTGTACCGCTGTCGATGGCGGCTTCTTCACACTGCTCTTCCTACTTTCGCGCTTGTCCTTGCTAGACGTAGGCGTCTGAACCTCAAGCGTTGCTGCTGCAGACGATCGAGGGGCTTTGACACTTGCGGGTTTCTTCGTTTTATTCTCGACAGAACCCTCTTCGAATCGGAAACGAGGGCTGAAAAATGGGTCTGTTGGGGACATCGCAGGAGCTTCACTCTTGTTTCCACGCGAATCGCTTTTCTTCTTCTTCTTCGTGCCTGCACTGGGAGGGCTTTGAACCTCAAGTGGCGGCAAAGCAGATAGTGGGGCTCTTGACAAAGCATCGGCGATAATGGAGCGTGGAGTGGGGATCTGGGGGCCCCTCTGGTCTTTTGACAATGGACTTGGCGACCGAAGTGATCCGCTTCGAGGACTTAACAGCAGTCTGGAACCAGCTTTGGCAGGGCTCTTTTGACCGCGAGTTGCTGAACACGGTCTAACACGCGCTTTCGTAGCTAACGTCCGCTTTGCTGCCAGATACGAATTTCGGATCGTAGTAGTGATCGAGTGGTTTTCACCCAGATATTGCTCGGCTAAACCAATTCCCTGCATCAACAGAAACAAGTACAACTTGTCAGGCGGATACGCTCAAAGACGACAACTAATGCGGCTGTTCGTTCACCTTTTTGTAGCTAGCGACGGATTCGGCGTAGTCCTTCAGAAATTCTTGCTCGACGCCAACGTTATGGTAGGCGATGCACATGACGGAAATCCGATCGAGTCTTGAGCTAGAAGTGTCACCTTCAGAAGTTTTGCCCTCGGTCGTGTGTTTGCCCTGGATAAATCCTTCCTGCAATGTTATGAGCGCTTCTTGCGCGTGCTCCAGTGCCTCCTGGTGTTTACCGAGCTGCGATAGCACCGCGCACATGTTCAACTGCGTATCCGCGGCATTTCGGACGTTTTCCAGTCGTTTTTCGAGTTCCAGTGCTCGCTTCAGACTTGTCATAGCGGAATGGAGTTTACCCAGTCGGCGGTAGTAGCATGCCAAATTGTTGAGCGTTGTGGCTCGTTCGGCTGGGTGATGACGTTGGGTGAGCACTTCGGCCTTCTTGAGCAGGTCAATAGTCACTGCATAGTTATCTTGTTGCAAGAAACTCATGGCCAGCAGGTTACACATTTCAGCCAGTGCTCGACACGCCTGGATGACTTCTTCGCTCTCGATGCCAAAGAAGTGTCTGCGCAGGACGAGAGCGCGCTCCATACAGTCGAAAGCTTTGAGGTAGTTGCCCTGAATCGTTCAAACCAAGTCAGACTACCGACCAAACTGTTGAAATGGAGTCAATGGTGCAGAGTACTCACAGCTCGCTGCTGGTGGACGCATTCCTCATCAAGTCGATGGAGCGCCTCCAGCTCCTGCTGCTCCTCGCGAGCGTCTCGCAGAGCCTTGTCTTTCATAGACACCCCACTCGATCCTCCTGGAAGCAAGCTGCTACAGGTTCTGCAATCGTGTAGCTAATTTTACAACTTGCTTTGAATCCCAGTATAATACACACCTGCACATGAACAACCTGCGCTCCTCAGTGACACAAGTCTGCTGCTCTGGTTGGGCTGCGACGTGTTGTTGCAGTTGTTTGAGCAAACGCTTTGTGAGTGATGGTTGTGACGAGGCAGATGAGTCATCTTTGAGTGACAACCAATGTCCTACCGCTTCTAGTCCGACCACCAGAACACTTTTTGCAAGCACGCGATGACGAGTGCCTTTGCTTCATTAGTCACTTTTCAATTTTCCATCCACTGCGCAACACCCCTCCAAACCACCTCCACCTCCTGCCACCATGACCATCGCCGTGGCCTCCGATGCTGCTCCCAACTTCGCCAAACTACCGGACGAGCAAGTTCGCCAGACGCTTACGCGCGACTACTCCACTCTCCGCTTCCGGATCGAGTACGGCAACTACCTGTCCAACCACTTGCTACACGCAGTAGTGGCTCTGCACGAGCTCGGCGCCAGCGAGCAGAAGATCGCCGAGTACGCCGCGCACTACACGCAAAAGCTCGAGTCCGAGGGCCCCGATCACGAAGACGTCGTGGAGCGCGCCACCACGACCGAAGTGCTCTCGGACGAAGAAGCGCAAGCTCTGCTGGGCAAGCGCCAGAAGTACAACGCTCTGCTCGCGTACTACTCGCGCGACGTCAAGAAGCTGGGCGTCGACGGTGCTGTACGCAAGCATCTGCCAAACCTGTTCAGCGGCTTGGCTGGCGCTTTGCTGCACGGCATCATCCAGGTAGGCTACGCCTACCACATCGGAGGCGAGCGTCTGGTGGCCGAGGGTCTCGCCTACCAGCATCACTGCTACCTCCCTTTTGACGAGCCGCCCATGCCGTCCAACCAGGAGCCCCTGAGGCAGTTCACGCGCCAAACCGTGTTCGAAGTCGCTGACGCCGTGACGAGCAACGAATTTCTGCGGTCCGAGCAGGAGCGTCTCACGTCCATTTCCCCTCTAAAGGACCTCGACATCGGCTGGATCCAGCGCGGAATCAACGCGTTCTCGGGCCACCCGGAGCGCAACAGCCCCAAGGCGTTCGAGCTCATCTGGAGCCAAGTCAACGAGTTCGACTTCTCGCGCTTCGACGGCAGCTGCGCACTTGATATGATCCTGTGGCTGTACGTCATGCTCGAGCATAACGACTTCATCATCCTCCACGCTGCCACGTCCGCGTGGTCGCTCCAGCAACTCGAGCATCTGCTGTCTCTGTCCGACAAGGTCAAGGCGTGGCGCGTGTGGCTGCACGTGGCGCTGTCAGCGCTCGTGACCGCCAAAGTGCGCGACTTCCGCGCAGAGGACATCTGTGCCTCTGACTCTGTCTCCGAGGACCTGAACGCTCTGCCCTCGTGGCCGGAGCTGCGCGAGAGGGCCCTCGCCCTCCCGGGCTTCCCGGACGAGCACGTGTACAAGATGGTGCAGGTGGCGGACGACCACGCGCACGCCTCGAACTCCAGCAGCGACAGCGCGCCGTTCCTGTCCGCAGCCCAACGCGACCTGGTGGCCCGCACCGCCGCGCTCACCGTCATCTCGACGCCCTTCAAGCCGTACACGCAGCCGCCAGCTCTCTGAAGTTGAAGTTGATGCTCGATCGTAGTGTCGATCTTATGCCCTAGCACAGTTCTGTGTAACGAAAAAACTGTTCTTCTGATTCTTAAATTACTCGTCGCTGATTGGCCGTTTTACATATCTGATTCCCCGTCGCTGCCCCCCTACAAAGGCAAAGAGAAAAGGATCCAGGATCCAGCACTAACTAACACCAAGCAGGCAAGGATGACCAAGCAGGAAGTGGACGAGGGCTCGTACCTCAAGCCGGGCGAGGTGGACGCCGGCACGTCCATCATCGCCGTGCGCTTCAAGGGCGGCGTGGTGCTGGGCGCCGACTCGCGCACGTCCATGGGCACGTACATCGCCAACCGCGTGAGCGACAAGCTGACGCCGCTGCACGACCGGCTCTACTGCTGCCGCTCGGGCTCGGCCGCCGACACGCAGGCGCTGTCCGACTACGTGCGCTACTACCTGAGCTCGCACAGCGTGGAGCTGGGCCGCCTGCCCAAGGTGGGCACGGCCGCCAACCTCTTCCGCTCGCTGTGCTACCACAACAAGGACCGGCTGCTGGCGGGCATCATCGTGGCCGGGTGGGACCCCGTCAAGGGCGGCCAGGTCTTCTCCATCCCCATCGGCGGCGCCATGGTGGAGCAGGACTTTGCCATCGGCGGCAGCGGCTCCACGTATATCTACGGCCTCGTCGACTCGGAGTACCGGTGCGTAGAGCTGTGTGGATACAGGCAGAAGGAAGGTCGAATACTCACTGCGTCTTGTTGCTTGTTGCTGCTGACGGCAGACCGGACATGACGAAGGAGGAGTGCCAGCAGTTCGTCAAGAAGGCGCTGGCGCACGCGATGGCGCGCGACGGCAGCTCGGGCGGCGTCATCCGCACGGTCACCATCACAGAGAACGAGGTGGTGCGGGACTTCACGTGCGGCGACGACCTGCCCTTCTCCATCTAGAGCTGTGGGCTGTGTGGCTTTTGAGTCTCGGTGACTCCCTGGCGTCGCCTGCGGAGAACTTGGAGCAGGCTGGACGGGGGGGGAACAGGACGGGGAATTAAACTCGAAGATCAAGACAAGCAACAGAAGGAAGGAATGAAGGTGCTGCCGCGTTAATCACTGTCTCCAAACTCTATCGCTGTCTAGCTAGCTCTCTTGCTTTCCATCGCTCTCTACTGGCAGTGCTGCTTCAGGGTGTATACTGCCTTCATTCCATACATAGGCTTCCTTGCTTCTTCCGCTTAGCTTAGACGAACAGGTTATCCATGGCGGCAGCGCCGCCGCGGGCCTTTTGCCGCTCGATCTCAGCGGCGTCAGTCAGGTCCTTCATCGTGATAACGCGCTTGCTCTCCTCACGCAGAGCGGCGCTGGCAGCAGCTCGGAACACGGCGTCGCTGATGGCGTTGCTGCTGAGGTCGTACCGCTCCGCCAGCCGTTGGAAGTCGATGGGCCTCTTGGTGTCCAGCGGCGCCTTGGGCGGGAAGCACGCGCGCCACAGCTTCTCGCGCAGCTTAGAGTTGGGATTCCGCATCTCCACGACGAACTTGAGGCGGCGGCAGAACTCCGACTGCACCAGCGACGCCGCTGCAGATCTGTCCACGTTGGCCAGCAGAATGGTGGTGCTGGGGAACGTGTCCATGAGCTCCAGCAGTCGCATCACCTCCATGCGGAAGCGGGGCGAAGACTCCAGACTGTCGATCGGGATAACGCCGCCTTCGATGTGGCTACCGAAGGACTCGAAGCCCGTGAGCACCAGCACGGCATCCATAAGACGGGCATCGTCGAACACAGCGCGCAGCGCCTTGCGGGTCTCGGACGCCGAGTCGGCAGCCAGCTGGCCGAAGTTGACAACCTTGAGCGGGCGACCGATCTCAAAGCCAATGCTCTTGGCGGCGTTGAGCTTGCCAATGCCAGGTGGGCCACAGATGAGCACGCTGACACCCTTCTGCTGCTTGTTGGACTGACCAAAGTCGAATCCCCACTGACCGTAGATGACACTGCGCGCCTTCTCGAACTGCACAATTCGCCGCAGCTTGTCCTTCACCGAATCCTCCACGATGAGCTCATCCAGTCCGCTAGTGGGCACAACGCGGTGGTCAAACGTCTTCATGTGCAAGCTACCGCGCATCTGCAGCGCGCAGCCAGCCACGATGTCCGCCTGGGAAATCACGGGCGACTCGGCGTTCCGTGAAATGGCCTTCAGGAGGGCCGACAGAATGGCATTCTTGATGAAGCCACCACTGAGCTCGTACTTCAGCGCGATGGCGTCCCAGTCGATACCAGGCTCAGTCTGTAGGGATCCGCGCAGCAGAAGCACATCCCAAATTTTCCGTCGCTGGATGTGGTCAGGCGCCTTGAACTCAAACACAGCAGTGATACGACGGTGCATGGCCTCGTCAAGGTCGAACGGCCGGTTAGTCGCAAGGAACACAATGCCTTCGTACCGCTCGATCTCTGTCAGCAGCGCATTCAGCAGTCTGTCACCTCCGCCGTCACGTTGCCGGAAAATATTCTCACACTCGTCGAAGAAGAGCACAGCGTTGCTCATGTCCGCTTCACGGAACAGACCGCGCAGATCCGCATCAGTCTCCATGCCTTCCTGCCGCTTACCCTGCAGTGACGGGAAGTCCACAAGCAGCACTCGCTTCTTCAGGTGGTCTGCCACAGCGTTCACTGTCATAGTCTTACCGGTGCCACTGGCGCCGCACAGCAACAACACGAGTCCAGCCCCGTACGCCATACCTGCTTGCTCCAATCCACTCTTCTTGCGATATCTCCGGAAGCTTTCATAACTCTCAACGGTCTCCAGGATAGTGCTTTTGTGCTCTTCAGGCAGCACAACCTGCTCGAGCTGCACCTTGGGGGTGTACAAGTCCGAGCCTTCCACCAGCTCATTCATCTCAGTGTCCAGGCCAACCACCCAGTCCAGCACGCGGCGGTCCAATTCCACGCGCTGGTCCACAAGGTCCCCAGCCGTCGAGTGCCATCGACCACGGTGAAGTTTTACGAGGCCGCGAGTAAGTAGCCGCGAAGACTTATAGAAGAATACGCGGTGGGCCACCTGTTCCTGGAAGGTATCGCAAAAGATTGATAAGATCTGGTTGATAATCACACTCTCGTCCATGCGCTGCACTGGAGACGTATCCACACCGTCAATCAAGTTCTTGATCACCGGCGAAATGGTCTTTCCAATCAGCATCACAATCACATTCTGCTCGAAACGGTTCAGCTTGAACTTAGCAGCCAGCTCTTCCAGACGCGGCAGCGGCTTGCCAGCCTGTCGTGTCAGAGCAAGTCGGTGCTGCGTGCGGCGGCTGTACACACGCTGCTTGGCCTTCAATTCACGCCGTCCGGCAGATGCGGGAGCCGACGACTCCCACGGCTGCTTCGTACCTGCCTCCTTCATCTGGTCCTTCACTCGGGCACCAGACGCGCGGATCGCAAATGCAACAACCTGGAAACGGTCCTCGAGGTATTCCAACTGGTTCTCCGGGCTGTACGGCTTCAACTCGCTCGGGTCCATCAGGGACGACAGCAAGTGGTGTTTGTCACTGCCAGCCTCCGCCGACTTCAAAAGCAACTGTTCATCCGCCTTCTCCTGCCGCTTCGCACGATTGCTGTCTGTCTTGTACTTTCCAATGAACGAGAACGCCGACGCGTTGGGGTCATCGTGCTCCTCGTGCTCCTCCTCCTCGCTGTCGCTCGTCGCGTTGTGGTCCATGGCTTCGTCCTCCTGCTCGTCATCCAGATCCTCTCCGCTGCGCTCGCGCTTGCGTCCGCTCACACTCGACTCGGTCGTGGCACTCGTCGACGTGGTGGTCGTCTCCAGCATCTCTCCAAACGTGATGCCCTCGCCCTTGAGCAGCTCCTCCAGCGCCGTCTGGCTGACCTTGAGCGCCTGGTTGCTGGTCAGGTGTCGCCCCAAAAGCACGCGCACGCAAATGTTGGACAGACTGAGCGACGTGCAGTACGTCTCCTCGTCCACGATGAGCGTTCCTTCCTTGACGTGCTCGCGCTCGTCGTCCCGGAACTCGGCGATGTCGACCTCCGAGAGGCCCGAGAGCCGCTGGCACGTCATGACGCGGCGCTGCGAGTCCTCGTCCAGGATCTGGCAGCGCACGGCGTTGCTCTGGCAGCCCTGCATGACCACGAGCAGCTGCAGCAGCATCGTCTCGCCCTGCGAGAGCTTGTACATGTCGGCCAGGCGGAACACGCGCGGCAGGCGCTTGCCCTGCTGCTTGGTGGCCGCCAGGCGGCACGCGGCCAGGTCGTCCACGTACTTGCGGAGGCGGCCCAGGAAGGCCACGCGCTCCTCCATGTCCTGGCGGTGCGACAGCGTCGTCTTCTCGGCCTTGTGCTCGAGCGTGATGGAGTCGGGCTTGGTCACGCTCATGGAGAACTCCATGAAGGCGATCTCGTAGAGGAATACCACCATGAACTGCATCTCCGCGAACCAGAACCACTGCGCGTCGCCCTCCACGGGCAGCTGCGCGTCCTCGCGCGGGTCGCGCTGCAGCTCCGGCCAGAACTCGCTCAGCAGCGCGCGGATGAAGCTGAAGCGGCCCTCCAGCTCCTTGACCAGGGGCTCGTACTCGGATTTAATGCGCTGTAACGTCTCCGACACCGCTAATAAGGCGTCGGTGGCCGCGTCCGCGCTGCTTTTAGTGCTGGGGGCGCTGTTCTGCTGCGTCGCGGCCGCCTCCGGGCCGCTCTCGGCCGCCCCGTTCTTCTTGGCGCCGGCCGCGCCGCGTCTGCGCTTGCCTGGAGCCATGAGCTGTGAGGTCGTGTACTGGTGCTGGTGCTGGTGCTGGAGCTGCGAGGACAAGACAGTGCCGACGGCGGCGCTTTGAAGTGTCTGCACCAGCCAGTCGATACGTTTCGGGACATGCTGTAATGTGGGTGCAGGTATGCTGTAAGAGAGGTGGATGGATTTTGACCAATCAAATGACACTCGGGATTTGTATGAGCAACTGCAGCAAAGAGGCGATGAGGCTCCAGTTGAAGGACGTCAAGTTGGGAGGCTGGAAATGATTCGAGTACTGCGCCAAGATTCTCGCCCGGACGAGCTCATGCATTGCCGAGGGAATCACTTCAACATGATGCGCAGCAGCACCTTCTGTACAGGGTACTTGCACACTTCACTGCTCTCACACTTCTTCGGAGCCGGCAGGACTACTCAATGTACCCCGATCGTGGCAAGCGGCGCCCCTTACGAGGCTCCCAGAGCGGACGTACTTGTTGTTTTCGTCTCCAATCACGACTCGACTCGGATTCAGGCGTCCTACGGTGCCACCCGGAACCTTTCATGTAGCTGGTTGACGTTTCCCGCGCGACCAACACGTGGTGAACGCACTTCCCATCAACGGCCGCACTCTTCACGTCGTTTCCAGTATCCCCAGTGTGTTGGATTGGTAATGATCTCACTCAGTCGACTTGACAGCTCGTGGCTTTCGAGCCACGCAAAAGGAGGTCGCGTCGTCCATGACGATACTCGTTGCGCCAAAGTCTCCCATTGCGTGGAGGCCACATTGCACCTCACGGCTGTCAGCTACGTGTACAAAGGCAGCGGATCCTGCACTACCGCCAGTTCTCGCGGGCGCTTTTCAATGGCGCCGAGTCCGGAGACTTTGGTGTGCTATCGAGCTAAGTTGTCGTATAGTGAAGCGATCCGTGACAGCGATGATGTTTTCAAAGTCCTCTCCAACGTTACTGGTTGGGGCATTTCGTAGATATAATATATTTTCGGCTCATTTGGATGATGGAAATAGAAATTCCTACGAGTTGCTGCCGCATCCAAGGTTTTTGACAAGTTGCCGCGTTTTTTTTTTTTTGCCACGACCAAGGCGATAGAGTTCATCGCAGACAACTTTCTGTGGCCGAAGTGGTAAACGGAGGGTCGAAGTGGTAAACTACACGGACTTGCTCGACATGTACAGCTGCGGCCACCACAGCAACATCTAGGAGCGAGTGAGACGGAGTACACGGACGAGCAGCAGCCAGTGGGCTGCTGCCATGGCCTCCTCTACTCGTACTCGTAGGCTTCGCGCGTGGACACTGAGGACCACGGCACTGTGATAGCTCTCGTGGTCAAGCTCGACGTGAACGTGCCGCATATAGGTCCGCTACAGCAGTCAATCGATGCGGGTAGCGGTACACGTTGTGTTGATCATCTAGATCGTAAGGTCTAGTCTGGAGTCTTGACCTTAGGATCGGACGATTTATGTGTATTTCTATTTCTATGCACTTCAACTAGGGTCGTCGACCACCAAAACGCGATATCTTACAGTGTCGTCCACTTTGCATCAACTCACGAAACACATCCATCTCGCACGGTATTCCTGGGTCGGACAACGCGATGCGTTACGTTTGCCAGCTCCGATGAAGCACAGAACAGGCCAAGCAACAAGCTCCGTGAATTGACGAGTAAACATCATTTCCAGGACATAGGTCCACTTCCTTTTCATTATTAGTTATGAAAAATCAGCAGTGTCTCTGCTTGGTGGATTAATCTCGTTGAGGAGCACCGTTCTGCGCACCAAAACTATGGGGTACCGACATCTTGCTACTCGCCGCGGTTATCGGGGTCGCTCGCTTTGAACTTTGGCGACATCTCGGTCAGCTTCACGATGATCTGGTGCAGTTGTGCAGGCTTGTTTCGGCTACGGATGGCGCTCTTGATATTCGGCATCATTTTCGCAGCAAGGTCCGTCGTGGTATTGCGAGGGTTTAGAAGGGCGATAATCTGGGTCGCTACTGGGTCTTCGTCCTCGGAAGCGTTGCTCCTAAGTACCAATTTCTTGATAAAGTCTACCACGCCCCGCTTGTCTTGATCGGTGACGATGATGATGTTACTCCGAGTGACCAGCACATTGTTGCCTGCAACCGTTGCGTTCACGTTCCCTCCAGCGTTTTGAAAGTCACCAGTAGGGCCTTCTCCGGACGGCGACGCCATTGCGTTGGGGTCAGCCGGCACCGCATCTGCCACAGCATAACCACAGCAAATGGCCAGAAGACCGACCAGAGCAACCAGTGTAGACAAAATGGGATTCATCTTGGGAAAAAGCGAAAATGAAGTCATTGGAGTATCTGCGCCCATTTTACATGAATTTTTCTGGGATAGCAGTAACCCGGCACCTCGGTTACTGAAGCCGGTATTACTGAAGCCGAAAAACTGGCCCCGGTAACTGAAGTTAACTGAATATCGCCTATGCTCTCCATCAATCACTTGTGTCGAGCATTCGTAAGACAGTTTGACGACAAATCAAATTTAGCCATGTGATTGGCTAATATTATGCGTGGTGTTGTCCGTGTATGCCCTTGGCCGGGCCGTCTGCGTCGCCGTCGTGGCATGCACCAGCAACGGATAGCCGTGCTGACGAGCAGAATCGGCAGCATGAACGTGTATTTGTTTCGTTTTCGATTTCGTAGTAATGTGAAGTGCATCACAGTTATTTGGCCTAACTAGCGACCTACTAAATGCCAGGTCCTTCAAATGAAAATGCGTATTATACATATTTTATGAGGTCCGAGGAGCTCTTCCATGAAGCCGCGTAGTCGGCGTAAGTAGGGAGATGCCCTTCGGAGGACACGACGCGGTTGGTACACGGAGAACTGAATTGTGCTTGAGCGTACATAGAATAGCAAACGACTAGAATGTACACTCGAGCACTCTCTAGAAACTTGTCAACAAAGCCGAAACGGAAACACTACGTAGATTCAAGCTTAACAGACAGCAATAGACTGGCGCGGTTATAAGCGCTCTAGAATCGCTGCCTCTTATGCTACGTAACTAACCACGTTATTGAAGGAAGGCTTGCCCGCATCATGATACGTACATTGCAACCTGACAGTACGAAAACACCTACAATATTTCCCTCGTGACACTATTCGTTACCATCCAGGCACTGAAAAGCTCTGGACGTGGCATTTTAAGAGCAACAGATCAGAACAGCCTTAGCGCTAAGGCTTCACGCAAGGCCTGGCGCGGCCGCCGTGGCTGCAGCCAGAATATCATCCTGTTGTCGACGGACCTACGCGCCATGCAACTGCGTCGTCTTGGCGAACAAAGGTGCCACCAACACAGCCTGCATCCGCACCGCTGTCGTGGTTGAGTGGGCCCGAGCATGCACATGCAGCTCTGCACGTCAAGTAGAGCTTTTGATCAATAATATGGCGCAAACTGGTGTCCGACAAACTGTCTTACGTTTTGAGTGACAAAATACAATGTAGCCACTGGTATACTAAAATCAAGATGTAATCAAAATGCGTTAATTGCAAAACGTAAGACGCTTTGTCTTACGGTATGCTCTCTAGGGACCAGTATCGTCTTACGAAAGAGCATCAATCTCAAGTCTCGAGAGTGCTGGGGAGCATTTCGAAAATTCCGTATTTCGTCGCATTTGCACACGAGTGCTGCGAGGAATCGTTGCCGAGATCAGCGCTGCTCGCCGGTCTTCGGCACCACGTCGCTGATAAGCGATGTTCTTAGCTTACGCTTGTTGCCGCAGCTCACCGATATGTGCCCCAGCAGCTGCGAGCCGACACCGGAACTAGTGCCGACGCCGACATCGTCAACTCAAGGAACGTCAGCTAATCGTGTAGCCGTTAGGCCGACGGTCGGCCTCTCAAGCGACAGCATATATGAAAACTATTTGCCGATCTGGTGTGACAGCGTGTGGCAGCTCGTCCATCTACAGTACAAGAGCAAGTAATTTAAACTAACTATATTACCTTGAAAACACAGACATGCTCTCTGAGCGAAGCAAAAGTATCGGATGACATCGTCCGGTTCCTGATTGATCCATAACGGTGCGTGTTTGAAATACTATCTGCTCATAGCTGCTTCATCTAGCTGGAGCATGTATCCTAGGAGACCAGCTTGCTGGCTTACAAGTACCAGCCTCACAACCCTTAGTTCGTCACGAAATGAAACAATTGGCGGGAACCCGGGTTCCCGCGAATGATACCGACCAAATCGCGAATTATGTATTTAAGTTTTGGCCCCCATATTGGTAGCGTTGGGGCAAGCTAGACCATCAAACCCAGGTGCTGTCGACGAAAAACTACCCGCAAATCTGTCACCAGTACTGAATAGGCCCGAATAACGTACCTTACCATGCCCAAGTCCACCTTACATGAGCAGGAGGTTAGCCATATGACCGGAAAGCACTCTACCGCTGTACCAGGCAAGCGTGTGGATTTTCATGGAGAGACACAGGACGAGAGCGGAGACGAATTCACCTTCCGTTTCTCTTCTGAGCTTAAGCTACGTTCAACGCAGGTCGTAGACCAACTCTTCAATACATTCGGTCATATATGGGTACCGGTAGTTTTGGGGGAACCGGGGTCCCGATGGGTACCCGGGTTCCCGCCAATTGTTTCAAATGTATTCCCAGTTACAGGTAACGTTCAGGAGACATCGAAATCGCAATTAGCGAGAGTGCAAAAACTTCTGAAGAGCAAAATAATTGTTTGCAAGTTTTTAAAAGTAAACAGGACTGCATCATTTCTCACTGAACTATCCTGTATTACCGGCCAGATGCTGCGGCTGCGAAGCAGGCGCAGTAGATCGCCGTAGTTATTGTCCACTAACCGCGCTTGTTGACTCGAATAGTGTGTCATATCAAACCTTGTGCTGGCAAAACCGCTATCCACAGGCATCTTCTGCGCCTGCTTTGCAGCCGCAGCATCTGCCTGCATTCGACTACTAGAACCGTCCATAGAGTTGTGGCTTAACCCCCAACGCGCAGTTGCACAAGTTGTCGGCAACTACTGTACCGGACACTAAAGTATATAACGGGTTCTATACTAACGCCAACTAGAAGCACACGCGTTCACTTTACTTACTTCGAACAGTATAGTTTTCGATTGTGACACATCGGCATACTGCGTCTGAGAGTCTTTCTTCTAAACTATCTGTCTGAGAACAACCAATGCGGAACTTGCACTTTCAGGATAAAACAAATACTAGTAGAATAATGGTCTCTCAGACAATGCGCAGCAACCTTGTGAAAACATAGACCTTGTCTACAACGCGCTGAATTCTCGCTGGCGTTACCGGTCAGTGCCTAAATTGCACGAGCTCGGCCAGGATGTTAAGGCTTCGTTTTTTTTACAGCACGCTGCCGCCCTATCACTATCGCCAGACCCTAAAATAAATATATTACGAGGATTGAACGCACCCACAGCTACGTGAATTGTTGTTTTTCGTAATTTTCCCAGAATTGTCGCGTGGCATTACCTCACACAAAATCCTTTAGCTATCCCAACCTTCGCATAGCTCTCGTTCACCGGAAGTTTGTGGCGATGGAGGGGAGATTTATCTGTGCACGCACAAGGAAATGTTATCGGGAACTCGCTCCAAGCGCTAGGGCCGATCTGACGTCGTACTTCAAAGTACATTTCTACGAAGTGACTGCCCACAGCTAAACTTTCTAGGGCAACTGTGCTTGTTGCATACAGGTTCGCTAGCCAGCAGTCAATCGGCGCAGGTAGCGGGCCACATTTGATGCTATGCTGTTAGCATTATTTAGCTGTTATTGCTGTATGCAGATATTTTGGCCAACGCATGCTTATTATCTCGTCAATAATCTCGATTTTAATCCAGCCAGCTCTTAATTAAGACCTAGGTCTGATTTATATATATCGCCAGTACCGGTCTAACATGCAAGCTTGGGGCTCTGTTTTCCCGACCAAAACGCTTTTCTGCGGCTTGGAAACGCAGGAATGCCATTCTAGACGGGCCAAACCGAGTTTCTGGGCCTAAAAGCGGCCTTCACCAAAGCACAAAGCTAAAACAGCCCTCGCCTATCTCGTGTCCACTTAGTAAGAGACAGGCGTGGACTATTTTAGAGGTCTATTTTAGAGGACAAAGTACTTGCAAGCGGCAATAGTTGATCAGCTATATCTTAGAATCGCATGGTTTATGTGCATTTCTATTTCTATGCACTTCAACTTGATATCCGACCACCGAGTTGGTCGGTACCAAATAAGCGTCGGTCGGACTCTATTGACTACACGACAAACAGCAAAACACCATACGGCGTTGTGACCATGATATTTACTTTCTTTTCTTGACAGTCAACTGGAACAATACTACACTCTCGATGTGAAAAACAAACGTAGTGAGTGACACAATTCGTGTCTGCGGGGTCAAAAGTCTCGGCGCATAGTCCGAGAGGTGCGGTGAGCAAAGATTCACACTGGGCCGGCTGCAGGGTCTGCGGGTTGCGAATCGGTTGCTCATTGCCAGCGTCGGTGTCGCTTACGCGCGGAGGTGGCGGTAGGCGTTGGTCTTGGTCTTGGTGGCCGTTTGCGCAGCCGTCTGCGAGGCATCCGTGGCAATCGCGTTCGGTGTGGCGGCCGGGATGGCCGTAGCTGCCACCTTCCCGTAACCATCCTTGTTGCCCGCGACTTCACCCTTGGCTCCGGCGAGTCCTGCACCAGCGTTGAGACCCGCACCAGCATTGACACCAGCGCCCGCTTTCACTCCGGCACCGGCGTTCAGGCCTGCGCCAGCGCTGAGGCCAGCGTGCGCGTTCAGCCCTGCGCCCGCGGCGAGGCCTGCTCCAGCATTCAGACCGGCGCCAGCATTCAGACTTGCACCAGCGTTAAGACCTGCGGCTGCACTGAGACCGGCACCGGCACGGAGACCTGCGTTGGCATTCAAACCTGCTCCCGCGTTGAGTCCGACCCCCGCGTTTAGCCCTGCGCCAGCGTTGAGACCGGCACCGGCCGTGAGCCCGGCGCCAGCGTTCAATCCTGCACCAGCAGTGAGCCCGGTGCCAGCATTCAATCCTGCACCGGCATTCAAGCCAGCGCCCGCGTTCAACCCAGCGTTGGCCTTGAGGCCCGCGTTCGCGTTTAGACCGGCGTTCGCGGTGAGACCAGCGCCTGCCCTGAGCCCACCGAGTGCGTTTAGCCAAGCACCAGTCCCCGCTCCCAGGCCGCCATATCCGTTCCCGACCACCGGAGCACCCCCGTAGCTGATTGGCTTCGTTGCTGCAGCGCCGCCATAGCCGTAGTTGTTGGTTCCCGCGGTCGCCGCGCCACCGTACGCATCGCTTCTCGTAGATGCGCCGCCGTAGCCGCCGTACGTGCCGTGGCTCTTGGGTAGCAGCCACCCGAACGTCTGGGCCGCCTCCGTCGACGCCTCCACCGCGTCAGCGGAGAACGTCACAGCCACCACACAGAGCGCGCAGATCGTCTTGCTCATCATCATCTTGATCGTAGTCGTGGAGTTGGTTCGATTAACCTTATTCGGTTGCCGGTGGCGGTATTCCTTGGTCGGGACGCTTGGAATTGGAGAATGAGCTCGCTCAGCAGAGCTGCGCGCGTGTCTGTACAGGCGAGCATGAATAAACGTGCGTCTGCAGCTAGCTCTACCGCAACACAAACAGCAGCTCTGTAGTGGCTGCCAACTAGGGAGTCAGCTGGTCGTGGTAAGTCGTCCGTGGTAAACGTTGCTGGCGCTTCGGCATGCGGGTAGGACGCACGATGGTAGGTACACAGGCAGGCAGGCAAACCGACAGATACTCCGGAGGAAGGAAGGGCCCACCAAATAATGCAGTACGCGACGATCGCCGGACGGTGGTTTAGTCTAGTTGCAATGACGGCACGCATTTTGACGACATGATAACGTAGCGTTTCGACTCGTAGTTCCCCCAAGATGAAGCTAATTATTAGGCCACTACATGTAGAGCGCGCAGGTGCGACGAAGCAGACATCGCGCATAGATCGTAGCGACAGTCGGTCGGTCGGTTGGTTGCTCAGCGGATGGATATCAAGCATAGCGTACGTAGGTACGGGGTGTAGTGAACCACACGGTGGCGAGGGTCCCCATCTGCAGCCATTAGAGGCACTCGTAAAGGTGCCTCTTGGCGCGCAACAGCAACCGGGGCGATAGAGTTCATCGCAGACAACTTTCTGTGGCCGAAGTGGTAAACGGAGCGTCGAAGTGGTAAACTGCACGGACTTGCTCGACATGTGCAGCTGCGGCCACCACAGCAAAATCTACGAAGTGACTGCCCACAGCTTAACTTTCTAGGGCAACTGTGCTTGTTGCATACAGGTTCGCTAGCCAGCAGTCAATCGGCGCAGGTAGCGGGCCACATTTGATGCTATGCTGTTAGCATTATTTAGCTGTTATTGCTGTATGCAGATATTTTTGCCAACGCATGCTTATTATCTCGTCAATAATCTCGATTTTAATCCAGCCAGCTCTTAATTAAGACCTAGGTCTGATTTATATATATCGCCAGTACCGGTCTAACATGCAAGCTTGGGGCTCTGTTTTCCCGACCAAAACGCTTTTCTGCGGCTTGGAAACGCAGGAATGCCATTCTAGACGGGCCAAACCGAGTTTCTGGGCCTAAAAGCGGCCTTCACCAAAGCACAAAGCTAAAACAGCCCTCGCCTATCTCGTGTCCACTTAGTAAGAGACAGGCGTGGACTATTTTAGAGGTCTATTTTAGAGGACAAAGTACTTGCAAGCGGCAATAGTTGATCAGCTATATCTTAGAATCGCATGGTTTATGTGCATTTCTATTTCTATGCACTTCAACTTGATATCCGACCACCGAGTTGGTCGGTACCAAATAAGCGTCGGTCGGACTCTATTGACTACACGACAAACAGCAAAACACCATACGGCGTTGTGACCATGATATTTACTTTCTTTTCTTGACAGTCAACTGGAACAATACTACACTCTCGATGTGAAAAACAAACGTAGTGAGTGACACAATTCGTGTCTGCGGGGTCAAAAGTCTCGGCGCATAGTCCGAGAGGTGCGGTGAGCAAAGATTCACACTGGGCCGGCTGCAGGGTCTGCGGGTTGCGAATCGGTTGCTCATTGCCAGCGTCGGTGTCGCTTACGCGCGGAGGTGGCGGTAGGCGTTGGTCTTGGTCTTGGTGGCCGTTTGCGCAGCCGTCTGCGAGGCATCCGTGGCAATCGCGTTCGGTGTGGCGGCCGGGATGGCCGTAGCTGCCACCTTCCCGTAACCATCCTTGTTGCCCGCGACTTCACCCTTGGCTCCGGCGAGTCCTGCACCAGCGTTGAGACCCGCACCAGCATTGACACCAGCGCCCGCTTTCACTCCGGCACCGGCGTTCAGGCCTGCGCCAGCGCTGAGGCCAGCGTGCGCGTTCAGCCCTGCGCCCGCGGCGAGGCCTGCTCCAGCATTCAGACCGGCGCCAGCATTCAGACTTGCACCAGCGTTAAGACCTGCGGCTGCACTGAGACCGGCACCGGCACGGAGACCTGCGTTGGCATTCAAACCTGCTCCCGCGTTGAGTCCGACCCCCGCGTTTAGCCCTGCGCCAGCGTTGAGACCGGCACCGGCCGTGAGCCCGGCGCCAGCGTTCAATCCTGCACCAGCAGTGAGCCCGGTGCCAGCATTCAATCCTGCACCGGCATTCAAGCCAGCGCCCGCGTTCAACCCAGCGTTGGCCTTGAGGCCCGCGTTCGCGTTTAGACCGGCGTTCGCGGTGAGACCAGCGCCTGCCCTGAGCCCACCGAGTGCGTTTAGCCAAGCACCAGTCCCCGCTCCCAGGCCGCCATATCCGTTCCCGACCACCGGAGCACCCCCGTAGCTGATTGGCTTCGTTGCTGCAGCGCCGCCATAGCCGTAGTTGTTGGTTCCCGCGGTCGCCGCGCCACCGTACGCATCGCTTCTCGTAGATGCGCCGCCGTAGCCGCCGTACGTGCCGTGGCTCTTGGGTAGCAGCCACCCGAACGTCTGGGCCGCCTCCGTCGACGCCTCCACCGCGTCAGCGGAGAACGTCACAGCCACCACACAGAGCGCGCAGATCGTCTTGCTCATCATCATCTTGATCGTAGTCGTGGAGTTGGTTCGATTAACCTTATTCGGTTGCCGGTGGCGGTATTCCTTGGTCGGGACGCTTGGAATTGGAGAATGAGCTCGCTCAGCAGAGCTGCGCGCGTGTCTGTACAGGCGAGCATGAATAAACGTGCGTCTGCAGCTAGCTCTACCGCAACACAAACAGCAGCTCTGTAGTGGCTGCCAACTAGGGAGTCAGCTGGTCGTGGTAAGTCGTCCGTGGTAAACGTTGCTGGCGCTTCGGCATGCGGGTAGGACGCACGATGGTAGGTACACAGGCAGGCAGGCAAACCGACAGATACTCCGGAGGAAGGAAGGGCCCACCAAATAATGCAGTACGCGACGATCGCCGGACGGTGGTTTAGTCTAGTTGCAATGACGGCACGCATTTTGACGACATGATAACGTAGCGTTTCGACTCGTAGTTCCCCCAAGATGAAGCTAATTATTAGGCCACTACATGTAGAGCGCGCAGGTGCGACGAAGCAGACATCGCGCATAGATCGTAGCGACAGTCGGTCGGTCGGTTGGTTGCTCAGCGGATGGATATCAAGCATAGCGTACGTAGGTACGGGGTGTAGTGAACCACACGGTGGCGAGGGTCCCCATCTGCAGCCATTAGAGGCACTCGTAAAGGTGCCTCTTGGCGCGCAACAGCAACCGGGGCGATAGAGTTCATCGCAGACAACTTTCTGTGGCCGAAGTGGTAAACGGAGCGTCGAAGTGGTAAACTGCACGGACTTGCTCGACATGTGCAGCTGCGGCCACCACAGCAAAATCTACGAAGTGACTGCCCACAGCTTAACTTTCTAGGGCAACTGTGCTTGTTGCATACAGGTTCGCTAGCCAGCAGTCAATCGGCGCAGGTAGCGGGCCACATTTGATGCTATGCTGTTAGCATTATTTAGCTGTTATTGCTGTATGCAGATATTTTGGCCAACGCATGCTTATTATCTCGTCAATAATCTCGATTTTAATCCAGCCAGCTCTTAATTAAGACCTAGGTCTGATTTATATATATCGCCAGTACCGGTCTAACATGCAAGCTTGGGGCTCTGTTTTCCCGACCAAAACGCTTTTCTGCGGCTTGGAAACGCAGGAATGCCATTCTAGACGGGCCAAACCGAGTTTCTGGGCCTAAAAGCGGCCTTCACCAAAGCACAAAGCTAAAACAGCCCTCGCCTATCTCGTGTCCACTTAGTAAGAGACAGGCGTGGACTATTTTAGAGGTCTATTTTAGAGGACAAAGTACTTGCAAGCGGCAATAGTTGATCAGCTATATCTTAGAATCGCATGGTTTATGTGCATTTCTATTTCTATGCACTTCAACTTGATATCCGACCACCGAGTTGGTCGGTACCAAATAAGCGTCGGTCGGACTCTATTGACTACACGACAAACAGCAAAACACCATACGGCGTTGTGACCATGATATTTACTTTCTTTTCTTGACAGTCAACTGGAACAATACTACACTCTCGATGTGAAAAACAAACGTAGTGAGTGACACAATTCGTGTCTGCGGGGTCAAAAGTCTCGGCGCATAGTCCGAGAGGTGCGGTGAGCAAAGATTCACACTGGGCCGGCTGCAGGGTCTGCGGGTTGCGAATCGGTTGCTCATTGCCAGCGTCGGTGTCGCTTACGCGCGGAGGTGGCGGTAGGCGTTGGTCTTGGTCTTGGTGGCCGTTTGCGCAGCCGTCTGCGAGGCATCCGTGGCAATCGCGTTCGGTGTGGCGGCCGGGATGGCCGTAGCTGCCACCTTCCCGTAACCATCCTTGTTGCCCGCGACTTCACCCTTGGCTCCGGCGAGTCCTGCACCAGCGTTGAGACCCGCACCAGCATTGACACCAGCGCCCGCTTTCACTCCGGCACCGGCGTTCAGGCCTGCGCCAGCGCTGAGGCCAGCGTGCGCGTTCAGCCCTGCGCCCGCGGCGAGGCCTGCTCCAGCATTCAGACCGGCGCCAGCATTCAGACTTGCACCAGCGTTAAGACCTGCGGCTGCACTGAGACCGGCACCGGCACGGAGACCTGCGTTGGCATTCAAACCTGCTCCCGCGTTGAGTCCGACCCCCGCGTTTAGCCCTGCGCCAGCGTTGAGACCGGCACCGGCCGTGAGCCCGGCGCCAGCGTTCAATCCTGCACCAGCAGTGAGCCCGGTGCCAGCATTCAATCCTGCACCGGCATTCAAGCCAGCGCCCGCGTTCAACCCAGCGTTGGCCTTGAGGCCCGCGTTCGCGTTTAGACCGGCGTTCGCGGTGAGACCAGCGCCTGCCCTGAGCCCACCGAGTGCGTTTAGCCAAGCACCAGTCCCCGCTCCCAGGCCGCCATATCCGTTCCCGACCACCGGAGCACCCCCGTAGCTGATTGGCTTCGTTGCTGCAGCGCCTCCATAGCCGTAGTTGTTGGTTCCCGCGGTCGCCGCGCCACCGTACGCATCGCTTCTCGTAGATGCGCCGCCGTAGCCGCCGTACGTGCCGTGGCTCTTGGGTAGCAGCCACCCGAACGTCTGGGCCGCCTCCGTCGACGCCTCCACCGCGTCAGCGGAGAACGTCACAGCCACCACACAGAGCGCGCAGATCGTCTTGCTCATCATCATCTTGATCGTAGTCGTGGAGTTGGTTCGATTAACCTTGTTCGGTTGCCGGTGGCGGTATTCCTTGGTCGGGACGCTTGGAATTGGAGAATGAGCTCGCTCAGCAGAGCTGCGCGCGTGTCTGTACAGGCGAGCATGAATAAACGTGCGTCTGCAGCTAGCTCTACCGCAACACAAACAGCAGCTCTGTAGTGGCTGCCAACTAGGGAGTCAGCTGATCGTGGTAAGTCGTCCGTGGTAAACGTTGCTGGCGCTTCGGCATGCGGGTAGGACGCACGATGGTAGGTACACAGGCAGGCAGGCAAACCGACAGATACTCCGGAGGAAGGAAGGGCCCACCAAATAATGCAGTACGCGACGATCGCCGGACGGTGGTTTAGTCTAGTTGCAATGACGGCACGCATTTTGACGACATGATAACGTAGCGTTTCGACTCGTAGTTCCCCCAAGATGAAGCTAGTTATTAGGCCACTACATGTAGAGCGCGCAGGTGCGACGAAGCAGACATCGCGCATAGATCGTAGCGACAGTCGGTCGGTCGGTTGGTTGCTCAGCGGATGGATATCAAGCATAGCGTACGTAGGTACGGGGTGTAGTGAACCACACGGTGGCGAGGGTCCCCATCTGCAGCCATTAGAGGCACTCGTAAAGGTGCCTCTTGGCGCGCAACAGCAACCGGGGCGATAGAGTTCATCGCAGACAACTTTCTGTGGCCGAAGTGGTAAACGGAGCGTCGAAGTGGTAAACTGCACGGACTTGCTCGACATGTACAGCTGCGGTCACCACAGCAACATCTAGGAGCGAGTGAGACGGAGTACACGGACGAGCAGCAGCAAGCGAGTTGCTGTCGTGGCCTCCTCTACTCGTACTCGTAGGCTTCGCGCGTGGGCACTGAGGGCCACGGCACTGTGATAGCTATCGTGGTCAAGCTCGACGTGAACGTGCCGCATATAGGTCCGCTACAGCAGTCAATCGATGCGGGTAGCGGCACACATTTTGTTGATCATCTAGAGTCTAGAGGCTAGACCTTAGGATCGGACGATTTATGTGTATTTCTATTTCTATGCACTTCAACTAGGGTCGTCGACCACCAAAACGCGATATCTTACAGTGTCGTCCACTTTGCATCAACTCACGAAACACATCCATCTCGCACGGTATTCCTGGGTCGGACAACGCGATGCGTTACGTTTGCCAGCTCCGATGAAGCACAGAACAGGCCAAGCAACAAGCTCCGTGAATTGACGAGTAAACATCATTTCCAGGACATAGGTCCACTTCCTTTTCATTATTAGTTATGAAAAATCAGCAGTGTCTCTGCTTGGTGGATTAATCTCGTTGAGGAGCACCGTTCTGCGCACCAAAACTATGGGGTACCGACATCTTGCTACTCGCCGCGGTTATCGGGGTCGCTCGCTTTGAACTTTGGCGACATCTCGGTCAGCTTCACGATGATCTGGTGCAGTTGTGCAGGCTTGTTTCGGCTACGGATGGCGCTCTTGATATTCGGCATCATTTTCGCAGCAAGGTCCGTCGTGGTATTGCGAGGGTTTAGAAGGGCGATAATCTGGGTCGCTACTGGGTCTTCGTCCTCGGAAGCGTTGCTCCTAAGTACCAATTTCTTGATAAAGTCTACCACGCCCCGCTTGTCTTGATCGGTGACGATGATGATGTTACTCCGAGTGACCAGCACATTGTTGCCTGCAACCGTTGCGTTCACGTTCCCTCCAGCGTTTTGAAAGTCACCAGTAGGGCCTTCTCCGGACGGCGACGCCATTGCGTTGGGGTCAGCCGGCACCGCATCCGCCACAGCATAACCACAGCAAATGGCCAGAAGACCGACCAGAGCAACCAGAGTAGACAAAATGGGATTCATCTTGGGAAAAATCGAAAATGAAGTCATTGGAGTATCTGCGCCCATTTTACATGAATTTTTCACCGGAAGTTCGTGGCGATGGAGGGGAGATTTATCTGTGCACGCACAAGGAAATCTTATCGAGAACTCGCTCCAAGCGCTAGGGCCGATCTGAAGTCGTACTTCAAAGTACATTTCTACGAAGTGACTGCCCACAGCTTAACTTTCTGCATGTAAGCTTATGGCGAAATCATACACCCAGTAAGTGCACATGTCTGCGGGTGTTAGTAGTGCTTAGGTAGGTCTCACTACAAAGTGGTTAGTTTCGTGCGATCGTCCGAATTCGCACAATGCTTTGTATTTGTATTTGTTGTGGTTACGGCCGCTACGCCCAAGGCGCGCTATGCGGCATCCTCGCCTACGGAGACTTAATCCACACAATGCTATGCCTGCCTTGGGCGGGGGTCCACGCATAGCTGACAACCTGCAGTACAGTAGTCCTGAGACATTCGCTGGCTGATAGCGATTATGGTGATACGAAGTTTACGGGGAGACTGCGTGAATGGCGTACTCCCCGTAATCGCCTAACTTAGTGGTGATGCTGACATCTAACTACATGTATGCTGGTCATAATGCAGCTAGGACAGGTCTCTTCACGTTGCCGCACTCCCAGCTCATTTCTGGATTTCCTCTCCACCTCGTAGTCACCTACCTACTTGCCTGTGCAAGCCCAACGCGATGTCCACCGCTCCGCGAACCGTGAACGCCTACGCCGCCTTCGACGCCAAGGGAGAAGTCAAGCCCTGGCAGTACCAGTCGCGACCACTCGGACCCGAGGACGTGGAGATTAAAATCTCCCACTCCGGCATCTGCGGCTCTGACATTTATCCGATGGAAGGCGGTTGGGGCCCCGCCGCCTACCCATGCGTCGTTGGTCATGAGATCGTTGGCGAAGTGACCCTGGCCGGCTCGGACGTGAAGACGCTCAAGGTTGGCGACCGCGTAGCCGTCGCCGCTTAAGTCTGGGCGTGCCTGAACAAGAACCCCGAGAAGCCTTGCAGCGACTGTGCTGACAGTGAGGATGCAGTGTGCGACCACGCCGTGTACACGTATGCGTCGACGTATCCGGACGGCTCTCCGTCGTACGGCGGCTACGCAGACTACGTGCGCGTGGATAACAACTACGCCTTCAAGTTATCCCGTCCGACGTCGCCGCCCCGCTCATGTGCGCCGGCGCTACCGTCTTCACGCCGCTGAAGCAGGAAGGTGTGAAGGCCGGCGACCGTGTTGGTGTGGTCGGTATTGGTGGCTTGGGACACCTCGCCATCCAGTTCATTCGCGCGCTCGGCGCCATTCCGATCGCTTTCTCTCGCTCTGCAAACAAGGAGCAAGAAATCAGCGCACTCGGTGCAGAGGAGTTCTACAACCTGAGCGATGAGGCGGACCAGAAGAAGGCGGCCAACTCCATCGACTACTTGGTGCTGACCGCTGACGCCAACAACATGCCGTACAATCTGTACCTGAGCCTCGTCCGCAAGCGCGGCACCTTTATCATGGTCGGCCTCCCCAACGACGATGTCAAGTTCAGCCCGTTCTTCATCGTGCCGCGCGCAGTGCGCGTACGTGGTAGCTGCATCGGCAGCATCCAGGACATCAAGGACATGTTGGAGCTGGCGTCGAAGAAGAACGTGCGACCGATTATCCAGAAGTTGCCAATGTCGAAGGTGAACGAAGGACTGGACATGGTGCGCGAGGGGCGTGTGCGCTACCGCGTCGTGCTTGAGAACTAGGAGCATTTCGTATTTGGCTGTAGAAGCTGAGTACACAGCTGTCGTAGCCGCTAATGGGGTTGATCCTCTTGCTCTTAAAGCCCGAGTGCAAGCGGTGCTAAGTTCTCAAACGATGAACTCGAATTGCATGAAGCTACGATATGATATTACTGTTCGCTTACACTTATACAGTACTACAAAACCTCACAAATATGGACAGCACGCGCGTTCTCGTGCTATCACTGTCTCGGAGCATCGTCCGCTCATACGCACGCCTGAACGCGGTGGCGTTCAAAGCCTCCTTCGAGTCGGCGCGATGTATACGCTCAAGCACTGTGGCACTGCAGTACACTTCAGTGACTGCACACGCCGTTTTGGATGGCAATACCATTAGAGTGTACCAGTCTTTTATTGTCGTTGACGATTCGGCAACTGATCGATGCGGAACACAACCACGGAGACGATTTGAAGGTATGGTGCCGCTTCCAAACGATGAACTCGAATTGCATGAAGCTACGATATGATATTACTGTTCACTTACACTTATATACTACAAAAAAGCTCACAAACATGAAGTGCATGTGGTTCCGTGCACATACTATTTGTGAGATTTCCTAGCTCGGGAGGTCGTCTGAGTGGACCTGTGTCGGTCCGTCCCAACCACGCATCACACGAACCAGCCAACCGCACCGCAGATATGTGCATGTACCGTAGCTCCAGTACTATGGACCGACCGCGCTGCTCCCCATGCCTCCCGCCGCCGCGCCCTCGTCCGACGCGCCGCACGAGCCCTGCTGCATCTGCATGGAGGTGGACGACTACCAGGGGACGCTCCTCGTCCAGTGCGCGCGCTGATGGAAAACCCATTTTCGTGAGATGAAGTGAGCCACGTTTTCAAGCCCGAACTCGACACCACGACAGACCACGGCTTTGCACTAGGCCTTCTTGGCCAGCAGTACGCAGCTTAGACAGGCAGGCAGGCAAACCGACAGATACTCCGGAGGAAGGAAGGGCCCACCAAATAATGCAGTACGCGACGATCGCCGGACGGTGGTTTAGTCTAGTTGCAATGACGGCACGCATTTTGACGACATGATAACGTAGCGGTTCGACTCGTAGTTCCCCCAAGATGAAGCTAGTTATTAGGCCACTACATGTAGAGCGCGCAGGTGCGACGAAGCAGACATCGCGCATAGATAGTAGCGACAGTCGGTCGGTCGGTCGGTTGGTTGCTCAGTGGATGGATATCAAGCATAGTGTACGTAGGTACGGGGTGTAGTGAGCCACACGGTGGCGAGGGTCCCCAGCTGCAGCCATTAGAGGCACTCGTAAAGGTGCCTCTTGGCGCGCAACAGCAACCGGGGCGATAGAGTTCATCGCAGACAACTTTCTGTGGCCGAAGTGGTAAACGGAGCGTCGAAGTGGTAAACTGCACGGACTTGCTCGACATGTACAGCTGCGGTCACCACAGCAACATCTAGGAGCGAGTGAGACGGAGTACACGGACGAGCAGCAGCAAGCGAGTTGCTGTCGTGGCCTCCTCTACTCGTACTCGTAGGCTTCGCGCGTGGGCACTGAGGGCCACGGCACTGTGATAGCTATCGTGGTCAAGCTCGACGTGAACGTGCCGCATATAGGTCCGCTACAGCAGTCAATCGATGCGGGTAGCGGCACACATTTTGTTGATCATCTAGAGTCTAGAGGCTAGACCTTAGGATCGGACGATTTATGTGTATTTCTATTTCTATGCACTTCAACCAGGGTCGTTCGACCACCAAAACGCGATATCTTACAGTGTCGTCCACTTTGCATCAACTCACGAAACACATCCATCTCGCACGGTATTCCTGGGTCGGACAACGCGATGCGTTACGTTTGCCAGCTCCGATGAAGCACAGAACAGGCCAAGCAACAAGCTCCGTGAATTGACGAGTAAACATCATTTCCAGGACATAGGTCCACTTCCTTTTCATTATTAGTTATGAAAAATCAGCAGTGTCTCTGCTTGGTGGATTAATCTCGTTGAGGAGCACCGTTCTGCGCACCAAAACTATGGGGTACCGACATCTTGCTACTCGCCGCGGTTATCGGGGTCGCTCGCTTTGAACTTTGGCGACATCTCGGTCAGCTTCACGATGATCTGGTGCAGTTGTGCAGGCTTGTTTCGGCTACGGATGGCGCTCTTGATATTCGGCATCATTTTCGCAGCAAGGTCCGTCGTGGTATTGCGAGGGTTTAGAAGGGCGATAATCTGGGTCGCTACTGGGTCTTCGTCCTCGGAAGCGTTGCTCCTAAGTACCAATTTCTTGATAAAGTCTACCACGCCCCGCTTGTCTTGATCGGTGACGATGATGATGTTACTCCGAGTGACCAGCACATTGTTGCCTGCAACCGTTGCGTTCACGTTCCCTCCAGCGTTTTGAAAGTCACCAGTAGGGCCTTCTCCGGACGGCGACGCCATTGCGTTGGGGTCAGCCGGCACCGCATCCGCCACAGCATAACCACAGCAAATGGCCAGAAGACCGACCAGAGCAACCAGTGTAGACAAAATGGGATTCATCTTGGGAAAAATCGAAAATGAAGTCATTGGAGTATCTGCGCCCATTTTACATGAATTTTTCACCGGAAGTTCGTGGCGATGGAGGGGAGATTTATCTGTGCACGCACAAGGAAATCTTATCGAGAACTCGCTCCAAGCGCTAGGGCCGATCTGAAGTCGTACTTCAAAGTACATTTCTACGAAGTGACTGCCCACAGCTTAACTTTCTGCATGTAAGCTTATGGCGAAATCATACACCCAGTAAGTGCACATGTCTGCGGGTGTTAGTAGTGCTTAGGTAGGTCTCACTACAAAGTGGTTAGTTTCGTGCAATCGTCCGAATTCGCACAGTGCTTTGTATTTGTATTTGTTGTGGTTACGGCCGCTACGCCCAAGGCGCGCTATGCGGCATCCTCGCCTACGGAGACTTAATCCACACAATGCTATGCCTGCCTTGGGCGGGGGTCCACGCATAGCTGACAACCTGCAGTACAGTAGTCCTGAGACATTCGCTGGCTGATAGCGATTATGGGGATACGAAGTTTACGGGGAGACTGCGTGAATGGCGTACTCCCCGTAATCGCCTAACTTAGTGGTGATGCTGACATCTAACTACATGTATGCTGGTCATAATGCAGCTTGGACAGGTCTCTTCACGTTGCCGCACTCCCAGCTCATTTCTGGATTTCCTCTCCACCTCGTAGTCACCTACCTACTTGCCTGTGCAAGCCCAACGCGATGTCCACCGCTCCGCGAACCGTGAACGCCTACGCCGCCTTCGACGCCAAGGGAGAAGTCAAGCCCTGGCAGTACCAGTCGCGACCACTCGGACCCGAGGACGTGGAGATTAAAATCTCCCACTCCGGCATCTGCGGCTCTGACATTTATCCGATGGAAGGCGGTTGGGGCCCCGCCGCCTACCCATGCGTCGTTGGTCATGAGATCGTTGGCGAAGTGACCCTGGCCGGCTCGGACGTGAAGACGCTCAAGGTTGGCGACCGCGTAGCCGTCGGCGCTTAAGTCTGGGCGTGCCTGAACAAGAACCCCGAGAAGCCTTGCAGCGACTGTGCTGACAGTGAGGACGCAGTGTGCGACCACGCCGTGTACACGTATGCGTCGACGTATCCGGACGGCTCTCCGTCGTACGGCGGCTACGCAGACTACGTGCGCGTGGATAACAACTACGCCTTCAAGTTGCCGGAGAACATCCCGTCCGACGTCGCCGCCCCGCTCATGTGCGCCGGCGCTACCGTCTTCACGCCGCTGAAGCAGGAAGGTGTGAAGGCCGGCGACCGTGTTGGTGTGGTCGGTATTGGTGGCTTGGGACACCTCGCCATCCAGTTCATTCGCGCGCTCGGCGCCATTCCGATCGCTTTCTCTCGCTCTGCAAACAAGGAGCAAGAAATCAGCGCACTCGGTGCAGAGGAGTTCTACAACCTGAGCGATGAGGCGGACCAGAAGAAGGCGGCCAACTCCATCGACTACTTGGTGCTGACCGCTGACGCCAACAACATGCCGTACAATCTGTACCTGAGCCTCGTCCGCAAGCGCGGCACCTTTATCATGGTCGGCCTCCCCAACGACGATGTCAAGTTCAGCCCGTTCTTCATCGTGCCGCGCGCAGTGCGCGTACGTGGTAGCTGCATCGGCAGCATCCAGGACATCAAGGACATGTTGGAGCTGGCGTCGAAGAAGAACGTGCGACCGATTATCCAGAAGTTGCCAATGTCGAAGGTGAACGAAGGACTGGACATGGTGCGCGAGGGGCGTGTGCGCTACCGCGTCGTGCTTGAGAACTAGGAGCATTTCGTATTTGGCTGTAGAAGCTGAGTACACAGCTGTCGTAGCCGCTGATGGGGTTGATCCTCTTGCTCTTAAAGGCCGAGTGCAAGCGGTGCTAAGTTCTCAAACGATGAACTCGAATTGCATGAAGCTACGATATGATATTACTGTTCGCTTACACTTATACAGTACTACAAAACCTCACAAATATGGACAGCACGCGCGTTCTCGTGCTATCACTGTCTCGGAGCATCGTCCGCTCATACGCACGCCTGAACGCGGTGGCGTTCAAAGCCTCCTTCGAGTCGGCGCGATGTATACGCTCAAGCACTGTGGCACTGCAGTACACTTCAGTGACTGCACACGCCGTTTTGGATGGCAATACCATTAGAGTGTACCAGTCTTTTATTGTCGTTGACGATTCGGCAACTGATCGATGCGGAACACAACCACGGAGACGATTTGAAGGTATGGTGCCGCTTCCAAACGATGAACTCGAATTGCATGAAGCTACGATATGATATTACTGTTCACTTACACTTATATACTACAAAAAAGCTCACAAACATGAAGTGCATGTGGTTCCGTGCACATACTATTTGTGAGATTTCCTAGCTCGGGAGGTCGTCTGAGTGGACCTGTGTCGGTCCGTCCCAACCACGCATCACACGAACCAGCCAACCGCACCGCAGATATGTGCATGTACCGTAGCTCCAGTACTATGGACCGACCGCGCTGCTCCCCATGCCTCCCGCCGCCGCGCCCTCGTCCGACGCGCCGCACGAGCCCTGCTGCATCTGCATGGAGGTGGACGACTACCAGGGGACGCTCCTCGTCCAGTGCGCGCGCTGATGGAAAACCCATTTTCGTGAGATGAAGTGAGCCACGTTTTCAAGCCCGAACTCGACACCACGACAGACCACGGCTTTGCACTAGGCCTTCTTGGCCAGCAGTACGCAGCTTAGACAGGCAGGCAGGCAAACCGACAGATACTCCGGAGGAAGGAAGGGCCCACCAAATAATGCAGTACGCGACGATCGCCGGACGGTGGTTTAGTCTAGTTGCAATGACGGCACGCATTTTGACGACATGATAACGTAGCGGTTCGACTCGTAGTTCCCCCAAGATGAAGCTAGTTATTAGGCCACTACATGTAGAGCGCGCAGGTGCGACGAAGCAGACATCGCGCATAGATCGTAGCGACAGTCGGTCGGTCGGTCGGTTGGTTGCTCAGTGGATGGATATCAAGCATAGTGTACGTAGGTACGGGGTGTAGTGAGCCACACGGTGGCGAGGGTCCCCAGCTGCAGCCATTAGAGGCACTCGTAAAGGTGCCTCTTGGCGCGCAACAGCAACCGGGGCGATAGAGTTCATCGCAGACAACTTTCTGTGGCCGAAGTGGTAAACGGAGCGTCGAAGTGGTAAACTGCACGGACTTGCTCGACATGTACAGCTGCGGTCACCACAGCAACATCTAGGAGCGAGTGAGACGGAGTACACGGACGAGCAGCAGCAAGCGAGTTGCTGTCGTGGCCTCCTCTACTCGTACTCGTAGGCTTCGCGCGTGGGCACTGAGGGCCACGGCACTGTGATAGCTATCGTGGTCAAGCTCGACGTGAACGTGCCGCATATAGGTCCGCTACAGCAGTCAATCGATGCGGGTAGCGGCACACATTTTGTTGATCATCTAGAGTCTAGAGGCTAGACCTTAGGATCGGACGATTTATGTGTATTTCTATTTCTATGCACTTCAACTAGGGTCATTCGACCACCAAAACGCGATATCTTACAGTGTCATTCCCTTTGCATCAACTCACGAAACACATCCATCTCGCACGGTATTCCTGGGTCGGACAACGCGATGCGTTACGTTTGCCAGCTCCGATGAAGCACAGAACAGGCCAAGCAACAAGCTCCGTGAATTGACGAGTAAACATCATTTCCAGGACATAGGTCCACTTCCTTTTCATTATTAGTTATGAAAAATCAGCAGTGTCTCTGCTTGGTGGATTAATCTCGTTGAGGAGCACCGTTCTGCGCACCAAAACTATGGGGTACCGACATCTTGCTACTCGCCGCGGTTATCGGGGTCGCTCGCTTTGAACTTTGGCGACATCTCGGTCAGCTTCACGATGATCTGGTGCAGTTGTGCAGGCTTGTTTCGGCTACGGATGGCGCTCTTGATATTCGGCATCATTTTCGCAGCAAGGTCCGTCGTGGTATTGCGAGGGTTTAGAAGGGCGATAATCTGGGTCGCTACTGGGTCTTCGTCCTCGGAAGCGTTGCTCCTAAGTACCAATTTCTTGATAAAGTCTACCACGCCCCGCTTGTCTTGATCGGTGACGATGATGATGTTACTCCGAGTGACCAGCACATTGTTGCCTGCAACCGTTGCGTTCACGTTCCCTCCAGCGTTTTGAAAGTCACCAGTAGGGCCTTCTCCGGACGGCGACGCCATTGCGTTGGGGTCAGCCGGCACCGCATCCGCCACAGCATAACCACAGCAAATGGCCAGAAGACCGACCAGAGCAACCAGTGTAGACAAAATGGGATTCATCTTGGGAAAAATCGAAAATGAAGTCATTGGAGTATCTGCGCCCATTTTACATGAATTTTTCACCGGAAGTTCGTGGCGATGGAGGGGAGATTTATCTGTGCACGCACAAGGAAATCTTATCGAGAACTCGCTCCAAGCGCTAGGGCCGATCTGAAGTCGTACTTCAAAGTACATTTCTACGAAGTGACTGCCCACAGCTTAACTTTCTGCATGTAAGCTTATGGCGAAATCATACACCCAGTAAGTGCACATGTCTGCGGGTGTTAGTAGTGCTTAGGTAGGTCTCACTACAAAGTGGTTAGTTTCGTGCAATCGTCCGAATTCGCACAATGCTTTGTATTTGTATTTGTTGTGGTTACGGCCGCTACGCCCAAGGCGCGCTATGCGGCATCCTCGCCTACGGAGACTTAATCCACACAATGCTATGCCTGCCTTGGGCGGGGGTCCACGCATAGCTGACAACCTGCAGTACAGTAGTCCTGAGACATTCGCTGGCTGATAGCGATTATGGGGATACGAAGTTTACGGGGAGACTGCGTGAATGGCGTACTCCCCGTAATCGCCTAACTTAGTGGTGATGCTGACATCTAACTACATGTATGCTGGTCATAATGCAGCTTGGACAGGTCTCTTCACGTTGCCGCACTCCCAGCTCATTTCTGGATTTCCTCTCCACCTCGTAGTCACCTACCTACTTGCCTGTGCAAGCCCAACGCGATGTCCACCGCTCCGCGAACCGTGAACGCCTACGCCGCCTTCGACGCCAAGGGAGAAGTCAAGCCCTGGCAGTACCAGTCGCGACCACTCGGACCCGAGGACGTGGAGATTAAAATCTCCCACTCCGGCATCTGCGGCTCTGACATTTATCCGATGGAAGGCGGTTGGGGCCCCGCCGCCTACCCATGCGTCGTTGGTCATGAGATCGTTGGCGAAGTGACCCTGGCCGGCTCGGACGTGAAGACGCTCAAGGTTGGCGACCGCGTAGCCGTCGGCGCTTAAGTCTGGGCGTGCCTGAACAAGAACCCCGAGAAGCCTTGCAGCGACTGTGCTGACAGTGAGGACGCAGTGTGCGACCACGCCGTGTACACGTATGCGTCGACGTATCCGGACGGCTCTCCGTCGTACGGCGGCTACGCAGACTACGTGCGCGTGGATAACAACTACGCCTTCAAGTTGCCGGAGAACATCCCGTCCGACGTCGCCGCCCCGCTCATGTGCGCCGGCGCTACCGTCTTCACGCCGCTGAAGCAGGAAGGTGTGAAGGCCGGCGACCGTGTTGGTGTGGTCGGTATTGGTGGCTTGGGACACCTCGCCATCCAGTTCATTCGCGCGCTCGGCGCCATTCCGATCGCTTTCTCTCGCTCTGCAAACAAGGAGCAAGAAATCAGCGCACTCGGTGCAGAGGAGTTCTACAACCTGAGCGATGAGGCGGACCAGAAGAAGGCGGCCAACTCCATCGACTACTTGGTGCTGACCGCTGACGCCAACAACATGCCGTACAATCTGTACCTGAGCCTCGTCCGCAAGCGCGGCACCTTTATCATGGTCGGCCTCCCCAACGACGATGTCAAGTTCAGCCCGTTCTTCATCGTGCCGCGCGCAGTGCGCGTACGTGGTAGCTGCATCGGCAGCATCCAGGACATCAAGGACATGTTGGAGCTGGCGTCGAAGAAGAACGTGCGACCGATTATCCAGAAGTTGCCAATGTCGAAGGTGAACGAAGGACTGGACATGGTGCGCGAGGGGCGTGTGCGCTACCGCGTCGTGCTTGAGAACTAGGAGCATTTCGTATTTGGCTGTAGAAGCTGAGTACACAGCTGTCGTAGCCGCTAATGGGGTTGATCCTCTTGCTCTTAAAGCCCGAGTGCAAGCGGTGCTAAGTTCTCAAACGATGAACTCGAATTGCATGAAGCTACGATATGATATTACTGTTCGCTTACACTTATACAGTACTACAAAACCTCACAAATATGGACAGCACGCGCGTTCTCGTGCTATCACTGTCTCGGAGCATCGTCCGCTCATACGCACGCCTGAACGCGGTGGCGTTCAAAAGCCTCCTGTGAGTCGGCGCGATGTATACGCTCAAGCACTGTGGTACTGCAGTACACTGCAGTGACTGCACACGCCGTTTTGGATGGCAATACCATTAGAGTGTACCAGTCTTTTATTGTCGTTGACGATTCGGCAACTGATCGATGCGGAACACAACCACAGAGACGATTTGAAGGTATGGTGCCGCTTCCAAACGATGAACTCGAATTGTATGAAGCTACGATATGATATTACTGTTCGCTTACACTTATACTACAAAACCTCACAAACATGGACAGCACGCGCGTTCTCGTGCTATCACTGTCTCGGAGCATCGTCCGAGTGGGGCGCTGGCTACACTCCAACCGAGCGGCCAGCCACCCGAGAGAACCCCACCGCCAAACGAAATGCACGCTTACGCGCGCAAGCGGCGGTAATTGCCAGTCTGCAAGGCCGTTTGCGTTGCCTGTGAGGGGTCCGCGTTCTGCGAGACGCCCACGTCGGCCTTGCCCGTCGGAGCAGCAGCGGCAGCAGGCGTGGCGGCTGCCGCAGTAGTAGCGTCGGCTGAAACGCCCTTCGCACCGCCATACACACCCGTATCCGCCGCATTCACGTCTGGGCCCGCGTTACCGCCAGCACCATTGTTGGCAGGCGCGCCGGCGTAGACGCCCGTGCTCGGCGCTGCGTCTCCGTAGCGATTGGCGGGCCGACCGTACGCGCCGTTGCGCTTGGTGGTGTCGTCATCCACCCTGCCGTACACAGTGCTGGGGCGGCCGTAGTTGTTTGCAGATCTGCCGTATACGCCGTTGCGCTTCGTGTCGTCGTCCACCTTGCCGTATGCGCCGTTGTTGCGCTTGACGGCATCGTCGTCCACTTTGCCATAGGCAGTGCCGGGTCGGTCGTAGTTGTTCATGGGCCGACCATATACGCGGTTCCGCTTGTCGGCGTCGTCCTCGACCTTGTTGTTGTAACCAGTGTTGGGGCGGTCGTAGTTGTGCACAGGCTGGCCGTAGATGCGATTGCGCTTGGCGTCGTCATCCACCTTGTCGTAGGAATCACTGCGTCGGCCATACGCATTAACCGGCTGGCCGTATCCGCCGTTGTTGTGTCTGACAGCGTCGTCGTTGACCCTACCGTACGTGCTGGCAGTCCTTCCGTAGGCGTCCGGTCTGCCGTAGCTGTCGTGGGCGAGCCGCCCGTAAGTCTGGGCCACCTCGGCCGATGCGTCTACGGCGCCGGTAGAGAACGCCACAGCTGCCACACACAGCGCGCAGACCGTCTTGCTGAGCATCGTCGAGTTTCTGTAGGTAGAACGATGCGCTTGCTTTGACTGGGATGCCGCAAATTGGAGAATGCGACCCGTTTGTCTTGGCACGTCGCCATTCTGCCGTGAGAGCACACGTAGATCCGTGCTTTCAGAGCAGACGAACAGCAAATTGGTCCCTCAGTCAGATGGCGTACCGGAGGGCTGGTTACCACTCTGGTCGACAGGTTTGCTGCCGCGTTGAGCAGGAAGGCTGTGGGGCGCAGCGTACTGTACGGTAAACGTCGCGAGCAAGAGAGCACTGGCCCTGATGAAGTACATGTAACAGCAGGCAGCTAGTGACTGTCGGATGGGGCAGTGATCATCGGGAAATCAGTTGGCGAAGCCGCTCGCGCACAACTGTGTCGCTGACTGTTGCCTTCGGCGTACGCGTGCTGCCCCCAACTGGAAATACACATCTGCCAGGTCGTGCATAGGGACATATACGCAACCTGATGAGCCTGGTAATCAATCGCTACAGAGCACGCAGTGCCGACTGCACTCAGTACAGTTCCCACACTCACTCATCATAAGCAGGTGCAACAAGATAGCAGTGCGGGTGCCTCGTCCAAAGTATAGCAACGGCAACATTGAGGTGACTCTGTCTCTCGGTTTGCGGCTGCTCTCCTTCCAGTTCCCGTGCTGCCATAAGTGAGCTAGCGACCATAGCGAGCTTGCGATCATAAGTGACTTTGTTCGGGCAACCAGAAATCTGTGACGGGTCTTCGATGATTTGTCACTTCAACTTCCAATACTTTCGGTAGTCGTATGTTCTTTAAATCTAGAACGGACAGATCTAGATGAGCTAAAAGTCCTCCCTGCTCCCCTCCCCTCATACGCACGCCTGAACGCGGTGGCGTTCAAAAGCCTCCTGCGAGTCGGCGCGATGTATACGCTCAAGCACTGTGGCACTGCAGTACACTGCAGTGACTGCACACGCCGTTTTGGATGGCAATACCATTAGAGTGTACCAGTCTTTTATTGTCGTTGACGATTCGGCAACTGATCGATGCGGAACACAACCACAGAGACGATTTGAAGGTATGGTGCCGCTTCCAAACGATGAACTCGAATTGTATGAAGCTACGATATGATATTACTGTTCGCTTACACTTATACTACAAAACCTCACAAACATGGACAGCACGCGCGTTCTCGTGCTATCACTGTCTCGGAGCATCGTCCGAGTGGGGCGCTGGCTACACTCCAACCGAGCGGCCAGCCACCCGAGAGAACCCCACCGCCAAACGAAATGCACGCTTACGCGCGCAAGCGGCGGTAATTGCCAGTCTGCAAGGCCGTTTGCGTTGCCTGTGAGGGGTCCGCGTTCTGCGAGACGCCCACGTCGGCCTTGCCCGTCGGAGCAGCAGCGGCAGCAGGCGTGGCGGCTGCCGCAGTAGTAGCGTCGGCTGAAACGCCCTTCGCACCGCCATACACACCCGTATCCGCCGCATTCACGCCTGGGCCCGCGTTACCGCCAGCACCATTGTTGGCAGGCGCGCCGGCGTAGACGCCCGTGCTCGGCGCTGCGTCTCCGTAGCGATTGGCGGGCCGACCGTACACGCCGTTGCGCTTGGTGGTGTCGTCATCCACCCTGCCGTACACAGTGCTGGGGCGGCCGTAGTTGTTTGCAGATCTGCCGTATACGCCGTTGCGCTTCGTGTCGTCGTCCACCTTGCCGTATGCGCCGTTGTTGCGCTTGACGGCATCGTCGTCCACTTTGCCATAGGCAGTGCCGGGTCGGTCGTAGTTGTTCATGGGCCGACCATATACGCGGTTCCGCTTGTCGGCGTCGTCCTCGACCTTGTTGTTGTAACCAGTGTTGGGGCGGTCGTAGTTGTGCACAGGCTGGCCGTAGATGCGATTGCGCTTGGCGTCGTCGTCGTCCACCTTGCCATAAACGCCATGGCGCTTGGCGTCGTCATCCACCTTGTCGTAGGAATCACTGCGTCGGCCATACGCATTAACCGGCTGGCCGTATCCGCCGTTGTTGTGTCTGACAGCGTCGTCGTTGACCCTACCGTACGTGCTGGCAGTCCTTCCGTAGGCGTCCGGTCTGCCGTAGCTGTCGTGGGCGAGCCGCCCGTAAGTCTGGGCCACCTCGGCCGATGCGTCTACGGCGCCGGTAGAGAACGCCACAGCTGCCACACACAGCGCGCAGACCGTCTTGCTGAGCATCGTCGAGTTTCTGTAGGTAGAACGATGCGCTTGCTTTGACTGGGATGCCGCAAATTGGAGAATGCGACCCGTTTGTCTTGGCACGTCGCCATTCTGCCGTGAGAGCACACGTAGATCCGTGCTTTCAGAGCAGACGAACAGCAAATTGGTCCCTCAGTCAGATGGCGTACCGGAGGGCTGGTTACCACTCTGGTCGACAGGTTTGCTGCCGCGTTGAGCAGGAAGGCTGTGGGGCGCAGCGTACTGTACGGTAAACGTCGCGAGCAAGAGAGCACTGGCCCTGATGAAGTACATGTAACAGCAGGCAGCTAGTGACTGTCGGATGGGGCAGTGATCATCGGGAAATCAGTTGGCGAAGCCGCTCGCGCACAACTGTGTCGCTGACTGTTGCCTTCGGCGTACGCGTGCTGCCCCCAACTGGAAATACACATCTGCCAGGTCGTGCATAGGGACATATACGCAACCTGATGAGCCTGGTAATCAATCGCTACAGAGCACGCAGTGCCGACTGCACTCAGTACAGTTCCCACACTCACTCATCATAAGCAGGTGCAACAAGATAGCAGTGCGGGTGCCTCGTCCAAAGTATAGCAACGGCAACATTGAGGTGACTCTGTCTCTCGGTTTGCGGCTGCTCTCCTTCCAGTTCCCGTGCTGCCATAAGTGAGCTAGCGACCATAGCGAGCTTGCGATCATAAGTGAGTTTGTTCGGGCAACCAGAAATCTGTGACGGGTCTTCGATGATTTGTCACTTCAACTTCCAATACTTTCGGTAGTCGTATGTTCTTTAAATCTAGAACGGACAGATCTAGATGAGCTAAAAGTCCTCCCTGCTCCCCTCCCCTCATACGCACGCCTGAACGCGGTGGCGTTCAAAAGCCTCCTGCGAGTCGGCGCGATGTATACGCTCAAGCACTGTGGCACTGCAGTACACTGCAGTGACTGCACACGCCGTTTTGGATGGCAATACCATTAGAGTGTACCAGTCTTTTATTGTCGTTGACGATTCGGCAACTGATCGATGCGGAACACAACCACAGAGACGATTTGAAGGTATGGTGCCGCTTCCAAACGATGAACTCGAATTGTATGAAGCTACGATATGATATTACTGTTCGCTTACACTTATACTACAAAACCTCACAAACATGGACAGCACGCGCGTTCTCGTGCTATCACTGTCTCGGAGCATCGTCCGAGTGGGGCGCTGGCTACACTCCAACCGAGCGGCCAGCCACCCGAGAGAACCCCACCGCCAAACGAAATGCACGCTTACGCGCGCAAGCGGCGGTAATTGCCAGTCTGCAAGGCCGTTTGCGTTGCCTGTGAGGGGTCCGCGTTCTGCGAGACGCCCACGTCGGCCTTGCCCGTCGGAGCAGCAGCGGCAGCAGGCGTGGCGGCTGCCGCAGTAGTAGCGTCGGCTGAAACGCCCTTCGCACCGCCATACACACCCGTATCCGCCGCATTCACGTCTGGGCCCGCGTTACCGCCAGCACCATTGTTGGCAGGCGCGCCGGCGTAGACGCCCGTGCTCGGCGCTGCGTCTCCGTAGCGATTGGCGGGCCGACCGTACACGCCGTTGCGCTTGGTGGTGTCGTCATCCACCCTGCCGTACACAGTGCTGGGGCGGCCGTAGTTGTTTGCAGATCTGCCGTATACGCCGTTGCGCTTCGTGTCGTCGTCCACCTTGCCGTATGCGCCGTTGTTGCGCTTGACGGCATCGTCGTCCACTTTGCCATAGGCAGTGCCGGGTCGGTCGTAGTTGTTCATGGGCCGACCATATACGCGGTTCCGCTTGTCGGCGTCGTCCTCGACCTTGTTGTTGTAACCAGTGTTGGGGCGGTCGTAGTTGTGCACAGGCTGGCCGTAGATGCGATTGCGCTTGGCGTCGTCGTCGTCCACCTTGCCATAAACGCCATGGCGCTTGGCGTCGTCATCCACCTTGTCGTAGGAATCACTGCGTCGGCCATACGCATTAACCGGCTGGCCGTATCCGCCGTTGTTGTGTCTGACAGCGTCGTCGTTGACCCTACCGTACGTGCTGGCAGTCCTTCCGTAGGCGTCCGGTCTGCCGTAGCTGTCGTGGGCGAGCCGCCCGTAAGTCTGGGCCACCTCGGCCGATGCGTCTACGGCGCCGGTAGAGAACGCCACAGCTGCCACACACAGCGCGCAGACCGTCTTGCTGAGCATCGTCGAGTTTCTGTAGGTAGAACGATGCGCTTGCTTTGACTGGGATGCCGCAAATTGGAGAATGCGACCCGTTTGTCTTGGCACGTCGCCATTCTGCCGTGAGAGCACACGTAGATCCGTGCTTTCAGAGCAGACGAACAGCAAATTGGTCCCTCAGTCAGATGGCGTACCGGAGGGCTGGTTACCACTCTGGTCGACAGGTTTGCTGCCGCGTTGAGCAGGAAGGCTGTGGGGCGCAGCGTACTGTACGGTAAACGTCGCGAGCAAGAGAGCACTGGCCCTGATGAAGTACATGTAACAGCAGGCAGCTAGTGACTGTCGGATGGGGCAGTGATCATCGGGAAATCAGTTGGCGAAGCCGCTCGCGCACAACTGTGTCGCTGACTGTTGCCTTCGGCGTACGCGTGCTGCCCCCAACTGGAAATACACATCTGCCAGGTCGTGCATAGGGACATATACGCAACCTGATGAGCCTGGTAATCAATCGCTACAGAGCACGCAGTGCCGACTGCACTCAGTACAGTTCCCACACTCACTCATCATAAGCAGGTGCAACAAGATAGCAGTGCGGGTGCCTCGTCCAAAGTATAGCAACGGCAACATTGAGGTGACTCTGTCTCTCGGTTTGCGGCTGCTCTCCTTCCAGTTCCCGTGCTGCCATAAGTGAGCTAGCGACCATAGCGAGCTTGCGATCATAAGTGAGTTTGTTCGGGCAACCAGAAATCTGTGACGGGTCTTCGATGATTTGTCACTTCAACTTCCAATACTTTCGGTAGTCGTATGTTCTTTAAATCTAGAACGGACAGATCTAGATGAGCTAAAAGTCCTCCCTGCTCCCCTCCCCTCATACGCACGCCTGAACGCGGTGGCGTTCAAAAGCCTCCTGCGAGTCGGCGCGATGTATACGCTCAAGCACTGTGGCACTGCAGTACACTGCAGTGACTGCACACGCCGTTTTGGATGGCAATACCATTAGAGTGTACCAGTCTTTTATTGTCGTTGACGATTCGGCAACTGATCGATGCGGTACACAACCACGGTGACGATTTGAAGGTATGGTGCCGCTTCCAAACGATGAACTCGAATTGTATGAAGCTACGATATGATATTACCGTTCGCTTACACTTATATACTACAAAAAAGCTCACAAACATGAAGTGCATGTGGTTCCGTGCACATACTATTTGTGAGATTTCCTAGCTCGGGACCTCGTCTGAGTGGACCTGTGTCGGTCCGTCCCAACCACGCATCACACGAACCAGCCAACCGCACCGCAGATATGTGCATGTACCGTAGCTCCAGTACTATGGACCGACCGCGCCGCTCCCCATGCCTCCCGCCGCCGCGCCCTCGTCCGACCCGCCCACGCCCGACGCGCCGCACGAGCCCTGCTGCATCTGCATGGAGGTGGACGACTACCAGGGGACGCTCCTCGTCCAGTGCGCGCGCTGATGGAAAACCCATTTTCGTGAGATGAAGTGAGCCACGTTTTCAAGCCCGAACTCGACACCACGACAGACCACGGCTTTGCACTAGGCCTTCTTGGCCAGCAGTAGGCAGCTTAGTTTTAGTTTAGGGGGGGGCGCGTTCCTCAGCTAGCGTGCATTCAGGCCAACTAGCTGGCCGACTTTAAGACCCACCACACCACTCCCGGCCCGGGAGTCCCGGGGCTGCCTCGCACGGATTCACTGTGAACCCGCTGCGATGCATGCCTTCGGTGATCTAAGGACGTTGCCTTTTGCCCCAAACGTGTTCACGGAGAAGGTTTGAAAAAGGATCGCTGTACCGAAATATACTGAGAAAAAAACAAAAGAATCCCCCACTCTAGACGTTTGGCGCCGGTGAGGCTGCCGTAAAAGCTCCCTCGGGCGACGGTCCCGCGGGCGTGTATGCTGCAGCGCTGGCGTCTTTGAGTCTGGTGCTGTTGTCGCCTCCGTGTTGGCTGTAGTCGTATGCGAGGCCTCCGTGGTACGAAATGTCGATGCCATTCACCTCCTTCTCTTCATTGATACGAAGACCAATGGTGTACTTAAACACCACCAGGATCGCCAACGTCGCGAAGAACGCGTACCCCGCTGCCACGGAGTTGGCGACAAGTTGGTGCACAAACTGCATGCCGTTTCCATAAAATGCCCCACCTTTGATGTTGGGGTTCGCCTCAGATGTAGCGAAGAGCCCAGTCAGCAAGCCCCCCCATGAAGCCACCGCAGCCGTGGATAGCAAACACATCAAGAGTGTCATCGTAGCGCAGACGGTTCTTGAGCTTCACAGCGACACACCCCGTAATGGCGCCGATGACACCAAAGATCAGCGACGCCCAGGGGAGAACGAATCCAGACCCAGGGGTGATCGTAGCCATACCAGCTACAGCTCCACTTGCAGCTCCACACGGGTCTAGACTTCGCGAGACTCTGTACTCGAGGAGCACCCACGTCAAGAAGCCCGACTACGCAGCCAAGTGCGTGTTAATCGCAGCCGTCGCTGCAATGCCGTCGGCCGCACCTCCAGACCCACCGTTGAATCCGAACCACCCGAACCAAAGGAACGTGCACCCGATCATTACCAGCGGCACGTTGTGCGGCTTCACAGGCTCACCGTGGTTGTAGCGCTTCCCCACTATCAGAGCTGCAGCAAGCGCACCGAACCCACCCGAGACGTGGATGACTGTGCCTCCACCGAAGTCGAGAGCTCCCATGCTTCCCTCCCAACCGAGAGCCGACAGAGCCCACGAGTCGTCCAGCTTCATCGACCAGATCCACCGCGCCAGTGGGTCATAGACGATAGACGTCCACAGCACCACGAACAGCAAGTAAGTGCCAAACTTCATGCGTCCGACGATGCCGCCGCTCAGTTCGGCTGGTGTGATGGCAGCGAACATCGTCTGGAAGAACGCGAACACGATGTGTGGGATGCCCGTGCCGTATGTGGCGCTGGGTGTTTCTTCGACGTTGTTGTAGCCCGCCCAGCCGAACACACCGTGGGAACCAAACGTTGCCGAGTACCCGAAGGCCCAGAATTGCACCGTCACGAGCGCCATACTCACGAACGACATCATCATGGTGTTGGACGCCATCTCTTCACCCGCCAGGCCTGCGTAGAAGAAGGCAACACCCGGAGTCATGAGCATCACCAGTCCTCTGGCTGCGATCATCCACGCCGTGTTGCCCGTGTCGATGACCTGGTCGTAGTCCGCTCCAGCTTTGTCGCCTTGGTTCTTTTAGTCAACACACTCGCCCGTGTCCGTGTCGAAGTACTGCGAGATTAGGCATGAAGCACTTGAACTGGAGGCATCTTGCGCCGAAGCAACTGTAGCCAACGCCACTGCGACCAGCAAGGCGATCCATACCGTCTTCGCCCACTGAAGTCGTAGCATCTCACCGTGGTAGGTCTAGACAAGTGCTCAATCCGTTTTGATGTCGACCAAGCTCGGCAAATTAAACAATGAGCTAACATGGAAGAGATGGCGTGTCTGCGAACTACCCCTTCAACTAGATCCAGATCGACTTTAGAGTGTGGTCGTCCTGGCACCCTATTACTCGGACACAGACCAAGAGGATGTATTACTAGTAACTGAACCGACTTATCCCCGCCATAATTCGCAAACTTTTGACGTTTCTCATCTGTTGACAGACGACGTCTTCGCTTATGTTGTTTGGCATACGGTAGTGAGTTAGGAGCTTCCCACTGTAGTTTTACGATGGGCCGGCCTTGAGTCATCGGATACTTTGCTTAAAAACCACCACAGTACATGTACATCCAGAACGAAGGATGGAGTAGGATGGACTACAGGCTTGCTATGGAGCAAAGTGCCTTTCACACTCTCCGTGGAGAGAGAGGCGGGTTTAAGTGAGCAAGCAGAAGCCATCGAGGTGTGTTTATCGGTTGGAGATGCAGCACTGGTTCCAGTAGCAACACCGGCCAGATGCGACTCATTTGCCTCAACATCGGATCCCGGCGCTCAAAGGCAGCCACGTCGCGCGACGTCGACATGGATAAGTTTTTTTTTCGTTCCACTGTTGGCTCCATTACCCGTACCTTGATATTATCCTCGGTGGGGAAACATCCAGGACGAAAATCGCAAACGCGTCAACTATAGCTACTTCACAAGGTCACCACAAACAGCTATTCCGGCTTTCATTTCTGCCACTGGTGAATAAAACAAGAGTGTAGCGCAAGGCAGTGATGGCCAAAAATGTATTGCAGGTATTGGCATTTACCAATACTTATTGCAATGCCATACTGCAAGCTTGCAAGCTATTGCAATACATATTGCAGAGCGCTGCGGAATTGCAATTCTTACTGCAGTCTTAAGCCAACCGAATAAACTCTTCAAACCCTAGTACTTTTCACTTAGAAGCAGGCAAGGCTGTCAATGTCAAGATAATAATGTTCTCAAAACCCAGTTCCGACGGCATATGTGCTATCGGCGACCTCTACGACGACAGAGTAGTATGGTTATAGTATTGCAGTAATTATTACAAGAACGACCAGTATTGCAGTTATTATTGCTGGCTGCCTTGGTACTGCAATTCATATTGCTACAGATCGCTTTACCTCCAATGCCTTCCCGTGCATTTTTGGCCATCACTGGTGCAAGGCACCAAGGCCTTACGAATGGATATTGGCCTGAAAGTAAATGCCGATGAGGGAGTTGCCGTAATCACTATGAATGAATCTTCGAACCTAACAATGAAAGAAAAACCTAAGACGATGCGGTAAGCGCGCGAAGTGGTAGTGAAGTGTATTGAGCCCGATGTGAGCAGGGCGTTTCGCGTCAGGAGCGCGTACCAAGTCCAGCAAACTTCCTCGAAGTCGTCGCCGAGGCATCCTTCGGATACTTAACGGTACATATCAATTACCTGTCTAAACTTGTATTTTCTCCCGGAATAGCGACTACCGAAATACAGCGATAAAAGATGCTATCCATGCTTGTCAAATCAAATACAAACCCTATGCAAACACGACGGTATGTTACAACGGGCAAGTTGGCAATCTCAGGGCGAATGTGAACAAGAGCAGTCAATTCACCTAACCACCGTCTGTTTTGGCGTATGGTTTGCCGTTTAAGCCAATAGTGTTCATGTCCTTGGGTTTGTCATTGGCTTACCCTACTTGAGCCGTTTCCCCAAACTTTTGAGCAATTGAGGTCATGTTTTCAAGGCTTAACTACGCATACATGAAGTCCGAATTCGTCAAATCTGACAGCAGAATCGGAATCTACGGCGAAAATTACCCCTTATATCTAACTATCGTACATGGAAAGTTACCATCTTCTGGGAGAAAAATGACTCCGAACTCCGGCTTCAACAGTACAATAGGCATGCATAAGCCAGCTTCAACGTCGGCTTTAACTATACAGTAATGTGCGTCAATAAGGGACGTGTGGCAACTAATATCCTTACGTACATTATATACAGCTGTCAGTCAAGAACACAGCTAACATTGATTTAAGTTAACTTTCGACAGGATCCTGGCGCTATTGGCTGGTTTCGCAACGAGCGCGACTGCGTGATTGGCTAGTGACGTCAGATCTAGCCAATCAGTGATTGAAGCTACCATTTGAACATAACTCCTTCCCTCCAACCCGCCTCCAAGCACAACGGAATCTACCACAACACCAGCGCCCTACCCATCCACCCACCTCATGAGCTCCTCCTCCAAGACTAGAACTCACCTCACCCAGCAGCAGAAGCTGCGTCTGATCAAGAAGGCTGAGAGCTCCCCCGCTGTCAAGTATGAAGACCTGGCCCTTTGGGCCAAAGTCGAGTTCGGTCTGCAAAGGCCCCCTGGGAAAGCCACCATCGGCCGCATCATCTCGGGGCGTATCGCGATGATGCATACAGTCGACTTACTAACTGCCATGAAGTGGTGCGAGTCTGCGTGGGATAATGTGTCAGCTTCTACGATTCAGAAGTGCTGGTTGCACTCCACGCTCATTAGTAAAAGCAGTGTGTCATTTATTCTTAACTAAATCAATACATTGTTCTTTCTTTTTTCACTTGTTCGCCTTAATAGCCTTTACATTCCTATTCATATCAGAGGTCCCTTATTGACGCACATTACTGTACAACATTCTCTATCTATCGTAGCCTTGTAGCACCACAAGCACTCGTACAACGATCAATTACAAGGTGTCATTTCGAAGTTGAAACCAAAGTAATGAGCAAAATAATACTGTATTTGATGTAAAGATGGGGAAAGTAAGCGGTAACTCAACTCGACGTGCGCTTAGACCTGCTCGGCCGCGTCCGACTTCATGAAGGCCGCCTCGAACGACGTCTCAGGTGGCTTGAACTGCACAGTCTTGGGGCCGTGCTCGCTGTAGTCGCCGTGGTGGCTGTAGTCGTACGCGAGACCGCCGTGGTACGAGATGTCGATGCCATTCACCTCCTTCTCTTCATTGATACGAAGACCAATGGTGTACTTGAGCACCACCAGGATCGCCAACGTCGCGAAGAACACGTACGCGGCGGCGACTGCATTGGCTATGAGCTGGTACACAAACTGCATGCCATGCCCGTAGAACGCGCCGCCCTTAATGCTCGGGTTCACCTCAGAAGTGGCAAAGAGTCCGGTCAGCAGACCTCCCATGAAGCCGCCGCAGCCGTGGATGGCAAACACATCCAGCGTGTCGTCGTAGCGCAGTTTGTTCTTGAGCTTCACCGCGAAGAAGCCCGTGATGGCTCCAACCACGCCGAAGATCAGCGACGCCCACGGCAGGACGTAGCCAGAGCCGGGGGTGATCGTTGCCATGCCGGCCACAGCTCCACTCGCAGCTCCACATGGGTCGAGCTTACGCGAGATGCTGTACTCGAGCATCACCCACGTCATAAAGCCCGCGGAAGCAGCCAAGTGCGTGTTGATGGCCGCCGTGGCGCCAATGCCATCGGCCGCACCCACCGCCAGACCCGCCGTTGAATCCGAACCACCCGAACCAAAGGAACGTGCACCCAATCATGACCAGCGGCACGTTGTGCGGCTTCACAGGCTCGCCGTGGTTGTAGCGCTTCCCCACCATCAGGGCTGCAGCAAGCGCGCCGAATCCCCCGAGACGTGGATGACCGTGCCTCCACCGAAGTCGAGTGCTCCCATGCTGCCCTCCCAGCCCCGGGGCGTGATGTTCCACGTGTCGTCCAGCTTCTGCGACCAGATCCAGTAGACCAGCGGCTCGTAGACGATGGAGGTCCACAGGAAGATGAAGATGAGGTACGTGCCGAACTTCATCCGGCCGACGATGCCGCCGCTCAGCTCGGCCGGCGTGATGGCGGCGAACTGCGTCTGGAAGAAGGCGTACACGATGTGCGGGATGCCCGAGCCGTACGTGGCGCTGGGCGTCGCGCCCACGTGGTTGTACCCGGCCCAGCCGAAGATTCCGTGCGACCCGAAGGCGGCCGAGTACCCGAAGACCCAGAACTGGATGGTCACCATAGCCATGCTCACGAAGGACATCATGATGGTGTTGGACGCCATCTCCTCGCCCGCCAGACTCGCGTAGAAGAAGGCGACCCCCGGAGTCATGATCATCACGAGCGCGCTGGCCATCATCATCCACGCCGTGTTGACCGAGTCGATGGGTTGGTCGTAGTCCGTGCCGGCCTTCTCGCCCTGGTTCTTGTAGTCGACGCACTCGCCCGTGACCGAGTCGAGGTACTGCGAGATGAGGCACGAGGCGCTGGAGCCGGAGCCGCTGCTTTGCGCCGCCACCGTCGCCGCCAAGACAGCGACGGCTAGCAACGCGAAGATCGCGGGGCGTGGAGCGCGGAGCCGAAGCATTGCCGGTCGCAGTGTCGGTGCCGGGTGTGCTGCGCGCTGCAAATTGAAGAGTAAGCGGCCCAAAGACGGACGAGAGAGGAAGACCTCGGCAGCCCTCCAAGAAACAGACGGGTGCCTGCCTACGCAAGCACTCGGTCATCCACTGGACTCCGATTACGACGAGAGCCTTGGAGGAAGTCTAAAGCGTTTTGGGGGATGAGCGGCTCCAAATGCACAAACAACCGTGACGGTTCCCTTCAAGTCTCCGGTGGCACGCCACCACCAAGCTCCGATGCTCCAAGTCGCCAGCAGCAAGTAGCGAGCGGTACATATCGGATACGTGTCTCGCTAGCTGGCCCCACGCTGGGTTCGTGCTGATGTTGAAGACGTTGAAGTGAGGGGGGGGGGGCATCGCGCCGAGAGGCCGTTCCGGCGCAGCGGAGGGCGATTAAAGATCAAACGGCAGGATAAGGACCGGAAAGCAACGCACGTGATGCGCAAGAGGTATCTCGCTAGTGCTGCCACGCACCAGAACGCGCCGCGTTCAACGCGGGCGCCGAGCAGAGCTCGCGATGAAAGGCAACATGGTGACCTGCCCGCCTCATACAAATGTACCATCTATGTACCACCGACGAGCCACCTCGTGGCGCTCTGGGATTGGCTTCACTCGTCGTGACGCGGGTGAGCATAAACGATCCAGTGTTTGTCATGGTGACCACTGGTACATGGCTACAGTACCGGTGGTACAGATACACATACCGGCGGTACAGATACGATGCGTGCTGGCATTGTTGTAAAAGGCAAAGCCTTCATGGTACTGCAAATTGTTTGACAAATGGCCATTTCTTGCTTGAAGTTCAATACTACCGCTGGAGATCTTCAAACTCAAAGGTGTAAATCTCGCAGAGTGAAGGGCGAAAACTTTATCTTTCTGTCGTCCTCTGGCGAGTAGCATAGTCAGTATCACTCAGCCTCGGTTGCTCTTGCATGTCAACCCGCTGAATCTTTGAGCCTTTTCAGAACTCTTCAAACGTAACCACGGCTTTGCTGAATAGATGCAGATAAAGCTGTGGGCAAGAGCACACGCTGCTCTAGCCTTCGTTCATCCTTCTCAACCCCTGTTGCGCCTCCGCCAGCCTTGCCACTAAAATCCTTTAAGATCGGTGACTGGGATTCGTCTAGCCAGCAAAAAGTGGCGCGAAGAATACCGATTGAGCCGGCTTAATCGCTGTCGAAGCGCCAGCTCAGCTGGGCGTTCCGCTACTCAAGTTCCCCGAGACGTCGATGACTTTTTCAATTCCAGTCTCCCTCTGCCTACATGTAATAGTGCCATGGGTGGCGTACTAACGCAGTACCTCGGGGGGGGGGGGCAGTTAGAGGTTTTACAGTCACAACCTAATCCTTTCTTCTGGCATTACGCGCCACAGGCACCGTGATCTTGTAATTACGCCGCGACAAACCGGACGAACAGCCTAAAAGCTACCATCGACTAGGCACTACAGTACAGCTAGGCGAACTACGGCGCTACGTTTTGTGCCCTGTACTCGCACACAGTCACCTGTTCGTACGTATGACAAGTTCGGGGACTGGTGCAAAAGCTGGCTGGCTTCATTAACGAGTTGTAAATTACGACACCCCGCTGTGACGGCGGAATGAAGTTCGTCCGACAACGCGTTGCAGTCCGTTTGCAGTCCGTTTGCAGTCCGATGTTGGCGAATGCTCATCTCGTTGATCGTCGAATCAGGACAGGCCCATAGGGGGCGGATTAACGCCAACGAGTTGTCGAGCCAGCCGATGCATGACAACCGCACGACCTCAAAGAAAACGACTTAACACGTACCCTTCTACGCTGAAAGAACGCCACGCGCTCTTGGCTTCGATTCGATGTTCACCAAGCGACTTCTCTAACGGCTTATGTACCTGAGGCCGTGTCGCGTAAGTGTATCATGATCAACAAACTCTAGCGCTAGAACAACCGAAGAACTTTCACGCGACCAGCTAACACGGACACGAACGGAATAACTTTATTTATGTGTGCATCCTAGCGCAATTGCTGGCAAAATCTCAGGAGCTCACTTTACACGCACGAGTTACTTTACCCCCGCTAGAACCACTCGTTGGCGTAGTTGCGGCGGGCGTGCTGCGGACAGATGTAGTCCCACATCTCGAAATCATCGTTGCTTTCGTGACGGGCTCTCGAGTTCTCGGAGGGACCACTGTTGCTGTTGCTGTTGGTACTGCTGCTGCTGTTTGCACTTTCAGCGTCTTGGTTTGTGGATTGTGTATCTGGGCTGGCGTCGTTTGTCGGCGACGGGGTGTTGGACGTGGCTCCCTCACACTTGCCGCCGCCGATCACCTCCTTCGCGTAGTGGGGGTGGGGCGACGGGAAGAAGTCGCAGCAGTTGGGCACCACGCGGTGTTCGGGGGGCGTCGGTCGTAGCCTTGGAAGGGTCTCGGAAGACGACGCAGGTGGCGTGTCGGCTTGGGATCCCGACATCTCGGACTGGTCTTCTGCTTGGTTGTCATCGGTGGGCTGGGTGGACGTGGACGTAGGGGCGGATTCAACGAGCGTCGAGGAGCTCTCGCATTCGGAGGAACCGCAGCAATGGTCGAGGTTCTCCTCCGTCTCCCGCACTTTCGACGCCGTCGAGCTGGAATCGGAGCCTCGCCGAGATCCGACGTGGCTGCTCTGTGCATTGTTGTCGACGTCCTCCTCCTCCAGCAGGCTGGTCAACCTCGTCGACGAAAACGCAGAGCCGTACTCGGACACGGTGCGTGCGTCGGACATGCGCCACCGATATTCGTCTTGCTGCTCCTGCTGCTGCTGCCGTTCGCGACCCTTTCGAGACTGGCGCTCGCTGTCCAGCAGCGCGCTCGAAGACAATCGCGAGCTTTGTTCCGACTCTGTTCGACAACTGGACGAGGTCGAGTGGTCGTCCCGGTCTCCATAACATTGAGCCATCTCGCTGCAGCCATTCGTCGACTTGAGCACGCCAGTCGCTTCACTGCGTCGTCGCTTCCGCGACATCTCGCCCTTGGTCCTGGCGGACAGCCGGATGTCCGCGTACTTGTGGATCATCTCGTCCAGGAAGCGCCGCGTCCTCCTCTCCAAGAGGATCCGCTGCAGACTCCGCATCAAACGCGCCGCGTCATGCAGTACACACTCCGACGGCCTTCTTCCCGCCCTGTGCTCACGCGCAGCTTTCGAAAGTGACGGGCAAAAAGCCAAAAGAAGGCGCCGTCCCCTCGACAGGCCCGCCCCATATTACGGCCAGACGTTCCTTCCAGGAAACGGCCGCTGAGCCTCTCGGAAGCTGGAAGGCTGAACTTGGCCAGCGTGGCAGGCCTGCACTCTGCCCTGGACAAGAATAGAGTTTCACCAAATCCTGGCGCCAGGAGCGAACCTTGGCGATGCGATGCCGCGCGAGATACACCTTGGCCGAGGCTTGGGTGGCGGGCAGCGCGCGGCAGCAGGCGTGGAGGTTTTGAATCACCGACCGTTCACAGTGGAGGAAGGCGCGGCGAACGCCCGATACCGGACGCATGCCTGTCCGGATTCCCTCGGCATTTCTCATCGGCGCGCGCGTGTGCGGAGCCCGACAACGAGGCCAGCGGCGTCGCCCTGATTGGAGTGGCGAGCGCACGACGCGGCATGACGCAGTGCACTTCCGTTGGAAGGCGGCCTAGGCGAATCTGCCTGCGTCACGAATGCGGTGGCATACGCCTCAGCAGAGCACCGCGCCAGCGGGCGGCGGCGTTATGACAATCTGGACTTGTGCCTCGTCTTAGGATCCGGGTGACTTGTACGAACTCGAAGTTGTTTGTTGCTGTGAGGACGAAGCGAAGGCCAGCTCTACGACAAGGCAAGTTAAACTTTGGGCAGCCTTGGCTGCGTGCTGCTGGAGCTCGGCTAAAAGGAAAACTTCCATGCTGCGGACGCTGCGGATAAGGCCAAGCCTGGCCAGTGACGCATGAGCTGAAGTGAAGGTATCCAACGGGTGTAATCAGGTAGCCAGATAAGATAGCGGAGATGGGTACAGTTTATTTTCGCGACCACTCATGGTACAGCTTGCTCCACCGAGACTCGCACTGCGGCTCAGATAGGCACGCGTGTCGTTGCCTAGCAGCACCAAGCATGGCAATGCTCGGAATAGCTGTGTGTGGTCGCATTAATGCGATGCGGCAGTGGGCAGCTCTACTACTGCTATTGCATTGAAGGGTATTTTTAGTGTCGACACATCTCGTTGAAAGGCGAAACCAAGAAAGGCTGTGAGGGCCAACTTCCCTACGGCGCTCATTTCCCAACTCTGCCTCAAGCAGCAGCACCGGTCAGCTTAGTCAGCCGCTCCCCGACAGCATCCAGCAAGGTACGCGATGTCGGCGAGCCTGGTGCGCTTTCTCTCTCAGCTCGCAGCGTGCTGACCTCTTGCAATGCTGTATGTTCCTCTTTTCAGATGCCCACCGCCATGGAAGACGCGAGCAGCAAGGCGCGCAAGTGCATCAACAACCCCAAGATGCTGATCACGTACCTCTGGTTCAGCACCATGCTGTTCGGCTTCATGTACGCGATCGCCGCGATCGTGGCCGCGGTCAACAACGACGGCGAAGGCGAGAGCGACTCCAAGTCGCTGGGCTTCGTGGGCGTCTGGGCCATGATTCTCATCGTCGCGCTCTCGGTCGGAGGCACGATGGTCATGCGCAAGCACCAGACGCCGCTGGCCGTGGGCTTCCTCATCGGCGTCGTGCTCATGATGTCGCTGCAGATGTTTTCGCTGTCCATCATCTTCGCGGGAGCCGCGTACCTGGCCCGCATTGAGCGTGCGAAGGGTGACGAGCACACCAACGTGCACTCGAACGAGGCTGGCTCCGTCTTCTCCTTCTTCATGTTCATTCTCTACGTAAGTGGTTGCTTCTGCCCTGCTTGGGCTCTGTTGTGGCCTCGCTTAGAACTGTCCACTTACGGTAAACGCCTTGCCGGTTCTCTCTGTTTCAGGCCGTCTTCGCCATTGTGCTGGTGCGCCACCGCAACATTGTCATCAAGGAGGGCGTCAACCTGGACCCGAACGCCATCAACAACGACATTGAGAAGAATCCGGCTGGAATGGGCGGCAACACGGCCGCTCCAAGCGCCACCACCACGACGGCCACCTCCCCGCGTGTCATCCGCACTGACCTGGACGTCCCCAAGCCGCTCGCCCCACCTGTGAGCGTTTAGGACCTGAGTCGATGCCGCTCACGCAGTTTTACAAGAATACATTAGCATAACGATAAGCCTGGCACAGTAGACATTCTCCATCGCTTGCTTTCGAGTTATATTTGGCTTCGTTCCTCCACCGGCAGCGACACTGATTCAACTGTGAGCGCCGCATGATCCATGGCCCAGAGCACTCCAATACGTTTATCATGTTGCAAACACTTCATGCTCTGCAGTCCCCGCCAACTTGAAACATATACAGCTTTCGTGCAGTGGGGCTTGCGATCTTATGGCAAAGTCATGTTGAAGCCAGGTCAGACGGGCAGCCCTCGCCAGTTAATCCGATCGCTTATCCAGCATCTCTGGCTAGTGATTGGCCATTTCTCTCTGAAGTGGTACTAGGTCCCGCACCCTTCGTTTCAAATACCTTGTCCTATCGGATCATAGCTATTCTCGAGTGTAAGTATATAGCCCACCATCACTTCTAATTCCCCGTGAAATCCATTTTCGCCACTTATGGACCACTTAAGCGTTACGTCACTGGGTCCATACCGAATGACGGGTGCCCCCCGAATTAATTAAAGCTCACTCTCGCATCCATCGACCAGAGACCACCAACCAGCAGCAATGGGCTTCCAGATCGACACCATCAAGGCCGGGTACGCCACGCCGCAGCCAGCTCCCAACAGTCCGAACAAATACCCGCCTAGTCCATTGCCTAACCCAATAATTCTCCCTACGTCTGCTCCTGCAGCGACGGCGTGAACTTCCCCAAGCCCGGCCAGACCGTGTCCGTGCACTACGTGGGCACGCTCACCGACGGCTCCAAGTTCGACTCGAGCCGCGACCGCGGTCGCCCGTTCCAGTTCCAGCTGGGCGCCGGCCAGGTGATCCGCGGCTGGGATGAGGGCGTCGCCAAGATGAGCAAGGGCCAGGTCGCCAAGCTCACGCTGCCCCACGAGTACGCCTACGGCGAGCGCGGCTACCCGCCCGTGATCCCGGCCCGTGCCACGCTCATCTTCGAGGTGGAGCTGCTGTCCTTCAACTAGACGGCTTGAGCTCCCTCGGATGAGCACGGAGGACGTGCGACGTCTGTGTAGCTGTGTTGTGTATAGGACGGCATGCTCCGATCCTTGTGCAAAGTAAAATTTCTACATACACGACGCAGTCTTTTGGGCCACAGGTTGAGGTTCCTACTATCCTTTGTGCTGCTTTTTAGGGGTTTTAGGGGCAGGTAGGTGCGTTTGGCGGATCTGTTGCAAGAGCTCGCGTCCGGCGTTGGCTTTGCGGCTTGGAGACGGCAATGGAGAGAGCTGCGTTGGTGGCATGGTGGCAGGCCGACGAAGTGCTGCGTCGGTGGGAGGCTCGGTGTTGAAGGCGAAGGTGGCGGTGCTGCGAGCCTTGGAGCCGTCTGCAGGCTCCGTCCACATGGAGTTGAAGTACTTCTTGTCGGGTCGCTGGATGGGCTTGTACGTGGCTTCGGCCGCCATCTTCATGCGTCGCGAGTGTTCCTGTGGTGAATAAACACGAAGCAAACGAGTGAGCAAGACATCGGGGACTATGGAGAAGGAGGGGTTGACGTACGTAGGCGCGGGCTTGAGGGGTGGTAGGCGAGTTGGTGATGCCGGCAGGCGCGAACGGCTCGTCGAGAAGGAGCGTGCGGGAGTACGGAGCGCCAGTGATACTGCAGCGAGATGCTGTGTGGGAATTGCTCGACAAGGTCGTGCTGGTGAATGGCCTGCCACCGACCCATTTCTCCGGGCTGTGCTGCCGCCACTTGGGGTGAGCCACATACTCCGCGGTCGTTGGAGGCTCCGGCGTCGCTGTGCCACCGAGCACTGTCGCTCTCGAGCCGTGCGCATTCCAGTAAAGTCGGTCATACACGGCGTTCTTGCGTCGTCTTCGTTCCTCGTGGTCTTCTTCGTCGCTTCCTTCAGCCTCGTCGATCTGATTAACCCTCTCGGGTGACGGCGGGCAGTCGGCGCAGCAACTGGTTCTTCGTTTCGACCCTCTCGAGGCCTCAGGGCGTTCGCACTCGCTTCTCGAGTTGTTGTCAGCGCTGATGATATCCTCAACAAAGTACTTGGCGCAGGACAGAGGCTTGTTCTTCAGGAACGCCATGGGCGGGTGGATCTCCTTGTGCTTCTCGCGAGTTTTTTCGAAGTTGATGATCCGCTCAGCGTACTTCTCGCGCGGCATTTCAACGTCGCTGCTGGAAGAGTCAAGACGGCAGACGTACTTGCCGCCACCTTTGTAAACCGCGCGGGGGGAGTACGACCTGCAACCATGAAGTGAGTGGTGTTGCCTTTGCTACAGTATTTTGCAGGTCACTACGCACCCGTTCTTCACGATACCCCCTTCCAGCTCCTTCTTTCGTACTCGAGGACTATCCAGCGCAGCAACAAGACCGACCGATCAATTACCACATGAGAAAATACTCGTGCAGTCAAGATATTGGTCCACCCACACATAGGCCTTCGAGTAGTCCTCCTTGGCGTAGTCCTTGCCCCACTCCTGCGTTGGCGCCTCCTTGATCCAGTCGCTAACACGATCCATGTACGAGTTGTGCATCTCCTTCCTGAAGCCAAAGCCAGCCAATACCTGCAGTCAGTAAAGGGATCCAGAGTCTACACTATAGCCTTGTGTTTGCTCTCACATCGACTTCCCGTAGAGTTGCTTCGCCTGCCGCTCCTGCGACGCCCGAGACGGCGGAGCTCCATTCTTCTCGGCTCGCTTCAACCTGGCCGCCTCCTGCTCCGACCGACTCTTCCGCCACCGCACGACATCGAGCGAGAACATGGCAGTCAATGCGTCCACACTCAGACAGACCACGCCCCTATGTATATTTAGGCACACTTCTCCATATTTGCAAAACACTTGTGCGATGGCAACACCAACATGGCTACACTCATGCGTATTTCGCCCAATCAATCAAGGGTATCTTTGAAGGCGCAGCACCACCCCACGTTGCTGCTGAGCATGGACTTCCGGCAGCTGCTGCGTGAGGAGCGCCGTCGAGCGCGCGAGGCAGCTCAGAGCCAAACCTCTACCGAGCTGAGGAGCGGGCAAGAAGCAGCTACCAATAATGCAACAGAAGACGAGGACAAGCTGGCGCAGTGGCAGGACGCAACGCTGAAAGTCTGGGCCAAGAGGTCCAAGATTGACATCGAGGAGTTCCGCAGGGGCCCCATCCCTGGCGTCTACTACATCCCCAACTGGATCACGCAGGACGAGGAGAAGGCGATCCTGGAGCGGGTCTACGCGGTCCCGGACGACAGCGACCTCTGGGTGAGGCTCAAGCACCGGCGGCTGCAGATGTGGGGAGGAGAAGTCAAGGCCCCGTTCGACCCCAAGCCGCTGCCTCGATGGCTGACGCAGATCAGCCAGACGCTGGTGGAAGCGGGGATCTTCAGTGAAGAGAAGAAACCCAACCACGCTCTGATCAACGGTGGGTTATGAAGAACATTGGGAGTGTACGAGCTACTGCAGTGTTGCTGACTGGGAGGTGTATCTCTTTGTTGGGCAGAGTACGGCGTGGGAGATTGCATCATGCCGCACGAGGACGGACCTGCCTACTATCCGTTTGTGTCCATTATCAGCACTGGCGCCGAATGCCGTGTCACCTTCGAGCCCCATCGAGCTTTGGAGGCAAGTTCGGCAACGGTCAGCGAAGTTGTGCCGCACTTCGACTTCCAGTTGGAGCGTCGCAGCTTGCTCTTGTTCACGGGCGAAGCGTACACGCGTTACCTGCACAGCATCGACAACATTGAAGTGGGCACCCGCATCTCACTGACCGTTCGCCATGTCGACCTCCGCTAGTGGCATTTGAGGGTGAGCAGTGAAAGAGAGACGAAGACGAGGAGTGTGCGGGGAACAGGAGCTTTGCCTAAAGCGGGTGGTGTGTCGACCGGTGAAGACGTTTCAACGCTGGGATGTGCGATGGCGACGTTGACTCGACGCTTGATACTTGTCGAGGTTGCATACACTTTTAGTAGGGACGTGACCTGGCTGAAACCTCCTTAGATCGGTTTTTCCCTTTGCTGCTCGGCTCACAGTGTTCGAACTGCGCGACAGCGTGTAGGACAATCAACCATCGAGATAGCACGATGCAGGCGCCTTCCCCGTCATCGCATTGCGCTCACCGAGATCGGACAGCTCGAGGATCCAGCTCGAATCGAGCGAACAACTCTCGAAAGAGCGGCATCGGTGGCATCCTCCAGCCGATCAATCCTCGCGCTCATGCATCGATCACCACCATCCCAAACAACGAGGTCAGTCTATACATGGACGACTTCACGCTTGATACTCCGACCTTCGTGACGTTGGCGAGTGAGATGAAGATGCGAATCTGCGAAGTGTTCTGGTAGGTATCCCAACTGAAGATACTTGTAGTACTCAAATGAGCGAGTATTGACGTTGTGTGCTCTCTTCATGTAGGCGTCGAGTGCATGTGCAGCTCATCTGCTCAAGAGAGCCATCTCCCGACCAATTCAGACAGTACTCGGCCGTGTTGTGCGTCCGTCGTCGCCGCCGTCACGGATGTATAGGTAGCTCTTCGACTGCAATCTCGCTGGATCGACGCATGCACCCCGTGCGAGTGCTGTCTACCAAGGCCAAAGACGCCCGGAAACTGCTGATTGGGATCGAATATGGCTGGCGCTCTCGACGCGTTTGGTTCCGAGCCCCGAACAGCGCCGTGTACGAGCAGTGGAACGACGTTATTCGCGCTGCGCTTCAAGGCTGCAATGGCGGTGGATGCGACGAAGAGGAATCGCTAGCGAAGTGGGTCGAACGCAGCGGCATTTCGATGATGGAGACGGCCACAACCAGCGCCGTCTGCAGCATGGACCGCTTCAGCTCGGACTCATACGCGCGGGGCTGTTCAAGCAGCTACCGATCTGATATCCCCGACGACGAGTGGTTCGAGAGCGAAGTCGCTCGTCGCGAGCTGTATCGACTGCGTCGAAGTAGCTCCGACGAGACAGAACTCCCAGTCGGACGAAGCCACCGCATCGACTCGATGTCATCACTCGCGGCTCGCTACAGAAGCAGCAGCCGCGAGAGAACTGACACGCCCAACTGGATGGGACGACCAGCCTTCTGCTTCACAGGCCCGGACAACATGCGCTACGAAGGACAGGCAGCTTGACCTTCAATACATCCTTGTTCCATGTCAATAATTAGTGAGAGATCTCCATTACTGCACCACATCAGAACGAGATGGCAGGTCGTGAATCCTAAAACTGTAGACCGGAATGTATTGATGATTTCGCGCTTAGTGCTCAGTCGAGCGGAACTCTTGCAGCGGGGTGGTTTACATGATGGGCAGGTACAGCGGCTCCTCCTGCACGAAGGGCAGCGCGGCGATCTTCTGGCACATGGAGCGCACCTTGGAGAGCAGCGACGTCTCGGTGGTGACGACGAACTGCACGTTGGCGCGGTCGACGATGGGCGCCTGCAGGATCGAGTAGATGGACACGCCGCTCTCCTCGGCGAGCTGGCCGACGTGGCGGATGACGCCGAGGCCGTCCGTGATGGTGATACGCACGTAGAAGTGGGCCTCGTAGTCGGGCTGCATCGTGAGGGGCACCGAGGCCTTGAACGGGTCGAGGGGCGCGTCGCCGCGCGCCAGCTGGATGATGTCGTTCATGACCGAGTTGGCGGTGGGGAAGCGGCCGGCGCCGGGGCCGACGTAGGCGCTGCTGTCGAGGTTGTCCGAGCGCACGTTCACCAGGTTGGTGGCGCCGCTGATGCTGGCGATGACGTTACTGTGCTTGACCACGACGGGGGACACGTAGACCGTCACCTCCTGGGGCTTGCCCGCCTTCTCGTCCGCGGGCTTGAGCAGCTTGGCCACGCCCAGCAGCTTGATGGTGCTGTCCATCATCTTGGCGTACTCGAAGTCGGCGGCAGAGATGCGCGAGATGCCGACGGTCGGGATGTCGGCGGGCTTGACCACGCCGCCGAAGCCGAGCTTGGCCAGGATGGCGATCTTGCTCTGCACGTCGAAGCCGTCCACGTCGGCGCTGGGGTTGGCCTCGGCGAAGCCCAGGTCCTGGGCCTCTTTCAGCACGGCGTCGTAGGCCACGCCCTCGGCCTCCATCTTGGACAGCATGTAGTTGGTCGTGCCGTTCATGATGCCGGCGATCTCCGTGATCGTGTCGCTGTCGTACGCGCCCTGCAGCGTGTGGATGATGGGGATGCCGCCGGCCACCGCGGCCTCGTAGCCGAAGCGCACGTCCGGGTGCTGCTCCAGCAGCTGCACGATCTCGGGCATGAAGTTGGCCACGAGCGCCTTGTTGGCCGTGATGACGTGCTTGCCGGCGCGGATGGCGCCGAAGACCACGTCCTTGGCGTCGTCCACGCCGCCCATGAGCTCCACGATGCAGTTGATGCTCTGGTCCTCGAGGATGTCGGCGTAGCTGCTGGTGAACTTGGTCTCGGCCGCCGAGAAGTGCTGCAGCTGCCGGTCCTTGCCCACGTTCTGCACGCAGATCTTGGACACGAGCGCCTCCACGCCCATGGCGCGGAACTTGAGCCGCCGCGCGGGGCTGTGCAGCAGGTCGAACACGCCGCCGCCCACGGTGCCGCAGCCGAACATGCCGATGTTGAGCGTCACGCGTGGCATTGTATTGAGAGAGAGAGAGAGAGAGAGAGAGAGAGAGAGATCTAAGGGGGAGGCTGGAGGGTGGAAGTGCGTCGTGGATGCAGATTGCAGAGTGACACTGACGTGGACTCGGCGGCTAAGATACTGTACCCTCCCTACACACACCGCACACCACAAGACTTTTCCCGACGGTACATTACAGTGCTGCAGATTGTTTTGAAGCAGCCCTGAAAACAGATAACCGACGGTAATTCATCGTCATCATTGTGAATATTGTGTAGCAAATGACCTGTAAAAATCATTTTAATCTTGTTCTTAGTGTGATAGATCTTGATCATAATGCAAGGTTCAACTATGCGTCTGGTTGCGCAAATGACAGGAAAAGTTGCGCGAAGGTCGCTTGACGGCATGAATGCTTTTTCAGCCAGAGCGGTGGACGCGCTCAGAGTCTCGGAGGAATTGAAGAATTGATGGCGAGCACACGGAAGAATGACCGAGTACATGACCAAGAGGTGGCACCACGGGGGGGGGGGCACGACCCAAGAAAGAAAAAAAAACATAACTTATGAGGATATGACAAGGTTCATACTTCCACCCGTTCACTTCAACTTCAACTTGTGCATCCGAGCCACTGCTCCGCTTTGGGGTCGCATGGAGCCCCCACTCCGCGCTCGATCTCGAGTCTCCTCACTCTGATGAAGAGCTCGTCGACGTTGCACGCCACGACCTGCATCCGACTGCTGTAGCACATGCCCACTGTCCCGTTCGCCGACGTCACGCCCGGGATCTCGCTCTGTCGGTACATGACGCCGTCGCACGCGGCGATCCGCTCGGCGGTGGGGAAGTCGGACAGCGCCTCTAAAGCGAAGGGGATGGCGGACTTCTGGCAGATGGCAGGCGCGAACTTGCTGAAGATCTCTCTCGTCGCTGCGGTGGCGTGCCGGGGGTCGTTCGGAGCGAGACACGAGGCAGCAGGGACGTGGAACGCCAGGTCTGGCAGGCAGAACGAGTCCGAGAGGTTACACGCAGCGACGAACCCGTTGCAGCACAAGTGGTTGGGTCGGAAGATCGCCAGGCGCGAGAGACTCGCGAGCGGACCCATGTCCGGGACGGCGGGTACCCGTTGGATGTGCACGAGGGCCATGGTCTCGAGGTTCAGCAGCCTGTCGAACGACGGTAGCTCCGTGAGCGAGAGCAGGACGGCGAGCACCATACTGCGAAGGTTGGGGGTGCCACTGAACGCTGGCAGCGCGATGAGGTTGTGGTGGTTGCCGAGGTGCAGGAAGGTGAAGTCGGGGAGGTCGCTAAAGAGATCGGGGGGAAGCGTGACGAGGTTCTGACTCCCGTACTTCCCTTCCAGGTGCCTGTGCAACAGATTCATTAACGACGAGGTGAGAGCGCGCATACAATGAAATGAGGGTGTTCAAGGTATCTTACAGGTGCTGCAGCATTTTGAATTCCGTGGCCCAAGTTGGAATTTCCTCGATACTTGTGTAAATCAACGAGCTACAGCGACGCATTCGAACAAATGCTTTGGTCAAAAGGAACCGGAAACAACAGAGTGTTAGCAGCGGATGCTGTACATTGTTCGCATGTCGGTGCATCGGCGCAGCTCGTCCGGCCAGCGTCGCAGCTGGCGATTGATCAGTTGCAGTCCGTTCAGCCGACCAGCTCCAGCCAGTGCGCGGACTTTATCCGTGACATCTTCGGGATAATCCCATTCGTGAGCTGTCCGCGGGGCGCGATCGCCGTCGATCATGACGATGCAAGGGCATTGACCTCCAGTGTTCCAGACGTGAGCATACGCCACGCACTCGGGGTAGGTTGCACAGGCAGCTTGAGACTTGGTCACTGCTGTGCAAGTGGAGGCCACGACACAGACACTCGCAGTGAGGAAGACTAGCGCTACCGAATGCGGCACAGATCGCTGGCGTTGCACGGGTTTTAGTACAGAACTTGCAGAGCCTTGGAAAGACTTTCGTCGGACACCGCGATCTCTGTATCTCTGAGTGATAATGACGGAGATGACGCGAACGAAGCGGTAGCAAAACGAAAGGTTCAGGCCGATACTGAGAATGAAGTCCAAGACGCCGCTGATCCTCAATGAGTTGAAGTTGAGGAGGAAAAGAGCGACTTGAGCTGGGTCTGCCTGCATCCGAGCATACCTCTCGAAGTTTCCATCAGGAAGCACTTCTGCGTTCACCAGGTAAACCGCTCGATCGAAGCTGAAGTTGTAGTAGCAGTAGCTGAGAACCGCGATCGGATACAGGACGGCCGCAGCAAGATCAAATCTAGGAATCGAACAACACAATGAGCACGTAGGAGCTAGCAATTCTGAGGATCGGGAACGAGAGCTGCACGTACAGTGCATCGATGAGCACCTCAACAAACGCGGTGTGGTTATCAGCGACAATATTCCAGGCAGCTGACAGCCCATTGGCAGCTATGAATGCGGTGTAGCCGTACGCTAGGGTACTTGGCAGGCCCTCGTTGAGCGATCGACGCAGTACGAGACCCTGAACGACCAAGTCGCAGCCTTTTTGAAACGTATTCTACACCATACAAACGCTTTGTGAGAGAATCTACGCCTGTAGCACTGAAGCGCACAGCTAAATACAGTACTCACGAAAATCTTGCGATTGACCCCGTTGAAACCCGTGAGGTCCGTGTAGAAGCGATAGATACTTTGCGCCTTACACTTTAGGCGTGGTGAACACCGCAGCAACCAGCACGCAGACAATGTGTCCCACACCCGCAGAATAGCCGAGTTATGCCTGGCGGCCGATTCTAGCCGCTGTATTTCTAAAACGTATTATTCGGAAAAGCACCAGGATGTAGCACGCGTTAACGATAAGGAGGCCTACTACACTTGCCAATTTGATGACTGGTTCACGCTCAACAATGAGCCAAAAGTTCCCATTATCGTACTCGCCCGTGTTCATGAGCAGGTTGGCGGCTTCGTTGGGTGCAATACCGAGGTAGATCAACCAAGTCGTCCATACAATGCAAACGCTCACAACAGCCAAGAGAGGAATGCCGAGCGAACCAAACGCTTGTCGGAACGTGAGGTTGGGTGGTAGTCGATTCGTCCCGCCACTGGATCTTCGCCGTTCCTTGGTGTTTCTTTGGCTTGACCACGACGGCAAGGAGGGAGTTTGGGCTGAGACGAGAGTTGCTACTAGAAATGGAGGCGGAGTTGGGGCCACCTTCTTCGTGTTGCAGACCTTCGAGAAGAATGGTTGAGGTCGCTCCACCGGCGCACACTCTACACGACTGTGAGAAGCCTTTCGAGTGTAGCCTCGCGACGACGTAGCCTTTGACAACCAAAGCTTGCGACCATCGTCCGGTTCCTCGCTCATGTGCTGCAGATAACTTTCCATTGCCACTTCTATAGTAATCCCCTGGCACGCGGTCTCAGTAGGAGATTTGCATTTCTGACAAGCACCATCTAAGCTTAGCTTGGCCTACCAAACCAGGATCGGAACCTACCTTTGGTCTAGCAAACGAAACTGTGCCTCCCACCTCAACCAGACAAAATTAACAGGAGACATATATATCTTTTCAAGGAGATCAAAGCTAGCCGTCCCGCTTGCATCCCAGCCACGCCTCCTCCTCTGGATCACACGGTAGACCCACTCCGCGCTCAGTCTGCAGCCTCCTCACCTTAATGAACAGCTGATCTACGTTGCACGCGACGACTTGCATCCGGCTACTGTAGCATATCCCGACCGTCCCATTCACGGAAGTCACCCCGGGGATTTCGCATTGTCGGTACATGACACCACTGCACGACGCGATCCGCTCGGGGGTGGGGAAATCTGACAGCGCTTCGAGTACAAACGGGACCGAAGATTTCTGGCAAACGGAAAGCGACAACTCAGCGAAAACCTTTTTCGTAGTCGCTGTAGCGCGCCGAGGGTCATTCGGATCAAGGCATTCAGCGCCAGGGACGTTAAATATTGGCTCAGGCTGGCAGTACCAGTCCGTCAGATCGCAAGATCCGATAAATCCGTTGCAGCAGAAATGGTGGGGGCGAATCGCGAGAGGCTGACGAGCGGAGCCATGTCAGGGACAAACGGCACGATGGGTACATGTCCGATGGCCAGCGTCTCCAAGTTGAGGTGGTTCCGTGTCTAACAAATATTACAAAAGAAACATCGTGTGAGAGGCAAACAGGAGAGCAACTAGGTTGCACGTTAAACACTTACAAGTGCTGGAGCTGCTTGGACTCTTTGGCCCAATCTGGGATTGTCTCCGTGCTGTACATGAGTGAGCTGAAAACAGTTTGCTTAGTCACGAGTGAGAAATACGCAGAAATTCTACTAAAGTACACGATACTCACATGGCCTGGAGGTTGGAACAGCCCCGTAGCTCCTCCGGCCAATGCAGAAGCTGACGATTGACGAGCTGCAGTCCACTCAGCCGACCTGCCATCGACAGGGCCCGGACCTTTTCCGTGACGTCTTCAGGTAAATTCCACTGCTGAGCTGACCGTGGTGCTCGATCACCGTCTATCGTCATAATGCACGGGCAGAGGCCGTCGGAGCTCCAAACGTGGGCGTTAGCCACACACTCAGGGTAAGCGGCGCATGCTGCGTGAGACTTTGCCACGGCCGTGTGAGTGAAGAATAGGACGAAGATGCTGCAGGCGAGAAACACGATCGCCACCGAACGCGGCACTCGTCTCTGCTGCCGGATGGCTCTCATGACCGATGAAAGCACTCGGATCTGGCTTCTCTGCTTGACGACCGCAGCGACAACGCGAAAGAGGCGGTAGCAGAATGAAAGACAATCAGCATGAAGTCCAAAGCGCCACTGATCCGCAGCGAGTTGAAGTTGATGAGGAAAAGACCCACCTCGACCGGGTCCGCCTGCATTATCGCATATCTCTCCAAGTTCCCGTCGGGGAGGATCTCGGCATTCATGAGGTAGACGTCGCGGTCGAAGTTGAAGTTTTTGTAGCAGTAAACGAGCGCTGCGATAGGATACTACGCGGCAGCAGCGAGGTCAATCCTGCAAAAAAGAGCATACCGGTAAGGAAAGTGATTACAATAGCATGGCCGGTAAAAACTGAGGGCGTCACCTGCAGCGAGTCGATGAGGACCTCGGAGAAAGCGGAATGTCTGTCCTTGGCTATATTCATGGCCACAAATAGACTGTTGAGAGCTATGAACGACGCATAGCCGTACACCAGCGGACTTGGTAAGCCCTGCGTTAGCGAGCGATTTAACAATGGCCAGGTCGCACGATTTCTGGAACGTATTCTGCAGCTTTCGCGCAGAAACAAACACAAACTTGTCAAGAATGAGAACAAGGGGCAAGCCAATCAATACCAACCATTCACGCACGAAGGATTTGCGGTTTATGCTGCTAAAACTCGTGAGATCCGAGTACGAACGCTGCATTTTCACTAATCTTCTCTTTGTCGATGGACCGCATTGCACCGCCCACCAGGCGGACAAGGCATCCCACGCCCTCACGATAGCCGAGTCACCCCCCAGTGTTGCAGAGTATGCCGAAAGAAGAGTATTCGAGCGAGAACAAGGAGATAGCATGCCGCGACCACAACTACCCCCGATACACTCACCCACTTGTTCTCTCTCAAAAATGAGCCAGAAGTTGCCATTGTCGTAGTCACCAGTGTTCATGAGAAGGTTCGCAGCATTGTTGGGGGCCACACTGAGGAAGATAAGCCAGGACGTCCACGCGATGCACACAAGCACAACCAGCAGCAAGCACGCTACCAAAAGCCTCCTGGAAAGTCAGGTCTGGTCCATCAGATTGGCGCCTTGGCTTGCCACTTGCCGGTTCCGAAGGTGGCGGCGACGTCGGAGCCACTTTTCGCATCGGGAATATTCGGACCAGCAAGGCTTCGACATGGTAACGAGTCGGCCGTTCGCGGACTTGACCTGGCACCACGATCATGTTGGTGGAATGCGAAAGTGCGGTGACCGCCGCGTCATACGCCGAAATAGTGCAAAGCGGTTCGTTGTCCAGGTTAATTTCAAGAAATAATGGAGTCTGATCATCAGACTGCATTGTTTTTTTGGACACTGATCCTACAGTCCGTAGTTGGTTACTACGACCAACCCTGCGATATCGCTGACACTACCGGACAATTTTTCGTGTTCAACGTCAAAACCACTGAATTTTATTATCTACCTGCACCCCAGCCAAGCCTCTTCTTGAGGATCGCACGGTGGGCCTACTCCTCGCTCGATCTCCAGACGGCGAACCTGGATAAACAGTGGGTCCACGTTGCAGGCGATCACCTGCATGCGGCTGCTGTAGCACATTCCTTCCGTCCCATTGATAGACGTCACCCCTGAAATTTCGCACTGTCGGTAGGGAACTCCTGCGCACGACGCGATGCGACTGGGCGACGGCATGTCGGACAGCGCCTCGATCGCAAACGGAGCGACGGATTTCTGGCAGACGACGACTTGGAACAGCTGAAGCACTCGCTGTGTGGCCGCCGTAGCGACTAGAGGACTGTGTGGCTCCAGGCACGTCGCGGCGGGGATGTTGAATACGGGGTCGTACTGGCAGTAGCTGTCCTGGAGGTTGCAAGACCCGATGAACCCATTGCAGCACAAGTGGTTGGGCCGGGACACGGCAAAGCGAGAGAGTTTGGTGAGTGGCGCGAGGTCGGGCACAGTCACCACCTGAGGGATGTGAATGAGGAGTAAAGTCTCAAGTTCTGGGACCTTATCGAAAGAGGGGAGCTCAGTGAGCGATAGCAGGATGGCAAACGTGACGCTGCGGATATTGGGCGTGCCGTCGAAAGGGGGGATGGCCACCAAGTTGTGGTGGTTGCCGAGGTGCAAGAACTTGAAATAGGGCATGTCTTCGAAGAGACCTGGAGGTAAAGTCACGAGATTCTGACTGCCGTATTTGCCTTCGACATGGCTGCGTAACATTGTGCAAGTTAGACTTTGTCTAGCGGCAAGACATACATTTCAGATCGTACAGTGCTTCGAGTTGCTTGAACTCCTTCGCCCAGCTCGGAATGTCTGCTATACTTGTGTAAATCAACGATCTAAACACGTTCATACAGTAAATTATGACCACAATATGTCAACACAACAAACAGAGATTTTTATGTAATCGTACATGCTTCGAAGGCCTGTACAGCGTCGCAATTCCTCTGGCCAATGGACCAACTGACGGTTGATTAGCTGGAGCTGCTGTAGCAAGCCTGCCGATGCGAGAGCTCGCACCTCGTGTGTAACATCTTTAGGTGAATTCCACTCCTCAGCTGTTCGGGGGGCGCGGTCGCCATCGATCAGCATGATGCAAGGACACTGGTTGTCCGTATTCCACACGTTCGAGAACGCAACACACTCCGGGTAGGCGGCACAAGCAGCTTGAGACTTGGACACCACCGTGTGCGTGTAAACGACAACCAACGCGCTAATTGTCATAAATGGCAGCGCTACCCACCGTGGCACCGGCTTCTGCCAAGGCTTCACGAGTTTGACATTGAGGCCATTTGAGCTCAGTCGCCGCCGTTTTAAGTGCAACTTGGAGTTTTGAGCAAACTCGAGGTTCACGACCCGGAAGAAGCGGTAGCAGAACGAAAGGTTCAGTCCGATGCTAAGTACAAAATCCATGAACCCAGCGATGCGTAACGAGTCAAAGTTCATGAGGAATAGCGCCACCTCCGCGGGGTCCGCCTGCGTCCGAGCTAACCGTTCAAAGTTCCCATCGGAGAGCACTTCAGCGTTGACCAAGTACACTGCTCGATCGAAGTTAAAGTTGTTGTAGCAGTAGCTTAGGACGGTGATCGGGTACACGACTGCAGCTACCAAGTCAAAACTGGACGTCGAGGAGGAGTTAGAGTCGCGTATTAATTCACAATCGAGCCGATCATCGACGTACCAAGAGTCGATGAGGACCTCGACAAATGCGGAGTTTTTGGCTATGAGAATGTTCGTACTGGCCGATAACCCGTTGATGCACACAAAAATCGCATATCCCAGCGTCAACTCAGTGGGCAGCCCCTGGTTTAGAATACGACGCAAAACGATACCCTGCACGACCAGGTCGCTCACTTTGTGGCATAAATTCTGACGCAGAATTCGTTAGAAAGGAGGTGCAATAAACACAAAGGGGTTAAGTTAGACGATAGCTGCAACGTACGAAGAATTTGCGGTATTTCGCGTTGTAGCCCGTGAGATCTCCGTAAAGCGTTTGGGCGCGCTCGAGCTTTGGGCGGCTGCCCCTGAGCGCGCCGCACATTCTCCTAGCCCACCCACTGGAATTTCCGCTGCCATTCGGCGTCGCTGCTCGTCGGAGCAAAACGAGTTTAAGTACGACCCCAATGTAGCACGTGTCCACCACGACGAGTCCGAGTACACTCGTCCACTTGACGATAGGCGGGCGATCGCTGATCAGCCAGAAGTTGCCATTGTCGTAGTCGCCAGTGTTCATGAGCAAATTCGCCGCTTCGTTTGGTGCAAGAGTGAGAAATACCAGCCATGAGGTCCAAGCTATGCAGATTATCGCCACAGTTAGGAAAGGGACGCCCAGCACCCCAAACGCTTCGAAGAACGTTAGACGCAGAGGCTCTGGCCGGTTGGTGTTCTCTTGTCGCGCTGGAGCAACATTAACACCTCTAACCGGAGCGATTCTCCTCGCACGACGAAACCCCAAGAGCAGCAACGATACAGGAGAAGTGCGACGAAGTCCACCAGCAGCAGGTGTGTTTCGTACGATGACATTAGCGACGGGAGGTCGTGGCAGCGAGAGTTTGGAGCTCTGAACCGACATCTCGCTCATTGCTGCTACGAGTTAGGCGTTCGAAAAGTGCAAGCAGGCAGTCCATTTCTAGTTGATACTGCTATCTTCAGACCTGGTAGTTGGTACTTCTATTTTGACGCCATCCCGCTTCTCAAGTTTTGGCAGTGAACTTGCCACAAAATTCACCAGTAAAGTCATGAAAATTCTATGCTCCACTCTCACTTCTCGTCTTGCAACCAAGCCAAGCCTCTTCTTGGGGGTCACTGGGGAGACCGACTCCCCGTTGGATTTGCACCCGGCGCACCTGGATGAAAGGCTGATCAACGTTGCACGCCACGACCTGCATCCGAGCACTGTAGCACATACCGAGTAAACTATCAGAAGTCACTCCAGGGATTTCGCACTGTCGGTAGAGCACACCGCCGCACATGTCGATACGCTCGCGAGTAGGCGTGTCCGATAGCGCCTCGATTGCCAGTGCAAGTGGCGTCCTCTGGTAGATAGTGTGCGGGAACCCTGCGATGACCTTGAGAGTGGCTGGACTCGCCCGTCTTGGGTCATTATCGGCTAAGCACGTGGCTCCAGAGGGGTCGTACATACAGTAGTTGTCTGTGAGGTTGCAGGGCCCCATGTATCCGTTGCAGCACACGCGGTTGGGACGGTAAAGCGTTAGGCGCGACAGACTGGTGAGAGATGACAGGTCCGGAAGGGCGGCCAACTGCGGGACTTGGATCAGTGCGAGAGCCTCTAACCGGGGTAAATGGTCCAGAGGGGGGAGCTCCTTCACGGATAGAAGGATCGCAAGCGTGATACTGCGCAAACTGGGCGTGCTGTCGAAAGGCGGAATGCCGTGAGGTGATAGTGGTTGCCAATGTGCAGGAATGAAAGTCTTGGCAGATCACTGAAGAGGTCCGAGGGTAGCGACACTAGGTTGCGACTTCCGTATTTGCCTTCAACATGCCTGCAAGTCGATGCCAGAAGAAAGGTAATAACACGTAGGGGGTTTAAGCATTGCTTTGCGTGTGGACGTACAAGAACTGGAGCTGCTTGAGCTCTGTAATCCAATCTGGAAGCTCTTCTGTGGTTGTGTAGATCAAAGAACTTCATTCAAAACGCCGTTAGCGTGAAGTTGAACACAGAGACTGTAAGCACTTACATTGTCTCGAGGCTGGTACAGCGGCGCAGCTCTTCCGGGAAATGGCGGAGTTGGCGATTGATGAGCTGCAGTCCCTGAAGAGTCCCCGCTACTGCCAGTGAACGCACACTGTCGGTGGCATCAACAGGAGAGTACCAATCTTGAGCTGACCTTGGTGTACGGTCGGCGTCGATCAACATGATGCACGAGCAATTGACACCACTGTCCCAAATGTGAGAGAACGCGACGCACTGAGGGTAGGCAGCACACGCAGCATCGGAAACTTTGATGGCCTGGTGCGTGTAAATTACAGCGAAGAAGCTAGCCACGAGAAATGGCAGTGCAAACCAGCGTGGCACAGCCTCCTGGAATGGACCGTCGACAGGAACCAGTGTTGAATCTAGCTTGGATCGTTGCGTTCGACCCCGTCGCGTCGCTAGGATCTCTACTACGCGACTAAAGCGATGGCAGAACGAAAGGTTCATGCCGATGCCCAGGACGAACTCCATCGCGCTTTTGATTCGCAACGAGTTGAAGTTGATCAAGAAGAGCGCTACCTGCGCCGGGTCGGCTTGCATCCGAGCGAAGCGCTCGAACGTGCCCTCGTCCAGCACCTCAACGTTGACGAGGAACACATTTCGATCAAACTGGAAGTAGCAAGTGCAGTATCCTAGCACCACCATCGGGAAGAGCACCGCGGCGCCTAGTTCAAAGCTGCGAGATTTAAGAGTTTAGCGCAAGCTCAAATGTTGGCGATGAAAACCAGAAACTTACATGGAATCGAGAAGAACCTCATTGAACGCAGAATTTTTCCCGGAGACGATGTTGTAGACGCAGGAAAACCCGTTCAGACTAACGAAATACGCGTAGCCGATAGACAAGGAGCTTGGGAAACCCTCGACCAACGCTCGGTGCAGCACCAGCCCTTGGAAAACTAGATCGCCAACCTTCAAAAACACGTTCTACAATTTAGGAAAGTGAGAACAGTAATCCGCTAAGTACATGCAGGCGAACTCGACTCCGACTAAGAAAAATGCTTACGAAATACTTGCGGTGCTTGGAGCTGTAGCCCGTCAGGTCCACCCAGACCATCACCACTTGTTGCAACTTGAACCTCTCGGCCAGCGCAACGTACCAGCTCTTTGGAGTCTCTTTGGTGTTCTCCCGCCTTGCGCTACTTCGAAACATGAACATTTTGACGAGCACCGCCATGTAGCCGACGTCCACGAGCGCAAAGCCCAGGACGCTGGCCCACTTGATCAAAGGCTCGCGCTCGACAATGAGCCAGAACTGACCGTAGTCGTAATCACCCGTGCGCATGAGTCGATTCGCGGCCTCATTCGGCGCCAGCGTCAGGAAAATGAGCCGCGACGTCCACAGGATGCAGAGGACCGCCACAAGTAGCAGCGGGATGCCCAGCGCCCCGTAAGCTTGTCTGAAGGAAACTCGGGTCTCTCGGGTGAGGTGGCGCAGGTGGGGCCATTATCGCGAGCATCAGGCACCACAGAGGTGGGAGACAGGAGCTTGACGCCGCTACAGCTCGGTGCCACACTCATGCTGGTCCCAGCAACGAGAATAGCAACCGAGATATTAGCGGACAGATCAGCGATCTATCCTTGACACCGACCGAGTCATGAGCTAACAATGTATCGAGCTCCACGACGACCCTGTGAAGGTCTTTTTCGATTGCAATCAACTACAATAGCACGAATTCGCGAGTCAAAGCTGAGTGGGGTCCACACTGCAGCAACTGCGAGCACTTGTCGTGTCCGATGGCGGCTGGTAAGCAGCCGGTGTGTACATGTACAGAATATACCGCCACTTCCGACACCATATGTTAGGTACCTTTTGTGCACTGTATAATTTGCTTTTTTGGTTGGGGTTGGGGTGCCGGAACGCGTGGACGGCGGCGAATGCCGCTCACGGGCTTCCGGCAGGCGCTCTCGGGCGTCTGCAAGTCCCTTGCGAGTCTCTCCCTTTGGCAGCCACCTTCACCAGCAGTACTACCCGTCACAACCCCCCTTCCGTATCGTTCTAACCGCACTGACCGCACTAACCGCGTTAGAATAGGCTCGTTCAATGTGCAGTCCCTAGGTTCGCTATACAAGCAGTTTGAAACGCTTCCCCAAGACCTGCGCCGCTACCAGATCAATATCCTTGGCCTCCAAGAGACCAAGATGTATGAGCTGGGGCGCTTTGAGGTCGGAGACTACTTACTACTAACGTTGCCGGCACAGGAAGAGCGCTACCGAGTTGGATTTGCCATCTCTCCTCGCGTTACTCCTTACTTCCGTCGGTGCTGGGCTCACAGCGACCGTATCGGCATCTTGCAGGTGCGGCTACCTAACACAGGACCCATCAACATCGTCACGGCCTACGCTCCACACAGCGGGCGCCCACTAACTGAAGTAGATGCTTTCTATGCAGACCTTCGAGCAGCCATGGACCAATTCCCCCGCAGAGATATCACCATGATTACCGGAGACTTTAACGCAAAACTCGGGCAGAAAACAACCGGAGAAACGTTTCTCGGGCCTCATGCACGAGGCACGCGTAACCGGAACGGCCACCTCATGGCTGCCTTTTGTGATACTTATCAACTCTTTGCTACCAATACAGCCTTTCCCAAGCGAGCGAAAAACAAGACCACCTGGAGCCAGCGCAAGCGGTCACACTGTGTCTACAATCAAATCGACTACGTACTCTGCCCTCAGAGTTGTCGACGGTTCTGTCTAGATGCCCAGTCCTGGGGTGGGGCCATCACCCCGTCCGACCACAAGATCGTCACCGCGGACTTTGAGCTCAAGCACATCCGTCGCCTCCGGTTTCCGTCGCGTCGCACAAGCGGCACAACTGTTCACCTCGCACGCAGCGAGTTAGTTCACAGCGACGACTCCAGAACCGCTTACGCATCAGCCGTTAAACGGATCCTACCCCCGCAGACGCTGACGATGGATCCACTATCAACCTGCAATGGGAGGACACTTTTGCGAAGCTACACGAAGCAGCATCGCATACCATCGGGTTTTCTTCGCCGGATCGACGACGCTGCCGCAGCTTCGACGATCCGCTGCTCGCCGCGCTGTCCGAGCAACAACTCCAGCTCCGGCTCCGCATTTACAACGACACATCGGCCAACACAGACCTGCTGCGCTCTCAGCGAAACAAGATCCTACACCAGATCCGTACTCGCTGCTGTGACCTCGCTAACATGGCCCTCGACGAAAAGGTTTCACGCATCGAGGCTTCAAGCGACTCTCACAAAATGTTCGTTGCCGTCCGCGATCTCGCCCGCAAACCGACACAGCAGCTTCTAATTCAAGACTCATCAGGTAAGTATATACTTCACAGCAACGCAGCTAACAAAATTGTCCGAGATCACTTCCAAGAACAGTTTCTAAATCCAGATCAAGCTCAAGTATCGCCAGACCCAACCGCTCAACCCCTCGACTGCCCAATCACGCCGGACGAAGTCCGTGGTGCCCTCCTTCGACTGAACAACGGTCGTGCTGCTGGCCCCGATGCTATTCCTGGTGAACTACTCAAGTATGCCGCTGCTGACGTTGCTCCACGACTCGCACATCTACTAAACCGCAGCTTCGAACGCGGTGAACCCATCCCACTGGGCCAAGGTATCCTGCTGTGTCTCCAGAAGCCGAACAAGCCACGAGGGCAGTGCTCAAGCCTACGCCCGATAGTTCTCCTGAACACTATTCGCAAAGCGGTGTCACTCATCGTTCTCCGCCGCATCACACCCGCGGTCGACAAGTTTCTCTCAGGCCACCAAAGTGGCTTCCGCAAGAGCCGCAGTACGGCTGACGCGGAGAGGGCCCACAAGTGGCTGTGCGCACGGGTACAAAAGTATCGCGAAATCGTTCATGTACTGGGTATCGACTTCTCGCGCGCGTTCGACACGATCGACCGTGCCAAACTCCTCAAAGTTCTACAGCAGTTTCTACACGACGAAATCCGGCTGATTCGACTTTTACTATCCGACACAACGCTTTCACTCCGCATCGGCCACCAGATCCTGCAACCATTCGGCAGCAACACAGGTACGCCACAGGGCGACTCACTCTCACCAGTATTATTTGTTATCTACCTAGAAGCAGCACTTAGAGATCTAGCTAGTCATCCTGCAATGCCGCCGGACCTGCTCCAGCAAATGATCGTGTATGCGGACGATGCCGACTTTATCTGTCGGGACCCCGCCCTCGTCGAGCTCATCCAGACTCATGCCCCGGAAGTATTCGCGCGCTGGTCGCTTCAAATGAACGCGGCAAAGACGGAGCACACAATTCTCCGCCGCTGCCTGACACCTGCCAGTGCCGACCCCCACGCTCGTGCAGAGGAAGAAGCATGGAGGTCTACGCGGAAGCTTGGCGCGTTGCTCGGAGATGCCGATGACGTATCGCGTCGGAAATACTCGCTGCGGCTGCTCTTCGGCGGCTCTGGACGGTCTGGCTGAGATCGCACCGTATCACAGACACGACACGAATTCGCCTCTATAACTGCTACGTACTGCCGATAGTACTCTACAACTGCGGGACCTGGGCGCTTACACCAACGGAGCTTCACCGACTCGAAAGCTTTCACCGTCGCCAGCTACGGTCTGTGCGTTACCCGTACCACATCTCCAACGCTGATCTCTACGCAACGTGTGACGAGCGGCCGCTCTGTCACCGGATCACATCTGCGAGGTGGGGGCTTCTCGGGCACATTCTACGGTGACCACAAGATATCCCGGCGTTTATCCAGATGAAGGCGTATTTCTCTTCCTCAGACAGCAGCAAGTGGAGAGGTAGGCCCCGTACCACACTGCCTCTTGTCCTTGATCAGGACCTTGATGCTAGTGGGTGTGGGTACCGCCTCCGCACCAGCTCAGACTTGGAGAGACTTCGACTGCTTGCCCAAGACCGACGTAAATGGAAGGCCCTCATGACTACCATTGCTGACTCACTGCCAGCCAAAGGAGACTCGACGTATGCGGACACCACACTATGCCGCCGACTAGCTAAACTGAGACTAGCGCAGGTGTAATTTGGCTACGCGAACACGTAAATCATTGCATTGCATTATAATTTGCTGCAGGGGAAGCGACCTCTACCTGGTCGATGCCACAATAAGCATGTCGGCAACTACATGTACGTCTTCGTCTAGGCCCCCGGTTTGTGCGCCTTCGTCGACCTCACCAGACTCGTTAAGACTACTTAAGGATGCTGTTTGGACCATCTTCTGGCAGCAGAGCGCGTCGCGCGCGTCGTCTACCCCAGCTTCTGGCGCTACTGCGCTGCTTGAGTCGCTTCCCGGCGTCTTGACAAACGCGAAGCTCATACCTGCTTAGAAACATTATCAGCCAACCTGTAGACACGCCCACGTTCAGCGTGGGTCCCCCCACCCCCGAGCGCAGCTTGTTAGCTCTCCTCGTGACGACCTTTCGATCTCAATACACACGCGCTTTTCTGCTTTCTCGATCCAGCCTTCGCCTCCACCTTGAGAGGCTTGCGACGCTTACATTCGTCGTAGGTCTTCTTCGTTATGGTGTCCGCTTGGCCATGCTGGTTGGTGTGCTCCGTCCGCAGCAAATACTCGAATGGCGCTCATTGTCTGGTACCGAACGAATCGTGCAGGAGTGCATTTCGCGCGCGCGCGAAACTTCCCTTCTAAACCTAATATTTGAAAGTACCAAAAATATTGGAGGTCATCTGTTATTAGCAGTGTCGGAAGTGAGAGTACCTTCTGTACGACATCCGTAGGCTAAACACAGCAGAACCTCCGTGCTTACGACTTCCACAGACGGTGTCTGTGACGGGGACCCCAGCCTCGCTGTTGCTCCGTTTTTAGTGTGTCAAGACGAGCGGCGCGTTGAGCAGCACGCGGAAGACGTGTTCGCCACGTTGAAGTTGTCCGTCGCAGCGATCGAGTCGCCCGGGACAGCAAAGCTTCTTCACGCGTGGTGATCTTTGGATTCTCGAGAGCTCGGTGGTCTCTGGAGCTGCATGAAGCCAGCGATCGGGTCGACATCCAGAGCCGTCCCGGTCAAACGGACATCGTCGTGCTTACAAGGCCGCGACTTCAGACCATCGGGGCATTGCCCTCGCACGCACATGGGGCCCCTGTGACGGGGACCCTCATCTTCACTGTTGCAACCGCACGATCCCCCCCTGTGCATCGCCAGCGTTGAGTTGATCGGTTGTTTGGATAGTCCTATTATAATAATAAGAATTGCACGCGATGTTTGTTAAAAGCTCGGGCGAGAAAAAAGCTTTCGGAATTGAGCTCGACATTTGAGTCTGTCCGACCGCGACGATGGGCAGCACCTTGATCCCAAGACATGAAGCCCTCGCTCGCTCGCCTCACCTGCGCGGCGGCGGATTTGAGGCAAAAGCAGCTCACCCTCTGCCTTCTTCCTCGTCTTCTGCAAGCAGCTCGCCAATATTTGCGGGGCAGAAAACCGTTCCTCAAAGCAATCAGGGCAAGCTCGAAGGAAGCCCTCGTTGAAGCCGTCAACAGCGCAGAGCAGCACAGCGCGGAGGATATTATTCGCTGCGCGGCATATGGTCCGCCGTTCCGCCTCCTGCAACCGCACAAGATCGCTGCTGGCAGAAGCTGCCGAGGCGCTACATGTATTATAGCGGACGTTAGCAATCGCCCTCGTAGCATCTCGTTGCCGCTTGGTGCTGCCGCCTTCAAGCGCGCGCGCTGAAACGCAAGGGTGAAGTTAAACCGCCGGTACCACCTGCTCAATGCGGCCGCAAAAGATCGGCTGAAGTCGACGTGCTTCCAGCGGCCAGCGACCACCGCACGCCTGCGTGGAGTTTAGACAGTTATCTGTGCTCTGTTGCGTTGGGCGCTTCCTACGCGCGCGTGCCAGGCGTCGACGCTTGTTGGGCCTCCGCCCGGTTACCGGATACCAAGCGCTCCTTCCTACAGTACTGTTCTGATATGGAGTCGCACTTACGCGAATGTGACGGTGCAGCGAGCAGAAGGATCCAGAACGGGGCCCATCATCGCTAGTCGCACAGCCCAGCGCGGACGGATGGCATGGATCTGCTGCTGCTGGCGGCTGGCGTTGGTGTTGCACTCTTTCTTAGGAATCCAGGTCTACTGGTGAGAGAAGCAGCGTCTGGCCGTCGTAAAAGCCTCGCAGCTCCATCGGTCGGCCTTATCCGTAGCAGAGCTTCGATCGCCAGCCGTGAGATACGAATTTCACCCGCACGGCCACTGCCGCCAGCGGGACTGGGCGCGTAGCGCGGCCTATCCTACAGCACAAGCACCACGTTCGCTGGACGGTGCGCGCAGCCTCGATTTGCCGCAGCGGAACTCGCTCGGCAAAGCCCATCGCGCGGTCGGCCGCCGGTCCATCATCTGCCTTCGGGAAACGCGGCTCCGCTGCAGCCGCGCTCCGGATGCCTCACACAGATGGGGGCAATACTCTTCGGCGGCGCGCTCTCACTGCGCAGGGCTGGCAAGCTGCGCCAGCGCCAGCAGCAGCTCGAGCCTGCGGCTATCCTGGTCGCCCGTGGCGTCAATGCAAGCACGGATCAAAGATACTTTCTGCCAACGAACTGCTGAGAAAAACACGCGGTCAGCGGTACAGTCGAAGCGGTCTCAATGGAGAGAGCATCGTACTGGGGCTTCTATCTCCGCGCTGCTGCCGCCTCAACTCGAGCGCGTACCGCAGCGCTTGGGAAGCGAGCGAGTTGCTTGCTTGCACACACCCGCAGCGACGCTAAAGTTTAGCGGAGCGACAGCGGAGCGACAGCGGCGAGCCAAAAGCCCGGGGCTTTGCTGGTGCTCGGCTTCCTTTTTACAGTGCGCGTAGCCGGTCCGTGCGCATAAACGACGAGGCTGCAGGTATCCGGTCCACTCGACATAGTGAAACCTAGTGCAGCATACTGAACGCCAGTCACGGCGCTTGGGACCGTGCGCAGACGGGGCGCGTGGTAACACGCGCCGGGCGCACCAGAGAGCTCGCTCCGCCGCCCTTCGTTTCGCTCAGGCGAGCAGCTCCACTGCCTGCATTTGGCAAACGTCCGCGTCGCTGTCAGTCGCTCTACCCCCTCTACACCTCACTCTACCACTACCAGCGGCCATGGTCTGCACACTAAGCGCGACGGTGCTGGAGGCGCACGCGCTGGGCGGCACCAAGATGTTCGAGGTCAAGGTGGCGTGCAAGGGCAAGAGCACGTCCGTCTACAAGAGCAAGGAGGACTTCAAGAGCGTGCTCGACATGTTCCGCCTCGTGGGCGCCATGTGCCGCGCCAAGAGCGACCGCTGCGAGGTGTGCGCCGCCTGCAGCGCCACGAGCGCCGGCCGCCTGGGCGACGAGGACGCGCTCGACGCCTTCCTCGGCGACGTGCTGGCCAAGCTGCGCAAGGCCGAGCCCGAGCTCATCGAGAAGTGCAGCTCGCACCGCGGCGTCGTGCAGATCCTCATGGACTTCCTCAACGTGCGCAACGGCAAGTACTTCTGCGAGCTCACGCCCGAGATGGAGGAGGAGCTGTCCCCGAGCAGCAGCCGCGGCGGCAACAACAACAACGACGGTCTGCTGCACGACGAGGTGGACGTGGACCACCCCGTCTCGCGCTGCTCGCTCAACCGCACGCTCTCGGAGCAGTTCGCGGCCATGGACTCGGTGTGCTAGTCCGCGCAAGGTCCACAGGCCCCCCTCCCTTTTGTCCACGCGAGCTCCTCCCTCCCCCCGCATTCCACTATATAAACTCAAGCCAAGTGAACCAAGCGCTTGTCCTCCCGGAAAGGACCCCCCTCGCTCCCACTCGTCTCCGCGGGTGCCAGCAGGATTGTAGATTCCCCACCCTCCACCACCAACCACCACGGCTCGACCTTCTCTCTGTATGTTGTTCCCCGTCCCGAGAGAGAGAAGTTGATGGCGCCACGGTGGGAAGTCCAGGGCAACGGCGTCAACTGAAGGCCGAACAGCTGAAGCAGTTGGCAGTTGGTGTCGACGATTCCCATGCGTACAATAATTGAAACAATATAAGAGCTCCAAAAGTGGCAACCTGTGGGTCGCGTCAGTCGGTCGGTCCTCAACAACAACAGCGGCACCGCCACCGCTGACTGAGGCCGCCTAGCACAGTTCTTCGAGCTGCGAATAGAGTATCTCCCCCCCCCCGGGTAGTGCGTGTTCTCCGAAATCGCCAGGGTACCTCGATGCCCGTCACCTTCGCAAAAAGGTTGTACAGTACTGGTAGCTGTAACGAGTCATCGATTAGACTTCCAGACTTCCCCCCCGTGGTCAGGCTACGTGAGCAGCAGTCGCAAAGCAGTCACCGCCGCCACCCAGCAGCGGTTCATCCGAGTAAATAACTCGACGTGGTGGCGTTGCTTGGATACAGGATCGTGCGGTTTTTTTTGTTTTCTGTGTGTATCGAGCTATCTTTCCTCATACCTATTCACTTTCTGAGCTGGTGCACGGAACTGTGGACGGCGATGGTTGCTGCGCAGTTCCTGCCTCGGTTTACTGGCAGCCGGTCCCGACTGTAGCATTAACGAATTTGGAAGTCCTGGAAGCGGTGGCTCAAGGTTGCGAGATGCGTGCTGCCTTCGTGGCTGCTGCAGTTATTGCCTCACATGCATCGATGCTGCTTGTGTGTTGAAGGCTAAGAGTCCGACTCGCAGAGGCTGCCACTGTGAACTGACCTAACAAGTCAGTAGATTGTGGAAGCGGACTGAAAGGTGTCGACAGCAATTCACAGTTGGTAGACAATGTGCTCAGCAATGCTGAGTCAGCATGGACCCAACTACTCGCTCTCTAGGAGCGGTGGAGTCGGTCAGCTCGCTTGGATAAGCAGGATATTTTTGCGTTGAGGGTCACGACGGACAAAACGACCTCTTCGTGGTGAGGTGTAAGTTCATTTAGGACTCTAAGGTCTAACGAGCACCAGTATTCGGAGCTAGGACCCACCCATACACGTTTTGTGCCCCTCGTAAGGATGACCAGCCCTGTAACAGGACGACAGGGCAAGTGCGCACGGGCTCGGACCACGTGGAATGCGAGCTTTATCTTGCGCTCGTACATCATAGAGAGCGTTCTCCGAAGTAATGCGACAGTAAACTGTCGTAATATAAGATAGCGACTTCAATGCAACACTGCCACCTCGAGCCATCAGCGGTCTTACAAGCTAGAAATTCGCCATGCCCACAGACACAGCGTACAAGCAAGCGATTCGCCCCAATTCGCCCAACTCGTCGCAGTTCACCCCGTCTCAGCCAGCCCCATCGTCGCAGGTGGAGAAGGAGACGTTGCCGTCCATCATTGCGCACGCAGTGCCATGGCTGTGGCCCGCATCAACAGCGACGAATCGACTTGGCCCAGGAGCGCGAGACTCGTATCATTCCCGTTTGCAGGGCGACGAAGGACGACTGGAGGGCGTACCTGGACAGCGAAAACCAAGCGCTGAAATCGAAGTGCTGTGAGTGGATCGAAGGCACGATCTACATCGTGGAGCCGCTGAGCCAAGAGCACGAGTCGTTCACTGACGTAGTCAAAGGAACTTTGTTCAACCAGTATGCCTTCTTTGCGTACCTGCAGCCCTTCGGCTCCGCGGCAATTCCTGGTCATCCCGGGCTGCATGACTATGAAGCTGACGCTTGCTACAGTCCGAGGCAGTTCACGGGAGGTCCGCTTCCCTCTGGTGTTCAAGACTATCTCTCCTGGTACACGCTCGTCGTTGAGGTTGGGAAATCGCGCGGCTGGGGAGACGACGCTGGAATGCTCGGCTGGAAGGCTTTGGGGTGGTCTCAGTTTCCAGGAGTACGTGCGTGGCAGTCACAGACCGCTTGGCAACTGCCGAGTACAAACTCTACCCGGTGGAGCGGGACGACGACTTACCTGTGCTCAATCCCGTGCCGGTGGTTGGACCTCAGACGTTGGTGACGTTCGACTCGCGCGTGCTGCTGGGCCTGCCTCCGGGGGCAGACATTCCACGCAGCCCATATTCACGTGCTCGCTTCCCGGACCCAACCTTCACTTTGGACCTTTCCGATGTTCTCGAAAAGGCCCGGAGGCCATGGGTATGAGCTCGGTGATGCTTTGCTCGATGCGGCGTTCGTTCGTTGGTTCTTCTTGTTTACTCTTCTTTTTTTGTTATTTTTCATTTTCTTCTTCCTCGCAGCTAGCCAGCTAGCCACCGTGGTGTACTACATGTAGTTCACCTCAATCAAATGAATTGCTGCTCGCAACTGGCGAAGGGCATAACCGTATAGAGGGCTCGCGCTCGACTTCAACTCAGCGCGCGCACCGCCTGACAGACACACGCCCTCGCGAAGCTGCGACAGAGAATTTCTTCGTTGTCGAGCCAGCGATAGCGGCACCTGCTGCTTCTCGCGTGCGAGCGCTTTGCGGAAGCGCATCGGGGCTCGCCCCACTCGAGACTCTCCATGAGAGGCATGTGTCGAGATGCAGCTCGTCGACATGATGTCTCCACTGCTGCTATGCTGCTGCTGGCGGCGCCTGCTGCTCGAGCTGTGCCGCCTCGCCTCTGATGACTTTAAGCATCTCCTGGCTCTCGAGCTCGTGGATGGCGCCGATGGTGTTGCGGCGGCGCTGCGTCCGCTCTGCCCCGCTGGTGGCGTGCGCCTCCTCCGCGCGGGCCTCGGTCATGGCTGCGCGGATGTGGTGCAGCAGCTCGGCCTCCGTGTTGGCGCCCACGAGCTCCAGCACCTTCTGCTGGAGGAACGCGCACCAACTGCTGCTACGCTGCAGCTCCAGCGCGGCCTCCACGAGCGCGTCCAATGCTTTCTCGCGCTTGCGGTTGGACGGGTGGGTTGAGACCCAGTCGAAGTCCATGTCCAGCGCGCCCTCACCTGCCTCTGGGTCCGCGTAGAAGGCGGTGAAGGCCTTCCACAGCCGCGGGGCCTCGGACGGGTCGTAGCACGCGCTGGCGAGCAGCATGATGCCGATGTGGTCCGCTTCGGCCTCTTGCGACCGACTGAAGGGCAAGTTGAAGGCTGCAAGTGCAACATGACACGAGGGTCAAGACTGGAGTGCTTCAACCTCGGCCACAGAATGAGAGACGCAGGTGCGTACCGAACTGGAAGATGTACTCGAGCAGCGGACTCTCCATGCCGAGGATCAGCTGCAAATACATCAGCGGCAGCATGCTCATGGACTCGGCCGTGTGCCTCGCCAGCGCGTGGCCGATCTCGTGCGCCATCACGACTGCCAGCGCGTCGTGCTTGTTGCGGCAGATTCCCTTCTGCACCGCAAAGTCGATGAGGTCCAGGATGCCCGTCTGCACGATGATCTTGCCGCCGGGGGCGCAGCACGCGTTGGCGGAGGACGGGTTGTCCACCAGCCACACGCGCCAGTCGTACTCTCGGGGGAACAAGTGCTCGGACACGGACACCAGTCGGCTAGTAGTGCACAGAGTTAGATATACAAAGTGAGTGTGGTTACAAACTTCGGTGGACGCTTGGGTACTTTAGGTGAAAGACGTACGTGGCCACGTCGAGGCAAAGTTGTAATCGAGGCCCGTCGTCGATGGTCTTGGCCCCAGCCAGTTCCTCCTGGGCAGTTTTGTTGCCGAGTTCCTGTTGCACGAGTTGACAATGGGCGGTTAGATGACACCTAAACATTTTCTCTTTTTTTTTCACAATAACTTAGCCGAGGATCTTGCCGACGTACACATTCTTCCTCGCGCGAGAGCACCACGACCTGCGTGCGCCCGGTGATGGGGACGGTGTGCAAGTTGGTCAGGAACTGGTACGTGGCCGACGTGACGGCCAGCACCGTCCCCCACCGCACCAACTGCAGCGGCAACAAGAGCAACAGTTAGAGACTCCGTCGGCGGCAACTGCTTTAGCACTCTCTAAAAAAAGTGTCTAACCTGTGTCTGGAACTTGGATGGCTGCACGTCTGTATACAAACACCAAGATCATTTAACACTAGCCTAAATGGCAACGAAATGTAGGCGCTTACGCACGAGTCTGCACCAGGTTTAAGTGCGGGAACCGGATCACGCGCAGCATCTCCACGGGCTGCACGCTGCGCAGCCTCCTCTTGGGCCCGAATACAGACCAGCTGTGCCTGGGCACTGCCGCGCGCCCGCGCCGGAAGACGTCCACCCAGCCCATGTCATGCAATTTGAGTGTGTAAAATACCCACGAGCACCCACGGTCAAATCTGATATAACGGGTACAGTTAATTAACAGTTCACTTCAACTTGGTATGTACAGTAGCTTTTCATCGCGTGAAGTTAGTGTTTCATCTGAAACAAGTAGAGCCAATACATTTCGTGTTCATTCACAAGCTTTGCTAGAAGTGACAAGAACGAGATCGTTCAAGTCGCTTTGAGCGTTCATCCCACCGAAGATCAAGAGTCCCTGGCTTTGGGTCTTCGCAATTGCTTGGGGTGGTTCCTGCATTGTCACAGTCGCACCGCAATGCCCGAAGCGCTCCGGGACCTCCGACACCGCCGGTTCAGTCGCCTGCTCGCCGTCGTTGCACTCGCCCAACGTCACCTGGATCCAGGATTCCTCCTCGTCCGAGTAGCGACAGCAGTCACCGCAGATACGGCCGCCGTCCCAACCGCCAAAGCTGATGAGTTCGCCGTCAATAACCCCAGCGGCGAGCGAGCACCGATTCCACTCGCACATTGGCACGAGCTGCCACGTCCAGCTCTCGACGTCTAAAATTGCCATGTCGGTGCATACTTTGCCGTCAAAGTTCCGTCCTCCAGCGAAGCAGATCGTGCTGTCGGACTGCAGCAGCGCGCAGTGGAGCTCCCGGGCCTCTGGGGCCTCGCCACCCGAGCTCAGCTTCTCCCACCGCAGAGCCTTCTCGCCATTGTGCACTGGGATGTGGAGTAGGAAGAGCTCGTCGGAAGCTCCAAACTCGGGTGACGAGCCACCGTGCACCAGCATGCGTCGGATCTCGGGAGACTCGTCCTTCTCGGGGAGGATAATCGCAGCGTGGGCATTACGGGGGAACGGTGCGTCACCTTCCACTGTGGCTTCGTACCAGGACGACGTCCGCGTGTCGAAGACGAACACGTCGTTGGATATTGCACCCGCAGCGACGTTGAGACCACCAAACACGTAGATTTTGTCGTCAACGCTGACTGCCGAGTGCCCACTCCGTGGCGGCAGACTTCCACTTGACGGGTTAACGAGCTTCCACTTGCGAGCATCTGCTCGTAACAATGTTGTAAAGTAAGTTTGCATCTAGGATTCTTTACGGCAAGAGGCTTTGTCAGCCGCACCTAGATTGAAGCTGTGCACATCGCCGAAGCTTACGCCTTCTCGGTTGGCGCCCCCGATCAAGTAGATCAGCCCACCTTTGCCCACCTGCAACAAAGTTCATGTCAAGATGAAGACCAACTTTTCGCTTTAGCTGCTCTGCATACCTGCGTCAAGGTCGCGCCCCCGCGCTCCGCAGGCTTCAGCGCCGACTCATCCAGCTCCACGCTCTCCACCGAGTACACTGCGACCGACTCCTGGTTCGACGCCATATCCAGATCCTTTCCGAGCACACAAAAGCCAAAATGACAGCGAAGAGCCGCACCTGTCCACCAAGTCCAAATCTAGACCAAATCTACCGAAAATGCATTTCCACCATCTCTTCCTAACTTCTCGGTATCTTCCTTCACCTCTGCGGGGGCGGTGGGGGCGGGTAGGCCATCGGCGGAGGAGGCGGCGGAGGCGGCACCATGCCCATTCCATTGCCCATGCCCATGTCCGGCACCTGCATCTGCGTCATGTAGGCAGGCGGAGGAGGGGGCGGCGCCTGCATCCCCATCATCGGAGGGGCAGGAGGCGCCCCGTTGGCCCCCGGCGTGAACGCGAACATGGTGTGCGGTTGCAGCTTGTTGGGGTTCCTCTGGGCCAGCAGCCGCTCGGCCTCCGAGCCGTGGCGCTCGTTGCGGCTGTCCTTCTTGAAGGCGTACTGCACCACGACCTGGCGGTTGCACAGGTACTGGCCGTGCATGCACTCGATGGCCAGGTCGGCCGCCTCGAACGAGTCGAAGCTCACGAAGCCGAAGCCGCGCGACGCCTTGGTGTCCGGGTCGCGCATGATCTTGGGCGTCTCGATGATGCCCCCGAAGGCCGAGAACGTGTCGTACAGCAGCTTCTCGTCCACCTCCGGGTCCAGGTTGCCCAGGAACAGGTTGGCTCCCACGTCCAGGTTCTTGCGGTCGCTCGAGGCCTTCTTCACGCGGATGGCCTTGCCGAAGAGCTGCACCATGTTTAACACTTTAACCGCGTACTCGGCGCACTCCTCGGTGCGGAACTCCACGAAGCCGTAGTTCTGGTGGCTGCCCGTCACCTTGTCGCGCGGCATGTGCACGTTGCACACGCTGCCCGCCTGCAGCATGAGCTCCCAGAGCAGCTCCTCCGTCACGCGGTCGTCCAGGTTCCCCACGTACACGGTCGCATCCTGGTTGCGCTGCTCGATGGCCGCCGACATGGTGGTATTCGCGAATGAATGGGCAAAATTTAGGTTAAGAGTTGGGCTCCTATCAGTGATTTTCATGTCATATGATTGGCTGACATATATAGCACATATTAGTACCCTAAGATAAAAGCTAACAAAAATGATGAGTCCACTATTCGAGTGGTTTCACTTCAACTTGGGATGGTCAGCCAATCTGATGGCGCTGGAGATTGTCCACAGACCAGAACCGAGTGAAGTTACTTGTTCTGAGCTACAGCTAATGCGGTGAGTGCCTCGGACGTCCACTACGTCTCAAGCTGCCTCGCTTAACTTCATTTGGAGATTGACAGTTCACCCGACGCTAGCCCTGATGAAACACGAAGGAACGGTCAAGAGCCTCGTCCTGGATGTGTCGACGCTTGCCGAAGGTGTTGACAACCTAAAGCTCCAGTGTCTACAAGACCGCGATCACCCAGATACGTCGCCTCTAGACGCCCAGCTACTCACTGACTTTCTATCCGGCGGCGATGCAGTAGCCCACAAGTTCTGTGCGTACGGCAACAACGGCAGCAGCCGCTGGCGAGAGCCTCTCTTTGAAGCGTTGACAGCACGTGGTTGAAAGTCGGTCAAGAGCAACCATCGCAACTACACGCCTCTGAAGCGATGCATCGAACAGCTCGATGAGTTCGGCGCTCTCTCCACAAGCGACGAGCTGATCTTGGTGCTTGGGTGCAACTTAAAGATTTTTATGTTCAGTAGCCACAAAGACGCAGCGAGGCAGCGCCACCTCCGAGACCGTATCGTTGCACTTGACGATAAGGTCGGCAACCTTTTCCGTCCAGACCTGCAGCTTCAAGGCGTTGATGCTAAATCTCGCGTTGCAGTCACAGCTGACGGAGTTGTCTCCGAGGACCAAACCGACTTTGAGGCAGACGTTGGCAGTAGCGATACGAGTGATGAGTTCAACGACACGCTATCGGATGAAGACGACGACTTTACTGGCGAAGCGGAGGAGCGAAGGCCACGAAATGCTATCGTAGCTAGGGAAGCCATCTCTCCGATACTGATCACGCCCCGTGGCGATGAACTCGACGGCGATGAGGACTCGTATACTGAGTCCGACCGCGATTCGTCAAATGAGACGGATAACGATGTTGACAGCGACGCAACAGAAGATGAAGACTGAGAAGCAGTCGGCAAAGACGAGGAGTTGCAGACACTGGCAGTCCCCAAGAGCAGGCTACATCTACTCAAGACGACCGGGTTCTTGATGATTCAACGAGTTATGCACCTGACAACGAAGAAACAGATGAAGAAAATTGGGAGGAATCTGACGGAGGTGGCTCGCAATTGGAAGAAGTGCTGGGATGCCAGGAGAGTGCCCCAGGGTAAAATATGAGGAACGACGAAGTCCAAGACGGAATGGCGCTCCCTATTTCCAGCGCCAGGTACTTCCATCACAGCACTGCATCGCAACAGCCCAGTATCAGCCTGCCTCAGGCCGAGTCTGACCCAAGCAAACTTGCCGACGAAAAAACAAAGGAGAGCAACGGTGTAGACTTGAAATCAAACGATGCTGAGGTCGACGATGAAGCTACGATTTGTTCTCTGGAAGCGGTCGCTGCGAAACTGGCGGAATGCTAGCGGCGCTTTTTGGTTGGAAGTAGTATACACTTGGCTAATCAACTATCTAGACAGTCTACTACTGCATGTAGCGTTTGCCCTGTGGACACTTGATGTACGACAGCAAATGAGCCAACCGTGCATACATATATTTTCTCTTCATGCTAATCAATATAATGCCGACTTATTGCGAGTCATCGTGGTAATGAGCTTGGGTTCTCCCTGTTGCATTTACAAAGGATCAATCGGCGCCACCATCAGCGCGAACTCGCTTGATGACCGCTTGGGTAGCTTCGCAACACCAACGTGGTCCTGAGGCCTGTAGTCGTAGGCCAGTCCTCCATGGTACGTGACATCGATGCCATTCACCTCCTTGTCCTCGTCGACGCGAAGTCCAATGGTTATCTTGATCAAGTAGAGGATAACCAGTGTCACCACGAACGAGTAGGCCGCAGCCACGCACTGAGAGACCAATTGGTGCACGAACTGCTCCCCGTTGCCGTAGAAGGCACCGCCCTTGATGTTCGGATTCACATCGGACGTAGCAAAGAGGCCGGTCATCAGTCCACCGACGAACCCTCCGCAGCCGTGGATACCGAACGAGTCCAGCGTGTCATCATAACGCAGGCGGTTCTTCATTTGCACAGCAGCAAAACCCGTCAGCGCGCCCACAATGCCGAAGATGACCGACGCCCACGGGTACACATAACCACAGGCGGGGGTGACGGCAACCAGGCCGGCCACTGCGCCACTAGCAGCTCCGCAAGGGTCGAACTTCCTGTACATCCCAAACTCCAGGCCCACCCAAGTGAGGAAACCTGCGCATGAAGCCAAGTGCGTGTTGATTGCAGCAGTGGCAGCGATGCCGTCAGCGGCTCCCTGTGAACCAGCGTTGAAGCCGAACCAGCCGAACCACAGCAGCGTTAGACCGATCATCACTAGCGGCACGTTGTGGGGCTTCACCGGTTCGGTGTGATTGTACCTCTTGCCCACCATGAGAGCAGCAGCGAGCGCTCCAAAGCCACTGGAGATGTGGATAACGGTGCCACCGGCAAAGTCGAGCGAGCCCATCTTGCCCTCCCAGCCCATGGCGGTGATCGCCCACGACCCGTCGAGCTTCAGTGACCACATCCAGTGAGCGAGCGGGTCGTACACCAGCGTCGTCCAAACCAGGATGAAGATCAGGAACGAATTGTACTTCATTCTCCCAACGATACCGCCACTGAGTAGCGCAGGCGTGATCATAGCGAACTGCGTCTGGAAGAAGGCGAACAACAGGTGCGGGATCTGAGTGCCATAGGTGCCGCTCGGAGTCTGCCCAACGTTGTCGTAGGCGGCCCACTCGAACATTCCATTTGATCCGAAAGCCACTGAGTACCCGAAGGCCCAGAACTGGATGGATACGAGCGCCATGCTGACGAACGACATCATGATGGTGTTAGACGCCATCTCCTCGCCCGCCAGGCCAGCGTAGAAGAAGGCGACACCAGGGGTCATCACCATCACCAGAGCGCTGGAGACCAACATCCACGCCGTGTTACCCGAGTCAACCGCTTGGCCGTAGTCCGTTTCGGCCTTCTCGCCTTGGCTCTTGTAGTTGACGCACTTGCCAGTGACCGAGTCCAAGTACTGCGAATCCAGACACTTGACGCCTGAGCCGCTTCCACCTTGGGCTGCTGCGATGGAGGCCAAGACCACAGCCATTGCCGCCAACAACGCGACCCGGGAATACCCCTTCATGCTTCCGTAGATTCCCAGCCGCGAGGTTCTTGTCCTGTTGAGCAAATTGTAAAATGAGACGAACAAGTTTTGGCAAACACGTACGTACAGCTGAAGGCGGCACTGCAGGCCAAGCAGATCCCGACTCAACCTCGAAGACTTGAAGCGACCGTAATCCGCAGACGTAATAACAGTTGTGGGTTTGTGCATGTACAGGAACCGAGTGTGTTGCGATCACCGTGATGGGGAAGATATTTTTTCGCGGATCGGACAGATTCCGGTGCCACGAATTCGCAAAGCGGGGCTGACTTAACAACACGCTGCGCCACCGGTTTGTGGCTCCGTGGGATTGCGAGAGCTTTGCAGTAGAGGACTCTGTGGAGTAAACTCGGTGGCAAACCAACGGAGCGTTATTTCAGCTGGTCTACAAGGAAGATGAGAGCGCATCGGGATGGAAGGTCAGGATACACTGTACGGCTAGTTCGTAGGTAGGCAAAAATACAGACAGTTTTAGCAGCAAGTTTGGGTAGCAACCATAATAATGGTCGAATCTGCCGTAGTGAATGAAGGTCTTGACACAGGTGGAATGGAAGTCTGTTACATTTGGATAACGCCAGCCAAATAATCTTACAGCCACTTGTGTCGAGCTGTGCTTCAAAGCATCGACTTCAAAGTAGGTGTTGCAGTTGCTGATCAAGAACGTTAAAAGCCGCCAATATATTCGCTTACGGCAAGTATTACTTGCACTTGCACGTGGAGGCTTTCGAATCAATCGAATCAAATCTAAACAAAACGCAGCACTGTTGATGGCGGCTTGTACGAGTTTCAAGCCGGTGGGGATGTGGGGCATCTGTCTCTCTTGCCGCTTAAACATTCATAATGGGCTCCTTCTGGACGCTCTCCTGCGTGATGCTGGGCGTCATCATGGCGGCAAAGTCACCAGCAGGCGGGTTCGCCGCCTTAACGGTCGGGCCGTTGTGGTCCTGCGCGCTGTAGTCGTAGGCGAGGCCGCCGTGGTACGACACGTCAATGCCGTTGACCTCCTTCTCCTCGTCCACGCGGAGGCCGATGGTGAGCTTGAGCACGTACAGGATGATGATCGTCACCACGAACGAGTAGGCCGCAGCCACGCACTGAGAGACCAACTGGTGCACGAACTGGATGCCGTTGCCGTAGAAGGCGCCGCCTTCGATGTTGGGGTTCACGTCGGACGTGGCAAAGAGGCCGGTTAGCAGGCCGCCCATAACGCCCACGCAGCCGTGGATGGCGAACGAGTCCAGCGTGTCATCGTAGCGCAGGTAGTTCTTCACGTGGACAGCAGCGAAGCCCGTCGCAGCGCCAATGACGCCGAAAATGACCGAGGCCCACGGGTACACGTAACCACAGCCAGGCGTGATGGCCACCAGTCCGGCCACAGCACCACTAGCAGCACCGCACGGGTCGAACTTCTTGTACATGGCGAACTCGAGTCCCACCCACGTCAAGAAGCCCGCGCTGGGGGCCAAGTGCGTGTTGATAGCGGCCGTAGCAGCGATGCCATCGGCCGCACCTTCCGAGCCGGCGTTGAAGCCGAACCAGCCGAACCACAGCAGCGTGGCGCCGATCATGACCAGCGGCACGTTGTGCGGCTTGACGGGGTCTCCGTGGTTGTACCTCTTGCCCACCATGAGAGCAGCCGCGAGCGCTCCAAAGCCGCTGGAGATGTGGATAACGGTGCCGCCGGCGAAGTCGAGCGAGCCCATCTTGCCCTCCCAGCCCAGAGCCGTGATCTCCCACGAGTCGTCGAGCTTGAAGGACCACATCCAGTGGGCCAGCGGGTCGTAGACGATGGACGTCCAGAGCAGGATGAAGAGCAAGTAGCTGCCGAACTTCATGCGGCCCACGATGCCGCCGCTCAGCAGCGCGGGCGTGATGGTGGCGAACTGCGTCTGGAAGAAGGCGAACAGGATGTGCGGGATCTGAGTGCCGTACGTGCCACTGGGCACCTCGCGCACGTTGTTGTACCCGGCCCAGCCGAAGACTCCGTGCGAGCCGAAGGCGGCCGAGTACCCGAAGGCCCAGAACTGGATCGACACGAGCGCCATGCTCACGAACGACATCATCATCGTGTTGGACGCCATGTCCTCGCCCGCGAGACCCGCGTAGAAGAAGGCCACGCCCGGCGTCATGATCATCACGAGCGCGCTGGCCGCCAGCATCCACGCCGTGTTGCCCGAGTCGATGGTGGCGTCGAAGTCCGTGCCGGCCTTCACGCCCTGGTTCTCGTAGTCCACGCACTCGTGCGTGGTCGTGTCCAGGTACTGCGACACGAGGCACGAGACGGACGAGCCCGAGCCGCTCTGCGCGGCGGCCAGGCCGGCCGTCACCACCGCCAGCGCCGCCAGCAGCGCGACGCGCGTGGTCCAGTTCATGGGGTTTGGCGGTGTCTTGGGGGTCGAGGTGCGACTTTGGGCGCGGATTCCGAAGTGAGCTGAGCTCGGAGAGGAGAGCGGCGGTACAGTGCAGTGCACTGAAGTGTACGGGGGACCCTTGAAGCGACAGGGGCGAGTGTAGGTTTGTGAAGGCAGTGGGGCCCGTTGAGGTGAGTTTGAAAAGCGGGATGGGCCCAAAGAGCTCGAGTCGAGTCGAGCGCTGCTGCTGCTGCTGGATTCGGCGCAGCGTGGCTGGCTGCCTGCGTGCTCGACAACCGGGGCTCGCAGCGCTGGCTTGGATGGCGGCGCAGCGGCCAGGATGGAGCTCGGAGCTTTGCGCGAGCGTGGCGTCGCTTCTTCAAACCCCCAAGCAGAGCTTCACGTTGAAGAGAGAGAAAGAGCAGTGGAGCCCCAGAAAAGAGGCATCAATCTGCAGGCGGAGGACGTCGCTCGCGCTGGCGAAGCCGCTAACAGGCCAGAGCCAAAGCTGATACGTGCGAGTGAAAACTATGCTGCCAATGCAAGTTGCGACGAGTTCTCGGCGCGGATTTCGGCTCCGAAGCGCTAGAGCTTGCTGTGCCTCCTCACAGGCCGTTTCGCGATGATCTAGGCAAAGCCGGGCCATATTTCGCCGATTGGGCCACGTCGAGCGCGTCGAATGACTACTCACTTCCTTTGACAGGTTATAACCTGTGGGGCACAATACACGTATATTCATTTTCGTGACTTCAATATACCAGTTTACACACTTCCATAATGAATATAACTTCCACATAGCGTTTTGCTAACAGGATTTTAGGACTGATTGGCTGATCTGTCCTCAGCCAATCGCAGATCGGTGACGAGCACCGAAGCACTTCAACGTCTCCCCCTCTATAAGGGTCTAAAATCCTCCATTCGCATTAAACTGCAACAACACTCCGCGCTACTAGCGAATTGTTTTTGAGCGCAGCGCTAGCATAGCGGACAGCACAATCCGATGCATCTCCGAGATCGGTCAACACGGTTATCAGTTTAGTCTGTCCTCCGCGGGGTCGAGCGGCGGAAAAATGTACACTGCAACACAACCGACCTACACGTTCATGATCGGCTCCTTGCTGGTGGACTTGCTGGCCGAGTCGGACTCCGCCGGCGTCATCATGCTCGAAAAGTCCCTCTCGGGCGGGTTGGCCGCCTTGTAGGCGGGCGAGCTCGGGCCGTGCGCGCTGTAATCGTACGCCTGGCCTCCGTGGTACGAGACGTCCATGCCGTTCACTTCCTTGTCCTCCGACACGCGCAGACCCACCGTGTACTTGAGTGCCATCAGGATCAGGAACGTCACCACGGCCGAGTAGCCCGCCGCCACGCACTGCGAAATGAGCTGGTGCACGAACTGCATGCCGTTGCCGTAGAAGGCGCCACCCTCGATGGCGGGGTTGACGTCGGACGTGGCAAAGAGCCCCGTGAGCAGACCGCCCATGAAGCCGCCGCAGCCGTGGATGCCGAACGAGTCCAGGGTATCGTCGTAGCGGAGGTGGTTCTTGAGGTGAACGGCCCCAAAGCCCGTAGCAGCACCGACGATGCCGAAAATGACAGTCGCCCACGGCTTCACGAACGCGCATCCGGGAGTGATGGCAACAAGGCCGGCAACAGATCCACTGATAGCGCCACAAGGGTCGAACTTCTGGTACAGGATAAACTCCAACGCTGCCCAGGTGAGGAAGCCCGACGACGGAGCCAAGTGCGTGTTAATGGCAGCAATCGCAGCGATGCCGTCAGCAGCCCCCTCGGAGCCAGCGTTGAAGCCGAACCACCCAAACCACAATAGAGTAGCGCCGATCATCACCAGCGGCACGTTGTGAGGTTTGACGGGGTCTCCGTGGTTGTAGCGCTTGCCAACCAAGATCGCTGCTACGAGGGCCCCAAAGCCGCTGGAAACGTGAATAACGGTGCCACCGGCGAAGTCGAGCGAGCCCATCTTGCCCTCCCAGCCCATGGCGGTGATCTCCCAGTTCTCGTCGAGCTTGAGCGACCACATCCAGCGAGCGAGCGGGTCATACACGAGAGATGTCCAAAGGAATACGAACAGCACGAATGTGCCGAACGTCATGCGACCAACAATACCGCCGCTCAACAGCGCTGGAGTGATCATGGCGAACTGAGTCTGGAAGAAAGCGAACAGGATGTGGGGGATACTGCCGCCGTAGGTGCCGCTCGCAATCGCTCCGACGTCGTTGTTTCCTGCCCACCCAAAGATGTCATCCGAGCTGAAGCACGCCGAGTACCCAAACGCCCAGAACTGGATCGACACTAGGGCCATGCTCACGAACGACATCATCATCGTGTTCGAAGCCATTTCCTCTCCTGCCAAGCCGGCGTAGAAGAAAGCAACACCCGGGGTCATGAGCATCACGAGGGCGCTGGACATGAGCATCCACGCCGTGTTGCCGGAGTCGATGGTGGTGTCATAGGCTCTGCCGGCCTTCTCACCGCGCGAAGAGTAGTTGACGCACTCGTTGGTGGTGGAGTCGAGGTACTGCGAGACATCGCAGGTTATTGGGGGCCCAGATCCGTCTTGAGCGGAGACGGTTCGTGCGCTGAGAGCAACGGCTGCAGCAGCAGCCAGGAAGGCTAGCCTAATGGCCGAGCTTTTGCTGATCATGAGTGGGGAGTTCTACCGAGACGAGAAGGGAAGGAGTTTAGAAGGATGGTGGGCCGCACTCGCTGCTGGCCAGGTTCGTGGCGAAATGACAAGTGAGCAATTGACACGGCTCCCCGCCACTTGCAGCGCGGAATTTCAGCCTTGCTTGCTCTACTCGGCAATGGAGCGCGGGTGCTGGGTTACATGTAGTTGCAGGCGCCCTACGCATTTTGCGTGCGGAGAAGTCCATGCGTACGATAAAAGCCGGAGATCGAGGCAGTCAAACTCTCGCTGGTAGCGCGGAGTTCTCGTGGGCACGTCGACGTCAGGCACGAGGATGTGTAGGTCGGGCAAGATGGCTTCAGAATGCTTGGCGACGCTTGGTTATAGTCGGGGCAAGTCGCTTTGCCCATCCCCCCTGACGCGTTAAGATGGACCAATCGCGGCAAGCCCCGGGCGACGTCATTGTGGCCCTACAGGCCCACAGCAACGGTGTTGCCTCTACACGAGATCGCTGAGAGACGGTCGCCTGGATTCGAGCCGTCAACCGAAGCGCGAGTCCGGCGGTATCCCATCTCGATTAAAATGCGCTTCAGGAGACAGAAACTACACGATATAGACTTTGATAGCGTCTCCTACCGATGCAATGCTGCCGCAGCAGCAACTTGCCGTATCAGGTTCTAGCAACCACCGCACAGCGAGTCCAGATCCACAGGTTCATCATTACCGGTAAATACTGCACTTGTTGTACTGCGAGTTGAGGAGCTTTTTACAGGCAAAAATCAGATAGCGTATCATGTTGATGGAGCGAAATTACCACGGCAACGATTCATGCAGCTTTGGTTTGACATGCATCGGCGGTGAGATTCAGGTGTTTGACCCGCCCTACAACAATAGCGCGCAGACCAAATCGCCCACTCAACCGCACCACGAACACTGACCCACGAATTGTCGACCGCATCGTCACTTTTGCCACTGCACTTCGCAGAGCCATGCTCTCCACACTCTGCCCCGTTCCATCGCGGATAAGTTTCACGTCTTCCAACCTCCGTTTCCGGCTGGCTGAACCGACCGCCCCCATCGATGCACGCCCCCAATCTCCCGACGCTGCCATCTGCCTGGGTCTGGGATAGTCCAGCCGACAAAACAAGCGAGTGGAACTTGGTCCGCCGACTTCAGTTCACTATTCGCTTCGGGCTGCACACGACTCAACACCAACTCCTCTCAGCTCAAGCATGCTCGGCTTTCGACCTGACAACCCGTCGCTCACTCGACTGGCCGTCGTTGCAGCCGCTGTCGTTGCACTCGGGGCGCTATCCGTCTCGGCCCAAGACTCGACCGGTTCGACTGTAACCTGCGACGTCCCGCAGTACCTCGACTCCACCACCAACGAGTGCGTCAACTATTCTTCGCGCGGTGAGAAGGCCGGCAGAGCCTATGACACCACCATCGACTCCGGCAACACGGCGTGGATGCTCATGTCCAGCGCCCTCGTGATGCTCATGACCCCGGGTGTTGCTTTCTTCTACGCCGGCTTGGCAGGAGAGGAAATGGCTTCGAACACGATGATGATGTCGTTCGTGAGCATGGCCCTAGTGTCGATCCAGTTCTGGGCGTTTGGATACTCGGCGTGCTTCAGCTCCGACGGCATTTTCGCTTGGGCGGGCTACAACAACGTCGGTGCCATCGCCAGTGGCACTTACGGTGGTGGTATCCCTCACATCCTGTTCGCCTTCTTCCAGACGCAGTTCGCCATGATCACTCCAGCGTTGATCAGCGGTGGAATTGTCGGCCGCATGAAGTTCGGCAGCTATTTGTTGTTTATTCTGCTCTGGACGTCCATCGTCTACGATCCGCTCGCTCGCTGGATGTGGTCGCTCAAGCTCGATGAGAACTGGGAGGTCACCGCCATGGGCTGGGAGGGCAAGATGGGATCGCTCGACTTCGCCGGCGGCACCGTCATCCACGTTTCCAGTGGCTTCGGTGCTCTCGTCGCGGCCATTGTGGTCGGTAAGCGCTACAACCACGGCGAGCCTGTCAAGCCGCACAACGTCCCGTTGGTGATGATCGGCGCTACGCTGCTGTGGTTCGGCTGGTTTGGCTTCAACGCTGGCTCACAGGGAGCCGCTGACGGCATCGCTGCGATTGCCGCCATTAACACGCACCTGGCCCCATGTGCAGGGTTCTTGACGTGGTCGGCGCTTGAGTTTGCTATCCACAAGAAGTTTGACCCGTGTGGAGCCATCAGCGGCGCAGTGGCCGGTCTTGTTGCCATTACACCGGGCTGTGCCTTTGTGTACCCGTGGGCTGCTGTCATTTTCGGTGTCGTTGGAGCTGCAACGGGTTTCGGAGCCGTGCACCTCAAGAACGTGCTGCGTTATGATGACACGCTGGACTCGTTCGGCATCCACGGCTGCGGCGGCTTCATGGGCGGTCTGCTCACGGGGCTCTTTGCCACGTCCGACGTCAACCCCGCCATCGAGGGTGGCGCCTTCTACGGCAACGGCATGCAGTTCGTGCACCAGCTCATTTCGCAGTGCGTGGCGGCGGGATACTCGGCCGTGGTGACGTTCCTGATCCTGATGGCGCTCAAGTACACGGTGGGTCTGCGCGTGTCGGAGGACAAGGAAGTGAACGGCATGGACGTCTCGTACCACGGAGGCCAGGCGTACGATTACAGCGCGCACGGTGGAGTAGGCGGCGCACTAGGTTCGCCCACAGTCAAGGCGGCCAACCCTCCTGCTGGCGACTTCATGAGCATGATGACCCCGGGCCCGTCCACGGTGAACGGTGTCAACAACACTGGAAGGGAACTCTAAGGTAGTGGTCCGCTTCAGCGTTCGCTACAACGCTCTTGTAACGTTACCAATAAACTAAGGATCCCCCATGTTGTTTCATATTAATCCTTTGTCGCTAGCTTGCAGCTATGAACTACTGCATAACCCCGAACAGTGCTTAGACTAGCGGTGCTAGTGTGTTGAAAGGGTATTCACCTGTGGCCAACGTGAACGTCGCGCACAGAGGGTTCGCCGCTGCCGTGGTGTTGTGCACGTCACAGTTCGTCTCGGGCTTGATGGCAATCACGTAGTCGGCGTCTTCGGCCACCTTCTTGAACCCCTGGCCGATCTGCGGGTAGTAGACGCCCCAGTCCTCTGCTGTCAACGTGAAACTCACCGTCTGCGATGCGCCGGCGTCCAGAGCGATCTTGGTGAACTTCTTGAGCATCTTGACATCGGGAACGTTGAACGAGCGGTAAGGTTGCGTCAGGAACAGCATGACGGTCTCCTTGCCGGCCATCGAGCCGGCGTTGGTGACCGTGACCGACACGTTGATCGAATCCGAGCTGGACGTCACGTTGGTCGTGCTGAGGGTCAAGTCGGAGTACTCGAACGTGGTGTAGCTGAGGCCGTGGCCGTATTCCCACTGCATATCGCACGCCTCGTAGTCACCGCACTGCGTGGTCACGCGGTGGTTGTACGGGATGGCGACGTTGGCTTCGTCCTTGGGGTATGTGATAGGTAGACGGCCGCTCGGGTTCACCTCGCCGTAGATGATCTCGGCCATAGCCTTGCCAAGCGAGAAGACCATCAACGACAGCGTAGACCGTCTCGGGCAGCCCCTGGAGTAAACGCGGACGACCCTCGAAGAGCACGAGGATGACCTTGGTACCAGTCGACGCAATCTCCTTCACGTACTCGATCTGACCGGCCGGCAACGCCAGATCATCGAGATCGCCAGTCTTTTCGTGGTACGGCTCCTCGCCGATGACTGCGATCGTGTACTCCGCCTTGGCCGCAAGCTCCTTGGCCTCAGCGAGGTCTGCGTCCGAGTACGACCCGTTCCAGTGCAGTCCGTTGAAGTAGGTGATAGTGTCGTTGCCAGCAATCGCCTCGAGGCCGTCCTTGACGGAAATGCCGTGGGGGAAAGCGTCGTCAGAGACGTCGTACGTGCTCGTAGTCTGCTTGCCGGTGACCGACCACCCACCGCACTGGTAAGCGATGCGATCAGCCGTGTGGCCGGTCAAGAAGATGGACGCGTTTGTCGGCAGAGGCAAGGTGCTTCCGTTGTTCTGGAGCAGCACAATGGACTCGCGAGCCATTTCGAGCGCGGCTGCAATTTCGTCGTCGTCGCCGACGAGGTCGATATACTCCTCACCGGGCATTGCGTTGTCGTACAGCCCCAGCTTCACTTTGAGCTTCACAACGCGTCGCGCGGACTCCTGGATGCGACTGAGGATGTCGGGGTTGCGCTCGGTGAGCAGCTTCGTGCCATTGATGAAGCTGTCGTCGCTAGCGATCATGCTCATGTCGAGTGTCGTGCGCTCCAGCGATTGCCTCGTGGCCTCATCCTCCGAGCGAGCGGTGCGATGGAAGTCCGTCAGCTGGTTGATCTCGGCGTAGTCGGACACAGAGACCCCATCAAACGCGAAATCGTTTCGAAGCAGGTCGGTCATCAGCTTCGGGTTGGCGATTGTCGGCACGCCGTTCACGGAGATGTAGTTCTCCATGGTCGTGAGCGCGCCCGCGTCGAATCCGGCTTTGAACTGCGGCGCGAAGTAATTGATCAGATCGAAGTCCGTCAGCGTGTCCTTGTCATGGCCCGTCGGCGTGTCGGAATAGGCGATGAAGTGCTTCAGGCACGCAGCACTGCCGTTGACGCTCTGCATACCCCGCACAACCGCGTCCGCCATGACCGAGATCGTGTACGGGTCTTCTCCGAACGTCTCGTACGTGCGCGCCCACAGCGGGTTGCTCGACTTGTCGAGGATCGGCACGAAGGACCAAGGAATGCCCGCCGCGAGCGTGTTGCGAGCCGTGAACTGGCCCATCGCGTACACGAGGTCTGGGTTGAAGGAGGCGGCGCCGTTGATCTCCTGGCCGAACTTGACCGCGCCGCTCACCAACGCTGCACCATGGACCGAGTCTAGCCCGAAGATCATCGGGTGGCCTCCGTTCTCCTCCATGGTGATGTTCTGGATGGTGCCGACGGCATCGCGATATTCTTGCGCAGTCCACGCCCAGCCAACCACAGCAGGATCGTACAACCCCCTCCACAGCGGGCCGCCGAGATACGACCCGACCTTGAGCTTGGCGAACGCGCGGACCTTGTCCTCGACGAAGGTTGGCTTCCGAGTCCACGAGGCCGTAGATGGCGATCTGGGACATCTGACCGATGAGGTCGTCGGTGTCGAAGCTCGCCATGATGGCATCGACTCGGGCGTCCCATTCGTCAGCATCTGCAAGTTGCTGGCTCATCGCGAGCCCAAGTGCGGCGACTACCAGCGGTGTCAGCCACGACTTGAGCATCTTGAAGGCGGTGAAGTTTGTTTCGATTTGGTTGGACTTGATCACAAGACAACGAAATTAAGAATGGAGACTGCGCTGGTGGCCGCATATCGCGGAGCACTTGAGTCCCCGGGTGCGATGGTAGACAGGGTCATGACACCAAGGGGAAATGCGCTGGTCGGTATCGGTGCAGACGAGAACCTTGAAGCGGGTTGCGATCACGAACGCCCATGAAATCAAGTCACGACCAAAACGTTCTGAAGTATTCAGGCATCACAATAGTGTTTCTATAGTACGTATCAATTGTTGGATAGAGCGGCAGCACTTATGTCACGGCTTGCAATAGTGCTCGTCTGGCTGTGAGTGACCTTTGTCACGCAAAAGAAGCGATTGTGTGGTCAACGCCCTGTAGTGGTTGCAGTGCAACAAGCATCACTCAGTACAACGACAACTTCAACATCCCGTGTCCGATTCTAGCGTTGCCTCAGCTACTGTCAGCACAATTAATTGCTCGAAAGTGATCTTCAAAGATCGCGAGCATGTCACATGATCCTCTCCGATCGTGGGGCGGGCAGCTCACGTTGAAGTCCAAACACCAAGCATTGATGGTTAGTTGCCCGACACATTTCCAGTGCTATGCTGCGTTCGACGCTAATACATGTACTAAAAAATTACATATAGCGGTGACGGCGCGGCCGTGAACTGTAGACAAATGTATCGGAGTTCGACCGAGAGGGGCGCTATCAGCCCGACGAAGACCGGTTCTTCGACCGGGTAGAGTATAGCTGCACGCTTAAGTGGAACTGAGAAGTGAGTCTCCGTTGCTGAAGCTGCCATGAAGTATTCAATATATAGCTTGGGGATGATACATACTCAACTCGGCATCGAAATCATTACAGCGGTAGGACCCATTGCGGTTATCTGTATGCCATACATTTAATACGGCGAATCGTCCGCATCAAGGTTGAGTGCACCAGACCTTCTACTCGTCCTTTTGTTGGTATTGTTGTATGGCTCGTTGCGGGTCTCTAAAGCCACAACCTAAAAGGGAAGTAGAGCTTCCAGTTGTTCTCATACGCCTGCAACGTTGGCTAATTTCACCCTAAGACGGACATTTTCCCTTGTCATTGAGCATGGGATCTCCAGATAACGCTACGCGATTCATCGCCACTCCGCAGACTCAAGACAATGGCACAGGTGGCTCCATCTTCGGCCCCGATCCAAACTAAAAAATGTAGCCATGTGATGATGCCACTCACGTCTTATCCGTTATTGTCATTTTTCGATTTCCCAATAATGACGGAAGTGGCGCGCCGCCTCGCTGCTTGTAGCGACGCTGCCGCCGTCGCTGCCGAGCTACACGCAGCGCTGCCAGACCTAGCAGGTGCCCAAGACCGTTCAGCAGCTGTGGACGACGTGGTGGCGTTCCTGACGGCGGAGGAGGGGCGCTGGGCTGCCGCGACGCAGACGTTAATTTCGGAATTAAGAGGAGAGACACCGGCGTGCGACGCTCTTCTGGAGCTGCTGGACGCGCTGCTGGCCTGGGCGGCGCAGGAACAAGTGCAGATAGACCACGGGATCCTGGACGTATTGCAGCAGTATTTTCAGGTCGCTACGCGGCGTCTGGGCGACGGTGGAGACGTGCGGAGATGGCTCAAGTGGGGAGACCAAGTGTTGGCTGTGGTGCACAGGAACGCAGCGCTAATGGGATCTGAGCAGGGTCTAGAGGCAGAGAAGGATAGTGTACGAAGGAGGAGCTACGTGGTAGAACTGGCGGCCTCGCTGTTGCAGCTGCGCAACAAAGTGGAGGGGAGTGACGGCGCTACGCCGGACCTGAAGACGTCGACGTTCATCTGGAAGGTTGGGACTGGATTCGTTGCTAATCGGAGGACTGACAAGTGTGGCTGATCAGTCTTTATGTGTGAACTTGCAGAATTTGGCAAAGTTGGCGACGGCTTTCGGCCCAGTGCTGGCTGGTGCTGCCACTGCCCCAGTTTCCGGCGAGGCTGGTGCAAATACTGACGGAGACAATGCTGCGGAGCAAGAACAGCAGAATTTCAGTGTCGAGGACCTGCTCGCTGCGGCGGTGTCATCTGTGGAGCAGAGTATGGGGCAACTGCTGCGTGCTTTAGACGCACAAAGTGAGAGAGTGCTGGATCTCGGCGTCTTGAAGTTCTTGAAGCTGTATTGGAGGGCGTTCCAGCGATTGACGGCTGCATTCGCGAGCAGTTTGGAGTGTGAGCTGGAGAATTGCATCCTGTCAGTCGTGAATGTGGCTTCCAGTTTGATTTACGCCGGCCGACACAGCCAGGTGCCTGCGACATCGAAAGCGGGGCAAGAGCTCCGTGGAATGCTTGAGCAGGCCTTGGAGATCACGGAAAATCTGATTGGTGGTGCTGATGGTGCACTAACCGACCGGGGGATCGAGGCTGTACGCACGCTATTGTGGTACCCAACCGGTGACATGACCCGAGCGGTAGGACAGCGGCAACCATCAGAAGTCACCAACGTCGACACTGAGAACTGCATTCGATGGGGTCATCTGCTGGTGCTTACGACGTTTGCAGGGGGCACTAGGAACGTCTCACTCAACAGTGCAGATAAGGAGGTACCGTTCGACGATGGAAACCGAGCTGTCGAGGTTTCCCAGCTATTCGCTCGTTACCGGGAGTGCGCGCTTAGCGACTCGATTTCCCGCTCAGTGGAATCCGCAGAGCTGTTTACTGATGCAATACTGGGATACTTGCTGAGCTTTGAAAGCGCGCTGGAGATGCAGCTCGTGCTTCTGAAACAGAATCTGTATCCTGACTGGGCGCAACGTACGCTGTGCTGGGAACTCTGGCGGGAGCTCTTGTGCTTTTGTTGGGACGAGCCTCTAGCGGTGCAAGCTCTTCAAATGCTTCTCGATGTCACGCAATGGGAGGACGACTCGGACAAAGCTTTCGTGCTGTCAGGCGGAGTTGAAGACGAAATTTTGCAGTTGGTTGCGTTCGTCTACCCAGATATGCCGGTACCTCTGAAGGACGTTTGCATGGACCAAGTGACTGCTGTTATCGACGTGATCAGCAGCGAAGGCCCCGGGCACCAGTTTAATCTGCGCGTGGCGTCACAATTGCATTTGCTTGAAAAATTGGCCGGGGTTCGTTTCCTGAAAGAGTTCGACGGACCGATGAAGGACGAGTGGATCGCCAAGTATCTCCCCATGTGCTTCGAGTGCTGCGGTACAGTTCTCGAGCTATTGACAGCCGAAGGAAAAGCGTCGACTACCAAGCGCGAAAGCATTCTTGGCATGCTGCGCGTGCTCGATCTTTGTCTTTTAGTATTGAGAGGCGTTTTTGACGACAACGAACCGCGGCAGGACGATATCGCGGAGCTTTCGATCATTTTGGTTCGGATGTCTACAGAAGCATTATCTCAACTGGCAAAACAGAGCAGGCTCGTGGGAGGTTCTCAATCAAACGCTCGACAACCAAAAGGAAAACACCCCAGCAGCAGCGTGAAGTTGGAACGGGCTGGATCTCGATGCATCGAACGAGCCGTTGAATCCTCCCTCTACCTTCTCTCGAAGCTTGGAGCTGTGCTCAAGTCCAACAAGAACAATCAATGCGTGCACGTGATGAAGGATCTGCTCGCGACCCTGGATAATATGGCGCAGTTCGGTGATGCGGGGGATACTCTCGTAATCACGGCGCGGTTCGTGGAAACAGCTTTGTTCGACGTGCAAGTGGCTGAAGGCGATGTGGCCGTTGTGTGGCAACTGCTTCTCGCTCTCTTCCAGAAGCTGTTCGGTGCAACTCGTGATTCAAACTTCCAGAACACGCATTTGAAGCTTCTGCTCTCCGTGTGTCTGGATGCGTTGTATGAGCTGCTTGCTCACTCAAACATTGTAGAACTACCAGGAGCACCACTGAAGGCCCTACTGGCGGGAGATCTCAAGCAGACCTTCAGGGAGACAGCGTTGATGCGGAAGCTATCACCAGAAGAGGTTGCCAAGGCACTGGAAACAGCCCAAACAAGCACACTACAAGCTCTCAAGCGGTCTCAACATGCTGGTTACCGAGTCTTCAGGGATCGGTTCCCCGATGAACCTGATGGCTTGTACGCGGAACCGGAAGAGACCAGCAACAATTCTTCTGCAGCATTACACAAGCGGCCAGCGGACGACTCAGAGAGCAAGCCCCAGAAACGCCACAGGCTCACTCACTTTGTCTCGTTGTGCCGGGAAATCGAGTCCTCGCTCTCGTCAATAGAGAATGGCGAGGCGGCGGCCAATATTTTGTCGGGCAAGGAGCTCGAAGACGCCACTGCAGTTCTTCATCGGCTTCTCGCCAAAACGATCGCGCTCTGTCCCTGACGATCCATGAACATGTAAAACTACCGAAGGCAAGAAAGTGGAGAATTGATACACTGACTTCATTTGATCTGGCTTTCATGAATCGATAGGCTGCCATGGGCTTTGGTTTGGGGAAGATCTTCAGCGGTATGATCGACCGAAGTTCTGGAAGAAGCCCGGCTCGATCTTGCCGCGTGCTCGGTCGGCGTTTGCCTTCTCGCGCTCTGCTGCTTGCTGGGCCTGCTGCTCACGAGTGGTGCGCATATCCATCTCCATCTGCGCTCGTCGTTGCTGAGCCAGATACTCTTCATGCGCGAGTGTGCGGTGGAGTTCCCGCTGGTTCCTGGCGTCCTCCTCCGCTTGCTCGCGCTCCTGCTGCCTGCGACGAGCCTTTTCGTCCAGGATCTCGTCATTTCGACGGAGGTAATACTTGGTCTGCTCGCCCGAGAACCCTTTCCAGTGGTCTACGCGAACTCGATGGTCGAACGACGTTCCGGGCAGCGCAGCTTGCAGTGGGTTCTCGCTCACCAGGTTGCTCTGCAGAGTGAGCTGAATTTCGCGAGCGTTCTCCTCCTGCTCATGTCGACGCCGGTCACTCTCGTCCTGGCGTTGCTGAGCTGAGAGACGCTGGTTGAATCGACTGATCTCCTCTGACGCTGCTGCTCGTTCGCGCTCGTTCCCCTGGTGCAGCTCCTCCATGAGCCTCTCGATCTCAAACAACTGCGCCATGTATGAAGCCAATGCTTCGCTCTCGTGGGCGTTGCGCTGAGCCTCTTCGGCCATCTTCTGGATCGACCACTGCTTCATCTGCATCGCCTGCAGCCGTATACGTTCCAGGCGAGCAGCATCCTCGCCTTCAAACTTCTGGGCAGCCCCCGGGGCGCAGCTATCAGGGTCGATGCCCAAGGCGCGAAAGGCAGCGTATCGCGCGCGACCCTCTCGTAATTCGGCAGACTGCTGGTCCCAGTCGTTGCGCAGTGTCAGAAGCTCACGCCGCTTTGCGAGTGCGTCTTCGGACTCAACTTGAAGCAAGTAGCGTCGGATCGCTGCATCTTCTTCCTCGCTTGCCCGCTTGGCTTCGCGATCCGCTGCGTCCTGAAGCTGGTGTTCCTCGATTTGGTTCTTCACCCCTGCAATGTCCGCCTGGATACAAAATAAACCACGGTGAGCCCCCGACAGTCTCATGACTGCAGACGAAAGAACGCCACGCAAACGCACCCCAATGTTCCGAAGACGACCAGGTCCGAGCTTCTTGGTGCGCTCAATCTCCCGCTGGCGCCGTGCTTCGATTCGGAGTTCGTCTTTGTTTTCTGGCGCCGTCGGCGGCGGCATCGATCCAACCACCATTTTTTTCAAGGTTATGCGAGTGCTTCCTGGAGCGACTGTGACCGCGAGAGCTTGGACCTCGACAGTCTCGAGCTGTGGTTTCACTTTTCTTCCCCCTACCACCTCGACCATGACTGCTGCAGCATGCGATGCAACAAGGAAGTATTCTAAGTAGCCCATATTTAGCCCCCCACAACATGTTCATAGCGAAATGCACGCAGCCCGTACCTTGTCTGCTCGCTCGGGTCTCACTAACCTGCATCCTCGTCTTCTACTTGGCACTGTTGGAGCCAGCTAAAGGCGTTCGCTTTGGCGAATCAATATATTGTTTGTTTTGGATTTCTGCTGCTGATTTCTCGGGCTCGGTCGATATGCTTTTGAGTTCGTGATAAAATACCTTTCATAAAACACAGACGGGGGTGGCCACAGCTGCCTTGCAACCCGGTTTGGCGCCTTCAGTCAGCGAACTGCGCGGCAGCAAGGGAATGGCGGGGAACGGGGACTTGGACGCTGCTTAAACAGCCTCTTCCCGTTTATCGCTGTCCTCCTCGAGGTTTTTCAGGTACTCGTCAAGCGTCATGTCGCCACGGATGAGCACGGGCCGCTTGCGACCGAGGATGGCCTCTTCGTCCACGTACACGGCACGCACGTCGTTCATGTCGGGCAAGTCGAACATGGTCTCCATGAGCGCGCGCTCAAAGATGGAGCGCAGTCCGCGCGCGCCGGTGTTCTTGCTGAGCGCCGACTCGGCCACAGCCTCAAGTGCGCCTTCGGTCGCGTGGAACTCCACGTCACTCAGCGCGAACAGCGCCTTGTACTGCCGGACGAGACTGTTCTTGGGCTCGGTCAGAACCTGCACGAGCTCATCCTTCGAAAGGCCCGTGGTACTAACAAGCATCGGGAAACGGCCGATGAACTCCGGGATGAGACCGTAAGATACGAGATCTTCCGGCTCAGCTTGGGAAAGTAGCTGGCCGATCTGGTCGCTGTCCTTGAGCCGCATGTTGGGCATCTGGGCGCCGAATCCGATCGATGACCGAGACGTCCGGCGCGTGACCTGCTTCTCCAGTCCGGCGAACGCGCCGCCACAAATGAACAGGATGTTGGTCGTGTCGATGGTGATGTACTCGCCGCGCGGGTTCTTGCGTCCGCCCTTCTCGGGCACGTTCACCATGCTCCCCTCGAGGATCTTCAGCAGCGCTTGCTGGACACCCTCGCCCGACACGTCGCGCGTGATGCTCACGTTCTCGCTCTTCCGCGTGATCTTGTCGATCTCGTCAATGTACACAATGCCACGCTGCGTGGCCTCCAGGTTGTAGTTGGCCGCCTGGTACAGCTTGAACAGCACCGACTCCACATCCTCGCCCACGTAGCCCGCCTGGGTCAGGCACGTGGCGTCTGCAATCACAATGGGCACTTTCGCCAGTCGCGCCAGCGTCTTGGCCAGCAGCGTCTTGCCCGAGCCGGTGGGGCCCACCAGCATGACGTTGGTCTTGTCCAGCTCCACGCCCTCCAGATACTGCAGCTTGTCCCCGAGCGAGTGGTGCTGCAACCTCGTGGCGTGCGCGTGAGACGGCGCCGCAGCGGCGGCCTCGGAGGTCTCGCTGGTGCCTTCAGCAGCGCGTTGCTTGGCCTCCTGTTCCAGCCCTGCCTCCTTCTTCTCCAAGCCCGGGTAGATCTCCTCCAGCAGCAGCCGACGCCCGATGCTGGACAGCCGCGAGTCGTCGAGATCCACGTGCTGGCGGGTCACGCCGCCGGCTCGCGCGTGCTGCTGCTTGGCGCAGGCGGCCTCGGCGTCCTTGCGCGCCTGCAGCAGCTCGAGCGCGTGCAGGCGCTTGTAGTGGTTGTGCACGCCCACGGCGAGCGTCTTCTTGACCTTGTCCTGGCCGATGACGTACTCGTTGAGGCCCTCGTAGATCTCGCGCGGCGTCAGCACGCGGTCCTTGGTGACGGTGGCGTCCGTGGCGGCCGCGCCTCCGAAGAGCGCCTCGTTGGCCAGCTTCTCGTACTCGCCGTCCGCCGTCATGCGCCCGCCGCCGCCGCGCGTGGGCGACGGGAAGTTGCCGCTGTACGTGGGGCCGCCCAGGCTCGAGCCGCGCGTGGTCTGCATGCCCGGCGACAGCGACGAGCTGAGCGAGCTGAGCGCCGCGGCCGCCGCGGCGTTGCGGAAGGCCGGGCTGGGCTGCGCGGGCGTGGTGGGCTGCGCCTTGAGCGCGAAGTGCAGGTTGCACGTCTCGCACTTGACCACGTCCCCCTTCTTGAACTCGACGGGGGACGAGGCGGCGGCAGCGGCTGACGCGGGGGAGGAGGAGGACGAGGGACTCTTGCTGTCGGACGCGGCGGGCGTCTTGCCACCCCCCAGCGCCTCGGCGAGCACCAGCGCGTCGCCGCATTGCGGACAGCAGAGCGCGTCGCCCGCGGGCTTCTTGGAGTGGCCCGGCGGGCCCGTGATGAGCGTCGCCACGCGCAGAGCGCGCTGGAGCTTCAGATCCAGAGGCCGCTGAGTGCGGGCGGAGGGCAGCAGCGAGAGGGCGCGCGCGGAGGGCGCCGCCGACACGCGCACGCTCTGCAGCAGGTGCGACGCGCAGGCGAGTGCGCGGGCGTCGGGGCGGAGGCGGCGGAGCATGGCGGGCGGGCGGGCAGGAGGGAGCTGAGCGGAGGGACTGGGAAGGTCTCTCTTCTCTCTGAAGAGGCCGCTTGGTAAATGCACGCGGGCGTTGAAGAAAACGGATGCATTCACACGCGGATTTCGGCCAATCAGAAAGGATGTTGGGTGTGATGAATTGATTGAAACACTAGACCAGAAGGATTGTATGTAGGTGGGGTGATCAATGCGGAGCGCTGCGCTAGGTACGAGGCCACACGATCAGGTGAAACGCAGCAACTTCAAGCAGGTCAACGTGAGCACCGGATTGAGAGCGATCGATGTCGGCCTCTGCTTTGCTTTGACGGGGGTGAGCTATGGTGCTGTCTGTGGTGTTATCGTGGGAGTGTGCATGTGTACACTGCGCGGCGGCCGAAAATAGAGAGATCCCATTTGGGATGCCATATTTCCGGCGGGCGCTGTGGCGGCCTGATGGCTGATGCTGGCTGAGCGTTTCGCCGCTAAGATGGCTTCGTTGACTGAGCGTCTGCCGTTCATAGAGCTGCTCGTGTCGATTTATTTGTGTGCGGGGATTCTTCTGAGAGGATGCCAGTCATTCTTCACGAGATCTTGCGTATTTTGCCGCTCAACCTCGTTCGACTGGTGAAAAGCTTAGCTTTAGCTTTTGGGCTCTCGATTCGACTCACATATCACTCGAGAAGAATGAAAATGACTGGAAAGTAGTCTTTAGAATCTCTTTAACTTCCCGTCGACAGTATTAAATTCAGGGTGGTAGGGGGGGGGGCTCCAGAGGTAGACATCGCGGTACGGTCGATCTTCTCAAGGCCGAGCAAGGTTATGTGCTGCGCTCGCGAGCTTGCTTTCTTCACAACCGAGAAGGACCGTGCGTGGCTGACGTCTCAGTCCGAAGACAGGAAGGAGCTGGATAAGGGAGAAACGACTGATGTCATCCAGGAGCTGCTGTCACGTGAAGACGTGAGGTTGCTGGCGGGGGATTCCGTTTCTGAGAACCTGGGGTCAATATCCTGGCCAACAAGGATAGAAGCGTGGAGACCTGATCCGCACTAACCGCTGCGACTACTGCGAACAAATCTTGGCCATCATTTAAGCCTCCACCTGCTATATTTCGTAATAAAACCTGTGTAAATAAGTACAATAGACGAATATTACGAGCTGCAGCTTCGACTGCTTCCGTTCATTTCGGTGGCTGGTTCTTCGGGTATGGGGAAATCCCAGCTCTCGTTTGCTCTGAAACGACGACGCCCGTGGTTTTACTGGCCCGCCACACCCATCGGAGTGGAATCTTAGGATCTATACAAAAGTTTTATCAGGGCAGTTCCAAGCTTTCATTGAGAAAGCCAAGCCAACAGTGAAGGAGAAGAACGTCTCCAATGTTTTCCATAGACCTATGGATTCATCCGGGCGCTTCTACAGTACACTGTAGCAGTTTGGATTCAACACTCACACATGATCCGCTTTGAGGAGAAGACGACGTTCTAGGTGGAGAAGTGCGATCTGAAAACTACGTGATAAGATGGTGAAGGAGACCAAGGTGCTGCCGTTTTCATTCTGGACGAGATGTCTCCTGACGCAGAGGTGGCCGGAGAGATTAAAGCGATGTCTTTCCAGCGCAATGTCTTTCGTGCGTGTGACCTGGTCGTGTACGTGATGGGTACCGGTGCTACGATCACCGATGCATTCGACCGGTCAGTCGGCAGCTACAAGAAGGCCCGCCCGTGGATGACGCTTGTTCCTCGTTTGTCTCCGCACCAGCCTGTTCCTTTTGATGATGACACACTTCAAGCTGCTTGGAATATAATCCTGGAGCAATTTCCTGTCCTAAGAAGCATCGTGGTGGGCTCTCGGGGGAGATTCGCCAGATATTTTGTGGATATCGGACTACGGCGACAGATCTCGATCTGTGTCATTTGTTGGATAAAGCATTTCGACATGCCAGCGAGAAGACCCTGTGGGGCAAACGATTCATGGAGAAGCAGACTGGGAAGGATGCTCAGCTAATGGCAATATCGTACACGAATGTTGATATCAAGCGTTCAGCAGCCGAACCACCACTCGAAAGAAGACAAGTTGAGGTGGGGGTGACGATATGAAGTTACACTTTGCCGATTTGGTCATTCAACCAAGCAAATATTCGAGTTCTATTTGAAAGAGAAGAAATTCTTTACTGATACAAGCGATTTGGAGACAGACGTACGAGAACGTGGCCGCTCATATGGTCTTCTGTGAGTCGCGAAAATGTGGGGTGCGGGGAATTCTTTTCGGTGACTTCTTCGCTGGATTGCATGGAAAATTGCAGGAGATGTACAAGCCGATGGAATTGGCTATTGGTGCTACCAAGGAAAAGCCTGCTGCCAGTAAACTTTGGGCAGAGTATAAACCTCTTAAGAAGCTGTTCGATATGATGATTCCCTTTGTGGCTCCTCCGAATGCTGTGTGGCAGCAATGCATCCTTGAAACTCTGGCAACCAAGGCTGCAACGGATGGTACCAGAGGTGGTGTGTACGTGAAAGACATGGATAACCCACGCTTTTTATTTGTGAATGCAAACAGACATGATGAAGGGGGTACTTTGCGGGCTGGGTGCTGCGTGGGAGATAAAGTGGGCGGTTGTGCTGGTGTTTTGTGTGAGACTGGCGAGCTGTAGAAATGAATGGAAGCATACAAACATCGGTTGTGTCAAGGTTGATTGCAAGTGCGGCCATGCCGATGGATTTTCGAGCCAGCAGAGGGAAACCAAGACAAACTGGTCGTCGTAATGGAAACGGGGTTTTGGTCGCTGTTCCGACTCGCACTCTTGACCATGGTTCCTTCCATCCTGCCAGCGCTTTAGTTCATTATATTTTTGGAAAGAGCAAGATTCGCAAAATACTGGAACCAGTTTTATTCCTGAGACTTCCATTTGGCAAGCTAACCAGATTTTATATCTGAGTAGACGTGGGGGTCCACCTGCATGCAATACTCCACCGCACTGCCCCATCCACAAACGAACCACTTTCCGTGAAGACGTTTAAAATTTTCAGCTTGCTGGTTGTCCAGTCCAGAGGTAACAGAACGAATGTACGCCGCGTTGCCTTTCTTACCGACTGTAGATTCGACTTTCACAGTTTGGGGAAATCGCTACCAACGCGAAACTACTGCAGTAATACGACGAAAAAAAGGCTTCAGTGCGACCAGCTTGAGAACGCTTGAAGCAAACGTAGATTTAATCCGAGGGATTAATGGGATTAACATCGTGCACAGTGGCATGCTCTGCCCCCGGCTGGACTTGTGTCGCTGTAAGCAAACGTGAGTGTGAAGTATATTGCGCCATTGGATGGGTCGTCCTTGCGGTAAGGGGCAAGGAACTTGCCGCTTACTGGTGCGTGATCGAGCGAGTAGAGTCGGCGCAAAGTTGAAGTCTAGTTGCATCCGGGAACGTCACTAGAAACAGCCCTTCGTCGGGCCAGTCGCAACTCGCCTACGCGTTTCCCGTCTTCCCTGGGGAGGAGAGCTCAAGCTGAATCCAGCTTGAGCTGGCGACGACCGGATGAATGGCGCCCTCGCAACTCGGCGCCCGGGAAACTTTTGGAACGCTCTGGCCGTCTCACTTGCGAACTCTCCTCGCCAGCTTCACCTCGCACAGCAATGTCGACGTTCGAGCTCGTTCTCCGGGTACTCACGACCGCCACCGCCATCCTCGTGAGTATCGCGCCTCTCCCCGATTTCTGGCGCATCCACAAGAGCCGCACGACGGGCGAAGTCTCCATCCTCCCGGTGGTCATGCTCTTCTCCAACTGCTGCGCGTGGGTCATCTACTCGTACGTGGTGAACAACATCTTCCCGCTCTTCGCGGTGACCCTGTTCGGCATCGCGACGTCGATTGTCTTCATCTCCATTTACTACCGCTGGACCAAGGACCGACTGCACGTCGTCAAGCTCTGCGCTATTGCTTTGGCGCTGCTGGCGGCCTACACACTCTACTACATCCTGGCGGCGAACGGCGTCACAAACCAGTCGGACGCTGCCATCGAAAAGACCCTCGGCTTCATCGCCATCGCGTTCAACCTGGTGCTCTACGCCTCGCCCCTCGAGACCATGAAGAAGGTGGTGCAGACCAAGAACGCGTCGTCGATGCCCATTTCCATGAGCTCCATCTTCCTGGTGAACGCCGTGCTGTGGGTCGTGTTCGCCGCGGCAACGGGCGACATGTTCGTGCTGGTCCCCAATACCATCGGAACCTTCCTCTGCTCGGTTCAAGTGGTGCTGTATCTCATCTACCAACCCGGGCGAACTGGGGCGCCGCAACAAGGCCAGATCTCGCCCGATGTCGTCAAGGGCGAGCAAGAACCCGACGAGGTTGCTATCTACGTGAGCAAAAACGTCGACTTCGAGGCGCTGAGCTCGCCCGTGTCGGGGGCAGAGCTCTCGAAGTGACCAAGCTGGATGGGGCAGCAGGAAAGTGTAGGTAGTGTAGCAAAAGTTGGACATGAAGCCACTGACTTCGTCCAAAAAACTCGTTTTACATGGGTTCGAGCAAATATCGGTATAATATATTGGGGGGGTTCCCACCGGTAAATCAATGGTTCGCAAATATCATTCGTCGGTAAATTATTATTTTAATAAGTTGGGAAACTAGGGCTCCGCGAAGGCTGGGATAGGAGGTTTTTGATCGCTTTCTATTATTATGGTTTTTTTTTTACGAACCACGGGCATCTCCTGCGCCTGCTTCGCAGCCGCAGCGTCTGCCCGGTAATTCACCTCAAAACTGTAGATACATGATATGCCTTGACGGTGCTTATACACAGTGATAAAACGAACCTTGCTCGAGATCTGTTTGTAGCTTGTAGAAAATGAAAATGTTTACCTTTGTATGCTTCTGCAGCAGTTCGTCCGCTCACTTTACTTTACTCCTACTATTCGATATATGTTACTGACTCATACCGGTTCAATCTGCCTATAAACCTTTTGGAAGCCGAGTGTGGTACCGCGGCCATACCGGTGTGATGGGTACCCTACCGGTTCAGCTTGCCCACGCATATTCATGTAAACCTTTTGGAGGGCCCAGTGCGGCACCGGGGTCACACCGGTTTCAGGACAATGTACCAGTTAGGTGTCAAGAGGTGGTCACCTTTTGACTTGACGTACCACGGATATAATCCTATTTGGTTTGCGATAGCAGCACTAACGTTGCTTCCTATCCCAATATAATCTAATAAATATTGTGTTTATTGTATGGATGAATATCGTGACGGTGCCGACATACTAGAACTTGACTTGACCACTGTATGGCGGCCATGGCCCAATCAGATGTCCAATACGTTTTTTCAGCGAATAAGCATCCGGTAGATCCCTATTTAGGCCAATCAATATGGTTAGGGGTAGGTATATTTGCTGCCGACACTATGCCGACGTATAATGTCGGCAACGCGGCCGAAATATGTATTCATCCATAGGAAATCTAAGTAATAAGGATATAATATACATATCTGTTCTGCTGCCGACAAGTTACTTAGCTTTTGTATTGCCTTTGACGAGCTGATTTGAGCCGTTTGCAATAGCGTTTCAACCATTATCACGAACTCAATCGAGTTTCCTGGGCACGCCTATCGACCTACCCATAACATGAACAAGCAGCACTCAGTGAGAGCTGCCCATTCAGGAGTGTCGCTCAGGCGGAGCTTGCTGCATACCGCGCGAGCGAAGCGCTAGGATCCAATGCAGAATATACAAGAAAACCATTAATTTATTCCATTTATTATCAATAACTTATTCCTACTCAAGAGTACTAGACGCTAGTGGTGGGGTGTGACTGCGGAGCATTCCACCTGCAGCGATACCCCACCAACAGTGCCAGTCCACACAGCAGCAGCAGCACCCCACCAGCGTCGTGTTGTTGGTGCCAACACCAGCACGCAAGCCGCAGCAAGCCACAGCAGCCACGCCCTCCTCCTGCTGCACGCTTCCCTATGCTCGTCGCCTCCCAGCAGGTCGCTGCGCCCTTGCGCTCGTTTCCCTCCGCTCGATGCCCTTACCGCCCTCACCTTGGCGGCTACCCTCCCCATCGCCCCACCTCCGGTCCGCCGCCTCTTGCCGTTCGCTCCGGTTCTCCTCCTCCTCCTTCCCGCCGTCTATCCTCCACGGCGCGGCCGTCTTGTCCTGCGCCGCCATCCTGGTGCCCACCGCCCTGCTTCAGGTAACCGTCATCGTCGTGCTGCGCGCCATCTTCCTAGCCTCCACCGCGGACCACTCGCCCGCCGTCGTGCAGCCTACCGCCGTCCTCCCAGACACCACCCACATCTTGGCAGGCGGAACTATGCAGCCCCCTCCCCCCCCCCCTTTTCGCCGACGTCCTTCGGCTCGCCGCCCTCCTTGATGACGCCGCGCTCCTCCATCCCCGCTCCTCCCACCCGCCGTCATTGCCTGCATCTTGGAATTGACATTTGAGTCAAATGATTTGACCAATAGATTAACCGCTCAACTAAATGCTTATTTCTACCAATCACGACGCTGTCGGCCACTGTCGGCCGCTGTCGGCACCGTCATGGTATGGAACAATGATATGAACGTATTGTGTTTACTAGTAGTAATTGTATGGGTACAGTAAATGCACAATTACATTAATAATCATTGATAACGTATCAATTCAAATCAGCGCATAATACTCAGATATCAATTAATTAAATGTAAAATACCGTATGGTACCGGTTAATTGTACATGGGCGCTGGACATCGTCGCTTTGATGCGTGGACGCCGTTGCATACTGCAACCACGCGAGCAACTTCGACGTGCGAGCGCGCCACCTCACACTCTTCGCTGCCTGCATCGCTTCTTGGCTCCAACCAACCTGGGCAAGCCAGAACCGGCCAAATGCGTCAACAGACCCGTCCGTTATTACTGGCCGAACCGTTTCGACTAGCGCGAAATTTTGCAGTCGACTAACGAGCCCCAAGGTTGAAGCACTCTTTGGGCTCAGGAATCTCCAGCGCGCCCGCTGCAAACCGCCTGCGTTGCATCGCCATCAGCCGTGACACCGCCCCCGTCTCTGTTAAGCGAGCCCTCAATGCTCGCCCGGCGCATCACGAAACGGAAGGTTCAATTGCGCTTCTGGTCTCCACCGCCTCCTCGATTTGCGCCACCTCACTCAGCCGAGCTCACTTTCGATCTCCCCCTCGAGTCGAGCCGCCACCACCACCAGCCATGACGATCCTGCTCGAGACCCTGCGCGTGCTCACCACCTGCTCCTCCGTGCTGCTCAACGTGTCGCCGTGGCCCGAGTTCGCCCGCATCAACCGGCAGCGCACCCCCGGGCCGCTCACAGTGCTGCCGGTGGTCATGCTCTACTGCAACAGCTTCCTCTGGACGATCTACGGCTTCATGGTGGGGCAGCTCTTCCCGCTCTTCGCCACGTGCTCCCTGGGCCAATGCACCTGCGCCGGCTTCATCGCCGTCTACTACCGCTGGAGTCCGGACCGACCGGCGGTGCGTCGACTCCTCGCTAAGGCGGCATCTGTCATGGCGCTCTGCTTTGCCTACGTCGTCCTCGGCGCCCACGGGCTCACCAACCAGTCGCGGGAGCAGGTCATCACGACGCTGGCGCTCATGTGCATCTCCGTCAACATCTGCCTGTACGCGTCGCCGCTGGACACGATGAAGCGCGTGGTGCGGACCAAGTCGGCGGCGTCGCTGCCCATCTCGCTCTGCACCGTCAACCTCCTCAACGGCCTGCTCTGGGTGGCCTTCGGCATCACCGAGGGCGACTACTACGTCCTCACCCCGAACGCGATCGGCTCCGTGCTCAGTGCGGCGCAGGTGGCGCTCTACTTCACTTACTGCGACACGGAGGAGTCTCGTCTGGAGGAGGTGGAGATCCAGGCTGCCGCTGCGGCACTGGAGGCCGCAACATGTAGCAAGGCGGCTAGCGTCAAGGCTGCGAGCTCCTACGGCAGTCTCAACAAGACCCCATCGACGACGTCGTTTGTCCCGCACACTTACCACTCGGTCGTCGACGTGCACACAGAGAAGGAGCCACTGCTGGTTGTAGCTGCTGCCAACTAATGCGTTAATGTAGGGATAAACTCAAAATTACATACGAGTTTTTTTGCGGTGATATGTAGCCTGTATCACAACAGTGCTCGATTGTAGATGGTTTTGATTGAAGTTACACGGCCGCACCGTGGCCACCTCCTATCAATATCTCAAAAGTATTCAATCATCTACTTCTATCAACCCACTGTTCTCGTTCTTGGTAAGGTGCTCGACCAGTTTACCGCAATGTTTTACTTTTTCCTCGGAAAAATGGTCATAACTTTTTTTTCTACTGTAGACATCCTCTCAGAAATTTAAAAATATGCCGCAAATCTACAGAAACTCGCCTACAACAAGGTGATCTTGTCGTGGTTCTAGTGTTTTGCAAGCGAGCTACCTGCATCAAGGAAAAACCAGGATGCTTTGACGAGCGCCGGCCAGTTTAGCGCAGCGAAACATACAGTATTGGGGTTTGTATGACGAAGCATCTACAGGCTTATGTGGAGGATCTTGACACGCGCCAAAATCTTATCGTGGAAGTGCCAGCGCAACAAAACCACATACAGATCGAGTCTCTCCGCAAGTTTCACGCACCGATTAGTCCTTCCGAGAGAGTTGCTGTCTCTCAGATGTTTAGAACTCTTGGAACGAGCAGTGTCGACGCTTTTTACAGGCTGATGTTCCCCGAGAATGCCAGTGACAGGCCCCTCCCTGTCATTTTCATAAACGCACCGCCAATGTCCGATAAGTCTGCTGTGTGTCTCCAACTCTACGATAAAATCGTGGAGTCAAAGCCAAAGGCTCTCCTAATGAGAAAAAAACAGTGCTTTGGAGACTTGTTCCTGGCTCACTACGGTTGCAGTTTCAAAGCGTTCTGCGCCAAGAAGTGTGATAAAGTTGTTTTCATCGACGAAGCGCAACTCACATACAGCGACGAGCTGTTGTGGAGAGGCTTCGTGACGTGTGCGATGGGCTCGAAACTACCAGGACTTCGCTTCGTTATGCTCGCCTCCTACGGCAACTTTCACGATAGTCGACTGGAAGGTCGACCCGGAACGCCAATTTCCATCCCTCCTGGCAACAGCTTTGAATTGAACGCGACGCCGACTGGAAAGTGAGGAGACTGGTGTTGCCATCCTTGTGCTCGTTGAGCTAGAGTGACGTGTTGTCTGGCAACGACTCAAATGCTGCTTGGTTGTGCAACAAGGTGGACCGGCAACCTATATTGCGATGAAGAAATTACGTCAGTCTATCACGTTAGTCAGCATTGCTATTCGACGAATACTGTTGTCTGCATGAACGTATGAGCCAAACAAATGTGAGCATCTACATGTAATTGGTTTGAGGTCACCACGTAAATAAGTGCTTTCGGGGGATAGCGATTGATCTCGAAGTGAGAGCACCAACAGTGATACTGTCTACCGCGGAACGTGTCGTCCACAGTAGCGATGCAGCCTTGCGAGTGAATGTTGGGTTAGGTGGGTTAGTTGTATAAGAAAAACATAAAGAAACATGGATGGAGAAAGTTCCTCTATCAAAGTGCTGCAATTCGGCGTGCACAACAGACCATTGATATGACACAGCGATCCTGAGGGTTGTGCTGCAGCTCTTACCTGGCCATTAAGACTGTAGCAGCGCTCTACCTTCAGGATATTTAGGAGGCTGTATATTGGATCCTTGCGCGCAAGAACTCATCGATCGAAACTTTGCAATGAAAAGGATACATTTTATGGTATTATAACGCCGAACACAGCAGAAAACCCTCGCTGAGAATGAAAGACCCAGCGCTCCAAAAGCGACTCCATGGATGGTGTCACGGACTACTTACACTTACTGGAATCTCGCCAAACTTAAATGTACAGTATTGGCGTTGCATGAGAAGGTTTTTGCGCACAGGTGTAGCCATCTTCTCCGACGTTTTTGATTGGTTCAGAAGGTTGAAGTGACGGTTGATACATGTGGCAACAGCAGCCTCACCATTCCGACTCTGAAATCGCCTCTGCCAAGTCGCCTTGATATTGTCCAATACCCCCTCAGGGAAGTTGAGCTGCACCCCGTCGAGCGTCGCGTGCTGGTGCAGCCACTGGACCACGTTCAGGTGTCCACCAAGTGCCGCGGGGGCCAGCGACCACGCCGCATCAGGGAACGTCTCCACTAGCCACTGCACCGTCTCGAGACACCCGCGCTCCGATGCAGCGTCGAAGGCCACCTGCTCCGCCCAAGACTCCGGGCGGCCGAACAGCGACGGCTCGTTGGCCTTGAGCCATTTGAGCAGCGGCAAGTCCCCACTCAACGCGGCGGCGACCGCCACCTCGTAATCCAACCTTATCGGGAATGTTGATAAGTTCTCGTGCAATTGCTGCGTGAAGGGCAGACTCCCCATGGCTGCGGCGTACTCGATGGCATGTTCGAGCTGCAGGCGTCTGTCTTCTTCGTTCAGTGAATCCATGCGACCCAGAAGACGCTTGACCAAGTGGGCACTCGTGGCCTTCTTGACAGCGTTCGGGAGCGTCCAGTGGATGGAGTAGTCAACGTAGGCGTCGATCAGGTCGGTCACGTGGCTCAGAGCGTCGATTCGAGGGTCGTCCCGACACACGACGCACACGCTCGTCAGCAATTGCATCGCCGCTTGAGGCTCTTGGACACCTCGGACACCTTCAACTCGGCGCTTCTTGGCCTCGCTCATCTTTCGAGATTTGATTGCTCTCTTCGCCCAAAGATACGTTGGCAGCTCATCTTTTCACTTTTTCAAAACATCGGGTATTTTAGTTTAAAGTACAGAAGTCCCGGCTATTAATATAAGTTGCAGGAGGAGGCATTATTTTATTAAAATAGTTTGGACCCCCCTATCGAGTCATACAATGAATAAATGATTCAAATTATTTACTGCAACGAGAAAGCTCGTGGAGGGCGGCATTCCTTACTTCTCCAGTGCAAAGTTACTACTTCAAAGAAGTAAAATATAAGTTTGTCAAGTTAACTAGATTTCTGAATCTGGTTATGCCGACCACTTCCCGCAGACTTTTCGTAAGAAAAAAGCAACAAAACGTCAAACCAAACGCAGTCTCTTCGTTCTCCCTCGAGCTGGCCCGAGAGTGGTAAGACCGTACTGTAGTCAGATCCAGCAAATAACAACACCTTGCTACCAAAAGCTCTCGTCTTCCATGATGGCTACACTTCCAGCCCAACCCCCTACACCTACTACCCTCCATACACGAATTTCCTCCAATCCGGTAGCGGAGCCATTTGGACACCACTTTTGCCCCCAAGAACCATGGCGACGGACCTGAGTGCGAGCGCGATCGGGGGCGTGGCCGGCGGGGGCGGCGGCGACGCCGTGGGGGCCTCGGGCGGCCCGGAGAACGCGTACGAGAAGCTCTCGCGCGAGGTGCACCAGATGCAGATCACGGGCGCCATCCACACGGACTGGCTCGAGAACCCCAAGGGCTTCCTGCTCAAGCCCGACTTCAAGCGCAAGGCGCAGCACGTGGGCGCCGGCGGCAAGAAGCTCAACAGCTCGCGCCTGCTGCGGCTGCATCTGCCTGGGAACACGTACAGGGTGCGCTGGTTCGTGCTGGACGGCATGATCCTGCGCTACTTCAAGACGAGCACGGAGGAGCAGGAGCTGGGCGCCATCCACCTCACGTCGGTGAACGCCGTGCTGCCCTCGAGTGTGGCGGACGCACCCGAACACGCACTGGATTTGGTAAAGTATTTTGGATTTTTTTGTTTTTTTGGGAAGATATTTTGTTTTACTTGTTTATAGAGGTGATTTTTCTTACGAATTGTTTTTTGTGAATTTTTGTTTAGGTATGTGCGGATCGGATTTACACCGTGGCGGGCAATGATCGGGAGGATATGGTGCGCTGGGCGACGGTCTTGACGTTAGTGGTAAGGAGTTGGGAAGTTTTGTACTATGGTGTTTTTTGTTTTTTTGCTGATCATTTTTTGTTTTCTAGTTGCGGGGTGAGTACAAGCCCAAGTTGATGTTGCGGCCGGAGTCGTCGATCATTCGTGGTAGCTCGGTGATCCCGCGGCCGAGTGCCGTGGCGAGGAAGACGGCGATGACGCAGGCGTCCAGGTTCACGGACGCGAACGGCATGAGAATGACGGGCACGCTGACAGGTGGCATTGGAGATGGAGACAACAAGAGCCAGGGAGACGACGATGTCAAGGAGAAGATCATCACCGTCACGTTTGACCAGCCTGGCCCGTTGAACCTGATTCTGAGAGGAACTGTGGACGACGAAGTGATGGTGTGTGGGTTCCAGAACGGTTCCGGGCCCGGTGGGGAGCTCGGGCCGGCGGAGGCCTCGGGGGTCATACGCGTGGGCGACCTGCTCATTTCCATCAACAACCACTACTTCACGAACATTGAGTTCCAGCAGGCTGTTGACTTGATCCGTGCTGCTGGACGCCCGCTCACGCTTCGCTTCTCCCGAGTGGACTTCCACACGGCACCGTCCACAGATACCACGCGTGTTGCTGAAGGCTGGGTGCTCTCGAAAGAGCCTTCGGCTCACAGGTACCGCGTTCGCATGTTGCAGCTGCAGGGTGACAAATTGAAACTCTACAAGCCCAGCATGCAAGGAGGAAGAGTGGACGAACCGTGTTTGGTGATTCGTATGGAGCAAGTCACGGACATTCGACCCACGAACGACACACGCGAGGTCGTGACGGCGTTTACGCAATGCCACCCGAAGCAGTGGGGTGTCACGCTTGAAGGATCACAGAGCATCTTCACCTTCTACACGAAAAATCGCGAGGATATGGTGCAGTGGGTGGATTTGCTCAAGAACTCGCCGTTGTTCTCGCCGAAAGCTACGAGGCTCTCGATTCCGGTGCATCCGGTGGCTGTTGTGGAGTTTGATCCCATTCTGGAGCCCAAGGTGGTGCTCCAAGACGACGTCGGCAAGCTGGGTGACCTGCTGCCAACGTTTTCGTGTCACTACTTCCTGCTTCTGGAAGATGGGAAGATGATGTACTACGTTAACGCGAATTCAGCTGCTACTCGCATGCGTCCAATTGGCACATTGCGCTGCGACAATATCGTCAGCATTGTGCCCAGCCAGATCACGGATGATCCGGCAGCTGGAGACGATTCAAACTCGGAAACATCGTCGATTGGCGGCGTCACAGAGGAGATGATGCCGTGGCGTCTTGAATTGGGAATTCTCGTGCAAGGGTCAGCGCAGAAGTACCGTCGTCCATTTATCATGTGCTTTTCCACGCAAGAAAAGATGATGAAGTGGGGAATTGCTATTGGCAAGGAGGCCAAGCGACTCACAGGACAGGAATACGATCTGTCATCTATCAGCCGCCGCGCATCCCGCAGCAATAGCCAAACGTACGCGCCGCGACACTCGGAGACACCTATGACGCGACCGACCATTTCTCGACTCATTTCAAACCCGTCCAAGTACATCGATCCCAACGTCCAGGAATCCGCTCGCTTGTTCCGAAGTCTCAAGGATGTGACGGCAAAGGCAGCTACGCGCGGCTGGTTCTTCGTGAAGAAGCCGCGGAGTGTGGGCATGGGTGCATACCACCCGCGATTCCTCGTTCTTATCGACAACCAGCTCATGTTTTTCAAGTACGAGGTGCTCGAGGAAGAAAGCCTGCACTCGTACGCGAGTATGCTGGATCTTCGCAACATTAAGGATGTCCGAGAAGCTGACTCCGGTTTCCAGGACAACATCGACTTTACGATTCAGCTTACGACTGCTGATGACATCATCTGGATGGTACGGTTTTGTTGGTGCTGTATGTATGTCGGGCGTGGATGATATGCTAATATTTTATCTCCCCCTTGTACTTGCTCTGATAGCTGGTAGCAGAAAGCTACGAGCAAAAGGAAGCGTGGCTATCGGCGTTGATTTGGCTCTCTGATTACTACTACCGACCTGGAGATAACGATGACGACATTACACCAGCAATAACAGACGCGAAGCGGATTGCACTGAACACTGCAGGTATCATGATGTCAATCCCCGAGTCAGAGGGATCAAACAGCATGACAAGTCAGGATGTCGATTCAAAGGAGGCGGATCGTCTAGCCGCTGCGGGTATTGCAAAGGAACGGCTATCTACAACAGGCCTGGGTGCACTTCTTACGGACGATTTCACGGGAATTGGCGGCGAAATTCAGATCGCCGGTAAAAAGGTGTTCGCAGCGATCTCCAGTGGTGTCTTCCGTTACTACGCTTCGCAGAGCGATTACGAGAGTGAATGGGGTGACGCCATCGATGCTATCTCCCTCAAGGAGATCGAGGAGGTGCACTCGGATGGTCTGGATTTGGGCAGCTTTGTGGTGAAGGTGAAGGGTGAAAAGGAGGTGCGATTGATTGCAGAAAGCGCAAAGCTGGCGAAGCGTTGGATGCTGGTTATGTGTTGCTGCGGCGACCTGATCCTTAAGAAAGCTCCCCACGCTGACTACTGGGCGAGCACGCAGCCGAAGGAGGCGTGGATCTGGAAGCTTGACCGTTTGTACCAGGTATTCCGTCGTCGCTACTTCTCCCTGCGCAACCACCAGCTTATCTTCTACACAGAGCAGGGTGGCCGTATGCTGGGCATGATTTCGCTGCCTTGCATTTTCCACCTGCAAATGTCCAAGGTGTGGACTCGCAGCAAGGACGAGGCCGACTTCTACCAGCTCGAAGTGAGCTTTGCGGTCCCTACAGCTGCTGAAGAGAGCTCGCGCACCGATCAAATTGGCGACTTCTACGCCTTCCTGTTAGCCTTTGACACGGAGGAGCAACTCAAGGAATGGGCCAACGCTATCTACGACTGCTGCACTAACTCAATGTCGCTGAAGGGTAATGCAACGCTGTCCCCACTTGGCGAAATTCAGGTGCTTCCGAAGGAGCTGCTCAAGACGTCCACTTTCGATCACAGCGATGATGCGTTCTTCAAGACGGCTGGGCTGCCGATTGGACCCACGGTGCCGCCGAAGAGGCCCGTTCCCGACGCAGCAGTATCCGCTAGCGAGTTCAGCTCCAGCGGATGGTTGTACTACCGCACGTCCAAGGAGGAGCGCATTCGACTGCGCTACTTCATGCAGTGGGGATATGAGCTGTCGATTTTCAAGCATGAGGTGCTTGCGGACGAGGCGGCTGCTATTCGTTACGGTGTGATCGACTGCCGTGCACTCGTGGACGTGCGCTTCGCGTACATCAACTCTCCGGAGAACGCTGTTGAACTCATTTTGGGCTCCGAAACTAGTGTGATTATCATCCCGCGCACGGACCAAGAAGCGGTCATGTGGCGCAACTCGCTGCTGGATGTAAAGCGTGCCTATGGTCAGTTGGAGTCCGGCAAGAACAAGGAGGACACGTTTGGCACGGGCGTTTTCATCAGTCGCGGCAGCACGTTCTCCACGCACAAGGACAACGAGGAGCTGTTGCGTCTGCAGATCGAGTCGACCGTCATTTATTCGTCGAATCTCCAGGATTGGGACGGCCGCAAGTGGATCCCGAAGTATTTCGTGCTGACGAGCTCGCGCGTGCTCATGATGTCCCTGGCGCTGCACATGTACGACGAGGAACCCGACATCCTGGGCTCTTTCGCCACCAAGGATATCGTGGAGGTCCGTGCGTGCAACGAAAAAGAGGAAGCGGAGACCGGCAACTGCAAGTCCTCTTGTGTCATTACGCTACGACCACAGTCGAGCAGCGCGGGCGACGTGATTCAGGCGGTGCCTGACCGCATGATCGTCAGGTGTGACTCGATCGGTACGACCACGCTCATGCTTTACTGCTGCTTTGGAAGTGCCTGCTCTGATAGATTTGCTTGTGTTTGTACCATGTCGTGTAGATCACTGCTTGGAGTGGATGCGTTTGCTGTGCAGCAGCAACGGCAAACTGGAGCTCAAGAAGAACGCGGCCACCGGCTACTGGGGCAGTGTGAACCGCATCGCATCGCTTTCTCGCCACCAGAGCTTCCTCGCTACGGCGCCTCTGTCTGCGGCCATCGCCGCCGCCAACTCTGGCTCCACATCGTCTGCCCACGGAGGCGAGCGCACGCGGAGAATGACGCGCCAGGATGCCGCACGAAAGTACGTTGACCTGTTGATATTGGTCGCATGCTCCGAGACTGTGGCTAACGCTATTGTTACCCTTTTGCAGGCGTACATCAGAACTCATCATGAATCGCAAGAGCATGATGGGATACCCATGAGCACGCAGCAGCCGAGTAGATTAAAGGTGCACCGGGTCATTTCATGTTGTATCTGTTCATCATCCCACGTGACTGACTTTCAGCAAAGCGCAACACATTCATTTACACACGCCCCCTGAAGCCTCCCTCTCCTCTAACTGGCCCTGCTACTAAACCTTTATGAATCGTTCTGGTTCTAGAAGTCAGCGCTATCTGCTGATGGATCCGCTGGCTCGTCATGGCCGCCGCTGGGCAAGAAAAAGCTGGAGGCTCGAGAAGACTCCGGAGATCCCGACGGCGGAGAAACCCGGGGTACGGGCGCTGAGCCCATCCTACTGAGTGGAGACCTTCGCCCGCTGCTTTCTTGTGTGGTATTTGACGATGGAGGGGCCATCGGGTGGCGATGGCCAGCACCGACGACGATGGGCTTGTAGTCAAGACCAGTGTCGGTACTACCCCACGATGTCCAGCTACTGCCACGACGAGCTGCGTGCTTGATCTCCTTGATATCAGCAGCGGTGAACTGGAGCAGCGTCGAAAGCACTGGCACTAGCCGTGTCTGCTGAGAAGAGCCCGGTCGGAACAACATGTACTGCACCACAACGTTCTTGAGGTACTCCATGTTGACACCGTCGCGGCGCTGGTTCTGCAGCATTGCAGTAAGCTCCTCAGCGTGGCGACGCTTGTCATCGCGCAGCTCCTGCACCTCGCGATGGGCTTCTTCGAGCTGCTGCGACAACGCCTGCATCTGTGCTGCTTGCTCGCGCTGCTCAGCCTCTCGTTTAGCCTGCACCTGGGCAAACTCGAGAATCTTGCGGTTGTCTGCGCCGCCCGAGCGCACGTCTTCCTCCAGCTCATGAAGACGGGCGCTCAGTCGAGCAATTTCCTTCTCCTTCTCCAACACCGCTTGCAGCGCCAGCTTGGACTTGTGCTTGCTCTCCGCCTCAAGACGGTCAAGCTCGCGCTTGAAGTTCAGCTTTTCGTTCTGGACGGCAGTCTGAAGTGCCTGTTTGGCCTCCTCGCGTTCTTGCTGGAATCTCTCCTCTTGCTTCCTCATATCACCTTGAACGTTCTCCAAGTCTTGCTTGGCCTGGGCCTCACTTTGCTTCATACGCTGCACATCAGCCTTGGCCGCCTGAACTTGCGCTTCCATCTCCTGTTGTGCGGTCTTACTGTTGGCCGCCTCGCGTAGTGCGCCCTCAATCAAGGCAACCTGCTCTGCCAGCTTACCGGCCATGCCCATGTTCTCAGTCTGCAATCTGGTCGCAAGTGCCATGCGATCAGACAGAGACTTCTTTGTCTCGGCCAGATCTACGCTCAAGTTGCCCACCTGGGACGTCTGCTCGCTCAAAGATGTCTCCAGCTCCTCCTCGTGCTTCCGCGCAGCCTCCAACTCCCGCTCCAACGACTTGCATCGCGCCGAAAGTTCGTCCTTCTCCCGAGAGAGCTCCTTCTTCTCGTTCATGAGCGTACGCCGCTCGGTGTGAACACGCTCCAACTCCGCCTCCTTCTCTTGTCGAAGCATTTCGAAGTTTTCATGGTGCTTTTCGCGCATTTCGTCAAGCTGCTTCTTCAGTTCTGTGGCCTCCTTCTCGCTCTGGATGTAGCGGCGCTCGTTGGCCTCCGCCTTCGTGGCATGCGCCTCCAGACCCTCCGCAGCTATGGCCAGGTCTTCACGCATGCTGCTTACCTGCTTCTGTAGCTCCATCAGCTCGGACGTCATGGACGTCTGAGAGGCTGCCATCTTCGTGACCTGCTTCTCCTTTTCGCGCAACTCAGCCTCAAGCGTCTCCGCCTTGGTGTTTGCTGCGTCACTGTCAGTGATTAAATTCTCCAGCTTTGACGTCCAGTACGCACGCTCCTCTTCCAGCTGCTTCTCCATTGTCGCCTTAGCTTCACGAGCTTGTTCCTGCTGTTCTTCGAGCTCTCGCTTTGCATCAGTCAAGGCCGCAATCTCCTTCTCCGAAATGGCTTCCTTCTGCTCATACTGCGCTACCTGGTCAGCCAACCGGCTGGTGTCTTCCTTCAGAGCCTCCACAAGCGATTGAGTTGCTTCACTTTCGCTCTTCGCCTTGGCCAGCTTCTCGTCAGCAGTCTGCAGCTTCTTCTGCAGGGACTGGATCTCGTGCGCATGCTCCGCCGATTCTAGCTTCACACGCTCGAGTTCTTGCATCAGAGCTGTGTCAGCCGCATCGTCGGATTCCTTCGACGAGATTTCATCGTGAGCCTTTTCAACCTGCTCCTTTAGTGATGCGATTTCTTGCTGCAATGCTTCGTTGTCGCTTTCCTTCGTCTCAAGCAGACCCTGCAAGCGAGTAGCTTCGCCACGCAGAGAGCTGAGCGCCTCCTCGGTGTCTTCCGCAGGAGTATCGGAAGTTGAAGCCTCCTGCAAAGTTTTGAGTTCTTCCTGAAGACGCGCATTCTCTGCCTTCATGGATTCAAGATCACTTTGCTGCGCCTCCAAAGCCGTTGCAACCTTTTCGCTCACCTCCTCCTCGGACACACTGGAAGGAGTAGACATTGCTGGCAGCGCTTCGGCTTGTTCAAGGAGACGAGCATTCTCGGCCTTCAACGCCTCTAGCTCCGCTTGTTGGGCCTCCAGTGCTGCATCCACCTTCTCCTTCACGGCATCTTCATCAACATCCGAGTGGGAGGAAGACTCCGCCGCTTGTAGTGCCTGAATTTGTTCTTGAAGCTGCGCGTTCTCAGTCTTAGCCGCCTCCAGCTCTGCTTGCTGGACCTCGAGTGCTGCCGCCACCTTCGTCTCCACTTCTTCCTCAGAAACGCCAGTGGATGAAGGAGTTGCCGATTGAAGGGCCTGAATCTGCTCTTGAAGTTGCGCGTTCTCAGCCGTCGCTGCCTCTAGCTCCGCTTGCTGCTCTTCCAGCGCCGCAGCCACTTTTTCCTTCACTTCATCCTCAGACGCATCGGACGCAGTCGGCGCCGCTGCTTCCAGCGTCTGGACTTGCTCCTGGAGACGCGCGTTCTCACTCTTCGCTGCCTCGAGCTCGGACTGCTGAGCCGCCACCTTCTCCTTCACCTCTTCCTCCACATCCGCTGCGGTCTTCTCAGCCTGCTGCAGCCGCTCGGCCAGCTCGGCCTTCTCCTGTTCAACCTTGGCCAGCGTCTTCGCCGCCTGCTGCTGCTCGCTCTCGCGCTGCTGAGCGCCCGCGTCCAGCTCCTCGGACAGTTCGCGTATCCGCTTCTCCATCTCGCGCTTCAGCTCCGCGAGTCTCTCGAGCTCCTCCTGCTGCTCATTGCCATTAACCCCGTCGCTCAGCTTCTGGCTCTGCAGCTCCTCCCACTTGTGCTGCCAGTGCAGCTCCCTGTCCTCGCTCTGCTTCCTGAGCTCCTCCAGCTCCCGCCTCGCAGCCTCCTCCCTCTCCAGCAGCTTCCGCTCCAGCTCCTGCGTGTGCTCCGCGCCCTGTCGTAGCTGCTCCCGCATGCGCTCCACCTGCTGCATGGCCTGCTCCAGCTGCGCGTCTCCCTGTGCCCCTGCGTCCCCCAGCAGGTCGATCTCCTCGTAGCGCTCGGGCTTCTTGTCCGTGGCCACGGGGGACAGGTCCAGCAGGTTGACGCTCTCCACCTGCGGCGTCGTCGTCGTCTGCTGCTCCTTGTGCTTGAGCTCCGCCAGCACGCGGTACCTCTCCGTCAGCGCGGCCACGTCGATGGCCCCGGGGCTGCGACCCTCTGCGTCCTCCTTCGCCGCCGCCTCGGCCTTAAGGCACGCGGCCACGTCCAGCCCCACCTCCTGCTCCAGGAAGCCGCGCAGCGCCTTGACGTCGGCGTCGCTGGCCGCGGCGGCCGCCAGCTTGCTCTGGTTCTTCTGGTACTGCGCCTTCATGAGCTTGTTCTGCCGCGTGAGCTTCATGCTGAGCGCCAGCAGCTCCTCGTACGTCATGCGGTTGGAGCCCTCGGCGCTGGCGCTGGAGCTGGGGGCGGCTGCCGCGTCTCCGTTCTCGAGGGACGCGTTGGCGGCGGCCGTGCGCAGGAAATGCAGCCCCTTGGTGAGGCCGCCGCGCCCGAGCTCGCGCATCTGCTCGAGCTTCTCCTTCTTCTTGAGCATCGCGCCTGGCCCCGCGTCGATGGCCGCGTCGATGGGGGAGGAAGATAATGGAAAGGCTGACGTGGTGTAGAGGTGGTGTGGTGGTAAGCACGCGACTAAGTGCGAATGGCTACATCTCTCCCGAGGCAATCTAGCCGTTGACAGATGACGAGATCTGTGCGTGAATGCATCCAGACTCCTGAAGAACAGGCCCGCTTTTTAGAACGTTCTAAATATAGAACAGAAAAATGACTTGAACTTAATATTCAGTATGGCTTAGGTAAGAGTTGTAGTCCCGACTATACGCTGGTATACAGATTTGGCCCTCAGTCAGACGACCCTCATGCGCAAGCAGCAATACTTTTTCAGCTGGGATCGATCAGTATTTATCTAGATGCGCATCGACAACAAATAACAGCGCTCTAGAAGTTTGATCGACCTCTAGTCATCACATTGTGGGCTCGATCGTAAGGGGTCTCGAAAGCGGGCCTGTTTTGAGCGTTTAATACTTTACTTACGCTTTTGGAGGTTGGGCGAAAGCCGGTCAAAAGCGGGCCTATCATGAGCATTTCAGAGGGCAAAACAAGGACAGCATCCGGGCCTCATATTAAGTTCAAGTCATTTTCTGTTCTAGATTTAGAACGTTCTAAAAAGCGGGCCTGTTCTTCAGGAGAGCCAGACGTCTTTCTACAGGCAGCACGCCGCCCACGCGGGCGCCAACGCTCGGCTTGAACTCCTTGTGCGAGGAGTTCAAGCCGAACAAGGACTTGTGCGTGGAGAACGCGACGGAATGCTTGTCCTCCATCGTGCCCTCCTGGAAAAGGGGTCGGCATTTTTCCTCCAGCTCCTTCGTGCATGCACTTAACAAGATCCTCGCGCGAGAGGAAGACAGACCGGATGTACGCCACTCTGTTGGCTGGGAACATCAGATCCGTCGGGGACTTTAGCTCCTTGGTGGGGTGGAGCCGAACCTTGAAGGTGCTGTCGACTCCCGCCGAGTTGCTCACCTCCATGGTCTCCGTCGTTGCTGCCTTGAACTTTCCGATCGTTGCTATTATTGCTGCTTCAGATCCTTCCGCCTCCTCAAGCACTGCTTGCAGTGATGGCAAAAACGGAGTTTAGGCGCCTTTATGGGGGTTTAGGCGGGTGTACTTTGGGCTATATCTCAGGTTCTAGAACGTCTTTTCAAGTGAAAAAGACTGTTTTGAATTCCTTGAGCAAAGCGCAGTCGGCCGGCGGCAATTGCCATGGTACGACCGGCGTCATAGTATCTCCACGAAAACGCTTTGACACCCAGTGTCAAGTATATATTTCAACTTGTATTTCGACGTATTAAGAAAGATGATAATTTTGAAAAGGCGGCATGTGCCACCACTGCAAGCAGCATCCTGGGACGCCGGAGAAGGAGAAGTTCGTCACCTCCGCAATCCAAGTAAGAAGCGGCGCCACGAGCTCGGGCACGCAGGAGCGCTTCACCCATGCAGCCTGAAGAGCGCATGACCGAGTACACTCGCTACGAAATCAACCACGGTGGGAGATTCGCGTGGTGCTGGTGGGGGATATACTTGACACTGGGTGTCAAAGCGTTTTCGTGGAGATACTATGACGCCGGTCGTACCATGGCAATTGCCGCCGGCCGACCGGCTCAAATCCAATACATGTAGCTAACCTTGGCTACAGGTGCCGCTAATACTCGTCGTCAAAAGTGACGAGAGCTGTGCATGCACGCAGGCGCTTTCACTCGGCTGGTTTCATATACCTAGATAGATACAGGAGCTACGTCGGCAAGAATGACAATCCTCTCCTTCGCTTTCGACACGCTGCAACATGATGGGCAGGCGTCTCCACCGAGATTCGTAACGATAATCCAGCGCCGCGTCGTATGATGCGCGTACCAAGTGCAAGTGGTACTGCTCGCGAGTGTTTTCTCGGCGACATGTTTCCCGAGCATGCATCAATCACGGTGCTAGGATGCACAACGCCTTGCGTGTTACACGTGGTTACTTTCCTCGAGGAGGATACCAACGACTGAAGCTAAACTGCAGTAGCAGCGCATGGACACGTGCGCGCACCGCAGCAGAAAACGTTGAGGGGGGACATCCCCCATTTGCGTCCTGCGGCGCGCGCACCCACCAACGTCCGGGCCGCATACTCCGGCTCTCGACTGTGCGGGAACCCCTCGTAGCTGCAAGCGAGCAATGTACATATGTGCATGTATTGCATGTAGGCGCTCGTCCTCAGCGAGGAGAAAACTTTTCAACTTTTCAGGATTTGCAGGTCACTTCAACGTCCTGGTCATGCACGGCAAAAGCGTACCCACTTTTGTGTCAACTTAATCGGGAGAAAGATACCGTCCTTTTGACTTCCCAGTATACATGTTGTGCTATAGAGCCTACATTGTGCCCCCTATGAAGTCAAAACCGCCACCGTCCCTCCTCAGCAAAGTTCACCAAGAAGGACCCCACTTCAAGTGAGCAAGCGAAGCGCGACCGCAGCGACACTCGTACAACAAGGAGGGGTGCCCCCCTTACGAGCCACCGTCGGAACTTTTTCATGACAGGCTCTTAATCCGCTCACTCTGCAATTTGACACCACGCCGGACACTCCCAAGCAGCACCACGCTCAGCTGACTGAAGTATCCCCCAAAGCACCGCAGCCCGATGGCCATCTCCGACCAAGTGCGCAGCCAGCTCTTCCAGTCGGCGCCGTCGCCCAGCCCGATGGACGCCAAGCCGCAGGCCATCCGCATCCCGACGACGCGGGGCGGCAGCACGCGCGGCGGCCTCGTCCCAAAGTCTCCGGGCGCTGGCCGCGGGCTCTGGACGCCCGAGGAGCACCTGCGCTTCCTCGAGGCGCTCGACAAGTTCCCGGCGGGTCCGTGGAAGAGCATCGCCGAGTACGTGGGCAACAAGACGGCGCGCCAGGCCATGACCCACGGCCAGAAGTATCGCCAGAAGATCGCGCGCCGCCGTCGCGGACTCAAGAAGATCGTGAGAGACCTCCAGTTCGCGGCCGTGGACGTCCAAGACAGTGATGGCAATGGCCAGGAGGCCACGGAGGCCTCGGCCCGACTGAGTATCGACTCAAATCCGATGGACTTGTCGGACCGGGACTTCGCGGCTTTCGTCGCCAGTCTCGACCTGGCCGAGGAGCTCCAGCACGAGCTCGTGGGCGACATGAACGACTCACCGCTGGTTGTGGCCGCTGCGGTCGAGCCGATTGAGGAACTCCCAAGCCTCTCGCTTGACGCGCTGGACGTCGACGTGCCGGCGCCGCCTGCGTCCGTTGCGAGCGACTGCGGGCTGCCCACGACCACGGCGCAGCAGGACGTGCACCACTGGGTGGTCATGGACCGCGCCGATGCGTCCTCGGAGGAGTTCTCGCTCGCACTGGCAGAAGCGTTCCAGGCTGGCAACAACGCAGCCGCCGAGGACTATGCGTTTGCGAGGCCACTGCCGCTGCCGGAGCAGTTACTGGACGAGTACTGCCAGGTGCAGATGGGCCTCGAGCCGCTGGTCGCAAACCACGCGGCGCTCGACGGCCTCGAGTTTGACGAATTTGAGCTGCGGTAGCGGAACGCAGCTCGCCCCCAGTTGCCATGGGAAGCACGCGACGTACTTAGCAACGTATTTATATTGATGACACCCCATACGCACGAAGTTGCAGTAAGCTCGTAACACACAGGATCAAAGCGGTAAAACGATAAAACCGACAAAAATGAATGTTCGTTCACAGCCAGCGAGCGCTAGATAGTTAAGCTCGGACATCGGACATGGCATGTGTTCTCAACAGGAAGATAGCGATGGGGCGTAGTGAGAGATACGCAAGCGCTACACTGTTGGCACCGATTCAATGCATGCTCGTCGTGTGAATCTCGCCACCAGTCCTCACTTCGTGGTGTGGGCCGCCACGGGGTGAAACGCTTGTTGGTCGCCTTGGGGTGTGGCTTGATGCGGCTTGATCGGAAGCCTAGTCGTACGTATCTACCACTATAATACCGATAGCTGGTGCTTGTTGAGATGGTCTGAGTAAGGCCTTATATCAGCACTGGTTACCCGGGCCCCGGGTCAAGCCCGTGGGTCCCGGGGGGGGGGGGTCGCAGTTCGTAAGAAAGGTTAATTGTGGTGTATTAGTTGCGTCTACCCTACTTGTGGCGTTTTTTTAGTAAAGCGACCTTTTGTACCCATCCTTACACCGAAGTACCTAAGTACCTAAGGTAAGGTTATTGTATTAATACTTCTTCAAACTAAAAATTGTCGTTAGCACGCTCTCCTCACAAAGCTACGCAGAAGACTGTAAAGATGTAAGCATATTCTAAAATCCTATTCGAGTGAAATTCGATCAACTTGATCATCAAGACGCGAATCTAAAAAAAATGACCCCCGTTACAAGTTCGCCACGGATGAGCTTTTAAGTTCTACTTGTTGCTAAGCACACCCAAATACATATTGCACCTGGATGTTTCGTCGGTCCTTCTCTTGGTAAAAATGCTAGTGATGACAATGCATGACGGAAACTTTAACTCGACCAGGTGCAGACATGTTTCCCGACCGGAAATCCACGCAGCATTTGTCCACCACTCGGTTAGTGCTTTTTGGCGCGTAGACATAAATCCGTCTTGCGTTATTAATTTCTATTAGAGCTCTCGCAACCAGTCTTGATCCGAATTGTACTTAATGCTGACTTTATCGGAGTCACTGGCCGCACACTTTGGATTAGAACGTTTGTGTGGGCTTGGTTTCCTCGCAGTAAGCTTTCGAGGTGACGCAAGTGAACTCGACGTTATATCGAGCTGTTCAATGCGCATTCGATTGTCGTAACCGAGATGTAGTTAAATGATCATCACACCAACAACCATGTGGGGCAACTAGATTTCTTTATTTTCCAAATGAAAAAAAATCACAAGCGACTTGGGCCGCCTCACTTGCGGCGCACCAGTCGCAATAATAAAATATCTTCTCAGAGCTTAAGTTAACACTAGAACATAGCGAGGTAGTCTTGCGTTCTTTGAGTTCGGTCACGCGCCTGCACCGGATCGAGGTTCGCAGTGAGTAGGTTATCTTGCAGTCACGCGCCTTTACGTACGTGCTGGTAGACCCTTCCAGCGTGACTTTGTCTTTTGGGGCGTCCTTGAGATCGTGATACAGAGTCTTGATCTATTCCAGCAGCGAAGGCCACGAACATGCCCTGACAAGCATAAAGATCAGACGCTATTAGTAGAGTTGTCGATACCGCAGCAATGGTGGCCGAAGACATTCGTGCTGCACACGTAGTTGTGCCTTATCTAGCTACTGCCTGCATATGAATCACCCCCTAGAGCACCAGCACGTCCAACGCGCCGCATTCTACAGTACAACCAGTTAAAACGAAAGTTAAGACCAAGTTTCGCCATTACTTAGTAATCATGGGAGTACCTGAAGACTCAAGCGCAGGTTGCTGCTCCTTCTTGCCCTTATGCGAGCATCCAGTTCATGTCCGTTCTCCTGTTCAGTAAATTCTAAAATGGCATTAAGCAAGCCGGCCCGCTCGGATCGGGAACATCATGGCCTATACCACCATCTAAAGGCCTTCTGGACTATACCTTTGCTTTTTGTCCCCTCAGGGGAACCCCCTGAGTTATGTGTCCAACACTAGTTAATCCGCATACAAATGCTTAGATAAATCGACTCAATACAACAGTAAGTCATTCGAATGCATACAAAACTCAATATATTTGATTTCAATACAAAAGTCAAGTAAATAATTCTGGCGATACCGGTATCTGACATCAAACAGTACTAACGACAGTTCTTACGAACTGCGAATTGCGATATATATAGTTAAGCACTGCGTTGCTGTCAAAACCGCGTCGTGGCGTTATCCTGTTCTCGTCGAACGGTGACACGAGCTTCGCAGCAGAGCGCGACAATACAAGGTTTTCGGAGCAGTGTTGATGGACATTCAAATGCTGGTGGCTCTGTAAGCGAAACTGCGCAACGCAGTCACGACGCCATCGTAGGCCTTTGGAAACGCGACCAAAACGAGAGTCGCATGTCCTGTGCCGACGCAGCTACCTTGATTGATTCGCGCGTGTTTACACGGCGTCGCCGCGTCGAAGTAGGCGTCTCGGCTCAGCATCCAGCTAACACACGGAGGCGTCAACGCTTGCTTGCACCAGCGCTCACCGCGGCCGAGAGCACCGCACCTTCTCCACGTCGTGCGCCATCCAGACGAGTACGCGTACGTCGCGCTTTGGCGAGCACATGCAGCACTGTAGTGACTACCGCAGCGAATCGTACAGCGGACGATGCAACTCGAGCCCACCTGGGGGTAGTAGTACTGAAAACTCTCGAGCTGCTGGCCCTTCTAAGTTGCGAGCCCACAAGACAAACACTTGCTGCGATCGGTCTTGTCAAGACTCTTGAAATACATGATAAATACTCATCAACCTGGTTACAACTGCACTGCGTCGCTGCCGCCACCGGGCAGTACAAGTTCATGTGGGTATCCACTCGCAAGATGTTGACAGTGGAAGTCTGGCCAGCGTCCGCCCTCCTTCCGACACTTCTCGCTCTGCAGCCCGAGCAAGACGCCGCGCTGGAATACGCCCTGCTCTGGCGAAGATAGGCTAAACCACGTGCCTAGTGTGAAGCATGGCGACGAGTGCGCGTCGTCCTTGCGAGCGAAGAGCCCGAAAGTGGCGTCTGTGGGCCAGAAGACGGGAGCGAAACTCTGCGGCAGCTCTCGGCCATCCGCCTCGGGCTGTCCACCAAATCGGAACGAGCTCTCCAGCGCGTACATCAGCTCCACGGCGGAGTCGCGTCCTTCGGTCGATCCACGTTGGTAACGCACCTGTGACAGTCGAGGGGCAAACAGCTCCGTTCGCGAGAGGAGACGGAGCCGCGCGATAGCTGAGCAGTGGCGAACAGCTCCTCGTCCGGCAGTGCGCTCCACAACAGCGCAGCAATCGCTGTCATTTTAATGCTTAAAAGTACATGTATGAAAAAAATAGTGTATCGTGGCACAAGCCCCAAGTGCGCGAGTGCCCAAGCAGGATTTGCTCAAAATTGTACCAACCAGACGGCTGTTTCCCGAGAATTGACCGAAGTCAAATGCGGTCCACGTTCGTGAGTCATGTCATGCGGCCTGATGAAAAGCATACAGGCGTCCCCGGGCTAGTCCCGGCTGTATATTTTAATGTACCTCGCACAGGAAGTACAACAAGCTCTCAAGATTTGCGCGCTACTTATGCAAACATATTGATTTAGATGAGTGTACAGCGAGACCTACTGCGACAAGTGGCACGTTGCGGGAATACCTCCACCGTATTCTTGAGCTAAGCTTGTAGTAAGTCAGCACATACTCATTTATGTTCAGACCGCGTGAATCTTGTTGATTCGCAAACATCATAAGTATCACTGTGGCGAATAGGCCGGGGACGCCTGTACAGCAGCAACGCGAAAGCGGACCATCGCTTTACACTTCAGATGTACGGAGGCAACAATTTTTAGGTTCTTGTACTGTACATACGGTATGTAACTGAGGCGGCAACGTTGTTGATTGCTTAGTGGAATGAAGCACGAGTGGCTTGCTGTGCATTTATGTATTATAAAAATGTAGCAAATAATTTACTGTAAATTGGTCCCGACGTACGCCAGTTCAGGTGAATTAGCGATCGCCGAAAGCGTTAGATCGGGAAAACGAGCTGGACGCGCTGCCGTGCAAGGTTGAGCGCGGTAGCGTGAACAGAGGCGCCAGCCGGAATTGCTCATGGTGCACGACGAGCGCCCTTTTCGACGGACAACGTTTGGTCGGTTGACTCACAGAAATTCGAACTGAAAAGTTAAGCCAAAACTTCAGTGGATACTTTCTACGGACGTTTCGAATAAGATATTTGGTGGTGCCGCAGCAACTTTTGTTGATACCTCAACAAGGGTATCAAGTCAAACAATAAAAAAATGTTAGCAGCACAACTTGACGCCATGGTATATCTACCTGCCGGTGGAAGTTTTGGCTGAATAAGTCTTCACAAAGCGCAGGACCGGATCGGCAGAAGTTTTGGCCGTATATCTCTCAATACTTGTCGCTGCTGCGTCGTGCTGGTGATGGAGGTGTAAGTCGCGCGGAGAGAGTGGACGTTTGTCCGGGATGTTTGGAGGCACAGCTGACTGTCTCTGGCAGCGGACGGACGGTCTGACAAGTGCGGCTAACGCTACGTGGCCATCGGACCACCGGGTGGCCGGCTTTCTCGTGTCGATGCAACTGATGAATGCCCCGCGCTGTAGGGCAACGGCGAGTGTCGAGTGTCGAGTCGGTTTGGCCGGGATTCCTACCGCTCGGCCGGCAAAATATTCCTTTGCAAACGCTCGAATGGTGTGCTGAGCCGCCACGTACGCAGCAAATCTCGGTGCATATCCTGCGAGCAATGTACCGGTAAGAAACACGAAGCGCCGCAACGGTGGTGCTTGCCGAGGCGGTGTCAGGCAGGCATTCTCGCCCTATCGACCGAGCGGGCCAGACCAGCGTACATATTAGTCTTCAGCGGAAAATCCGCTGACATCCAGCCAGCAGCGTTTTGCATGCAATGCAACAGCGTATCATGTACCTGTACAAGACACTGCATCAACATATCGGCCACGATCGTGGCGTCCGCAACCCTCGCACGCTCTAGCGAAACTCGAGCCGGAGGGTCCTGAAAATTTGGCAACCGGTACAAATGTGTTGCCGCTCCATGAGCGACGCTGCATTTTCATTCCTTGTCGAGCTCGAGCGCGCTTAATCGATTCCCACTGGTCTCTAACCACGAGCCAGCGCCTCGATCCGTCGACCGAAATATTGGACACCGATATCAATTTAAAAAAAAGGTGATGAGCGCTCCGTCTCTTGGGGCTGCTTACTTGCCAGTCATAGAATAGATACGCCCCGCTGTCTGCACACGACCAGCACCAACAAGGCCAGCCGCAATCCTATCGTTTAGCACCGCCTCATTCATTGCGCGAATAGCTCGCCACCACACAGACTTCACCGACGCGGGCCAGCAACGGCGGCAATTAGTTTTTTTCGCTAAGTGGCAGCCAAGCAAGTCATAGTATCAGACCGTCGGCCGCAGTGAGAGACTTCCAGGTGGACACCTCGCGACACACCGAGACCAGAGCTGCGCGGTTGCAATGATCTCGCCCAAAGTCATGAGCGAGCTGCACCAGGCCAAGCTCGTGCCCACGCAGTTCACGGTGCCCAAGCCGGGCGAGCACGCGTGGTCCCCGGCCGAGCAGCGCCGCTTCTGGGAGGCCATCCAGCGCTTCCCGCAGGGCCCGTGGACGGCCATCGCCGCCTACGTGGGCTCCAAGTCCACGCGTCAAGCCATGACCCACGCGCAGAAGTTGCGACAGAAGCTCAGCCGCTGGAAGCGCCGCGTGCGCAGCGACTCGGTCAGCTCCGCGTGCAGCACCGGATCCAACAACTCGAGCGCGTCGGCGTCCGTGACGACACCAGTTGAGGGGTCAGGCGACGGCCCGCAGTCGCCGCCCGTGTCGCCGACGGAGTACGGCGAGATCTCCAAGCTCAGCATCATGGACCACATCCAGGAAGAGGAGGACGACGAGAAGAAGAGCTTGGGCGACGACGACTGCGAACCGATGTACATCAAGCCCGAGTTCAAGGACGAGGTGCACCAGTTCGCGGACCACGACCAGGTGCACGACGCCCACGACGACCGATATCTTGAACACTTGCTGACTGACATTGAGCCGGTGCTGGAGCACGTCGCGCACTTCACGAACGGCGGGCACGGACACGGCGCCGCGGACGCGACGCGACCAGTATCGACGACCGACTACGGAAGTGAGCAGGCAGTCTACTTCACGCACAACGTGGACATGGCGGCGTCCGAGCAGAAGACGATGGAGCTATCGTGGAATCATCATCACCATCAGCAGCAGCACCACCACCAGGACCCGGCGTACTATCAGGGTCATTATTACCCGGGGCACCATCAACAACCACAGCAGCACAACGGCTCGATGCACCACCACTATTCACCAACCGAGGATGAGGATCGCCACCACCATCACCAGCAGCAGCCCAACTACCACCACCATTTATAAGGTGGCCTCGTCTTGCTATATATCGCCTAGAGACCAGAGTATGCATGCGGCGCTGTGTGTGCTGCCCATCAGTGAAGCTGAATTAGTTAATAGTTAGTAGTAATCAAGTGAGTGAAGACCCCCCGCTCGGCGTGCATGGCCTCGAGTCGAGTCGAAAGTCAGCCGCTGCGCAGCTGCAGCAAGAGGCAGCTCGCTTGGTCCGCGAGGCGGTTCTCAAGTGAACCCATGTATGGGCCATATTGCATGCACGAAAGCAGTTGGCGAAAGCGTCTGTATTTCCAGCTGCGACCTGCACTACTTCTCAAAGTGTCCGTCAAACCCGACGAAGCCCGCCATGAGGAAGACGTGGAAGAAGGACTTCTTCTCTATCCGACTGCACCAGTTCCAGGCGCTCGTGAGGCGGCCGTCGATGCACGAGCCGGCGTCGAAGAAGTTGTCGGCGCCGCTGCCGTCGAAGCCGTGCTTGAAGAAGTCGCACAGGATGCGCTTCTGCAGCGTCTCGGCGCCGCCGAAGCTCTCCTCGATGTAGGCGCGCGTGTTGGGCTGCGCCGCGAGCGCCGGGATGTCGTGCACCGTGTTCGCGATGGGACTCAGGATGCGCGAGATCTGCGTGTACTTGTCGATGAACATGAGCGCGTTGGGCACGTTGTGGTCGCCCAGGTGCACCACCGAGGAGCCCACCCAGCGCGGACGCAGCTTCTGCGTGTTGTGCAGGATCGAGTGCACCAGGTGCGACGTCTCGGGCGCGTGCTGCATGCGGTTGAGGCCCTGGCCAGTGTCACGCAGGCGGTACATGCTGCCGCCCAGCAGGTCCTCCTCCACGACCCACCAGAGCCGCAGCATCGCCGTCGTCATATTCCGCCACAGCAGCAGCGACTGCAGCACGTACTCGTACTGGCTGGCGTGGCTGTGGCTCAGTCGCGCGCCGTTCTTGCCCGCGCGGATCTCGAGACTGAAGCCCGGCTCAGCCTTCTTCGGCGTGAAGTATTTCTCTAGGTAGTCGATCATGCGCGTGATCGGCGAGCGGTTGGACGCCAGATAGCTCTGGCTGTCGGAGATGGAGGCGAGGCACAGCCGAATCTCCTCCTCCGACAGCGACGCGGACTTGTAGTCACGCACCAGCTCCTCGATCGCCCGCTGCTTGTTGGCCGTGAAGCGCTGCAGCGCCTCCGGGTCGGCCAGATCCATCGCAGCCACGGACGTCGCGGCCTCGCAGCGCGTATCCCGCAGCATGTCCAGCGCGTGGCGCTCCTTGAGCAGCGACGCCACCGTCTTGATGGGCGCCACGCACGAGAAGCCGAGGTAGTTCCTGATCTCGCGCAGGTTGGCGTCCTGCAGCAGGTAGATCATCTTGCCGTAGTTGTTGCGCATGCGCTCCGGGTTCATGATCTTGTAGCGGCGGCCGATCTCGAAGACCTGGCGGAAAAAGTCCTCGTTGTCCTTGAACTGCTTGTCCTGCACGAGGCGCCGGCCCTGGCGGAAGTCGTTGGCGATCATGAGGCCGGACAGCACGCCGAACGTCTCGTTCAGTTCGTGGATCACGCGCTTGACGGGCGAGCGGTAGGACAGCACGTCCACCTTGTCCGTGTACTCGCTCACGTTGAGCGCGGCGTCCAGCAGGTTGAACAACGCGCGCTCCTCCTCGTCCAGCCGCAGCGGGATGAACGCCGCGTCCTTCATCAGCGCCGAGGGCGCCTCCTCGATCTCGCGCATCAGCTCGTCGTCGTCCTCGTCTTCCTCCTCCTCTTCCGATTCGCTCGTGACGGGCGCGTCCAGCGTCTGCGCGGGCTTCCCGGGCGACGGCGGCGCCTCCGTGGGTGGCGGGGGCACTTCAGCTGTCTGCTCTTCAGTCGGCGCTGCCGGTTGCTGCGACTTGGCGGGCGACGGCGGCGGCGGAGGAGGAGCCGAGCTTTCGTCGCCGCTGGCGCTGGCGCTGACACGGGGCAGCTGCGTCTTGGTGTGGCGCAGGCGCGAGCCCGCGTGGTGCTGTGCCTCGTAGCACAGCGGGCAGTACACGTCCTCGCAGTCCTCGCACCGCACGGCGGCGGCCATGTCCTCGCACTCCACGCACATGAGCGGCGCCATGGTCACTGCAGCTACAGTACAGGCTTTGGCTCACTTTTTCAAGGTGGTTTCGTGGTCTGGCGTACTGTGGTTAGTTAGCGTGGTCACACAAAACCTTTCACAACTGCTACAATAGATTACCGGGTGCGACGGGAAATGAGATCTCAGGGCTCGTACTTAGCGCGCCCGAAAGGGGGGAAGGCCTAGCGGGGCCTTGACTGTATAAGCCGGAAGAAGCCGCAGCCAGCGACCCAGCGACCGACTACTGTAACAACAGAGCGAGCGTAGCGCGCGCCGGCGACAGCAGAGAGACCGCCCCCTAGACCCTCCACTGCCCCCTCAGACACAATGGGTGCGTGCGCCTGCCTGCCTAGCCCCTCGGGGGTCTCGACGTCCGTCACCCAAGCCGCAATCCGTTCCATTGCGCTCCTCCATGGACTCCCTCCCCTTGGAGAGAGTGCCGCATGCAGTTTATAACGTACTTACCGTTATGTTAACATAATCCCCGCAGAGGACGAAGTGTACCCCATGACGCTGCTGACCGAGGAGCTCAAGAGCGACGAGGTGGAGACGCGCATCAAGGCCATGCGGCGGCTGCGCACCGTGGCGCAGGCGCTGGGCCCGGAGCGCACGCGCTCGGACCTGCTGCCGTTCCTGCGCGGTACGTACTGCAGTTATATATAAGGTTAAGAGGTGTTATTGCGCCCCAGTTACTAACGTGTCTTGCCCCCCCGAGCAGAAGCCACCGAGGACGAGGACGAGGTGCTCGTGGCGCTGGCCGAGGAGCTCGGCGGCTTCGTGGACCTCGTGGGCGGCACCGAGCACGCGGCCGCGCTGGTGGAGCCGCTCGAGGTGCTGGCCGGCGTAGAGGAGACCGTGGTGCGCGACCGCGCCGTCGAGTCCCTGCAGAAGGTGGTGGCCGTGGTGCCCGGCGTGGGCGACGTCATGGTGCCGCTGGCCAAGCGCCTGGCCGAGGGCGACTGGTTCACGTCGCGCGTGTCCGTCTGCTCGCTCTTTGCGCCCATCTACGGCAAGCTCGCGGACGCCGGACGCAAGAAGGAGCTACGCGAGTACGTGTCCGAAGCTGTGGGGGACGCAGGGACTTGTTATTTGATGCTGATACTATGTGTATTGTTGCGCTTTGCAGCTTCTACCAGCTCATGTGCAATGACGACACGCCCATGGTGCGCCGCGCGGCGGCCGCCAACATCGGCAAGTTCGCGGCCACGATGGAGAAGGAGCATGTGGCCTCCATGATTCTGCCGCTTTTCCGCGCGCTCACGGCGGACGATCAGGACAGCGTGCGTCTGCTCGCTATTGAGAACTCGGCGGCCATTGGCGAGCTGCTCTCGCAGGACGAGAACTCGATGCACGTGCTCCCGATCGTGCGCTCGTCGGTCGAGGACCGCTCGTGGCGCGTGCGTTTCAGCATCGCCAAGGACTTCTTCCCGCTGTCCCGCGCCATGGGCACGCAGATCACCGAGTCGGAGCTGCTGGGCTGCTTCAGCAACCTGCTGCAGGTACGGGAGCGGTGGATTTCTTAGGCAGGCAAGCAGGGCGACGGTGTGGAATGATGGAACAGGTGGCTGACAACGGGTGTTGCTGCTATTCAGGACGCGGAGGCTGAGGTGCGTGCTGCTGCGGCGAAGAACTTGTCGGGCTACATCTCCATTATCAAGAGCGAGCTGTTTTCGAGCGAGATCCTGCCGCTGCTGTCGGCTCTGTCCCAGGATACCGCCCCCAACGTTCGCAGTACGTTCTCATATTGTTTTGTTTCGTTCCGGCTTGTGAAACATTTGCTAACTTGTGTTTCACTGCAGCTGCTGTTTCGATCGCGTGCATGGAGCTCGCGCCCAAGCTGGGCGAGGCTACGTCCAAGTCGACGCTGGCGCCTCTGCTGCTGCTCTTCTTGCGCGATGAGGTCGTTGACGTCCGGCTTAACATTCTGAAGCGTATGGAACTTCTCGCCCAGTGGATGGCTTCTTTTGAGTCGGTGCTTCTGCCGGCCATCGCCGACCTCGCGCGCGACCTGCAGTGGCGTGTGCGTGAGGCTGTGATCCTCTCCATCCCCGCCCTCGCCGGCAGCCTCGGCGGCCAGTATTTCCAGGAGCACCTGCTTGAGATCTACGTTAGCGCGTTCACGGACATGGTGGGTGAGGTTCGCCTGAGCGCCACGAAGATCCTGCCGCAGCTGCTAGAGGCCCTGGGCAGCGACTACATCCTTCAGAACGTTATGCCGCGCTTGAACCAGATCTTCGACAAGTCCGTGATTTACCAGGAGCGCGTGAATGTGCTGCATGCGCTGAAGCAGATGGCCGTGGAGAAGGTGTCCAGCGACCTGTTGACCCTTATGATGACGCTGGCGATCCGCGGCGCTCACGACAAGATCCCCAACGTTAGATTCGTGGCCTCCATGACCTTAGAGCAGCTGTGTAAATTCGCCGATGCTTCCGTGGTCTCGGCTCAAGTCCGGTACGTTTAGTAGCTCGCTTCGAGTTTATCACGTGGAGCTGACCTTTGTTGTGTTATGTGCAGACCCTGCCTGACGGAGCTGGTGAACGATTCCGACATGGACGTCAAGTATTACTCGAGTATCGCGCTGGATGCTGTCCAGGGCTAGACAAGTGTAGGACACGCGCTGTTTCGTGAGGATTCGCGGAGGTGTCGTCCCTCCTCTTAATTCCTTTCTGGCTTCATCTCGTGCGTTGGACCCCTCGAGGAGCGGCGTCGCTCGGCCCCTCCCGTCTCCGGGACTTGTTTTTCTCTGCTGCTCTAGAGGTTAGGCTGGGTTAGGCGCCTGACGGCAAGCGGCAGGCAAGAAAGAAGACACATAGTGACCTCTCCTCAGGCAATTGTAAACGAAACGCTGGTTGCTGGTCGGTCGACGTGCTTTCTTGCCTCGCTTAGTCATAAATCTGTCGCTGTCTGCCTGCAGACGTCTGCCCACACCTATATCATCCTACAATCTATCATCTTAGTAGTGCCCGGGCATCTTCATCGCCGGGGGTATCAATACCTCTTCGTCACTCTCTTCAACATCCTGACAGCCGCTTGCTCCTCTATACGCGCGGCAGGATGACGGCCTCAAGGAAGTACTGGTGCCAGCGCGCGTCGTCCGTGATCTCCGGGTGGAAGGCCGTGACGAGGATGTGGTCCTTGCGCGCGGCGATGATGACGTCCACGGGGTCGGAGCCGTCGGCGGGCTTGGCGTTGGCCACGCGCGAGAGCACCTCGATCTGCTCGCCCACCGAGATGATGGCGGGCGCGCGGATGAAGACGGCGTTGTAGGGCTCGGCGTCGAAGCCCGGCGGGCCCGCTACGAGCATCTCGAAGCTGCGAACCTGCGCGCCGAAGAAGTTGCGCGAGACCTCGACGTCCAGGCCGCCGATGAGCGTCTGGCCGCCCTCCTCGGCGTGCTTGGCCTGGTTGCTCAGCATGATCATGCCCGCGCACGTGCCCCAGATGGGGCGACCCGCCGCCACCCACTGCTTGAGCGGCTCGATGAGCCCCCAGCGCACCGCCACCTTGCCGATCGTGGTGCTCTCGCCGCCGGGCAGCACCAGCGCGTCCACGCCCTGCAGCTGCTCGGGCAGGCGGATGGCCACGGCCGTCACGACCACGGACTGGCCGGATGCGGAGGTGGCGCGCAGGCCCTCGAGCATGTCGATGTGCTCCTCGAAGGCGCCCTGCAGCGCCAGGACACCGACAGTCAGCGTGCGCGTGGTGGAGGTGGACTCGGCCATCTTGTCTTGCGTCTTGTGTCTTTGGTTGGGGGGTGAAGGGTGAAGTCTCGCACTGGGCCGGCGTGTTGAATTCTGCTTAATTCGGAGACGCTGGACGTGACTGACGTCCCACTGGCCCACAATCCGGCCCACATCAGCTGGTGCGACATTCGGACGACCGAGGGGAATGAGTTACAGACGATCCTCTTTGTAGTGATAGCCTCGGGAGACCGCTTTTTATCACTATGCAGAGGCATCAATATCTAGATCTGTACACCCCGCGCCAAGTTAATATGAACACCCACGTTTTGCCCTCTAGCTCAGCCATTTTTACGAGTTGTGCCACGGTGTTTAGATATGTTGTTTGTGTCGTTAAAACACATACGAGCCTTGTTTTAACGTCCCCAATAGTGAAGTTTAAGATGGGGCTACCATACAAGTGACCGTTTTGGCCATTGCGACAAATATATGAACACCCAATCCCATATACAAAAAACAAGTGAAAAGGAATGATGGTGAACGGATGGCTACATCTATAACAGCCACTAGTCCAAGGCGTGGAGGCAGCTCGCCGCTACCAATGATCTCGCCAAGCACACACCGCCGCTCCCATCGAGCTGGTCTCATTCTACATTTGATGGGGAGGGGTGCGCCACTGACGGACATCGAGCGAGGGCGGATCCAAGGGCTCCACGAGGACGGGTTAGGCCTACGGCAGATTGCGCGCCAAGTGAAGCGCTCAGTGGGCGCCATCAATCGCGTGCTCTTCGTGACCCCGACGGAGCGCAAGCCACCGGGCCCCGCGACCTCGCTGTCAGAGCGCGAGACGCGCTACCTCGTCCGCACTGCCGCAAAGGGGCAGCTGTCGGCCAAGCAGCTTAAGGAAGAGCTAAAGCTGTCGACATCGGTGCGCACAATTCAGCGAGTGCTCGCCGGTGTCGACTGGCTTGTGTATGCCAAGATGGGCAACACGCTGCCCCTGTCGGCAGAGGACAAGCGCGCGAGAGAGGCCTGGGCGTGGGAGATGCTGATGAACAAGGATCCCGTCCGATCCTGGGACACCACCATCTTCTCTGATGAGAAGAAATGGAATCTCGACGGGCCTGACGGATTCCAGACCTACTGGCGTGATAGACGCCGCCCCGCTAGGCAAATGAAGCGTCGTCAAGCGGGGGGAGGCTCCGTGATGGTGTGGGCTGGCTTCAGCGCTGCTGGCAAGACGAAGCTGGCGGTGCTGCACGGCAAGCAGAACTTGGACGACTACGTGTACACTGTGTCCGAGTTCATGCTGCCGTACGCCCACCAGCACTACGGGACGGACTTCACCTTCCAGCAGGACGGCGCTTCGATCCACCGCTCCAAGCGCACGCAGGAGTTCTTCGCGGAGCAAGAGGTTCGGGTGCTGCCGTGGCCGGCACGCTCGCCCGACCTCAATACGATCGAAAATCTCTGGTCGATCATGAGCCGCCACGTGTACGCTAACGGCAGACAGTTCAGCAGCGTCAGCGAGCTAACGGCGGCACTCTAGGAGGCCTGGGATGCTAGCACTCGCTGAATTGTGCGCACCGATGTCGACAGCTTTAGCTCTTCCTTAAGCTGCTTGGCCGACAGCTGCCCCTTTGCGGCAGTGCGGACGAGGTAGCGCGTCTCGCGCTCTGACAGCGAGGTCGCGGGGCCCGGTGGCTTGCGCTCCGTCGGGGTCACGAAGAGCACGCGATTGATGGCGCCCACTGAGCGCTTCACTTGGCGCGCAATCTGCCGTAGGCCTAGCCCGTCCTCGTGGAGCCCTTGGATCCGCCCTCGCTCGATGTCCGTCAGTGGCGCACCCCTCCCCATCAAATGTAGAATGAGACCAGCTCGATGGGAGCGGCGGTGTGTGCTTGGCGAGATCATTGGTAGCGGCGAGCTGCCTCCACGCCTTGGACTAGTGGCTGTTATAGATGTAGCCATCCGTTCACCATCATTCCTTTTCACTTGTTTTTTGTATATGGGATTGGGTGTTCATATATTTGTCGCAATGGCCAAAACGGTCACTTGTATGGTAGCCCCACCTTAAACTTCACTATTGGGGACGTTAAAACAAGGCTCGTATGTGTTTTAACGACACAAACAACATATCTAAACACCGTGACACAACTCGTAAAAATGGCTGAGCTAGAGGGCAAAACGTGGGTGTTCATATTAACTTGGCGCGGAGTGTAAAAGAGTACTACTGTACAACTTAGTGGGCGGTATCTGTAATGCCACCATTCAGGCACTTGGTGATCTTGTAGTGCACTTGATACGTGGTCAAAACACTAGATACAGTACAAGTAGTTGTTGCGCTGGAAATTATAATATCTACTACTACGGCGCGAGGAGTGATGAGCAGGGATGGGAACAATTCGAATTAATTATGCATATGGCCCTCAGAAACAGAAAAATAAATCATTCGAATAATTCACATTTACACCAAAAATGTATCTACGCTGCGAGCAGCAGCAAATGTTACGCCGACGTAGTCTTTGCTGTGTTTGTCATTCAGCCTGAACCATAATTTTTAATGAAGCTGGGACAGTATTGGCTCTGGTGACGCATGTCGCCCTGGCGAGGGTCGCCGAAGGGCTTAGGGAATGCGGAAACGGTGTCCTTGCTTGTGCTTGGCATGCGCAACGAGACTAGCAAGTGGCGCTGGCGCTGGCAGCGTCGACGACCGTCAAACAGCCACTTCTCCATAATTCGCTTTTGAGTTGTGGATCAAAAGATAAATAAATTAAATTACAAAATCCACATCTATCTACATCTTCATTTCAAACGTCCCATCCCTGTGGGCATTATTCAGATGGAACTGGGAGGACTGCACAGGCAGTTACAACGCGAAATCTAGTATAGCGCCCAGGCCAAAACGATAAATGCACGTTCCAGAACCACATCATGCAAAACTTTTAAGATTATTAAAAGAATATGTCCGCGAACTCGGAGAATCCAAGCTCATTCAAGGTCGCAAGCGACCCACGTTGTGGTTGAACTTTGCCGGACATGCTTTACGAAATGGGTATTCTCGCCAGCAATCGGCTCCACTTGGGCATTCACCGGTTTGTAATCAGTAGTTTGACGATACTCACTCGCATTTCCTGCCTTCTTCACAGGCAGCGCCGGGCACGCCCACCTTGCTTCTGGATTCTCATAAACCCAGCCTAGACTGACCAACTTGTCGTTGAACTCTTCTAGGAAGCTCTGGAGTTACGGTGGATACTTCCTCGCTTTGGCCTTGCACGGCTTAGCACCCGGTTTAAGGCACAGCTTCAACGGTGGCACCTTTGCCGGTGGGTCATCTCCCAACTTGACACGCCAAATTTCATACATGTAGATCACAGTGCGCAATTTCTCCACTCGATCGCTAGGGAATCCTTCATCCAAGGCTCGTGCTATCATTGCCTCCACTGCTTCTCTGATCTCATCTTCATCTTCCCTGCTGATAGCAGGGTCATCCTCAATATCGTCATCATCCGCTCCATCGGACCACGCAAACAGCTCAATCTGCCTGTCAACGTCAATTCCCAACATGCTCAGCACATCTCGGCCAAGCAGAAACTCATCATGACCCTCCACAACCAAATACTCCACAGGTGAATGGATGTTGACTGGTCCCGCTGTAGTTCGCAGCAACAGTGTCAAGTACACCGTCTCCTTCACTTCCAACGACTGTCCACCAACCAAGTCACACGTAATTGATTGACGCAGGCGAAAGGTTTCAATCTCCGTTCCATTCAATTTCTCCAAATCTTCACGCGAAATGCACGACTTGTACGCCCCACTGTCTGCACAATAGGGTAGCTCGAGTAAGTCGTTCACCCGAACTGTTGGTTTGCCCTCAGGCAGGCACTTCCTAATTCTCCGGAGGCGTGCGGTGCCGACTGAGCGGTGGGCGTCGCGCACTGAAGCTTCTGCTCGAGCTGGAGTCCGACCTCTCGACACGAGGACAATCACGCACTTGGTGTCTACCACCACAGTTGAAGCAGCCATGTTGACTGCTGCTTCGGTTTTGTCTCCACTCATCACGATTCACCACCACTTTGCGGTCGGAGCCACGCCACGACCCCTGGTTATTACGATTTCCTTGGTAGTTGGTCTAGCGAGAGGAAAAATCACCTGCCTTCGACGACTTCCTCTCTCGATTCGAGTTGCCGCCGTTTTTCCGATCACCGCGACTGCGTTGTCCCTCCGAACCACGCATTGCCCGTCGATCTTGTCTTGGTCAAGTGCCTGCTCCAAGATGAGCTTGAACAAGTCAGGTACACTCGATTTTGCGTTGGGCGCACGGAAGTCGATCTCATTTTTCACCTTCTTCTTTAATATTGCAGGCAACGCGTCGACCAAGATCTTACACTTCTTCTGGATTCCGTCTTCTGTCTGGAACAAACCAACGAGACCGTTCGTACGGATCAAAGTATTACACGCGTGAAAGTATTGGTCATCTGGGCTTCAACATCACCCTGACTCTCGTCCACGGCCAGTTCGCGCTGGAACAAGTCCTCGATGTTGGTCAGAGTGCGGTTCTTGAAGCTCTCCACCGTCTTCATCACCCAGTCCCGCAAATACTCCTCAGTGAGTTCGCTCTTGTTCTTCACCCAAGTCACTTCGCACAGGGTGTCCAGCGACGACTCGTCAATCGAGTTGCAAACATTCGTCATCACAGCCTCGATCTCCTCCCCAGTAATTTTACATCTAGCCTTGATCGCCTCTTCATACTCCAGACGAAGGTCCAACCATCTCGTCATTCCGTCATGTTAGTTAACGGTCTCTTGATAGTGATAACGCCCAATCTCGTATTACTAAGCACTATCCGGAGGTTGGAGGATGATTTGACTTGAATTTGTATCTCGTCGGTCATCGGGAGAGCCTCCATTAGTGCTAACCAGAGGGTATCCCTATTCGGGATATCACTCCCGAATCTGGATGTAGACTTGGAGCGAGTGGCAGGATGCTTGTTTTTCGGGCTGTTTGATTTCATCGCTGGCGTTCCCGAAGCGGAGACAATTCTGATCACGGATGCCAGTGACGTGGGGTGGTCAGTTATTGTGACTCAAGTGGCAAATTGGCAGGCTCGAACTCCTATTCACGAGCAAGAGCATGAACTGTTAGTGTGTATGGGGGGAACGTTCACTGGTGGCCAGCGAAATTGGAGCATCATCGAGAAGGAAGCATACTCGATCGTGACGGCCAGCGATAAGCTATCGTATCTTTTGATGCGGCCAAAAGGTTTTCGAATGTATTGTAACCACCGGAATCTCATCCATGTATTCGCGCCTGCGCAAGAGATTAAGAAACATGTCAGAGGAAAGTTATTACGCTGGTCGATGAAACTCATGGAATACAGGTTTACGATCGAGCACATCGAGGGAGTAAAAAAACGTTTGGGCGGACATGATATCGAGGTGGGCCGGTTGCAAGCGCTCATCAGGCACGACCATAAAAAACTGCGTCGAAAGCGTGGAAGGGCGGAAGATGGCGATGCAAATGAAGAGGATGCCGCCGCAAATAACGAAGTGCGTGAACCGAGAGTGCCAACCATTCGCCCGTTCAGTGGTGACGGTTTTGAGTGGCCTGAGCTGGCAGCTATTATGGCAAGTCAACGGCAGCACTCCGCCACAAGGCCGAGCGTCATGACCAAAAATAATGAAGGAGTGTGGTTCAAGAATGACTGTGTGTGGTTACCAGCAGAGGACAGCGAGATCCACTTGGGCGAGTCTTATGGAGAGTATGCCTACCTACTGGTAATGAAAGATGACGTCACGCACTGTACCCTGCGTCGTGCCGACAAGTGCAGTAACAGCTCAAGCAATCATGGACTAGTACAGTAGGTTTGGTGCACCGCGAGTGTGGATTAGTGACAACGGGACTCATTTCAAGAACTTCACGCTTGCGTAATCACCGTGGATAAACGGGTCGGTGGAGCGACTAAACAAAGACATCATACAAGTGCTGAGGGCAATGTACCTAGAATACAAGGTCAGCATCAAGGACTGGACCAATTTCGTGTCAGCTCTACAGGCAAATCTCAACCATACCCCTGTACCATTGTTGGGTAACCATGCCCCTGTCGGGTTATTCTGTGTACTTCCGGCAATGTCGCCTATGGTTTTCTATCTGGATGCCAAGCAAAGAAAGTCGGTGCATCTTGGCGAGTACCCGCAGTACATCGAAGCGAAATTGCAAGAGCTGCGTGAAAGCGCCCAGCTTACGTACAGGAAAGTGATTAGTGCACGGGCTAAACAGACATCAACCAACGTAACTAGAAACGTGCAGCGAAACCGAACCTCGATGTCGGAGACTTTGTTCTTCGGTCAAGGGTGGACCAGAAGCATAACCACAAGTTGTTGGTGACACGGATTGGTCCGTACCAAGTGCTGGGAGCGGACGAGCACTCTTTTAGGGTTCGACATCTCGTGACTGGTGCAGAACAAGATGTACACAGCTCTAGACTGAAGTTCTACGCAGACAAGAGCTTCGAGATTACGGAGGAGATCCGAGAGCACGTGGCAGCTCAAGGTATTGTTCTCACAGTAGCTGAGCTCGTTGAGCATCGATGGAACAGTGATAAGCACATGCACGAGATACTAGTGTCGAAGAGATGCTTAGAGCCTATTGAAGACTCGTGGGAATCACTACCTGAACTCTTCAAGGATATCCCTGCTATGGTGAAGGCGTACACGAGTATCAAAGGCGACAAGGAGCTCAAGAAAGCCGTGGCAGCTCTGGGGTAACCCAGTAACCTGTGTGTACCCCAAGAGTAACCGGCGTGATGTAACCTGTAACCGGATGCATGGTGTGTAATCTATGTGTAACTGGAGTACGTAAACGTAACCAGGTACAATGTATAATCAAGTGGCTCATTCACAACTTCCCGACGTTCGTGAGCCAAGTCTTGAAGGGGCGGTGAAGTGGGTCGAGGACGTGCAAGACGTGACTCACTCACTGGGCCTTGACTAAGAAGCCGAGGCCGAGCTGGTGGTAGGTTATTGAGGAGGACGAGTAGAGGACGAGGCTACGAGTGCCCTCCTGTTGAATGATCCTAGAGACTAGAATTACATCTCACTTCTGAATCAGCACCAATACAAGCAAGGGATCCAAGGAAGCCACCAGCTTCCCTAATACGTGTTTCGTGAACCGACTACACGAACCTTGAGATCTGTTTGCAGCTTGTAGAAATTTTCTACTTGAAAATGCATGTACTTATCTCTAGTGCTATTACAGTCTGCCTGAATCGTTCTCTTTACTAAATTTGTCCATCCGTACCCTGCTCAATATATGTACTGATTCATACCAGTGTCGTCGGTAGCACACCGGTTCGATCTGCCCACGCATATAAACCTTTTGGTGGGCCCAGTGCGGCACCGGAGTCGTACCGGTTTCAAGAAAATGTACCAGCTAGATGTCAAGAAGGGTCATCGTTTGACTTGATGTACCACGGATATAATCCTATTTGGTCTGTGATAGTAGCACTAACGTAGCTTCCTATCCCAGTATAATGTACTTTTACTGGCCGATAGGTCATGCTGCTAGGCAGCCCAAATCGGGTTAATTCGCGCCTCGGTAACTGAAGCCAGTAAACTGAGGCCGGTATCGTGGTCCATTGTCACTGGCTGTCTTTCTACTGGTGACCCGGTAACTGGAGCCGGTAACTGAGTCCGATCTCGAGTCAATTGTTTTCTGTCTTCTAGAGATCGTGCTTCGTCAGGGCATGACTTCGGCCATTTCGCATTCTGAAGCAACCGGCACCTACGTACGTACCTATCCCCCTGTTTTTCATTTATCTCGCGAGCTACAACGGTTACTCAGTACAGCCACCAAGTTCCCTAAACTAACATGGTCGCGCGTTTTTCGCCATAATTCGCACTATCAGGTTCACTATGACGCTGAATTCGAGGACGTCGTCTTAGCTGACTGTTGTAGATGACGTCGCAGGCTGTGTCTACCTCGGTCTCGCTGATAGACACCTGCATGGCCATGGGACTTCAGTTATTGTGCAATTTCGCATTCTACCACTAAACCAAGTAGCCGAGCACACTTTCGGTCTTGTAGCTACTGCATTTGTACTTCGTAGTTAAAACTCGTGTTGTCCTTATACCGCTCCAAACTTACTAGACAGTATCTACTTTTCAGATCGCATTACCAGGCAGACGCTGCGGCTGCGAAGCAGCCGCAGGAGACGCCAACGGGTAATGATAGAAAGCCTGCTATCAACTAAAACAAAACAACAACAGATATGGTCAAAATCCCCCATGCTAGCCTTTGCGGGGTCCTAGTGCCGTGGTGGAGGGTGGTGCTCCGGTAATCGTTGTAGAGGCGGGTGGCTACAGGAGACACTCTATGTATGTAGTATAGCCCTCAATTATACCAAACTTTGACATTGAGCAGACTATTTTTTTTGAAACCCTTAAATTTCAAGGCTTCTTCGGCACGACTGCATTAATGGCCACACGACCGCTACGTACGGCAATATTGCAGCTGGGGGTGTATACGGTGCATCTTGGAGCTAGAAGTCGCGGTCTATAGATAATTTTCAGGGTACAAACAATGCGAAGAAAATAAAACGCAACCTTAACTATGATACAAGATATTTAATGCTCCAGGTTTCTTATAAGGGTATCGCCCATGAAGCTGATATTTCTTCCTCTCACTTGCTAGGCAAGAGAGGCGACGAGTAGTTAAGCTTAGAGGTTGCGCTCGCACGCCTTGATAGTCGTCGTAATACTGCTGTGGTGAAGGTTCTGGCTGCCTCCATAAAATTGCTATCCCAGCCTGTGCGTAGCCCTAGTTTTGGCATGGTTGTTTTGAATCGAGCATTTGGGCAGAACGACGCAGAAATGGTGTAGTAAATGGAAGATATCATTGATGTTGCCACGCTTCCTTTGCAGTGCAGCGGCTAATTGAGACACGGAATCCTACCAGGCGGCACAAAAAGCGAACCTTCGGTATCAGCTGAACATGTTCCCCTCTTTTTTGGTCGGGTTGGGATGACGTCCTGCCGGTAGACGGCTCCGAGCTGAGTCTCGGCGCCGCTCTGCGGGCGCTGCCTTCGGGCAACGTCTAGTCCCTTGCGGGAAAGTGTGAGGATGTCTTCGTGGGCAAGGCGTTGAGGTGGAGGCAAGCTGTGGCCAAGGACTCGCCGCGCAGAAGGCTTCGCTGCGCGCTATGAGCGGGCTCGCCGGGGCTGTTAACGGCATGGCCCAGGAAGATGAACTGGACGCGCGACAAGACCAAGGTGTAGGGCGGACTCCCGAGCGGGACTTTGTACTCAAGACGATGGCGGAGGAAGGATTCGGCAGGAGGAGCGCACGTGTTTCGTGAACCGACTACAAAGTTAAGTTTAGTGAATCAAGGTTCAAAAGCGAAAATGGCAGAATCGAATGTCGTCGACATGGGCTCTGAGAGCAGCAATGCGGCAACGGCCGTGAGTTCAACATCGACGGAGCGCTCATTGCGTTCAAGGCGAACTGCTCGTTCGGAGACAAGGCACAAGAACAGATACTACAGATCAAGGAACAAGAAGCGAGGTGTTGCATCGATCGACGGCAGTACCGACGGCTTCCAGACGTTGACGAAGAGACCTGTGAAGGAGAGCGACGCAGCGAGCACCATTTTCGCCAAGGACGAGGAGGAGGGAGGGGGAGCACGGAGAGCCTCACATTTCCTGGCGTATGCGGAAAAAGGTACAAACCGGAACTGTACCCAGTTGTGGGTACAGTAGCGGTTTGCCTTGCCTGATTTTTGCACCAACCAAGCAAGATAGAGTCTAGGAAGGAGTAATAAGGCTACGCGAACACGTACAGACAATTAGGGAAGCTGGTGGCTTCCTTGGATCCCTTGCTTGTATTGGTGCTGATTCAGAAGTGAGATGTAATTCTAGTCTCTAGGATCATTCAACAGGAGGGCACTCGTAGCACTCGTCCTCCTCAACAACCTACCACCAGCTCGGCCTCGGCTTCTTAGCCGAGGCCAGTGAGTAAGTCACGTCTTGCTCGTCCTCGACCCACTTCAGTTGGCATTTTTAATGTTGTAAAGCATTACCGGTTGATATCTGGCATCTACAGTTTTTTAAGGCCAGTTTCCGGGCAGATGCTGCGGCTGCGAAGCAGGCGCAGGAGATGACCGTAACTAATAAGAAAAGCAATCAATAAAATAAAGAGGGGTTTATACCAAAATCCTCCTATCCCAGCCTTCGCGGAGCCCTAGTACACGTCAGCCTCCGACCAAAACAGCGCACGGGTTCAGAACAACCACCGTCGTTTTCTATATGCCAAGGTGTCAGTTTTCTGGTTCGTTGTGGAAAAGACTGATCAACAAATGTCATTGCGTCGTATTTATGTTCTCAAATCCATACTGATATCAGAGAGATTTTTTTCGAAAATGACAATCGTTGATCGGCTTCCCTCCGTGGTATCACAAAAAGGGCAGCTGGGCGAATTGAAAATGACGGTGGGCATTTCAAATCGAGAATTTGGTCTGAAGTCGGAAAAGTATACGCCAAAAGTATACACGTCCTTTTTCTACGTGGTTGGATTGAATCGAGCCATTTGGGAAGAACGACCCGGAAATGGTGTAGTGAACAATACTCAGTCGTCAGAATTTCGCAAAACGAGCGGAATTAGCTGATCCTACAGGTATTGTACATTGCCAAAATCATTGCAAAGCACAATAGATGGATAATTAAAGTAAATGTATCTTTTCCTGGTAGTGGTACTCTGTAGTATTGTGCTTTGCAATGATTTTGGCAATATGAGGCGAGATTTGCTGTATTTATAGCGATCACCTGCTAGATTTACGATAAATCGAGGTGCATAAATGAGCGAAGGCCTAGAATTACGCTAAAAGCGCCACAATTGCAATTATGTCGGCTTTTATACCACAAGCACCTAGACACACGGTAATTACAGTGCGCGCCAAAATGATAGGACTACCTCGATAAGTTCTCATAACTCAGTCAATATTGATTATTTTCATGTGCGGTTTCGAGGTTACGCTGGGAAAGACCAGGTATGCGCTAACACTCGCATTTTTGCGCTCTATGCGATAGCTCACATAAAAAACTGTTTACGTCCAGAAGTAGCTTCTAACATTACCGATCGGATACGCACTTGAAAGAATGCGTCTAACGTATTGCACCATAGAATTCGCCAAAACTAAGGCAAGATGCCATTTAAGCCTCCATCCTGCTACACTTTGTAAAAAAACTCGTCTAAATAAGTAAATTTGTTTTTTCGATGCGAAATGCTAGATTTTAAGACCCATATACTTGAAATTTGCATGGGCTCAGTACCTAATTTTTCTGTGGCCCACATATCTGATTGGTCCCTATTGGGCTTCTCGTATTGTGCTTTGCAATGATTTTGCCGACCATTTTAGACGCTAAATAAGGCAAATCCTGCTCCTAAATATGTGTGAATGAAGATACATGACCTGCTAAAATTATGCATAAATTCACATCCTCATATATATATCGACTTGGGAGAGCCTGTCAGCAGCCATGAATTGGACCAGTACACCGCCGTCTATGATCCCCAGCACATCCACCCTCTTATGCATACAGTGCGCGCCAAAATGATAGGACCACCTCGATAAGTTCTCATAACTCGGTCAATATTGATTATTGTAAGGTGCGATTCCGAGGCTAGTTACAAACCACGCTGGGAAAGATAAGGTATGCGCTAACACTCGCGTTTTTGCACTCTGTGCAATAGCCCACATGCAAAAAACCGTTTATGCCAAGTCGACACAAATTAGAATCAGCCCCATCCCAATACAAAATCCTATATTAAGGGAAAGCCTGCACAAAGCGATATGAATGGGAATTTGTATGGGGACAACTTCCACCGCCGCCTAGAACGCGTCCCCTCATGCAAAAACCAACACCAATGGGATATCTGATAAGTTATTTATGAACTACATCTTAGCTCAAGCGAAGGCGCGGGGCTGAGACGTAGTTGTTAAGAACGAGCAGCTATCTAGTGAGGCACTTACACACCAGTCTTTCTATAGCAAATCATAGGGATTCTGCAGACGTACTACATAGACTGACGTTCATGCTTAGTTCTCCCTCAATATCGCTGAAGCAGCGGTGCCATTCTTATATATTGTAGCAAACACTTCATACTACGTAAGAATAGTCATGGAATTGGCTCGCGCCATCCCAGTGTGAACGCACTGGCCGGTGGAAGTTGTCCCCATACAAATCCCCAGTCATATTGCTTTGTACAGGCTTTCCCTTAATATAGGATTTTGTATTGGAATGGGGGTGGTCCTAATTCGTGTCGACTTGGCAGGCATGGTTATCGAGCATTTACGTAGATTCATTACGTTACAAAGGCCTATCAAAATCTACCTACATTGCGAACGTGGTGCCGTCGTATTACCATTAAAACCAAACCTGGTCGTGTATGAGTTTAGTTGCCCTTCTAACGTACTCGCCCTATTAAAGTCCGGACTTTATTGGCCTAGAAGCCCGAAATTATTCGATATTTTATCAGCCCTAAAACGTTTATCTTGAAGTTTGAGTTTGTATGCACAAATCCATAAGTACCGGTATTTCTTGCGACATGCTTATATTCGGGAAGGGGCTTATATTTGGACGAATACGTCAGCTGTAACTTAATCGGTGCGTTGGTCGTCTGAAACACCTGCCTTCAAAACTTCGAGCAAGTCAAGCATAACTCTGGTACTTCCTCCTGGTTCGAATGATTGCAACTTTGGTAAAAGGCGGTGCATTTACACAGAGCGAGTATACTTTGCACGAGAAAGAGGAAAATTGGCGCATTTTCACAGACCGATTGCCTGCTAACTCCGTCAGTTCCGTAGTGCTACATGCGTGTAGACCTTAGAAGGAAAGCATCAGGTCGCACCAAGGACGCTGTGCTGTTTCCTCAGTCAGATAATCCTAATTCGGCTAGAAAGTAGAGTTATTTGCTCCGAGATTCCGACCCCCGATTTGATTTGGTCTTAAGTGCGAAAAATTCACTCGTATGCACGAAAATGACTTTTTTTAACGCCCGGAGGAAGTATCGCGGTGCCCCACATATTCAATCAACGGCTCGAGTTCGCGCGGCCTCCAATACTGTATTCGCTCTCGAACACTTCCATCCATTTGGGCACAGATTCGGGATCGCGGTGCCCCGCATGAACAAATCGTCAGCTGGCGTGCCGCGTCGCCACTAGGAAATCTAAATTGCACACACAAAAGTTAGCTCCGTAAGACTGATGGGCAGCAGCGCGCTCGGTACCACAGCAGAGAGTATAAGCCCGCGGAGGGTGGGGGTTACCGCAGCAACCGCAGCAACCGAGCATGCCGCGTTGATATGTTGCATGGATAGATTCGTAGATTCGTGGAAACGGGATCTTGGTAGCAGCGCTCAGTGCCACGGCAGCGAGTATGAGTCCCCGGAGGGTGGGGGCCACTGCAGCAATCGAGCACGAACTGAAAAGTGAGAAGAATCGTGGGAGAAGTTTTGACGGCTCGAGACGCGCCGCGCCCAGTCAAGTTGTTTCAGAACTCTCCTCAACCTTTTTCTGGGAATAATGCATTTTAATACTCCCTTTTGTTGTAGATTGTTTTCAGAAAGTTTTGATATCCAAAACGCAATGCGCATGCGACTGATGCTCCGCAAACGGGGCGTGCCTAAGTCGCGCGCGCGAGTCGAGTTTGTCGTTTGCATTTAATTATGCTATCTCTTTAAATCATTGGCTCGGTAGTACAATTGAGTTTGCAAAGGCGCTACCTGCCCAATCCTCTAGTAATTTACGCACCTCAGCACATCGTTTACATTCGAACCAAAGCTCGGTACAGACAATCCTGTACTAAATGATACCTGACACAACTGAAATATTGTTATATATGATACGAAGTCTATCCATCGTCTTGGTAGTTAGACAAATGTATTTACCCTATGGAGTAAATTTGATATCTGCTAAATGTGAAATCTGATACAAGATTTCGACCAACCTGATAGCGTCTAGCAAGCTACAAAGAAGCTTGTGATCGACGTTTGCGTGGTCTTTTCTTCCTTTTCGCGACGCAACTGCTCCCACACCCACGCCTACAGCTTGCGAAGGTCGAGTAGCAGCTTTTCATCAAGGTCGGGATGCTCCGACAGCATCGAAATAACATTCCGAACTGCTGTCGCCTGCTCAATGGTGGACAGCTCTGGCGTAACACCCTTCGTGTCGCCAATACTGTCATCGTCGACGTCACCCCCTACCGTCTCGATGAAACAAACGTCAGCTTCTTCACTGAGCAGCTCTTCTGTTGTGAGAATCTGCATTTCGGTATCTTGTTCCGCCGGATTGCACACGAAATCGTCAATATTCATAGGATCTCAGACCCGAAGTATGGCGAGGCGGCGGGACAGTTTCCCTCCAGATGTAGAATAGACTTGTCCAAACGTAGAGTCACCAAGTCCAGACCCAAACACGTAGAGCCCTAGTCACAGTCGACCGACCTCGGCTGGACTGAAGACTCCGCTGACGCTCCTTGAACTTGGACTTGACCCGAGTGAGGCGTGTGTGTACCTCCCTTGTGATCCCCTTGAATAGCTATTCATAGGGCTACGCTTTGGGCCCAGCCGGAGGTCAGCCACAGCTACTTCACGTCCTCTTCCAGTGTCTCCATACGGTGCTTGCTCCCCACTTGACAGGCTCACGTCTGCACGTGTCGTAGCTCAATATGCACCGGGTTTTCTTCAATGCAGACACGACACTCCACACGCATTCTGTCCTTTTCTTTCCAGACCTTGGACCAGGTCTTGACAGCTTCTTCACTTCCTCCGGCGGCTCAAGCTGAGAGCCGCACAACTAGGTCTCCCTCGCTCCTCGACCTAGAGTAGCCCCGTGCGTTGGCTCGGCTTGAGCCTGTCTTGATCCAGGGTTCACGCTCTCTGCCCTGGGACTTCCGCGCACCACGCCCGATCTCCAAATGTCAGGCGGACACCAAACAGTCCACGCCAAATGTCGGGCCGAATCCCAACCAGTCGCACGATCGCTCCACAACCAACGGGAAGGCTCTTCCTCCCCGGTCAACATGAAATACACACCGAGAGCCACTCCCAAGTGTCGGTTCGACGCGCAACGATCAGAAATAGCCAAACAGAGCCCTCCTCACACATAGGGGGTACCGAATTGGTCTATATGGGAGCCTTGAATTTCACTGGAGGCGCTCCTTGACACCTGCGACCACACAAAATCCGACCACGTGCGTCTTTCGGGGCAAATTCGACTCTGATTGAAATATTACCCATGCAAACATGAACCTATCAACTGGGGGTGCAAAACGCCCTTCGGAAACACTAAAACAACAGTGAGAAGACTGTCGAGCAATCTGCCAGCAACGCGCAGTCGCGTGCGGTGCTTCAACTTGAGCTCAGCGATGATTGGGCGAAACTCGGATGCGCCCAGAGCCCAGCGGCTCTGGGCGTAATCACCTCCAGCAACCCAGATCCCGCGCTTGTGATTGGCCATATGAAGTGCGTCATCGGGGTGCGACGGGAGACGTCAGAGCTGATTTGTCTGCAATCACGGGATGACGTGACCTGACACGGCGACCCTCTACAGCGGCCCAACGCGAGCACAACTTCAACAGCACTCTGAGCCTCCAAGGCTCCGCTGGACCTTGAACATGAAGTGTCCACCAGCGTCCACCAAATCCAGCCATGTCCAGCAAAGTCCAGCAAGCTCAGGCTGAACCTCCTCGGAGGTCAGGGAAACTTTCCTCGCTGAGACGTCAAAGGCTTAGTCGATGCACATCTGGACCTTCCGAGGTTTTGGCAATGACACAGCGCGGGCTCCTCGGCCTCAGGACACGTCGGCTAAACTCCGCGATGCAGCAAGCGCATCCAAGTGGTAGAAGCTTCACACTGTCCGGGTACGCACATTGTCAGACTCACTCCTTGCTGACACTAGTGATCAGCGCGCGAGGTCTGGGCGTGGCAACGTTCCGCAAGCACAGCGCCGACATCCCAGGGTTCAGTCGACTCCGGTAGCCGTTCATTTGAGCCTCGGTGACTTCTGCACTTCACATCTGAGCTTGGATACTATCAGCTAACAGGCTCCGCAGTCCAGCTTCTGCCGTATCCGTATCCCACACGCTTGTTCGACTTCGAAGTTGCACTTGGGCACCAGCTACATAGACCAGGGGCTCCACCAGGTTCTCCATCACCGACGTCGTCCGAGCGTACCATGGGCTGAGTCACTGCGTCCTAGACCAAGCATGTCAAAGGTAGTCGCCCGACGAGGTTCGCCAAAATCTGAGCGGACTTCGTCACAGAAGTCTACTCAGACAGCTCATTATGTTCACGTTCAAGACATCAGCTGCCTCTCTCTGCGACCGCCAGATAGACGACATGCCATGCACGAGTTTTGTCAGCTCAACACAAAATCACCAGCGCATTCTTTGCGCATCTCACGCCAGCAAGCTTTCACCCACCTCATTGCTTGTAATTTATCGTCATCGTAGATGGCACGGGTGAGACCTTCCTCTTCTTTGTCCAGGGCTGGCTGAAGTTGGCGGTGGCGGTACCGTCGTTTCAACGAAGCAATGGCATCAAGTGGCTGCTACTTGGACGTCGTATTGGGGGGCAATGGCACCACCTGGTCGAGCATCATGCCGGTGATAATGTGAGGAGGAGCATTATCAATCAGCAAAGCAACTTTCCGCTTTGGCTTGCCCATATCCACGTTGAAGTCAGACAACCACTCACGAAACAAAATCGCCGATATGCAGGATTTCTTATTGTTCCGATACAGGAAACCCAACTGCTCCCCAGTCGTTTTCTTCAAGCATCTTGGCTTGTAGGTAAAAAGGAAAAACGGCTCGCGCATGTCGGATCCATTAGCATTGCAAGCCAGGGCTACCGTGAGTCGCGTTTTACTCTTCTTGGAACCTTCAATCTGGCGGGTAGCAATCGTTTTGTCCCGGCACACCTTATAAAATAAACCCGTCTCGTCGAACTTGTAAATATCTTCGATGAGATACTTACTAAGGATGGCCCGAATCCGTTGCACTTGCTCTGTAATAGATGAAACATCCACGGATCCGCTCTCGCCATGCCAGCTGAATCTTTTGAAGCCATGGCGCCCCTGAAACTATTGTAACCAGCCATTTGAGAACTGCATCTGGTCCTCTGGTGCGACTCCCATCTTCGTCAGAAGACGAACGCCTTTTGCCTTGACCATACCACCGTCCAACATGACGCTGCGGCTTTGGCATTGCAGAAACCAGTTCACAAGGGCTTCATCCAGCTCAGGAAATGGTAGAGGTCGCGAGCGCCGGATAAGTTGGTCATCGTCCCGGATATTGAGATAGCGCTCTCGATCTTTCAGGATTGTCGAAATAGTTGCTTCCATACGACGCTTGACGAGTGCGAACTCACGCTGTGCCTGCTCAGCTAGCTTGTTTTACGTTAGCAATGCCTGGTTCTCATGCCACTGACATATGCGCTTCTTTTGCTCATATGTGAGATTGCCGACGTGTTTCTGCTTTCTGCCAATGATGAAAGAACTGGGGTGACCTCAAACTGAGATCCAAAGCTTCGTGTTGAGCTTTAAATAGAGTCCAGTGAGAATTGTAGCGACGGCGGAGACAACTATAGCTGGAAGTCTTGCAATCTTACCCACAACTTACATACTTGATACTATTGCTATACATGATAGGGTCGTCGTCCACGGATCGTATCAGGCGTGCTAGTTTTGTATGTACATGTATGAACCAGCATGCCACCTATAACAACATGCAGGTACCCAGTTTGCAGGTGAAGACAGTATGAACACGCTCCGTTCCATGTTTGGCGAGCGCGTCTAAAATGGGAGTCGATGTACTAAGCTTTCAACTTTTGCGGCCCAGCCCACCAGACAATACGCAGAGAAACGGGTCAGCTTACGTAGCTCGCCAACGTGACAGCACGAGATATTGACAAGCGTTTACCCGGCGATAAAGTATGCTTCAGTGGTTCTGAAGCATATTGCAGTGCAAACTTACCAGAAGTAAGTAATAACATCATGGCTTTTAGTGGCAACCTTTAGTTTTTAATGCGAAAGTAACCTGAGCAATAGAGTCATAGATACAGCAATTCGTATCCTTTAGATGTAGTTGTTTAAGTTACCAAGTACCCTACTTCGGAAAGAAAGGTACCCGGTTTGTGTACGTTACAAAATTTCGCCGGCCCTGTGAATTGGTCGTTGAGCATATCCCGAGTGCCCCTTCATAAAAGGCGTGACGTGACGATAACCATGGCGCAGTGGCTGCTGCTTTTACCTCTGTTCTACCTGTTCTCCATCGCTGCATCAATTGACGTCGACCCGAGTCGCAGCCCCGTTGTCGCTCTACTGCCGCGCCACCTCGTCGCGTTCTACCCGCTGCTCTCGGACTCTCTGGACTACGCCCCCGACGGCTATATCAACGGCTACAGCCAAGATGCGCTCCTCACACGCCGTTCTATCGCCGGTTCTACCTCTGCCAGCACTGCAGCCATCACACAGAAGCTCGGACTGCGACTGGAGCAAGGCACCGGCCTGGACCTCCCACTCAATGTCAACAGCCGCAACTTCCCCCAGCTCACGGTGGGCGGCTGGGTCCAGGCTCGGGAAACAATGGCCGTCACCCAGGGGTGCTTACTATCGCAGAATGGCTCGACTGTGGGGAGGTCGGTGTGTGTGGATCGAGGGAGGTGGGTCGTGGGGGGTCTGGAGGCTGCTGGGGCGAGGGTGAAGGTGGATCAGTGGTCGTTCGTCGCTGCAGCGTTCAATGGCAGTTCGACACATTTTTACGTCGATGGGGAGGTGATGGCAGTCGACTCGGAGGCGAAGAGTGTGGCCGGCCAGTTGCTGGTCGCTGGAGCTGCGGTGGATCAGCCGTTGGGCAGCTTCTCGGGATACCTAAAGTCCGTGTTTGTGTTCGCTGTGGCGCTGTCCAGGACGGAGCTGGACTATTTGATGACGGCGAAAGATGTGGCGGCAAAGGTACCGGGAGACGCGGCCCCGGTGCCAGCTCCAGTCGTTGATCCGGTGGAGAAGACAGAGCCGATCCCCCATTTTTACCTGAAAGACCGGCTAGATCATCTCGTCAGCGCACGACAAGTGATCGACCCTGATGGGGACGAGTACAATGCTGCGTTGCCAACGATTGATGATACGGAGCTGCTGTCTGTGGAGTTGGTGTACAATGACGACGTTGTAAGCAGCGATACGGTGGTGAACACGTCTACAGTCCCGTTGAAATTGACTTCAGTCGACCCGGTACAGCGAGAGGTTCATGTGGGGTCGGAGGTGACGGTGCAAGGTACGCGCAGCTTTGACAGCCAGCTATCCGTGTGTCGGATAGATGGGAGTGTGGTTTTTGCTCCGGTCACAGTCACGGCAGCCTCAATGACGTGCGCAATCCCGGATCTTGGCGCCCAAGCGACCACTTTGGAGCTCTCTGTATCCCAGAACGGCATCGATTTTGTATCTGTCGGATTATTTACTCGTCTGAATCGCCCGGAGGTGCTTCGATTATCGCCGGTACAAGTTTGGCGGTCGATAACACGGCAACTTATCAGCATTTTCGGCATGGATTTCGTAAATGTGACGTCTTTAGCGTGCTCTATCGGTGGGATACCTTCTCGGGCCGTGCTCCTGTCGCCATCGAGGCTGCAATGCGAGGTTGAGCCTATGCGTTATGGTCGAGGGTTGGAATCGGTAGCAGTGAATGTCTCTGTCAACGGCGTGGACTACTCCAATGAGCCCGTGGAATTAGAATTTATTGATCTTCCATCTTTTACTTCGCTGTCGCCGGACAATGGGCCTGCTGGTGGCGGAACAACAGTGACGATTTACGGACAAGACTTCCGTGAAGATACGCGCTACGCTATTCTCTTCCAACCGGATATGCAGACGGATGCTACGTTCGTGAGCGAGAATTCCCTATCATGGACGACCACTGCGGTAAATTTCACAGGCATCGCGGATCTCAAGCTGGCAGTCGAAGGTGTTGTATTCCCTGAAATTCCAAGCCTCCAATTCATGTTCACCGTCACACCACAGCCCACGTCAGTGTTTCCGCGACTTTTGCCTGTTCACTCGGAGACAATTCTGACGATTTCAGGAACAGGCTTCGGCGATTTTGACGGCCTTCGCTGCTCTTTCGTGAGACTTGGAGCCGACAGCGAAGCGATAAACGCGCAAACCAAGACGACTTCGGCTACATTCGTGACGAACTCGATCATTCAGTGTCCAACGCCGCGTTTCGATGTTAAAGGGTCGTATGGAGTCGCGGTATCAAATAATGCGCAGGATTATTCCGGACAACGCGATGCTGTGACTATCACCGTCCACGGAGACGTTGAGCTGGAACATGCATCAGTACTGTCCGGGCCAGCGACGGGAGGAACTGTGGTGAATATCACGGGAACGAACTTTGTGCCTTCAGCAGATGTGGCTTGCAAATTCGGCACAAGTCGAGCTCGGGGCTCTTTTGTGTCGGATTCGACGATCCAATGCGTGAGCCCTGCTTGGATTCCAACGACTGTCGCTGCTGGAGTCGCTCGAGTGCCGATTACCATCGCCCTGAACGGGCTGGACTTCTTCAACTCGAGCGTGCCATTCCAGTACTACGCTCCGCCCGTTATCAGCTCGATCTCGCCGTCGATGGTGCCCATAAATGCGTCGCTGTCTCTGACTTTGTATGGCAATTATTTCATTTCGTACGGAAAAGTGGTGTGCCGCATCGGACCAACCCTTCAAGTCGCTGGTGCGGTGATCAATGGAGGACGAGGTGTTCAATGTGACGCCACTTTTACTAACATGACCGCAGGCGTGGTGGATATTAGCGTTTCTCTCAACACCGGGTCCGACTTCTCTCGTAGCCAAGCCAGCCTGTTCGTTCATAACCCCATCACAATAACCGGCGCTGACACACCGTACGTGGCCAAGAATCTCGATTCCACAATAACAGTCCGCGGACGAGGATTTCTGCGAACTAGTGGAGTTATCTGCGCCTTTGGACAGGAGGCAACGAGCGGAACTTTCATTGCTGCGGAGGTCGTAACATGCGCTATTCCTCGTACTCTGCTCTCCAATCGTGACTATGAGCTACGTGTCAGTCTGAACAACGGGACGCACTTCTCTCGCGAATCAGCGCGTGTGTGGGTGTACGACCCGCCAACGTTCAACCACGTCACAGCAACTTCTGCCGACAAGAAGGCGGTTCTCCAAGTCGCTGGCAGTGGATTTGTGGTCAACGCAAGCGCCGCTCTCTCGATCGACTGCGTGTTCGGCGCCTATGGATCGGTGCCTGCACGAGTGGAAAACGCTTCGAGTCTCGTCTGCGTTGTTCCAGATATTGAATTTCCTGGGGGTACTGCGAAGACTTTGGCTCTCGATTTCCTGGTGGGGTCGTCAATCATTAAAACGCCTCTGAACTTCACGTTCGAGCCGATCTTACCGCCCATGCCGTTGGATCCGGGTGAAGTACCGGGAAGAGCAGCTCCAGCTTTTCTGAGTAATTTCTCTGATGATCAACTATTGGCACCTAAACCTCCAGACACGTCCGACTCACCGACCGCAGGACGAAGTATCGAGCCTGAAGTTGGTGACATATCACCACAGTACGTGGAGCAGGGGGCACGAGTGAACATCACGGTTCGCGGACAGAATTTCGACAAGAACTCGACGTTTTGCCACTTCAGCTGTCACTCTGACGCTGTTCCTGCCATTGTGTTGTCAAGCGCGTTTGCGTTGTGCCCCTTCGGTGGCACCGACGCTGAACCAGGGATCATCGCAGTATCGCTGAGCTTCAACCGTGTACGCCCCATCATCTCCACGGTCTCATTTGCCTATTATGCGGCTCCTACAATCACGACGATTTATCCTCAACGAGGACCATTGGGAGGAAATACCAAAATTCTCGTAGCGGGTACAGGCTTCATCGACCACGAGCCTCTGTACTGTCATTTCGACGACCAACCTAATGTGCCTGCAGCAAGACTCACTGACACGATGCTTCACTGCTCCACCCCGCCTAGTCACACTGGACGAGTATCAAAGCTCCGTGTTTCGATTAACTCGAGCATTTATTCTGCCGACATTGCCGAGTATTCGTACCAGGATATGCCCCTGTTGGACACTATATTTCCATCTTACGGGTCCGTGGAAGGCGGGGCGACTGTGATTCTAACAGGTCGGTGGCTTAATGCGTCGGAAGACGTGGTATTGTGCACTTTTGGCGCTTTTGTTGCCGATACTGCCGTGCTGAATTCGACCACCGTCGTCGTGGAGATACCCGCCAGTTCAGTGACTGGTGAGGTTGCTGTACAATGCAACCTAAACGGAGAGGCTATCACACCGGATGGACTGTCGTACCACTACCTCCTGACCCCCCACGTGGCTCGGGCTACGCCACAAGTGATCTTGTCATCGGCGAATACAATGATTCTGGTGGATGGAAGCGATTTCAGTGAGAATTACCCGATGAATTGTCAATTTGGCAATGCGAGCAGTGACGCTACTGTGATATCCTCATCGCAAGTACGGTGTGTAGCGCCTCCCCAAACTCCAGGCATTGTGAACGTTTGTGTCGCCTTGGGAGGTAATCCCATTAGAGGCTCGTGCATCGGATTCGAGTATGTTGGTACGTATTTATGTTTTTAGTTGATGATCCCCACCTAAGCATTGACATTTTATGCCTTTGAATCCCAGCGGAGCCTGCACTTCATCAAGTGATCCCACCGCTTGGACCGGAGACGGGGTCAACGAGACTGCTAGTCGTCGGGAAGGACTTTAACTCTCGAGCCGACATGCGTTGTGCTTTCAGCCGCGAGGATGGTTCTGCTCCCGTTACGACTCCAGCCTTTGGGGCGAGCGAACAGGGCATTGTCTGCTTCACGCCTCCGTTTAGTCCTGGTCTGGCCACCGTCCAAGTCGCTGTGGGCGACGCGATTTCAAGCAGCAAACTACAATTCAAGTTTACAGGTACGCGTCTCATATTGCATTGATGCAGCGCGCTCAAAGCTCTAATCGTTCTGGTGTCGTATCTGTCTGCAATCAAGTGAAACCACGAGTGTTGTCTGTCTCTCCGCAGCGTACTTCTGGAGCTGGAAACGTTATCGTGGCGATCTCTGGAGTTGGTTTTGTCGATTCAGATCTCCTTCGATGCAGTTTAGGAACTTCAATTGTGCGTCCCGTACGATTCGAGAGTGAATCTCGGATAATCTGTAAGTTTCCTCGACGTTTAAGCTCTGGCGTTCTTCGAGTTCGAGTGACGAACAACAACCAGGATTACACGTCTGATCGCGTTGTATTCACGTTCTATCACCCGCTTGTTGTGGACTATGCAACGCCCCTGGTCGGGCTAATCGATGAGCTCACTACGCAGATCTTGCTGGTTGGTCATAGTTTTCACGGAGATGCCGATCTGGTGTGTGGGTTTCAAGACAAGGGCAATAGTGGCCGAAGCTTCGTGGACGCTACTCTCGTGAGTACGTCAACTATGACATGCACGTTGCCAACTCCTGGTGGACTGTACCCGCGCAATTCCTCGGCATCTATCTCGACCAGCCTGCAAATTCGAGAAGCGACTCAGCAGAAACCAGTGTTTGAAGCCCCTTTCCAGTATATTGCGAGGCCGGTTCCTCTCAGTGTCTTCCCGAAGCTGGTGCTTACTACGGGCGGACAGACATTGACGATAGAAGGGTCGGACTTAGCTTCGGGGATTGATATCTTCTGCCAGTTCGATTCGTACTACCCTTACGACAAGACGCCTTTCACGCAGCTGAATGGCACACACGGGTCTTGCAGAACGCCCGAGCGACCTCCAGGGCCAGTGGAAGTGCGATTGTGCTTACGGTACCAGAATCAATGCAGTCACGAGTCGCTCACCGTCTCGTACGTCCGAACCCCAATTGTCCGAGAACTTGCACCAAATGCACAATCAGAGGCTGAAGGTTTTTCAATCACAGTGATCGGCAAATATTTCTACAATGCGCCAATGAGTTGCGCGTTCGATGGGGTCAAGACGCCAGCTACGTTCACCAACCAATCGGCCGTGGCATGCCCCACTCCAGCTCTGGTGCGGCTTATGTGTAGCAAGTTCCTGTTCTATGTCGATGGTGTTGAGGTTATGGGGAAACCCTTGGACTACTGCACGCAAATGGGTCCCTTGGTGAACTTGATCCGTCCAGCCACTGGTCCGGAGAGTGGGGGAACGCGCGTCTTAGTGAGTGGCGGACCCTTTCGAGCGGATATTGGGTATGTTTGCGAGTTTGGGAAAGCGAGTATACCGGCCGAGTACCTGTCGACGTCGCAAATCTTCTGTGTATCACCCCCAAGTCGAGCATTATCCGTACCGTTTTCAGTCGCCGGGCAGTACTATTCGTCCATCCGCCTGACATTCACGTACCAACCGGCTCCGGTTGCGACTGGAATTGCACCAAGCCGTGGCTCGGAGCTCGGTCAGTACCAGGCGATTATCAGCGGCTCAAAATTTATTCGAGGGGCTGGTTTGAGGTGCCAATTCGGCGTCTCGGACGTTGTCGCAGCCAAGTGGATATCAGAGGCGTCGATTTCGTGTGTAGTTCCTCCCCATAGTCCAGGCTGGGTGGACGTGCAGGTGACCAACAACCTCCAGGACTACTCGGTTCAGGGCGTGAGGTTCGAGTACGTCGTGAGCCCCGTCGTCCTTGGGTTTGAACCCACAAAAGTTTACGCCCAGGACGAAGACAATATCGTTCTGCACGGCCGCGACTTCCGCAACTCGAGCGACGTGCGCTGCATCATTGGGAACGAGCTAACCGAGGCGGCTTTCCTGTCGAGCACCAAGCTGAAGTGTGGCGCAGCCACGTTAGTCGAGACTTCGGTTGTGATTGGCGTACTCGACCTCTCCCTGTCAACGGTCGGGGCGTTTGCAGACAAAAGGCTCGTGGTTCAGGACGACGGGGTCTGGTCACTCAGCCCCCGCGTAACTTCTGCCCGTGGTGAGACCCTTGTGACTCTCTCTCGTCTTTCGGGTGAGTCTTTGGAGTTTGGAGCAATTTACGGCCGATTCTGCACTCGAAACCGGAGTATCTGCTCGGAATTAATCCCCACTGACTACGTACGAAAGAACCAGCTCCGTTGGCTGCCCCCGCGTTGGACGGGTACGGATATGTCGGGGGTGGTTGATGTTTACAGGGTGAAGAACAGTTCGACGCCTCCTACGTCCCCGATTGCAACATTCCCCTACAGATACTACCGTGAAGCTGTGCTCACAAGCTTAACGCCATCCATTGGAGCTCTAACTGGTGGTACAGTCGTCACTCTGTCGGGACTGCACTTCCAGGACGGACACAACCTCAGCTGTGTAGTGAATGGAGCCACATTCGTGCCAGCGCGGTTCATAACGGATACAATGATCAGCTGTGCGATGCCGCTGCTGGTGTCGGGGCCTCGAACCGTTGGGGTGTTTGTGTCGTTCAATGGACTGGAGATCAGTGAGACCTCGCTCAGCTTCACGTACGTTGAGGAGCCGTCGGTTGCCAGCATCTTCCCGACCGGCGGACCAGTCACTGGCACGACAGTCGTGAGCGTCGTCGGTGCGCACTTCGTCAGTACGCCGAGGAGTGTCTGCAGGTTTGGGGATCGCTCAGTGCCAGCGATCGTCGTCAGCTCGACCGAAGTGAGCTGCCTCGTGCAGCCATCGACGTGGGCGTCACTTGGACATACCCAGTTTCAATTTTCATCTAACGGGCAGGAATTCTCGCGGGAATCCGTATTGTACTTCTTTTACGAGCACCCGTCGCTGATTGACATCCAACCACGCGCTGGGAGCGTCAATGGAGGCACGAAACTAACGCTGACGTGGAATAACACCATTCCCGACGACTACAGAGGCAAGAACATATCGTGTCACATTGGCTCGACAACAAGTGACGTGTTAGAATCAACTGGAAAAACGCTCAGCGTCATTGCCCCCGCATCGAAGGACATGGTAGAAGGGCCGGTGGCGACACAAATCTCGCTAAACGGGCAGAACTACGTGGAAGGACCACCCTTTTGGTACCTGTTCGAGCCTCGGATCGATTCAATTTACCCGAATTCCAGCGGCGAGGCTGCTAGTTCCTGGATCAAGGTGACTGGAGCAGGGTTCCCTCGACTAACCACACTGTCTTGTCGTTTCGGGGACTCGGGCGGAACGGTGGAGGCGTCTGCCGAGTGGGTATCGGAGAGGCTGGTGATCTGCCGCGCGCCACTTCATCGTCCGGGTACGGTGGACTTCACGTTCTCAATGAACGGAGTTGATGCGATCGACCCAAAGCTCAAGTTTACCTTCACGCCAAGAATTACACTGAAAGAGTCTCACCCCATATCTGAGCCAACTATTCGGGAAACCGGAGTCGACTACCCTCCAAGTGAGAGCACGTTCCAGCTTACGCCTGCGCTGGAAGTGCTCGATATATCTCCAAGACACGGATTCGTGAACCAAAGCCTCGAGGTTTTTATCACGCTGTCCACTGCGGCAACAGACCTCGACCAGTTGACCTGCCGGGTTGGTGAGCCAGTTGTGGTGCCAGCTTTCGTGGTATCCCGCTCCTCCATCGTGTGTAAACTACCGGCGGTCTCATCCCCAAGAAATGTGACGGTGACCGTTTCTAGTAATGGAGTAGACTATGCCGGTGGCTCCAACACGACGATCTCCTATTATCCTGCACCGCCACAAGTCGTGCCAGTAAATCATAGCAGTGGGTCCTCTAAAATGATGGGGGTCGCCATTACACGGGATATTGAGGCTATCAAGGCGATCACCGTGCTAAGCGTTGAACCGAAGAGTGGGCCCGTACGAGGAGGCTCTATTGTGGTCATGGAGATCGATCGCGTGACGGAGTATGACGACGATCTTGTCTGTGTCTTTGGAAACAACACCGTTGAAGCCACCACGATTAAGAATGGGACGGTTGCTTGCAAAGCTCCACCGGCAAATATTCCAGGACGCGTGCTCGTTGGTGTATCATATCGAAACGAGGCCATGATGCTACAACCTATTGGTGATCTGGGGTTCACTTACAACTTGGACGAAGTGATAGCGTCCATTTTCCCTGAAACTCTGGTTGCGTCCAAGCAGACTACAAACCTGACGCTGCAAGGTTTGAACTTCTTCCAGCCAGACAAGGAGTCCACCCCTTTATGCCGAATTGGGAGTGTTGTGACTCGAGCGGCGATTCTTTCGTCAACTGAGGCTGTGTGCTCTTCTGTCACGCTTGTCGCTGGGGAGTATCCGGCCGCGCTTGCTTGTGATGGCGTCAATTTTGTGTCCTCCGCTCAGCTAGTGACGTACCTTCCCCCCATCTGGATCACGGTGATCCAGCCTCCCACCGTTGCTGTCTCCGGAGGGATGGAAATTGAGGTGAGAGGCTCCTCCTTCGCAGTTGGGATGCTGCTCTACTGTAACTTCGGTCGAGGGAGGTTCATGGTCCCAGCCAAAGTCGTTTCGTCGACAATGCTTCGGTGCCAAACCCCAGCGGTGGGGGACTACAGCCTCACTCTACCAGTTTCGGTATCGCTGGAGGAGGCATCGAGCAACGATTTGTTGTTGTCGTTTGAGGCTCCGATCGCGTTGATCGCAGTGACCCCAAGCTTTGGATTTAGCACTGGCCGGACGACCGTCCGAATTGACGTCACTCGCGCCCCCACTGCCGCCAAGATGTCGTGTCTTTTTGGCGACACTGAAGTGGGCGCCAAACGCTTGACGTCCACGCAGATTTCGTGCGAAGTGCCTCCTCACCGCCCGGGAAACGTTCGTCTGGCAGTGAGAGGAGCCACTGCCTTGGACGTTGCAAGATCGGCACTGCCGTTCACCTTTCTGCCGGATCTTTCCATCGAGAAGATATCCCCCAGTCGAGGGACTGCTGCTGGCGGGTCTAATGTCGCGTTGACGCTGTCTCAACCTGTGGATGAATTGCTGCAGAATGGGATGATGGTGTGCCGGTTTGGGGCCCTTTCCACGCCGGTAGAGTCGGTTTTAGGTGCTCACGTCTCGTGCATTTCCCCTCCTGGAAGGCAGAATGAACAGGTTGTAGTGGCTATTGCAGTGAATGGTCAAGATGTGACTGTGAACGGTGTGGGGTTCACGTACTTTGGCAGCCACGAGCTGATCTCAATTGAACCGCGCACAGGATCTGTGGGTGGCAACGTGACTCTACGAGCGCGGCTGGAGAGTGCCGACTATGGGGTCGGGCTCGCCTACCAGTGTGGATTCGAAAGTGCTACGGGGGTGATCGTGTTCTCCAAGGCAGACGCTCTGCTGACGGGGGAGTTGGAGTGCAGCGCAGTCTCTCCCTTCCCTGGTCTCCCCGGGCAAGTGTTCGTCTCGGCTTGGCAGAATGGAGAGCGATACTCGTCCAACTCGCGATCGTTTGGGTTTGCATTGGCTCCAACGATCGACGAAGTGTCTCCAACTGTAATACCCGAGTCGGGGGGATCTGTGATACGCGTCGAAGGCTCAGGGTTTACCGGTTACAATGCGTTCTCGTGCTGGTTCAGCGATGGCAGTAAAGTCGCCGCATCCGTCATAGCGTCTTCTCTTCTGGAATGCATCTCCCCTCCGATTCTACCGGGAACTTATTCGTTTGGGATTTCTTGGAACGAGCAAGAACTCTTGACTTCACCCTTCACACTGATGGTGTATGAGCAAGTGTCGATTGTTTCTATCGACCCGACGTCGGGGTTCTGGAGCCAGCAGACCCAGGTCCGAGTGTTTGGGACAGGCTTCGAGCCCTCCGCCGGTCTAAGTTGTCGGTTTGAAGGCACTCTCACACCAGCCACGCACATTAATCGCACCGAGATCCGATGTCACGCTCCGGTGTGGTCATTGCAAAACCTGAGTCGATACTCCGTCGGGGTTAGCGTGAGCTTGGATGGAACTACGTTCATTGACTCTGAAGTGGCATTTTTCACTTACCACGCTGCTGCAAAGTTCGACAGAATTTACCCTGCGTCGGGCGCTGTATCTGGCGGGACTCAGGTGCTGGTGCGTGGAGTGGTGGATGAGGCGCTTGCGTACAGCTGCGTACTCAACGGTCACATCGTCCCAGCGGTGCCACTGAATTCTTCAACGCTGTCGTGCATCACACCGGCTTCGGCTTCCCCACAGCGGGTTCAGCTGCAGATTTCGGTTCTTGGCACCACTGTCGAGACGGATTTCCCGTTCTGGTTTACCTACTACGACCTCCCTTCCATCGAATCAATATCCCCGTTGACTGCGAAGACTGTCGGTGGAGAGGAAATCCTGCTTTCAGGCGAGAATTTTATAGCAACCAGTGCGTTACGGTGCCAGTTTGGGGACTCGGTCGGGATTTCTGTCGTTTTCGTCTCTCCAACCACGATTTTGTGCATCGCACCACCTCGCAACGGTGCGGGGTACGTGGCTGTTGAGGTTTCGCTGAATGGGGTCGACTACACGAGCAGCCGTCAAGCCTTGTACTACTACGACTACATCGACGTGGAAGACGAGCAAGTTGAAGTTGACACTGGCGCCAGCAATACCTCGGATCCAGTAGAGGTCGAGTACGAAGCACCGATTCAATTATCTCGCGCTTCTATCGGGAAGCTCCCAGGTGATGGAGAGGGGAGGGTGGCGACGGTCTCAGGCGTGAACTTCCTCAATACGACGGAGTTATCCTGCGCTTTTGGCGAACAGCTACCACCCGTTCGAGCCGAATTCGCAAACTCCACGCTGGTGAAGTGTCCTATCGATGGCTCTGTGCGGCTTTCCCAAGTCTTGGTTGGAGTGAGCAATAATGGCCACGACTTCGTTTTCCTCGACAAAACCGTGGAGTATGTAGAAAGTCCGCATATCACGGCGATCTATCCTACGTTCGGACCGGTGGAGGGCGGTACCCCCGTGCAGCTTACGCTGTCAAACACGGACGTGCTCAAAGATGAAAACGTAAAGGTGTTCTGCTCTTTTGGTGACCAAGATACACACGCGGTGATGACCGAAGATAACGTGGCAACCTGCGTCTCCCCAGGCGTGAAGCAGCCCTTGAGTGTACCCATTTCTTTCTACTGGAGATCATCCGACCTCAAGGACCGGTTTGACGCTGAGAAGCAGTTCGCTATTGAGTTTCAGTACTCCGTCTTCCCAGAGCTGGCGGATGTTTCGCCCCCAAGCGGGTCGGTGGCCGAAGGAACAGTGGTGACTCTCTCCGGCTCTGGTTTTCGTGATGGAATGAGTGTGCGATTTGGCTTGGGGCTTAATGCTACCGAAGTTCCTGCCATGTTCGTGTCGGGGTCTTTAATTATGGCGGACGTACCGGAGGAATTGATGGACGGTGTGACCAGTATCGCCGTCACTGCCAACGAGGTCGACTACAGCAACAGTCTGACGTTCTACGTGCGCCCGCGGGCAGTGCTGCTCTCGATCTACCCGTCGGAGATTAGCGCCACAACTTCGGAGCAGGAGATCACGCTCGCAATCTACGGCTCTGGCTTCACGGATACCGCGAGGGAGACGCTCAAGTGTCGAGTCGGCGACGACGGAGCTGTGAACGCGGCTAAATGGGTCTCACCGGTGCAAATCTCATGCCCTGCGCCGTATCTGGACGCCGGACTATACAGCGTCTACGTAGCGCTCAACGGGGAGAACTTTGTGAATGACGGCCTCAAAGTTTTCTACCAGGAGAAGTTCCTCGTCTACAGCATCGCACCAACCTTCGGCGTGTTGGGGGGAAACACTCGCGTGCAAGTTTACGGGTCGAGCATTCGTGGAGCAGCGAACACGTCGGATCTGGTCTGCGTCTTCGGTACGAGACCTTCCCCGCTCGAGGTGATCAACTCGAGTCTCGCCGAGTGCGTGACCCCAAACCAGCCCAAAGTCGGGTCTGTGCCATTTTCTATTGCTCGGCTCGCTGATGTCAATCCGCAGTACAAACCCCGAGGAGGAGGAGGAGGATTGCAGTATTTCTACCACAAAGTTCCGGTCCTTACGAAGATTTTGCCCTCGATGATTCGCGCCTCTAACGCCTCGCCACTTCGCGTCATCGGCGCCACCTTTATCGACTCTTTGCTGCTTCTGTGCTCGATTGGGGGCGTGTCTGTGCCTGCTAGATACGTCTCTTCCAACGCTGTCGAGTGTCTACTCACTGAACACTCCAGCGATGCGTGGCTCCCCGACTCAATGCTGGACGTGGAGGTGTCCAACAATGGGCAGGACTTTTCCAACAGCGAGCTGCAAGTTCTGGTCCAGGCGCCAATCAAGCTGCTTGGGATGGAGCCGACGCGGGGGATGATCCGTGAACGCACCGCTGTGAAAATATTTGGGGAACATTTGTCCCCGCTGTACCAGAACTTGAAATGTCACGTTGGAGAGACCCACCTTGTGCCAGCGACGAATCTGGGCGATGGGTGGCTGGAGTGCGTTCTACCAGCGTCGTCCTTCGCTACTACCGTCCACGTCTCGGTTTCGGTCGACGGAGTCGACTACACAGCGGACTCCCTAAATTTTACGTATGAAGACACCCCAGTCGTGTACTCGATTTCCCCCCAAAACGGGTCTTTTGAAGGAGGCACACCCGTCACCGTATACGGAGAGGGGTTCGCCCTACCAGGCCCTCTCTACTGCGTCTTTGGGTCGTCGATCGTGCAGGCAGAAGTGCAGTCCTCTCTCGTGGCGAAATGCGCGTCGCCCCCGTACTCCCCTCACTCGGAGCAAATGGTTAGCGTGGCGATTGCGAGGTTCGGTTCGTTGGCGACTGTGGCTTCCCAGGTGTATTTCTCCTACGTTGACGTTGAGTTGCCTCACGTCGCGTCAACCAGTCCGCAAGTGGATGAAGTGGAGACGTGGCCACCACAGGCGGCTCCCCCTTGCAGAATTTACCTGAAAGGTGGGCCAAAACTTGTGATGCCGCTCGTCAAGAGTGTGTCTCCAACCTCAGGCTCAGTCTTAGGAGGTACTAACGTCACGTTGAGCGGCCAGAACTTTACCACTGGGCCTCGAATTGCGTGCATCTTTGGGGGTGAAGAATCGTTGGCAACTCTTGTAAATGATTCTGCAGCCTGGTGCATCGTGCCTCCTCAAGCGCAGCCCACGACGATCTACGTCCGCCTCAAGGTGTTCGACCCAGTGACTCCCGAGCAACCAGAGTGCGTGTCGGAGTCGCTCGCTGTCTTTGAATACTACCGGCAGCTGGAGTTTATCTCGATGTTTCCAAGTGAGGGGCCGTCTACGGGGGGAACGGAGCTGAAGATTTCCATGGCAGGCGTCGTCGACTCCCCTGCGCTCTTCTGCGCCTTCACGATCACGCTGCCGAGTCAGCCGCAGCCGCTACGAGTGAACGTTCAGGCTGAATACCACAGCGACGACTTCTTGAGCTGCATCACCCCCTCACTCGCCCTTGCGCTGCCTTCATCGGGCGACAAATGGTACGAGAACGCCACAGCAGTAGCGCGCGTGGAGGTTTCCAACAACGGCGTGGACTTTTTCGCCACTGGCAAGAGCTTCTCGTTCGTACCTGTACGAAGTGAAAGTGTTGTGGCTCAGGTGGATCTCAAGTCGCTAGAAGTGACGGCTACCAGGCCACTTAAGGGCCCTCTCACTGGCGGCACACGTGTGGTGTTATCACTGTCCTTTGCGTTCCCGGGCTCCGTGGTGTACTGCCAGTTTGGTGCTGAGGTTGTTCGAGGATCGATCACCCCGGCCACCTTTGAGGTGGTGTGTGTATCGCCTCGCGTACGGATTGAGGGCGCCGTTCGGTTGGCGATTGGCGCCAATGGAGTTGACTTTGATGTGTACGCAGCCGAGTTCGAATACGCTGTCGATGCCTCAAAACGCTTCATCTTGTCGCCTCTTAATGGCTTGGTTAGCGGTGGCACTCTTCTTCATATCTCTGGGGCTGCGTTCGATGAGGACGGTGGCTACACCTGCAAGATCGGCACGCAGGTTGTCACCGCTAACTATGTGAACGCAACGCACATTGGGTGCAGAACTCCTGCAGTGGCCAAGCCGCAGGAGGTTCCAGTTCGAATCTCGGACAATGGCATCGACTACTCGGAGTTCAACTTGTCTTTTGTTTATGTGGAGCCACTGTTTGTTACGAGTATTTATCCTGCAAGCGGCGGCGTCGATGGCGGTGAGCTTGTAAATGTCGTTGGTGGCAACTTCACTGCCGGGGCGGAGGCTGTCACTTGTCGCTTTGGGAACGCGGTCACGACGGGTACAATTCTATCGGCTTCTACTATTCAATGCACTGCACCGAATTCTTCTTACGCTAGTCTTACAAAAGTGGCCGTCGAAGTCTCGTCGAATTGCCAAGACTACTCGAACAGTGGCGTTGTCTATCGCTATACTCCAGCGCTGGTGGTGCATTCTCTCGAGCCGAACCACGGCCCCTTAGCAGGTGGAACGGAGGTCGTCGTCACAGGCGCCAACTTCCAGAACTCGAGCAGTATGCGCTGTAAGTTCGGCGAGCGCGTGACTCTAGCAGCGACGTTCCTGGACTCGACGCAGTTCGTGTGCGTGTCTCCAAGTGCAGCAGCGGAGGGCGACGTCTACGTGGAAGTTGCCGACTACGGGCTCTTCGGTATCCTCAATGGCTCGTTCTTCTCGAACAGCAAGTCGATTTTCACGTACGACCGCGACTTGGCGACGGACTCAGTGTTCCCATCGCAAGGCCCAACCACGGGGAACTTCTCCGTTCGACTCACGGGTGGGCCGTACCGAAAGACGGACGCGGTTCGCTGTAAATTCGCCGAGGTTGTGGTGGTCGCTACGTGGGTCAGCTACGATGAGATTCTGTGCATGGCGCCGCCACACTCACCCGGGGTTTTCACGCTCGAGGTGACTCGAAACGCCCAAGACTACGCGGATACGCGGGTGCCGTTCCTGTACTACGCCGAGCAGGGAGTCCGCTCCATCTCGCCCACATTTGGTCCGGCGTATGCGGCTGGCACGCGCATTGACGTCGACGGCGTGGCCTTCGTGAACTCGTCGCTGCTGTCGTGCCGATTTGGGTACGTCGTGACGCCCGGAGAGTACGTGAGTCCGACGAAAATGCGCTGCACCACGCCACCCTTGCCTGAGCACAGCGGTGGACTGATAGCGGCCCCTCTACCTGAGTATCGGAATCAATTGGCGGACCCGAACGTCGGTAGCGTGTATCTGTTCCCAGACGCGCACTACTACCCGCAGTACTTCACCCGCCTCGTGTCCGTAGAGGTGTCCAACAACCAGCAGGACTTCTCGCTCAGCGGCATCAACTTCCTCTACTACCAGGACGAGACAGTCGAGGCCATCGCCCCCACCCAAGCGTACGACAGCGCCGAGCCCCTCGCGATCTTCGCGTTCGGCCGCAACTTCATCAACACGACGTCGCTATCCTGTCGTCTAGGGCTGCAGACTTTCCCAGCGACCTTCGTGACGTCAAAGCTGCTGCTGTGTGAAGTAGCGCACCCGATGCCGTACGACGACGCTCGACGAGGATCGGACAAAGTCCACGAGCTGAGCCAGCCGAGACACGCGCTCTTCGAGGTGTCCAACAACGGCAAGGACTTCACCAACAGCCACGTGGTGTTCGAGTTCCTCGGTGCGTGTCCGACGGGGTACTTCTGTCCGAGGCAGCTGCAGGGCATAAGCGGCAAAATACCGTGTCCGCGCGGCACATTCTGCCCTGGAGTCGCCAATACGGCCTTCACCTTGTGTCCGCGAGGAACGTACCAGCCCAAGACGGCCCAGTCCGCGTGTCTTCGGTGTCCTATCGGCTATCACTGCCCCCACACGGGGATGCACGTGCCTCGGTTGTGTCCGGCAGGGTACGTTTGCGATGTTACCGGGATTGAAGAAGCCGACCAGCCCTGTCCTGAAGGACACTATTGCCTCGAAGGCACAGCCACGACTGCGACGACATGTACGCCCACCCCAAGCTACACGGGGATGCTTATCGCCTCTCCGTCTGCAGCTGAGAAGCCAACGACACTGCGCCGCCAGCGTGGGAAAAACCCGCTTGCCAGCATTCAGGCGCGAAAGAGCGGCTGCTGGCGGAACGAGACGGAGGACTTCGGACTGCAGTTGAGCGCGCACCCTTCGCGCTTCTGGATGGAGCTACGACAACTCCCTCTTGCTCCGGGTTCATCCTTTGGTGGTCCAATGCGCGGTCGGTTCTGCCTTGATGACTCGTGTGTGAAGCTCGCGGACGCCGACAATGTTCGGGTCGAGGACGCGTACTTCGACTACGCGTCGACGGACTTCGCTCTACGGCGTCCGGTTGCGTGTCCTCCAGGAACCTACTGCCACCCGGGAACTGTAGCCAGCAACTCGCTCATGAAGAACTTCACGACTGCACAGCCGTGCTTCGAGTCCATGTACTGCCCCGAGGGCAGCTCCAACCCGCGCGGATTCGGTGAGTGCGCTCCGGGGTTTTACTGTCCGTTCGGCACACGGATCCCCTGTCCTGCGGGGTCGTACTGTCCTCAAACGGGTCACATCTCGCCGTTGCCGTGTCCTCCAGGGACTTTCAACGCCATGAAAGCGCAGTCGAACTGCACGTCGTGTCCCGTTGGCTTCATCTGTCCGGGATACAGTCGCGTCATGCCCGCGTTGTGTCCTCCGGGCTACGTGTGCAGCAAAACTTCGCTCGCGTCGCCGAATAATCTGTGTCCGAGGGGGTTCTACTGCCTCGAGGGCACAGCAACGTCCGACGGGTTCCGGAACGACACGCGCTTGAGACCGTATCCGTGTCGACCTGGCACCTACTGCCTCAAAGGCGTCGTGGCGGACGAAGTGCGCGTTGGGGACTACCGCTATCCGCAGAACTGCACTGCCGGGTTCTTCTGCGAGTTGGGGTCGTACTCGCCCAAAGGCTCAGGCCTCTGTCCTCCGGGCTTCACGTGTCCAAGCGGAACGGCAGCACCGATTCCTACCGCCAAGGGCACGTTCGCTCAGCTGGAGGGCACCGTGTCGGCCGCCGAGTGTGCACCGGGATACTACGCGCCCACGATCGAGTCGACCGAGTGCGTGCCTTGTCCGCCAGGCACCAGCTGCGAGAATGACGGCACGGCAGTCGCTAGCATTTGTCCGCCAGGGTCATATCGAGGAAGTTTGACGGCGGATGGTCTCTCGTGCCTCGCTTGTCCGCAGGGCACGTGGTCGAAGAACTGGGAGCTAAGAGGAGTCGAGGAGTGCCTCGAGTGCGCGCCTGGAACCGTGTGCCCCATTGACGGCATCTCGAACCCGTGCACAGTCGAAGATCTGCCGTACGTCTACACGCCAGTGAGCGTCAACTTGACCTTCGCGCAGTGTATCGAGCGTGGGTCCAACTACTTCTTCGGCGTGTTGCTCGAGCCTTGGATCGACGAGTTAGGCCAGGGTGCTCACTTCCTGCCCGACCGCGACAACGGACGCTGCTATGAGAACACGCAGCCTCGGGGGTCGGATCTGTACCAGCGCTTTGCCGACTTCCACGGCGCGCTGTACGAGATCAACTCAGGAGCGGGTGTGCCCCACCAAGGCTACGGCGACGACGCCCAGTATCCTGCCCCAAACATGTTCGCGCGTGGCTCGTTGGCCATTGATCTGCCCGTCTCGAGAGCTTACGACGTCGCGCGCAACTGCACGCCGGGCTTTTTCTACAAGAAGCAATGGTACCCGGGCACTTGTGAAGCGGACATCTTCTGCTCGGCGTCGGTGTGGTCCAAGGTCACGTCGGCAGATCAGCTCGTGTCACAGGCTCAGTCGTGTCCCGAAGGATACGTGTGTGATTCATCGACTACTGCAGACACGGCGTTCTCACACCTCTGTCCGGCTGGGTATGTCTGCGGTGCTGGCACGACGCCCGATCTGACGCTGGATTCGCCCCGAGGACAGCTCCACGAGCTCTGTCCCGCTGGGAAATACTGCGCGGCGGGGACGGCCGAGTCGCAGAAGGAGCGCTACGTGTGTCCGGTGGGCTACTTCTGCCCCACGGGCACATCAAACCCTCTGCTTGGAGAGCTCTCGAACGATGCACTGCGCCGACGGATCTCGAGCGAGGACAGCAACCCCTTCCTGCACATGAACCACATGAAGTACGTGGGCGAGGGCGACATCCGCATGGTGTCTGCGCACGACATGCGCTGCTTTGACGGCGTAGACGACGACCTAGTGGAGATCTTCCAGCTGCGCGCGAATCCGAACGACGAGAAGAAGACGATCGTGGTGAACCGCGCGGAAGAGCGCAACCGCTTGTGCGCGCGCGACCACAAGTGGCGGACGGTGGAGCTCGCGCTTCGACGCAATGCATGTGACTGCGTGGCCCAGACAAAGGTCGTGCGCCGCGTCTTCCAGCTCTGGAAGTGCACGGTGGCGCCTTCAACCGCAAAGCCGACGGTCTACGATCGCACGCGCTTTGGCTGGGCAGAAATACACAACTCAGCTACTCAGTGCGCCTTCCGAGGAACTCATGGCTCCAAGACCGTCGACCTCGCGCCGCTAGTAGCTGACGGTGGAAGTGGGGTAAGCTTCCAGACTGGGTGGACGGAGACCACGGCGGTGCACTCGTACGCAGAGCTTTACTCCTTGGTAGAAGCCAAGTACGCAGCACAAACCGTCCCAGTGGATCCTTACGTATACGACCTGCACCATGCGATGGAGCTTGTCGAGGCATTCGGGGAGGAAACGCCTGCATTCGCGGGCTTTGTCGCTGGCTCGAGCGAAGACAGCGACGAAGACTTGATCAGGCTGGACGCGTGCGCGTGCTCGCAGATGTTCAAGTGCCCGAACGGTACTACGTCGATTGCAGGGTCCGACGACATCTATGACTGCGTGAAGACTGGAGACGAAGTGCTGCAGCGCGTGAGTCTAATCCCGTTGACCAGCGATCGTCTCCTCAACGGCTCAGACTTCCAGGAACTAACGGGAATCTCTGGCTATGGGCTGGGGAGTATCTTGCTAGAGCCGTTCGAGGTGGCTGTCATCACGATCAACACCACGCAGCTCGAGCGGAATCTCACGTACGGCGCGCACTACCAGATATCCGTGTACCAAGACTGCAAGCCTTGTCCGCCGCAGTATAAGTGCGACTTGACCGACGACCCTCCTGGCTGCACGTACCCAGACGATGACAACTCTACGGCCACGCGGTTGTACGAGAAATGCATGGAGACGTACGACGGAGACGCCTTCGTATGCAACAACATGCCCTTCTTCTGTGAGCGTAGGACGCTCCCGCTCGCTGAAGTCTCACGAACTGCTGCCGATAGCGGAAGCAACGAAACCACCAACCTCGTAGGCTGCTGCTCGTGCGAGCGGCAGCAAATGCCGTACTACTTCGAGGACGCCGCCGTGATGGACCGAGGCTTCCCGGACAACAAACACGGCTATCTACAATTTAGTATCGCCGCGCTTGAAGAAACAGAGATCACTGTCGCGGTGGAGCTGGTGCATGGGCTTTACATGCGTGACTTTGCCGAAGGATTCACTCAAGATCGATTCGACTTGACCGTGTTCACGCCGGGACGTGCCGACTACTCGCCGTCGATGCCGTCCACCAACACGTTCCTAGCCTTCCTGCAAGAATCCGACATGGAGGAGCTCATGCTGCCGCTTAATCTGCCAGAACAGTACGGGAGAGTACCTGGGACGCTCACATACAAGCACCAGGTCGCGACAACGCTTCTGATCAACCGCATGTCCGACATCTTCGTTGGGGACCCGCAACTACCCAGCAAGCGTGGGTTCATACGAAACTCCGAGCAAAACAGTGTTGGGGCGCTCGTGTCGGTGACTGACACCAACTCGAGTAGCAACGGCAGCACCGACTCCGACGCCGTCGTGGTCCCACCGACGGATTACTTTGGACTGTACTCGGTACCGGACCCTTTGGAGAACATGCTGCGCTCGGACTCGTGGTGGGCACAGGAGCTCGACGGATTCGAGTTCCTGGCACTCCCATACTTGCCCTACTTCTCCTCGTGCCGCGGATTCGACTCGAACATTTTCCTCTTCAAGATGCTCGAGACCCATCCAGACTGCACCTTCGTGGGCTATGACCAAACCGTCGAGGTGGATCAATATCCGTGGAGGAAGAAACTCACACCGAATGCCGACAGGTGCTTGATTCAGTATACGGCGGAAGTAGCGGCGTCGACGACACTCATCTCGTCCATCTCGTCGGCGGCTTCAACGTTGTCGTCCTTCAGCAGCTCGGAATCTTCGTCGGCGACGACGATCAAGACTTTCACGCGAGGCGTGAGTCTGTCGTGTCTCTATGAGGAAAATCTCGAAGGTGGAGCCGAGAAACTGCGCTGGTACGAGGCGCCGACAGGAACCGTTTTGTTCTACATCACGCGCGACCCCGCTACAGCGGACTCCTTTGTGGCCGAAGGAGACTTGACGACAACAGGAACCGGCTGGGGACGGTCAGACACGTTCCAGAGCTACTTGGACACCGACGCCCTCATCCCCGTCATAGGTAAGGTTCAAATGTCAGCGGTTGAAACAGCAAAACTTGGTGCCTAAATGCTCATGCTTTGTAGTTGGAGATGCTGGACAGACGCTGGCCGTACCGCAGGAGGTGTACCTCAATCTGAGTTACTACCAGGTGACTCCGGGTCAGAAGAGAGTCGTGCAGGCCTTCGTCAACTTTGGCAAACTGTGTGCTGTGACCCGATCTGCTGACTTGCTCGTGACTTTGGCCACGAAGGACATTTACCCGTGTGCTATCAGCAAGGCGACCAACCAGTTGGCGTCGAAAGAGTACATGCTCCAGATTTCTTGGGAGCCGCTCAACTGGTTCGAGCTCATGAACCTCTTCCAGTTTACGGTGGACGTGTATCTGGGCTTCTTCACGCTTGTCGCCATGGCCAGCATGATGCTTGGGGTACGGTCTTCAGCTTTCGCTAATGATTTCTTGTTGGTGTTGATGCTGACGCTTGTGTCGTCGCTTGCAGTTCGTCATCTGGGTCATCAATCGCCTGTTCACAAAAATGAAGCGGCCGCCGAAGTTCCGCATGAAGCTTCTGCTCAAGAACATCGCGTCACCTCCCCCGATCGGCATCTTCTTGGCATCCGTCCCGATATTTGTAGCCTGCCTTCTCATTTACACTTGGTGGCACGTTTTGGCGTCGAAGGACCCACTCAACACGCCAAACGCGGCCTCGTTCGAGGATACTGCGGGTGACTGGCTTGATCGGATCTCGCTGGACAAGACGCGAGTGCAGAACTACAAGCGCGGTCGCGTGGGCTTGAGCTTGATCATCATCGGGATCTACCTGCTACTGCTCGGATCAAGGTTGCTTGTACCGGAGACGCTGGACGCCAAGCCCGAAGACAACGCGTACAAGGAGATGTCGATCACGACGCCCTCGGATCCGTTCTCAGTCGAGGCTGACAAAGACGAAGAAGAGGAGGAGAACGAGTTCTGGGACCCGCGCGCCTGGAAGCGAGCCAACTTCCTGCTCACGACTGTGTGCTTCATGGTCGCCATGCTGGTCTTCTGGGAGTTTTCGTACTCTCCGTCGTTCACCGAGAACATCTACGGCTACCTTGTGTTCTTCAAGATCTTGCGAACCGCGATGGAGTTTGTGCTCGAGCATTTCCTGCACGAGAAGCTGCTGGTGATGCCGTTCGCCGTCGTGTTATCGGCCTCGGAGAGCATGATGGCCATGGGGTCTGCGGACTTCATCGGCTTCACACTGTTTTACTTCGTCAACCTGACTCTGGTGATGATAGAGCACCTCTACACAGCGCCGCTACTCCGTCGCATGCGCGCGTTGTGGCCCAAGTGGCGTCTCTCGATGCGCCGCAGAATGAAAAAGCGACGCCGACGGACTCGCGAGCAGAAAGCTCAGGAGGAAGCGGAGTGGGCGCGAGTCTGTGAGAAGATCGACAACCAAGCAGCTGGCGTGGAGGCTGTGCTCGAAGGCGTGGCCGGGTACAGCGTCGTGTTCACTGAGCTCTTCATCGCGCCAATTCTCCTTGCCTTCCAGTCCTTCTTCAGCAACGACACCCAGATGCCAGCCCTCTACGGCGTCAGACAGACCGATCTGCTGTACTACGTGCTGTTCTCAGTGTTTATCATCCCCAGCAACTTCGTTCTTGGGGCTCTCCAGCTGAACACGATGGAGCTTGCGCACGGGTGGAAGCTGTACGAGTACTCGGCGTACCAAAGACATCGCTTCTCGACGCGGGACACTCGATGGCCGCTAGGATACACTTCGGCTGACGAGAGCATCCATCCTAGCTGTCAAAGCTTGGATCTGCTCTGCTTCTCGTCGCAGCTCTACTTCTTGCTGATCGTGTACTCCGCGGGCATTCTGTTGAGCATGTTGGGTTTGTCCGTGTGTCTGCGTGCCAGCTACAGCTTCTTCGGAGACCCGATCACATTCCTAATCATCGGCGTCGTGTACTTCATGATGCGAGCGCTCGAGATCAGCTGCATCCGAATCGGTAACAAGTTGAAAGTCTGGAAGCCGCGCAAACTCGCCGACGGTACGCTGGACGAGGACCTTGCAGCTAAGCTAGCGCTAGGAGCTGGGAGGCAACTGGAGCTGGAGCGAGAGCGGTTGGAACTGCAGGCCCTCAACTCGGAGCGGTTCCGCCACCGATTCCTGGAGCGTAATCGGCCATGGGTGCTGCAACACCTTGCAGAGCTCTTCACGCCGCGTACGTTGCAGTCGACCGACGGACCTGCCGGTGATGGCCGCCCCAACTCGGAGTACATCCGTGATCTATACCACGAACTCGTGAACATGGGCGAAGGTCGGCGTTTGAAGGGCGATCGGTCTGACATCTCCTCGGACTCCGAAGACGACTTGGAGAAAATGCGCCGAGCATGGTCAAACGTGCCGGTGGAAGGTGCTTCACGTGATCTGGCGCTGTACTGGTTGGCACGAGCTCGCAAGCGTCGGACTTTCGCAAAGCTTGTAGCGGGCATCGTGGCTGCGAGTCGCCAAAGCGAGTGCGTGGTCTGCGGCAAATGCGAGGACGGCGGATACACGCTTCACGTGGATCTGGCAGCGGAGGAAGGCGCGAAGGAACACGATCCTCGGGCACTGGACCGACTCATCGACGGCTTCGAGAGCGAGCTTGGGGCGCAAGAAATGGACGCCGATCTCTGGAAAGCGTACTTCCGGAAGCACGCGGCCTACGCCACGCTCTGCAACGTGTGCTTGACTGCCAGACAACAGGCCTTGGGAAGTCAGGGCAAGAAAATCGCTGCGGGCATGCGGAAGCTGCGCTCGGACGAATTCTCCAGCGATGAAGGCAGTGACGAAGATGGTGGCGATGCTCCGTTCGCCCCCATTGTTGTTGCGCGCGGGTCCATCGAAGGCCGCGTGCTCACGAAGTGGTTGCTAGCAGCCAGGAAACGACTGGGTGGGGCTTTCCCTCGACCGGAAGCTCAGGAGGAGATGGAGCGATACGCCCGCAAGCTGAAGCGATCTCGTCGGCGCGCTGGCAAGAAGGACCATGTTGACTCGGACGAAGAGGGACGAGATCCGTCGAAACACTGGCGGCTCGAGTTGAACGAAGCAGCTCGAGCACTGGCAATCCGCTGGGTCTGGGAAGCGCGGGACCTTCGGGACGCTGCAGCACGCAACGCCGCTGCAGAACTGCGAGACAAACTGCAGGCACTCAACGACCAGATCGTGGAAGCCGACGACTGGTTCTTCGGACGGGAGCTGCGTGAAGCTGGTCTGGCGTTGCGTGACGATGGCGCGCAGCTTGCAGAGGAGCAAGCGCGTGTCGACGAGGATCTAGCGCAGAAGATCCGCGCTACCGAACGGGACGTGGTGGCCTTCGTTGAGGAGAAACGCTCTACGAATTCTGCAGAGGAGCGCGCGTTTGCCGAGCTCATTGCCAAGGAGCGCGAGGACACCAAAACGCGAGTGGCAGCTCGCGAACTCGAACTGCTTGAGGCCTACAAACAAAAGGAAACAGAGTTCGCAGCCGCACAACGTCAAGCTCGTGAAGCCGGGGAATTGGCTCCTGCGTTGGTCGCCGAGCACCGCACGTACCTGGCCAAGATGGCTGAAGACAGACGTACCGAGCTTGAAAGCGTAGAGGAAGCTGCACGTACCAAGACTCAGCACAAGGAAGACGCGTTCGCACGGAAGCTGGCGCTGGCTGAAGCTGCCGTGGCGAGTCGACGGGCTCTTGCTCAGCATCGCATCCTTGCTCTTCGTAAAGAAGCTCGTGGAGTCGTTCGTGCTCGGGAGTTCGCGTGGCAGTCGAAGGCGCGTTCCTGGATAGACCGAGCCTCTCGCAAGGTACAGGTGAAGCAGCAAGAAGATGCCCAAGCTCAGCTCAATGACAAGCGTCGCCGCAAGCGCGTGCTGCTTGCCACATGAGCTAGATTTATATAATACATTTTTGCTTGGCTGCTTGTTTGGTCCTTTGGTCGCTCTTAGTGCAGCAGAGTACAATCCCAGTCTGCTCAGTTCTTGGACTTGGCGAGGCGCGCAACAGAGCTGGAGCCAAAGCGTGGCAACCAGATCTTGATCGAGCAATCGGCTGAGGCCGAGGCCAAAATGGGCTCAGTCGGGTGGAAGTCCACGCAATACACCCGGTCATTGTGGGCGTCAATCTTCTGCACAAGCGTTTGAGTGTGCTTGCTTCCATTTGCATCGGCGGCATGCTTCGTCGGCGTGACCTCGTGCAAATAAATGTGACGGTCAGCACTTCCAGTTGCAAGCAACAGCGTTTCGCGCGATGAGTCCATCGACCCGCGCTCGCTGCTTGGATCAGCGAAATCCTCTCCGTCGCCGTCCGTGAGCTTACGACGCGACCCGGAACCAGAACCACCACCCAGACCGCCTCCAAGCCGTCCGCGAGGCGGGAGCGCTAGCTTGTACTTGTAGCCGTCCCCACGGAAGAACGAACTCTTAATCGGCCAGTTCTTGTTCTTGTGGCCCGTAACCGAGCACACCAACTGGAGTTGGTCGTTATCACCGCTGTCGCTGCTTCCACCAGGACCACGCCGTGTGCTACGAGAGCTGATGAGCTTGGAACGTCGGTCGTACACCCGCAGGACGTTGTCGTAACTGTTGACGCCGAGGAAGCGGCCGTCGTCTCCACCATCACTGGCGGGGGATGCGTGCACGTGCGAGATAGCATGTCTAGCAGGGTCATTCAGCACTGACAGCTCCTCCAGACACGCATCCATGCGAACGTCCCACGTCTTCAGCATACCCTAGATACCACAGAAGAACAGCTCAAGTGTTAATTCATCCCTTTGAATATCATGCATCGCCTAGCGTAGAAGTAACAACGGACCTTGCTGTCGCCAGTGATCACCGTCATTCCGTCGTGCGCCACGTGAAGCGCATTCACCATGGCATCGTTCGTCCAGGTGCGGCACACTTCAGAGCGCGCGTCCGCCATGTACAGACAGCACTTGCTGGAGCCGAGGAAGTACTGGTTGTTATCTAAGACCAAAAAGAAATAAAGCAACAGTATCAGCATCTTTCCGTCCACAAGCCCCTCTTCCAAACTCCCCCTCCACCTACCAGCCATGTTGAAGGCCACGCACTGCACGAGTCCGTCCACCTTCTTGCTCGTGATCAGCTGGCTCTTGTCGACGTCCCAGAGCTTGACCGTGTGGTCGTAGCTGCCCGACACGAGCGTGGCGCTGTCCTCGGCCCAGCTCACGTCGATCACGAGCTGCGCGTGCCTCGAGAGCGCTGCCAGCTGCGGCTGGTTAAACTTGGTGGTCACGTCCCAGAGCATCACCTTGCAGTCGAAGCTGCCGGACGCCAGCAGGCGCCCGCACGGCGAGAACTTGGCCGTGTACACGGCGCCGCCATGCGCGCGCAGCGTCGACTTGTGCACGAGCACGCGGGCGTCTCCGTCTCCGTCAGCGTCGTACAGGTCCCCCTTGGCGCCTAGCAGCGCCCCCGAGCCGCCGTGCGCGCGGCGGAAGGACGACCCAGTAGCGGCCTCCGCGCTGGGAGCAGGCGCGGCCAGCAGGTCCGCGATGGCGAAGGGCTCGGCGGCGGCGGCGCGCGTCGACGAGGACGGCGCGTGCGCTGAGTCCAGCCTGGTGCAATGGAGAGGAGTGATGGTCAGTACAACTTCAACTATTCACCCTGATGTCTTGTATAGCTGATGAATGAGGTATTAGAATAGAGAGGTGGTCGTACTTGAGGGTCAGCTCGTACACCGAGCGCTTGAGGTCGTGGTTCTCGCGGTCCAGCTTCTCCACGCTCGTCTTGAGCAGCTTGTTCTCCTTCATGAGCAGCTGCACGGGGGGAATTCGGTTAGGGGGGGGGGGGCACGGGGCGAGGCGCGGCGGGGGCGAACGGACCTCATACTGCGCGCGCAGGTGCGCCTCGGACGCCATTATGGATGAATATAGTACAGAGAGACTGGCAGGATTGTGACTGGGCCTAATCAGTTCGCGTTTTGACCAATCACGGAGCTTCAATAGTGTAGTTTTGGCAAATAGGAGATAATAGGGGTAGGTTTCCGGTTCCGACACTTTCCGACAAATATTTGTCGAAATCCACACAGTAATATGAATATGCACATACAAATATCAAGTAGTTAACATATTTTTTAAATATTGTCATGGCTCTGACAACTAGGTTTATTCCTAAGGTAGGAAACCGGTCGGTGGATAGGATAACCAGTACGTAGGCTTTGCGTTTGACCACACAATTAAAAGAACCAAGCAGTAGCAGACGAAGCAGCATGAGCTTAGCTGCCTTCGTTCCTGCGAACACGCAGGCGCGGAATACTGCCGTCGCCGCATTCAAGCGGATGTTGGAGGAGGAGAAGGTTAGCCTTGAGTTTGTCGAGGCTGGCATTCTCTTGGATGCCTCCGGCAAACGTTTAGCAGCGACGATGGACCGCTTTGGCTTCTACCTCGCAACCAACGAAGGTAAGAAAGGTAAGTTAGCCCGCAACACGGCAACAGCGTATCATAGAAATGTCAAGTTGTGGCTATTTGACAAGTATCCACACTTGCGAGTACCTACTGAGTTGATCTTGCTAAAGCAAGGGAAGACTTTAGATAAACATTGCATGAAACGCGAAAAAGGTGGCTTGATTAATAAGGCTCCACCTTGTACTAAGGAGGATTTACAGTCTTTAGTCCGTTACGTGTACAGCACAGCACGCGTACACGCCGACTACCAAGACGCAGCACTAGCGTGCTTGATGTGGCACTGCTTTGGTCGGTCTTCGGACCTAGGCTACTTTCAAAAACAGCACGTGTCTGTATCGGCAGACGGCACCTTCTACCTGCGGCTGCTACGTGTCAAGACATCAGAAGAACAGGGTCTTACCTTGATCCCGGACAAGAGCGTGTCCCTTGCACGCTCTGGCCATAGCGCTAGCGACGCAGGACGCGCCATGCGCGGCACTCCTGTCCCAGTTGCCCGATCTCGTAGCGGAGGTCGCCGTGCCACTTGACGAAGGTGTGCCGCTGCTGGAGCTGCTGGAAGCCGAGCCCGCTTCGCTCGACGTCGCTGTGGTCCCGACGGAGTCGTCCCTGCCTTCAATGCTCGTGGCCGGCAACGTATCCTCTGTTCCACCGCCGCAAAGCTGCCCAGACACACAAGAAACATCAACAGCAGCCCCAACCGAGGCACGCACCGGTGAGGTCAAGCGCGGCGAAGACTAGCGTGCAGGCGTACGTGAACAGGATGCTCAAGCGCGTCGCCGAGCCGGCAGGAGCCACCCCTGACCTGACCTCGCACTCCTTCCGGCGTGGCGGGGCCCAGCACGCGAACGGAGATGACCGCCTCGCCGCCTAGTGGATCTTCGATCGCGGTGCTTGGGATATGACCAAGACGAACAAGGCCTTCGCCAACATCACTAACACGGCACGCGAGAACAGGAAGGTGGCCCGGGTCTTGAGTGGGTGGGCGGCAGACGACGTTCCAGCGGTCATCGACGTCGCGACGCTTGATCACGCCAGTCAAGAACGCCTCGGCCGATTGCAGGGCTTCCTGTTCAATTCCTGTACAGGTCTCAAGCAACAACGTCTAAATGTAAGCACCAAGGTCCTCAATGTCCTCACTGCGTAGCTGGCCCGCTACTACCCGCAGCTCAAGGAGCTCGCATCCGCGGCCCCCATTGTCACGCGCGTGGAAGAGAGCTTGCGTGCTGCAGACATCCTGATCGGCGACATGCTTGCGTGGTCAGTCGCGCTGGACAGCGAAGCCGCTCCGCCTGCTCAAGCACAAACCCAAACACAAGATGCAAGCCAACACCACTGCCCAAGCATCGATCACCTTCTAGCTGTCATTCATGAGCTTATTGCCTCAAACAAGGCCCTAGCTGCGCGGTTGACGATTGTCGAGGCGGCTCAGATGAAAGCTAAGGAGCCGCGTAGACCCGCTGAAGAAGACCAAGCAAAGGAATCGTTAGACCAAGAGCCCAAGTCAAACCGGAGGAAGAAGCAAGTTACGCACCTGTCGGCTGCATGGTACGAATGGTACACCCGTGTTCCTCGCGTCTGGGACTGCTTTGACCGCCAAAAGAAGTCAGAATCACGCCACGTCGTCGCCTTCATGAAGCTGTTCCTCGAAGACGGCTTTACGCTTGACCGCACGGTTGCAGACTACAAGGATCAGGTCTTGGACGCCGGTCGCCGTGCTGAAGATGCCGTGTTGGACTTCCTAAAGTCGCGGAACATCAACGCGAAGGGCGCTGGCAGTGTTTTGCGCGCGCTGCGTCCCCTGCACAAGTGCGGCGTCTTGGACAAACGCATCGCAGCCCACAAGCGTCTCCTCGCTACAGGCCGAATTCAAGACCCTGCTCCTGCAGACACACAGGACATATTAGCTTTGGCTCGTCAAGCCCGACCGGCATAGTATCGGGAATTCCCGAAGTCGCAAACTGCCGAGCGTACGAGCGTACACAGTCGAGTAAACCCGAAATCACACACCGTCAAGAATACCCAAAATCGCCCACAGTCGAGTAAACCCGAAATCACGCACCGTCGAGTAAACCCGAAATCGCCCACAGTCGAGTAAACCCGAAACTGCTGTTAATGGGAGTAAGCGACGCTCGCGAGCCACCGATGAGCGGCAGCTGTCAAAAAGTAGAATGACTAAACAGCATGCTTCTCAACCAATCATTTATGGGTCGTAATTAGTATATTATGCATTCTGACCAATAGTATTTAAGAAATTTCATCCAATGAAATGTAAGATACATGTCGAGTTTGTCCGAAACGCGACACACCAAGATGTCGAGCTCAGATCAGCGGACGAATGCAGAGAAGATCGAGATCCTGCTCGCATGCGAGCGAAATGGATGGGACGCTACCGAGGGGGGTCGTCGTCATGGTGTGGCTCGGACAACCTTGCTGGGTTGGATGACTAACAAGCACAAGTTATTCTCGTCCCAGGCCGATCCATCCGCAAAGCGGGCAGCGCCACCAGGCATGGCCCCTCCGACGCTTCAATACGAGGCTGGTATTGTTGAGCGGATCAAGGCAAAAGTGGCAAACGGCCAGGTGGTGTGCAGAGATGATGTTGTCGCGGATGCTGCGTCGACAATACCTGGCTTTGGGGAGCGCAAACCCGCGGCTCAGAGTTCGTGGACTACCCGGTTTATAGGCCGCCACAATCTAAGCACTTTCATCTCACGACGACTCCAGAATACCGGCACGGCAGCGCCAAATGTGAATGAACCCCCCAACAAGAGACACAAGCGTCAACTATCGACTTTAGCCGAAACCCCCCAGCCTCCAGCCAATGGCCGAAAAAAACCAGCCACCAGCCAAGTCGACTATAGCCGAAAAATCCCAGCCTCCAGCCAAGTCGACTTTGGCCGAAAAATCCCAGCCTCCAGCCAAGTCGACTTTGGCAGAAAAATCCCAGCCTCCAGTCAAGTCGACTTTGGCCGAAAAACCCAAGTCACCGGAGGTCATATCACTGTTGAATGATGACAGTGAGAAGGCCAGCGTTCCATTTGATTTTGGAGATGTGTGGGATATATCGCAGTCCGAGAGTGTGTGAAACACAAACCCCGTGCTTTGTTGTGGGCAAAACCAGGATGCGTTTACTGGTGACAGCGGAATATGTCCGGACAATTAAAGACCAAAATTGGCTGAAAGATGTGATTATGTCCTATTACATCCGAGTGCACCTCCCGCAACACGGCCGAACGTTTGTCATGGATGCAAACGTTTTTGGATACATCTACAGCGAGTTCGTTCAAGTGGAGCGAAAAATTGGACTTGCGCACGAGCGCTGTTGCGGTATCACCGCAACATTTCCGTACGAGAAGTACGATCACGTGATTTTACCTATATGCATGGGCAATCACTGGACGTTTGCCATTGTGCAAAACCCTGTAGGCACTACGCAGAATCGGAGGAGATGCCTTGTGCATGTAGACTCGAAAGGAATCTCCAGCATCGAAGCGATTAAAAAAGTTGTCGGTGGATATTTCGACGCGGAGCTGCGAACTAAATATCCTGACAACGCAGCACCAGCGTTCGTCGTGAGAGGAGTCCGAACAAGCCCGGCACAGATAAACCACGATGACTGCGGAGTATTTGTGCTATACTTCATCAAGCGCACGGTGGAGGCATTTCAAACCGGGAATACGCTTCTCTTAAGCGATATCAAGAAGATATGCACAAGTCCAAGGTCCGCGCGCTTCAACGCAAAACTGATGCGGAAGCAGATCATAGAGAGCCTGACACAAACACACGCGTAGGCTCACTGGAATACGGGTCTCGGTTAATTCAATACATGTATTACACGTATACATACAAAACGTCGCTAGTGCCCCAAACCTTACAGAGAACAGAGATTAGCACAGGAGCTAGAGCACCGCGCACCCAAATGCAGCACCGATATATACGTAGAAGGCGCTACTCCTGGCACAACGCAGACGCACAATCTGTGACGCAGCAGCAAGACCCTTGGCACAGCACGACACGACCGCAAAAGCCCATCGTGATCAATAACACCGACCCGAATTGAACGGGCATCTTAGGGTGGAGGCCCTGCGCTCTTCCATTGAGCTACGGTGTTGGGAGGGGGGCGGCCGGCCAGTTGTCTTGTCTTGGGTGTGGATGTGTGCGCGGAGGGGTGCAGGAGACTTGATCAGTAGCTCTAATAAAAAGGAGACTGAACGCTCTGAGCCGCGGGTCGGCGACGTACAATGCCTAGCAGCCACCAATTTCGGACAGAAGGCGAATATCTACTGGCTGTAGAGAGAACCAATCAACGATCATCGTTAAATACATGTCCCCTATTGGCTAATAGATTGGCCAATGGGATGCCTCAAAGGAGTTAGCTGGCGTCGGACTGCTTCTAATTGTGGCCCCCTGTCCTGGAGCCGGCCTCATTAATGAATTTGCCGGCTCCGGCACACATTGGTCCCGGGGCCGTAATGCATGAATACACAAAATACCGTTTTTCTTGGCCTACAGGCCTCTAGAAGCGATTTCCTCGCGGCTGAGAGCCTCTCATGAAAGCTGACTGGAAGCACCAAAAACGCCCCCCTAGACCTAATCTACCGTATATATTGTGTAATTTCCGATCTTACACTATTTCCGATTTTGCCCTGGCTTTGGCCTTTATCCTGTCTGTCGGAAGATGTAGGGATGTCGGAACCGTCGCGATATGGAGTAATATTCACTCTGTTCCAACCGCTACTCTTTTTTGTAATCCCAAACCGCTCGTACTCGACGACTTTCACCCAATGAATGCCTTAAGTTCGATGAATTTTGGCCTATCGGAAGCCCCTCTAAACTAGGGCATTTTTCCAACCGTTCCAACCATATTTGGTTGGAATTTTGTCAGAATATTTTTAATGCCATACAAATGTCTATATAAATGCATATCCCAAGAATTTCCTTCAGTTTCCAACCCGAATGGTCCGTACATATATTTTTGTTCAGAGTGAAAAGAGCAGGCAGGCTAGCATGTCGATCGCATCGCTTGCTCCTGCCAACAGCAAGAAGGCCAGGACGACGGCGATCAACTCGTTCACGACGTTCCTGGCCGCGGAGAGCATGACACTCGAAGCCACCCACAGGCTTATCGACGGGGATAAGACAGGTAAGGTATTGCGTATTATACTAGACAAGTATGCATATTCGTTAGCCACATCAGCCGATAAGGTGAGGGCGACCAATACGTGTCTAGCATACTATGACAACGTCAAGAATTGGCTAGTAGGTAAGTACCCGCTACAAGGAGCTTTGGTTAAATCTCAGCTCCAAAAACTTCTATCAGGGCCGGGTAAGTATTGTATTAACCGAGAGGAGGTCGACGACGAGAAGAAAGCACCCCCGTGCTCTAAACAAGACTTAGAAGCTACTGTACTCAACGGCAGCGACGGAGAGTGAATACCTCGACGCGGCACTAGTCGTGATGATGTGGTACCTTTACGGTCGAAGTTCGGACGCGGAAACAGTCGAGAAGAGCCAGCTATCCATCTTGCCTGGTAAGTAATTAATTATCATGTTCTTAGCAGAATTATTTTAACACTGAGTGTATTTATGTTAGGTGGAGTCTTATTTCTTCGATTTAAGCGGGTTAAAACAGCTTTACTACAAGGCATCTCCTTATTCAAGGACCCAACGAATTTCTTGACATGTCCTCTGCAAGCTTTGGCTGTGGCGCTGGTTATGCAGAAGGCACCAAGCCAGCGCATGTTCCCTCAGTTCATCGCCAAAAAGCACAGATCAGATGATATTGATGATGTACAGGAGCTTACACTGATCGAACTACTGGAAGTTGATGATGACCAGCGTTCTATGGAGGAATCTGAAGCACCTTCGACAAAGCGGGCAGTTCCTGGTGCACAAGCATACGTCAACAGGTTGCTGATTAGAGTTAAGAAGCTCGCCGATTTGCGATGGATTCGGATGACACCGGAGCTTACCTCCCATTCCTTTCGACGTGGTGGGGCCATGCATGCCAACGACGGTACCTTGGCCGAGAACTGGATTATTGAGCGTGGCGGCTGGCAGTTGGACCGCGTCAACAAGGCCTTCGGGTACATGCTTGGTACAACAAGCCGACCAAAAGGTGTCCCGCGTCCTGAGTGGCTGGAAGCCCAAGGACGGCGCACGGCTACCAACACTAGCCGCTCTGGACACGCCAGCCTTGGTCCGCGCTCGCAAGTTGCAGCAGCTTCTCTTTTCCAGCACGATGGCGTTCGCTGACGCTGCTTTGAACCTTGACGACGACGTCGCTGATGTCCTTACGGCTACCCTGTTCATGCATTACCCCGACATGTTAGTGCTCTGCCCAAGCAGCTCGCTCATCACGAAGATACGTGAGCTCCTAGCACAACGAGCCATCGGTGAGTCCGAGCTGCTCGCGTGGAGCGTGACAATTAGCCAGGCATTCGCGACGCCTCCTGAGTCGAGGGCGTCTGCTAGTGGTGGTGAGGAGCCGTCGCCTGCGTTGATTGATCTCATCAAGCACCAGTCCGAGCAGATCGATGTTTTAATCCTACAGAACAAACGACTCGACGAGCGCATATTAGCTATTAAAGCACATCTCAAGACACTTACCAGCACCACAGCAACTCAACCAGCAAACACGGACGTCACGCTTCCTGTCTCCGAGCAACCGTCTCCTCTTGGGGATAAGACGCCACGCGCGAGGAAGAAGGGAGCCCAGTCGTTGTCGGCGGTCAGGTTTCAGTGGTTTACTGCGGAGCCTCGTGTGTACGCATCGCGTTCTGTAAAGAAGACAGCGTTGTATGAGTACAGGCACCTCGCAGGGTATCTCATGCTCTTCTTACCTGAAGGTTTCGCGCTTGACACTTCGTCGCCTGCATACAAAAGCGAAGTGCTCGAGCTTGGCAATAAAGCACAACAGAACGCACTCACCTTCTTGAAGTCGCACGGCTCCTCCGCCGTCGCAGCAGGTACAGCGTTGAAGGCGCTTCGTCAGATGCAGAAGCTTGGAAAACTTGACGAGCTTATCACACAGTTCCATGAACGCGTTGATCGCGGCTCCGTTGTCGATCCAACGCCGCCTTCGGCATTGCCGTCGTTCATTCGACTGAAGCCTAAGCAAGATTAATCATAGCACAGAAGCAGACTCCAGAAAAGCAAAGCTAAAGCTCGCAGCACATTGATCAAGCCTGTAAACACCATCAAATAGAGAACGACAACAACATAATATGGGTGAACATCTTTGTGTATTTACTCGCACTTGACTGACACTATAATACAAACAACACTGCACAAACCATAAAGTCAGAAGTGAATATTCCCCCAACCAAAAGCGCATCATTATTTACCTTGTCTTGTTGGCTCGAAGCCCGAGCCGCAGTCCGCGTCGCCGCCGCTGCTGCTGCCTCGTGGTGCTGCCGCTGGTCTCGGCGACCGTCACCCCGCGCAACGCAATGCCGCAGTGCACGTCGCCGCTGCCGCTGACCTGCTCCTGGGGCTGCTGGCCTCGGGGGGTCATCACCCCGCCCGAGACCAACCCGCACTCCACGTTGGCGCCGGCCCTCGTGTCGCTGCTGCCAACGCTGGTCCCGGGGCCACCACCCCGCCCGAGGCCAAACCGTCGTCCGCGTTGCCGCCACCGCCCGCCTGCTCCTGGCGCCACTGACCTCGATGGCCATCACCCCGCCCGAGGCCGAGCACTGTTCGCGTCTCCACTGCCGTCGTCGTCCGCGCGTTGTCTGGTTGGAAAGGCTGAATGAGAGGGAAATATTACTGGATAGTGTGTGTTGTCACTAAATATGTAATAGATGTCATTAAAGTGATTTGGCCGAGTACCGGTGCCGGTTGAACTCCTTGGTCGGACAGTTGGAATTTTGACGGTATGGCTGTTGTGTCAAAGTGATCGAAATAGGAAAGTGGTTGGGTGTAGCCATATCGAGCTCTAAAGGGGATTTTTAGAAAGTGATAGGATGTAGCCATACCGTCAAATAGTTACCGCCGGTAACTTACCGGAACTCGGCCAAACCACTTTAATGACATTTATTTCAGTTTTAGTGACACCACCAACTGAGTAGCCACCAACTGAGTAGCCAGATACACAGCGGCCACACACACGGCGGCGACGCTGACAAGGGCGGCAACGTGGACGAGAGCTCGGCCTCGGGCGGGATTATGGCCGCCGAGGCCAGCAGAACCAAAAGCAAGCTCCAAGGTACTTTATGTCTTGTCGCCTCTGTGAATATCCTATTCTAACGTCATATTAGTGCAGTGTTGCTTGTAATGTAGATTACCATGTTCAAGAAATATACAAAGAGGTTCACCCAAACTATGTCGTTGTAGTTCATGTGTCTAGCGAGGTTTGTCTTTATCAGCGGGTCATGTGTGCGGTGGAGTCACTTTAACTTCGAGTTTATGAGTGTGTTGCGATATGTACTGTGGTAGCAGATCAACCTAGTGCAGGCTTCAGTCGAATGAAAGATGGCAGTGCCGAGGGTGGTGTGGGACCGACAATGACACCACGATTGATGCGCTCATGGAACTGCGTGATGAGCTCGTCAAGTTTTCCAAGCTTCTGCATCTGACGAAGCGCCTTCAACGCTGTACCTGCTGCGACGGCGGAGGAGCCGTGCGACTTCAAGAAGGTGAGTGCGTTCTGTTGTGCTTTATTGCCAAGCTCGAGCACTTCGCTTTTGTATGCAGGCGACGAAGTGTCAAGCGCGAAACCTTCAGGTAAGAAGAGCATGAGATACCCTGCGAGGTGCCTGTACTCATACAACGCTGTCTTCTTTACAGAACGCGATGCGTACACACGAGGCTCCGCAGTAAACCACTGAAACCTGACCGCCGACAACGACTGGGCTCCCTTCTTCCTCGCGCGTGGCGTCTTATCCCCAAGAGGAGACGGTTGCTCGGAGACAGGAAGCGTGACGTCCGTGTTTGCTGGTTGAGTTGCTGTGGTGCTGGTAAGTGTCTTGAGATGTGCTTTAATAGCTAATATGCGCTCGTCGAGTCGTTTGTTCTGTAGGATTAAAACATCGATCTGCTCGGACTGGTGCTTGATGAGATCAATCAACGCAGGCGACGGCTCCTCACCACCACTAGCAGACGCCCTCGACTCAGGAGGCGTCGCGAATGCCTGGCTAATTGTCACGCTCCACGCGAGCAGCTCGGACTCACCGATGGCTCGTTGTGCTAGGAGCTCACGTATCTTCGTGATGAGCGGGCTGCTTGGGCAGAGCACTAACATGTCGGGGTAATGCATGAACAGGTAGCCGTAAGGACATCAGCGACGTCGTCGTCGAGGTTCAAGGCAGCGTCAGTAAACACCATTTCACCGGCTATGTTATTGTGGTAAAGAGATCCGCTCAAGAATGGTTCTGATGGAACCGGATCCGCCAGTTCGATACTTGGTGGGACCCGGCAGTTGGTGACGTAGCTAAGTTTAGCTCGGATGACGCCATGGTTACCAGACCAAGACCAGGTTGCTGGATCAGGGTCGTTGAAGTTGAATCAAGCACAAGTGGTGTGGCGTACACGGATCCAGACGTCTAAATTAGGGCCCGCTAGATTAGGTATGGATTCGTACCAAATTATGGGTACATTCATTATACTAGGATAAGTAGGTAGGAAGGAGAGCCAGTAGCTGGCAGGATCCAAGCCGGATGGGAAGGCTGGGTACAGGATAACTTAAATCAGAGTCGAATTTGCTTGGGAACCACACACTTGGTTCTTAAAAGTGGGATTTTTATTGGCCCATACTTTAATCAAGTGATTTGCCCCCCGGACACGTGGCAGACTGCTGGATAGCTTGGCCAGCAGCTCGCGCCCTTCGGCCCTCGACGAGGAGGGTGACAAGTACGTCGTCGAAGCTATTCTCGACGATCGATGGCCAATTTCGACAGGCACTGAGCGGACCCAGCGCGAGTTCTATGTCAAGTGGATGAGCCGACTTGGGAACCAGTATCGAATTTGTCGTGCGGAGGACTAATATTCGACTATCTCCTCCAGCCCAAGCGCGAGAATCGCTTCAAGATGGTTCAAGTTGCTGACGAAGACTAGCAACCGCGAGAATTATCCCTCGGCGATGGCCACAGATCGCTGAGCAAGGGATTGATGTTACTGTGCCACATGTTGACCTCGGCGAGGGTGCGGTACAGGACCTCGTCGAGCGTATATCGACTGTACAAACAACCGCATGATTTGATTTGATTGGTATGAAAATGGCGCTGCGCAGAGAAGAAAAAATGACAGAGTTACGAGCAGCAAGAAGCCTCCTACAGAAACTACAACTATATCTCAACGCTTAGCAGCTATTCCAGTTCAAGCTTGCCGGTCGACGGGTTGGTCTCCACGACTGCCTGATAAAGTCGATGACATTCAGGGGCGTACAACAAGTGGAGATGCTCGGCGAACAATCATCGTTCGCTGCGTATCGACCAGCGTTTGACGCCCGCCCACGGAGATACGGATTGGCAGTCGCGACGCAAATCAGCCAGAGCAGTCGAGACTTGGTGAAGGAAGGAGAGCGACCAGATTTGGTGAGCAAGAGCTACAACGACTCGGCGACCAACCCGACTTGACGAGAGCTACCACGACTTGGCGGACAACACGACTTGGCGAGGCTGACCTTGACTTGGCGATCCAGAGCGACTGTGATGAGTCGACGAAACAAGCCGGCACCGCCACTGTGAAGCTGGTGTGACTACGGTCGACCACGCATGCCGCCAAGACTTCAAGCTGGTCAGTGTTCAACCCTGGTTAGTTTGTCAAGAATCCTTTCGGTGACGGCAAGGTTGAAAAACTACCTGAGGCGCATGTGGCTATGGTCGGACAATGCCGTAGTACGGCGCATTCAGTGAAGAAGCAAGAGCATCGCCTTTGGTGGATGGACGGACGTCATGGTTGCGTTGAGTGGGCTACCCGACATGGGGCGATACCCAGCCCATCTTTATCACCAAGGAAATCGAGGCTTTGGTAGCGAAATGGTAGAGATTCAGCTGAAATTCCTTCGTGCCCCGGCGACGCAAGCGATGTTGCTCGAAGACGCAAGTCAAGATGGTGATCTTGCCACTCGCCAGTATGGATCGTATCGAGACATGGGCGGTTGTGGTATAGCGTTCATCGCCCAAGTCGGCTCAAGCATCTCGGCGAAGTATGGATGCAGGGCAGTAACATGGATTTTGCTGAGTACCGAAATCAGCGAGTGAAGAATGCATGGAAACGTCCGCTATCCAGCATCGACGGAATCACTGCGATAAGCACGTAGAGGACTTGGCGAGAAAGCGGTTACCGGAATCGCACAAGCCCGCCCGACCCAAGGAGTGTACTCCCGTCACCAACTCGGGAGTTTCGGCAAAGTACGGATCGCAAGATTTCAAGAGTCGCCGGGCGAAAAAGCCGGCGAGCGAGTTGACTTAGTTTTAGTATTGGAGGGGCCGTGACAGCCCATTTTCATTAGCTATTTGTATAGGAACCCAAAGAAAGGGCCTTTGAGGTCAACAAAGCAGAGATAAATACAGAGTGGAATTTTCGAGGTCCCAAACAAGCCGCACGCGGCGTCTCTTCGAGGTACGACCGCCCCCGTTGGGCTAGATCATGACCACCGCTGAGATCGGCTATTCGAAGTGACGGAAGTGTTCTCGGCCGCCCGGCGAGTCCAAGAGCAAGCGCGTGTAGTGGTTATCTAGATTCCACCTCTGGCGAAGAGCTCGTCGAGCGTACGAGCGCAGGTTTTCGGCCCGCCCCCGACTTAGCCGGCGCGGTTTTGCATAAGCGCCCCGTAAGAGGCGAGAGCCGCTGTCCATCCTTTGGTGGAGGGCACGGGTCAAGGAGAAAAAGAAAAGGAGAAGAAGCGACAGGGGGAGGTCGGCGAGAGAAAGGGAGCGTGCTGTGTGCTCGTGGCACGGCTCCTGGGACGACTTAACAGGTGCCTGGGTAACCACTGCACCGCTGTAAACGGACTGGGAGATCTTCGGATCACCCAACAAGCCTGCCCTCCCTGAAGTGTAGGTGTTGTTGGTGTGGGGGTGGGAAGCTAACGAATTTTGGCACGTCTGCTACACCACAGTACCCACTTCGAAATATCCGCTGCAGAGCCTTTATGATCGGCCAGATCTTTCACGCCTTGTCAGTTGCTACTTAAGGAGCTGTGTTATCTGGCGAATACAGTTATTTAATGATGCAACCGAATGTCTCTCTTCAGCGTCCGGTCAAACGTCCCATTAGGTATACGGTATACCGTATACAGTATACCGCCCACGGAACTTGGAGCCCAATTCCCAGAGAGGCGTCTATATGTGGACACAGCATTCGCGCCATACTATGCAGTGTAAGAATTGGCTGTTGCTTTCACACTGTATCCGTCAAAAACTATCGTTAATCACTTGCTATCACGAGTAGAACTATTCGATCCCCCAACGCGACTACTACTACTGCACTAGCCTCAACTGTGTCGTACCGACGTCGACAGCCGCCCAAGTTGCGCGGACTAGCGTGGCGAACGCGTCCGAGCTTTCGACAGGGTTTGGAAATGAAAACCGCGACGGTAACAGCGACACATCCGAGTTTCGTACTGCTCTGTGAACGGTATCGGGGCCCTATTTTGAGCGTGTAGACGTTTGCGCATGATGTAGTGGAACTTCTGCTGTGCTGCCGTCGATAACGCCGAGGCCACTGTATTCTCGAGTATATATACCAGGCGATCAGCTGCGGCTTACCGATCGAGGTGGTCGAGTATCGCGCACAGACAGTATATTAAATGTAACCCGCGAAGATATCCAAACCCGCAATCTCGCCGGGGTTTTCAGAACTGGATCAACCAGAACATTGGAGTGACCCTGTCCCGATGATATAACTTCTTTTAATTTATTCAATGGCTTCACAAATGGAAATAATAGCACCGTATGTAAACTAATTATCCTTTGATAAATCACTACTTATAAATATTATGTATGCATTCAAATGCCACACGTGAATGCTGTTTGTGATCTTGGCGGCCGCCCAAATAACCACACATTTTACCCGAATGTTCACGGGTTAAATGGTGTTTCTTACGCGTCGGATGAAAAATATATAGTGAGTTAAATAGCTGACAGTCACCAGCAGCATGTAACGACCTAATACTGTGGATGGCTTTGTGCCGTGTCGGTTGCGTACATCTTCAACAAGTCGGAGCGCACTATTAGCAATTCGGTCAAGATCTACGAGGTACAATGGAGGAAGCGGTGGCGGGTCACCGCTTCCTCCATTGATGATTAGCATCACGTCTGGGCAACATCGAAAATATTTCGGTCGTAGAGCTGGCTTCAGCTTCAAGCAACGCAGTCCCGATCTGAGCGCACTCTCAGCAATTGAATCAAGACCTACGAGCCTTCCAACGCGCTCGGGCACCCCGGAAGGGACATTTTCGGAGGACCATTGAGCCTGGCTGCTCGCCTATTAACAAGCTCATCCTCATGCCTATCTCGATGTATCCCAAAATGGGTTTCAAAACGCTCATCGCCTCACGATATCGAAGTCGTCGCTGTGGTGGATCATCCATGAAGCCGGCGCCTCATACATAGAAGGTTTTGGAGGGGCGGTCAATGCCCATAAAGGAGCAGGACGTGTTTCGTCGAAGAACAGCTGCGTGAACTGGAGCTACAGTTACCTTGTTTTCCTCGATGAGGTCTCTTTCGACAGTCGAGGCATGATACGCAAGCGAGGGTACGCTCTTCGTGGGAAGAAATCGCAATCCAAGAAGACTTCGACCGGAAGCCCCGCCTGTCCATCTTGGCATTCATCGGGGTCAACGGTGTCATCGACTACTTCAACATCGACGGCACCTTCGACCAACTGGAGTTCACGAAGTGCTGCCGATATTTCGTACAGTTACACCGTGGG